CCACCATCAACCACCACCATCAACCACCACCATCAACCACCACCATCAACCACCACTCAATCCCTCACATTGCCCGTACCGCATGCCAGTGTCAAAATTGCCGAGGTTACTTGAACCAGGAACAAACCCATTGTGCAACCTTACTGACTGCCGAGTCCACGATTTGTCCGCAACGAGCAAAGAAACCCAGGGAGGGTTCCAGTGCCGTTGTTGGCTGGGTGCGGGAACAAAGGACCGGGCCAGTGGGCGGCGTCTCGGGAATTGGCAACTCTGAAACAAATGAATCCAGGAAGGCTTCATCTGCATCAAAGTCATCTTGGCTGGTGGGAGACGCCGCCGGAGAAGTCGTCAAGGTGCTGCTGGCACAACTGCTGCCACAACTGCTGGGAGAGCGCGACAGTAGTGGCCCCCTGATGCGTACGCGTACTACGCCTTGAGGAGCAGGGGGAGGGGGTGCTGGGTCGCTGACACGTGGCTTCAAGGGGATCCGGCGGTCGATCAGCCCGCGGATGTTTCCCTTGGAGAAAGCCTTGATGGGCCTCGTTGTCATGTGGGCGATCACCCTTGGCAGGAGTGCACCATGGTCCAAGCGCCTGTAACTGGCTTTGGAGAACGCCTTGATCGGTGGTCGAGTCGGTTTTGGCCGAGGCGAGACGATAGGACCTTTCCACTAGAAAGGAAAAAACTTTCGAGTCGCTCGGGAAAACGCCTTGATTCTTGGAGACTTGACCAGAGGCGGAGGTGACACAGTTGGCATACGGCACGGGGACTCCACACTGGGTGCTCGCCGATAGTGAAAGGGGACGGGGCCCGGGCTCGGATCGGGGACGATCCGAGGCTGTCGACGACGTCGAGGTGACTCGGCGGCGCGCAGATAATGACCGGGACCGTGGACTATCGGGGTGCGGAGTGTCGGTTGCCGGCGGGATCGAGGGGACGGCGGCGTGGGGGAGGCGGGAGAAGCACCGAAGATCGAGTTCGTCGACCGTGTTGGCGAGCGGTGCAAGTCACCTGCAATGTAGTTCAGCATATCAGAGGAGGTGTCAGAGTACAGACCTTCTGTAGCCCAACGCCACTTGGGCGCAGGGCTACAGTACGAAGAGCTTGATGTGATTGTAGACATTGTAACCTTTGTCATGTATATCTGCAATTGTCGTAGCAAGACTCTTCGTATGGAGAGAAAAGAAGAAGCAGAACAGGGACGAGGCGAGGAGACGACAGTATATATATCCCCTGCTCACGCGACGCGTTGTATTGTGTATAAACATTTCAAGGGTCGCGTCGAACGGCCCAACAACGCGCGCCGATCCTTTCTCGACGAGGGAGTAGGGCGGATTTGCTTCGATGTCGGTGCTTCTTTGCGTGGCAGAAGTGGTCTTTTGCAGCTGAGCAACCGGTCCGCCTGGAGAGCCGACATGACCTATTGCCGGCCACCCTGATGGCAGGTTTGAAGCCTAGGTCGTCAATCGAGCGTGTGAACAATTATGTAAATCTGCTTGTAGCCTTCCCAACCGGACGTCACGATGTTTGGGGATGACGTTTGTGGTGCAACTCGGACGCAAGGCAGAACTGCCCTGTGCCCAGCGGCATCTTCCCGATGTGTGTTGTGACTTTGTAGGAGATATCCTAACATTCACAGCAGTGCGAATACATCTCCAGAACACATTTCCGCAGGAGATGTAGTTGGCATTGGATCAGAGAAGGCAGGCGCACAGGGTCGCAGTTGCCTCGCCAGGCAATCTCGGATGCAGTTTAGCAAATGACTTACTAAATTTCTTTCCAGCAATAGGACAAAATCCACAGCTTGTTGGCAACAAGAAAGCTCATACAATGAAAGAATGGGTAAGCATACATTGCACTGGCTGAGTCCCCGGCATCGTGACCTCCGCCACACGCAATCGATCCAGGGGAAACTGAAGTCTGAATCGAAGCCTTGGAAGGAAATGGAAGCTCACTGTGTTCGAGCTGTTCAAGTTTGGCTGCAGCTGGACGATTACCACAGTCTCCGAACCCACCTGTCTGCTCACAGCTCTCAGGCAGCATTGAGTGGCCTTCCTGCTACCTGGACCTTCACTGCCAACCTAGCAGCGAGACTTAAGAGCATAGATCTGCATGGAGTAGATCATCTGTGCTTCAACGACTAGCAGAGCTCCGCGGGGCTTTGCAATGCCTCTCCAAAGCCATGATGCTCTCGCAGAAGGAAGCACAAGGTCAAAGAGAGCAGAAACGATGTCAAAAAGAGGTTGCGGAGTGGGACATGCCATCGGAGATTACCGCTGTACATCCGGCATGGCTATATGGGTTGGGCCCACTGGGGAGGACGGGGCCGTTGCGGCAAACGGTTACAAGATGGCAATAATGTTGAACACAACTATGACACTGAGAGCTACGAAGATGGGCTTTACCGTCTTTGCTGTCATGGTATCTGAAGAACAGGTCGCCTGCAACTTGCGTTTCCTTTGGGAGCACTCCTGAAGTTTCCCACGCCCCCTGGCGCCCAAGGGCGTACGCTGTCACGTGTGATCACGTGAAGACTGCTGTGTGAGCTTCAGTGGAGCAAGACATCAGTTCTGCCGTTTCTGCCATCATCTGTGCATATTCTGCTCCATTGCCCGTGGTGAGGGTAGCGAATCTGGTCAATGACAACCAGAACAACAACCGAATGGCTCCAAAGCTACGCTACCTCTAGGCATGACTGGCACCACCGAAGCAAGAACGGCCAGTCGGTCTACTACCGTCGTGGGGGTATCGTCGAGGGTTTGTTCAATGTTGATGGCACCGATTTTGAAGGTCGTGCAGATGTCGCCACGGAGTTCTTCGTCGAGTTGAGGACGACACTGAACTTGGATGACCTGAAGAACCGGATTCTGCTCGTCTGGAGCATTTTTAGGCAGAAACATGTCCTCTTGGCTTCTAAGGCTCTCAAAACCATTGACCTTGAGCCAGACGACTCCGAACAAGACCTTGAAGACTACTTTTTCCTGTTCGAACCGAGCCCCCACCCGGAGCGGATGGTAAAAGAAGCGAAAGAACATCTGGACTTTGTCCAGGATCATTATCCCGATGTTGACGAGGATGAATTTTTCAAACATGCCCTAAACACTGGCCGTTGTATTGATGCATCTAAGGCCTTAAGCAGGCTCTATGTGATGCCAATCAAGCCAAGTATTCAGGGCGTCCAAAATCTTCACTTCATTTGCATTGCCGCCCACGAGATCACTGATGGTCTTACTGTTATGCGGTGGCTGTCTTCGTTCATCGATTTGTTCAACATGTCTGCTCAAGAATTAGCACGAGAGGCAGAGAGTCTCTGCTCTCAATCACCGGTCCCAAGACTTCCGCCGGCACAAGAAACATTATATCCACCAATCAAGGGTAGTGCGGCAAGACAGCGATGGTTTTGGCTCCTAACACGCATACTGCGTCATACCCGAAAACCTCCCCCAGCATCTTTTCAGAATCCTCTGAGAAGAAGGGTGGCGTTGGGTAGCCGCATAGCCATGGAGCCGAAGTATCCTGAGTTCCTGAATTATTCACGAGTGCCACCGCTCAATACATTCGCTGTCCGAGCAGTACTCGGTCCAGCACCAACTCGCCGGCTGTTCAAAATATGCCGGGAAGCAGGCATCAGTATAGGAAGCGGATGTTTTGCGTTAGTCGCTGTGGTCATGATGCTAATGGAGGAACTGCGCGATCCCCACGTTGCACATCACAACCGCCTGCCCTTCGTCGGCTCCTTTCCAGTGAATCCTCGACCGTTCCTTACTGGCAAGAGTCTTGTCGGCAAAGAGGACAGTTTGATGTTGGCTTTTAGTGATGGTGTCACACTGCCATTCCTGTCCAGCGATCTAGATCTGGAGGGAAGATTACGGCTGCTGGGGAAACAAGCCGACCGCCAATTGCGCCGCTATCAGAAGCGTCCAAGATCTTTGACAGAAGAGGTTAATTTGGGCTCTCGTAGTCCAACACAGCTTCTGCCAATGCTGTATCTGGATACCATGGAGCGGCTTCAAGGGAAGACTCGTGCAAGCAGAAAACGACAGTGGGATATCCAAGGAGCCTACCCAGCCAAGTCTAGCGGTAGTATGGCGACGTGTGGCATCAGCTCCATCGGTGCGCGCCATACCATTATACCGGTTGGAAAGTATGATACTCGAAGGATCCCAGAGAACAAAGACATGGTTGCCGACTTTCGAAATTCAGAATCTAATGTAAGGGCGAGGGACGGGGAGTTTCTTGTAGGGGTGGTTGGCGACAATGGTCAGCTGCGGTTCAATGTCAGTTACGATGCTTGCGCCATTGATCCCCTCCTTGCCGATGAATGGAAGAGGATTTTGGAGACATTGTTGGAGCCGGGGAGACCACTGAAGCTGTAACCTTAAAACGGCTACGCGTGCATGTGGGACGAAGGTTGCTTTGGCATGAAAGGATATCGGAGCTCAACAGATTGTTGACAGCTAAGCGGCGTTCAACGACAAGTAGATACCAAAGCTGGAATGTTTCAAGTAGTATCCGTGTAACTGATAACAGATAAAGCTTCGATCCATGTTCCCCCTTAGTACATGCTGCTGCCGTCGTGAGCGTGTCCATGTGTCCACGTGATGACGCGTTGCACGCCGCGCCTCGCGTCAAGGCCAAACGACCGCGATCCGCGCGATGCAGTTGCGATCCTGCTCAAGGGCAATCTGTCCGGAGATTCAGCACATAACATACCTACCTACCTAGGTAATACCACAACACAATGAGAAAGACTCGACAGCCAACATGACGCCTGAGGAGCAGGCTGAATTTGCGAACGAGATCAGGAGTTTCCCACCCCGGGACATTGACCGTCTACACCGTGTCCTGTTCCGCCTGCAGGAGGAGCTTGTCGAGTTTACGCCGACCGCCATCCAGAGAGAGTACCACGCAATATGCTCCGAGGATCAGCACACAGTACATCCTGGCGACCCGTGCCTACGATGGCTGCTAGACCTTCTCGAGACCGACTCTCAGACCCCCTTGAACGAGAAATTTCTCGACGTCCTGCAAGAAGCGAACATTGTACTGACCACTGATGGAACCACGACCGACGGTGGGACAGACCCCGATGCTCCTGCGCAGCCTCCGGCTGTCAATAGATTGCCCGAAATATCTGTCCGGGCAGAGTCTCCTGATTCACTCAATGAAAACGACCCGCTTTGGCAAGAAGCCGTGGCTCTTGATAACAGGAAGCTAGCATCTCAAGCACTTGAACAATGGCGGCACAAGCTACACTTGAAAAGAGAAGCATACTTGGATTACGAGGATCCGGAAATGAATGCTATTGCGGACGAGTTTTACGCACGAAAGTTGGCCAATAAAACGCTGTCCCACTGGCACAATACTGTCCTCGAAATCCGCGAGATGGAAAGGGTGGGAGATGAGTTTCGAGCGAGACACGATGCTGCCTTTGCACTCAGACAGTTGACGCTAGCAGCTCGCGAAAGACTTTTTGTACGGGTGTCCGATGAAAACGTGCTACGCAGAGTGCTCGGGAAATGGCGAGAAAAGACTAGGCATCTGCGCGAGCTGGAAGCTGCTGCGGATGACTTTCGGAATCATCAGGTGGTGAGAAATGTATTGGGAAAAATGGCGGCAAAGAAGGCCGAAATACATCAGGCCGACAGCCAAGCTGTGTTGCTGTACCAAGGTAATCTTGCCCGGCGGGTCTTTAACAGATGGCTCTCGCAGCTGCAGCAAATACAGACTAATGAGAGACGAGCGGATGCTGCAGCCGAATACTTCGCCAGCAAGCATGCCCTCCAGAAATGGCGGGATAAAACTCGGGAATTGCGAGAGGAAAAGAGAGCACAGGAAGCACGTCACCATCTGCTCGCCACCAAGTACTTCCGCAAGTGGAAGGAGTGCACCAAACGAAGCAAGGAAGAGAAGTACGCGGATGCTTACAAGATCATGAGGAGGAAGGTCAAGATCAACATCGCCCGAGCTGCCCTGAACATCTGGCGAGAGAAGACTGCTCGCATCCGCGAGATGAACATCACGGCTGACGAGTTTCGAGCAAGAAAGGACGTCGAGAACGCTAGACACATGGCACACGGCGCAATTGTCACAATGTACAACAAAACTACCGAAATGCAAGAAGCCGGTCGTCAGGCGGACCATTTCTACAACAAGAACCTCATTGAGCGGTTGGAGATTTTCGGCTCAACCTGGCTCATTCCAACCAGACAAATACTGGAAAATCAGAAAAGAGCAGATGAATACCGTGCCACAAGGACCGCCAGCTACGCACTTGCAACACTGAGGAATTGGAGAAATGCCGCATTCAGATTCAAAAGACTCGAAGAGGATGCTGATGTCGTCTTCCTGCGGAATGAGAAGAAAAGGGCACTTTCATTCTTCCAAAAATGGAGAAGAGCTGCGGCTGAAAGCCGAGGAGTGGCAGAAGAACAACGTGAAGAACGTCTAGTGCCAGCAACACCTGCAGCAAGAAGGAGTCAGCTGCTTGCGTCCACTACGCCAGCATATACCCCAGCTGCTGGGCTGTTCGGCGGCGGTGCAGTTGTTGAGGAGGATGGCGAAGATGCATGAATAATGAGCTATGATTTGTGATGACAAAATACGAGCTGATGAGCTATGAGCTATGACTGCTTGAGAAGAAAAGAAAGCGGATACTGGGCGTGAAGGAGGACAGCAACGGCGCAAATTGTGTACAACAGAATTCAACGATACCCCTGTCGGTTTAATCAAAAGCATGAAGGCGCAGCGACCTGGCTTCTGTGACAATGTCGGTGGGAGAATCCATTACCGATGACCGTTTCTTTCAGAGAGCCATGGACTTTGCCGGAAAATGTCAACGGGTAATGCCAGAGCGAGGAGGGCCACAGTGCGACATAGAGATAGGGCTTACCAATAATAACAGTCTTATGTGGCTGCTACGCCTTGTTCCCGTTGATAGGCGGATTATCAGCCGCATCTTACAGCCTTGTCAGCTTCCACGCTCTTCTAACCACTAACGCCGCAGGTCAGCATCCTCACAACAACAAGAGCCGCCATTTTCTTGGCAGGCCCCCAGGGTGTTCGAGTCGCTGACACTGCCTAGGTACTCTCTGCTGACACTATTCTCAGCCTTGCCTGAAGGCGGTGCCGACCGGCAACCCTTTCGAAAGGTACCTTTGTCGTCGATCCGGACAATTTCCAGGCGACTCACACGTCTCCGCCAGTCCGTCGTCTCGAACGAGGCTGTAATCTTTGCAAATGAGGTGAGAAACTGGCTTGGCGAGGTGGCCGCGCCAATGGAGTTCATCATTTCCCGCTGCTTCCCACCGGCTTTGGTCAGCTTGAATGTAACCAGGTACTAGTATCTTACTCTAGATACAGAGGTCAGAAGTACTGATTTGTGTTTTCTGAATGCGACTGCCCGGCCTTGCCGACATTCGTGTGGAGATGATAATATGGTTGACTACAACAGGATTACCTTTCTGGTGACAACAGGGCATGGACGAACAAGTATAAGAAGACTGCCAGGGCCGCCTCAGGATGTCTGTATCCAGCAACACTCATTCATACAACGACAAGTCCATAACGAGTTTCCTACCATATCTTCTCTTTTTCTTTCGTTGCGAGATCATCGAATTGCTACATAATACTTCAGGTGCCTGACATTCCCTGCCATTCAACTCTGATCCCAAAGCATATCCGGCACAGTCAAACCCCAGCAATACATATACATACAAAAACAAAATGCAATACAGCACCAGCATCCTCTGTCTTCTGGCAGCAACCGGCGCTCTAGCCGCCCCTCACAGCCAACGCAGCACCAACGACACCTCTGTGCGCGTGGTCCTCAGCGACGGAGGCGAGACCGGCGCACAAGTCAGCTTTGACGACAGCACCGTTCACAACACGGGAGTCCCCGCCCTCGACGGACCGTTCGCGACCGTAGAATTAAAACTCGGCGCGGACGTTCCCAACAAAGACCTACGCTGTCAAATCCTCGACGACATGGGCCACCCGATCGTGATCCAGCGCGGTGCCAACACGGACATCACCTTCAGCGACGCCGACAAGGGTCCCTGGACGTTCCGCAACTCCAGCAGTCTCGTCAGCCAAGTCGTATGCGACCCGACATTCACGCAGATCGACGCCTCGGCATCCCAGCTGCGCGTCATCTTGGAAGATCAAGCTACCGAGACTGGGTCGCAGACTCTCTTGCCCGCTGGTCAGCGTGAGGAATCGAAGCCCGTGGGATCCATGGGTCCTTATGAGACGGTCGAGTTGAAAGTGGGTGAACTTGTTGAAGACCAGGATTACAGGTGTCAAGTCCTCGATGGCCATGGTCAGCCTATTGTGGTTCTCCGGGGTGAGAATCGCGATATTACCTTTTCGGATGCCGGTAAGGGGGCTTGGACTTTTGAGAATCGTTCGGAGGTCAGTGATATTGTATGTGATCCGACTTTCGTCAAGGGATCCGCATAATGGGTGGTACCATGGGGGCAGGGAGGGAGTGTGGCTTGTGGATATGTACAGAGGAAGAGGGGGTGGTAAAGGCGGGTGCTACATTTGCATTTGGTGGTTTTGGAGGAGTTTTGTCTTCGTTTGCTTAGGGTTTGTTTTCCCGTGCCTCTCTTTTAGTATTCATAGAACGCACTCGTTAGTCAGAACAAGACATTCATTTATTCACCCCTGTTCCTACGGCGTTCGAGTTCGAGTTTTGCGTCTGGCCAGTGACTGCTTCTGGTTCCAGACGGATCATTGTTCTCACTTGACTCTTTCTTGGATGGCTTGGATAAGGTCGGAGTGCGTCCAAGAGCTTCGATACTAGTAGTTAGTGGGACGGTGAGAGAGACTGTCTTGCACATTCTGTCAGCCAACGCCAATAGGTATGTTGCGGATACTCGTCACTATGATGTTTACCTACCTTTGTCTGGCTACTACTAGTAGCGCGGAATGTTTCGGTAGGACTCTTCGAGTTCTTTATAGTCTCTGACCACTCGTATATGACATGCAGTAGAGTGTTTGCGTAACGCGGAGGGCGGTTCGAGCCGAACGGGATCGCCTCACTAGCATCTAAGGTAGCCTGTAACACCCAAGGACCGGCATGGCATCATTCAAGTTCCAAGTTGTAGCAACAATTCAAACAAACTTCAACTTCACTGATTTGTTTGGTTCTGCTACGGCAGTTGACTGGCGATCAGCACCCAAGGACGAACAACATCAGTCCTTCCTGATCGACCCATCAGAACAGACTCGACATATGGGTAACCAGCAAACCGCATAGCCAACAGCTACTTGAGATAGCCTCAAAGGTGGCATAAGCCCATCACATATCCAGTCAACGCAGCCAACTCTTCGCGAACTCCACCTACTCCAATCGCCTGGACATCTCTACGGAGCAACGAATCCGGAACAAACTCTTACTCGGCTCTCAAGCTTCCAACCTACCTGAGTAGAAATCCAGACAAATCTTCACAAACCAAATCTCACATTCTACTCTTCCCAAAGAACAATCAGCAACACTGCTGAAACCAAAATGTCCAACCACCCCACCAGCGACACCGACACCCCCGACCCATGGATGATCAGCGCCAACAACCGGTTCTACCTAACATTCACAGCCGGCGACCGAGTCGAAATATGGTCTTCCCCCACAATGGAAGACTTCCGACCCGGAAACCCTCAACACCAGCAATCCGTAGTGTGGAAACCAACACCCGGCACCCCATGGTCAACCGACATCTGGGCGCCAGAACTGCACCGTCTCAACGACACATGGTACATCTACTTTTGCGCCGCGCATCCGGGCGAGGGAAACCCATCCCATCGAACCATATTATTACGGTCCAGAAACGAGGATCCAATGGACCCTCGAGGGTGGGAATTCTTGGGACCTTTGAAGGGTCTACCGGATCACTGGAACATTGATGCCACGGTATTTGAGATCTCTTGCTCTCCCACATCATCCCACTCCCACCAAGGTGGGGCGACAACAAAGAAACTATATTGTTGTTATTCGGGCTGGCCGCTAGGCGACCACTCCGACACCCAGCAGGATTTGTTCCTCGTGGAACTCGCGAGTCCAGAACAAGCGGTGCCAGAAACGCTCACGTGCATTTCGAGGGCCGAGTTGCCTTGGGAACGACCTGATGGTGGGAGGAGGGGTGTTAATGAAGGGCCGACGTGGGTTGAGATACCTACCGCCGGTTCGAGGTCAGAGTCAGGTTTAGGGTCAGGTGAAAGTTATTCATTCCGCGGCATCGTCTACAGCGCCAACGGCAGCTGGACCAGCGACTATAAGCTGGGCGTGTTGGAACTTGTTGGCGGCACTGATGATCCTCTGCAGCCGTCATCGTGGCGGAAACGACCTACGCCGCTCCTTGAAAGTGATAGACGGCAGGGTGGACCGTTTGGACCTGGACATGCGAGTTTCATTGTTTTTGGTCAAGCGAGATGTCCACCACAAATCTTCTGCATCTACCACGCCACCGCGAACGAAGGCGAAGGATGGAACAATCGCAAAGCGCGCGTTTTGTGTCTAAGTCCGGACCATTTCCAGCCTCAGGCTCAGACAATATGTTGTGCCGATGCGGCGATTGCTAAACTTTATCATGACTATGGTTTGGATCGGGGGTATGGGCATGGATATGGTGTCGGTCCACAGCAACAACGGCTACAACAGCCGGCTTCGTCAGGACGGGAGCAGTACGTCTATCCTGGACAGATGGCGCAGTCACAGACAGGAGTACAGTATCAGGATCCCAATGCAACGGCGGGCCATGGAGGCAGTGGTCAAGGTGCAGGCCAAAGGAAGAGTTTCCTGGACAAGATTGGGGATAAAGTGTTGAAAAGGCTGAAGGATCTGTGATTAGGACACAGACTGAGAGCATGGCTGATGGCCATTTACAGTGCTAGTATGGGACTTTGGAACAGGCAACATATGAATGATTGAACGACTGAACGAACCGACGGATGGATCAATGAATGAACGAATGAGTTTAATGCCGAGAAAGACTCCGTTCTTGAATGAGAATTGAACGTCTCCTAGTTGTCTACTATATGTGGTTGTCTTGCACAACTCGACATACACAATCACGAACCACCAATGCTGACTTTAGCACGAGTCATCTCTCTTGACGCAATTTGTGAGGGTATTTGTATGGGTGTGCGTGAAGCCAAAGAACTCGTACCAGGTGCTAGGTACCTTGAACACCTGGTGAGGATCCCTCACTCGGGCTGATGCTGCTATTGCTGTCGCGCGCATACTCGTAGCTATCAGCACTACATTGTACATGTAGGTAGTTGGAAACATAGTCCTCGTCATCGTTGTCGTACGCCGTTCAAGTTTATCCTCAAAATTATTTTATTCAAGTTTTTGATTCCCAGCAAACATATGACATCATCGCATCATACACTTGGCATGTGAAACTCGTTCACTGCACCCGAGACAACGATCAATTTCAGCCCAACAAATTGCAGTGATGTGATGCCTTAAGATTAGATACAGGGTCTTGAATAGACTTGAATACTACCGAGTGGCACACCTGATGGACGTATCAAGAGCCAACAGACAGAAAAAGAGTGAACTCGCGTAGTAACAGTGGCAGTAGTCCCTGGGTAGTCTACTTATCCAAAATTAAGTCTGCTCGAATATGGACCTCTTGCCTCTATAGGCCTGTCTGCACCCGATTTGGATCTCCCATGTAGACATAAGAAGGAGTGTTTGTCTCGGAAGATGAAATTGTGAAGTGCGGCAACGAGACCCCCGAGACAGGATAGCAATCCAGAAGAAGATGCCGAAGAGGAAGTATCACCCTTCCATCGTTGCCCAGTATCATGGACTTTCGGCCCTTAATGGACATCCTGGAGTCAACACGTCGAACCCAACTTGCACCTGAATGAAGAGCGCTCCAGCTATGCCTCTTGTGGCCCAATGTCTTCTTTGATGTATATAGAAATGTATTGTGCAATCAAGACCAAAAGTCGCTAATAACCAACAACAGCCCTTCCTTTCGTTTGCCTTCCCTTCGCTACAAGTCCCAACCAACAACAGTTATCGGATGCCGTATCTTATACCATCTGCCGGCCTGCTGTCTTGTTTGTCTCCTATTCACTCGTCTTCTCCTGAGCGACCTTCTTCGCCTCCTCCTTCTTCGCCTGCAAGAACGAGCTAGCCCACTTAAGCACCTCAGAACTCAAGATCAGCGACGTAGTAATCACAGCCTTTCCACCAGCCACGACACCATCGCCGCCGCACTTCTTATATTCCTCACCATACGTCTTGAACGCCCAGTCCTTGGTATTATGCACCGTCTCCAACGGCCAATTGATATAGTCTCGGACTTTGCTTTGGATTTCTTTTGTGTCCGACTTGACGATGGGGACTTGCTGATCGATCTTGGAGAGGAGCTTGTCGCCAAGTTCGTCGGCTTTGGCAACATAAGGCTTTGCGTACGAGGCCGGGGTCTCAAAGTACGGAACGGCGGGCTTGACGAACTTTTCGTAGCCGGCGTTGGTCAGGTCGATGGATTTGGCGCCATATGGGTTCTCCTTGATTGTCTTGACTGAGTCGTGGACGATGGGGTAGGAGGTGAGGTGCTGTAGGGTAAGACCTATTAGTAAAATCTTTCGATGATTAAGGTAGGTATGCATTGTTTGGGTAGGTATGCATGGTACTTACGGAGAGGAAGGCGGATTGAGGAACGTCCCCGTTCACGGTAGGTTCACCCATTTTGCTGAAGAGAGATAGAGAAGGAGAGGGAGTAAACGTGCGCGAGGTGTAGATGTCGGCGTCTGTTGATTTGGCACGACAGAAAGTGGTACGATGTCAATGTCTGGGTCGGATAACGAAGATGCAAGAGCAGGAGATGGAATAGAATTGAATGGTAGGCAGGTAAGATGGGATTAGGTGGTATCTGGGGGTGTGATTTTTTGTTGAGGATGGCGAAAAAAATGGCTTGGAGTAGTAGCAGTTGCAAGAAGGCAGGCAAGCAAGATCCAGGAACTTGAACAGTAGCAGCTGGTGGATGGATGGATGGATGGTGGATGATGGGATTTCCAACGATAAAACGCACATGCCAGAGGCGACGCAATTATTCAAGCCAGCATTATTATCATTTAGTGGGGGATTTGATTGAACCACCTGCATTGCATTATTTCCCTGCCGTGCAGCTCATCGAAGCATGTGAAAATGTGACGACACGCCCAATTCTTTCCACTTACTAAGCCACAACCGGTCAGGTCTTGCACCGCCACAACTGGGCACCGAGGAATAGGAAGAGTCGAGAATGATAGATGCCTTGTGCTAGTAGGGATGCAAAACATGAGGTCCAAGGAAGAGTATTCAGACAACTGTGTTGCCTGATTTTCCTCTGTATGTTCTGCAGCGTGATGCTCTCGTGTATTGCAGTGGTGAGAGCTCAGAGCAAGGAAGCAGCCCTGTCGTTTTTAGGTAGCGGTTAGTTAGAAGCTACGCAGAAGCACGACCGCTTTATTTATCGCATCAGATCAGCGCTTGATCCGAGTCGTAGCTTGCAGTGGTTCATCGGTACAGTGCCTGTGGTATGATGCAGCAGCAGCACGATAAGCAAGTCCATAACAATCACGCACGTATACTACAACTGGCGCTGTATACATCAACCTCTACCATGTGAGGAAGAACAGTTGTGTGGTGCAGTGGTGACATGTGAAAGCCGGCAAAGATTGCCCGGAGCCGGCGCCGGTGAACTTTTTTTTACCTGGAGTTCGAGCCCACCGTTAAGATCCGCCTATGATGGCTGCTCCCTCTGACCCCTGCCTTGTCTGGCCTCGCTCCCACCCGGTAAATCCACGCATCTATCTCCACAGGTCGTGAGCTGTCAACACGTGTATACTTCTATACCAATGCCCCAACTTCTACAATCCTGGTAGTACTACTGACCCTGGCATCGAATATCACAAAGGCCAACTACTGATGACGCTAGAAACAAATTCAATCTGCATGTGTGTCTCAGTCACTATCAAGCTAATTACATCGTACAATCATGGAGCTCCTTTCCTGCTCCCCGTGGCCATAGAACTAATGCTTTTGTTGCAGACGCGAGTCAGTGCTGCATTGGGCCCATCAATGAACGCCTTGCTTGCTTGCCTTTCACTGTCCCAGAGCCCACTTGTCATTAACGAAAAAACTCCGTAACTCCGCCATAATCTGCACATTTCCCCGATTCCCCAATGTCGTCAATCTGATGGCATTGTTCTCGATCCGCCAATAACGCACGTTTGAGATGCCTGCGGAGAGAAACCGTTTGTCAACCGCTTATTCCTGTTGGATCTTGTCGAATCCCGTAGGAACTTGCCAGCCGTGAGAGAGACAAGCCCGCTTGTATGCGATGATGGCCTCTCCAATACCGTAGGTATCTTGTCCCTGTGTGCTAGTACCAGCGTTCTTGAGCAGCCTCGCAGGCCGTTCTTCATCACAGATCGCCAATCGGACCTGAAGAAGGAGACTTTCGATGCTCTGTGCCGCGCTCCATCCATTGTTGGTCAAGACCTCCATACACATGGCTCCTCCTTCCGTGACATTGCCGCCGCCTCCCTGTGCAAACGGTAGGAACCGAGGTTTGACCACTCGGATAAATGGGGGGCTGAACGGGAACTGATTGGAAAACCGCATCTCCAGAACGATTGAGCTGATTCCGTTCTCTTTCATGTCTTGGGCTAGAGGTAGGGTTAGCGGGAAGCTATGCAGTTCCACGATCCATTGGTACATGTTGTTGACCAGATCACGGTCAATATACCAACCCAAGCTGGCCAGGGCAACCTTGTCTTGAACAGCCAGAGCGTCCTGGAGCAACCGCATGAGGGATTTAGTGGCAATGCTGGTGGCGTCTCGAGGTGGCTCGAGAAACTTGATGTTGTCCACGTTGAGGGTTCCGGGAACGAAATCAGTGACCGGCTCCTCGGATCTCGGCTCCGTCATGGCTTCCTTCTCAATGTTGTTTCCGGCAGACGCTCCATCACTCTGGAGATGCGCGTCAGATTCATCGGCAAGGAAGCTGGTTGTCCCCAGCGCCAGATCGTCGTCGTCGGAAACCACACTGTTGGCGTCATCCTCGCGACTCTCGGCCGTGGCCTGGTCAACCCCCACAATGGTCTTGACACGTTTTCCAGAACCGGTTGGGGCGGCCTGAACACTTTCGCACAGTCTGCGCCACTTGGAGACGGCTGACAAAGGGATGATGAGGGGGGCGGATAAACCATATGCGAGACGAACGGGATCTTGTTTGTAGACTTCTGTTGGTGGTGTATTGTCCCCTTTAAAGCTGGTTTGGGTTTTCACAAAAAGGTATCGTGTTTGGATCCAGTCGAGCTTGTTTACCACGTAGGTTGGCGATGAGCAGACAAACTCGTCGGGTTTGTTCACCACCTCGTTGAGTGAGATAGCTTGCGTAATCGAGAGCATAGAATGAGCCCAATAATAGCCTGGCTTGAGCTGAACTTCCCTGCTGAAGCCCAAGCTGTATTGTGCCTGCGGACTGAAGTAAACCCCATCACCATATCGCCGGCCAGACACCACGTGCTGGTAGTGTAGGCCTTGCCGGAGAATGGAGTGCCAGTTCCACAATCCACTTCCATGCCAGGCAAAAAGGGTGGGATGTTCTGTTCCAGTGGTGGCCGCTTGTTCCATGACACAGGCTCTGAATCGCTTCTCCTTATCCGGGGCTCCTTGCGCAATGCGAAATTGCATCCAGCCATCCATGCCTATGACACGGTCTTCTTTCTTCAACGGGGCGTTCCGCTTGATACTGTCAGTGACTTCGTCGACTTCTGTGATGCACGATCGATTTGACGCCACAATCCAGCGAAGCAGGTTGACGGCTGATTCGGGGATCCGCTCGCTCCACCCCTTGAGAGATCCCCCCCCTTGCAAGTACTCGTACATGTCTCGGACGCTTGGCAATATGTCCAACAACGTGCGGAGATAGGCCTGGTGTCGAAAATCGTCAAACTGTAGATTGTGGCAATACACGTCGACCCCCAAAATGTCATTCTTTCGCCATTCGCCGCGGGGAGTTTTCCGGAATTGGGGGGTTTCGCCGCCTTCCGCAATCTCCTGGCCGACTTCGATGATAGGTAATGCAACGCGCTGGACTCGACAGTGAACGCAAGGCTGGGCCTGGCCGTAATGTGTTAGGACCAACCAGTCTCCCGCCTTGACGTTCTCGCCAGTTGCATAAGGCTCCCCCGGGTCGCACGGGCGGACTCGAATCGTTTTACTAGCGGGAGACCACTGGCCGGCGAAGGACTTTTTTGACTTGCCATAGACTCGAAAATTGTGGCTCAGAATACCCTGTACCTCCTCGTCTGGCAAGAATGGCACAAAGTTTGGCACAACTAGGCCCAGGCCTATAGGCAGGTCCTTGAGCTGGCGGAAAACCACGGCTGTATAGCAGCAGCTGATCAAAAGATCAACCACGGATGGGTTGTTCAGAATCTCGCATTCCAGACTTGGCCCGAAACCAAGAGCCATGTACTGATACAGGCAGAGTGGTTTAGTGCAAACGTAAGGTTTCAGAGCCTCAAAGGTGTCATCCACCCGACAGTGGCATACAAGACAGAACTCAGGACACCGAACGAAATGTCTCAGGACGAATTGCATCATGATCAGCGGTAACGACGCACGCTCGAGTGGAACTTCGAGACTATGGTCAGCCGATACAACAGCTGGAAGCTTGCGACTAGCGGTGTCGTCCAGGGCTTGATATCTTCCTACCTCCTCACTCCCCATATCCTTGGGCTGCACTCGGAGGTCGGCGAATAATGTTTCTGCTCCCAACCAGCTCAGACCATATGATGCCCGCAACTTGATGATCGCGAAAAAGCGCTCCTGGAGGAGTTGGTTGAGTGCTTGGCCGATGAAGAGATGCTCCAGTTGCTTATCGCTATTATCGTTCCTCGCCTGAGTCGTTGCTTCGCCGATGGATCCAGCCCGCCCAAAGATTGCCCAAGCGTCATTGGCAGTGGGTTTGTAGTGCTCGCACAGTCCGACGTGCATAGCCACAGTGCCACGATGGTTGGAGTCCTCCACCAGTCGCTGAGCTCCGATGTATCCTTCTGCATAATGAACCAGAAGCAAAAGGTAATGTTGGCGTCGCAAACCCCACGCATCCATGACTTCTTCAGAAAGACCTATTTTGGGCATGCGGATCGAAATGCACAGGATTCCTGAGGTGATGAAATCGCCAAAAGCACCGACACGGAAGCCCGCTTCCTTGAGAATCTTAACGTCACCTTGCATCTTGTGCAGGCTGACTTTTCTCTTTGAGGCGGAGGTGGGATTCGAGCATACCGGTCTGTTACCTGGACCGTGCTGGATAAGCTCCGAGAAGTCAAAGTCCTCATCCTCTGAGGCAGACAAGTCCGAATCCGTGTCGAACACCTCCGAATCTTGGCTCGCTTCTTCGATGTCCGATGTCGCCTCTCCTCCCTGAGACGTAAAAGCTGCTGTAAGGCGCTGCGACAGCTCCGACAGCATTGCAAAAACTGTCTTACCCCTCGCGCGATCAGTCACCTCTTGCAAAGTCCGTGGGATAATAGGATCGACATTTTCGTCGTCGGTATAGAGCATGAAGGAGTTGCCCTGGGGGTAGTTGTCAAGGTTCGTAGTGCAAACTTGTATGCTGGCGCTGTGCAATTCGGCATCGGTGTAGGTACAACTGATAAGCCCGTCATCAGGAGAGCGCACACCCTTTATGTGAGCAATATCGGCAAGGCTGGCCTCCGTGACATGCTGCTTGAACAATCTCTGCGCCATCGCGGCGAGATTGACCGATTTGGATGTTAAAGAAGCTGTAAATGGAGTTAGAGCGCAGTCTTAGAGGACTGAATGTTGTCCTTACCTGCCTAGTCCCCAAGTTGCTGCGATGTGATCTAGAAGGGTTTAGCCCCTCTAGAAGGGGTTTAAGGCAGTCGCGTGGACAGTTCGACAAAGGGAAGAACAAGGTGGAAGCAACGCGGATAACAGAGTTGGGTGGGATTTTGTCTCACTGTGTAGGAGAGGATGTGAAGGATAGAAGGGAGCACCAAGGTTCTTGAAGTACAGTGGTGTTGACCAACTTGAAGTTCAAAAGCACATGCAACACATAGAGAAAAGCCGCGGGCCCAAATAACCCAAAATGCAGTGGTCTAGGGAACGCGGTGGTAGCATCCTAGAGTGACGCGAGGGTGAGTGAGAAGTGAGGTTAGTGGTAGCGTAGGATTGCCAGTGTGGGCATTGTAGTGAAGTAGGTCGTGCGCTTTCACATACGGTAGCAGAAGGCTGCGTTAACACAGGGGAGGTCACCGATTTCATCACATCGTCCGCTTCCACATTACCTTTGCAGGCTGATGGGAGGCTTCTGTACCTCTTGACCGGCAACAGCACATCCCACATGCCATTACATCTTATGCTGGGCGCCTACAAGCTTGTAGCAATCATGATATGTTAAGCGTAATTGTGAAATCCTGTATCTGGTTGCAGACACCGATCCGGACTTCAACTTCCACTGCAGAGCTCATTTTAAGCTATGTACTTAAAGTCTACTAGTCCTTGCTATGGACGGAGAACGAGCCAATGGATGTACATTGTTGTTGTACTATGTTGCAGTAGAGTCTGTACTAAGCTGAGTGATGTTCTCGCCGGAGAAACTTTGTTCCCCCTTGCGCAGCGCTCTCCAATATCAGACATCGCAACAGGCACTGCCAGTGGTAACAAATTGAATGTGGATGGGGAGGTGGAATGAAGCAGTCTGTTGAGCGGCAATGATTCTTCTTGACCGCAATAACTTGATATAAAGGACGGTGCGGAAACGAGCTTGAAGTCATTCTGCAGCATCGAATCGACGTGAAAACCGACAACATCAAGCCTTGGTCGTTGTCGTCGAGGAGACAGTCCTGTTCCAGCACAAGCGCGAACCAAGATGCCTGCGAGGGTAGAGTCAGAACCAGCCAATACCGACTATGGGTCCCCTGTGCTCGCAAAGCTCAAGCAATCCCAGTTCGACCCTGTCGATTTCCTCAACAACGCTCTTCCTGTCCTGAATTTGTCCTCGCAAACTCAAGCGCAAAAGACGAGCAGGTCTACGCAAATCCAGACTGTTTCCACCGAAAGTCTTACTCTCCTGAACTCCCTCAATACGCTTAATATTCGCGCCTCTTCCGACCTGACGTCTCTGACGGACGAAATAATCCGCAGCGGCAACCGTTTGGCTTACGAGGTGGAGGTTCTGCGTAGCGACGTAAATGGGCTGCATGACCTCTTGACAGAAACGTTGCGAGATGACATCAATCATTTCGTGCAGAACGAGGCCATCTACGAGCCATCAGTTGAACCTGGAGAGGCGGACCGCGACACTCTGCCAGGATCAAAGGAAATGAAAGAGCCAGAGTTCATGACACAACTGCGCTCACTAGGGAAAGTCAAAACTCGCCTCGAAGCTGTCATTGCCCTGTTTGGGGAGGCAATGAAATGGCCGATGCCTCCTTCAGAGCTATCTATGGCCTCCTCTCTGATCTCTGTCTCTTCACCGGAACTAGGCCTTCAAAGCACGGAGGAGGATGAAAAGGCACAGGAGATCCTGCGAAATATTAGGGCAGAGATCACGGGGCTACTTGATACGGACTTGGCTGGGATGGCGGGTATTGAGACGGCCTCACAGAGGGTTGAGGAGTACAGACGGCTGGCGACGTTGTGGAAGGGAACGGGTGAAGAAAGAGCAAGAATAAAATTTGTGGACTCGCTTGCCAAGATGGTCGAAGACAGGAAAAAGGTCCAGCAGGGACGCGGCCTGGCTCGAAACTCTCGGGCAGAGGGTTCGGGCTCGTTAGCAGGAAGAAATGCGAGGGGGTTGGGTGAAGGCGGCGCTGCTTCAGGACTGTTCAGAAACCTGCAGCGTTTAAAAGACGACCTGTATCTTGAATGAGCATATGAAATGTTGCACCATGGTATTTTCGACATGAAATCTGGCGCGAAGAAGGCGCTTAATGCCCCAACCACCCCCCGCACAAGTTTTCATCACGCCGAAATATCTGCCGGCGCCTTCACCGTGCGTCTAAAACCGCCCTTCCACTCGCTGGTCGCATATGAGTTCCATGATGTACAGAGTCGTTTGCCTCGGGTGCAGTTTCAATGTCATTTTATTCATGGATTGCGGCACGGTTTCTGTCGTCCGCGGACGAGCAAATCGAAGTCCCGTACCCTGGTATCGCCGTAAAATGCAGACCGCAACAGACTTTTTCTTCCTTGTCTACCTCTAAAATCGGAGAGGGGTGAAGAACCATCTATTCTTTCCGCTCAGGTATCTCTCCTCCAGAGCCTTCTTCACGTTCTTCTTCGCATCCTCTCTTTGGGAGACCTCCTTGAAAGTGTCGTTCGAGATGACGTTCTTCAATCCCTCCAACTCGAGTGTGTAACGCGTCGGCATGATGTGGTTGTAGTTGATCATCTTGATGAATGGCTTGATCTTTGATCGCTTTTCTGTCCGCTTCTTGCCCATGCGACGGGTGACTTTCAACGGGTAGCGCTCGATGCCTGCGACGAGGGCGTAGGAGAATGGGTGTGCCTTAGTGCCTGAGTCGACTGGTTGGATAATGACGACCTGTAGCGATTTTGTCAATGCTGTTGTTCAAAAATCGTTGACCAGCCAGTTTAACCCAACGAGCCGCCGTTGCTGGTATGAACAGGATTTCGTACCTTCCGTCCGGCATATCGGCCTCGAGTGATGATGGCCACGCGGCCGACCTTGAGGACTATAGTAGCCCAAGTCAGTTCAATCCTCTTCTGCACACTCTCAAAATGTCTGCTTACACTTCATCTTGAGGTCAAACTGTCGACTGGGGATGATCGTGGAATTGGAGGCGCAGGTCGACACAAAATGATGGTGATATTCGAGGTCGCAACTTCCGACTGTGTGGGATTTCGCAGGGCTTGGCGCCTAAAATGTGTGATCCACCCCAGGGCAGTGTGATTGGCCCATATTAGTAAGGTCACATGACCGGCTAGCTTTGTTTACACATCCAAAACGGGAAGGGTCAAACATGATGCAGTCCATCGCCAACACTGCTGGTTATGGCCAGGATATTTGCCAGCACCGAAACTCGCTCCAGCACGTCCAACTCGCTTCAATCTGACCGTTGTATATCTTGCAGGCGATTTTCAAGTTGGTAGTACTGCCGGAAGGACCAGTAAAGGCGCAACATGAGCATCCAAGGCTCTCATCTTAACTGACAGCATTCCTAAAACCGTTCCCCACAACTTGAAGGCATTGACCACCATGTCTACCTATTCAACCAGTTCGAGAGACGCTTCGCGGGACCGTGCTGAGTCTCGAATGGTGAAGCATCAACACTCTTTCTCGGAGTCTGGCAGGAGCTCCGTGCCCATGTGAGTCCCCATTGGATTGTTTCCACCAGTACATAAATATTGATACATCATAATAGGTGGGACAGTTCAGATCCCGACAGAGCTCCTCCACCACTTCCATTGAATCCTGGTGTTCCAGGCAGCCCGATTACAAGATCTAACACGTCCAAACGTATCGATGAAGCTGCAGCTTTGATTGCGGCCAGGGCGCGAGAGAATGCGCCCAGTTCTTACACTGCGAATCCCGCACCAATTTCACCAGAACGTATGATCATGCGAGCTCACAACAGACGAGCACAGAACGTCCTGAGCCCTGGCGGCATCAGACTGAGCGACTCCCTGGAACGACGCTCGCCTGATAAGGGCCTCAGAACCGCCAAGTTCGTGGACTTTGAAGACTTCCGCAGCAGCAGATCCTCCGACCGTGGCCCAGTGCAACCCAGGTCAGAGACCCCAACACCCACAGACAGAGACACTTCAAGAACCAAAGAGAATGAGAGTATACAATCCGCCTCCAATATGCTCGCATTACAGACGGTCAGGACTAGGCAAGATGCCGCCCCCCTCGGGAACATCACAAACAGCGCACCGCCACCTGCGCAACCATCGTTCTCGTTCGATGCCCTGTCTTCTCAGCTACTCAGTCTGACAAACATTGTCACCAATGTGCAAAAGGAGATGGCGAGCCTCAACAAACGAAGCAAAGACAACTACGGCGATCTCATGAGTTTGAAAGAGGCTACAACATCCAGAGACGAGGAGATTCGGAAGAGCCTGCGGGAACTTGTTTCGGGGCTTGAGAACAAGCTCAGCAAGCTTGACGCCCGACTGCTCCCTCCCCCGGATACGAATCGGTCGACATCAAACATGGGGCTCTATATCGACGACAAAGCCCATAACGGCTCGCCACGGAAAAGCTTCGGCCTACCACACATTGGAAGTCCTACGTCCTTTGCAGTCGCCATCGATCGGGAGTTGACTGCCTCGCCCTCTATTGCTTGCGTTGATGGGGCGGCAAGCATCGCTCTACTGGAGAAGGTTCTTAGGGAGATGGCCACCCGTGACGGCCAAGACAAGATCATGAGCACACTAGAGGCGGTGAAATCCCAGGCACTTGTCCGTTCGCAATCATCACCATCCACGCTAGACCCCACCATGATGGCGAAGCTGGAGGACATCCTGATGTTAATGAAGGAGCTCAAGGAGGAATCAGGCTCGAAGGCCCTGGTGCGCTCAGGAGCGGTCGAAACTGGCAAATCTGCTTCCAATCTTGACCTCTACCTTGATGGAGACTCCAAGGCCCCGGGGTTGGCCAAGACGGCCTCTGACTCTGTCAGCGACGAGATTACGAAGACGCTTAAGAGTGTGAAGCAATCCCTGGCTCAAGGTGGTGGCCTCACCAATGAAGTCAAAGTCCTCGTCCGTGAGTTGCGAGGTGAAGTGCTTGGGATGGGTCGCGAGCTTGGAAGAAAACTGGAACAGTCACTCGTCACAGACAAAGGGAGCGCCAGCCAAAATGAACTCGCTGTCCGTGATGAGATTGCGGCGATTGTGCATCAAGGCCTCGCAGAACTCAAGGAGCATATGCATCGCATCGTGCAGGAGAACAGGCGCCGCTCTCTGGAAAAGCTTCAACCACCCGTCGACACTCAGGAAATCATCCAGGCCGTCCAGGGTGTTCTTGCCACATTCCCACGCCCACGCGAAGAGCCTCCAAGAGATCCAGCTGCTGAGAAGGAAGAACTCATCGCTGCAGTGAGAGAAGCATGGGAGGACTGCAAGCCGGAGATTGCACTGGAACATTTCGGACTGGAGCGAGATGAGATTTTGGAGACACTCAAAGAGGGCCTCAAGTCATATCAGCCTCAACAGTCCACTTCAAAGGACATTGGTGCCACCTACGAAGACGTACTTGAAGCTGTCCGCAAGGGACTATCGGAATTGAAAATGCCAGAGTTATCTATACCGGCTATGCTCTCTCGGGAAGACGTCGAAGTGGTCGTGCGACAATGTCTGGAGAGTTTTGAGTGGCCCAGTCCGCGTCTTGCTGAAGGCGGCGACAGTGACCTGAGTCGAGACGACGTTTATCAGGCTATTCGCGAAGGTCTGGCCCAACAGGATCAGACGACCAAGGACTACGTCCTCGATGTAGTAAGGGAGGCCCTCCCCACTCAAGAACCCATTTCCAAGGAAGTGGAGTTCAATCGTGAAGACCTGTTCGATGCCATCAGAGCCTGCCTTGAGGGTGAACAAAACCCACTGGGTGGAATGGGTGAACGAGTAGTCGAAGCCATGCATGAGTTCTTGGGGAGCATGAAAACCGAGTTCCAGCAATACTCTGCCGCCAGCGGAAAGGACACCGAGCAGGTACTCGACGCTCTCAAGGACGGTCTCGAAGACCTCAGAGCGGAGATCGAAAGTTACGTCGACCGAGCCGCAGACGTGACCGGAAAGGACGAAATTATCGACACTGTCAAAGCTGGCTTTGCCGCAATGCAAGCGGACATTGAAAAAGGCTTCAACATTCACAACAGTGGAGCACCCAACACACCTGAGCTCCTCGACGCCATGGAGAAGGAGTTTGAACATCTCCGCGAGACAATCAGCAAGAGCGCTGCGCGAGATAATGCTCTCTCCGACAAGGACGAAATCCTAGATGCAATTCGAGACCTGTCTGACGACAAGCAATCAGCCTTGAGCAGCAACAGCGAGGACCTTGTTCGTCTGGTCAAGGACGAGCTGGAACACATGCGGACGACCCTCGCAGGTACACTCATCAAGAGCGGTTCCTCACTGAACCGCGACGAGGTTCTCGATGCTATCCGCGAAGGACTAGAATGTACCCGATTAGAGCCCAAAGCGGACGGCAACGAAAGCATTCTCTCCAACACAAGTGAATTGCTCGATGCTTTCCAGGACGGTGTCGATGGTATTAGGGCAGACATTCAGAAATTGACCGACCGCCCTGTGGATTTGAGCACTAGTTACGAAATTCTCGACACGCTGAAGACCGGTATCGAGGAAGTGCGGGCCGACATTGCACGTCTTCAAGATAAGCAAAACGAGAACTCCGAGAGTGGGACTGCCAGAGGTCAGGAGATGGTAATCCACGATGAAAACCGCATCTCCTCCGAGATAGAAGGTTTAAAGGTCATGATTACCCAGTTGAGAATCAAAATAGACGCACTGGATGGAATGCCTGCGCCGCCGGCCCCAACAGAGGCACGTATTCACAAAGACGATCTTAATGAGATCTATGATGCGATTCACGGGGTGGAGGAATCCGTTGAACGGTCCAAGCAAGCTGAGATTCATGTTCACAAGGACGACCTCGACGGCTTATACTCGGCAATTAGCCAGGTCAACGTCGCAGTCAACCACATCCGCGAAGCTCCGCCACCCGAAGCGATTATACCCGAGAATGCAGCCTCCAAGGAAGATACTGATGCGATCGAGACCTTACTGCGCAACGTCAAAGCCAAGCTGGATGAAGCCATTGACCCAGACACCAGCATGTTTGCTAGGTCCACCCAGATCGAGGCAGTCGAGGCCACTATGAACGAAATCAAAAGTGCTGTGGAAGCATCGACCTCACGTGCTGGCGAAGAGTCTATCAGAGAGGAATTCACCCTGATCGAGCTCATGTTGAAAGACGTCCAGAACAACATTGAGGAGTTGAAGTCGAAAGTTGACAGCATCCAACCTGCGGAAGACGGTGCCGATAAGATCGAGCTACAGGTTGTGGAGTCATTGTGCCTAGACATCAAAGGCCAAATCGAGGCTATCAAGGTCCCAGATCTCGAAGGGATCCCAAACAAGGACGACTTTGTAGATCTCAAGAACCAGCTGAAAGCCTTTCATGAACAATTCGAGGCCGATAACAGCCTCACTGCTCAGGCTTTCGAGGCGCGGAAAATTGAGCATGGCGGACTTGCAACCAAGATTGATGACGTGAAGAACATCATTGGTGACCTGCGCGACGAATTAATTGGCAAGGTGGACGGCAGTGCAGACGGCATAGTGGAGCTGAACAAAGTGCTTGGTATGCATCACGATGACATGAGTAAGTATGCTACGGCATCCAGCATTGCAGAGATGTCGGAGATGATTAAGGGCGAGCTTGAACGACATATGGAACACCATTCGACCATCAAAGCCGAGATGGAGGAGCGAGACGCTACGCTGTTCACCAAACACGAAGAGACGGGTGTGGAAATCAAGTCCACCATTGAAGATAAATTCAACGAGCTGATGTCTAAATACGACGATGCACAGCTTGCAAGTGATGCCAAGTTGAGTGCGCTTGAGGAACGGGATGCGGCGCACCTTGAAGCCACCAGCGGCACAAAAGCTGTGGTCGATGATCTGAGGTCTTTGATGGACACGCTCGGTTCAACGGTGACGGAAACATGTGAGCGTGTTTCCGAGGACTCCAAGACTGTCTTCAGTTCGATTGAAGAGTCCAACTCCAAATTGGATGGGCTTCGAACAGCAAATGCGTTCGAGCATGGCGTGACGCGGGAGGAAATAGCCAAAGCACTTGCGACAGTGACAAGACTGGAGAGTTCAGTGGCAGACCACCACCCGGTGGTTTTAGCGGCCATTCAGGAAGTGTTGGGCGTGGTAAGCCAGCACTATGAGCACTCCCAGCAACAGACGGAGAGCTTTGCTCGAGTGACGGAGGAGATCAAATCTGGCGTCGATTCAATTCCGGCGGCTATTCCTCCTTTGCTGCCAGCCTTGCCGTCAGCCCCCTCGAGCCCAATCCAGCCGGAAATAACAACCCAGAAAGAATACGATGACAGCGAAGTCCAACAAAAGCTTGACAGTCTACTCGCTCAAGCGACTGAGGCCAAGGAGTTTTTCCATGGTATTGAAAGTCATCAAAGAGACACTCAGGCCTCCTTGGCCAATTTGTCCAAACTTGACGAGATCCATCAGCAGGTGATGTCCACGGCGGCTGAGATTGCGAACATGGTCTCCACCCAGACGAGACTAATGGCCGAACATCATGACTCCAAGGCCGCTGAAGCCAGAGAAGCTGCCATCGCGCTGGAGAAACGAACAGCGCAGAAGGAGAAGGTTGAGGCGGAGATCGTGGCCATGAATCAGGAGAAGAATGCCTTACTGCACTCGATGGCAATGCTAAAGCACGAACAGGAGGAGCTCATTGGACAAACCAAGAGGTTGACTCGCGACGTGGCGAAGTTGGAGACGGCCTTGCAGATTCGACAGGAAGAGATGCGGGAGATGAATGCCCGGGCAGAAGTCCTTGAACGGCGTATAATCGAGGGTCTGGTCAATCAGGCACGTTCGGTGAAGACGAGCTCGAAGCCAATGCGCAGAGCCCGAATTACGCCAGCCGAAAGAGACGCATCCATGAGTCTGAAAAGAGTACCCAGCACCACCAGCACGGTGACCGCCAAAACTTCCATCAAGAGTGGGAATTCTGCCATTGGCAACGCCGTGGGCATGGCTCTTAAAAAGCGAACGCCGTATGGAGCCAATGTAAAAGTGTCTGCGACTCCAAGAACATCAGCCGTTGATCGTCGAATACTCAGCACAAGCCACGTCACGGGCAATCGAGGGCGGAATACACCTGAAATGACAATGGTGCTCGCTCCTGTGCCCAAATCCACGGGTTTTGCCAGCCTCAAGAGAAGCCAGTCGGTGAAGAGCAACCCCAGCAGTTATCTCAACGGGCGCAAAGCAAGCTGGAACGGGGTTTCTTCCGATTTGACAGACAAGGAGAACTTTAGTGTCGATTATGAAAATAGCGAGGACGAAGACGACATGGGCACCGACGCGGGTACCGAGAGAAGGGGCAGCTACGGCACGAGTGTCATGTACAGTGACAGCATGACGTACGGGAGCGGAAGCTCCTTAAGTGGACATAGCAGACGTTCGACCAGCTGTGCAAGCAGTCTTGTCGGAACGGTCAATGGGCAGACTGACAGCATTGCAGAAGAGGAGGAAGGCGAGACACAGGAGGCGCAGACGGCCGTTGTCTTACACGACAGTGCCCCTGACGGTAGCCAGATCAACTCCGGTCAGGACAATTCGATGGCGCTTACGTCCTTTGAGGGCCTTGAGACTCCTGGGGTGGCGGCTGATAACCTCTCTGACCTTCAGCCACCGCCGCTCATCACTGCGGAAGGGCTTAAGTATCATGGCAGTGATAGTGGCCTCGGAAGCGAGCCATTGACCGCGGGCACACAGGAGCATATCGGTGAAGCGCAGGAATACTTCCAGATGACGGCGCAGGAGACGCAGACGTGAAAAGGAGAAGAGCTGATAGTCGTCAAGATTGGATACTACGTATGGAGGGGCCGGCGTTCAAGTTCTAGGTCCTGGTGTAAGCGGGAATGAGCGTTCAGCAGCCGGAGCAAGGAGAATGATTGTTGGATTGGAGTTTGAATGGTTTGCAACGAGATAGCATTTGTTAATCAACATGATGACATGGAATAATGTGCCAGGCAGGGCACTACAGAGAGTACAACGCTGTATGCTGTGATCGCGGTCCCCTGAATAAATTGCACAAGGCTGGCGCCCCCTGGTCGGCAGCCTTCCCCAACAATTCGGCGGCTTTGGCGTCATTGCGGCTTCTGATTTGCTCCCAAACGGAATTGGTCGCCTGCCACCTGCAACTCGGCGAGCACTGCATCATCTGAACTGTCCAGCGTCCAGATCCTCTTATGCAGCGATGCGAGAGATCGATTGATCCTTTCGACGTCTTGTCAATCTATACCAGTTTACAAAGAACCCGACTGCTTCCCCGTGCTCGACAATGATTGATCCTTTCCCTCCACCACCGGCGTGGCTCGTCGAACTGGTCAAGCCGTACTGCGACGCCCTCTACCTTCCGACCTTACCGTACCATATCCATGAAGTCCTATTCTCATTCATCCTCTACCAGACGACACAGTCCATCATCTCTCCCGTCTTGTCGAACTTCCTGTTTCCGAACATCTATTCGAAGCTCACGCGGCGGACGCGCATCAACTGGGATGTGCATGTTGTCTCGCTGGTGCAGTCATGCTTGATCAACACCTTGGCCCTATGGGTGATGTTCAAAGACAAAGAGCGATATGATATGCAGAACAATGCGATAGAACGAATATATGGTTACACCGGTTCTTTGGGCCTTATTCAAGCCTTTGCGACAGGATATTTTGTTTGGGACCTGGTCGTGAGCACTCGGTACCTCAAGATCTTTGGACCTGGTATCTGGGCTCATGCTGTGACTGCACTTTCGGTCTTTTCTCTGGGCTTTGTAAGTTTTGTTCGCAGCCGCCAACTTGTGTCTATTTTTGAGCTAACCAGTATGATTTACAGAGGCCTTTTTGCAATTACTACGGTCCAGTGTTTATCCTCTATGAACTCTCCTCGCCATTTTTGAACATCCACTGGTTCTGCGACAAGCTTAACATGACTGGGTCCAAACTCCAATGGTACAACGGCATGATACTCCTCGCCATGTTCTTTTCTTGCCGGCTGCTCTGGGGCACTTATCAGTCCCTCCGAGTATACCAGGACGTCTGGCATACCATGCACCTGAACTCGACCGGCCCACTGATACGAGAAATCCAGAGCTCGGCGCATTCCTCGATCTTCGTTCCTCGGGATGGTCAATTGTGTCTAGGCGACCAGAGCTGTCTTGTCGCCCAGTCGGAGGTGATGAAGTTTACTGGGTCGCATACCAAGCCTATCCCGCTGTGGCTGGCTGCCGTGTACTTGACTTGCAATCTGGTGCTCAATTCGCTGAATTTCTACTGGTTTGGCAAGATGATTGAGACGGTGCGTAAGCGGTTCCAAGGCAAGCCTCATGACGAGTTCCCCCGCGAGCGTCATCATGAGAGGAAGACTAGCGTGGTTGAGGAGATGGCTACGGAGCTGGACTATGAGACCATGTCTGGGCCGAAGACACCGCTGGAGGAGAAGGACGATGTTATTGCCAGAAGCACGGCGGTGAGTGATGGCTCGGCGGAGGTGAAGAAGCGCTAGTTCGTGGGCTCTGTCTTTGTGCAATTGATCACGCGACAAGGAGGTTGGTCATTTGGTGTGGTTTATATCTGGGCACTGGCAGCTGAGGTAGCTTATTTTGAATTAACATCATGTCCTTGTTACCGGCTGGTTCACACCACTAACAAGATGCTCTCTACCTCTCTCATGCCCAGAGTTATCTTGCCCCTGCGTACTGTTCACAGACTATGGCGTACTGGTAGATTGGGTGTGTGTCTTCCTGCAGTGATGCAGGAAGAGTCTGATCTAATCTAATCTCTGTGATGTCTGATCGTGCCGATGACGGAACCAGGCTTGGCGAGATTGTTGTTGCCCCAATCGACCGAGGATGCAAACATCTAGAACAAAGTTGCCGTCCCCGTTGGAGGAACCCCTGACCCGGCGTAACAATTCAAGTCGAGATCGACAGGGCAACATCAACTCCAGACTCACAGTTGAGCGGACAAAAGTTAAAATCTTCAGGACGCATCTACAATACGCTTCCAGGCACAGCATCCACCTCTATTCTCTACAGAGTCTGCACCTCCAGTACTGACCGGCGCCTTGCGCCCCCGTCTTCTGCCCTTGCTTTGATCGATCATCATGGCGTTTCTGTTTGGAGGCAGAGGACGCCAGAAGCAGCCCGCCGAAATCGCCAGATCACTGAAGGAACTGCTGTCCAAATTGGCTGAACCGAGCCCAAATCCTAAGGTTAGCGAAGGAACCATGGCCGGCACTGGCAGACAAAAAGACACTGCACTGTGGGGAATATTGGGCTGACCAGATGCGACATGGCACTCACAGGTCGAAGAAGATGTCGCGAAACACATGTCCCAAATGAAGTTGATTGTCCAAGGCACACCTGGTCAGTCTTTCAACGCTCCGTTGCCCTGAATTTGTCGAGACTAGCGGTTCTAGACGCATTCTTTCTGTGCAGCATAGCACAACCGATCGACCGTGTTCTAACACCAATGATCGACCTCTGTCCTACATGTTCTAACAAGAATGACCAACAGAAGCCGAATGCAGTCCCGAACAAGTCCACCAACTAGTCCACTGCATTATCCAGGAAGACATACTTTTCGAACTGGCAAAGTCCATCCGTCTCCTCCCCTTCGAAGCCCGCAAAGACGCCCAGATCATCTTCTCACATATCCTCCGCTTTCGATCCCCCGGTAGCAGCGCAACAAGCGGCCAGTCCGAGCCCTCGGCGATATCGTACCTTGTTCTACAGCGACCCGAGATCATTGTCGAGTTATGTCGTGGTTATGAATATCCTCAGAGTGCGATGCCGTGCGGAACGATCCTGCGACAAGCATTGCAGTACGACACGATCGCTGCGGTGATATTGTATGACGAGTCGCAGCCGGGGGAGAAGGCTGTACAGTTGAAAGATGTGGATATCAGTCGCAAACAGAGTGGTCGGGGAGTGTTTTGGGAGTTCTTCACTTGGATCAATAAGGGGAGCTTTGAAGTCAGCGCGGATGCCTTTACGACTTTTAGGGTATGTTCGCTGTTGAACTTGGTGGTTGGATTCCTTTCCCTCCCTGAGTTGCTGTTGGCATGCTTTATATCTGGTCATGTTGGTTGTTATGCAATTTTCCATTATCCTCCTTGACCGAGATACAAGCCATTGAGCAGAACTAACATGGGATTTTTCTGTCTAGGAAATCTTAACCAAGCACAAACAGCTCGTCTCGCAATACCTCATCACAAACTACGACCTTTTCTTCAAACAACACTACAACCCGACCTTATTACTGTCGTCTTCATACGTCACAAAACGACAGTCTATCAAACTCCTAGGCGAACTGCTCCTCGACCGAGCCAACTATGTCGTCATGACCCAATATGTCGCTAGCGGTGACAATCTCAAACTCACCATGAACCTGTTGAAGGACGACCGGAAAATGGTGCAATATGAAGCCTTTCATGTCTTCAAGGTCTTTGTGGCCAATCCCAATAAGAGCGATGAAGTCAGAAGGATCCTGATCAAGAACCGGGGCCGATTGTTGAGGTTTTTGCCGGGCTTTCTTGACGGGCGCACGGATGATGATCAGTTCCTGGATGAGAAGAGCTTTTTGTTGAGGCAGATTGAGAATTTGCCAGAGAAAGGTAGCCAGCAGGCTCTGGGTGCGGATGGTGCTGGTGTCCGTGTGGGCGCATGAAGTTCGACGCCCCGAAGGGTTTGGCTTTAACTTTGTTCAAGATTTCTTGAGGATGCTGTGGTCGGCGCTTTTTCTTTCTCCGGTTGATGTGGTATGAAGTGCTGCGGTACAGTGCGGTGCTGGGAGCATTTGTTAAAGGGCGCTCTGGGCGATGGCAAGCGGTGCTTTATATGTGCTTAGAAAATCGTCCTGCGTTTTCGGCAGCTAGGTGCTTGCTCTTCTTTTATGAAAGTCACGAATGAATTGAATGTATGAATGTATCTTAAATGGCATGTTCGCAAATCCATAAGAGCAGTCCAGTTCAATTAACCAATGCATTGAAAGTGGTCCAGGACTAGTTACTACGAAAGTGAAGTTAGTTGGTAGGGGGAATATTTTATTTCTTAGCGAGGAGTATTGATTAGCGGGAGGGCGCGTAGGAACAATCATCATGATAAGGTAATCATGCACACTCCAGTGCCATGCATCTAGTGGTGTCTCCTTCGGTGCTGTATTATCGAACTCGGATGCAGAGGAGCATGTCTAACTTCATTCCCTCGAAGGACAAGCCGGAGCACATGAAAGAGAGGGGCCGAGGGAGGCTATTCACAACATACAGTAGGAGCACAAAATCACAGAAGACCACAAAGGAATACTATTAGGACCTTGAATAGAAGCAAATTCATCACATCGTCATATTGAACCCAGCCAGCAAACATCTACACCACCATCCAGACCCGTAGCAGAATAAGGTATATAAAAGGTAACAGAGAACAACTGACAAACACTACTTCTCCCCATCCTCCTTCTTCCCTTCCTTATCATCCAAACCCATATCCTCCATCTCATCCCCCAACAGCTCCAACTCGACCTCCTCGCCAACCCAGCCCTCAAACTCCTCCAGCCCCTTCTGGATATGGACCTTGAACCGAATAACATCTTCCAGACACCGCTCGACACCGGAATGCAATTCCTCACGGACGCGGGCGGCCTCTTCCCGCATCGACTCCCAAGCAACCTGGACCTCGATTTCGCGCTGTTCAAGCTCGACCACACCTCTCTCCAAACCCTCACGCATGCGAGCGAGTTCCTTTTCGAGTTTCTCAATCGCACTCGTCTGCTGCGTGTAGATTGTATTATTGCTTTCCTTGAGGCTGGCATATAAGCGACTGGCCTCGTTGACGCGGTAATTGAGGTTGTCGATCTCGGTGTTTTTCTCGTGTAGGGCTTCCGAGATGTTGTCGAGAAAGTCGCGGGCGTTGAGGTCGGCGTCCGCAGCGGCTTTGCGCCGTTCGTTGATTTCCTTGCGTAAAGCGATGAATGCGTTGCGAACGGCGCCGCGAAGATCTAGATTTAATAGGTGGATGGGCGAGTATCCGACGTTGTGGTCGGCTAGAAGCCTATCCGTGGAGCCTCCAGATGCTTCTGCCGCCGTCGTCGATGAGCCGTGTCGTCTTGAAGAAGATGATGATGATGATGAACGTTGTTGCGACGTTGACAAAAACTTGCTGTTTTCGGACACGTTAAGCCGTAGTTCGTAGTCGGCTCCTTTGGCGTTGACGGCCGTCGAAGGAATCAGCGATAATTGGTATCCTAGAGAATTGTACCGCTTCACCACCGCTTCAAGGTCCTCGAGCTTGCGGGCTGTTTCGGCCTCTTTCTCTAACACTTGTTTGTTGAGTTCATCCAGTGCTGCCACGGCGTCTTCGTGGGATTTGGTCAGTCGTTCCCGCTCCGTGTTCATCCGGTCAATGTCCTGGATGTTGAGACCCTGTCGGTCGACAGATTGTTGTAGACCTTGTCTTTCTTGTTCGACTACTTGCAAGTCCGCTACTGTTCGTTGGATTTCCGCCTCGAGGATCTTGATCCGTGAATCGTACTTTTCAATCTTGGCCTGTACATTTGCGTTGTATTCTTCGAATTTCTTCTTGTCATCTTCCAAGATCTTGAAGTGTTTGTCGAGTTTTGCAATGTCCGGTGCATTGCGTTCGAATTCTTCAATCTGTGCTTTCAGTGCTTCGTGCTCGGCCTCGTACATTTTGAGTTCTTCGACGTGTTTGGCATTGACGCGTTCGAATTCCTCGTTCATCGCCTGGATGTGCGGTTGGAGTGCTGCGTCTTCGCTCTCCTCGTCGTCCTCGGGGCCCATCTGTAGCCAGTCCTGGTAGGCGCCGAACAAGAATCGGAACACAATGCGGTCGCTGGACACGTCGATGCCGGCTTCGGCGCATGCGTCGTCGTAGGCACCGCGCGAGAAATTGTCCAGCATTTGCGCCAGTTGCATCATCCAGTGTAGCAGGCCCAGAAAGCGTGGCCAGTTTTGTCCACCGACCGCTACTAGATGTGACTTGGTGATGTCTCTTTCGTAGGGATAACGTAGTTGCTTCATGATCGGCGGGACCTCGGTGTCGATGCCCTTCTGAAATCGGTACCCTGGATCAATTCGCTTATAGAGCCACTGGAACATGAGCGTAAAGTCCTTTTGTGTGGGCGATTTGACCGAGTTTTGTGTCAACGAGTGTTTCATCTCCAGCTCAAAGTTGTTCTGCGTCAGGTAGTCTAGCAGCTCCTGACTCAGTCGCGCCCTATACGACGAGTCCCTCAGTGGTCGTGGGTCTTTCGGCGCGCCGGTCGGGGCCGGAGGTTGTGAGAAGAAGGATTGGTGCGCGACGGGCCCGTGGGCGGATGGCCGTGAGAATATACTGCTTCGGCGCTGTAGGCTTTGCGTCGCTGGTGTTTGTGGACCGAATAGCTGGTTGGGTGCCAGACTCTGTCGTCCCGTGTGCGCGCTTCCGAAGACGTTGTTTGACGCTGACCTTCGCACAGTTGATATGCCCATGTCGGCCAGGTTCCCGCCGGATGAGGATCGGTGAAAATTGGGCTGCGCTGGGCGCTGAATGCTTTGGTTTATCGATGTCGATCGTACATGCGAGGCCGTGTAAGGCGCATTTCGTAGTTCATGGCTCGAAGACACGCGCTTGACCGCGGACGCAGGCTGTGGGATCCCACTGAAGTTCTGGATGTTGCCTAAGGTTTCGCGAGGGCGCCGCACGCTGAACAGGCCTGTTGGCTGCGACATGGCGGCGGTCGCGTGTCGCGAATGATGTTGCTAACACTCGAGCTATTTCCAGTATGCGCCGACGGTATTCTGAGGTAATGAATTTTCGACAGTCGAAGAGCGACTGGGGAGATCGCGGTTGTAAAGCGGTGGAGCAGGGGTTTCGTGAAAGTGTCAACAGCCGTGTTCGGCATGGAGCCATCCAATGTCCGGCCGAAACTGCAAACACTGCCAGTTACCGGAGCGACGACCCTTGCAGCCTTGCTGACTAACTTGGCCCAGCCTCACAGTACGTTCACGTGATGCCTTCAGCCGCCATTGAAGTGCCTCGGTTCTCCGGCCTTGGCAGAAGATGGCTGGACTTGGACAATCGGGTTGCTCCAGATTGAATGCACCATCGTCTTCGTCAACCATCTCTGGCCTTCAGTCTTAGGCGTTTTCATCAGAGTGATAACTTGAGGTGGCTCGCCTCTCTGTCACACAGGTCCAGATACCTGCGGTCTCAGTCCCAATGCGATAAGCGCTGTTGGATCTGTGCCGTAACGCCGCCATGGCACCTCGCGAGGACCTCGTCGCCTCAGCGGTGAACTTTCTCCAGGACCCGTCTGTTGCTTCAGCGCCTCTTGAGAAGAGAATCGAGTTTTTGAAGTCGAAAAACCTTACGCAAGAAGAAATTGATCTGTCTTTGGCCCGCGCCAGCACCGATGCTCCTCAGCCGCCTCCGTCTCCAAACGCCCAGTACTATCCGCCTGCCCAGCAAGTGAGAGGCCCGCCGGGTCCGCGATATCCATACCCTTACAATCCCTATGGCGACTATCAACCTCCACCGCCTCCCGAACCCCCTCGACGAGATTGGAGGGATTGGTTCATCATGGCGACCGTTGTTGGAGGGGCCAGCTATGGCCTCTACGTCCTCGCCCAAAGATACATCAAGCCGTTGATCGCACCACCCACACCGCCTCAGCTCGAGCAGGATAAGGCGGCCATTGACGAGCAGTTTAACAAGGCTTTCGCACTGCTAGATACGCTGTCTTCTGATACAGCTGCGTTGAAGGAGGCCGAAGAAGCTCGCACGCAGCGACTAGACAATACCATCACGGACATTGAGACCATTGTTGCAGAGTTGAAGTCGGCTAATATGCGAAGAGAGGATGATGCGCGCCGAATGGAGGCCGAGATCAAGAACATGAAGGACAGTCTGCCACGATCAATCGACAGTGTCAAGGAGGCGAGTGAGAGGCAATTGAAAGAGCTGAGCAGTGAACTAGGCAGCCTGAAATTGCTACTAGGGAACCGCATGGGTGGTTCCAGCGGGTTGGGTTCGGCAGCTCAAGGGCCTCCGCGGACCCAGCCAGGTACAATTCCCAGCGCAAACCCTGCTGTCGGAACTCCATCAATGGAGGCTGCGCCGACCAACAACGCCAATTCGACCAATCCACGGCCGCCTTTCGCAAGTGCTGCCACAACTCATCCTACGTCTGCCTCTGGGCCGGCATCTTCGTCGGCGCCTCCCAGACCAGCATCTGCAGCGCCGTTTAGTTCTTCATCAGGCGGCAAAGCAGCGATCCCGGCCTGGCAGATGGCCGCGGCCAACAGGATGAAGGACTCCACCCCTGCATCGAACCCATCTGGGGGTTCTGCCCCTACCACAAACGGATCTAGTAGTACACCACAGGCCGATGGCGCAGAAGCTGTGGCTACACTCATGTCGAGTTGAGGCTTTCAATGAATATAATCCCCACCCGAGGCTTCCATCATGATTGTCCTTCTTCGCCTGCTCCTCCACCGAATCTTGCTCTCGCAATTTCTTTGAATAGGGCCATCGTCTTGTCTTCTTTCTCCTTGATCTGTGCCAACCGGGCCTCTCTTTCGGCACGTTTGGCGCGCAGAATTTCTTCTCTACGAAGCTCCCTCTCATTCTTCCGCCGTTCATTCTCCTTTTGCATCCTCTTCAACTCGCCCAGGCTATCTTCGTCGCCCATCACGTCGGCTTCCCGTAATTCCACATCGCCTTCTTCCTTGGCTGTGGCAAAGGCGCGATTTGACTCGGCCTTCTCTTTTTTCTTCTCTAATTGGCGCTCGCGAGTCCCGGGCTCGGCACGCGGTGCCAGCTCTTCCAGCCGTTCCTTCTGTAATTTCCGGTCTAGAAGTCGTTCGTGACGAAGGTCTTCCCTGTACTTGTCTCGGGCGGAAGCCGCCTCTTCTCGCGCTTGCTCATCGCGGGCTCGCAGGTCTTGCAGTGAAGGTATAGAGGGCCCTAGACCGTGGTCGCGAGTGCTACTGTCATGTCTTGACGTGCCGGATGAGGTTGGAGGTGGTGGACCATACTCGTCGTCATCTTCATCCGTTCTATCGCCAGTTCTTTGGATCTCTGTAGCTGATGCTGATGCTCTGGCTTTTTCAAGCGTCTTGGGGTCGTACCAACCCTCCGCCAGTTCTCCACGGTTCCTGCCATGTTAGTAACTTCTTGGGAAGGGGCCCGGAGACCTTTGCGGTAGATAGCACTATACCATTTGCCAACAAAGCTTTTCCATCTACCCTTCACCTCAGTCTCGTCGAGTTCTTCAATATTCAGTCGCTTCTGTATGTCGAGGTACAGGGCAAACATGGGTCGATATAGCGGCAGGTCGTGGCGGGAGATCTCGCGGACTCCGAATGGCAGGTCCTTCTTGGGCGCATGACGAGGCGAGGGGGATCGATGGCGGGATCTTTTGCTTTCTCTTTCGTGTCGATGAGGAGAGTGTGGCCGCGACCGTGTTCTATGGCGAGTGCCGTGCATCATGCCTGTCAATTGCTGAAAATCTGTCGAGGTGAATCGAAATGCGCTCAAGTTGTGCTGCTTGACCCGGCGGACAAGCGGATTGCGGAACAGTCCCACGCTTCTCCCTCCACCACTGCAATGAATCCCGTCATATGCCAAGCCTCGTCGATCTCGGACTTTGACTTCGCTCGGGTTTTCTCCAGATCCTCGTTATGCCATCCGCCCATTCCTTGTCGTTTTGTACATAGATCTTCGGCGTAAAGGTGATTTCGGTGCTTGTGCTGCATCTGTCGCTATGCATATCCTTGTGAGTTGCACCTGGAATAACCTGATCAGCAGGACTAACTAAAGGTAACAGGTTGTCAATGATGACGGCCCGCCCTCGAACCAATCTTCACCATACGTACATTCTCTGGTGACCACTCTTCAAGATGCTGGCCATTCGGTTTCAGTAGTCCTTCCCCACGTCCAGAGATCGTGGATTGGAAAGGCTCATATGGTGGGCCAAACCTTGACGCCTTCCTACTTTCGCCAAGGAACGCTTCATAAGGACGATGGTGTCACCTCAGCTCGTCCCTTCAACGATGGGGGCGAGGAATGGATCTTGATCGATGGCACGCCTGCCAGTTGTGTGCAAATAGGCCTTCATCATGTCTTCAAGGACAAAAGCCCCATTGACCTTGTTTTGAGCGGCCCCAACTATGGCCGCAACACTACTGCCGTTTTTGCTTTATCGAGCGGAACAATTGGCGGCGCCCTCGAAGGCGCAATGAATGGAAAGAAAAGCATTGCCTTGTCGTATGCCTTTGATTCGCGCGAACATGATCCGGAAATCATTTCCGAGGCCTCAAAATTGAGCACTAGACTGATAGAGAAGCTGGTAAAAGAGTGGCCGGACGACGTGCACCTCTACAGCATCAATGTTCCTCTACGGAAAGGTGTTGAGAACACGAAGATCGTCTACACCGAAATGCTTCAGAACTCTTGGTTCAGTGGAAGTTCGTTCGAGGAATTGCCTGAAGAGGCCGAAGATGACGACCCGAACGTGGAGGAGCAAGCTATACGGGAATCCGAAACGGCCAATGGGGAAGCTACCGCGCCGGTTCCGAAACGCGCTCATCGGAAATTCAAGTGGTCACCCAATTTTGCCGACGTGCGCAAGGCTGTCGAGGATGCACAGACTGGTGACGGTTGGGAGGTCTTGCAAGGCAACGTCACGTAAGTATTCGATTGATTTGAGTTTGTTGTATCAGATTGGCTAACAGAAGTAGCGTGACTCCATTAGTGGCCAACTTTAAGCATTTGCCTCATTATACAGGCGAAATTAAGCTGTGAGTAAGTTTGTCGTCGACCCTGAGGTCATTGTACCTTGGATCAGCCTCGCTAAACGACTATTTAGGGATGATGATAAGAAAACCGCGGTCTTGCAGAAGCCAGCTCAATCGACATCGCCTTTGTACTCCCTGGTTCAGTACCCCGATTCTTACGTGCAGCCTCTCATTCTTGAGGCTCTGAAGCTCCTCAAGAAAACCCCAATAAACCCTATTTCTTCACCTGCCGAGTTGCCAAGTCCGGAAGACCGCGTTGTACAGTTTGCAGCATATGAGTCTCTAGATTTCGAACATGCAATGCAACATCCACAGACCTCTCTTGTATGCGCGTATGTCATTCGAAAAGCTCTTATCCGCAAACATTATCTGTCGAATACTGTGTCTACATGGCTCGTCAAACATCCAGACAGTATCTTGGCAAGACATTTTAAGCCTTGTGTACATTTTGAGCTCGACTATGCCGAATTTCTCGATGAAGCATTAGTGAATGCGTGGGATCTGAACGAAAGCATGGCAGAAAACGATCAAAAGGAGTCTTCAGACCAGAAAACGTGGTGGATCCTGAAACCTGGAATGAGCGACGGCGGAAATGGAATACGACTATTCTCGAGTATGGAAGAACTTGAAGCCATATTTGAAGAATGGGACGAAGCCAGCTCTGACGAGGACGACGGTGAAGATGCTGAAGATGCTGAGGAGAATGAACGTGGGGCCTTGAAAGCAGAAGCGGACACGCAAGAGACTTCCACCGACGGCAATGCAATGACCTCCCAGCTCAGACACTTCATTGCCCAACCATACATCGATCCTCCTCTGCTACTTGAGGCATACGACAACCGAAAATTCCATATCCGGGCATACGTCCTGGCCGTCGGTGCGCTGAAAGTCTATGTGTACAAGGAAATGCTGGCCCTATTCGCCGCGAAACCGTACCAATCTCCCGGGTCTGCTACAAGCAGCGCCGAAGATGATGCCGAAGTTTTGGACCTGGCACAGCATCTGACAAACACATGTTTTCAAGACGACACGACCAAAGACTCATCGGTGTATCGCTTTTGGGCCCTCGAGTCTTCAGGTGTACGGAGCGGGTGGAAAGAAGATATATTTGACCAGATCTGCGGCATTACCGGAGAAATCTTCGAGGCCGCCGCTCGGGAACAGATGGTCCATTTCCAGGCCATTCCTAATGCCTTTGAAGTCTTTGGCGTGGACTTCTTGGTCGACAAGGACGCAAATGTATGGTTGCTGGAGCTTAATGCTTATCCGGATTTCAAGCAGACTGGACAGGATCTGCAAGATGCTGTGGTTGGTGGTCTTTTCAAGGAGGTCGTTCAGGTCGCTGTGGGGCCCTTTTTTGGCTATCCTGAGCCAGAGTCTGCGAAGATGCCACTGGTGAAATCGATTGATCTAGGGAGAGGGTGATTGTGCTATCTCTCCACGGTTATTGTCTGTACGAGTCGTCGTGGAGGTTAGGAAGGTACGGAAAGTGAAGATATTGAGCATCGCCGTGATTTGGCTTGTTGAGCATAGATTTGTGTTATTTTATGGCCAAAATGTCCAGAAGCCAAATGGGACTCAAGTCTGGTTTGGAGGACCATTAAAAATCCAGATCAGCTTTTCGGATGGCTTCTCCCCCAGCGTGCGTGTTTCCCCTTCTGAGTAGATAGATATCCTGGCCAGGTATTACCAGTAATACCTGGTACATACCTAAGACTTTTTGTGTTTTTGGTACCGGGGCAGCATATGCACTTATCGACGATCCGATGCTACATACCGATACTGCACGCAGCATGGATCGTTCCATTTTATTATTATGGCTCATCGCAGGATCCACCGTTCACGATATCATTAAAGTGGAACCTGAACAAGATCTATTATTCTAGAAAAAGACTGACAGCATCCGACGATGACAAAAGGCGTCGCGGAATTCCGTCATTTTACCCGATCCACACAAAACCATACTTAATAGTGCCCAGTATGCCTGGTTAAACTCGTCATGGAATGATTCTTTCGAAAACGGATTTTCCCTTACTTGATGTTTTTCTCACCTTGCTCTCTGGCGGCATCCTTGGAGGCGGCCACGAACCATGCGCGAACCAACCAGCTCAAGTGAGGCATGGGAGTTAATGGAGCCCGAGCGGCCCGCATCCGGAACCGAAGCCTTGTCCGTCAATATCAGCAGCAATAGCAATAGCGACATCAACAGGACTGCTGGCGGAGAGCATGAACATGAACATGAGCCACCAGATGATGCGGTATCGATAGAAGACGTTCCGCCCAACGGCGGGTATGGCTGGGTTTGTACGGCGAGTGTGTTTCTGATCAATGCGCATACGTGGGGATTGAATAGTGTAAGTTTTGTTTGCCCCGAGCATGGTTTTATATATGCTGCGTTGTCCTGATGCGATAGCTCTTGGGCCAAAGGGGTGAAGAAAGCGAATGACCCCTTCCTCCCTTTCTCCTCCTCCCTCAGCCCCCGAAGAAACTTGATCTGACCACATTTGCGTGCTGACAGGCATGGGGCATCTTCCTGGCCCACTATCTCTCAAACTCGACGTTTCCCAACGCCTCAAATCTCGAATACTCGTTGATCGGGGGCCTGTCGATTTCACAAGCACTGCTGAGCGCGCCGCTGGTGGCATTGTCGGCGAAACACCTCGGGACACGAAACACACTTCTGATCGGGACAGGACTGTTATTTGTATCGCTGTTCACGGCATCGTACGCCACGCAGATCTGGCATTTGTTCCTCAGCCAGGGAGTATGTTTCGGCGTGGCCATGGGGTTCGTGTACTTGCCGGCAACGGCGATGTTGCCGCAGTGGTTTTCGAGCCGACGCAGCCTGGCGATGGGAATAGCGTCCGCCGGATCCGGACTCGGCGGGCTGGCGTACAATCTTGCCGCTGGCCGCTTGGTCGAGCAGGTCGGTGTGGAATGGACGTACCGCGTCCTGGCGTTTTGTGGCCTTGCCGTCAATTTTGTATGTTCATTGCTGCTCCGCGATCGCAATAAGGCGGTCAAGCCGCTCCAGAATGCATTCGACTATCGCGAGTATCTGCGCGTTGAAGTCGCGTTGATCATTGTTTGGGGTTTGGCGACGGAACTCGGGTTTATTGTCTTGCTTTATTCGTTGCCAAATTATGCCACGTCCATTGGGCTGACGGCCCGTCAGGGTTCTGTTGTGGGAGCATTTTTGAATCTGGGATTGGGCGTAGGACGACCTGTGGTGGGGTATTATTCTGACGCTTTTGGAAGGTTGAATATGGCTGTTCTGACTACTGGTCTGTCGGGAGTCTTTTGTCTTGCCCTTTGGGTGCCGGCCAAGTCGTATGGATTGTTGTTGGCATTTGCTCTACTGACCGGGTCGGTGTTTGGCGTCTTTTGGGCCTGTGTCACTCCCGTCACTGCAGAGCTCGTCGGTCTCAGGAGGTTGCCGTCTTCCTTTGGCGTCATTTGCTTTGCTTTGGTTGTTCCAACCACCTTTGCAGAGACTATCGCTCTCGAAATGGTCGATGCCTCGGGATACTTGAGTGCCCAGCTGTTTGTGGGGTTCATGTTCCTCCTCGGCGCAATGAGTACCTGGCTCCTCAGGTCGTGGAAAATCAATGAGGTCGAGCGCAAGGCTGCTGCTGCCGCTGATGAATGTCACCGTCACCGTCGTGATGGAGCTTCTCAGTGGTCACAACATGCCTTCTGGCTTTCACCCAGGAAACTGTTGTGGTGGGGCCGTGTCTGATTTGATCCTCGGTTTGATTTAATGAACAACATTATGGCTTTGACTGCCTGTTCTGTTTCTGCTTTCCTCCAGAGACAAGAGGAGAAACTCGAAGTCGCAATGGGACCAGTTACTTTTCTCACTCTGCCAGCGGTGTTTAATTTGGGTCTCTGAGAAACTTGCTGTGACCGATACATTGCTCTATTCCTTGGTGATGGTGGGATGCCGTGCTGCACAGGAAGCTGTTCCTCTCACCGTGTCTTGTGTCCCTTTCTTAAGAGCCTCAAGATATCACACCTTTCCCGCACAGCTTCCTTTGTGTCGGAGAGCGATGGCAGACATTCATGTCTCACTGTCTCAGATGCCTTTAAGCCTCAGCCGTCCACAAATGTCTCACCTGTATAATGCCATTAAAAGCACCCACCAGGGCCAACTCGCGGAGGAGCAGAGACTTAGACGCAGAATGGATGTCTCGCGAAAAGGAGAGCTGCCGCACTTGATGAGACCAACCACCAATCGAGCAGCTGTAACCATTGCATCGCGCAGTGAATTGGTGATCATCATCGCCGCAGAAATAAGTCAGAATGGCAACAAACAGCAATAACTCACCCGGCTTCAGACACTGCGCCCCTCCCTGTGTCAACCTCCAACACGTTAGAGGTAGTCAGGCTGTCAAAGGCTTTGTGTCTACTACCTCAATGAACAGGCAGGTTCCATACATCACCTCTTGAAGTTGTGATATATTGCCTTTCCTCTCTCCTCCCATCGTTGCTCTTTTCCAGAACCTCCATACACCTCGAACAGACGCTTTCCCTTGCGGTCCAAAAGACAGACACTTTTCTGTCCATCCCCCGATCCTAGGCCGAGTACTGGCGCTCATTCCCCAACCGCATTACCCTTCAAGATGAACCTCTGCACCATCCACTTCGAGTTCATCCGGATCCCAATGCCAGCAAACATGCCTTCTCAACAGTTGTTCCTATCTATCATCCTTGCGCAACTGATTCTCCAAGGAATCGCAATGATGGTAGTTCTCCCATATCTGCCGGAAGAAATAGCGGTTGATGTAGCAGAAGGCACAAAGGTCTCCAGACGCCTTATCCTCAAAGCGGTCTTCTCTGCCCTGAACTCTTACTTTGGGCAATGGCTCGGTAACAAAGTTCAAGAATATCAAGTTTGCAAGAGAGTGGAAGAACTTTGGGTCTCGGCTGGCCGAAACAGATACTTTTCCAACCTCTTCAAAGGACTGCTCTATAAGACGCAAGCGGCTGGTCCAAAAGCGGGCCAAGCTGAAAAAGAGAGGGATTGGCACAGATGTTCCTTGAGCCATGTCCTGACTGCGTATCTACACGCTGACAAAGGATTCCTCTTCGGCAAGCCTAGTTGGAACCTCATCAAGCGCATCAAGTCTTACTGTGATGCAGTGAAAAAATGGGCAACAATCTTGGTGACGATGCCGAAGAGAATGACCGAAAGCGCCACCTCCAGCTTGCAGTGTCTAACGCAGACAATCAGAGAGGGGAGGGATTTAGTGCAACAAGCATACCTGCGTGCAAAGGGTCTGTTTTCCTTCAGAGCATCCGTTTCTGCTTTTTGGAGGCTAGTTTTCGACTGCAATAATGCGGAGGGTCATGCCGTCGATACTGTTATTAAACTTTTCGTGGGTTTTGCCTGGATCATCGTTCTGCGCGGGGTTGGCTCGCTTTCTGTGCTAGGAAAGTTCTACCCTCCTGCAGGTTCGGGACGGGGAAGTCGGAAAGACGATGTGCAGAAGAATGGACCGTCCGAACTGTATGAGGAAACCTTGATGCCTGATGACGCTCATGGAGATGAACATTGCCAAGAGAAAAGCGAAGACGGGGACCAAGATCTTGGATACTTTGCAGATGACGAATACGAGGAACGGGGAGCTAATGGTGGAAAGATTGGGAGAATGCTAGAGTATTGTGTCAATTTTGGCCGTCATTCTGAGCAGAGATCACGACACGAGGAAGACGAGGAGGATTTGGAGGACGGACCAGAGAATAATGAGCAGGATAACGAGAAGGAGGGAGAGGAGGAAGACGGAGAGGCAAATGAAAGAAAGCAGCAGAACGCCGCCAGTGACAACTCTCGTGTCCCAGGCACCAACCGCGCTCGCAGCACCAACGCCACCGGAAACACCTCCTCGTCCTCCTCTTCAGACGGCAGCGGCTCCACTAACAGCGGAAGCCACCATGATGCAGAAATGGACCTGGACGAAAGCGACTCCACCGACAACGCTCCCACGCTGGTTGCCAGTGACTCAGACGCGGGGACTCTTGTTGAGAGTGATACCGACACCGACATCGAGGCCCATGCCTACAATGCCGTTGATCGCAGAGCTATCGTGGAGACAGCGATATCTGGTCGCCCACATTCGCCACTCAGTCCAGGCGGGCGCGGCCATGGACACGGACCCTGGTATGGGAACTTACATGGTGATCCCTCTTTTCAGGAGAGTCGCAACCCATGGGGGAGGCGCAACGCATGGGACTGGACGAATATCCCCAGCAGTTTTCATTACCGCCGCTGAGCGAGGTGCCAATGAAGACTTCGACGGATAGCTGGCAAGCTAGATCCCTCAACACTTCGGATAGAGGCTGTTGCAGCATTCTCCTAGAACAGTCTACTCCTGCATAGGCCACCCATGCAATGTCTGAGAGTGGAACTTCTCGGCCTGTGTACTGCCATCACACGACATGGTATCATGTCGATATCTCCTTGTATAATTTTCATACCTCTACAATGCACATGGGCTTAGCTTGGCGATGGGATGAGAGAGGTGATCAAGGGTTGCCCGTAAAGCCTTTGCGACAGCTTGCGAAGGTGGACCTAGGAGGTACAAGAAGAGTTTGGAGTCGGGCAGCGAAAGTTTGGGTGAAGATTTCTGAGGCGGAGAATGATCGACACTTGCCTTTGTGGAAATAATGCTGCCGCCGACAGCAGAGCTCTGACAGCGATTTAAAGTTTGAGACAGGGAAAGCTCCAAGGGTCGGTCAGAGCAGAAGTCTCGACAGCGACTTGAAGGCATGGTGAAATGTAATCATTGACGCAGTCCGATTCCAGGAGAGCGCCACGAACGTGTTTCGGTCATAGTGGACGGGCGGGATGAGGAGCTCGAGTTCTTCGACTCGACTCTGTAATAATCTTCATAGTGGTACCCCAGTCTAATGATGAAGGCAAGGGATACTGACACGGGCATGAAGTGACAGATGGTGCGGATACATATCAACCGGGGGTGAATCGGTCGGGACAATCCATGGCTGCGCGTTACGGGGCAGTTTTTCTGCTTTCCAGCACCCTGGTGGACGGTACATTAGTGTTGGAAAGAGCCCATTGTTCTTTTGCTGGACTGTCACCAAACTGGACACGACCAGGCCCACATTATCGAGACCTTGTCTTTACTTACTGGTCTAGGCTAGCATTCCGGTAAACATGCATCATGTTTGCACAACCCGGTAGATAATCCTTGTCGAGCAAATTGGTCTTCCTGGACCGTTGTCCCGATTTTGACAAGACTTCTTCTCAAATCCCCTGGAAGCTGGTGCTTGTTAGCATTTGGTAGCAGCGTATGATCTAACAGTGACGTGGAACACAGCCAAGGCACTTGAACTAGCACCCCTGATGCGGAGGTGAGTGGCTGAGGCTGAGCCCACGGGAAGTTCGATGGACGGCGGCAGGGAAACTCGTCACGATCGAGGGCTCTCCTAAGCTTCGCTGCAAGCGCCACATGTTCGAACGGGTTGTCGGATGTTGTAAAATTGTATCCATTTACATCGCCCTGCTCATTCCCGCATTGCCGCTGGCATGAGAAACATTCCCACACAACAGCAGTGGCCTTTGCAGGAACCTGGATGATCCAGCCTGGGCAGCCATGAGGTCTGACCGCGGCTCGAGGGCCCCTCCACCTGAAGAGACCGATCCATGGGTGGAAAAGTGAGAGACATGACCACAGTCTCATGACTGTTCGTTGTATCGAGGAATCAGTCTCTTAATCTCTTAATGGTTACCTTCGATTTCGGAAGAACGATTTGCCATATTCTAGTCCAAAGTAAGCTCGAATCGAATAGAGGTAGAGAGATCCATCCGGAACTCTCCAGGTGACCACTCTTGATAGTCACTTGGGAAAAGGCCCTCCTTGCAGTCATGCAAAGCATTACAAGGTGGGGATCTTCAGCCCCCTCGTGGGGGAATGGACAAATACAGGAGTAGTAGTGCTTATTCCGAACAAGCTGCTGACGGTGATGTACTCGCGGCGATAGACAGACACATTTCGGTAGGATTACGTTCTCGCCCCGTGGGTATGGCCGAGGATAGTCGCCGGATCCGATGAGACTATCCTTGCAGCAGCCGCTGATTATGCTCATGCTCGTCGTCCCAAGTTTCCGTCCTGCCAGATAAATGGTCCGGAGATCTGTTCTCAAGGCCCCGTCAGCCTTGTCCAATAGAGGACTTCATCGACAATTGCTAGATGGGGATACGGCTGCTGATATGGAGCCTTGTGTTGAAGTCCGTAGTGACTTCCACCAGTCACAGACGTCTTGAAGTGGCCGTGAGCCGACAGAGCCAGGGGCTTGGTTGCCATGCCTGTTTCTGTCGATCAGTCCGAGGAGGATATTTGCAGGAAGAGGCGGGGGAGGACAGTGAAGGTGGTTGGTGCCTGACTGGCGTGCCAAAGGACTGTCGAGACAAGCACCTCCGTTATACAAGACGTAGCAGCATTCTGAGGAAGCGAGATGATGAAGGATATCGAGTGCAACTGACTCCCATGAAGGATGTTTGAGTGTGCTTAGGCTTCCGCATCTTCACCCGCGTTCTCCGCCGCCGATGTGTCCGTGTTGGAGAACTGCACTACTACAACGTACCTTAGTACTAGTAGGCAACAGGGCTGACCTAGCACTAGCTTTGTTAAGATTAGCGTTTGATCCTCACCTTCCGCTTGGCGACTGGCGTGCAACTTAGCACCTCGCTAAATATCGGCTTTTGCTCTTCCCCGTAGTACAGTGGTACACCTGCCCGCCTTAACCTACCTGGCAGCTACAACGTTGTAGAATCATACCAAGGGGCGTTTGTTCAGCGTCTCTGTTTTGCTACCAAATTGAGTAGGCAGAGGTAGGAGCTACGGTGGCTAACAATAGGTATAGATGCTGATGCTGACGCTGACGGCGACTTCTGGCTTTGCCGGTTGGATAAGTCGTGCAGAAATACGGTATGTCGACAACCTCTTGGATTCAAGTTCTGGAGGTAATCTTTCAGTCTCCGCAAGCCGCTTCATACCTGGGTATTTCAGCCTAGTACAGGGACCTTATCCATGGATGCCTCCAGGTCGGGTTAATCCCGTTTACACTGTACGGCATGATTGGCTCTCTCGGTGCCCTAATCCAGGAGAGGCCCATGTAAAGTACGTCAAACTTGTGCCAGTGCAGGTTGGCCTCACACTGCACCGGCAGCACCAACCTGCGAAGCTCCCTCCTGATGACCATCTCGGCTTTTGTCTCTTCCTATCCTCAAGCCCAACCACTGCCGGCTCAAATGATGTATGATGCATCTAACCTGAATCAAGCTCCCCTCCCGCAACGCGAGGCGAGGCGAGAGTAGGCGAGACAAGCACCCTGTTGGCAGGATTGCGTGTGCTGCAACAGTGCAGCTGTGGCTTATCTCAACGCTACCGAACTGCTACCTCGCACTTATGACAGCGCTTGCTGACTGGCTGGGTGACTCTCTCGGGCGCAGTATTGAAGATCCATTCCCGTCGTCATCATCCTGCTGAATACCCAGTCTCGAAATCGAGAAGAGAAACTCCTCCAACGTTGCTGACCTGCTATTCGAGCAGAGACAAGACTAATTAGCCGCTACATGGCCCCGGGCCTCCCTGCATCTCCATGCAATGCATACCACCCTCGACCATAGACAGTTGTAACTGCAACCCCTGCCACTCCTGGAATCACTGTTCCGAGCGCCCTACGATGCGCCGCGAGAGCGTTGCCCCTTCAACTTAGTGTCTCGATGAGTAATTTATCCAGCATTCGAGGCCGGGGTCCAAATCCTTGCTGACGACTGTGCCACTTGCACGTCGTGAGGAGAAAATGCACAAAGGGCGTCAGGTTCTCGCCATTGTCCTACAAGGCTTGAGTACGCTTTCTGGTGATAGCCGACCTCAAAATCCAATTTCTCTTGGTATCTGTCCCTCCTCGGCTTCCCGACCGATGTACAAACATGCCAGCTGAAGTCAATCCAAAGCCCAAATCCAAACACAGGAAGTCTACTTGTGCCGGGTGTCGTAGAAGAAAGGTAGTGATTGTCGATTTGTTTGGCCAGTGTCTCCAATCTGCTACGGCGAGTTGGACTTTCGTTCCTCCGGGTGCCAGATGCTGATCTTTCCATAGTCAAAGTGCGACGGGAGAACACCAAAGTGTACAACGTGAGCTGTTCAAAAAAGACGGATACCAGAGGCAGCAGAGTGTTGACCGTCCAGCAGCTGTATCGCATACAAAGACGAGTGCCACTATGACAAGCCGCCATCCTTGGCTTATGTCCGATCTCTCGAGGAGGAGATCCAAGAGCTGAAGGCACAGTTGCGGGAAACCAAGAATCAGATCTGGTTGAGCCGAGTATGTCACGCTCTTCAGCTAACAACTCATTGCAATCCATTGACCCCTTCAGGTCCCCCAGGATGACAATAAGCAACTTTCTACTTCTCCTGCCAGTGACGCTGCTATCTCACAAGGCTTGAGTCAGCATGCACACCGAAGTCGGCAAGTTAAGTGGGAAACGGACATCATAACTCTACTTCTGCGATCTACGAACCTCCCTCCTCCCAGCACCAGTCCACTCCATCGGCGCGGTCTCAAAGTCGTGGAAGTGCTGGTACGCACGATGAACAGCGAGTACGGCAGGACCTCATTCTGAATGCTTCTCACCAAAGACAGATTGAACCTTTCGCTGTTGCCAATGGCGCGGCCAGAGTGAACGTGCCCAAGGAGGTTGCCCATGAATTGCTTAAATACCATTGGTGCTGGGTGCACCCTTTGTTCCTGTTTGTTTACAGGCCAGCATTCACGGGCGGGATGGCTATGCTGGACTTGAGTGGTCACAAAGTCCACGATCCACCATACTTTTCGGAGACGCTGCTGAAGGTATGACAACAGACCCAAGAAGAAGTTGCGTCCTGAACTAATATACCTCCAGGCCATTCACGCTCATTCCTCGCGCTTTTTGAACCATGACGTCTACCAAATTCAATATCAAAATGCGCCGGGCCGACATAATCAAGCCGGCGCTTCTCTCACGGCTGCTGAATTTATGCGGAAGATCTCCGACGAGGCACGATCAAGCCTGGCTATGGACATCCTCAAGAGGAGTTCCATACCTACGATCCAAGCGCTGCTTCAACAGTCTGCCCGGGAGGTTGTGTTTCGACGTTCCTCACAGGCATGGACCCTCTCTGGTGTTGCCTTCCGAATGGCATTTGACTTGGGCATACACCTGCCTAGTGATAAACTCCAATCGTTCGTGAAGAGTTTGACTGCCGAGGATGTCGAAGTCCGGACGCGTCTGTTTTGGAGTTGTTATACCTGGGATAAGATCTTGTCGCTCTATCTTGGGCGGATGCCTGGATTCACACCAAATACCGACGAAGTACCGCCCAATTTCATGGACGACTACAGTGATAGCGACCTGTGGGCCCCTTATTACGGCGAAACGCCCTCACCCGAGGTTGCTAATACCCCGGATTATCCTCCTTGCCCTGGTTATGTGGTTTCTTGTTTTCGGCCATTGTGCAAGATTTGTGTCATTCTCAATGACCTGATGCAAAACATATATCGCCCTAGTGCTGCGGCTGGACGGGATGCGGAAGAGGAAGATCAGTTGGCAGAAGCAAAAGCAAACAGTGAAACGTCCTTTATTCGCATTTCAAGGAACTTGCGAGACTGGCTGATGTCGTTACCGCCTCATCTCAGAATAAACCCAAGCCAGATGCCGTCCCAAGCTCCGCCGGCGCATATCATGTCGCTCAATCTTCTCTACCACACCACAGTGATCCTCCTGCATCGACCTGTTGTCCTCGGAGCAAGCAATATCAACAGCCCCGGACCTGCAAGGTCATATAGGATATGCATTCAGGCCATGGAAGCCATTCACAACTTGATAATGTTGCAAGCGAAGACATTTGGCCTTGCTCACGTCTCATACTTGAATGCTTACAGTGTCTACATTGCCGCCACGATAGCTGTATCACGGTTAGAGTTGGAACCTCATCTGGTGGAGGAACATGCCCCGGCGGCTCGGGAGGACACTCTCAACTTTTTCCTCAGGGTCTTACACCAGACTTCGAAGGCAATGCCGGCACTGGAACGGAGCTACGCCATCATCAGTAAAAGAGTGAGGGCTGTGCTAGACCGACATCACCTATACAATGTCGGCTCTGACTACTCAAACGGCTCCACACCACCAAGGTTCAGCATGCTTCCTACAACGACAACGCAGCAAATGGATACGGCTTTTCAAACCTTGTCCAACCCAGGAGTGATGTCTGATGCCTACCCACAAACCGATACACCTGGATCTTTAGCAGCAGCGCCTATGGCATGGCCGCCCGGTATGCAGAACAGTCTTTATCCCGATGCCATGCATGCAATGGATGATTTTCTACCCGCTTTCCCTGGCCAACAGTTTCCCGTGGGCTCCGAACACAGCTTCGGGAGTAGCGACGTGGATCCTCAGGCGAGAACAGCGTTGATGGCATACAATCTTGACCCTCATCCAAGGCTCAACTCGGGTGACCTCGACTGGAATATCATGGACGCTTTTGAAACGAACTCTATACATGTGTGACGACTGGTATTAAAATCAAGCGAGCTTTGTTTTCTGCAGTGTTTGAAATTTCATGGAGTGATGTCTTAGATGAGGTATTGTGGGAAAGGTGATGGATCGCAAAAGTATAGCGAGGCCATGAGTGCTTCTCCTGCTCACGCTTATCTGGGGGCACAGAAGGGACATATACATACGAAGTCAGGCGATCAGTATGGGTGATGATGGAGCGTCCCATCCTTTGCAGTGACAGTTTTATTTGGAGTATATTTATTCATAAGAGACGTAATATAGGGGGCAATTGTTCAAAAGTGTGCAGGTCTGCTCTTACTTTTGGTCCTCGGCTTGATATGTCAGATTTGGCGTCCCGTCTGTTGAAATCCAGGTAGCTTTTATGAGTCCGGGTTCTATTTTCATTGCTGTTGCTTGTTACTATTTGTACAGTACTTCGGTTGGGCCTGAAGCTGAGGCAGAAGGAGCGAATCAGCCGAATGGGTTCTTGCCAGCACGACTAGTATTCTAACTGCGCACTGCAGGCTGACCAAACTTTGCCAGCACATCGATGGACTTGTCCGAATTCTTCGAGTTCTGTTGTTTGTATTGTTTGTCTGTTCTCACAGCCACAAGGTGTTTTAGGGGTTAGGTGCTTCTATATGTCCATACAATCTCTGCAGCCTTGAGCAGGGCTTGAAAAGGTACCTAAGGACGCCGTCCGGATCTTAACCGATCATATGTCTACAAAGATCTACAAATCGCTCGATCAATGGGCTGAGCTGCGACTGAATGGTAGCGAACGGGAGACTAGGGAGGAGTGCTCGGCGTACAAGCCGGAGACTTCATGGCTGGAGAGGTTGTTGTCGATGCCATTTTGGTTTTGGTACAAGCCAAGTGTAGCTGCTTGTTCTATCTGTTCCAGTCCGGGTCGCTTTTTGGAAAGATTCGAGAAGACACCCAGGTGTTGGTCGAACTACTCTTCGTCATCGAGATCCTCCGTCTCCGCCTCAGCGGCTTCGGTCTTGCTCTCGGAACCAGCAATGACTTTTGTCTTGACGGCCGGCTCATCCTCTTCGTGCTCCTCCTCATCGGCGTCATCTTCTTCAGGAGCGTCATTCTCGGCTTCTTCCTCTTCCTCTCCTTCCTCATCCTCTTCCTCCTTCTTGCTGGCCTTGGCCGTGGACTTGGATTTCTTGGAGGCAGGCTCGGCAGGCTCGGCCTCAGCCTTGCGCTTCTTTGGAGGAGCTATAAGAGTGCCATGTTAGTTTGAATGCGGTCATGGCGTCGCATCATCGCCACGTACCTTTTTCCTCCTCCTCCTCTTCTTCCTCTTCTCCTTCTACTTCCTCCTCGTCGTCCTCTTCTTCACCTTCTTCATCGTCATCAACCTCGGAATCTTCATATCTGTCCAATCAAAAGGTCAGTATCAAAGAGCATGTTGCGGACAGATAACGGGGACAAGGCAGCCGGCGCAACAAAATATGCCTTGCGCATAGATGGGTGAACCGGGTAAACCCCAGCAGGGTCTTTGGAAATTGTGAACGACTGAGCCCGCATGCGGTTGAACGTGGTTACAATCCGTGCCTGGGAAGGGCAGGGTTGGGCTTCTGGCTCTGGGAGTCGAATGACCCTTGCGCAAGGGATTCTTACTCTTCTTCCTCTTCGTCGTCGTCGCTTGGGAGAGCTACGAGCTCTTCTTCCTCGTCTTCAGGGTCTTGACGTCGCTTTCTAGGGCCCACCATGTTGTAGGGCGGATGAGGATGAGGTTCGAAGAGGTCGGCGAAAAACTATGGTTGAAAGTAATGGAAAGGATACGAGCAGAGGTAAAGGAACAGGAAGGGAAAAGAGAGGATAAAGAGGACAGAATATGGACGAGTTTAAGTCAGGGTGAGAGTACGGCTGAGGACTTTGGGAAGCCCTGGGGAGCTCTTTGCAGACGTCAGGGTTCAGGGCCAAAGTCAATCACTAAGCCGGAGGCAGGGGAAATGCGCGACCGAAGGCCGGATAGAGGAAGGGGGTCGGCTAGAAAACAGCACGAGGAGAGGGCGAGAACTGGACAGGTAGAGAGCCAGAGGCCCAGAGAAGGGCGCAAAAAGCCATGATGCAGCCGTGGGTGGGCGGTAGCTATCCCCCCATCTCAGGGACAGGAGAACGAGAAAGGAGCAAGCTCCAGGCCGGTTCTCTGGCGTCAGTAGTGACAGAGAGGGTTAGAGATGACGGAGCTAGAGCTGGGGAGCTTTGATACTCTGGAGCTCGGGACACGGGCGGGAGAGAGCTTCGAAGGGGCCGCGAGGTAAGAGTGTGAGAGAGACACTGGCAGAGCGAGAGAGAGGAACAGACACTGCGGCAACACTGGCAGTGGAAACGTGAGAGGTTGGTTGGCGGGGTCCCAATAGTCCTCCGTAGTGCAAACGGTCCGCAGGCAAATGCCAGTGGCAGTGGGTGCAAGTGGAAGTGAGAAGTGGAGGGGTTGGATGCAGCAGTGGCCGCATGTTCCCAGGTCTGGCGTCAGTCCAGGCTGCCCTCAGAGACGTGAGCATGTTTGGCATGTTTGCTCCAAGCTTCAGGGTCCCACTGCCGTCTTTCTCCCTCAGCTCTGGACCACATCACGTGCATCATGTTCTCCAACATTTTCCCCTGCTTTCAACTTGAAGTTGAACACCTTGCTTCAGACCATAATTTGCGGGAGTTGCAATGTGCCTCAGTTCAGGCTGGTGGTCTAAATTGCTTGGTAACGAGTCTCGATTGAACCGCGGCGCGAGCATGAGGTGAAGCTACCTAGGTAATGAGAATAACGCCTACATACCAGGTACCGAGCCCGGTACCTCACTAGCAGGTAGGTGCAAATGAGGGGTCCACTCTTTCTCTGCCTGCGCCTGCGGTGCCTACTTCGACCGCGCATGAGCAGAAGGACTTAAGTGCAATGTTGGCAGCCTTGCGCACAAAGCAACGCCTCACTCGCAATCATATACGTTCGTATGGCATTATCGACAAATTCATGATACAATACTTCGAGGCTCCGGCTCACCGCCCGTCTTGGAACCCTTCATGGGCCAAGCGCCCTTGCATTAACCCGTTTGCAGCCGCCAGGAATCACGGAGACACGGGCATCGACTGGTCTACCACCCAGTAGCCCAGAGTCCATTGTGACCGCAGGCACTGATTCCACGAGACATGCCATACTGTGAGACTACAGGGCATTTCTCCTGTCAATCCCTGTGAGTCACCGAGGCAAAGGATTTCCTGCGTCCGTCAAAAACCTGGACGGAGCTAGATCGCAGACAAGACCGCCAATGCAAGCAAGCATTTGCCCCCTCTTGGACACCCGAATATATCCAGAGCTTTCCAGCGGGTAAGACAGAAGCAACGGTGACCATGGCCAAACCAGGCCCCCTGTCTCTCGGGGACACCCCTTACGTGTGACAGTGTCACCTCTCGGGGATTTCACGCCATCGGTTGTGTCCACTGTCAGCTGTTCATAACATTTGCACTTCCGACGAAGACGACAAGAACCGCCGCAAACGCCGTTGTAGACATGAATACGTCAGCCCGTCGTTGAGCGATGACATTCATCACCAATGAAAAGACCAGGCTCATCATACTAATCGCTATCAGCCGGCCTCCCATGCTCTTCACGCTGAACAACACCAGAATCGATAGCGGCGGAATCATGGCCGACAGCAGCATGCAAATCGTATTGCCCACCTGCACCAGCCTTTCTGGCCTGTACTCCCAGGTTCGGTCGAAAGCCTTTTCCGCCATCGACCGGTGAAGGCGATAGCCCAACATCCGATGATACGATGGCAACACTCTTTCACTGAGAAAGTTTGCCAATGAATCTTTGCCTCCGACATTCTCGTTCAGCGTCAAGAAGTCGGACGCAATCGACTCGTCACAGAAGATTCCTGCTTCAACTCCGTACAGGAATTGGTTGCCCCCGCTTTCCTCGTCATACCACTGCCTGCGCAGTTTCAGGTTATCTTTTTTCGGATTCTGCAACGTATGGATCTTTGCTGTTTGTAGGAGTGCTCGATCTGTCCTACTCTCAGCTTCAATGGACGTTGACTGGTTCGGAAGAAGGCCTTACGATACTGGTCCAGCAACGTTCTTGACCGCTCAAAGATTTGACGTATACCTTCCTCCGATAGTTGCTCGGGACAATCGATCCAGATACGGTCGAAGCTATTCAGTTCAGGAATTTGCCTGACCTCGTTGATTACCATTTCCAAGTGTTGCAGCTCGGCTTGCATGTGGAGCAGATTCTCCATGTTAAGGCTAGAGAATCTTCGGAAAGCTTCGGTGTTCTGATGGCTTGCCATCATGCTGGCCAGAGCCCCATAGCCGGTCATCTTGACAAGGTAACAATACAGGCGTCCTGGTTGCAACTAAGATGATATGGGGCACAATTTCAGGACGGGAGTACAACAAGCGGCCACCTGCTTATATTCGAAAGGCGACTCAACCGGCTTGTCCTACCCTATTTGCCACTCTCCGCCATTGGAACATTGTCCAGTCTGGCTCCTGCATCGCTGCCCAAAAGGAATCGACAGGCCTTGCTTCCGAGTTTAGCCTGTTGGCAACATCCTGTCCAGACAAAAGGTCTTGGCTGGTCCACCGAGCACAGTCCCGGCGGTAACTCGCAGAGGCGAGCCACGCTTTGGAGCTCACCCATCTTTTGTGAAGGAATTTCGCCTAAGCACGTGGGATTACGCGTATGGAAAGCAATGATCTCTCTACGTGGCCTGCCAGCATACAGTGAAATAATGCAGCATTGGCAGCACTCTCGGACAGGGCTGAATGAGATGTTTACACTTCTCGTCCAAGGCTTGTCTATCAGAATGGGTCCTTTTCGGGTGCGAAGAATCATGCCTCATGAATATGGTTTGAAGCCAGGCTGGACCGGTAAACTGTCAGTGCTGCAACTTCCCATCGCATCCTGCTCTCGAAATAGACACTCCACTTCGCCTCAATATTACAGAGCAATCGCCTGTCAGCCAGCAGGTATCATGGCCGGCGTCGCAGATGGCAAGGCGGTGACACTGATCCACGATAGTGGGAGTCTCATGCTCCTGGAACTACCAAACAGCTCTCGGCCTTTCGAAGGAGGGTACCATTTCGCAGGTTAGCATCCAATATGTCTCAAATCCCCGGACTGCCACAGCTGTGGATCGGAATGAAAGCAAGTGCAGCGTTCACCTCATGCTTGCAGGAGTTTGTACGTGCTGCCATCGTGCATCTGCACGAAGGACGAACCCGTCCTCTGTGTGACGATCGGCGAAAGGCAATAGCACGCACGAGTTTGGCGTGGAATGACCGAATGTTTGTCCTGGTCCTGTTATTTAAGATAAACGCTCAAGCATCGGCTCGCATTCTCTGTTTGCCAGGTTAGCGTTTGACATTGAACGGTCAAGTACCTTGCCTTGAATCAGGGGCCGGGCGCCATTTCCTATCGTTAAGAAGCGCCTCACAGCAAAAGCACTTCGAGATATCTCTGGTGAGGTTCGAGTGCCTTCCTGGCATCGGGACAACCTGATCGGGACCACAGATTTATGGCGGCGACAAAAGTGCAGAACAGAAGGAGGAAGCCAAATCTTCTGCGCAAAGCCTCTCGACAGCCGGAAGAGCTGAGGAAAAGCCGTTCAAGGCAGCTGCGCCGCCGGAAGACCACTCCCTCGCCGGAGAAGGAATGTCCAAGGTTCAATGGAGTGGTTTCGGCTTGCATTTGCCTGCTTTTGGACTTCTTCCTGGGCCTGCTCCGTCACAAAAAGGGGACTCCAGGCAACCCCTTTAGGGTGTTGATGTTCATTCATTTGGACCCTTCACATGATTCTCAGCGAGGCCGACAGCATCCTGCCACAACGCCTCGTCGTGTGCTCCTCGACACTGGGGCTGAATTCAACTTGATATCCCATGGCGCCTTCGCAGAACTGCATCTGACGGAGCATCCTAATAATGATTTCGTCAGGTCAATTGGCGGGACCACCAAGCTGGAAGGCACGGTCTCTCTGGACTGGCATTTTCCGAGTCCGGTCCCGTCGTTGAACCATCCTTTGATACTTCACCGTGCTCCCTTCCATATCCTGCCCCCTGATGCCGACGCAATGTTCGACTGCATCATTGGTCGTCAATGGATCCAAGAAAACCCGATGGAGTTTGTGGCCTTGTTTGTGATGAATCTGCTACGGACCGATGTCGCTTGATGCAAGCTGGCAGCTTGGAGGCATATGTCCGAGGAGCAAACAAGCACCCTCAATTCGACTTGCTCTCACACGACAAATCAACACTGCTATCTGGTTAATGGAAGTTCAGAGCCACCTCGGTGCACGCCAGTTACTTTATGGGAGAATTGGAATTGTGGAACGTGCGACCTGGCTGCGAGACACAGACTTTCCCGACGGGGAGAATAAGCACATCGACATGGTTATCACGGTGATGCGGAGAGGTGGGACCAGATATCCCGGTGAAATCTGGATCTGGACGGGATGGCCCTCGTCTGACAGGTCCGAGGAAAACCCTGACCCTTGTTTGGATTCAAGGTTACACCACGGGTTGGGATAGACTTTCTGAGCAACTAAAAGCATGCGTTGCTGTCACGGCTCCGTTCAGATGGAAAACCTGGTATCAGCTGGCCGATTGAGCCTCAAGCTGTCGTTGGCGAGGATAGACTGTTCGCTGTTTGTACCGCGAAGAAAAGTTCTTGTTCAACCTGTCAATGTCCATTCATGGCTTCCTCTCTCGATCTCGAGGACCCGATAGTGACAAATCGATCGTGAAGTGGTTACTCTTAATGATCTTGGCCGGAAAGCAGCAGGCAGGATGGATTAAGGCCATCTCTCGACAAGGATGTACTGTCGAAGTTTCCATCACAGTGATCCAACCGCGCTGATATTTTCAGGATATAATAATGGCGACACTTCTCCAATACCTTCTTGCCAACGCATTTGCAGATTTCAATCTGGGCTTGGGCACAAGTTTGCCTTCGGAACACGGTCTCATTGTCAGGCAGGCTTACGCCCAAGCTCGCGTCTGCCTTGTGGTTCACTGCGGCTAAACCAGTATGGCAACGGGGCGCAAGCACCCACCTATGAATGCTCATGTGCCAGACTCGGGTCAGAAGCTGGAGTCTTCATATCTTTCATGGCAAAGCCGCCGTCCACAGCTGTTCCGTCAATCACACTCTCCTGAGTCTCCTCCTCCAATGGTACGCAGGGCGCTTGCTGTTCCTTCTTCTTTTGCATCTCTGCCGTCTGGACATATGATTCCCTGTATTCTCCCTACTGGTTATGGCTATTTAGCTAGGATGACTTGTTGATTTCTGGTTTGCTGCTGACCATGACCCGGCATCATGCAGGCCACCAACACTAAAGTCTGCGTCTTCGTCATCGCTGACGATCAAGAACACCCCGTCCGACTAGCCAACACCCTGTCGGACACTGGCCTGCCGAAAAGCATGATATCGAAAGCAAAAGCCCTGGCTACCCGAGGGCTGATCCGTCCTTTGAACCCACCCAGCACCTTTACCGACCGTATCGGCACAACATATACTTCCGCCTCGACGATCTCCCTGCGGTGGTATTACGATGACGGGCTCAAGACGTTTCGAGAGACGTTTTATATCGTTGACAAGTTACCTCGGGCTGCCGCTTCGGTCGAGGCCAGGGCTGGAGCGGCAGAACTGGAGGCAGGCTATGGCGGTGGGGGAGATTGGGACGCAATTCTCCGTACTGGAGTTGAGCCCAATCCCACCATCGGTCAAGCCTATCCATATTGCACCATCCCTGCTGGCCGCGATCCTCAGAGAGAGGCCCAAGCAAGAGAGCGGCTGGAACGGGGCCAAAAGCAGTTCCAAGCACAGAAGGAGGAGCAACAGAAGAAGGTGCGCGAGAGTCTGACCAAGGCCTCGAAAGTGAATACAAAGCGTTGAGCGCAATACTCAATCTTGTGAACGCGTACTGAGGTTGCGTTGCAAACGAGACGGTTTTCGGTTCGCTAACTTGTTAGGGTCTTGCGTTATGCGGTTCGCTTTTGCCTTGCTTTACTCCGCCTTGGATACCTGCTCACCGTCTTTGAAAAGCTGCAATGGTATTATCTTCCGGTTCGTGTGTACCATGGCCTTTTTCGCAGGGTTTTCGCTGCATGTTATTGAGATCTTGCACTCTGATTGTGGTGAACGATTAGTCTGTTGGTCATTTCGTTCTGCTTGTTTTCATCAACAGCTGATCGTCACGTCAGCATGTTGATACTCCCGCTGGAGCTGGAGCGTTTTGATTGCTTTCGTCCGAGACGGTTTCGTTGCCATGTCATGGTTCCAACCACATTGGACCATACTGTAGGGCGTGGCCTACCTGGGCCTAGAATTTGCTCCGCCATTGCTGAGAGGTTCGGAATGCTCTGCAGATATGACTTCTATATGGTACAATGCAAGCATACAATGCAGATTAAACCTGTTGACCGCCGTCGTGTTGAATATCACTAGAATTTATTCTCACCGTAATAACTTCCTGATAAGGCGCCTTGACCAATTGACCAGCGCAAAGCCTTGCTGATATAAGCATTTTTCTTACGAGATCACGTTTTCGAATGCTCAGCACAGATGCTCAGCTCCATCCCCCGCAAGGCTGCATGACACATGTTGGAGTAAAAAGCTGTGGACCGGCCTCGTCGTACTAGCAATTGGACCTTATCAGAGCACCTCGCAAACAACTTCTTCAAAAAAGATTCCCTTGATTCCACCTCAAAATAACAGGGACTCTTGCACAGGCTCAAGAACTACCTCGAACCTGCTACTCCATTCCTGTAAACTTCTTTACAGCATGGCCAATCCCGCTCCCACCCTCCTCTGGGGAGGCCGCTTCACAGGTGAGTCAAGCAGATCAGCAACCCCGTCGTGCCTTTTACAGAAGCCAGACGCAAGAAGTATCTGTAGTGCCGTAATGCTCACTATTGCACAGGCGCTATCGACGACCTCATGTTCAAGTTCAACGAATCCCTCAGTTTCGACCGAGCTCTCTGCAAAGCCGATGTTCAAGGATCAATCGCATTCGCCAAGGGCCTCCGCCAACTAAACATCCTAACCCAAGACGAGCTGGACCAAATCGTATTCGGTTTGCAAAAAGTGGAACAAGAATGGGAAGAAGGCACATTTGTCATCGACCCCAAATCTGACGAAGACATCCACACGGCCAACGAACGTCGACTGGGCGAATTGATCGGCTCGCAGATTGCCGGCAAGCTACACACGGGCCGATCGCGCAACGAGCAGATCGCCACCGACATGCGCCTATGGGCTCGCGAGCAACTTGCTGGTCTGGCAGACACCATGAAGGGCGTCTTGCAAGTCTGCGCTTCGCAGGCGAAAGCAAACATTGACATCTTGATGCCGGGGTATACTCACTTGCAACGGGCGCAGCCGGTGCGTTTCTCGCACTGGCTGTTGGCACACGCGACTTTCATCCTGGGCGATCTGCAGCGTCTGCAGGGGATTCAAGAGCGAGTTTCTTCGTCCTGTCCATTGGGCGTCGGTGCACTTGCGGGCAACCCGTTCGGAATTAACCGCGAATTTCTGGCCCGTGAACTCGGGTTCACGTCCGTCCATCAGAACAGTCTGGCGGCCGTGGCTGATCGGGATTTCGTGGTCGAGATCCTCCAATGGGCCAGCTTGTTGATGGTGCATTTGTCCCGACTGAGTGAGGATTTGATTCTGTTCTCGACGGCCGAGTTTGGCTTTGTCAGGGTTGCAGACGCGTATAGTACCGGAAGCAGTTTGATGCCGCAGAAGAAGAACCCTGATAGTCTCGAGTTGATCCGGGGGAAAGCTGGACGAGTTATGGGACAGGTTAGTTGGTCCGAAGAAAAAGCTATCCATGTTTACTCAGATGCTAACAAACACCTCTTCCTTGTGCGTTCCAGGCATCCGGATTCCTAGCAACCCTCAAGTCCCTACCCACATCATACAACAAAGACCTCCAAGAATCCGTCGAGCCGCTCCTCGACTGCGTCAAGACCGTCTCGCAAGCCCTGACCATCACTTCTGGCGTCTTGGGCTCGCTCGACATTTTCGGCGACAAAATGAAAGCGGCTCTGACGGCCGATATGCTCGCCACAGATGTCGCGGACTACTTGGTTCTCAAGGGCGTTCCGTTCCGGCAGACACACCATATTGCCGGCGCCATTGTGCGCAAGGCGGAAGAACAGGGCGTCTCTATCGATAAACTCAGTGTCGAGGATCTGCAGCAGGTCTCGCCGCTGTTTGAGCCCGATGTCACGCAGATTTTCGATTTCGAACGCAGCGTCGAGAAGAGGTCTACTGTTGGCGGAACGAGCAAGAGTTCGGTGATTGCTCAGGTCGAGGCTATTGAGGCTCTCGTTGCGCCAAAGAGCTCTTCTTGACCTGTTGTCTATCTGATCTCATGTGGGTTGAGAAGGTTCCTCCCCGTGTATGCTCAAAATTCCCCAAACGGAAAAGCTCTTGGAGAGATGGTCTTCTTCCTGTTCTCTACCGTTCTTGCTTGTGCAGTCAGTTCTCGCTTGCAGTGGTCGAGTCCAGACCGAGCCCTCTCACCTGTCCTGGTTGTCATCTCGTTTCCCTGGGAGGTCGTTCTGTGTAGACATCAGCTGTTAAAGGATGATACCGCAAGATACTGGTTGTCGGTTACGGGAGTCTTGAATGGCGGTTATTGTGTCGTTGGCCCCCAGGATCGGAGTATCGGCTGCTCGTCTCTGTTACCCAAAGACAGGAAGCTACAAAAACTTGCTCCAATTGGATGGTATCCTGGGGTTATTGTGCACTCAGAAAGTGGGACAATGTCTAGACAAAGCAGCCGAGTATCCGACAGTCCATTGTACTTATGAGAAGCTATCTGGGTTAATGGTTAAACGCGAGACTTAGACGAAGATGGAATCAGGGTTGGTACATCGGGCAGACGGACGGCTAGACAAACAGTTTCTAAAAATGGCAACCACTTTTACCCTGTTCTTCGTTGCTCATGCAAACCCGTCCCGTCGATGGGCACCCTGTTTCATCCTTCGAATCTTGCATTCCCACTGACCACCCTCATGATTCCTCCCCGGCTATTCTCTGCATCGCCCTCGAAGTTCTCTTCACCCACGCGGTCAGCATCCAGGTCATCTCTCCATATGTCATCCATCATGGCCTGAAAGAGTCTGGGCCTGGGCGTGTTTCTTGCCCGCGTTGCATTATCACCACCACCAGCAATGGCTCCCCCCTGCTGCGTTTCCGTCGCTTGTTGAGTAAACACTGCTTCTTCTCTCATCACCAATCTTCGCAACCGCATGCCTTCCACGCGTACACTCCTCTGCAGTTCTCGATTCCGTCTTTCACGCAGACCGATCGCGCGTACAACAGGGCTCTGCTCACCAGCATCTTGGTCCCAACGCTGGCCCTCGGTTACTGACACGGTCGCCGGGCCTGGTAAGGGCCTTCCCGGAGGGACGGTATAAGCGGCATCATGTTCTGTAATGAAGAGGCCCCTTGCCAAATCAGCCGGCGTTTGTGGCTGCGTAGCCGCTGGGAGCGATTCATTGTAAACGGAGAATGAATTACCGTCCAGATATCGATGCCGGTGTTGTCGAGGTTCCGTGCGAGGGTACGCAGGGGCTCTGCGGACAGGGCTCGGCGTGGCTGGCAGGCCCGAAGACGAGGATGGATTGTCAAAGTTCCCAAGTTCTTCCGCAGGAGATGCGCTGAACAGTGGAGAGCTAGGAATATCCTCTCCGGAGCTCGGGGTAGGGCTTCGAAGATGCGCCCAACCAGGCAGACTTGGTGTAGAGCTAGCTTGACGCGCGGGATCATCGGTGTTATTCGGGCTGCTGTTTTGACAAGTTGTAGGAACACTTTGTGATGAACAGATTCGGGGTGTGGCCGAAAAGGGCGCCGGTCGCAGGAATGGCAAATCATCAGATGTCTCGCTGGTTGAACCTCTCTGCGCATGTGCGCTGTCCAACGATATCTGCCTCATCTCCTCGATAACCGAATCATGCAAACGAGGGTAATTGTAAGGCTCTTGGAGCCCAGATGATCTATTCCGCCGGCCCATGGGCCTGGAAGAAGCGAAAGAGACAGATTTGCTTTCAGATGCCTCAGCCTTGACGGGAGAGCCTTCTCGCGAAGCTGCAGTCGCGAACCGCAGCAGCGAGCTTTTGCGAGGAGCATGCTTGTTCACTTGCATGGCCGGCACAAGCGACACAGGTGAGACAGATCGGCCCTCCGGAGAATATACTCCAAGCTCGTCGTCCTCTTCTGACGCTTCTGCAGGATCTGTCGACCGCCGCCCCTTACGGCAAGGAGGAAGCCCTTCAGATTCCGAGGAGGATGGGTGACGGCTTTTTCGGGGCACCTTTCCTCGTTGCGCCATGTCATCCGTATCCTGCGGGCTTTGGGAACGGCGACAGGCCAATTCCACAGTACCGGGAGCAGGCAACATTTCATCCTCCAAGCTTCCTCCAGCAGCTTCAGCAAGAGCTCGTCGATGATCGGCAAGATAATGAATGATCTCCTGCTTCTTAAATCCTTGTCTCAACAAGCCATGGTAGATTTCAGCCTGCCGCAGATGGAATTCGACATCACTCTCCGACAGGGTGATACTGCTGGGTGGTAATCGGATCATTCTGAATATGGGTCTGCGAGGGCTGCTCTGCCGGTATCAGTATGAGGCACTGAGGGTCTTCGTGGCTTGACAACCACACCCCATGGCTAGATGGGTTCAGACATTGTCTCTGCTCTCGCTCCAGCTCCTACCCGAGCGGTCAGCGGCGTGATTGCCTGCTTGAAAGCGAAGACATTGTAGAGAAGGAGCAGGAGGAGGAGCAGGCGCAGCCGCGAGGGAGTGCTCAGGCATTGCAACACCCTCCGACATTGCATGCCAGGGAAGCCTTCTGCGTCCTACGACAGGAGAGGGCGACGTTTCAGCATCACCGTTCACCTCTCCTTCCCCCGGCCCGTCAACAGGTCGATGCTGTTCGGGTTCATCTCGTCCAAGCAGCATTTTGTCCGACTGCCATCGCCTTCCCGTCGAGAACAAGACTGCACAGCCGTCATGGAACTGGAGAGCTCCAGGATCGGATATTGGCAGGTAGAATGGGGAGCGTGAGTTTCCTGAGTGGATCAGTTAACAACATTCACGTCAGATCCACAGCAATCTTGGGTTAATCTGCGCCAGAGCCGTAGACTTCTACGCAGCTCGAGATGGGGTGGCCAGGATGCACAACTCGCCAGCAACTGCCAGCGGGCTTGAAGGGAGCAACAGCAGGCTGCCAGTCAGGGAGAATAAAGACATTTAGATATAGATACGATCAATACTGTGTGCACTGCAGTGGTCGAAGCAGTGCAAAGCGTGACAGTCGTGGTCGGCCTCGTAGTTGGAGCGCCTTGACTTGACCATTTGCGGCGTCTCATCAAGTACTACTTCAGTACTATTAGAAACTAACAAACCTCCCTCTTGATTCCCCTGCAACTTCAACCACTGCATATCTCACTGTCCACCATTGAAACGCTGCTCTCGACCCTCTTTCGAAATTCACACGTTCGCTACCTCTCGCCTGCTCCTTCTTGACTGCTACGATCGTCCCAAGCACACCTCAGCTGTGGCCGGACCGTGCTCCCCTAAGCCAGATCCCGGAGATTCTGAAACCCACGCAACGTCCATCTCGGACCCTGCCAGTGCCCTTGCCTATCTTTAGTCCACGACTATCTCGACCGATTTGAAGTGAAAAGAAGACATGTACTGCCCCGTTCGACACCGCAGGCCATGAAGACGTCGGCGCATATATTCTAGGCTACAAAGCATCTGCCAGACGACGCATTCTTAAGCCACAAATTGGACGTCATTGCACACACCCAACTAAGCCACGTCGGCCACGACTCTCAAACTTGAACAATCATGGCTGATCTCTCGCTCGGCCCCTTGAGGATCGCGAATCCTGATGACGCTGCCCCGGACACCCCATTGCAGCCTCAGCCTGCGGTCGGTACCTTCCCGCAGATATCGCCTATGATCGACGGCAATGGAAGACCAGATTATCTTTCTGTGGCGCCCGGGCGATCCTATAGTCCTGTATCTCCCCTATCAAGCGTTATGGCAGAAGAAGTCCCTTCGCAAGCGGCAGCGGCGGCATCGTCGGACGGCTTTCCCAGTTCCACCACTCCAGCCTCGAACCAGAATCAGCGCCTACCGGAGCGTCCTTCCCAGCGTCAAAATATCCCTCCTACCTACCAAGATCAGCAACAAGCGCAATTCCCTCAGTATCCGACGATGGTTCCCCAGAATTTGCACGATTCCCGATCGAACGCTGGCCGACCTGGTTCCGTCTATTACACGCAGGTGCCTGTCAATGGAGCATCGAGTAATGGTGTATCGCGACAAGGCTCGTACCGGGTTCGGAGTGACGGTTCGGCTTCCAGCGGATTTCCTCAGCGGACATCGTCGAAACGGTCAGGAATGGGAGATGTGGCCGGGGTACCCTCAAGAGACGATACTCATACTGAAAGAGCGTACGGTCAGGGGCAGTACACAACCGGGAATGCTCCGGTTCCTCCGCGGCGAACATCTCGAGGCGTGGCTGGTCCCCGTATGGGAACCACACCGACTGGCACTACTCCACCATCCACCTCGGCCAAATCGTCACAAAACCCATTATCCACCTCGCCATACAACACGGAAGACCGTCCTCTAAGCAGTTCGGAGGAGTGGCAGGAACGCGGTGCGGCTGTTGGGATCAAGCGAGAGTATGATGCGGAGGGCCGGCCGGTCCTCAAAGCGGTCAAGAAAGGTGTGAAAGACTTCAACTTTGGTCAGACCCTCGGTGAGGGCTCCTACAGTACTGTTCTTGCCGCCACGGACCGCCAGAGCGGGAAGCAATATGCCATTAAAGTGCTCGACAAAAGACATATCATAAAAGAGAAAAAGGTCAAATACGTCAATATTGAGAAGGACACACTGAATCGGCTGACGGACCATCCGGGAGTGGTGAGACTTTACTACACATTTCAAGATGAGAGGTCATTATATTTTGTCCTGGATTTATGTCCTGGCGGTGAACTGTTGGGTGTGCTCAAACGGATGTCCACGTTTGATGAAGAATGCACCCGGTTCTATGGGGCGCAAATCCTGGATACAATCGAGTATATGCACAGCCGCGGGGTCATACATCGAGACCTGAAGCCAGAGAATCTCTTGCTGGATGAGAACATGCACATCAAGGTGACCGACTTTGGCACGGCGAAACTTTTACCGGAAAAGAGGACTGCTGATGGCAGAATTGAATTTGAACCGGATTCTACTTCGGAGGAAAACAGGGCCAACTCATTCGTGGGCACTGCGGAATATGTGAGCCCGGAACTACTGACAGACAAGAACGCTTGCAAGGCCAGTGACTTGTGGGCCTTTGGCTGCATCATCTACCAACTCTTAGCCGGCCGACCGCCGTTCAAGGCCGGCAACGACTATCAGACCTTTCAGAAGATCGTCAACCTCGACTATGAGTTTCCTCGAGGCTTTCCAGAGGTTGCCCGTGATCTGGTGGAGCGGTTACTTGTCCTGGACCCTCAGAGGCGGTTATCTCTGGAACATGCCAAAAACCATGCCTTCTTTGCTGGCATACAATGGGGTCGGGGTTTATGGCAACAAAAAGCCCCTCGGTTGAAACCGTATGTCCCCCCACCACAACCGCCGATAAAGTTGAACGGAAACCATGCTCAAAACAATTACCTTCCCGACGTCCCTTCTCACAGCACCCACTCGACCATGCTCCCGCCGAACAACCAGAAGCCACATCCGAGAGTCATCACCCAACTACCTCCCCCTAGCCAGTTGGATATTGAATGGTCTCCGGTTCTTACACGAAGCAATGAGAGGATCCTTAAGCTGGGTAACTTGTCTGTGGTCTCGTCACCGAATCCTCACAGCCCGCACGGAAATGAGGGTGGAGGCAAGTTGGCCAGACTGTTCGGCGGGAGTAACACGAAAAAGCGGCAACGCCTCGTCATGGTCACATCAAGTGCACGCATCATCATTGCTCCTGCTGGTGGAGAGGAGAAGAAGTCCAAGTCGGAAATCTCGCTCCTTGCGCCGGGGACAGAGTTTTCCAGCGCTACAGACTCTAAGGGGGTGACCCAGTGGATAGTCAACACAGTAAGTGGTACACTGAAGGCCTGAACAGCAGCAACTGACCCTTTGACAGCGGGATCGACATTATGTCTTCGAAGATCCGAAGCCAGCCTCTAACGATCCCATGGCGACTGCTGTGTCGGCTCAAGAATGGCTGGACGCCTTAGTACGTGCTCGGGAAATTGCAACATCTATGCAGAACTCCAGTAATACCTATTCGAATGATGACACTCTCAACTTGTCGTCTTCGGCGCTGTCCAGTCATGCGAGCACTATCGACCAATCTACAGATATAAGCCCTCACTCTGCCAGCCACGGGCACACAGGACGAATGATACTACACAAGCAACACTCCGGTGGCGATACCGAGTCGCTCAAAGGGCGAAAGCGCTTCAGCAAGCGACAGTCTAAGAGCGGCTTGACCGCAGTGTTTTGAGGTGCGGTGTCTGCAGGGCACTCGCACCTGGCGTTAGCCTGATTTACCTCTGGGTTGTGTTTTTCTCTTCTCTAATTCTTGAGCCCGGTTTAGCATAGCGTTGCGGTTGTGGTTGCGGTTGCAGTTGCGGTTGATGAGCAGCATGACGATTGGTGATGAAACAGTGTGACGAGGACACGAGTTAGCCGGGCCCCTCGCAAGGTTTGAAATCTAGACAGGATATATTACGCCGAGAAGATTGCTCATGGCAGTCTGATGATGGTAAAGAGATGGGTGGTATACCCCAACCCACGCTGTCACTGTCATAAAAGGTGAATCAGTATGAATGTAAAGGTTCTGGTCATGGGTTGCCCATTATTATTCCACGTAGGATCAAGTCCTCAAGCCTGTGTGATGCTCTTAGCGCTGTATCTCTTCCACAAATGACATGTCCAGTGGACCAGGCGAACTGCAAGGTTGTTCTGATGGTGCCAGTGGCTTTGCTTCGCGACCAAGTGAACTTGAACGAGTGGCTGGGATTGACTGGACCGGCATCCAAGCTAGATCCCGAAATGGACTTGTCTGCTTCTCATCGCCACACTTCGGTTCCACGGTCCTGGCGCGCCTGCGGTTGCCAGCGGCCGTCGCCAGAACCTGAAGGTTCTTCGCAGTGTGGTGCGCAAGGGCGCTGCTATCGAACGATCAGCTTGAGCTTGACACGAGTATCTCGCTTTAAACCGATTGATGGTATTTGGAGACGATTTCGAGAACGACAGGCAAGGCAGCGCATCCCCGGCCGACCCTCGATCAAGCGACCGAGGCAGGCAAAGGCAACATCTGCGGACCACTGCAGGCGAGGCGCGTAACGTGGTGAGGAGGGGCTGGCAGTGGTTTGCGAAAAGGACTTGAAAGCATCAAAGGCAGTTCTATCTCGAATTACAAAGAGTCGGATACGAGTTGTGCGGTACCTCCCTCGTTCGAGCCTTATGGACGACAGAAGAGCAACGAGCCAGCCTTATTCGCAGTACATGACCTGAACCGATCCGATTTTCTCATTCCGATGGTCTCACGAGCCGAACTTGCCGACCACTCTCGAGGCGCGCCGACAGTCACATCTGGAACGTCTCGGTCGCGCCATCACCACCATCACCATCGTCGAGGACGGTCCTCATATGGCGGAACGTCATCTTTTCAGTCACCGCAGAACGAGTTCCCCTTCTTCGCGCAGTCGGGCGATGTGGAGATCGTGTTGACCTGCGATGGACAAGAGAAGAGATACCTCTTGCACCGGTTTACGTTGGCGCAATTCTCGGGGTTCTTCGAGGCGAGTACTAGCGATGAATGGTCCCGAGGTCATCAGGTTCAGGTTCTGCCGGAGTCTTCGCGACAACCTAACAATCAAGCTTTGAGTGCTATCGAGGAGGAAGCATCTCGAGTGAGCAGCGCAACGGCCGGTCCGGGGACGGGTACATCAAATGGGCGCACCACTCTACCAGTGTCGGGGTCGGCGTCCTCGAGGCGGAGGTGGCGGTATGAACTGGACTGGGAGAATCTTGAGGACGACGACGAACCGATCCTGGTGCAAAAGACACCTGAAGGCCCGCTGTTCGCACCATCACGGCTACCACCCCCGCCGGTGCAGACACAGCCCCGAGCAGCTCCAGCTCATCACTCGTCCTTTTTCCGCTCCATGGCGAGCCTTGCTCTGCCTCATCACGGACATGCAGCATCGCAATCCGCCGCGCAACTGGCAGTAGTCCCAGATCCAGCCCTTACAAACCCGCTGTTACGCGACTACGACAATCTGTTCCGCATCTTCTACAATTTCCCGCCCGTGCTCAACTCGACCAACATCGCCTCCGCATACTCGGAATGCAAGGCCCTCTTGTCTCTGGCAGACATGTACGACGCTCTCCCGGTGGTTGGACCGCGGGTCGACCATCACCTCCTCCGGTTTTCGTCTCGACTCTTCAAGCAAATAGCAAAGTATCCTCCTTCATATCTCAAACTCGGGTATCTGGCTCGAAGTCGCATCATCTTCTCGGAAGCTCTCACGCATGTCGTGGGCCAGTGGCCTGCTGCTTTGCCGTACCTGAAGCCACCGGACTACTCAGGCGGACGGTACGAGGTCCCACTGTCTGTTATCGATTTGATCGAGGATAAAGTGGATGAGCTGGAAGAGTTGAAACAAAAGATAGAAACCAAGTTGTTCAGACTGACGTTGACCACGAGTCGCGGTGAGAGAGTCAATCCTGCAAACGACTATCTTGGCTGGCTTGCAATGAGCCTGTGGCGCCAATGGTTGGCGGAGAACACGACGCCAGAAGTGCGTGGGATACTGAAGAATGGATCTGGATCGCGGCCGGGCAGTTCGAATGCGAATGCTAATACGAATACAATGCAACAACCTCAAGGAGTGGTTGGCAGACCACCACCACCAGCTCCAGGTACTACAGTTATGGTTGCTGCGCCGCCACAGCCGCTCGTGCGCGTTCCTCCAACAGCAACAGCCGTGAATACCGGTCGGATCTTCCGGATGATAGCATCCACCAATCCGGAAAGTTACCTTCCTCACGACGAACTCAAGCGGTTCCTCAAGATCAGACCGCCGGGTCTTCCGAATTCGCCGTCCATGTATACTCGGGAAAATCTGCGGCGGTTTGAACGCAAGATTGACGAGATCAAGAACGTCGCGCGTGATCTTGTGAAGCCGTTGACGAGAAACTGCCTTGAACTGGATTTGAGGAGTTTGAGTGATGGCCAGGGCGGCGGTCTGGGATACTTGACGTGCATGCGGTGTGAAGAGGGAGATCTGCCTTGGGAGGTGTGATATGTGATCTGATCTGGTTTGCGAAGATCATGATGCTGGGTCGTTGGTCGCTGGTCGCACGACTACTACAGACAGGGTCACTACGCTGCTCGGAGAGATTCTATTTCTGGTTATGATTTATATCGCGGTATGAACGATGTGAAACGAAACGAGCTATGACGATAATTTTCTTTGCATGACATGCAATGTTGGTATATGTGGTTGCTTGCAGGTTGAGATACTGGTAGTCCAGAGTCCACTCAAGCGTGTTGATACCTACAGTGCTATGTTTGTCCCTATGGCCGATGCTTCTGAAGGCTGGCAGTGAGATGTTTTAGCATAATGTTTTGATTCAATGAATCAACGGTTGAATCTATCGCTGGTGCTGCTCGAACCAAGCAATTCGTACAGAGTGAAGAGAGATGTCTGGTCAAATGGAGGCAATCTGAACGTGTTGTAACTTGATCGAGGTCTCGCGTTGTGCACAATAATCGCTGCCTGACGAGCCAACCCTCACCAACCGACACCGGGCTTAGTGGGTACAATATGGAGGGAAATGCCACAAATGGTCAGTCAGACAGCCATGTTTAGCTTGCGTCGGTCAATCACCTCCGCTGGACTTCCTCGACATCGCGGTTCACGACACTTGTCTTGCTGTGGTTGTGGGATACACCATTCACTACAACATCCTGCTCAGACGACTGCTTCGAAAGCCATAATTTCGAACCACCTTCCTACTCGACAAATCGGTCCGCGACATGATATGATACCCTCTTCTCCTTCGTGTCCCTCTACATCGCAATAGACTCCCTTTCAATTGATTTGTCTTGCACCCTCGCTCGACCAGCATAAGAAACCGACCACCGACACAATGTTATCCTCACTCGCGCCCTACCTCTCCAACCCACGCACCTCACTCAGCCAAGTCCTCAACTTCGCCCTCGTCCTCTCGACGGCATTCATGCTATGGAAATCGTTATCTGTCATTTCCGACTCCCCTTCCCCGATCGTGGTGGTTCTCAGCGGATCCATGGAACCGGCGTTCCAGCGAGGAGATTTATTGTTTCTATGGAACCGAGACAAGACCGCCGAAGTGGGCGAGATTGTGGTGTATAATGTCAGAGGAAAGGATATTCCGATTGTCCATCGGGTCGTGAGGAGTCATGCTCCGACTACGCCGACGATAGAGAAAGGGGTGAATAATACAAGGTATGCGCGTTATAAATCTCATTATTTGTTGGTCAACTGACAAACGTGAGCAATAGTCCCAAGCTATTGACCAAAGGTGACAACAACGTCGCCGACGATACGGAACTCTATGCTCGAGGACAAAACTATTTGGACAGAAAAGAAGATATCATCGGCAGTGTGCGTGGATATGTGCCTGCCGTGGGATACGTGACCATTATGTTGAGTGAACATCCGTGGCTGAAGACGGTCATGTTGGGGATTATGGGGTTGATGGTGATTCTTCAGCGGGAATGATTGATGAGCTAGAGCTGGCTGAGAGCTAGAGCTTGGTTGTTGGTACAGTACCGAACCAGACTTTACGGGTGGTAAAGGGATAATCGGATCGGCCGGGCACGGGTATCGGGTACTGTGAGACTGGTTCTGGGTGCTTTGCGTGCTTATCAGGACCGAGCCGATACAGGCAGTCGGGCTAAGGCAGTCGGGCTATGCCAGAAAGTTCCTACGGCATCGACAGCCTTCAAGTTCGAGGTGGAAGAGCATCTCGTCCACAGGATGCAAAGCACGCAAAGCACGTATGGTCTATGGTCGACATGGCAGTACGATGGGATCTCTGGCTCACTATCGCATCCAGGCTGTACTTTAAGGTATGGCATTGAATGCCTACAACACACGGCGTCTGTGGAAATCGAGTGACCATGAGATCTCTGCCCCGATTCAGCGCATGATCGAGGACTTAGGGCCCGCTGGGATCAATGGACAAGCAAGAGGAGGCGCAACCGGCCCCAAGTTGTGCACCAATGCAATTCAGGGCTCCTCTACGAATCATTCAAAAGGCGACCGACAAAAGGACGGCTCACATTCAATCAGCCGGGTTAGGAACACTAAAAGCAGACTCGGGATTCAAGCAGTGGGGACCGCAATTCAATCGTAAAAATGATTGACTGCCAGCTGAATGGGACGGTATGTAGATGCATCCGATCGGGCTGCCAGTGTAGAGCATGGATCCCTCCATCTTGGGACTGTTCTGTACCACCTCAAGTTTCATGGCAACCTATCCAACTGGAAGCCCCGTTGCTCTCTTGGGTCTATTGGCGCCGTACTAGTAGTGCATCGCATTGCATTGGTTCTTGCAAAAGTCCGCCGCCGCGAGCTGAGAACTACCTACTCGTAGACCCGTGTTCTGTTCTTCTTCAGTACTATCATTCCGTCGCACGCTTCCAAAAGAGGCTGGCCTAACATCAACTTTTTACAGTACAGGGCTGAAGACCCTGAGACACTTGCTTACCGTAAGCTACTGTATTGGCCAGATTGCGCAACGCGGCGGGACGCCTTAACGGTGATGCACTTTTGCTGGTGACCCTAATTGAAGTCGTATGTTTAAGGACTCTATAGCACCATTATCATTTGTGATCAATTCATCACCCTCACCTTGATATACAGCTGTACGATAGTCTATCAGCTCTCCTACTAATAGTAGCCAGCCTGACCGAGCGAGCCAGCCTCAAGAAACGTGGCGGCGTAGCGACATTTGAATTGGATTCATTTTCCCTCCCGGGACTCTGGCGCCGGCAACAGCCCTAGAAGCCCAGCAGCCCACTTGCAGCAAGCAGGTCCGCTTCCACACCCACGCCCGCGGAGCCCCAAAACTCCAAGTCCAAGGTCCCAAGTCCGACGACTCCCGCTTTGGTTTGCGCCGACTTTGTTGAGTTTGAGGACTTGTTTGCTACTAATTTGTCGTTACCAAACCTCAAATCATCTCCCACTCGCGATTCCGAGGATTCAAGTTGGAATATACATACATTCACCTTTTGTGTTCCGGGGTATTGCAGAATCCGGGGTTTGCTGGCGCTGAAACACACTTCTACTATTACAGTATCAGCCTCAGCGTTCCCCTCCAAGCCAGAGCCAGAGCCAGGGACTTCAAGTCATCGCGACAATTGAAAACAAACCTCAGTTCAGGAGCAAACGAACGCAGCCATAGCAAAGGACTTGGACTTACAACGATGATTGTTCCGGGATCAAATCAGAGCGATATACACCCAGCGACGAGTCAGAGATGACGACCTTGTTCGAATTCGGTCTGTTTCAATCTCCATAAATCACGCGCATATCAGATACCAGTGTAGTGAGTGGTGCCCGCCATGGAGAAAGACCACAGTTACACAGTATTGCGCGAACTGCCGAGTATCGCCGTCGAAGACGACGTCGAACTGGTGAGTAGCCGAGATGTCACGACTAGTAGCGCAACAGAGCCTCCGTCGTACTATCGCGGCCGACACTCTCGAGGAAACTCGCGCGACGACCGTCTACGCTCGATTGAAGAGAGCGAAACCCTGCATGACTCATTCAACGAACTTGCAGAACAGCCAGGGCCGCCGCTCGTGCCACCACCACCATCCAAATCTCAAACTCGTCGACGGAGTCCCGCCGGGGCCCAGTCAATGCTGCGCCGGCTCACTACCAAAGTTGCGCCGATGACCAGATATAATTTTCGATCAACTGGCAAGCGATCACAACGACGGCAGTATGCGACTTTGGACGACGAGGGTGAGGGTGATGACGACCGAGTGATCGTGGACATTTCGTCTCTCGAAGGTATGGGTTGGGAAATGGCGGACTTGTCGAAGCCGACTTCTCCCCCACCAGAGTCAGAGTCGGACACGGCATATGTACGTCCGACGAAACCGGATTTTCGCTCGTTTGTCGACAAGCACCGGTCGGTTGGAGAAGGGATGAGGGATATTGGCGTGCAGCTTCGACGCAATCCCACCAAAGTCGGCAGGAATCCTTCTGTAGCTGGTCGAGGAGACGCTTACAGCACGAGAATTGACCGGACCAAAACGGTGCGTGATCTCGGGCAGAGCCTGGCGCGAGAGAAGAACGCCATTGTCGAGGTCGAGGAGGAAGTGGTTGACTTGAGTACCCTCGAGGGTGCCCACACCGACCTTCGAGCCAGCCGCACGTTCGACGACATGTCTATGAGACACAGCATCTTGCCGCAACAGACAAAATCCTATTTCTTCCCCGAGGATCCCGACATTCCCAACTGGAAGCCCTGGTCTATGAGCAGCGTGTATATTTTGTTTCTTGTGATCCTGGCTTTGGGCCTAGCTGGATTTCAGGAGTACCTGTTTCAGCGATCGGTCAAGGCTGCCAAACGGAATAGTGGGCTCCTAGCGTTCAACCGCGTGGCGGATATTTCGACATGGGACTTTTTCGCATGGAAATGTGAGTGCCGAGCTGCTGTTTCTCTTTTCCGTCATTTGAATCGAAAAGGCCGTGCGCGTCTTGGTTAACTTGCGTGCTGACCATGGCTACACAGACCTCCCCACCATGGTCACCATCGTATATGCGGTAATGTTTTCAATCATGGACTTCGATATCCGTCGGCTGGAACCGTTCTATCAGCTATCGCGACCTCGAGGGGCCCGGGCGTCGGCAAGCTTGAACCTCGATCATTTGACCATGTTTCAATACTTTGTGCCTTTCAAGGCTCTTCGGCTCAAACAATGGGCCGTGCTCTTTTCCACGACCGGCAATATTGTCGCTTCGATGGCGGCTCCTGCACTGCAAAACCCGTCAATTGTATTCAACAGAAACCCCAACTGCGAATTTGACGGTGACAGGTGCATCAATTCGGACGAGAAGCAATATTGGGTCCGCGTGTCCAGCGTCTGGTCGCGCTTGTTGTCGGCAAGCTATGTCGTGGTGGCGCTGGTGTTGGTGGTTTTGTTTCTGCAGTTGCGTCGGAAATCGGGTCTCCTCAGCGACCCCAAGGGCATTGCAGGAATCGCGTCCATGGCGACAAAATCACACATTCTCCAAGATTTTGCCGGTCTCGACCTGGCAAACCGGCAAGAAATCCATCAACGACTCCAACATCGTCGATATGTCCTGTACAAATCTTCCATTTGGCAGGGCGAATGGAGCGAGACCAGCGAACCGATTCAGGACAGCGAGAGGAAACTGAAAAGTCCGCATCCGGCCATGCTTCGAACCCAGGCGGCCGTTTGGTTTCTGTTGTTCCAGGTGTTCTGTCTCGTGGCTGTGCCCATAATCACCCTGACCGACGGGAACGTGGTGCCCAACACGCTCCCCTGGCTGTCGATCGTGGTGGCCACGCTACTGAAGCTGCTCTTCAGTACGTTCGAGTCCGACGTGCGGTTGATGGAACCGTTTTATCAGCTGTCCAAAGGCCAAGCCAGGCCGGAGAACAGTTTGACCCTCGACTACCAGGCCACCGTGTACGGGTGGATGCCATTCCGGGCTTTGTGGAAAAGACATTATCTGGTGGCTCTGGTGGGCTTTTCGTCCGTGGCTCTGGATGTCCTTACCGTCACGGTGGGATCGTTCTCGGTCAATGCGAAGGACCTGATCGGTGAGGATGGGAAACAGATCAAGCATAAGTTGGCCACCCATGAAGTCTCCTTGGGCGACGAAACTCTGATCTCGTTCTGGGCGTCGGTCGTGCTCTCTATGGTCATTCTGGTGTGTGTCATCATCACCACCTCGCTGGTGTACTGGCGCCGAGGACATCCGTTCCTCCCACGCGAACCATCCACCATCGCTGCCGTACTGGCTTTCATCTATGCGAGCAAGATGCTGACGGATTTCATCGATACTGAACGCCTCAACAATAAACAGATGGAGCGGCGGCTCAAAACGCTGGGTAAGACTTATGCCCTGGGCTGGTTCCGGGGCAGAGATGGGCAGATCCATTGTGCCATTGATGAGGAGCCCATGAAGAGTAGGTACGTGCATGGGAAGCCGTATACCATGGCCCAGGCTGGACCGTTACTGTCCCATGAAACCTTTTATTCGGTATAGCTGGAATATAACGACATGAAGAGTTCGAAGCGAATTGCATTTGAAGTCGTGGAAAAGGGGGAGTGATTAATAGGTCAAGGGGGCGCCATTTTTGAGTACAGTACGCGCGCAGGTTACGCCAGCGACCGATTTTCTTGCGACCTAGGATACAGAATGGATAGACGGGTTATGAGGGATAAACAGGTAGTTGCAGGACGGGTTTCATGATGGATGATCAATTAGCGCCGTTGTGTTGAGCGTACAGGTATATAGTAAAGTATATAGAGACGAGAAGGTCAACGATTCCGCGAACACAATCGAATTGGTTGCTGGAGCGTTACGGCATACTGTGTACTTCCGGCCAGCTGTCTGGTGTTGTCAACCCTGGAAAGGCTTGGTCATAAATATGTTTCAGAGGCATTTGCTGCCAGTGGACTGTCAATGAAGAACCGGCGCTGTACATCTCATGTGCTCCGTGCTCTTTTGCAGTGCTGCAGTGGTCCATCAACACATATTTGGTCGAAATGCCGCATGCGTAACCCTGTCAGGACGGTGAGGGTGGGAGTGGGCGTGCAGTGGCAGGTAAGCAGGGATGGAATGGTGGCTCGCTCAGGCTGGCGGACTGCAGCAGGGCCACGATAGGCGAAGGTGGAAAGATTGGTGGAGAAGATGGCGACCTGGATGGTAGCAGTTAGTGGGTGGGTGATCGCGGTGGCAGCTGGAGATGAGGACGAGACGAGGACGAGACAAGCGAGCGATGCTGATGATGCAGTTCAAGTTGTTGGTTGACATGCCAAACAGCAGAACTGGAAGCGATGATTTGATGATTCGCATCTTGATCAGATGTGCTCCACCACAACGCCAATGACGTCAAGGCCACGAAATGCGTCCATCACCAGAAAAGTCACTGGAACTGGAACTGCGCCTGGAACTGGGACAAACAAGAGTCAAGTTACAAGACATGGACGATTCTATCCTGGTCTATAACCTCTTTGTCTAGAGTTGATTGCATTTCTCGCAACTCAACACCCAACGTATATCAGCTCTTCAGCTTAATCCTCACACATCTTCCTCTCCAACTGCATACTCCATCCTCTACTGACTGGCCACACTCTACGTTTCCCACCATGCCTCCGCCAGGCTACGTCTTCCGCGACGGCGGCACAACTCCCCCAGGCGAAGAGACCTCCGACAAGAGACTTGGACATGTCGAACCGGCCAAGCCTGTAACTGCAACCCCCAAGGCTCCTCTGGGACAAAAGACCACCACCAGTCACCAACTGGCCACCGAGAACCATGAAATCCAAGGAGCTGCGCAGCGGGCCGGTAAGGAAGATACAACCACCAACCTAGGATGGCAAGCCAACGCGGTCAATGTAGAAACTTTTGTCGGCAGATTGCCCAACGAGGAGCTGTGGACGTTGGTCAGAAGATTCAACAAGGCAAGTTTCGCTCTCCTTTCAATACTGTGGTTTTGAACACGCACTTACCTCTGCTGTCTGTAGCAAATGTACCATGTCAAAGCAATCCCTGAATCACCCCCTGGAGGTCTCGACCTCAACATCGCCGAAGAAGATGAATTCTCTCCCGACAAACTGCGATCCACCTTGGAACGGCTGTACATGACGGTCATTGTTGGCCTTATCGCCTTTGGGAAACACATTGCTCGACTGAGATCATGGCGCGAACCCCGTCGAACGGCAGGTTTTGCCGCAGTATACTTTCTCGCCTGGATCTTCGACTTGATCATGCCAACACTCTTCACCTTCATCATTGTCCTTATCACAGTTCCTGAGGCTCGCACGTTTCTTTTCCCACCCGCACCCCTGGCTCTGGTCGACCACAAGACTGGTGGAGTCCAGAAACCCAAGGCCGGAGTATTGGGTAGTCATGACAGTGTTACAGGCGCGCCGGAGAAACACCAGGGCGAGGCTGTCGAGCAGGAAGCCAGCAATTTGGTATCTGGTATTGCCTCGGTGGCCATCTCCAGTGCCGCGGGACAGCACGACCAGGCCAATCCGGATGAGAAAGGTGGCAGCAAGACCCTCGATGCTTCAGCGCCTGATCCAACCAAAATGGCCACCGCTGCTGCCGATGCTTCTGCTTCTGCCCAAGGTGACACGCCACATCCGGCACATGACAAGACCAAACAGCCGATGGAAGAGACTGTGTGGAAGCAGATGCGTCCTGTGATGCATGCAATCAACGATGTCTCGGACATGTGGGAGCGCTTTGCGAATGCCTTGTCTCCTACTCCACCTTTCTCGCACAAGAAGCGTTACCAACTCGGTGCCATTTTCGTCCCTCTCCTGCTCATTTCTCTAGTCACCAGAGCGGAATGGGTCATCAAGGGAACCACCTTCTTTGGCGGCTTTGCCTTCTTCTCCGACCCGTTGATGCAACGCGGTATCCGCTTGTTGAACGAGAAAATCCCCGACTGGCCCAAATACTTGGAACTTCGCAACACGCTCCTCAAGGGGGTTCCTACCAATGCTCAACTTACCCTTACACTTTTGCGGATCGGTGAAGCCAATCGAGCACCTCTGCCTCCACCTCCGACCTCTAATGAGCCTCCGCCAGAGAAGCCGGCCGAAGTGGACAAGAAAGCTCTCACAGACAACGGACTGGATGCTTCTCACGGGGAGATTGAAGATGCCATCACTGTGGACAAGCCACCGGCTGGCCAGCCACAGACCCCGGCACAAGCCCAGGAACAGGTCCAGGCCAAGGCAGCGGAGCAAGAGGCACAGAAGAAGAAGAAGGGAGGCATCGGGTCCAAGATCATGTCTGCGTTCAAGACTACCACGGCTGGAGGTGTAGAGACCAAACTGACTGTCGACTCCGTCAAAGCATCACTGGGATCCCAATCTGCCAAGGAAAAGCTGGGTGTTCTGCCTACCAAAGACGAGATGAAGGCCAAGCAGGTCGAGGGCCCAGTGGAATACCGAGGCAGATACAACGGCCGCAAGGGCGCTGTCTACATCGACAGCTCGGTTTCTCCTCCCAGCGGCAATCGACCAGCCTCGCCGTGTGTCTATTTCACCACGCATTTGGACGGTCATGAGTCGGTTGAAACCATGCCTCACGATCCCGACTGGGCCATCTCGATTGCCGATCTGGCGGAAGTGAAGAAGATTGGCGGATTGGGATGGAAGGGTAAGATTGTGGTGGGATGGGCCACGAACCGCGAAGTCAAGGATGGCATCGAGTTGGTGACCCGCGATGGTCGGAGATACCATGTCATGGCTATCAAGGACCGAGATGCGCTGTTCAACCGGTTGATCTCCATGGGTCAACAGGTGTGGGAGAGTTATTGATTGCCAAGGTTGTGTTGTCAATGATATCCCAGTATGATTGTATGGCCGTATGCATGTATATCAAGTGTTTATGAGAAGGATGATACCGATGGATGTATTCGTTGACAGACAATGCAGTATCTAATCTAGGTCCTGATCCTTGTTGTACTTATCCCTTAAACAGCGCCTTCCGCCAGCAGCCGGTGCTGACTGTTTGACAATACTAGCCAGGATACCGATAGAAAGACATTATCAACACCCATGTCGTCGCCAATCTCGCATAAGGAGCGCCAGTACAGACTTGCGCAATACTACGCTGTACAGCTAGCTACGGTATGGTCGTAGTCTTGTTGGTGGTGACTTCGATATTCCCCGAATGGTTCGCTTAATTATATCCAAGTGTGTTTCCCACGGCCCACGGTGGGTCAATCTAGCATCTTCACTTTCGTTGTAACGTTCGCGTTTTGTCTCGACTTCTCATCCCTAGTCATCATAGCAGGAGCTGAAGGTTTCTTACCGGGCTACTCAACAATGTGCAAAATACAGGATTCCATACCAGGCATCTTATCACATGCCAGACTTGGATGCGTCGTAATGGTTCCATTTCTTGCGGCTGTGCGCGTCGACAAGGGTACGTATACTGTACGTATACCCTGAGCTCTGGACGGTCCATCTCCGGTTTCAGAGCTACACTGGATCCACAATCATCCCCTTGATCACCTTTTGGACTGTATGTTGAGATCTCTGATCTCCTATGATCTCGCTATGCATTGGCTACTCTAAGAAGATGCTTCGAGGCTCTGCCGCTATCAACTTGGCCTCGATGTCTGCCCCGGCCACAGCTCCCCTGTCCCGCGCCGGGGCTCTCTGGAGGGTCGGTCTTGTTCTGACTTCAGTTCGATGCTTCCTCACACACCTTCTGCCGTGTTGGTGTCTATCTCTACGGACTGGAGTTCCCTGTGTCTTGCTTCCAGTCTTCCTTTCCTGGACCATCTATTTTGCCGTGTTGACCTTTCTTCTGCGTTGTCTGGCGCTTGAAAGAGAGAGCCTTCCGACACTAATGCTTTATCACGCTGTTCTTGACGCATGCGGTTTCTCTTTTGCGCCTTAGCAAGTCTCGGAATTGTAATCGGTGGACAAACTCCCCTGCCTTCCTCCGGGACCTTTTCCGAGCCATGCGCGCAAGTCAGTGCTGCCAGCGCCTCCTACGTGGCTGCTACCCCAACAGGTATGCATCTAACCACCACTTCCCACATCAAGGAAACCAGGCAATGAGTGTCAATCCTTAATATTGGCTGAATCACCCCTATTCTAGAACCAATCTGACCGAGCCCTCCAGTCACAGCGGCCCTTGTTGACGGCCAACTCTTCCATGAATGCTTGCAGTCCATCCCGATCGACACCCAAGCCGCCCTCGACCTTCTGCATTCGCTGCAACCTTATGTCGAACTCCAGTCGACGTTGCACTACCTAGCGGACCCTCCAGCCGACTATCCACACGCGGCAATAGACATCCTCAGGTCTCTCCAAGATCTAATCGACAAAGTTGCTGGGGGAGAATACACCGGCGAATATGCATTTCAAACCGACTTGTACCGCCTCTTTCTGTCCGCTCGGGACGGTCACTTTTCATTCATCCCGGACCTCTTGAGCGTAGGCGCATTCAAAATTCCCGATGCGGCGCTCGTGTCCGTCTCGTCTGACGGCCTACAATTACCACGAGTCTATTTGCGAAGCGATGTGTCTGGCCAACCGCCTGTAGTTGAACCTGAATCAATCACGGTTCAAGGCAGTATCGATCTAGCAATTCAACATGAGGCCCACAGTCAGCCCCCGTCACATGTGGTCAGCATTAACGGCGTTCCAACACTAAAATATCTGATGTCCCAGGCCGGGGAGTTCCCTTTCCATGACCCCGATGCCGGATACAACTTCCTGTTCTGGGAGGCTGCACAGGTAGCTCAGTTCGGCGCTGCTGCAGGAGATGGAGGGTTTGTGAATCCGGTATTCTATCCAGGTCCACAAACAAGCATTGAATTCGCTAATGGATCGGTTCTTCATGTCCCGACTCTTGCCGAGATAGCCATTAGTTTCGACAATGTGACGGATGGATCGTCTGCTTATACAAAGTTCTGCGTTTACAAGGAGCCCCAAGGAACAACGCCTCCTGCCCAGCCTCCGCCTCCGTCGAAGCATGAGCAGTTACCACTTCTGCCATTCTACCCCGAACCTGTCGTCAGTGACTTCGGAAGACGGGTGGCAGGATATTTTCTCGACGCCGAGAAGAATGACACAGCAGTCTTGTCGGTTCCCAGCTTCGATATCCCGGACGAGGAGGCAACCGGCTTCCAGGCCACGGTCTCGAAGTTTCTCGAGCAGTGCAGAATCGAGAAAAAGACCAAGTTGATTATCGATGTCTTCGCCAATGGAGGCGGAATCGTCGAACTAGGGCTGGATTTGTTTGTTCAACTATTTCCGGATCTGGAACCCATTGCTCTGGCGAACATGCGCGCTTCGTCTGTTCTGGATGACCTTGGAACAAGAATGTCCCAGTTAAACGTGAGCGACTCCGGCTCTGCCGTGGGGAATCCGTTCGACGTCCATTCGTATCTTACGCCGGACGGATCGCCATGGCAGGACTGGGCTCACATGTATAGCGGGGAAGAGTCTGCGGAAAGAGAACAGAAGCAACTTTATCGTCATGGCAATGTTGCGCGGCGCCAAGATGAAAAGGAAGTCCACGAGAGTAGCTTCCAAAGACTTGAAGAAGAAACCGACAACAGCCGTCTCACTATTGTTGACGACCACCAACTCAATTCCTCCAATGATGGCAGGCCTCTCACCAACGTTTTTCGACCCAACCCGGACATCCTTGGCCCTCCAGGCTTCCATATGACTCCGACTAACAAATCCGCCCGGCCGATCTTCGACCCGTCGAACGTTGTCCTCTTGACAGAGGGTTATTGCGCATCCACATGCGCCGTTTTCGCCGAACTATTGAAGACGCAGACTGGAGGCCAGGTGAGGTCTGTGGTAGTGGGTGGACCGCCAATCGGTGCTCATACCCGGGGAACTGGAAATGGAAGCAGAAATCGTAACGGAGATATCATAGACCAAGTATTACCGCCTCCCATGCAGTACCTTGGCGCCACCAAAGGTCACACGTTCTGGTCAATCGAGTCGATACTAGCCACTGCCAGGCTTGCGGGAGAACAGGCGGCTTTGCCGAGCGCGCAGCGAGAGAGGAGATGTCCAGAAGAGAGAATGAGGCAAAGTGAGCGATCGATCTCCGACACCAGCACCGACAAGACCAACGATGATCACAGAAGCAGAGGCAATCTCGCGTCTTCGTCGTTGATTAATCATTTCACAGACCTCTCTCTTCGCAGGACGTTCCACCCCGACGCTGCAGGCGTGAATGGACTGAATCAGATTCGCGTCGGCGGTGACTGTGGCCAACATGACCGTGCCAGAGGTGGCTGTGTTGGTGTCGGAGGTGGAAGTCGAAGCGGTCCCAGTTACAAAGAGAACCACCATGAAGAAGTAGACACAACCCAAGACCACTGCGCGGCATCATTCCCACTGCCCCTCCAATTTGTCCGGGACGACGCAGACTTTCGATTCTTCTTCACCGCCGAAATGCTCGAAAGGCAGGAGGTGATCTGGCGGAGGGCTGCCGATCTGGTGTTTTGATATCGATCGTATGCGCCAGTATTGGAAGGCATGGTAGTATACCTACCTAGGAACAAGACATCTCACCTCAAGACATCTAGAATGCGAAGCAGCAAACTCTCGTTGATGCCCACTATCATATACATGTTCCAAAATCCAACTTCAACCGCAATCATGCTGAATTCATTCATCCATTCATCCATCCATCCACTTATTCATCCATCGCCTTCCTTCCTTTCACCACGCACCAACACCGTCTCCCCAACATCCATCAACGCCACATCTCGCCCCCAGGTCAACCCAGCCTCTTCCGCCGCCCGTCTCCAATGCCTCGGCGGATCCCGCACATCCTCATACTGCGCCGACAACCCGCCACGCACGGTTCCCCAATGCATGCCGATAGATTTGCGGGCGCGAACATCTTTGTGGATTTGCACGGAATCCCACGCGTCCGCGTGGACATTGGACATGAACTCCCGAGGCTGGCATAGTCCGATTGGCAGGAGGGCCAGGTCGAAGGGACCTAGGAGGTTGCCGATTTGTTTAAATGCTGGACAGGCTGGAGTCTGATCTCTATCTCTGTCCTTGACTTCGTCTTTGGCTTCGCTGGATATTGTTGTCGTGACTCCGACGGTGCGGTAGGCCGTGTCGCCGGCAAAATAGATCTTAGGACCACGGTGTTGCCCAGATGGTAATGAAGTGGAACAGTCCTCAATAGCATATGAACACCATAGGTCGTGGTTCCGGTCAAACACGCTGCGGGAGGAAAAGTGCTGGGTTGGCGTGCATGTGATTTGCACTCTTGCTCTTGCTCTTGCGGAATCCAAGTTCGAGTTTCTTGCTTCCATTGATGATGGAGTGGTATTGTTGTCTGTTTTTGGTTGGGTCCGTGGTATCGCCTCAGGAGACGTTGTTGCTGTTTCGTTGCCCTTGCCTGGATTGCTTGGGGAGGTCTCACTCTGTACTCCTCCCACCGCTGCAGTGGCTTCTTGACGTTGACCCGGTTCTGCCGATGCCGATGCTGCCGGTGGTTGATTAATATCAATATCAAAGTCAACTTCAATCTCCACTCTATCCCACCAATCCAACTCGATAATACACTCTCTATCAATCCCGCAAGCCGAAACCAGCCATCGCGCATTATGCAAACCCGCGATGAACCGAACATTTTGTTTCCGGCGCGCCCAGATCGTCTTTAGGGTTGCCGCATCCGCATGGTCGTAGTGGTTGTGACTGATTAGGACGACGTCGATTTCTATGTGATCGAGGAGTTCGGACAATGAGCATGGTGGAGGCGTGTATCGCTTTGGTCCTAACCAGGATATAGGGGACGTGCGGTCTGAAAATACTGGGTCGCAGAGGATGTTGATGCCTCTGGTTCGTGATTGTCCGGAAGGTGGAAGGCGGTTAGAGTTGGACGGTGCCGGTGACGGTGCCGGTGATACTGTTGTCGTCGTTGGTGTTGGTGGTGGTGGTAGTGTTGGTGTCCTTGGTGATGTCGTTGGTATTGTTGGTGCTGGCGATGGACATGTCGTCTGTATAAGAAAACTCGCATGTCCAATCCAAGTCACTTTCATAAAAACCGGATCAGAAGCAGATTGCAACGCTGCAAAATCGATCTTGTGGACCGGTGCCAGTTCGGATCGGTCTGATGGCACGGGAACGAATGCCGGTCTGTCTTTGGCGAAGCGGACTTTGAGCACGCTGAGTAGGCCGTGGTGGGTCTCGGTGAATGAGGGCCAGGGGTTTCGGAAGCCCGTGGGAGGGTTGCCTATATGGTGTGATTTAGGGTCGTTGGGGAGGAGGGAGGGGAGTGGGCGGACTGTTATGGGCATGATGGGTCAATGGGAAGAAGAACGGGAACGGGAAGGATAGAAGTGATAAGTGGAACAGATGTTGGTGGCTTTAAAGTGCAGACCGAGAAGGGCAGTATCATGAGAAAAAGGATTCAGGTTAGGGGAGAATGGAGAGTCAAAGGTAGGGGAGATCAAGCCAGGTAGTGGAGGCACTGTAACATGTTGACCTGGTCAGCTAGCAAGCTGTTCTGTTCTGCACTTTCGAATGGAGAATAGTCGCAGCGTAGTGGGCAGAGCGAGGGTGAGGTCGAAAGGGCTGGTATCAAATAGTCCCTGCTTCCACGATGTTGGTGATGGTGTCGAGGTCACATAGAGGCTTATATAAGCAGCCCGGCCGGTCCGCCAGCCAATCAGTTATCGGCCCCCTGAGTTATCTCCGCCTTGTCCGAGCCGGACCAGCCACGTTCCACTGGCCATGACTTCGACCTTGTAGTGACTTCATGACTTCGCGCTGTACAATGTGCAAAAGCGTAGTAGTTGTTGTATCGCACACTGTAAGTTCCGGCCTGGGATTACGAATTATCCTGCGGGGAGGGAGTCACAAAAAGGAGACCTCGAAGCCCTCTGCTCCCCCTGGCACCCGATGTAAGTCAGTTTGGCCAGCCGGATACATACTGTACAGTGCCATACCCTTGATCACCTCGGACGGCTAAATCATAAGGGGGGGTACCACAGTGTGGCACTGATACCACAGCAACAGCACCTTTGTTGTACATGGTTGACATTCTATTTTGGTTCCCAGCCTTGTTCCCAGCCCTCCGTCGAAAACTGCAACACATTGACTGACGGACTGACTGACTGACCTGTACCAAACCAGCCCAGATCGATCAAGAAACAACCTCCCTACTAACCTACCAGCCGTCCTCTACCCTCCTCTGCTCAGCTCAGGTCTCTTTCATCCATCTCATTTCGAAAAGAGTCTTTACTGATCCCAAGCACCGTTTTCATTGCGCCAGAGTAATCTCTGCTCCAAGACCGGGCGGGACCAGCGTCTCGACACTCCCACCTTATACTATACTCCCAATACCACTAGCAACACCCTATCCCACTGTTTCAATACGATGGCACCACCGCCCCTTCCACCACTAATCACCCTCGAAGAACACTTCATCTCCGAAGCGATGCTCTCATCCCACGGGGACAAATACTCCGAACAACTCAAACACATTCCCGGACTGACAGAGAAACTGGCAGACCTCGACACCCTGCGGCTGCAACACATGGACGCAGGCCGAGTATCTCTCCAGATCGTATCTCATGCACCAGGGACGATTTCAGCGACTCAGTGTCGATCTGCCAATGACCAGCTGGCACGAGCCATTCAGCACCACCATCACCACCAACAACAACAACAGCAGCAGGACACCGACACCAATCCCAACCAACGCCATCCCCGATTCGCCGGCTTCGCCGTCCTCCCCGTCTCAGACTCAGGCGCCGCCTGCGCCACCGAACTCCGCCGCTGCATTCAGTCCCTAAACTTCGTCGGCGCTTTGATCGACAACCACACCAGTACAGGCGCATACTTCGACAGTGCAGAGTACGAAACAACACTCTTCCAAACGGCTCAAGACCTCAATGTTCCCATCTATTTACACCCAACTTGGCCGACGGACGCGATGCGGGCCGCCCAATACTACACTGACCCCAACCCCAACACTCCCAGTACCATCTCCTCAGGCGCAATGCAATCCATCGCCACGTCAGGTTTCGGATGGCACGCCGACGTAGCCACACACATCTTACGACTGTTTGCATCTGGCTTGTTCGACCGTTTAACTCGACTGAAGATCATCATTGGGCATATGGGCGAAACACTGCCGTTCATGCTGGATCGGATTGTCGCGCTATCGAGGCGCTGGGGGGACCGAGAACGTGATTTCAAGAGTGTTTGGGATACGAATATCTATATCACCACCAGTGGTGTGTGGAGTGTTGATCCCATGGCGTGTATTTTGCGAAATACGAAAATAGATCATATCTTGTATAGTGTTGATTATCCGTTTGCTACGAACGAGGACGGCCTCCAATTTATGCTGGAGGTGCAGAAGAGTGGGTTGGTGACGGAAGAGCAGTTGGAGGGTATTGCGTACAGAAATGCAGAGAAGTTGTTGGGGGTTAAAGTTGGGAAGAGGTGGGATTGAAGTGGCATAGAATGGAAATAGAAAGGCTCGAAAATGATCAATGTGTTACGCTACGCTGTGCCAGGTTTGTAGGCATGGTCATTCCTACGTAGACCATGGATGTGACAGTTGTAGATGCCATCACAGGTGACAAAACACAATATAGTGAACCGGCACATATTGCCAATCTGATGGGCAGTCAAATCAGTCGAAATAACATTTCTTCCCATGCCTATCCAATCCAATCCAACTCCTCGCCGGAAAACGACAAACGAATCAAGACAGAGCGTTCCAAAGGTGCACATCCAAACTCATGTTTAACAATTTGAACATGGATGGCTTTCCAACATGGGTTATGGCTGCATCATCACCTCCTCGAGATCTTTCTTATCGGCCTCCCTCCACCTCCAAACTCGGCCGGATCAACAGTTCGATACCCACTACGACCACTTGATTTCCTGACAGGTCGTTCAGGAGAATGCTCCTCGATGACCTCGACGATATCCTCTTCCTCGACACTAGGCGGGCCCACATGCTCTTCGACCACGACTCGCTCCTCTTCCACCACCCGTTCCCGTCGCGTACCGACACCACTGACTTCGGTCATGGCCTGGCTGCGGCTTCGACTTCTCCGGGGCGAACGACGACGATGATGCACGACATCTTGCTCGATCACGGTGGTATTGCGGTTCGCCGAGAATTTAAACGCCGAGAGGATGATGTATAGGATCAGAATGAAGCCGGCGATGGATCCGAGAACTATTCCGACGAGCGCTCCGGGGGCAGGACCGGCGTTCAAGCCGGCGTAGGTGGTGGGGATGGCGAGGACGGCATTTTGGCGTTTTGATAGAGTCGAAGGAGGGATGAGAACCGAGTGGTGGTGGTGAAATAGTTCGGAACTGGGTGATCGGGCTGCGAGGATGGTTGTGTCTGTTATTGTTCGTTTGGTGAGGTTGACTGTGCCTCGAATGATGAGGGCGAATAATGACGCCAGGGGAGTTTTGTGAGTTGATGATGATGATGAAGTAGCCCGCGAGGTTAGAGTGTGGAGTGTGGAAGATATGGACCGGTTCAATACGGTTTTCAGGAGGTCGCCTGTCGCACTGTGGTCGGAGATGGTTGGCGCCATTGGGGGTGTGTGCCAGGACTGGCAGTTAAACTGGATCGTGGTCGTATGTGTGTAAGGCTGTAGATGGAACACGGTGACGTTGGAACCAATTCTTTATCGATCGAGACAAGAAGCTCGTGCCAGCAATCGATCCTTTGCTTGTAGTTGTAGATGAAGTAGGTCCGTGCCAGACGGCCACGGGTCGTTCCGTGGGCGATCCGGGGTTCTGTTCTGCTTTGACCAGTTCGTTTTATACCACCGTTATATCTGTTTCTTCCACGTTCTTCTCTTCAATATGAACTCAAAGTTCCCGGGAAGATGCCTGAACCGAAGGGTATTTAATCTTGTCCTTCGTCGACTAATTGCAGGACGGCCGGAGGATGGCGCCTTGACGTGAGGAGTTGCCGTACCCTGAGCGGCAGGTCAAGACGGAGGTATAGGCAAAGGTAGCGAACGTTATCGACGAGTTGCCGGTGGTCTGGGTAGAACGACTCTCGCGAGGTTCGAACGTATGCCGGAACGCTATCAAACTTGCGTGGAATGTGCAGTTGGATTATGGAGGTGGCCGGAGGGTTCTCTCGAGAACGAGCGACGAAAGCTGCGACAACGGATAGGAATTCAGACCGTTCGATGGTAAACATGCATTTACAATCAGCTTGAGGGCGAAAGCAAAGAGGAAAGGAGAGCAGAAAAGCTGGCAGATCGAGGGAATGGTGTGAGTAACGGTCAACAGTGGTGTTGGTGGTGGTGTTCGCACCCTTTACACAAGGCCGAGTTCGAGAAAGTTGGTGGAGCACCAAAACCACGAATCCACCCCCAGCCACGTCAGTTGTCACCACCATCCACCACAGCATCCACAATCTTTATACTAACACCACTCCCGACTAATCCTGTAATACTCGAAATGCTGGTGGTTGGTGTTTTAATCTGTTTCCTCTGATCCTTCTTACACCGCTGCGCGAAAAATGATATGTCCAGCCTTTTCCAAAATGCCATTCTTTCGTCATTGGTCTCACGATCTTGTCCCACAGCCTTGCAGTGTTTGCGGCAGCCTTGCTGGTCGGTTCCATACAGTCAAGTCACCACAACCCGTGCGACGGCCACTACCTGAAGGCCAATAATTGCTATTCTGCAGCGTCTGTTCATGTTAGGATAAGCAGTCAGAACAATGTCTCCAATGGTCATACAATTTAGCATCCAACGCTATCAATGAATCGACCCTCATATCTACCCCCAACGCCATACAAAAGCCGCTAAAGCGCACATCAAAACTCATCTGGATCACCCAAATCCCACTTGCGGGTGGTCAGCTTGCGAGGCTTCTTGACCGTACTTGGTGGTGGTTGTTCCCCTGCGACAGCCCGGGTTACGCTTGAACTTCTCAACGAGAGCTTTCGTGGAGAGACATCCAACAGTTGGAAATCCTCCTCACTGGACTTTGCTTTGACTGTCGCATCACTGTCCCGTAATCTCAACGAAGTAAGGAACGGATTTGTGGCAATGTTGCCGTTTGAGGCCTCCTGTAAGATCAGCCCTTTGGTCGGCGACCGTGACTTTGTCGATGCTGCTGCTCTTGTTTTCTTTGTCGGACTTCTTGTCTGCATCTCCTGCTCTAATACTCGCAACTTTGCTTTAAGCATTTCATTCTCCCGCTCAAGTTCATCAACTCTGGCATCATTGGGAGCGTCTTCATGAATCGTGATCTTGGTCGTCTTTTCGAGTATTTCAAGCTTGCCGTCGATGAACTCTTCACCCCGGAGCTTCTCTTGCTCCCAGGCCATTCGCCATCGTTCTTTTTCTTCCTCCAACCTCTGCTCCATCTCGGTCCAACACTCTTCTCGCACTTCTTGCTCCATCACTATCATCTTCTCTTCTGCTGCTTGAAGCTTCAGCTCTGCTTCGCTTCGCTTGATCTCTTCTTCCGCAAGTCGGACCGCAAGAGCGTTGCATTCTTCTGCCAGCCGAGCGGCTTCATTGGTCGCTTGTTCCAGTTCTTGAGCACTGAAATAATTATTGTGCATATCTTGAGGAGTAGTGCGTCCATTGAGGCCAGCTCTTGCCTGCGGTCCTCCCCCAAGAATTGCGCTGGTCACACTTGGGACTCTAGGAACCGTGACCTCCCTGGCTAGAGCTGAGTATCTCAGAATCTGACTGGTGGCATTGAAATCCCCCAGTGGATCTGCAGTCACAATCATGACGGCCTTCTGCGGTGGTCTGTATGCTGCGGTGTGGTTCGCCGAGGGAAAAGAGTTCGAAAACAACAACTCCGTGAGCTTGCACTGTCTAAACGGTACGATCGGCTTGCTGCCCTCTTGTTGACAGTCGCTTTGAACCTGTAAACACTGCCCAAGGTACATCAAACTTTCGTTGATTTTTCCAGCTTCGGCGAGAGTCGATCCGGTAGTCTTTGCATTTCTGGCTCGTTCCGACCCCGCCAGATCAACAATCGACATGGTGCCACCGCTCCAGCCAGCCATGCCATATCCTCCATATCCTTGCATTTGTGGTCTTTTCTTCACTTCGATGCAGAAAAAGCCATGACTTCTCGAGCTGACGCTATTGCTTCCAGTCCCTGCCACCCTTCTTTCGGTTAGCCCCGCCTCAAGGACCATCATAGCCTCGTCGTAGCTTCCACACACGATCTTGCGCAATCCTGCGACAACCTTGCGATCTGACGACATTTCGGTATTCTTGAACAGCAAGGGTCGTCGAAGCAATCCTTTTTGAAGGGCAGCTCCCTGTCTGGTTGTCATCGGCGGTGCATTAGGGGATGTGGGATTCGATAGCAAGTCGAAGATGCGATCATTGTAAACCTCGTACATCGAAACGAGGACAGCATATTCTGCGTGAGGGTCGACGTCCAAAGAATACGATGAAAGGTCCGGCTGCTGGGGAAAGTGGCTGGGTCGCGGCATGGGCATCTTTCGATTGTAGTGCGATACGGCATCCTTTACAACCTGGGGTTTAGCAGGTGACTTCCTGAGACTTCTCAAACGGGCAAGGAATGGGGCCTTGGATGGTGGTCGCCATGGATCCTTCTCAACCGAAGGTATTGTCTGGGGAATGGACGGCAGGCACCGTATGGAGGATGGAGTGGATGCGAACTGATCTGGGACAAAGGCTGGCCGGGGAGCCAATGTACTTGGGCGAGGTTTGGGGGAAGAGGGAAAGGAGCCGGGAAGCTCATGGGTTTCATTGCATACCATCATTGGCGTCTGGGCCCTTGACATGGGTGTCTGGGCTCGTGATAATCTGGCTCGGTCGCCATCGCTGAAGACTGAATCTAGGAAAGTGGTTGCGGAGAGAATCTGAGCCTCAGACGGATCGGAAGCCTGGAGAGAGGACAGCAGCTCCGTATCCGTGGGTAGATCTGGGTGATGAGGGCGCCTGATTTTCTCTGCAATTGATCTGAAAAGCACATCCAAGGTCATCTGCGTCAGTCCCCGTTGAGACTTCGATCCTAGGATAGTGTGACTCTATCGCGGTCAGCTACAGCCCAGGGCCACTCGGGTGTTGTTTACCTTTCCACTCCCAGTCACTCCAAGAGTTGCTACTAAGCCATCTCTTCCTGTTTGTAGCACACTTTGAACTGCGTCGGCTGTGCCTGTCTCTTGGAACACATCTAACTGCGTGGCATCCTCTTGAAAAATCTTGGTGAACCCGAATCTCTCAATTGCACGTTTGCGGGAGTCATTCGGAGGTTGGAGCGTGATATGAGTGGGAAATGTCTTGACTTCGTTCTCAGTTTTTGTAGCTGCCGGACTCGCTGGTTCGACGATCAACCATGGCTCAGCTTTCTCAGCTTTTTGCTTGGGCACTTGAGGTTGAATAGGTGGGCGTAGACGGAGGTAGACCTGGAAGAGTGAGGTTTGCGGCGAGGTTTTGGTTGGACTGTCCATCTCGAATTGATTTTCCAGTGAGCAAGAACCTCTACAGCCTGCTGGAGCATCAGCACAAAGATCAACGCGGTCGCGATGAAACAAATATCATGGCCAGATGCCGTCACTCACGGTTCCATGGCTTGGTATTTATGTACTTCCGGATTAGGAACGGCGTGGTTGCCACGGCAATCGCGTAGATGCGGGGGCTTCAGCCTCGTCGTGCTCCGATGGTGATACCTGGTGCTGCCATCGTATCTCTCTGCAGTGCCAGAGGTCGAGCATGGCGCCGGTTGTGCTCGAAGGCAGGCCTATTCCAGAAGTAGACATATTGTTCCTAGGCAGTCCAGGCGTGGGCAAGGCTACGTTCCTGGCGTAAGTTACTGCGTTCTAGCTGCACCAACCATACCCTCTTTACATGAGGTACTGATACGGCCTTACTGTCGCAGTCAAATTGAACACGTGCGCAATGGAAAACTCGAGAGTCCAGCCCAGCGAAAGCCAGCTCCCGCTTCAGCCGGCCCTTTAAGTTGGAATGTGACGCTGTTCGGACGGCCGTACAAATTCCGCATCCATCCCTCGACGTCGACGCTGTTCGTGGACCCATTCCCGGACGAGCCGGACTTCACCATCATCGCATTCTCGATATCTTCGCGCGAGTCGCTTCATAATGCGCAGTACTACTGGCGCAAGCAGCTGTCTATGCATTATGGCCACTTGGAGCACAATATGCCCGTGATGCTGTTGGGATTAAAACGCGACGAGCGAACAGATAAGAGATTGGAGGACGGGACGTTTGAATGCGTGATGCCTCAAGAGGCTCTGCGCGTTGCTCAAGAGATGCAATGCGATCGCTACGCAGAGTGCAGTGCTCTGACCGGAGAATTGATGTGGGAGGCTCTGGAAGACATTACTCGCACTGCCGCTATGACTACTACGGAAAACGGCGCAGTAAGCCAGGGAAGCATGTGTTTGGTTATGTGATCCCGCGTTCTATCGTGCACTGTCCCAAGGTTGAGAAGATGTCCTGTTCTGAAGGGAGCCGGGCGATGAAATGTGCAGGTACACTACTTCCCAGAGCTGAAGTCCTTCATGCAGCGGTGGAATAGAGCTTGCCGACCGTCTGCAATCTTGGAACACACCATCGTGCAGCGATGCGGAAGGGCAGGCCGACAGCCTAGCGCCGGTTGCGTCGAAAGACCAAAATGTCGCCCAGCACATTAGTTGACTTGGGAAGTCGACCACTGAGATGACCTCCAGCGATGGCAATGTCGCCCAATTTCTATAAACCATTCGAGCTGGTTGATGTCCGACTGAGTCTACCAGGAGGACTGATCCAGGGTCGGCAAACCGGTCCCAGGTTTGTGGAACATGTTCGCGACAGGTCGTACCAGGACCAAGCTCGCATCCTTACCATAGACTGGTGGTGGTCAGCAAGGCTCCCGAGGTTGTGGGTGGGACGACAGTGTTGCGGAAGGGGATCGAAGAGCGATGGCTGCTTCGCTGGTACAGATTCCTTGCAACAAGGCTGACCGCCAGTCCTATCGCTGGTGGTGGTCGTGACCATTATTGCTGCTACTCGAGGAGTACGTCCTACTCCTCAGCGTATGCCAGAAGGTGTGACGGATGGGCCACAGAATAACATTGTCGAGGACGCGGCAGGGGTTGAAGCATGAACAAGGGACACGGTGCCGGCCCCGAACTGGTTAGCCTGATGACATTTGGAAAACGCGGATTTGAAAACCGGTTCACTAAGGCCAGGTTGTTTCGCTGGGGCGGCTGTCGCGGTATCGGGAGGACTATGAACGAGGCAAGTCTGTGGTCTATCTCAACCCTTCCAACTATACAGGAAAGATGAACTGGAACATGAAGCGTTTGGAAAGCAAATAAGAACTTCATCATATTTGCGCAATCTGGCGGGATGAAGCGCCTACGAATGGAATCCTAGTAGTTGATTTTGGTCATTGGCAACATCCGAACCAATGGAATAATGTATAATAGACCATATGGGTAATCATGCTTAGAGCGATTGAACGATCTCTTGCACCGAGCATACTCTAGCCAGCCCAGAAACAATTCCGCTTCCTGCCCGATATGTTGTGCCCTGTCGAACGCGAGGCATCACGCACAGCCGGACCGGAAATACAAAGTCTCCCGAAAGGGGGTATTGTCTGACCCAATCTCAAGCCCTTCAATAACAGCCATGCGTATAAGAATTCCCAGTCCATTTCTTGATTTTCTGTGTCGTTCTGCCCAGAGACTCAATAATCCATCCCCATCCCAGCACTCTTCAATTTGCAATGCATTTCTTAAAATAAACAATCCAAACAGCAACAGCATGCCATCCCCGCCAACAAACCAGCACAGATACCACCGCTACTGCTTTTCTCTCGCTCGTAGATCACGGTTGGCGGTTGCTGGGGCGGATAATACCCCCCTTGCGGAGGACCGTAATAAGGCTGTTGCTGTTGCGGGAAATACCCTCCTTGTGGACCACCTCTGGACATGTCGTACTGATCTTGACTCTGATAGACCATGCCGTTTGATTGTGCCTGTGGTGGTGGAGGGGACTGGTAGTCGCCTGCGCCCGAGTGCGATGGCGGCGGATACTGTGGAGGAGCGTATTTCTCTGCCATTTCAAGTTCTTGACCACGAACAACTGTTGTGGGATCTCGATTGGGTGTACTTGTTGCTCGTGTGTTGGGTTCCTGAAACCTTATCTTTCAATGGTTTTTGATCGATCGCGGATTCGGAACTTCGAGTGTGCTTTGTCGTGTACGTGCTGGTGACTGGCGGCAGTGGCCACGTGGATTTGCTCACAATCTCTGATGGGAGCTGTAGAGGGATTTCGGGATGATAGGTATTCCAAGGCTTCTGAGTTGAGTAGAGTATGTGTAGATAAACAATGTTCACGATACCCGCTGAACAAGCCGTACGACGAGGCGGCGAAATGACTTCTTATGAAGCCTCCAAGATCGGAGCAGAATATAGGCAGATGGAATGTACAAAATTGATCAACAGGGGCGTGGTATAGTAATGTCTTGCGCGGAGAAGGGTGTACAAATGCGATATATTGTAGTAATATCACGACAATTGAACTTTCACCTAACCTTCCAAAAAAAAAGGAGAAGCTGAAAGTTGATGAGCAAACCTACCACCAAAATCATCAACGGCCCATCAAGCTGAATCAATTATGTTGCCTAGCCGCCACGTATACAGACAGTCATGCTTAGTAGCGGAGGTGATGGCAATGACCAAGGCTTAGCAAAACATAACGACGCGTAATAGTATGTCTTGGAAGGCCTGAGATGGAGTTGTCGGTTTGACTTGGCTGACTTGGCTCGTCTATCAGTCACGCTGAGCCTCGCTACCTAGATACCTACCTTTCCCCTAGGATTCAGGGCAACAAGCCACGTGTAAGAGCCACTGAAGGGATGTACATTTCTAGAAATAATACTCGCCACGTAGTAGTTCTATTGTAACCAAAGAGAGTGCGAAGCTGAAGAGCTGGAATGCAACGCAACAGCTACGACAGGCGCCAGGCAGTACGAAATACGGGATCCCGTGACGAACAGCACTGCCACAGACTCACGTGACAGAATGGTATATGGCGCAAAATGTGGCTGGCAACAAGGTCAGCCACTGTAGTTCTTTCGAGTAAACACTCCACCGTACAATGTACAGCTCACGTAAAAGCTCCACCGTACTGCTCGTGAGATGAGGTTGCCCAAGTGCCAGTCTGCAGCACATCGAGCCTGTGCTGTACTGTGCTCTGTTGGACACTGGCCCTGCACAGCACCTGGGTGTTTGTGCATGGACCTTGGCTGTCACGGAGATGGAAGGGCCAAAGCGCACGTCGAGATCAGATACGCGAGCCTCGAGATGATTCCTAGGTACCAACCTACCGCACGGGTCCGTGTCCACCCCAGAGTACGCGGTATGTACTCTACTGTGGTACACAAATCACAGCAAGTCAGCAAGTACCAGGCTGGTACTGTACCTCTGCCTAGGTAGGTAGCTAGCCGTCCGCTCGGGCCATCCATTTCTTTCCTCCCCCAAATGATTGATTGCACCACTAGTACCAATCTATCTAGTCGTACTACAACGTTGTAGCAATATAATATGGCTCCTATCAACAGACGTCCCTGCAGAGCTTCAGCACTCAGCTCTGGTCCACTGGGTACCTACTGCAGTGCCAGTAGTGACCCCATCCAATTCCCTAACAATAAATATCACCAATCCAATCACCACAACTTGAATAACGCACGGTTGTTGCTCTACAACTAGCTAGCCTTGAGGCCCAAGACCCTCTTTGGGCTTGCCGAACTCGAAATCTGAGTTGTGGTGGATCTGGTACCTAGGTAGTTTCCCTATCCCTATCCACGGACCACCTCAGCTTGGGACCAATTCCTGCCTGGCAGCACCAGCCAGCAAAGTAAAATAAAGTTGAGCGGGGCCCATGGTTCGAGTCGACCGTTGAGAAAGGAGGCTCTGCTGAAAAAGTTAGGCAGTAGTATTATTGATTGCTTTCGCCAAACCAACCACTGACTGGCAGTCCGGGTCCCCAAAAATGATCGACGAGGCTGAACCAAAGCCCACTTTTCATCATCCACCACTGATTCCTGTTTCCGGCCAGATCCGTGCTGTGCTCAGGCTGTTTGGACAATGATATGAGAAAAGGCCAGATATGCTACTTCGACGCTGCCAATGCAGTACCTCGAGACCACAGCGTCCTGACCGAAGGACCACTTCGTGCTGTACTGCTCACAGTAGGATTCAGCACTACCACAACCACAGGTTGTGTACCTGGTGCTAGCACGAAGCTTCAATGAAATTTGATCCGTGCAGAGCCGCGTTGTCGACGCTCCAAATTAGGGGCATTGCACGTCCTGTGCCAACCAAATCAAAAACTACCACACCGGCTTAACTGGCCGGCCGTAGTATAGTAGTAGTACGCAGTGATCAGCAACGATAGTTGGCCATGCATAACACGTCCTGGTCACACGTGATCCATTAATTGCACCCACCTCTTACCTGTAGCGTCCAGATAGCACCAATAGTCATTGTGGCCTCAGGCAAACGCAGCATCGTATTGGTATGCTTAGGCAGTGTCTCTGCTCTTCCTTGATCCATCTGTGAGAGGGAGGTCAACTCCCGCTTCAAGAGCCTGCGACTTGCCTGACTGATGGCATATTCTGTAGACCGTATGGAAGTGGTACTCGCAATTCCTGACGCAGCTGGCAGATAGAAGAAATTAACCGTCTGTAGCAACGTGAGCTCGTACATGGCCAATCCGACGACGACGAGTTTCTTCAAACCGCAGCAATAAGAATCCCTCAAGTCCCTGCGACCAGCTCGTGTACACGGAGCAATAGGACCTACCAACCACTATCCCTCTGCAATAATGCATGTCATGATTTCCCGCTTAGAGGAACCAACTGTGAGACTCAATATCCGAGGACAAGGAAAACTGACACGGCGCCATGAAGCAGAAGCGGAAGCAGAGCGTGCTGGACGCTCATGCTGGACGCAGAGGCTCTGTACAATTGATACCTGGGCAAGTAACGTGACTTTTGGCCCAGGTGGTAGCCGTTGTTTGCACATCATAAGGCCTTGTCTTTTGGGTTGTTGTCCAGTGTGGGCAGCCCGGAAATTCTTGCTTGGAGTGAACACAGCAGTGCAGTCCTATCCTCCGTGAACTCACCGAGTAGTTTTCCCTTACCTGCTATCCTGACTTTCCGCATTTCCATGGTTGCAGCAACAGCACCTACTAGGGGTCGACTTCACGCGGTACTGCACTGTGCTGTAAGCAACAGATTCGGCTCAGCGTCTGGATGCAAGCCACCGCTTGATCAGCAACTCCGAGGAGCCCAGACATGTCCCAAGTTGGCGCTAGGGGCGAAGGTTTGAATAAGAGCGATGCGCAGATATCCAAGGACGACGAACTATTGGTGAAAACGACGTCTAGCCTGCCGCGGAGACCTATAACCCAACTTCTTTGGGGTCAAGTCAACCTCGCTTCGGTAGGAGAGCGTGGTTCTGGCAGCACAATACTACCAATCCGAACGATGAGCGCGCTCTGCTATCTGCTCGACCTCACCGTTTTTTGACCCCCTTGCAGAGCCTGTTGGCTGCCCAGGATTTGTAACCCCGCAGCTGAACGTTGACACCTCTCGTGTTACCCACGGGCACGGATGTGTTAGGAATCTGTCAACAACCCACTGCAAGGCATATCAAGAGTTGGGAGGCTTCGGACCGGTGACGCAATCTTTGAAACGCGATGCGCTGGTGACCAACACCCCAAAGGAGACGGGTGCTCAATGCAGCGAGCCCGACAGCGGACTTCACATACGTGACCGTGTCAAAGTCAGCGGCCCCAGACAAGGAAGGGCCCGGTGAAATCCCTCTGCAAGCATATCCAAGTCGCCACGGTAAACGGAAGGGTTGTGTCCGTCACAACGCATGGGGTGCAACAAAAGCGGCAGGCTGACTGTCGGGGGCGTTCTGACATGGCTTTTGGGGGCACAAGTCCAGTCCTGGAGAACAGGGATGCATGCCGTAAGAGAGCAGCCACCGACAGCACTGGCAGTAGTAGGCTGTTGTTGGGCAAAACCCGGTGCCACAGTGTACGCATGACCACGTTGTGTCCAGCCATGCCAGTGCCAGTGCCAGCGTTGGAGTCGTCGATCCGAAGGACCCAGGAAACTGTCAAGGCTCAGCACATTCGTAGCACGCGGGCGTCTCTCTGTGAAGCCTCCTGCATGAAGGAGGTGCATCATGGAGGGCCGCCTTGTAAGCTAAGGGGACCAAGATATTTTCTGATCAGCGACTATAGAGCCGGTAGCACTGAGGCAGATCCCAAGATGGCGGGGCATTTCGGCCGATACACTTTCTGTGATGTTTGATGATAGGATTCCTCCGCTTCTTTCTAACACCTGCAAAAACCCTCGTGAGGCCCATCTACAGGGGCTTCAAAGGCTTGAGAGCCGGAGAGACGGGCAGTAGCAGTGGTATCGCCCCAGAAAGGCGGGAAGCAAGGAACACCCCAGGCCAATAGTTCCCCGCTATACACAACAACCACAAATCAAAATGCCACGTCTGGATGTAGGTGAGATGCAGTAGCGTGTGGCGGAAATAGGTGAGTAGCGAACAAGATACCGGGAGGAGAGGGAAAATCGAGCGATGGAGGGGCAATGGCAGCAAAGTAAGGCGGCCAATGCCTCCTACAACCTATACGCGGTCTTGCTGGGCGCGGCCGAATAACCGGACTGACGCATGTGCTGTCAAAATCAGGGCTGGAACAAAAGAGGCTTGCATTAGTCGCTTGGTGAGCGGCAGAACTCAAGGCGACCGTGGCAGACGGACAGACACACTCGACTGTCATCAGGAATAGCATCCGGAAAAGCCAGCCACGAGCGTGTGCGAGCTGAACCGAAAACGCCTGGTGTGGATGTCTAGTCGACCTGAGTGCAAGAAAGGAAAGAGAGAGACCAAGGATCCGGAGAGGTGCAAACCCCTGGCGAGGTAGCCATGGTAGGCATTTTTTCTTGATACAGTATAATCCTTGGTGGAGTATTCGACTTGGTGGTGAGCCGAAAGAGTGAACTCAGGCCTGTGACTACCGCCTGATCAAGGTGCCGTGGTCGTGGTATTGCTCCGTGTTGGATTGGGAACTTGGAAGGCTGTAGTGAAGGATTCCCTCCTTCATCCTCATTCTCGTCAGGGTCACATGACCAGCGGGGACATCGCTCTGAATTGAAATGTTTACTGCCCCGTCAAAAGAGTCACAATATGTCTTGCTAGTATACAATAATTGATTTTGTAAAGGCCTACTCTGGGATTTGAAGCCCGCACGGATCAAGCCAGGTGTCCTCGGAGGGTATCAAGTATCCAGTCTTCCAATTCTTTGATTGATTGCTTGCGTTTTTGGTGATCTATTAGAGCCATGGTAGAACCACTTTCGAAGACCAGACTGAGTAATACCTGGGTCCATGTCCTTGGTCGGATGTTCGACTGTGGCCATCTTGCTATCCATGGTTCCACAGGGCATATAGCTAAAAGAAAAGATGACTGGCAACCACACAGTGTACAATTCGGTGCTGCAGTAATGCGACAAAAATCCTCTCCCATCTTCAATCACATATCTTCTCGTGCCAGCACTTGGACTGAGAGAGACAGTGACAACTGTAATTTTGCGCCTTTGCCTCCTTTTCTCTTCAAACTCTTCTGCAACAAAAGGCTCAAGAACATTCACATCCGTACTCGGGAAACCCCATTCGCTGTCTAAAAACCCCCAACTCCGACACAATGCTTTCGTTTTGTTCCGCACTAAAACGGTATAATTCATCAAATCTCCAGGCAAAAGTAGAAACTGTTCCGGTCCAGCAACAAAGGTGCAATAAAAAGATCGTAACCTCCGGGTATCCAGGAATAACGATTCCCAATCGTAACACCGTAACATCGTGATAGCGTCGGCCAGAGTAATGCGCAAGGGTATGTAGACAAATGTCGAAGATTAAAAGGCGGCAACAGCTGGTACAAACGTAGGTGGTGTAAAGTAAGGTTTGTCGTGCTCGGTCAGAGGAATGACGTTGCCGTAGAAGTTGAAGACTGGAGGCTGACAAGGTTGACCCGCATCGGTGTAATGAACCTCGGACTCGTAACCAGAATCCGTGGAGAGGGAAGAACATGACGAACCCTGCTTCGATGAAGGTTCAAACAAGGACCATCCTGAGACTTGAGAGTCGAACGGCTGCTGAGGTGCTGGAGAAGCCGGCGGAGACGGTGGCAGGGCCATGCCAGCACAGTCCATCGGGTCCACGTAGTCGTAAGGTGTCTGAGGAGGAGTAGGAGGGAGGCTGTTGTATGGGTTCATCGTCAACCTGGGGCAGTTGATGATCATCTCCCGGAGTTCCTGGAGCGTAATCCTTTTGTTCGGGTCACACTCGAAAATACGTCTCAAGATCAAGTTCAACTCGGGCGAGATGGGCAAGATCGAGCTCAAGAATTTGGGATCCTTGAGGAAAGCTCGAAACGTGGAATCTTCCGGGGAGGCCTTCTTCCAAGGATTGCGACCACAGGTCAAGTTGACCAGAATGACACCGAGACTCCAGACATCATTGGGAGCGGCGGCGTAGCGAGCATATGGCCGGCTCGGAGCTTGTTGGCATTCTGGATGGAGGTCAGTACGTGAAATCACAGCAAAATTGACTTCGGGTAAAACATACCTGGTGACATGTAAAATGTCGAGCCACAACCGAAGTCTGAGGTGATCGCATCGGTGGTTGCCAGTCCAAAATCGGCCAATTTGACAGTACGACCCTCGTCAGTGACCAGAATGTTCTCAGGCTTCAGGTCCCGGTGGTAAATCCCAACGGAGTGACAAAAATGGACAGCATCCAGGATTTGCAAGAAGGCATGCTTGGCCAATTGATCATCGCCCACGAATCGGCCTTGTTCGGTGATGTTGGAGAAAAGATCACCCTCGGGACAGTATTCGATCACGACAAAGGTGCAGTCCGGGCTGTCAAGAATGCGGAGCAAGGATACCACATTGGGATGTTGGCTCGCCTGGTGATGAAGAGCAATCTCTCGTCGCTGGAAGCGCCGTGCCCTGGGATCCAATCCGGCTTTGGGGAGAGCCTTGACCGCGTAAGTGATGTTGGTCAGGATGTCGACGGCCTGGTAGACCACTCCATAGGCACCAACTCCAAGGATAGAGACAAGTTCCAATCGACCGGCTAACACGCAACCCAGTCTGTCCTCAGGCGCAAGAGAGGTGGCGAGTTGGGGAGACGAGGGTGGTGTTGGTAGCATTATTGGGAGAGCCCAAAAGTACGGAGTACTTGCTCTAGGAAAAGGAGGAAGTCGGCGAGGACCAAGAAAAAGACGACGGATTGCTCAAAACATGGGTCCAGAAACAGGTTTCAGAGACTGATGGTTGAGAACAGATGAAAATATAAGAAATATGGCCAGTCCTGTGGAATATGTCCAATGGGATGAAGCTGGGTTGTGTCGGCTGAATGGCGAGGAGTTCCAGGAGCAGCGCGAATGGTTAAAGACGAATAGACAGATAGGTTGAAAAGCAGACAAAGTATGGTTAAGGTGAAGGATGAGCGGTTGGTATGGCGGAGTGAGGATGTTGTTTGTTGGTGAGGTTGATATTGATATGGAGGGCGTTATTGAGGTGTCGAGGCAATATAACACTGGGTCCATTTAGGTATGACGGTAGTTCGAATCCAGACAGGCATGGCGAGCATGGCAAACGTCCACGCACGGACGTGATTGCCCCATGTCACTTATGCCAGTGGGGCAAAAGTGCTATCAGAGCCTGGTCAGAAGGTGCTACGAATAGAACGCCAGGAAGACCAGAAGGTCCACCACGATGCGTCAAAGGTTGGCGAACCCTGGGCTGTGGTCTGACGCTGGGATGACGAGGACGCCCATGAGCCGTTTCGGTTTAAGGCGGACTGGACGGTGCAGGGCCAGCCGGGCACGGCCTGGCAGCAAGGACCGGTGGGTCGCATGCCTTGACCAAAATGCCAGACAAGATGGACGGATCACCAGGTGGCTGGGCGCATTTCTGGTCACTCACCACCGATCAGCGTTCCTTGCGAGACCGTCCACCAGCGCTAACATTGACCAGTAACGTGCGGGTGTTGTGGCCCTCCTGTACTATGTATGCCCTAGCGTGTCAATCACCGCTCACTGGAGCGAGACAACAGTTGGCTGCCTGCATCTGTCGAACGCTGGACGTTCTCCCGCCCAGGACCAGGGGTAGGCAAGAATGAAATTCGAGATGGTCATCCGAAGCACGGCTTGCCCCCTCTGTTGGCTGGCAGGGTTGCCGCTCTTTTGTCACCCGGGTTGCCAGCAATTTATCGGGAGTCTACGTCTGGATGGAGATAGAGCCAATGCTCTTGAGTCAGAGAGATTCGAACTGTAACGCCAACGGGTGACAAGCTGGTTCCTCTGATTCCTCTCCCGTCTGCTGTGTTTGTTTCTAGGCTTGCCCAACGTAGAGTCTCTAGCTTATGGTGTCTGACTTGTGGAAAGGCTCAAAAGTGAAGGGTGCACGGCTGCCACCATTGGCGGGCTTTGGACGCCAGTGCAAACTGGCATCGGACATGAGAGTAGCACTGTGATCGACTCATCGGTAGGTCGGGGGACTAGCCTGGTAGTGAGTGGGCAAGCATCCTTGATCGGGTTGCTTTCTCTGCAACTTGGGTGTGGTAGAGCCGGAAATGTCGGTCGGAGTCTCCTAGTCTGCTTCTGGCCTGGACCGTGTGTCCTCTTCGCTCGCTCGTGTTTCAAAGACGCTGGTGGGTGGCGGGCCAGAATGAAGAATGGCAGACAAGACACTTCGACTGCCAGGCTGTCGGACTGAGAAGTACGCACGCATGCTGGCTTCAGTCACTAGCCTTGTTTTCTGACTGCGGGAGCTTCGCTCGCTGCAATGCTCGCGCCCAATCACACCTAGTGGCCAATCGCCTGGCCTCCGTGACAGCCACCCATGGTACGAAGGCTGTCTTCGAGAACTGGCGGTAGCCGTCGTATGCTGCAACACTGGCACTGCCCTTCTCTATTCCTGCCCAATGACCCCAAGGTCGTCCTGACATTTGCAACCCGCCCAGGCGTTGTGGGTATGCCTGGGTCTCCCGTCAAGACGAGGCTCCTAGTAGGATGGAGAATCCTATCTCTGGCCAGGGCCACGTTGTGGTCAGCGCTACAGTGCAGTCTGCTTCAGAAGCAAGTCCACAACTCTGTCACTCCTGAGACTGGTGCACGCCGTGGCACCCCCCTGTTTACCACAATTGTGTACGAACAATAATGTACAATGTACTGTACGGGGCCGCCTGGTCTACCGCTGACTCTGCGCCCCAAAGCAAAGCAGTGTAGGTCCATCCATGGGGCAAACAATCTCGCAAGTTGCCTTCTAGGCTGAATTATGGACGCCCTCCGTGGCATTAGGACCCCAGCTGCCTTGGGTGTGGTACTGTAGAACTTGCGACTAGCAGACAGTGAGAATAATGGCTTGCGAGCTGCATTGGATTTGCCCCTTTGTGCTTAGATCGCGTAGCAACACCAGCCTCGGCGGAAGCACCGGTTGCCGACTTTGCTGTGGCTTGCGAAATATTGTGCTCTGGTGCCCTTTGATTCGCCATAGGCCAATCGCAGAGAAGGCGGGCCGCACTGTTTCAGCACTCCATAATGCTTGAGCGCATAGCATATTTTCCATGGAGCACAATTTGGCGGTTTGGATGCCAGTGTCCGCTCCTTGGGACTTTGTTGATGTCCATCAGACCCCGCTTTTCCTTCGCGAAGATGCTAGTAGGAGATCAGGAGCCTGGCCGGTGGCCGATAGCGCAAATGGTGGCCGTATAGCGCAGCCGCCATAGACCTTACCGAAATTGATCAAAGCTCCCAGGTGGTGGGTTCCTGGGCTCAACGATGAGCGGTCGTCGCGTGTCTCAGGATCGCCGTCGATAGCTAGACCAAGGCTTTGCCGCGTGGAGTTTGGGCCGTCAGCCATCCAAAATTCGACTCCTTGCGGTCCCCACGGCAATAGGGTTAGTGAGAGTTGAAGCACGACCAGGGGTTGATTGACACCACGAGCTTCGCATGGGGTGTCTCGAGTAACTCCAGGGCTGGTGACACTAGATTACGTATGAGAATACTAGCTGTGTACGTATCTGGCCAGCCATGATGAGACTTTTTGTGAGACCTCAAGCTGAGGCGTCAGGGATGAGTTGGTGCTGCAGACACTCTGCTTTGACAGATTCCCAAGCCACGTTGCCTGACGAGTCAAATGTAAGAGTCAAATGTAAGGTGGCGAGACGGCGGCGGCGGGCAGCGCAGGCAGGGCGAGTAAGCGAGGCCAGAGTTGTGCAGAGACGGGCCATCACGAGGCTGCTAGCCGTGTCCGACCGCCCTTGAATCTGGCCGTGAGATGCTGATCTGCAAAGGAGTGTTGCCCTCGATTGCCGTACTACTACTGCTAGAATGGTGGGAATTTTCGAGAGGCGAGTCGCAGGCGGCGAGGCAGAAAAGGCGAAGAAAATTTCAAACTGCGCAACCCCCAACCCACTCCACCCTACTCAGCTCTCCATCTCTTGTATGCTTCGCCGTATCCATTAGTCACGTGCATATCAGTCATCCCCTACAACGGTACATTTCAATTCAACAAGTTGTCCTACGATCAGCAACTCCTTTGCATCATTATGCATTGCTCTTCGCTGTCAGCGAATGTCCACCAATCCCATCCCTGGCAATCACAGCCGTTCCAGGACGATAATCGTCAGTCTAACATGGAACCAGGTCATAATTCATGCGGCGACGCGCAATTGAGGAAGTAAGCTATTTCAGACGAATATCCCAGGTAACTTTCCTCCTGAGCCGGTGGTAGTGATGGGATGAAGATGAGATGAGATCATCAACCCCTGAATCAAGCTGAGTGATCATCAAACCAGTCTCTTTCGAGTTGATGGACAATCAGACTTCCACGGTCGCGGGCATTCACCCTTTGCAGGGTCTGGACTCCCAGTGCCCGAATGGCGACCGTCCCGTGTGCCACACTCTCCAAGCTCGAGCTAGAGAGAATGCTACTGTAAGGCAAGTACGAACACGAAGGCGTGCGTTCACAGCGTGCATACGGACTCAACCCCGTGGGCTCCCACTGCAACTTTGGTCCTCAACAGAATTTTTGGGTGACTCGCTACGAGAAGGTGGCGTGCAATGTGCCCTTGCCTGGCTTGCAAGCCTTTCCCAGCCTCAGTAAGGTGACAGCAACGCAAGGAAAGTTGTTTTACTATTGTCGCATTCAAGCTCGGAAGAATTTCGAGCTGAAATGTCGGGACGAAGCGGAGGCCATGTCTTTACTCTCTTTCAATAACACGTGATACTCACGAGATTTGCACGTGATCCGATCGTCTGGTCCCTTAGTCAGGTAGGTCCCTCTATGTTGACACAGGAGGAGCCTCAAACTGTCACGAGACGAAACGATGGACACATTCTTGCGCATCGATAGAATGCTTGTGCCATCACTGGCACTCCACTGCTGCCGCAGCTTCATCGGCAGTCCCCGATACGCACCTTCAGTTACGTCCTTAAGTGGTACCTGTTGCAACACTAATGAATATCGTGTCGTTCATCGGCAGCCACTGTCGGTTACAGGCGGGTTCAATGTTGGCACGGTATGGACATTCGGCATGAATGTGGGCATTCGATGAAACCATGAGTAACAATCTCGAACATTCTCCATACCGATCATCTGGGCACCATCGGGGTGAGACTCTCATTCCCTTGCCAATCTGGTCACGTTCCCTTCTTACAGAGGCTTCCATGCAACATCGCTCTAGATGCTGTGGACAACTATTGTCTGGAGTCACTGAGAAGTTCGATGTCTCAGGGAAGGCAAGTTTGAACGAAGGGGCTGACAGGGAATCCAACACTCTTGACACTCGACGCCCGGTATAGGTCTGCGGATCTTGAATTTCAGACATATTTTTTCGCGTTGTCTCATGTGCTGCCCCTACATAATGGCCGGGCTGTAGGGTCTCTGATCCCGCAGAAATGGCAGTATCCATACTCCAGATCACGAGACGGGAACCGCAACACGAGCGTGTGAGTCGATATGAGGTACACCCACACAAAGCCTCACTGTCTTATGTACACCTTCTGGGAGGACTTCTAAAGACTTCACTCTCGCAGGGACAGATGCCCGCTGTTAATCTCCAAGCTATCTGAGAACGACATCCATCACTGATGTCGGTCCAACTTCCAGTAGCCAACGGTCGGTATATCAGTAATTCTTATTTAATCATGGTCACCTAGACCTGCGATGAGAAGGCCAATTCGCACACCTGATACTGTCGTTCGTCGTCTCAATCAATTGGATCGAGGCAAAGTCGGCACGCAGAATCCAGCATTGTACAGAGTAGCCTTCTACGAGTATTGTGCCGAAATATCCTCCTTCCGTTTTCGTCCTAGAAGGGTTACATCATCTAGTACCTGGTATATTATTCGCTTGTCGAGACTACCTGGGTACCTCCAAAGCCTTGCCTCGTCAGTGTAGCTATCATCTTGGACGGTCGACGTGAAAGCTCGTCAGTCTTGACGAGTGCTGCCGACGACCGTGTCCGACCATCCACTGGCAGCTTGTGAAGGGCACAACCCAACCAATGAAGCTAACTCAACGAGCGCTTTACGTCTGGACCACTGCCATTGTCATATCAGCTACTTTGCAATACGCTCGGCTTGTCGGTGTTGTCTTGAATCGAAGGACTTGAAGTCGAACCAGACTCGAGGCTGAGGCCGGTTGCTTTGGAATCACTATAATCCCTGTCCACAGAACGCTCGCAGGATCAAGATACAGTACTTCTTCGGTGATAAAGGAAATCAAGCATATACCTGGACATACATATACGCATATATCGACCAGCCCGTCTACACGGAGGACAAAGAGCCAGTGTAGCCCTGCTTGCGTGAGCCGCTGACTCACCAGCTGCTCGACAAAATCAAAAGCAGGAGACGATTCCGGAATTCTCGACTCAACCATGACACGCCGCAAGCCGGCGGTGCCAGTGGCCACAACGCCGAGTTACAGCGACAGGACCTCGCGATCTGAGCAACCATATTCCACGAACTCAGACGTGACCCTTACCCAGGAAGGACAGGCGAGCTCAATCTCCATGTCTCCGACCTCGACGGATGCTCCCAAAGCTGGTGATTCAGCACACCTCATCAATGCAGACCTCCTGATCCCTGGGCGCGGTGAGCCTCGGAGCAAGATGAGCGTGATTGTGCAAGACGGAAAGATCACCTCAGTGCAGCCGACGTCGTCGGTGCCTCCACCGTTCAAAAAGCTCCCCACGACAGAAGTGCCAGTGCTGCTCCCTGGCCTATGGGACTGCCACACCCATCTACTGGGAGCGACATCCTTCAACTTCAGCGAGCTGCTGACGACGTCGCCGCCCGCGCTGGCTGGGGCGCGAATCAGCCGCAACGTCCACGACATCCTGATGAGCGGGTTCACATCAATCCGCGATCTGGGTGGGTATGCACTCGAAGTATCAAAGGCGGTCGATGAAGGCACCCTCGTCGGACCACACATCTACTCTGCGGGAGCGGCCATTTCGCAGACCTCGGGACACGGCGACATCTACGATCTGCCGTCCGGGTTCGTGACCTCATGCCTCGGGGTGAGGGACACACAGGCGAACGCGTTCGCACCGGCAACGGGCCCCTTGCTCCTGGCAGACGGGGTGGACGAGTGTCGACGCGCCGTCCGGCTCCTGACGCGCCGCGGAGCCCAATGCATCAAAGTATTTGCTTCGGGCGGCGTGCTCAGCATCGCGGACGACCCGCTCCGACAGCAGTTCTCGCTCGACGAGCTGAAGGTCATTGTGGAAGAAGCGAACCGGGCCGGGCGTATCGTCGCCGCGCACTGTCACGGCAAAGTTGGCATCATGGCCGCCCTGCACGCCGGCTGCCATACGATCGAGCACGGTACATACATGGACGAGGAATGTGTGGAGTTGATGAAGCGCAAGGGCGCCGTCTACGTCCCCACCCGGACCATTGTCAAGATCGGCGTCGATCACCCGGAGCTGATGTCGCCAGAGTCCTACCGTAAGATGCTTGAGACTGCTAAGCACCATCGCGCCGCATACCGCCTGGCTGTCCGTTCTGGCGTCAAAATCGCCCTCGGCACCGATCTGGGCATCAGTGCCCCGACTACCCATCCCTTAGCCCTGGGCAACAGCGGCGGCGAGCTCGCGTATGCTGTAAGCGACGGCGGCATGGACTCTCTTTCTGCCATCGAGGCCGCCACGGCCATGGGTCCTGAGGTTCTTGGGGACTTGGGCATGGCTCCCAAGACCGGCCAGATTGCCGTCGGCTACGATGCTGACTTGATCGCCCTGACTGCCAACCCACTGCATAATATGGATTTATTCAAGCATCCCAAGAATATCACGCATGTCTGGAAGTCCGGCAAGTTGTTCAAGAGCCCTACTTCTGCTTCTGCTGCTTTCCCTCTGTGAATCCGTGCCTACCCAACGTGAGAAAGAGACAAACCATGTGATGAGCCTGCTTGGACAACTTGAACCTCTTCCTGTACGTCCTTCTGCTCAAAGAACGCCCAGGCCGCTGTCCAATATAAACTGCAGCTAGCAATGTATATGCCAAGGTATATACTTGAACATAGCCGATTATTATCAAGGTCACACTGATCAACGAGTCCTGATATCAAGTTTTTCTGAATTGCTCACAATCCCGCCCACTGCACAGCTCATCAGAGCAAGAAACCCCATGGCCTCTTGCCTGTGGTGCCAATCTTCGTCTTTATTGTCGTCTCAGGCTGAGTTACACCAATAATGCCGCCAAATGGCAATCTATCCCTTTCTATTTTGTCCCAGTCTATTGCCAACCCCTCATCAATTTGTTGTCGTTACTCACTACGACCAGCGCTTTTCAGCTCGCATTGGCCACGCGCATGCTTCACCGAGGCAGGCCGTCATTATCCGCACTTCCTCCCTTCCAGAAACACCAAGCGACCACAATGGCCAATTTAGCTCCAGCCGCAAGCCAGAGCGCCCCAGCCATGCCAGCACGCGACTTGTACATCTCGCCACCAATGATACCACCAATAAAAAGCGCAATGATACAAGCAAGTCTCCTCCCCTGTCTACGCTGCTGCACGACCAGAAACTCCCAAAGACTTGGACTCCTCTTCCACGACGTTCTGATGGCGAGCAGATCGGCAGTGAAGTCATGGTAAAGTGCACTGAGCACGATCGTCGGCAGCTCCACCATACCCAGCAGTCGCGACAAGGTCACCTGCCCCGCGGCCTGAAATGAGAGGAGAGACACGGGACACAGATCCAAGAAATTGGTCATGGCAGGTGGTCGACTGTCCTTGTCATTGCTGCCAGAGGAGAAGGCGCCCGGCAGGAAAGGCTGGTTGGAGACAAGATCCTGTGAGACGAGGACGGTTGCCACAACGATTAAGGCTGTTTGAATGCTGAAAGAGGCGATGAAGGTGCTCCGACGGCGGGATGATGCCTGCTCTGCAAATCCCGTCGGGAATCGGTGCAGGGTGTTGAAGAAGAGTGTGCCGAGACAAAATGCCCCGATCGAGGTGAGGGATTTGTAGTATTGTTGAGAATGACTGGCTTTGGGCTGGCCGCCAAGTCCCAGTGCTGCAAAGACTGTGTTGCCTGAAAAGAAATAGGAGATGGGCGGACACGGTCAGTTTGTTTTCATATACGGGCGAACCGGAAGTGGAAGACGGGAAGGAACAGCAGGAGATCTAGATGTTCGGAGATGAGTGATTTGGTTGAGAAAATCATCTTACCGGTTTGCATGTCGACGAAACAGTTCCATGAGTTGAAAGCCACGCTGTCGATGAGGCCGGAAATGAAGAAACAGAGAATGATGACAAAACTCATGTATGATGCATCGAGTTCCTGGTAGAGGTATCGCTGGACCGTGCCTCTTGATTTCTCTGATGACATGGTGCCCAAGGCGACCTCGATGTGAGATCCGGCTTCAGATTCGGTTGCCTGCAGTTGAGCTTGACCTTGCTGACGAGTCGCCTCTTTCTTTTGTTTCCTGATACTTATGGCGTCTGAGTCTGAACTGAACGGCGTTGGTGTTGCTTGATAAGGTGAGCTGTTGGTGTTGGTCAGAGTGAGAGATGAATCACTTCGATACACGGCGCCGTTCTGGCCATTTTGATCGAGGCCGTCAAGTTCAGACACCGACATGGTTGCAGCGGCGCAGGAGGGAAGGAGCCCAAACGATATCAGAGACGACAAACACGGCAGTCACCCCAGGAGTATCACTCCCGTCCAAGGTTGCACACCGCTGTCGTGAAAAGAAAAATGATCTCTGGCAATGTATGGTCCGGTGTACGTTCAAAGTACCCGCACACTGGCAGTCGAGGATGGACTGGTTATACAGGGACGGCAATGGAGAGAGGAAGTTGGAAATGGACAAACGGAAAAGAGAGCTGATAGCCCTGTAATCACGTCAACCATCTTTGGCTGAACCTGCTCAAGGAGAGAAGCAATTGTCCGCCTATCATGCACTGCATATGGCATGTCATCTATGGCATATCATGGCTGTGCTTTGGACAACAGACAAGAAAGCCAAGCAGGGCACGACATGATGTCCTTCCACCTGCAGGCAACAGCACTTCATTCAACGTTACACAGCACCCTCCGAGCGGCAGTCAACCAACTGGCAATTGGTGGAGTAAGAGGAGGAGGTGGAGGACGAATGCACGGATGCAATGTTGTCAGAGAGAATCTGAGGCTTACTCCCTACTGCTAAGTGAGGTGGAAGATCCATGAGACAATGGAGTTTCGGATCTGGCTCTACAATGCTAGTGAACCAAGATCTACACGACACCCCGTTCATTGTTTATTCGGATACACTTGTTCCAGTCTGCATGTGCTAGTGGTGTACTACTACTGGCATATATCTCGACCGGAAGCTCGACATTGACGGCTCTTGGTATCGGAACCCAAGAGAGCCAAGAAAGGGTGGCTGCGTCAAGCACTGCAACGGCAGATCGGATCATCATTCTCGTCCTGCATGGCTAAGAAGTTGAATCTCCGCCGCATTGGCAAGGATCGAGGTGGCTTATCTGCTCTCCGACACAAAAGAGACCCTCGATCTACGTGCTCATTCTGGTTCGACTCGAACAAAGCCTTCGAAGTCCTACTGTGGGTATGGGCATCATACTGTCACTTGGCCAGAAGCAGCGGATGTGGTTGAGATATACCTACGTATGTATACATACTAGTGTAGGTGTGCTCTACATGTCTACGCGGATTGAACCCCGGTGATGGCGTGTCCTATGGGCTACTGAACCAAGCGGAGCCCTGAAATGGGTATATGGTACGTCTACTGCTCCAATGCGAGGACAAGGCTCCATATTCCGGACTTACGAAGCGCCGCCTCGTCAATCCGCTATCATCATCATCGGGCAGGCAGGGCATCAGTAACCTGCAGATCCCACAGCCTTGGCCGTCAGCGGTGTGCAACCCTATCTCGACTAGAACTGACACTCTACGACACTGCACACCTAGGTACGGTGCCAGTGTCAGTGCCCATGATGCTGTGCTACTCTGATATCAAGTCCCGTCTCCACTGCGGTGTCCCCTGCCAAGCTCGCGGCGAGGCTGTGTGACCCCTGACATTTGTCAATGCTCCGTCGATCAGAGGTATACATTATTGGAGCTGATAAGAGACGAGACGTTTCACACTGCCATGGGTCTGGCTTTCTCGTCCAGCTTGGCATGTTCCTGATGAGTCGACGCTTCGTCCGTGGGCATCCGTTTAGGCTATTCGATGATCTACATTCCCGACGCAAAGAAGAGATTACCGGGCCTTGGCTGGACTAGCTGATAGACTACCTACCAGTACTAAGTAACCCTTCAGTTAAGATGGCGTGCAGCGACCAAGCCTGGTTTTCTTCTTGTGTACAGTGGTATAACGACAATCAGGCAGCAATACATGGGCACTGAACTGCCCTAGACAGGTATGCAATCTTGAGGGGTTGTCCGTTGCCGTTGGCATCTGAACCACCGTTAGTAGAGAAATTTACTCCTTCTATGGAACAGTAAGACTCAATCTGACATTGCATATCATTTATCATTGCTTCAAGCAGTCTTTTTCGGGCTCATTTTGCCCAGTTTCCACTATGGGAAGGCTGACTATGTACTATCTGGAGGTTGAATCGTCCAAGATGAGTAACCCCGGTGACAGGGCTGCCGGATGCCGACATCTTCCAACGAAATCTAAGTCTTTACATCCGGGTCAGTTCGGCCAATGAATTTCTGAAGTTGCAACAACTCAGTGGCCACGCCGACGGCTCCCTTGAGGTACGTCTGTGTGTCTTCAAGCACCTTATTTCTGTCCTCTTCCAGCTTCTCAACATACAGGCGGATGGTGGCACCGCTGCTGCCAGTTCCAGAAAGTCGGACAACAACCCGGGTGCCGTCGTCGAACTTGAAGTAAATGCCCTGGTTCTTAGACACAGATCCATCCAGATCGGTGTATGAGAAGTCGCCGGCTTCGGTAATCTTGTGTCCTTGCACCTTTGAACCGACGGTGTCTGGCTTCGAGATCTTGTCCTTCAAGTAGCTGACCATGTCGTTGGCACCATCGCTGCTGACGTTCTCATAGTCATAGCGAGTGAAGTAGACGCGGCCGTACTCATTCCAGAACTGCTTCTGGATCTCGCCAATAGACGGCACTTTGCCAGTATCCTTGCCCACGCCTGCAACGATGTTGAGCCAAGCCGTGATAGCCCAGAGACCATCCTTCTCTCGAATGTGGTTGGAGCCTGTGCCGAAGGACTCCTCGCCACAGATGGACATCTTGTTGGTGTCGAAGAGTGCGCAGAAGAATTTCCATCCAGTGGGAACCACATAGAGCGACAATCCTTGCTTCTTAGCCACCAAGTCCAGCGCAGCAGAAGTAGGGAAGGATCTGGCGAGGCCATATACACCTTGCTTTTGAAAGTACGGGATGTATTTCTTCGCATAGTGAGCGATGATGGCCAAAGAATCACCGGGTGACACGAAAGCGTTCTTGCCATAGATCATGTTCCGGTCACCATCTCCGTCAGAGGCAGCACCGAACGGTATGTTCTCCCTCTCCACCCGCTCAACCAGGGAGTGGGCATATGTCAGGTTTGGATCGGGATGGTGGCCGCCAAAATCAGGTTTTGGCTCGCAATTTTGAGTGCTCTCAGGGCCTAAGCCCAGCTCCTTCTGGAAAATGGCAACACCATAGGGGCCGGTAACACCATTCAACCCGTCAAACAGAATCTTGAAATCGGGCTGCGACTTCAAGAACGAGCGGATGAGGTCGAAATCAAAGATTTCCTTCAACATGGTGATATAGTCGGCGACCGAGTCGATAATCTCAACTTCCAAGTCGCCATACTTTTTCGTACCGATCGTGGTGATGTCAATATCGGGGATGTCTGCAATCTTGTAGGATGTGAGGTTCTTGGAGATTTCGTAGATTTTGTTGGTGACCGACTCGGGAGCCGGGGCGCCGTTGGAAAGGTTGTACTTCATACCGAAGTCGGCATTGGGACCTGAAGGTGGTCAGTAGGGGCTCTTACATCTACCGAATGGGATTCGTAACGTACCACCGGGGTTGTGGCTGGCGGTGAGCAAGATACCGCCAGTGGCCTTGCGCTTGCGGATGACATTGCTGGCAGCAGGCGTGCTCAGGATACCGTTCTGACCGATGAGTAGCTTCTTCACGCCGTACGCGGAACCAATCTTTGCAATGAGCTGGACAACTTCTGGGTTCCAGTATCTTCCGTCACCGCCGATAACCAGGAATGCGCCCTCTGCACCTTCAGGAATGGAGAGGAGGATGGAGGTGATGAAGGATTCGCTGTAGTGTGGTTGTTGAAAGACTGTGACTCTCTTACGGAGACCCGAAGTGCCTGGCCTGTCCAAGTCTGTCAGTTCACAGCTTCAGCGGAAGGATAGTGTTCAAGACATACTTCTGGTCAGTAAAGGGCTTGAACTGGACTTCTTTGATGTTCACCATGATGGCGAGGGAGACAGAGTGTAGGATTCAATTCAGTATTAGTTATGAGACGTCTGGTATTCAAGCTGCTGGGTGAGAGAAAATGTGGTGCTATGAATATGGGTAGGTAGCAGCAGGAGTACAAGTTGTATAGAGAATCGCGGGGCAGAAGGATGCGGTGGATGGTAGACACCAAGCTACGTAACATGATGGCCATACTTTTATTTCTGCCCGCATATTTTCCGAGCAACCCCCAACACAACGTCATGGCCCGCCGAATGCCATAGTACGACTTGAGAGATGCTACTAGCAACATACACAACCTTCTTCTTCCTCATTTGCCAGTCCACGGCTCATCCGGCCGGGTGCAAACACCTGAGGGCGGTACTCACACCACTCCAAGTTACGGACAATGAGACCCAGGACTTGACGAGATCATGAAACCACTCTTGACTGCAAAATAAGTACTGCTTTTTTCGGAGCTATATATGCCAGCCGTAAACAATCGCTGCGAAGCCGAGTTGAGTTATCCACACTCATTTGTCCGATTGTTCACCAGTATATCGACATCTGATCACCATCGTGCTCCAAACTTCCGTATCTTTACCTGCTGGGCTGTCTAGAGTCCACGACGTATCCGTATGAAGGCATAGAGTAGAGAAGAACACCCTTAATCCATCGCGACCGACGAAGAACAGCTCTTGCACGGTTGATCTCAGAGCAGGCATAGAGAGATATCGAGAGGAGAGTAGAGCCTCAAGACAGTTGCCACGAAGTCAATAGTGGGAATATTTATGGTGAGCATCAGGCTGGAACATCGTTAGCCTTGTGACGGTCAGATACGTGGAAGAATATAGAGTCAAGTCCCAAGTCCCGCAGGTAGATCCATCGACAAGGCTGTTTGAGGCTCGCTTCATTTCATCTTCCAGCTGAGGTTCTGGTGACCCAGATCCGAGGCTCATTCATAGTTCAGCAATCAAAGCCCTCTCTGATAGTAATGAACTTATTTTTGAACGAATGGCAGTTAAGATCTAGGTAGATTGATGACTCGAATGGCTCGACTTCTTCATTTGAGTGTGTCTGAGTCGGCGGTGCCAGTGACTGTAGAGGCAGCAAGCAGTCTGACTGAAAGTGGTTAGAGCAGTCAGGCATCTCTTGGCGCGGTTGACTCGCTGCACCGGCCACTACCTACTTTACCGTACTTGTACTTTGGCGGAGGCAGCGTCTCGCGCATCTTCAAGTTGTATGGCACTCGTTCCCAGTCCGTTGTATTTCCTGGACACCATCTCCCTCGTCTAGTATTTGCAATTGTTTCCATTCAAAGGCTAGTTGCACCAGCATGCAAACCTTCCTTCCCTAACGTCTCTCTCTGCAATTCCTTACCTCGCCCTCAATCACGACCCGAATCCAAAATCGACAGCTCACCGTCTCCCACACGTGCGGAGGAGGCACGTCCTAGGATACCCGACTGCCTCCTACATGCCCCGCAAACCTTGACTGCTCTGCCATCCTCTGCAAACTCAGGGCGTAAACACCACACAGGAAAGAGTTGATTCTACAAAAGAAACTGTCGTGGTCGAGGACAATCCGTCCTATCTCGGGGATTTTCTCCGCAATCCGCCTCCGCGGCGCAGAGCGCGGAGAACTGACCACCAGCACGTAGTAAACATCCTCGAGACAATTCTCTCACCATGCCGTGCTTCAAGGGCCTTGCCGTGAGCATTCACACTCCGAATGGACCGTTGCCCGAATACTCGGTGCAGAAGACAACTCGGCTCTCTCGAATCAGTGCTTACATCCCTGTACCGCCCGCACGCATTCCTGCCGATTCAGTGACTGGGAACCCGGAACAATCTACATTCGCGATCTCGATAACACTGCTCACACCCGGTCAAGAGGTCCCCTACTCGACCCCGAAAGCCACTCCAGAGAACCCAGATCCGAAACCGAAGCTAGTTGGAAGTTTACCTGGCCTTGGGGGAGATCGAGGAAAATCCGCAAACACCATCCAGCCCTATATCCCCCTCACGACATCACCGAACGAGACAATAGCGGCGTACATCTACTTCGATGGTCGGGCAAAGGAAGAGGTTGCCACACTGCTGAGAAAGGGTGAGGAGACCTGGGTCAATTCTCGATGGGTTAGTGTTCCGGAGAAGGAAGGCGGTGGTCTGGCAGAACGAGAGTTTTTGTTTCGCGAAGTGGGTCTCGAACGATGGCTCAATGGTCTGGACCTCGAGGGCAAAGACGCCGCTGCGACAATAGAAAGGCGGCGACAGAAGCTGGAGAAGCGCCGGAGAAAGAGAAAGGAAGTCGCTGGGAGTGATGACGAGGCGAACGGAGGCCCGAAGGGATCTGGTCGGAAAAGCACACTAAGGTATGGCGAGAATGGGGAGTTGCAAGACGTCTCAGACGACGATGCTTCGTTGAGCGATACGGACAGCTCGGACGACGACGATCCGATTCCAGAAGCGGCCGGTCAGATTAAGGTGGCTTTGTTCCGCGTCCTTGCATCGGGAGAAATCAAGCGAGGAGAATACTCGCCGCAGTTCGATGCACACGACGATTCTTCCGACTCTGATGGCCCCGAAGGCACAGCTCCAAACGCTGACGGCAAGAATCGAGCAGACGTTGACCACACCACGAGTTTCGCGAAGCCCAAAACACTGGATCCTAAAACTATCTCTACTCAGACCGTGACAGGCATTGACCCCACCGACAAGCCTTATGCCGTTTTCACTTTTCTGTATCGCGGCGAACGCCAGCTGCAGAAAATGGGAATCTTGCCCACCCCAAAGTCGGAAAAGGCAGCAACCAACGCCAAGAGGCGCAGCCTGGTGGCTGACCTTCCCAAGCTTGGACCTCTCAAGAAAACGGGGGCTGCTGGCTTCTCGACCTTCAGAGATGCCGACGGGAAACCGACTCGCAAAGGCAAGAAGGCCAGCGACGACGACATGGAGAGTGACGATGACGAAGAAGGAACTGGTATCATCAGCAAGATGGAGGACATCAACGATGCCGATGTCAAGAAAGAACCCGACTTGCTGTCTCCAGAAGACGCCGAACGGACAGGCCAAGTTGCGGAAGGAATCCGCAAAATGAAGGTAAGTAACCCTTCGCCAATGAGATTCTGTCATGGGTTAACACATCATCAGCTCAAGCGACAGCATTCGGCGGAACCATTGAACAGCAATGGCGCGCCCGAAGCTCGCAAGACGTCAAAGTCAGGCAGTCCTTCCACAGCGTCGACACCAAAAGTTGGGGATGATGACTTGGGCACTTCTCCTTCGGGAACGAACAATGGTGGCATCCCGGTACCTGGGTCTACTCTAGATATCAAAAAGGAAGACGACAGCTTTATGCTTGGCAGTCCTATGAAAAGGCAACGCGCCAGCGTAGCCGAATTCGACGATGATATCAAGACACGACTGGCCAGTGGTCTCTCCAGCGCTATAAACCAGATCACTGGTTCTAGTGAACAATCTCAGCCGCCGACTACGTTGGACGTCAATCCTTCCGGCCTTCAGTTTGGTGGGGCACTTGTTAAAGGACCTGCTGCCGATGACGACGAGGAACTGTGAATTCGCCAGAGAATCATCATCTCCAAAATAGATTTGGTGGGGACATTTCACATCCATGGCAAGGAGAGTTGCTTGCTTCGTTGTGGCAAACTTCCAAGAGGGTCGAGAACCGGTTCCCCAGAAATCGTTCAGTAATGTGCCATGCGACCAGGAAACGACGTTGCCATTGTTAGCGTATTGAATGGGATGGGATATGCATTTGTTGATTCTGAGAGAGAGTCATGCAGGAAGACTCGGGCGGGCAGCTGCAACATTGCCAGGTCGACCTAAGCCTGGAACACAGAAGAACATGGGGTTCCATTCACAGGGAGGTTTGAATGTGCCTAATACAGTGTTTGCCGCACAAACGGCGGACTTTTGCAGTTTGGGCGTTCAGAAATCTGCTCTCCTGGGCGATAAGCAGAGAGGATTGAGCTGGAAAGGCTTGCGCTCCGAATAAGCCTCGGCCTTCGAGCATGGTCTGGTTTCGCTGTCGAAGGGCAGGCGCTTTTGCTGGAAATGAGATAGCCACGCAGCTGGACCCTGTGTGCGGGAGTCTTGACACTCTCGAGCAGCTTTTGTGCCAATAAATAGGATACAACTGGACTCGAGAAGACTTAGCAGCGAACTGTCTTTGCTCTACATAGTATATTACTGTAGCAGTGCAGTGCCGTACGTTTCTGGTGACTGCCAGGACAAGTAAGTCCGAACCGCCATCCCGATTGGCCAGCAAGCAACGTCAACTCACCTCCAATATCAGTGGCTGGTCTTCGCTCTCTGTAGCCTCGATGAGGTATCGTCATTGTCATATCTCCTACGACCTACTATGTTACAACATCCAACGTAGTAGTGGCCAGGGTTCCGCTTCTGCTCGACTTTGCCTCTTTCTGCTTCTTTCCACCCAGCCTCCACCAGACCTTGACCCCAGCAGATCCCTTTCTCCTTTCCAGCATCTCATTCGTCAGATGCTTGGCCAAAACTCAGATCCGCAGCGAAGCAGGGTCCATGAACCCTGAAGCTATGGAGCCCACAGGAGACTGAGATCCAGAGAAAGGTTCTGAATCTTCCAAAATCCCATCATACCAATCGCGCAAAATCCCATCCGCTGCAAAACAAGGCCGCGGTGCGGGTTTGAGAGGCTTCTACTTCTGAGGAGACGGTGAAAAACTGGGGGTGCAAGGGCCACGAGTTGTTCGGACAACTTGAGTCTATCCCGTCCCATTGTTGCCGGCCCGCGTCATATGGCGATCATCTTCCAATAACAAGCATACCATACTTCAACTCAGCGCAAAGGCTGTCGGATCTTCCACTCGATCGAAATTCTGGAACATGGAATTGCCACTGTCTTCGGAAAAGAAATCCAGCCTTATCCCAACTATGTACAATAACATTCGTCTCGTGTCTGTTCTCTAGCCATTGTCCAGGACTCCCTTTGCGCAACGTGACCTTATCCATGAATGTGGTTTCCACGCCTTGACAGCCTGAGGAAATCATAACAAGCACCCAACGACCTTGCTGAAGTCTCTTCAAATCACGCGCATAGACACAAATCTTCCATAAACCGCATCGCTCATCTGCAATTTGAGGTCGACGTTTGTTGCCGGTCCATTTACCACTGAGAAGGGCAGACGAAGCATTGAGTCAGGGTGCGCCTCATACGGAACCATGTCGTTGACACGGTCGACGGATCCCTTGGTCTGGATCGATTGCGAGGTAAGTCAGGACGTTGAGTATTCTATACTTTTTTCCACCAAGGCACCCATCTCCATAACGCATGCCCGCATGAAATCCCGGCAAATTACAATTCCAGTCGTTCCTATGGATCCATATCCGGGGTTTAGCCCAGCAGCAATGCTGCGTGAGAACCAAGAGCTGTTCCGGGAGCCTGTCAGTCGCCTCACTGTCACTACGTTGTTGCCTGTGGACAGAACGGAGTCCATGTAACAGGCTCTTGTTCTGGACTTGAACTCAACATTTTAACATCCACCATACACGTTGTTCATATATGTCCATCGTTCGATCTCATATACAACGCTCATCTTCTCTCTGCCACTATGAGAACCGTATGCTAACATTTTCTTCTTTCGTTTCCACCGCAAAGATGACAGGCCTGGATCCACAAACCGACACCATCATGAGCATAGCATGCATTCTCACCACCTCGGATCTCCAACCATTGGACTCTCAAGGGTTCGAAGCCGTCATCCAACACACGCCGGCCCAACTATCGAAAATGTCGGAATGGTGCGTGCGCACGCATGGTGCCAACGGCCTGACTCAACAGTGTCTGTCCAGCACGACCACTGCAAAAGTCGCAGCCGAAGCTTTACTAGCTTATATCAAGCACTACATCCCAGAGCCTGGTCGGGCATTGCTTGCGGGCAATAGCATCCACGCCGACAAAGCATTTTTGACCGTCCCGCCCTGGAACATTGTGCTGGAACATCTGCACTACCGGCTCTTTGACGTGAGTGCCATGAAGGAAATGGTGCGACGGTGGGCGCGGCCCGAGGTGCTGGAGGGCGCGCCAAAAAAGCAGTTGAAGCATTCTGCCCGTGAGGATATTTTGGAAAGCATCGAAGAGGCAAGGTATTACAAGAAGCTGATTGAAGGGATGATGCTGGCGGCCCCAACGACTTCTCCTGCCGCTGCAGCTGCCGCTGCTATCAACAACACTGCTGCTGGTCGTCGAATCGCACAGGAAGGAGTACCTCCGCTCCAAGCTGCAACTACAGCAACTCTCCCAAGCACTGGTACTGGTGGAGGTGGCCAAGATCACGTTCACCACGCCGTACCACAGCAGCAACAGCAGCAGCAACATTTGCAGACACGGCCCCCGCAGTACAATCCACCAAATCCCAACCAGCAGCAACAACAGCAATCCCAACCCCAACCCCAAATCCAGCAACAACAACAACCACCCCATCTCCAAAGTCAGACCAAGTCTCCTCTACAAGCAAAGAATTCCGCCACCGCCGTCGGATTTGGACCAACCAATCAAGCTCAAGGTCGAACCCATGGTCAGGGTCAGGGTAAGGACCAAAGACAAACAGACGGCCCCGGAAACCAATACGTCGATTACCCTACAAACACCAACAACCCCAACAACGACAACAGCAACAACCATATAAGACATCCTGGTCCTGGACCCGCTCCCGCCCTGAATACAAAACAAGGCCAGGAAGCTCTACAGATGATGTCGAACAATGGTAATAGGGCAGGTGATGTGGGTACGCTGGACGCCGGGTTTCGGACTGATGTTCCTTGAGCAGGATTATGGCCCTAACCTAAATTGCCACCATCCCAACATTGAACATTTCGTTTTATTTACACTGCAGCTGTATCCATCCCGAGAGCACATGTATGTACATGTATCCATCCTACTAGTATAGTATGTCCTTGGTTTTCCCTCGCGATCTTGGGGAGGAATGTGTGGAAGCGTATTGGGTCTCTGTATATATACACTATGTATATGTATATATGATGTATGTACATCTACCTTATGTGTGTACTGTATTCTATACTTGAGGTATTAGGCTATCCACCCGATTCTCATTGCAAAGTACTCTCAAGTATCTGTCCAACCAGCACCAACAGTCACAAAGTATTTCTGAAGCAGACTCTTGGATACGACAAGGGCTGTGCCCACTGTCAATCTAACCTGGACACGAGAATTTTCTTATGAAGTACAGTACCTTGGCTACTGAACAAATAGGTGTAATCCAGGGAATTGCTACTAGTAAGTAGGCAATTCAAGAATACGGATGCTACGAGAGACAGAGAGAGAGAGAGAGAGAGAGAGAGAGAGAGAGAGTCAATAATGATTCTTGCCGGCCCATACTAGTAAGAGCCTTTCAAAGCCACTGCTCTCATGAACTACTACTTCCTGTAACAAAGATGGGGTCTGTTCCATGTCTCAGACTCCACAAACCCCGGTGCATCTGCCGTGCACGCGCCTTGATGCTATTACGCGTAATCGCAAAAAGAAGAAGATACTCCTCGATGCCATACAAAGCCCATGTGGTACCCGAACACGGTCCGATCAATCGATCGATACCCATTCTCACTCAGACAACAAAACAGCAGGGCCTTAAGTCAACAATAACAACCATACTTCAACAATCAGTGTGACCTCGCTTCACCCGAGCCCGAACCTCCTCCAGAGTCTGTTAAAACAGCGCTTTCACGTAGCTGACATGCTGCGTCGATATTGTTGCGCCAACAGGTGGAGTCGACTCTCTCTTTGAAGTCTTGTTCTAGGAGGAGTCGACCACTAGAAACCCCTGCCTGGTGGGCCGAAGCTATTGTTACCGATGCCGCCAAACGGACTGGTCTGGGCATGCTGGCTGTGTCCTAGGACAGGACTGCCGATTTCGCCGACACTGCCTCTGGGCTGCGGAGCTGGAGTCTCCTCGACGAACTTGATCACCTGCCCACGTGCTTTGTCGATGATCACCTCGAACGAACCCCCGCCGTTCTGCGAGTTGCCCTCGGTATCACATATTCCCAGCATCTCATCCATCGACACGGGCGCTTCTCCTGGGATTTTCAACGCCTCCAGTTGTCGGAGAACTGCTTGGACAGGGTGATAGCCGTCCGCGCTCGCTCCTGGAATCTGTGACAATTGACGACACGCCTGGACCAGCATAAGTCGCACAGCCACCGGTCTGGGAAGATGTGATCTGGCAGCTGGCGGTCCTGCAGGGCCGAACGGAGGTTGGGACCAGCCTGGGTTGGGTCGCTGTGGTGCAGGTGGTCCCCAACCCGGCGCCGCACTCATGCCAGGATTGAAACTACCCCAAGAATGGCTTCCCAAGGAGAAGGTGTCTTGCTTTGGCTCGGCAAAACTGCTAGCAAAGGACAACCTGGAAGATCCTGGGGGACCTACAAGGGGAAGGTGCATTCGTGACTCGGGATCCTCCAAGAAAGGGGCATCAGAATCGTCCAATAAAGCCTTACTACCCAGCTGGGTTGCCAGTTGCTCCACCTCAGCTTCTCTAGATTTCTGTGGCTTCTGTTTGTCCGGTGTCGTGCTGGACGGTCGAGCAATCGGTCCAGGCCGGGCTATAGGAGCTGGTTGATTGCTACCATCGTTGGAAGGTTGTCGGGAATGTCCCGTTGGTTTAGAGACAGGCTGCGGATTGACCATGGGCGGTGGCGCTTGACTTTGAGGCTGTGGGACGAATGGCAGTTGCTGACTAGGTTGAAATGGTCTAGGAAATCCCGGCGGATATGGCATCCCATTCGGCGCGAATCGTGGTTGTCCACCCATCGGAGGTCCCTGGTACATCGGCATTGGATGCATCATGTTGGGTAGCATGCCCTGGTTGCTCAGGGGCAGACCATTCACACCGACACTGGGCGGTCCATTTGCATTGAATGGATATTGACCTCGCCCATGATTCAAGTTGTTCAAGGGAGATCTTGGGGCTGACGGTTGTGGATGATGGAGAACTGGAGGTTGGCCTTGCGCCTTGATCGGATGGCCAGGCCCAGGCGTCTGCGGTATGGCGACGGTCGCAGGAGATGCAGAGTTGTGTGAAAGCTCGGTATTGGCCTTTTGAGATCGCGGAGAAGATCCATGGGACTGTTGTCCTGCCTGTGACGGCTGTCGACCTGGGGTAGGGACTTTCGGCGGGACTATCGGAGTGGCGATTGGAAGATGGGGCGACTGTAGAGTTGGACCTCGAGAAGGAGGATGAAGCCCCGGCGGTAGAGCCACGGGCTGCTGCTTCGGCACCGGTGCTTGACCAGAACGATCCTTGGCTTCCTTTTCTGCCTTCTGTGCAGCGGCCTCTTTCTCCTTTCTGGCTTGCTCTTCCTTGGCCTTCTTCTCTCGCTCTTCTTTGGCCTTACGCTCTTTAGCCTCCTTTTCTCTGGCCTCTCGTTCTTCTCGCTCCTTCCGCTTCGCCTCTTCACGCTTCTGGCGCTCTCGCTCCTTCGCCTCACGTTGTTTGCGCTCCTGTTCGGCTTGTCGTTCGCGCTGTTCTTGCTGTTTCCGCAGCTTTTCGGCCTCCTTCCGAAGCCGTTCTTCTTCTGCAGCTTTCTTCTCCGCCTCACGCTTCTTCCGCTGCTCCTCTCGTCGTTGGCGTTGCTCCTCCAACTTTTTCTCTTCCGCTTCACGTGCTGCTGCCTCTTGAGCCGCTTTCTCGGCCTCTTTTCTGGCCTTCTCCTCTTCCTTGGCAAGTTTTTGAAGCCGTTTCTTTTCTTTCCGCCTAGCCGCTTCTTTAGCCTTCTTCGCCTCTCGTTGCGTGTCAAGACGACTTTCTTCATCGAGCTCTTCCAGCAACTTCTTTTGGCGTTCCTCGGCCACCTTTTCTCGGTAGGCTGTCAGGACACGTTGCTCAAACATGCGGGCCGCGAATATCTGAAACATTCGACGACCTTCTTCCATCCGCTGCTCTTCGGTCATGGAGTCCTAATATAGATTGTCAGCAAATAAAACTGGGAGAACGATATCGAATGACAGAATGACACCGACCATCTCGTCGCCCTCGTAGTCGTCTTCCTCCTGACTATCGTAGTCTTCATCGTCTTCTTCGTCGTCATAATCATCATCGTCTTCGATGGGAGGATGATTGTGACCTTCATGGACACCACGATGAGCTAAAGAAGAAGAAGGGTAACGAATTTCTTCCTCACGTTGCATGCGCCTCTCCGCCAGTTGTTCCATCATGTCGATGAAGTGTTTGCCATCGTTCTTCAACAGATCGTCAGCGACTGTGAGGATGCCATCTGTATACTTGTTAGTCCATACGCTTGGCCATAACCAGCAACCACCACAAACCTTTGACGGTTAAGCTATTGCCAAACTGGAAGAAATCAGCAGGACCTGGTGGAAGACCATGGCTGTCAAGCTCTCCTTCATCCTCACTGTACGCTTCTTCGTCTTCCTCGTCGTACTCGTCGTCATCCTCGAGGTCCTCCTCTCCATCGTCGATCTCACGTACTAGACCGCGAGACGGAATCCGAGATGCAGGTGGATGCACGCGTCTGTACGGTGGCCGGGGAGGTGCCATCATTTGGGGGACATTGGTAAGGTCTGTGTTGTGATTGGCGAATTGTTCGAGTTCTTCGTAATATGCATCGTAAAGGACTTCGAGCTCTTCCTCGATTGCCGTCCGTTTCCGCCCACATACTGAACAACTGCACGAGTGCTTTTGCTGCTCCTTCATCTTGCGTAAGACCGCCTCCTTCTCCACCTTAACGAGTGATCTCCGCTCCTCTTCACCCAGCTCCAGCCAGAATTTTTTGATGTTCTCTCGCTCCGCCTGCGTAGAAGTATTCCAGATGTGCTCTCTAGACAAGTTATGCGAAGCGCGGATGGCTGCATTCGACAGTGGTGGGATATGGGATCTCGAGAGCATGGTGGAAGCCCGCGACAAGTCAGAATCGGCAACATGGTTCTTGTTCTTTTTCGCCTTTTTTCTCTTGCTTGTATTAAGCCATGAGCTATCCGGCACTGCTTCGTCTTCCTCTCCGTAATTCGGGTCCTCATCTCCGCTGTAGAAGGCTTCTTCGGGGCTTCCAAGGTCGGCATAAGCATGGTGCGTCTGGTCGGCGTAATCAGCCTCTTCAGTAAAATACCCCTTAACCGGTCCGCGGCTTTGTTTCACAGGAGGCCATTGTCCGTTCTCCGCTGGACTGGCGTGGTCGGCCCCGTTTGGTGAAGTCTGCTCGGTAGCTCTCTTCGCCGCCTCTTTCTCCCGCCTCTTCTGCTTTTTCCGATTGATCGCAGGTGTGGGTGCAGGCTCTCCAGCAGACTCTGTCGTATCGCCAGTTTTAGAGTCCGAATCTTGCCTCGCGGCTGAATGCTCACCATTCACTGACGGGGCGGAGGCTGAAACAGAGTCTGGTTTGCGTTGCGGCTGCGTAGGAGGAGGCGCACTTTTCGTGGCATCGTTCGTCGGTTGTGATTTTACCGCACTGGCTTGCGTACTGGCTTTCTTTTTCGACGGCATGATTAGAAGCTACCCTCCAGGTCGTCAGGCTGTGGAAAAGGTTGAAGGACCAAGGCAGGGCGCCGTTTCACGATGTAATCAGTTTCGGCATCAAAGTCCCTTTCACCGCTAGCGGGGTCCGAGAATTTGAGATTTGAGACTGGTAAAATTGACAGAGGCTCGGCCAGAGGTGTGGAAGGGCGAGACTGAGTGCGGCTGAGGGCCCTGGAGCGGTGTCGCGTGTATTGAAGGCAAGAAGGGGTGTCGTTGAATGTGAGGAAGTTCGATGCTGAACGGTTACGGGTTCGTGGGGCGGGCAATGCAAGTCAAAGTCGCAAGTTGCGGTTGTGCCTGCCACTGTCCGCCGTAGGTACAGGCGCAGTACTAAATGGCACACTGGAAGCGCAGTGCAGTGTTAATACTCCCCGACTAGCAGCGGTAGTACCTACATAAAGGCACTAATGACGGTTAGTGCCAGTACTTTAGCGCCCTGTATCAGGGCATTGAATCACAGCCCTATAACACCAGGAGGAGCACCTAAAAGCAGCGCCCGAAAGCAAAGCCCGGTGCCTACAACATGCTGCGCTGTAGGACCAAAGTACTGTAACCACTGCCCGTGGCGTCGCAGTCGTACTGCTAACCTCGCCTCGCCAAAGTAACTCACCACCTCCATCGCCTCGGAACATTCAACTCCCAACTTTCAATACTCACTCACCCAACACATCGTCTCCAGCCTCCCACAGCCTCACTCACGCTTACCTTTTCGAATCTTTCCAACGGCTGTGTCCGTTGGTGTCTGCTCTTACTTGACCACGACAGCATCACACCGAACCCTCCCCGGACCGTGCCTCCTGCGCTGTCATCACTCGATCCTATCTCCACTAGGGATTCTATTTCTGGCTGCGCCTCATCGCTCCGGTGCCGTGACTTCGGCTGGACACAGTCCTCGTTGGACCCCACGGATACCTCAGGCTAGTCTCAGACATTCAAAGATCTGCTTGTCTCGAATATATCAAGCTACCATTCTGTTACATTGGTCGCCGCGAAGACAGGCTTGGGAAGGTCGGCACTGCAGCCAGCGCACGTTCTGTCGCTATATGCGACCCGGGCGCCATCCATATCCGTTACGGCTTGTTACACGAATTCACCACTCCAGTTCAGCTTGTCCTAGAAAGAACCTCGACTTTCTCTTCCTTCCCATTCCGCTCCTTCACCTGCCAAATATTCCGAATCGTCGGAGCGAGTTCCCTTCCAACCGCGTGATTGTGAGGTCGTGACCTGGATTGAGCTCCCTTGGTGTCGCCCATCCGCCAATTGGGGGCTACGAAAGACATACCTTCAACATGGCACAAAATCAGGCACAACAAAATGTTATGAGGCGGTGTGTACTCCCATTCCTGTTCCGTGCCATTCAATGGCATTTCCCCGGATCAGCTTCCGAATTCCCGGACGCCCTGCTAAACGCGCGTTAAACTCGTTTGTTCGATTATGAAAGCAAAGCGACTAATGGTGAATCCAGGAAACTCGTTATTATAGGAGATGGCGCTTGCGGCAAAACATCTCTCTTATCCGTGTTCACTCTCGGCTACTTTCCTACTCATTACGTGCCGACAGTGTTTGAGAACTACGTTACCGATTGTCGCGTCGATGGCAGATCAGTCCAACTAGCGCTATGGGATACGGCAGGCCAGGAAGACTATGAAAGACTAAGACCACTGGCATATGCTAAATCGCATGTCATCCTGATAGGTTTCAGCGTCGACAGTCCCGACAGTCTGGAGAACGTACGGCATAAATGGATCGAAGAGGCCAGAGAACGGTGCCCCGACGTACCAATCATCCTCGTCGGGTTGAAGAAAGACCTAAGAGAAGACCCAATGGCAATCGAAGAGATGCGCAAGAAGAGCCTTAAATTCGTGACTCCGCGTGAAGGCGCTGAAATGGCGCAGTTATGTGGAGCGCGCAAATATCTCGAATGCTCCAGTCTGACTGGAGAAGGGGTGGACGACGTCTTCGAAGCTGCCACGAGAGCAGCCCTTCTCACGTTTAACGGCAAGCAAGGTGGAGGTGGCTGCTGCGTGATCCTGTGATGGCTATACTAGGCAAATGAATGGGTCGCACTGGACGGGAAGAACAAAAACAAAAATGGGGACGTAAATGGGCGGCATGCTTCTTCTTCTCATAAAGAGGTTTCTGGAGTACTCGGACTGGGGAGCGGAGCATTATCTCGAACTTGAAGATGGTGAAGACATGATATCTTGTGAGAAGCCCATTGCGAAGCATTTCTCCGGAGTCATGAGGGTTCTTTGCCTCCTTTGGCCATACATGTGACGACGGGTTTCGATTCCATGGGTTTTCCTGCGGGACATTAGCGAATATGGAAGAATCATGTGATTTTCTTTTCTTGTGTGCTTTTCTTCCTAGAACTTTTTGGCAATTGGTGTTTGATGGGGCCCAAAAAGAAAACCTGCCATGACCTGTGTTCTTTATAGAATAATGATTCGCTTTGTAATCTGTCCCCTGATGAACTCGAGCCCGTAGCTAGGCGAGGATGGATTTCTCGATTTCTCTCCAGACATTCATGCTCCCATGCTGCTTTGAACTTTTTGTGGTGTTATACAGTACAGTAGTTGGCCCTCTTTTTATCACACTCCCTCCATCTCCTTTCCAATCAGCCAGAAAAGACGGTCGTCATGATCTCTTCCATTCGCTATCCCAGATCTTCGCTTTAGCACCGAGCCCGGACCCTGAAGCACCCAGACCACCGGTACTGCCCATCCAATCCACCATTCCCCTGGCATACTCGATGGGCACGCCGCCGCCGCGGGCGGGGATGCTCCAGACGCCGGTCTTCATCTGCGCTTTGCGGAACAGTCTGCCGCCGTCGCCGGCGCCGACGCGCAGCTCCTCATTGGCATCTCTCATGGCATTGTATTGACGTTCGAGCTCAAGTTCGCGCGCCTTCTTCACTTTGGCGCGGTACAGATTCCAGGCGCGATGAATCGTCCAGTGGCGGAGGTAGCGATTGCGGGAAAATCGGAGCGGACGTGGAGTCAGAGTTGTCGGGTGATATAGAAAGTAGCGGATTAAAGCTGGAGGTAGATGCAGAGATTAGCATATCTATGATTGAGGGGTGATAATAGAGAGAGCCCAAATCCAGGTCTGAATCCATGCAACACGGGGATTCAAGTGGTATTTCTCTCAGGGATATAGTGCACAAATATGCAGAGTGGTTATCGCAGGACACTACTCACTTATTCTCTGATCTGGTCGGCCGCCTTTTCCCTTCTTTGCGGCACGGCTTACGCTCGTCGAGAAGGAGGAGGTGCTCTGAATAGATGTGCTGACATTGCTCGCGCCAGTCGTGGACGATCGGGTTGGGATGGTCACTGCATTCCGCAGTGTCGGCCGCAGAGGGATCTGAAAGACCTGCGCCAGCGCAGCGCGGATCGAGGAGACGTGCATCCTGGGCCGCCCTTGCGAGGATGATAATGAAGCCGGAGTTGGAGGGGGCGGCGCAAGGCTCCTAAGCAGCGATTATGGAGGGTGCTTAAATGGTTCGTGTGTTCATCGGGTTCCAATGCCCAGACGTTCGTCGATAACCTGAAAGGCTCGAAGTCAGACCTGAGATGCCATCCCAGTCGGGAATGGACGATCGTCGGACTTGGCATGGTTGAGCCTCCGAGTCTACTAGCACTACTAGTGGCCGCGCTAGTGCTGTTAGGAGTGCTAGCTAGGTACACACCCGCCGTTCCCTTACTACTAGTAGTAGTACTGGTCGTAGGTACACCATCCAGCCTCAGCTACACCAACTCGTACCAGACGTGCCTAATGCGTGTGCTGCTATTTGGAAATCATCTTAATACTGTAGCTAGGCTCTCATGAGAATGATATCGCGTGTAGGGCTGCGCAAGCGACAGCCGTCAAAGATATTTGATTGAGTAAAGCACCAGCATCGCATCGTCAAAGCCTGGGAATATCCCATCTAAAGTCCCTGAGAGAAAGTGACTGCCTTCTCAGAGCGAGTATCTCTTCGTTTTCTTGTCATAATTCAGAATCCGCCTCTGTCGATGGCCTTGCGCCAGCTTCCATCTGCAGTATAGCACCAGAGCGTCCTTGAGCACAACAAATAGACAACCACCCACAACACTTCTTCCCCATTTGGTCCGCATTATACCCGGGCGGCCATTCATAGTGTTGGCGGCACTTAGCCATGAAGAGGGCAAGAAGTAGCTGAGAAGAGTTCCCATTCCTGCTGCCACGCCGGGGAAAGCCAAAGCGCCTAACACCATCTGTCCGATGCTGGATGTCCCTTCGACCAGTTGATCGCCCCGGTCTCCTAGAATCTGATGGACGTGGCCGTTCTGTGGCCGCGGTTGCTCAATCTGCTGTTCGCCAGGCGCATTGCCGTCGCCTTCCATAGGCTCAGGCTCGGCATTCAGATTGACCTCTAACTCCAGCAAAACCTCTCCCTCCTGAACTTCTTCCGGTATGTCCTGAAAGCCCCCGCCGTTTTCGTCCTGATTTTCTTCTGGCCGGGCATGGCTTGGCTGTATTTCTTCCAGCCATTTCCGGTTGAGATCACAGAAGACCATGTGATAGCACCAATTATAGGCTTTTCTGATGGTAGGCAAGCACGCAAAAACCGTTGAGGGCAAGGGCGGCCAGATCGTCATGTCGATTTCGAACCCATCACTGAGCTGTGTCGCTAGCAAGAATAAAGAGCCAGAAGGTAGCACGAAGTCGGCGTAATTGGTGCGAGCGAAGATCAGGTTGACTGGAATCATCCCATACGCAACATGCCACAAGGGATGTCGGAGAGCCTCCTCAAATATACGTGTGGCGTCTTCTTCCCCGAATACCAGATAAACAGAGTAGAAGCCATGGCACCAAGCCCCGGCCCAGAATGAACCTAACACTGACAGCCCGAGACCAGGAAATACGAGTTTGCCCAACGTGCGGTCCAGCGCGCGATAGGCACTCACAACGTAGCTCTTCGGTCTTGAAATCTTAATCTCGGATTTGCATTGTGGACACAAAATCTTGGTTGAGCCTTTCCGCTTCTGGTTCTTTGGATTTTCGAGATCTGCCACCCAATCCAGGAGACAAGATTCGTGTGCAGTCAGGCTGCATTGGCATGGTGACCGCCACACTGGAGGGTTGTTCGGATCGTCCTCTGATGCATCACTCATGCATATCCAGCATTTTCTTGACCCGAGGGTTGAGGAGCGAGAGAGAGGAGGAGGGCGTGGATTCGAGGAAGGGTGTGCAGGTTCGACCTCCGCAGACACGGGCACCGCGTCGCCAGAACTCATGATGGGGGGCTTTTGACGTGGTCAGAGCCTAGGTGTGCGGTGTAGGGGATGTGGTAGTTCAAACGTTCGCTCAGCCGAGAGGACGATCAGGCCGTGCCTTGGACCTGGGGAAGTGGCCGAAACGGGCGTCTACCTCAAGCGCATTGGCCACTGCATGAGGGAAACCAATGTCGTTGCGAGTCTCCAGATGAATGATGTGCAAAGTCTGCTTATTGATGCCTTGTAGTACTAGGTGTGTTGACCGTCGGGGCTGAGCAAGTAGTGTAGCATTCCGCACTGCAGCCTGAGTAAGTTTAAAGATGCAATCAATGCGGCTGCGGAAGCCAGTCGCTATGACGTTTTCCCGCTTCGTGCGAGGTCAGACAACTCCAGCCTGCTGAATGTTTAATGCCACTACCACCTCTCCTCTGCTCATGTAACGTTGCGTTTTCTCTTCTTCTCTGCTGTTTGCATGACCATTTCTTGCACATTTTAAATAATTGCTTCATGCTCAACGGGAACAGAGCCGCTTGAATTCTGGCTCCATTGTTGATACCTGGAAAAGTGTTGATACTCATCTCTTGAGGCACGTGTGAACATTATATCGACAACAAAATACACTCTCCCACTCTTGTCACTTCATAAAAGTCTACTTTGTTCCTCAAACACTCTCGCGGGCAGGACGTGCCACCTAATCGCCATCAACATGGCAAAACCAATACCAGAGGTGGACTGCCTGGAGCATGTCTATGCTGGGACGGGAGAAGGCAATGCCGTTCCCACCGACCTTCGGAATCGGTTTACCCACTTGATCAAGTCCTTCAGCAGCAAATATGGCCAGAAACCCGACTTCGTAGCACGAAGTCCCGGCAGAGTCAATATCATTGGCGAACACGTTGACTATTCGCTGTACAACGTCTTGCCTGCAGCAGTCACTGTTGATGTCCTGATTGCCGTCCGCGTCATCAAAGATGGCAATCCTGATGAGCCCACTGTCAAGATCGCCAATGTCAATGCTATAAAGTATCCTGAACGAGAGATGCATCTCCCAACTTCAGGCACAGTCGAAGTAGACAGGAAGCACCACTCTTGGGTCAACTATTTCTTGGCTGGATTGAAGGGATCCTTGGAGTACTTGCGCAACAAACATGGCAGTACCTTCGTTCCTAAGGGAATGGAACTCCTGGTTGATGGCAACGTCCCCGCGGGTGGCGGACTGTCAAGCAGCGCTGCCTTCGTCTGTGCTTCTGCGCTCGCTGTTATGGCTGCGAACAACCAGGACATTTCGAAGCAGGACCTACTGGATTTGGCCATCGTATCCGAGCGTGCTGTGGGCGTGTTTTCCGGCGGCATGGACCAGGCTGCATCAATATTCTCCGAGCGAGGCTATCTTCTCTACTGCCACTTCTTTCCCAAATTCTTTGCGGAGCACGTTCCTGTACCTGTGTCTGATCCCGAGATTACCTTTTTGATTGCACAGTCCTTCATTACATCCGACAAGGCTGTAACGGCGCCTATCCACTATAATCTTCGTGTTGTGGAGTGTACTTTAGCCAGCGTGGTATTGGCGAAGCTCCATGACATTGCCCTCAACCCTGATTCCAGCTCGCTTGGATTCTGTTTGCGGAATTTGCAGGAGGAGATCATGAAAAAGCAAGGTCGGCGGGATGAGCCTTTCGATGTCCAGGTGGACGCAATGGTTGACATCATCAAGTCTATGCTTGACAAGGAGAGCTACACTAGGGACGACATCGCCGGAATTCTGGGCATCTCGGTGGATGCGTTGGAGAAAGAGTACATGTCTAAATTCCCTATACAAGCGGACTCCTTCAAACTCAGACAACGTGCGTTGCATGTACTGCAAGAGGCCGGCCGTGTAGTCAGGTTCAAGGACACGTTGACAACATCCGGGAAGTTGGACGGGGACAAATTGCTCTATCTTGGCGATTTGATGAACAAGACACAGGAGTCCTGCCGAAATGTCTACGAATGCTCCTGTCCCGAAATCGACGAAATATGCTCTATCGCAAGGAGGGCAGGAGCATATGGTTCCCGGCTCACTGGTGCTGGCTGGGGCGGCTGCACTGTACACTTGGTGCCACAGGATAAAGTGGTGGCTGTGACTGAAGCGCTGAAGAAGGAGTACTACTACAAGAGATTCCCGGACATCAGTGAGGAAAAGCTCAAAGAAGCCATCGTTACCTCGAAGCCGGGTCAAGGGTCGTCATTGATAGTCGGATCCGCTCTTGATGTATGAGCGCCTCGCTGAGGATGACCTTTCAACCAAGAGATACGGACGACTGGAGAGCACCGCAGCGATGTTGACCACGATTGAGTCGAAGCGAAAACAGTGGACATGGATGTATGGATATGACCGAAACTAGTCATTCCCTTGCCGGTAGCTCATGGTAAGACGAGCATGCCAGATGGCCACATTACCCCTGGCATCGCGCACTTTCCGCGGAATGTGACAACATCGAAGATTTCGACCGCCCACGAAATGGTGCAGAAGAATCTTGGATTGTAATGGGCGAACTGAGGCCACAAAATGGTGCTATCGCAACGAGGTGTAGCCACCTGTGCTAGAAGAAGGCGAGGTATAGTTCGTCACCTGGGAGTTCATTACCGACTTCGAGACAGTTTCCAAGTCAACGGACTGGAGGCCCTACCATTCGACCGGGATCCAAGGTTTAGAGCACTCCTGAACGATGCATATGGCTCTCGTCGATAGTAATTTCAGCACATCCTGGCTCAGAGTGAGCCGCGATCACGTGCGCTGTATGATCCAAAGCGAGCTGCACTTCCTCACACAAATTGTATGAATGTCTGCAGCCTTTCTGGAGCCTGAAGCATGTGGCATGTGCAATTGATTCAAGTTGAGCATGCTGGCATAGCGAGGAACAGCGATGTATAAAGTTCTCCATATCATTTGGGAGGTCGCCTTTTCCGACGGAAGCCAGTGGATCCTTCACTTGACCCGACGGAAGCCAACAACCTATTCAAGTTTAGTACAACCAAAAACTCACAGGGCGTTGAGCCTAAAACTTCCTTGGGGACAAAGCCTCAATTTCAATACACCATGATTGGTCAACACGGGAGTCGGCAACGACCAGGTCGCCGCGGATCCATCGAAATGGTTCTTCCTCACGACGGAGAGCGACCGACCTCGGGGCAAAGATTGTAGATACGATGCGGTCATTGGCCATGATTCGGAAGTCGGTCTAACAAGACACGGGGAAGACCTTTTGGTGAGCCTCCCTAGCCTGTCGATGTCTGCGAAAAATGCAATAGGGACGCTTGATCCGACACACCAGGGGTGCTAATCGCCGTATGACGGTGAGGCCACAAAATGGTTCTGCAAATCAATCCTTCAAGTTGAGTCATTTTCTTCACGGTTACAGTCATTCTTTTCAGACCCTGCCATTCCTTCTGAGGGGCGACTCTCGCATAAAGGTGCTTGCTAGCCAGCTGACGGAGGTTATGCACCAGAAGTCGCTGGAGCGACTAGGTACACGCTTCTGAGTGCTATAGTCTTAATTAGCACCTCTTCAAGAAATGGTCAAGCGTTTGCCACGCATGATCCAATTATCCGACCATGACGGGCGAACTTCATCTTGATAATGTCGAAGAGGACCACGTCGTCGGGCAGATGGTGCCCGTCCAGTCCCGCCAGAGTGATGCGGTGGAACTGGACCTTGATCGAGCCCCTACCCCGGAATTGACAGAATGTGTTCGTGACAAGCCGGATCTCATGCGTATCCGGTCAACGGTGTCGCACCATGATATCCAAGGGGTCCCTACAAACGACAGTTCCTATACGGAAACCAACGCAGCTCAGTATGAGCGGTTCAGCAACCAGCGGAAGCTTGTCATTACCAGTGTATTGTCGCTGTGCGGGTTCCTGGCTCCTATCTCGTCGACCACGATCCTTGCGGCCATCCCCGAAGTAGCAGAGACGTTCCACACGAGTGGCAGCATCATCAACTTGTCCAACGCTCTGTATCTTGTCTTCATGGGTCTGTCACCATGTCTCTGGGGTCCGTTGTCTACCGTCTACGGGCGTCGGTGGATTTGTGTCATCACCGCGGCGCTCTTCTTCGCATTCAGCATAGGCACAGCGCTCGCTCCTAACCTGGCTTCTTACTTCATCTTCCGCATGCTCACCGCATACCAAGGCACCTCGTTTCTCATTGTCGGGACCTCCTGCCTCGGCGACATATACACACCCACGGCCCGCGCCACTGCTCTCGGCTGGTTTCTCTCCGGTACGCTGATCGGGCCAGCCTTTGGCCCGTTTATCGGTGGGATCATTGTCACTTATCGTACGTGGCGCGATATCTTCTGGCTGCAATCCGCACTAGGCGGCTTGGCCACGGTGCTGGTGATTTTGTTCCTCCCTGAAACCATCCCGGAGAAGAAAATCGATGAACTTCGCGAGTATTCTAAAAGAGAACGGACAAGGACCATCATACACTGGACGTCGCCCTTCCGGGTTGCGTTCCTGCTGTTTTCTTACCCCAACCTCATCATCGCTGGCTTGGCGTCCAGCTCGCTCGTTTGGAACATGTATTCTCTCCTGACACCTATCAGATATGTGCTCAACCCGCGGTTCCACCTCACTTCTCCCATCCAGTCGGGCCTCTTCTACATCGCCCCTGGATGCGGGTATCTGTTGGGTACCTTCTTTGGAGGCCGCTGGGCCGACCACATTGTGAAGAAATGGATCCGGAAGAAGAACCGGCGGGTCCCTGAGGACAGGCTGCGATCGTGCTATGCCTTTATTGGCGGTGTCATTCCAGCCTGTATGCTCATTTATGGGTGGTCCGTAGAGAAGGAGGTTGGCGGCATCCCTCTCCCAGTCCTGGCCATGTTTATACAGGGAGTGTCTCAGCTGTTCTGCTTCCCAAGCCTAAACACATACTGTCTTGACGTGATGCAAGCAAAAGGCCGCTCCGCCGAAGTCGTGGCAGGCAACTACATGATAAGGTATGTCTTTGCCGCCGCGGGCAGTGCCGTCTGTCTTCCTGCCATCGAAGCCATTGGCGTCGGCTGGTTCAGCGTCATCTCATCCGGGTTTCTGATCGTCTCTGCTGTGGCTGTGTGGGCCACAACGGTGTGGGGCGAAGGCTGGAGACGCGCTGTTGACCAGAAGAAGAAAGATAAAAGTAATGCGAGGGCGAACGAGCAAGAGAAGGTGAATGGCGGTAAAGAGGGGGTGTGAAAGCAGATAGTGCTTTCTAGGGGCTACGACCTCATGATCTCCCCCATCAGAGCCAAAAACACACCCTCGCCCTCTTTCAAGCTCTGCCCGGATGAAAAGTCACAAGATTTTACTGATTGCATCAGCCGAAGCTGTTGCAATTCTCTGGGCTCCTGAGATGAGAGTCTTGTCTGGCGATTTTAACTTCACAATCTCTATGGGTCTGGCACACTCATCATGGCCCACAAGACATTGAAAGGCTCGTCACTAATCGCCGAAAAAGGGCTCGGGCACAGGCATCACAGCGCCAAACCCCCTTTGGCTGGGCACCAGAGTATACGGATGATTTAATGAAGACAATGCAGAAGGATTTGACGAAGACATGTGGACACAAAAACACCCGAATCGGTTTACTTTGGCAAAGTGTCCATGGCCGATACCTCCAAAGGTGTCACAAACCCACCAACAGTTGGGTACAATGGTAGCGACTCTGATTTGGGTCCGTTGGGAGTGAGCGGTAGATTTCTTTGCCTCCATAGAAACAAGGCTGGACTCTTAGGGGCGCCAAATCGAGTGTATATAAACTCTCGTCGCCTGTATAAAACGGTGTAGGTCATATTAAGCTCAAATATCCACAGGAGCGTTTAAATCGCTTGATCCACGCTGGTCAGTCCTCTGTGAAGATCTTCAGATGATTCGTGGTCGTTAAGACTGTCGAGACAATCACGTACTCTGAGGGCAGACTGACGCAAGACCCGACGCAGGGGACGGCGATTACATAACATGTATGGTAATCGCGGACATTGATAAACAGAATCGCGGGGCATTGGCACTGCAACGCTCCGCTGCGTCCTTCGGCGGTCTCCGCGCCAGGGTCTCTGGGTCTGTCCGATAAATAAAGCCTGTGTCTCCCGGCCTACTACACGCATAGAGGACACACGCACTCTCTGCCGGTCGGTTTTTGGTTAACGAAACTCTGGCAAGGAGATACGTCATCCGAGCACGTCAATCCTGCAGGTCGGATTGACACTGTACCTCAATCTTTACCTGCTCTAGCGCTGTGGAGGTCAAACCTGGTCGCCAGGCCCAAGAGGAGGATCACAGTACGCCCAAGAGGACCGCTCCAGTCAACTCTATCAATTTTCCTGAAACAGAGTCCTCTACGCCCGGCGCTGCCCTACAACCTCCATTGAAGCCAACTCATCCAGCATGGAAGTCCACGTCCAACCACCGATCCTCTCCGAAGCAGGGACAGCAGTCGACAAAATTGTCCCTCCTTCCTCAACGACGACCTCCTCCGGCGTGACAGTAACACCCATCCCAGCATCCCAAATCGACAAAACCTTCTCCTCCTCAACTGTCCTAACAACAACCGTCCTCGGCGCCACAATCATATCCTGCTCCGACGAATACTTCGCATCCGCCTCGAACCTCCTCACACCGACCCCACCCGTCCGCAAACCAGGCTACTTCGTGCACACGGGAGCATGGTACGACGGCTGGGAAACGCGACGCCACAACCCCAAGGAATTCGACTGGGTGGTAATCAAACTGGGCTGCGTGGGGCGGATCGAAGCGGTGGAAATAGATACCGCATACTTTAATGGCAACGAAGCTCCCTTTGCGGGCTTGGACGGATATTATCTCCCCGAAGATGAACAACAAAACAGTGGGATTGATAAGGAATCATTTTCTCTCTGGGAAGAAATCTTGCCCCCCTCCAAATGCGGACCTAGCCAGCGTCAAGCATGGAAAGTGTCAGGACTAGGCATCTCCGGCAAAGAGTTCAACTATCTCCGGCTCAAGCAGTATCCTGACGGCGGAATTGCTCGACTAAGAGTGTACGGTCAGGTTGCGCCGCCGCCTCTCCCACCGTCAGTTTTGTCCGGTGAGACAGAGAAACCCCTAGAAGATCTCGCGTACGCTCTCAACGGCGGGGTGGCGATCGAATGCTCCGATCAACATTTTGGCGGAAAATCCTATCTTTTGTTGCCTGGTCGGGGCAAGGATATGGGTGATGGATGGGAGACGGCTCGAAGTAGAGAGAAATGTCATGTCGATTGGGTTATTGTCAGATTGGGACTCAAGGGTCGGAAAGTTGAAAAGGTCGTTGTCGATACGAAGGATTTCAGGGGGAATTTCCCAAAGGCTGTGAGAATCGAAGGGTGGTCGGTTGAGAAAGCGAAAGCCGCGTTGGGAACGGAACCGGATCCAAAGGTTGATGATGAGGGTTGGGTGCCGTTGGTAAAGGGGGAGCAGCCTTGTCAGGCTGATACAGAACATGTTTTTGAGGGAGGGGATTTGAGTAACGTGGGGGATCCTCCGGAGGGTCGGGTTTGGACGCATGCGAAAATGACTATTATCCCGGATGGCGGTGTTAAGAGGTTGAGGATCTTTGGGAGGAGGGCGTAGGTAGGGTCTACGCAGTGTCATGTCGGCTACGTTGTAGCCATATAGTAGTGACTCGAAAACTACAGATAGCTAGGAAGGCAGACGAGCGAAGAACGGGTTCCGTCTCTTCCCTGCGATTCGTACTGTTCAAGGTGAAAGCTATGTCTTTCAAGAATGCAATTGCTCTAGTCTATTCTTCGTTCTCGTTCTAATATTACATCTCGCTAATTAGAAGTACGGTAGTGCGTGATCAGGCTCAAAGCGCCCGGACGGCTAGCCAGCCAGTCCAACTGCTTGATCAAGCCATTAGACCGCAATTTGGAGCATCATCTTCCACGTCCGCGGTTCGATGCTCTGCCTTGCTGACGTCCCTCGCCGCCACCTCGTCGACGAGGATCGTTGGAGCCAGGTGCGTTGGCCATAGCAACAAGCCCAGGCACGCCCTTGAGCCCCATCTTCCCGATGGTTTTCTTCTCCAAGGCAGGCACCTCAGGACATTCGAGTCCATCGAGGGCAAACCGATTCGCCTCGCGCACCAAGTCAGCTGGGGACCAGCCCAGTACCTTCAAATGGGCCTTGTAATAACCCAGCCAAGCTTGATAGATTTTGTCTTTGTTTTCCAATTCGGCCAAAGCGGGTTCAACGTCTTCGATACTGTACCGGACAGGCTTTGGATAGGGCTGTAGATTGATCTTCTTCAACTGATGCAAGAAGGGTTTCTCCGCTTCACTCAAGACAAAAATACCGCGGCCTTCGGCATCGGCACGCGCAGTGCGTCCAAGTCGGTGGATGTACGACTCCTTGTCAAGCGGTAGCCCTATCTGAAACACATGACTGACGCCCGGGAAGTCCATTCCGCGGGCAATGACATCTGTGGCGACACAAATGGCATTGGTCGCTTGGCGGAAGTCGTCGGTGATTCGAGTTCGCTTACTCTGCGACATACGAGAATGAAGCACCGAGACCTTTGGCAACGTACCCATCGAAGAAAGAATAGAGCCATAAAAGTCAGCATGGGCCGCCGTGGGGGCGAACACGATGGCTTTGAACTGGTTGTTAGCGGCACTAGACAGCTCGTCTTCGATGACCGAGACCATGGCGGGAGCGTGTTCGATCGTGCTAGGAGTGGTGACCAGATACTGGTCCACGCGCTCATGCGTGTTTGCTTCACTTGGATCAATGGTCGAAATAAACTCATGGTCTTTGTTCAGAAACAGATGCGCCACTTTCCTTACCTGATCATCAATAGTGGCGGAAAACAACATTGATTGGCGTGGGAGATCAGGAAGATAGGTCAGGATTTTCTTGATGTCGGGTAAGAAGCCCATGTCGAGCATCCGATCAGCCTCGTCAAGAACAAGCGTCTGGAGGGAGCCAAGTTGGTGTTGTACTTGCTCTTCGCCGAGATGATCAAGAAGTCGGCCGGGCGTGGCAACCAGGATGTCGCAACCGCGATAGATGGCTTGCGCTTCGGCGGTCTTGTTCGTCCCTCCGATGGAACAAGCGATCTTGAGTTGCGGAAATCGCTGCACGAGTTTCTTGGCCTCGGCCGCAATCTGTAGCGCAAGCTCTCGCGTAGGACAGAGGATCAGTGCCGACAGGCGTTGCGTTCTGTTTTTCAAAATGGTATCAACTGCCGGGAGCAGAAACGCCAACGTCTTGCCTGTTCCAGTCTTTGCTTGCGCCAAACAGTCTTTGCCCTGTAAGAGATGTTCTAGTGTCGCTGCCTGCACGGGCATCATGTGGTCGAAGCCGAAGTCGTTGGTGAGCGTATCGATGATGGTGGGATTGAGGAGATTCTTGCCACGAAGATCACCAAATCGCGGTGTATCTTGCGGAACGGCGATGGACGGCGGGGGAGGCTTGGGGACGGCTGACACTGCGGTTTGTTGTTGCTGGTGTCCATTCGGCGAGTAGCCTGGCGCTTGTTGAGGTCTCTGAGAAGTCGGCCGTCCCCTGCGGAACGGTGCTCCTCTGCCACCCCTGCCACGAGCCATGCTGAGAAGCCGAATAAGAACAGAGGATCACGATTGCGAGATACTGGATGTACCCGGACTGTGTCTTTGCAGAGGAAGGGAGGCAAAGATCATGTATATAAAAAATTGGTCGCGGAAATGTACAACCTACTAGTCGAAGAGTTTAAATGAATCCAACTTGAAGGGTGAACTTTTTTTGTTTATCTTGATTGCGGCAATCAACGTCATTTGAATCTTAAGGAGTTTTAGTGAATGCAAGGGACAAACGCAGTACGGTCTGATTGGTGCCACAAAAGTCCTAGTGCGATATTCTAACACTAGTACTGAGGATCCACAGATATCTGATTAGATAAGCAGCCTTTTTCTCCAGCCAGAGGTGAGCCAGAGACGTCTAATCTGTTCAAGCACATACAACCATCTCCCATATCGTAAGTACATCGAGCGAAACAACATACAGTGTACTGTATATCCAGCAAGATTGCTGTACTGTACAGGCTGCCTCATGTTATGGGTTCCAAAGTATCTATCAGCTACTGCACGGACCAGGGCGTGTCCTCGTTCCGGATATATGGCGCCAGACCGTCAATGTCGTTTGTCATCTCAGCCTCGACACGGCCATTCCCAAGGAACTCCCACATGTTTTTGCCAAAGTATCGAAAATCATAGTGCTCCCATCGGACCAGCTGCAGAGTCTTGATGAAATGCAAGGACTGGTGAAACGGTCAGTAAGTCTCCATGAGTACAGATTGCCCTGAGACACGGGCAGAAGTGACATACCGAACCACCCCACAACAGTGGCTTCCCTCCCGGGATGTTGTTCTTGTACCAGCTATGGCACGCATGTAATTAGCGAGAGAATCAAGAAGGGGAAATCAAAGTGGGTTGGGACGGGCCGAGAACAACTCACCTTTTGCAGTCATCATTCCATACCGACCCCTTGTGCCACTCGTCCATATGCTCGTACAGCTGCTTGATCGGCTCCATCTTGACCTCTAGGGCACGAATATTCTCGGTCTGAATCCTGCTTATACACTTGACAATATAGTCTACACAGGCCTCGTGTGAGTTCAATGCGGTGCCAGACGCCCAACTGCCTCGTGCTCCGTTGATGGTGAAGTAATTGGGGAACTTCGGCACCGCCATGGACAAGTAAACGTAGGGCTCCGGCTCGAACTCTTGTCTCATGTCTGCACCATTGACACCGGTAACCGTGAAGTTTGGCTTATGTGAGACATCGAACCCTGTTGCGCAGACGATGATATCCGCTCGATGAAGTTGGCCGGTGCTGTCGACCAGTCCTTCAGGCACGACCTTTGCAATGTTCTTGTGGACGGTGACCACGTTATCCTGGACGAGCGCCTCAAGATATCCCTCTCCCGGAGTCATGCGTCGGCAACCCGGAGCCCATGTAGGGATAAGGTTCTTCTTGAGCTCTTCGTGACCGGGTCCGATCCTGCGGTACATTTCGTCTCGCATCAGGCGCTGGGCATCCTTGGACATCTGCGAACCAGCAATGAAGATGTCGAATGTGCCTGTGAACTGAGACTCGAGCTTCTTACGATACGCAAGCAGTTCATCAGGGTGTTCGCGAAACCGGCGCTTGTCTTCCTCTGTGTAGAAGTATTGGTTCGTTTGGCTTTGTCCAGGGTCGCTGGAGTGCGCCTTGGTCTCTTTCAACACATCCCCTGCAATGGGCGGCGAGATCCAGGTCACGGAACGCATGAAACAAATGACTTTTTCGGCTGTCTTTTGCACTTGCGGCACAATCTGAATGGCTGATGACCCGGTTCCAATCACGGCCACGGTTTTGCCGCTCCAGTCGACCGAGGTGTCCCAGTCGGCACTGTGGACCAGCTTGCCTTTGAAATCATGCAGACCAGGGATATCTGGCCACTTCCACCGGCTGAGGGTACCAGTGCCGTTGATCAGAATGTGACACCAGTCCTGTATGATTGTGCCATCCTCAAGTTGGACCTGTAGCTCGTATACTCCTTTGTCCTCCACCCATGTCGAGGAGAGCACTCGTGTCTTGGTCCGGATGTACGGGTATAGGTCATACCTTTCCGCGAATCTTTCAAAGTACTGTCTGATCTCTGGAGCGCTGGCGTAGAATGCCGACCAGTCGGGATTCGGTTCAAATGAATATGTGTACACATGCGCAGGGCTTGTGTCTTGTCAGTGACAGCTGCTACAGTAGACTGAGGGCAGGCGGAAGAGGAAGACTCACACGTCGCAAGCGCACCCTGGGTATCGGTTCTCATACCTAGTGAGGAGTATAAGTTGGTGCTGTTATTGATTCAAACTGGCCATCACAACTCACCATGTCCCTCCGATTCCTGCATTCCTGGATCAGGCGTTAACAAATGCTAAAGTATCGTAATGGTTCATACTCTTACTTTTCATAAATCACCAGGTCAAACAACTTCAGGTTCCGCTTCAGCTTGTATGCGACCAATAAGCCAGCCGCACCGGCACCAATGCAGACGATCCGGATCGGTCGTGGCTGAGAATGCCATTGGTTCTTGATATGATAGCCGGATTCGCTCGTCATATCGATTGATCCCATCTCGACTGAATCGGCCAGTGTCGGGAGATTTACAACGTCCTGCGAGTGGAATTGTGTACGAGACGCAAAAGTTACTAGCCACCCGTGTGCGTCCGCAGGTACTTATAGCACATTGGAACAATGTTGCAACCACCTAGAGAAGTATTGTCTCTCCACCTTCTAGACCTGTAGCTGGAGGACCATGGGTCGTTATGCTCTTGTGGATACGGATCGGAGATAGGTCAGGGTTTGAAATCATTCTGACTTCCTTTCCCATATCAACTGATCCCCAGGTCTCCTCGCTTGTTTAGCTCCATGGCTCGGAGGGTGAGTAACTCATTCTCCAGTGCTCAGACGTTTTTCGAGTGTATCCCGGATGCCGAGGTGCCAGGAGAATAATGAATGGCCGCCGCCATTCTGTACGGAGCCCGCTTTCACTTTGCCGGGCGAAGCCATCCGCTTCTGCCGATATCGATATCCGCATAGGTCTTGGTGAGCAGGAACCGGGATGGTCTTGACGTGCAATGCCAGGAGATAAGGTACATGTCCTAACTAAACGCGTGGTAAACGTCTTGCTTGATATTTGAAATCATGCACGTTGTAAAAAGGATGCTCCGCTAGTTCCAAACGGGGTCTGACTTACCTAAAAAGGGCAAGGACCCACCACGTTTGAGATGGGATCTGGAACGCGGGTGGGTCGGCTTCGTCCCCCGCAAAAGTCGTCCTTACTGATAGCCAAAGTCCGTCAAGATAGTAACCCCTCCGTTATTTGATAACGTCCCGAGCTGTATAGTGACCTGCTTCAGTCCGGCACAGGGTGTCGGGATTGTCGACCAACTAATCAGGAAGCAGTTGATGCATGCTTACAGACTCTTTTTCAAGAGGCTACTAGTGTACAGGCAGGAGTCTGTAGACTGTGCATATTGAATATTGGATGTTCGCATTCAGGAGACCGCCGTATACTTGAAAATAATGCAAAGGTCTTTTGTTCCGGCAGCTGGTGGTGGCCCCATGGCCCCCTTTCGGAGTATTCAGGAGACCGCCGTCCGTATCTACCTGGGTACCTAGGCATTGGAAGCTCAAGGGCCGTGACTCCCAAAGTACAATTGATATAGTACCCTCCCTAAAGACAACGTGTGCCGAACTTCTATTTCGAGAGGGCAGACAAACCGTGACTTGATTCAACCACTATTTTGTCAAATCATGCGACGGCGATCTCAGTATCTGTAGCCCTATTTCCTCTTTCCTTAAGAAGTAAACCCGACCCCTGCACTGCTCCCCTATCGGGAAAGTTGAGTCCCCGATCACCGTGTAGTACCGTTATCCTTTCCCCTTCCCTGGTTTCCAGTTCCATATGAATCAGAGCAGATAGACAAAGTCCAGAGCCCGGTCACCAAGCTTGCCATTGGTAGTCGCACCGTCAGCTTTCATCTTGTCCTTTTTGTTCCCGCGCAGGCGGAGCATCAGATACATCAAGGCGACACCAACCCAAGCAACGCCCTCCATGCCCAGAGATATGGCATTGCCGGTCACGTAGCGTGGAGCATCAGTGGTCTGGTAGATTTGGGCAGAGAGCACGCCGGCACAATTTCCCAACATCCCCATAATGCCAACACCAACGCTTCGCTTGTAGTCAGGGGAGATGTTGATGGAGATCCAGACCAGCAATAGAGTGCTCAAACAGAACATTCCTGGAAACCACCGTATAAGTCAGCCGTCGAGTCCCTAAATAGTCATACATAATCGAGATAATTTTCTTACCTCCGCCGCAAAGGAACATAGCAGCATATCCAACTCCCTTCTTCGCGCTCCCAATGACCATTGCATATCCGATGATGGTTGGTATGGGCAGAATCATCAACGGTACGGCGCGGGACTTTAGTTTATCCGCACCAAAAGCACAGACGAAACAACACAAGGCCACGAACAAGTAAACCGGAATCGTGAGGTAATTGGCCTGCAAGGAAGTGTATCCCATGCCCCGGATGATGGTGGGCAAAAAGACACCAAATCCGAGAGTAGCGGTGGAATTGGCAAACAGCGTGATTCCCCCAAGCCAGACGTAGGGCTCGAACACGGCAGCTCTGATATGTGACCAGGCGAGTTTTTGTTCTGTGCCTTGGAACCGAACATTGTTGGCTGCACGCACCAGCATTGCCTCCTTTTCTTCATGGGTTAGAAACCAAGCTTTGGCCGCGCTGGTGGGCATGGATAGCCAGCTGAGTCCACAGAGGACCACAGAGATGATTCCCTCGACGATGAACAGCCATCGCCACGGATCGAGGCCGTGTTTTCTTCCCATGCTTTGAATGGCGTACGCGATCAGACCGCCAAATGCGCCCGAAAGGCCCGAAGCAACGTAAATCACCGATACTCTTTTCGCCTGGCTGTTGCGGTCCCAGATGGTCGAGATGGTCATGATCAGGCAAGGGTTGAGGGCGCCTTCAAAGACACCCAGGAGGATACGGCAGGCCAGCATTTGCGAGTAGTTGTTGACGAAGCCGGATCCCAGAGTAACCACGCTCCATCCCACCATGGAGATGGACAGAATGCGGTTGACTCCGTATCGCTTGAGGGCGACAACCCATGGGACCTCGCAGACAATGTAAGTTGGGTAGAAGAGGGTGACGATGTCGTTGAATTGGCTGCCGTGCAGTTTCAGGCCCTCTGTAAGCACAAGTCAGAAAAAGGGTGGAACAAGTCATCAAAGCTGGCATAAGATCCAGCAAGACCGGACGTACTTTCTAGGCCAAAGACCTTTGCATTACTATCATATTGTTAGCAACCATTGTCAGAGTATTCTCTTGGTTTTGAATAGGCTCACCCAATGTTCGATCGATCCAGCTGAGCGATGATGACCAAGATGATGATCTGGGGGATCATGATATAGTCGAACTTGCGAAGAGCTCTCTTTTCCACCGCGGGGTCCACGAATGCTTCATCGAGGACAACCCCTTCGGCACGACTCACGACCCTGTCGCAGCCGCCCGTTTCGACAATAGAAGGATCTTTCTCCATTATAGATGAGAGAATATTGTTGTATTCTTCTTTTCACAGCAAAGAGTAGTAACGATGGGACGATGGTCTGTACAGAATTTGATACCGACCAGATGAGCAGGGACACCACCCTTTAAAACCTTCTTGATTTCATCCTGTTGAGCTCCTCGCCACCTCTATGTCTTGATAACCCGTCCTCGTCTACCCCGGCCTGTCAGGCCAGCCTCCCTGGCCTATCTCTGGACTTACCGTAATCTGGAGAAATGTCTTGTCACTAGTCCGTTACCCCGTGTTCTGTCTGGTCCGCTTATCTGGCACCTGCAAGTCTGGCTAGTGCCTCCACGGTTCCGTGGGCATGGACTGCCCCCGCTAAGATAGTCGTGACAGGAAAGCTAAGCCGTTTTCAGGCTTGAATATCCGTTCTAGGACTAGTGCAGCCCCGTGAAAGTGGATACTGCTGGACGATGCACAGATATGCTCGATTAGTAGGTACGACGATATGCAACAGATATGATAGATCTGGAGCGGCCTATCCTGGTCTTTGAAGGCTATCCGTTGACTCGGAAGAAAAACAACCACCGCATCCATAGACGAGCAGAGTTTCCCACGCGAGGGTCGAGCAATGGAAACCGAATTGATCCACTCGGTCTAGGCTGCACTGTGCAGTTCATACCGAGGCACCCGAACCCGACTCTGATTGTTAAAAACGAGTAAGATACGGTCTGGGATTTTGGACCTGGTCGTATCCCCATCAGAGTTTCAACTCTCAGCCTTCTCATCATCAACCTTGGCCGATCTCGAGCACATCTAGTACACACAGACACACACACGATGGCCTCCCCTTTGACGACGCGACGTGTAGTCACTGGTCAGTTTGAAAACCCTTCCTTTTTTTAATACCACCATCCTAACCCTCTGGTACCTGTAGGACACACCCCAGATGGCAAATCCGTCATTGAATCAGACCGGATCCTAACATCCCTGAACCCAATCGACCAAAAGCCAGCCGAAGGCATTATTCCTGGCATCACGCAAATCCTCAAAACAGAAGGCTTTCCAGCCAAGGCTAATGGACCATTCTTTGATCCTTATGGTGCCAAGGGGGTTCCCTTGGTCGACGACTCGGGCGTCTTTGTCCGTATCATCCATTTTCCACCGATCGGCGAAGATCAGGAGGACAAACTCAATTTCAAGCACCGCACTCAGAGTGTCGATGTGGGATTGGTCCTCAGTGGCGAGATCCAAATGACTTTGGATGATGATGTCAAGACGATCCTTAAAGCTGGAGATACTGTCGTTCAGAGAGGAACGGTACATGTATGTCAAGACCGAAAGAAAAGAATTTCTCCCATGCTCCCATGATTTGATTGCTTGGCTGACTAACTGTCATGATTTGCTTTAGGAATGGAGGAACATCAGCAATGAATACTGCGTCATGTTGTTTGTCTTGGTGCCTTCGGACCCGATCAAGGTGCCACAGACCGGCGAGGTTTTGGAGCCAACGCCAATGCCGCTTTTGGAGGATTGAGTGAGGAGCTGGCGTTGATGAGCCTGGCCGTTCACATCTAACACCAGCACCGTAGAATGGGATATTGTGCCATGTATAGGGGGTAGACAGCAGTGGAAATTTGGCGAGGAAAATGGTATTCTTCAGGTTGACGATAAGCAAGACTCAATTAAGGACTCTCAGTTGTCGGACGCCAGGGGCTTTCCAACAACTTTCAAACTAGCTCCTTGGTACTCGGAGGCTCTGTTTACTCAGTAGACCAAGGATAAATTCTTGGAAAGGAATAGTAAGTAATAAGCGTCTGGGAAAATGGAGACAGACTCAGACAGCCGATGAGCTCAACAGACCATGTAACTAGGTGGAAACGAGCAGGCTTCTTAAGATGGATGCTTCTCATCCTCATGCTTTCTTGGGACATCTCTGCAAGCGTACGTGCAACACCCAGGGAGATTGAGTAGAGAGAACCCCGCCACTCTCCCAAATCCTTCTCCAATACGACGCCCATCAACGCGTCATCAGACGTCTTTCAAAACGCGCCTGAGCCAGCCAACCAAGACTTGGTTGAGGTAGACAGTTGCACCAACATGACAATGTGCTTCCGCAGATTCCTTTTCAGTAAACTTGACATACGTGGCCCTGGATCCCAGAGCATCAGCCAAGATCTGCGCCTGGGGTTTCTTGACCACGAAGATGTCACGTTCGGCATCGGCAACAAAGACCGGACATTGGATCTGATCCACGATTCCCTCGAGGGTCATTTTCTTTGCCGTTTGCAGTGCCTCGAAAGGGGGAGCAAGGAAAGCCCACTCAATCTGCTCCATGATCCAACGGAGATTGGTCGACTTGGTCATTGCTTCCTCCAAGCCTGCGGAAAACTCCTTTTCTGACCCTTGGTCCAGGTGCTGCAGCACTTCAGGCGGCATCATCTCCCCCAAACCGGCGTAGACGTCAAAGATGCCATCGACGCACATGACGGCGGCGAGGCGATGCTCGAAGCAAGCCGCTCGAGCTGCGAGGTAACCGCCCAGCGAATTGCCCAGCAGACAAATGCGCTTCTTGTCCACAAACTCAAGAGTCTCGACATAGTCGACGATAGGAGTGACCACCTTTTCCCAGTCGTGGAGGAAGCCCACCTTCTGTTGACGAGTCACGGTGGGCTGTCCTGGCCCTTCGAAGAGCACCACGTGGTATCCTCTCTCCACGATGGGCGCGCCGTGAAAATGGTACATCTCTTCCATGGACCCGTCCAGCCCATTGCAGACGAGTAGTACAGGGCGCGGTGTGTCGTCGGTGGACGCCCGAAAGACAATAATGGGTACTTCAAACCCATCGGCTTGCAGAGATCGTCGCTCAGGTGGGATGTCGAGCTTGCTGGTGGCCTTGTCGAAGTAATGGATCCACGACTCCCAGAGCGTGGTGTTGCGAGGATCGTCGGGGTTACCGTGTAGGAAGAACTCGGACGCAAACAGGTAGCGCGATGCTCGGAAGTACGCGTCGCGTAGAGTCACCCGGTCGTGTTCTTCTTCATTCTCCACGGTCGAGAGAACCCATTGAGCCATGGCGTAGAATTGTTCATACCAGCTGTCAAAATTGCCAGGCACCAGTCTTTGCGAGACTTTCAGCACCTCGGCCACATCTGCTCCGTAACATCTCGCCGAAGCAAGGATCCTAAGCAGTTCGAAATGGAAGTTGACGTCTTCGTTGAGTCGCAGCATGGTAGGCAATAAGTGATGACGGTGCACACGAACTTGGCTCTTCTCTTCCCATTTTTTGTCTCCCTTATCAGACACGGGTTCTTATACTATCACCACAATGCCGTGCTCCGCTGCCAGTCGGAGCAGTCCCCGCCCGAGACTTATCTCTGCATTGTTCAGATATACGCAGCCCAAAGATAGGCACTCGTAGCACTCCCCAGTGATTACCCCGGAGGAGACTAATTCATAATAGGGTTTGACTCACTGGATTGGATCTAGCGGGATCTGCTGAGGGGACGGCTGGGGAGGGCCACTGCATTTTGCGTGCACGGAGAGGATGATAAGAAGAAAGATAAGTCAGAGCCTCGCGGCCGAGGGATACTAGGCACACGTACCTGTCAGTGTCTTTACGATAGATACCTGCTAAGGTAATCCGGGCTGTAACTTACCTATATTGCCGAGCCGTCCCCCTTCATGACCCCTCCTCAGCTGCCAAGGCGCTGGCTGTCCTGAGGCTTGGTCCATGGAATCCCCGGATTTCCAGCACGCGCGCGTTCCACTTTTATGCACCCGCTCCCATGTCAGGGCGCTCGTTGGAACGGTCGCCTCTAAGTCTCAACAATCTCTACTGTTGAGCACGGCATAGACTGCTTAATGGCTTCGACGACGCGTACACCTCCTGCCACCGCCCCGTTGACATTCATCACCACAGACTCACGATGTCGGCTTGCCCAAGAGGCAATCAAGGTCCACATTTTAAGGCGGCGGCATCGCAAAGGAGACAAAGGTCGTTATCGCTACGATGATTGCGAGAGTGGCGGACAGGTTCATGTGTGGGAATCTGTTCCGTCTTCAGCACCGTCGAACTCGCCTAAGCCGACCAAAACCGAAAGGCCTAAGACGGACAACCAAGCCTCGAATTGGAATAGTACCCTCACGGTTATCAACGACGAACAGTTGATTAACCTGAAGAACCTCGGCAAGGTACTTGGAGACAGGGGCCCCTGCGAGCCACTCCAGGACCCGGTTGATCATTTAATTAGAAAGTGTACGTCGCTTGTTGCAAGCCCGAAGATGACCTTTGAGACTAACGATCCATATAGTCATCCATCGATGCAGGAGGTCGCGGGCAGCCGAAGAGTTCCTGAGCTGTTATCGACTATGTTCGGCGGCATTCAGTGCGTTCCTGGCAAATGAAACGCTTGTGTCCACGTATGAAAGGGGGACAGCCTCGTCATTAAGCGCAGTGGAACTGGAACAGTATGCACTGCAACAAGTGTCCCAACAGATATCGGCTTCCCCATCGGAGCCTGAATATGGCACGATCCTGGCCGCAGCCTTGCTGGCCAACCACAAGGAGCTCAAGGAGGAACACGCATTTGCTGATTGGCACTGGAACGCGCTCAAGCGAATGATCAGCCTCCGGGGCGGCGTCTATTGTCTTCGCGCACACGAAGAGCTCCATGCCCTGCTCTTTTGGCTGGACATCCTGGTTTGTAACGCCTTCCACTGTTCTCTCGGTCAGTTGTCGAGCGTACAAAGCTCCGAAGCAGCGTCTCGGGACAAAGACGAATTCGTTGAGCTATTCGGCCGCATTGCCGAACAATGTTCATGTCCGACCGCGAATCATTTTGGAAACATGGTCCTGATTTGCACGCTCAGGGCCCTGCATCAGCCAACCTTTATGCGAGACAAGTGTGCGCAGATCAAGTGGCGGCGCGCCAAGTTGGCATGTTCGATTCATTTGGCAGCTCTGCTCCTTCAGGATCAGACGGAGTCTGACTCCCGCGCGCGAACTGCCTTGATCAAGATCGAAGAGGAGGTTGTGCTACGTGAGAATACTTGCCAAGTATTGCCAGAGGAGCTGCTTCATATCATCCTCCGTGCAACGAACCAGGATGGTCTTTGCGAGTCGATATGGTACACTTCTCGCATCATGAACGTCGTCAAGCAGTTGCCTCTCGATACCCGCAACACATGCAACGATATTTTATCGGCGTTCCTTGGCCACGGGGACTCAATTGAGCCGGCGCTCGAGCGGTGGAGAGGTGTATCGACTGCCCTAGTACGGGGTGAGCCTCAATATAGCGATAAGGGCAGCTTGGCTGACGAGGAATTTCAACAAATTTACCAGATGGGATGAGAATGCCTCAGCGTGGTTTCCATCGTTGACCACGCGAGCTCATTTATGCCACGCCTGGGGGCCGCCTCTCTGAGCACCACTTCTCATATACAGTGCTGCGTTTAGCGGAGAATAGCGACTGGCATAGAATGATTACCTTCACAGATCTTGCACCCCAATACACTTCAACAACTCAGCTCGATGCAGTGGAGTGTGAACAACGATGCCAGTGGTCGTCGCGGTCTAGTATTAATCCGTACTAGCCCAGTGCAAACAGACCCTGCGGTGCCAAGAGCGAGATCGGCCGAAGGGATGAGCGGTGGCGCTGTTTCTCCGCAATGCGCTTGAGGCGGGCGGCGGCCATGAAGCATCTCGGCCAATAACCGGCGACGAAAAAAAATTGCCGTGGCCACGTCCGTCTCCGCGTCGGAGAGAGAAGGAAAAGAGGCGAGGACCAGGTCAATCGCATGCGCACACTCGAGTGACACCACTCACTGCGCACCCGTTGTTATTTCATCCAGATATTGGTAGTGAGGGCCAGAGTATCTGGTGATTTGTAGACCAACGAAACGTTCAGCTACGGTACCGTGGTGTACTACTAGTACTAGGAGATACTGTAGTTCTGGAGGTACTAATATTCCCGCTAGACACACCGCGATCTCTCCCACCACCGCAGAGCCAAACCTGCACACTCCTCCTCCCTCCACCCGCCGCCGCCGCCGCGACACGGGCACTGACTCATAATTCAATCTCGCCAATCCTCGTTCTCTTATTATACTCCAACCTCATTGTCGTTGTCTTTGTGTCTTCTCCAGACCATTAGACAACATGACGACCAGGATGATGCCCATGCGGACGGGCTCCTCAGCCCTTCGCTCGATATCGAGACGCAGACCCTCATGCTCCCAGTCCTTTACCACAACCACGCCCGCGGCAGCTTTGTCGCCCTACCGAAAATCCCCCAAATCCACCACCGACCTGTCGAGAAGACCTGCAACGACTGCTGCAGCTCCAGCACAGTATGTTCCGGAGTCAGAAGTCAAGGTTTTGAGAGTGCGGCTGCTAATCAACCCTCGTACAGAACCACCCGACCAACCCCCAGTCCCGCGTTCAACAATGACTACCGCCGAAATGAGCCCTCGCCGTTGGTCAACCGGCAGATGCCTGAGCTCGACGACTCGTTCGTCGGTCTCAGTGGAGGAGAGATCTTCCACGAGATGATGCTGCGGCAAGGTGTCAAACATATCTTTGGCTACCCTGGTGGTGCCATTCTCCCCGTATTCGATGCCATCTACAACTCAAAACACCTCGATTTCATCTTGCCCAAACACGAACAAGGCGCAGGACACATGGCGGAGGGCTATGCAAGAGCTTCTGGCAAACCTGGAGTCGTGCTGGTCACCTCCGGTCCGGGCGCTACCAATGTCATTACACCCATGCAGGATGCCCTTTCGGACGGCACTCCCATGGTGGTCTTCACCGGCCAGGTGCCCACCACGGCCATTGGCACCGACGCTTTCCAAGAAGCCGACGTGATTGGCATCTCCCGAGCGTGCACAAAGTGGAACGTCATGGTCAAGAACGTGGCCGAACTCCCTAAGAGGATCAAGGAGGCCTTCGAGATTGCCACCTCTGGTCGACCGGGCCCCGTCCTGGTAGATCTGCCCAAAGATGTCACGGCCGGCATTTTGAGGAGACCCATTCCTATGCAATCGACTCTGCCGTCCCACCCGTCCGCTGCCACCCTCGCGGCTCGAGAACTCTCTCGCAAACAGCTGGAGGGAACCATTTCTCGCGTGGCCGACCTCGTCAACATTGCCAAAAAGCCCGTCATCTACGCTGGGCAGGGCATTTTGGGAACGCCCGAGGGTCCTCAGCTCTTGAGAGAACTGGCCGACAAAGCCTCCATCCCCGTGACGACGACCTTACAGGGTCTGGGAGGATTCGATGAACTCGACCCGAAATCCTTACATATGCTCGGAATGCATGGCTCGGCGTATGCCAACATGGCCATGCAGGAGGCGGATCTCATCATCGCCTTGGGCGCCCGATTCGACGACCGTGTGACCCTCAACATTGCCGGGTTTGCACCCCAAGCCAAGGCGGCGGCCGCCGAAAAGCGTGGAGGTATTGTGCACTTCGAAATCATGCCTAAGAACATCAACAAAGTCGTTCAGGCCACGGAAGCCGTCGAAGGTGAGGTGGCCACCAACCTGGCCGAACTCATCCCCAAAGTCAAGCCCGTCAAGGACCGTCCGGAATGGTTTGCCCAGATCAAAGACTGGAAGGAGCGATTCCCACTTACCAGCTTCGAAAAGGGCACGCCGGACGGATTGATCAAGCCTCAGGAACTGATCATGAAACTCTCCGACATGACTGCGCACATGAAGCAAAAGACCATCATCGCCACCGGTGTAGGCCAGCATCAAATGTGGGCCGCCCAGCACTTCCGGTGGCGGCATCCACGGACCATGATCACCTCCGGTGGCTTGGGCACGATGGGCTTCGGTCTGCCCGCCGCCATTGGCGCGAAGGTGGCTCAACCGGACGCCTTGGTTATCGATATCGACGGCGACGCCTCGTTCAACATGACCTTGACTGAGCTGAGCAGCGCCAACCAATTCCAGATTGGCGTCAAAGTCATTATTCTCAACAACGACGAACAAGGCATGGTCACCCAGTGGCAGAGCTTGTTCTACGAGGATCGATTTGCCCATACTCACCAGAAGAACCCTGACTTTGTCAAACTGGCCGAGGCCATGGGTGTCCAGGCACGACGATGTGCCAAGCCTGCCGATGTGGAGGACAGCTTACAGTGGTTGATCAGCGGCAGTGGCGAAGGCCCGGCGCTTTTGGAGGTCTTGACAGACAAGAAGGTGCCTGTGTTGCCCATGGTTCCGGCTGGCAAGGCTTTGCATGAATTCCTGGTCTACGACGAAGGTATGTTGTAGCTTTACCCTGGGTTCGTTTGCTTGTTTGCTAACATCATTTTCACAGCCAAAGAAAAGGAACGGAGAGCTCTGATGAAGCAACGATCAGGACACTAAGTTTGTGTCCCGATACAGCTTCCGTTTTGCGGTCTACACCAAAATAACGGCGATTTTTGTACAGAACAGACGGTGTCCCTGTCCAGGACCCCCATCCTGAGGACCGTCTCATATCGCATCGAGTCGATGGAGGGTCAAATGGCGGACACCGATGGAATTATGGTGGATTTGTGTTAAAAGCAGTTTCAACAGCGATGTGTTTTGTGGCTTGAGCTTTGGCTTGCGAAAAGTCTAGTCCAGTCGGGTTTTTGTTTTTCAGGAGGATCGGTCAGATGATTGACCTGTGGTATGGAGGGTCGACTGACGTTTCCTCGCGGTGGATGACGATGCGTTGGTGCGCACTATTTTCTATCAGTACTATGCACACACACTGCCGGTTAATGACCCCTCCCTCGGTGAAGAAAGGGGTCTGCACAACTGAATGGAGATTGGCACAGACATTCGTGCTGACTGACAAATAAAGTTGTTATCACCGAGGCTTCTGATTTTTTCTATATTTGCTTCTAACGTCAATCCCGTGGCCATGTGCCAAACTGCGACGTGATCGATCAATGGCACCGTTGCAAAAGCACATAAAGAGTAGCCCGATTAGTCATCCTTGTCACGCTAGCCTCTTCGCGTATTCCTGATGTTTATTTCAACTATTTCTATACCTCTCCCTCCTCTAACCGCCCTAGCATCTCATCCCTGATCCTTGAGCTAGCTTTTACTATTCCTATTCCGTGCCCATCCAGGTACACAGCATCAGCTGAAACAAAGCAGACATCATGCACCAGTATGAACCTCACTGCAGGGGCAGTTGTAAGTCGGCCACGTATCGTTCCGACTCCGACTTCGACTTCGGCAATAAAATCCGCATATAAGCGGAGTTAATGGCGTCGGTTCGCAAGTTGAGAGCACAGTCCAGTCACGAACGGACTTTATCGTTTCGGGCAATATGTGGTAGGTTGGACACCTGGATTGGAGGGACAAGTCTATCATGACCAGAAGTGTACACTAAGTGTGAGTTTGACATATGCTCCAAGACTCTCCAAGAGTGAAAAGCAAAATAGGGACAGAGGGGAACCGGCGAATCTCCCGTACTCTTGCCGGATGGTAATCTAGCTGACTCTCTTCTGGTCTTCATTCTACTCGGAATATCAAACAACACCTGTCTTGGACGCGGTCTACCAGAGAAGAGTTGGAGAACGGCCCACTTGAAGTTATTCCCTGCGTGTTGTCCTGTTGTGATATCCACTGGGGTGGAAGCTGGAGACACCCGCAGGAACTATTGCTTGACTGTCTGTGCTTCGACCCTTGCGGCCCGAAACAACAATATCTGAACACTGGAGCCAGAGGCGTAACGGTAGTCATCGCGGGCTCTTCACCGAAGACCTACACCGAACGACCATGGCAGGTGTAAAGTATGCAAAGGATCAACCGGCAGGGTTCAAGAACCACGTGGAGAATATCGCCATTGTTGGGGTAAGTGGGTGATTTCTTGATTTCTTGATTTCTTACGCACTCTTACACTTCACCCTCGACTTATCTACCTCTATTCGCACGAGGAGGAGGGGAGAAGAGGGAATGAATATGACGATGACTGTGACCATCGGCCCGGACGAGAGTCTGTTATTCTGAGGATGGCGATTTATTCTTCTTCATCGTTGAGCAGTGTTTGTGCACCTCTTGTCTTTAATCGTCTTCATCCTACCCCACCCCCACACATACCACCAGCACTAAAAGACTTCCCTGTCTCTCTCGACCATCTAGGCCAGCGGACACATCGGGGCATTCATCGCGCACGAACTGCTGAAAACGAAAATCCACAAAGTCACGGCACTGACACGGGCGGAGAACAACAACACGAACAAATTCCCACCAGGCCTATCAATCATACCAGTCAACTACTCCGACCCATCCACACTCGTAAATGCGCTTCGCGGACAAGACGTCCTAATCATCACCATGTCCGCATTCGCACCTCGCGACACCGAGGCGAAACTAATCCAAGCAGCCGCGGACGCCGGTGTCCCCTGGGTAATGCCGAACGAATGGGGCCTAGACGGGCAATCGACAGATCTGGTGCGCGAAGCGATGACAGGACCAGGACGCGAAGCGGCTCGCAACCTCATCGCCTCGCTGGGCAAGAGCTCGTTTGTGTCTTTAGTCTGTGGCTTCTGGTACGAATTCAGCCTGGCGGGGCAGGAGATCCGGTTCGGGTTTGACTTCCCCAACCGCACCGTCACCTTCTACGATGACGGTCAAACCAAAATCAACGTCAGCACTTGGGCCCAATGTGGCAGGGCGGTGGCGAGGCTGTGGAGCCTGAAAATCATGCCTGACGACGAGAAGGATACTAGTCCTACGGTCTCAACGCACTTTCGCAATGGGTTCGTCTATATCTCGTCTTTCTTGCTCAGTCAGCGCGACATGTTTGAGTCCGTTTTACGTGTCACGGGCACCACTGAACAGGATTGGAAGATTCAGTATCAAGATGTCAAGCAGCGGTATCGAGAGGGCCTTGCGGCTTTTCAAAATGCCGGCGACATGATGGCCTGGGTGAAAGCCATGTATGCTCGCGATTTCTGGCCCGATGGCTCCGGCAATTACCAGGCTGTCAGAGGCCTACATAATCGACTCTTGGGCTTGCCGGACGAAGACCTCGATGAGAGGACAAAAGTCGCTATTGATATGGTCGAGAATGGTGATGATGCATGCAGGCCGAAGGATTGATTAATTTTTTTTCACAAAGTCTTAATGGACTTCACTCTCTCGTCCGTGCGTGTGCCAGCGCTGGCGTGTGCCGGTATTTATGAACTGAACAATTCGCAGCTACCGGTGGCAAACTATCTGGGCATGGCTTCTTGTAACAGTGGAATCTTGATACTGAAAAAGAAGAGACATTTGATAGACTGGTTCTGCGCAAGCATACCGAGTATGGTCCCGTATAGGGCGATAATGGAAGGTTGTGCAACCATTAAACTTTTGCTAAAGTCCACCCTATGGGTTTTCTAGAAATCGACCTCTCCGATTTATGAGTACGTGGCACTTCCATTTCTTTTCATGTCTTTACTTTGGCCCTTCTGGCAAACAGTCTAGTAAAGGAGCAAATCCGTCTATGGTCCGTCGGCTGACATCAGAGGATCTCCCATGATCTCATTTCTGCTGGCATTCTGGATTGCCTAGATCGGCCTGGAAAGCAGCGGTGTTGAACTCGGAATAGACACCATTGATCTGGAGCGTCGTCACATTGACGTCGAAGTTGATGAGTCCCTTGATTTCGTACTGGTTGCTTCCGATGCCTGAAGCGTTCCATCTCCAGGATATGCTGTCGCAGTTGTGGAAGGTGGCGAGCGTCTCAACAACCGGGAGTGGTGGAGTCACGAACTGCGAGGCGATAAAGGCTTCTTTGCTGGGGTAGGCGAGTTGGCCAAGCTAAGAATCCGTAATTGCAATGGTTAGCCCGTGTATTGGTGTCATAACTCTTATGTGACCGGAACAGAGCTTTGGCTGGCGTAGGATGTATAATCCTCGCCAAAGGGAGAGGGAGTGGAGCGCAATGCGCTGTGTATAGTTATCCGTGACTTACTGGTCGCTGGGATAGAGTGTTGATGGAATCCGAAGACACAAAGAACGCGTCCGACAGAATGGTGTTTGCAGTGATGTTGAAATCCGGACCGCCAGGATGCTCGAGGAGGTAGGTGTATCCGTTTATGAGGTACGCGACTCCGGTGTCATTCAGGCAAGAGTGCCTATTGCCAGGCCAATCGCTCCATGGCCGCCCAGCTTGCGCCAGAGCGCTGCCGGCCAGCATGGTGAACGTGGTTGCCAGGAAGAACGGGACGTGCATCTTGCTGGGAGTACGAGATGACAGGTTGGGGCTAACACAAGATTCTTTCTCTTGGAATGGATTGAACGTTGATTCGTATTTGTGGTGGAACAAAGTAGACAGCAAGTGAATGAAGATAACAAGTAGTTTGATACAGAGTCACAAGAGCGGGTCTTCAATGAATGATCTCCGTCGTTGCTTCCCTTTAAGTGATTCGAGAAGTGAAAACTGCTCACCTTGAATTTCGGCAATGCTGCCTTCACGACATTTTATAGCAGCGGTAGTATGCGGGCATTATTTCCTAATTATAGGCCGGTCACCACATCTTCCAGGAATCAAAACAATAAACCCGACATTGAGGAGGTTGGCAACAACAAAAACAGTCAATGATAGCATTTTTCCAATCATATGCAGATCTTCGATGACGCGTTGATTTTGGTGTAGAGCTGCAACTGCCAGGGAGCCTGGTTAGATTCTGTAACCGACATTCGCTGGGACAAGTAAGAACAATCGAACAGGTCGATCTGCGAATTCAAGGGGCAAACGGCATCCAAGGACGTCCGAGCTCCCGTCGGCAAGTACCCAATCCAGAGCGTCCATCAAAAAGACATGGAATCCCGGATTCGCCGATTCGGTCCTGGCAACCGTTATGTACGAATCAGCCGTCTAAAATATTCTGAAAGTCGGCCAGTCCAACGTGCCAGCTTCGCATAGTGGTGCAGTGGACACGGATTTGGTTGAGTACGGTGGAAGGTATACTCCATGTACTTTGATCGTATACCAGTTTGGTGGATATACTTGTAACCTTCAGTTCTTCTCTGGAAAGCGGAAGATAAATTAAGCTCGGCAAAGGTTTGAACTACGGACCGGACACGGCAACTAGGCTTCATTCGGGCGTCTACCAACTCGAAACATCAACTTCAAATCGGAGACTTTCAAACCACGATGCAGGGGAATTTTTCTCCGAACGCTCGTGCAGTAGTCCGTGGCCCAAGCCGTTTCTTCTTCGATGCGAATATTGAAATTTCGTGGACGGCCAATCGCTCAGGGGAAAGTGTGCGATCCATCAGAATCTCATGAGAGCAAGTTACTCTTGGCACTAGAACATGGAAGGGCAGCAGAGGTGATTTAAGACTGTCATTAGGCGGGAATCTTGATACTCATGTTCGTCTCCAAGGGACTTCTATCACTGTAGAGCGAATATTAGCTCCTCCGGAGCTCGGGGAGAAAAGGCCGCTAGACGCCTGGACGGATTGGCGCCCACTGTTTCATTCGGAACCGTGGAAGAGCCTCTTCTCTCCTACACGGCCAGCCGATACACTGACCGATTTCAGCTCTCGGTGGGAAGGACAGGCAAGACAGCGTAGCAAGAGGGGTTGAGTGCGTCCACTATGGGGATGTCGCCTCACCATCCAGACTTGAAGCATGCGTTAGTATGCCAGCCATCAGCATTGATCCACCAACCTTTGTTCCTGTACATCAGACAGAGCTCTAATGAAAGTAGAACTTTTAAGATGTTGACATCTTCAAGTACAGTGCAGAACACGTGCCGTCACGTGAAAGACCCTTCTCCGGATCGCGGGCGGCAAAAGCGCATGATTTCTGGCGTCTCTCCGCGCTTGGGTCCGCAGGATGAATAATGATAATGAACTCGGCCTGGACTGCCTCGGTTTATTGCCTTTGCGGTCTCCAAGCCACGACCATCGACTGACTTATTCGAGTCCGGTCTGTTTGCTCTCTGTGACTGCTCGACATCACCACATCCTTACACCTTCTTCATCTGTGCATTTACCACGTCCTCCTGCATTGCACCATGTCATTCTTAGGCGGCGCAGAGTGCTCAACCGCGGGCAATCCGCTGACGCAGTTTAAGAACCACGTTCAGAATGACACCTCGCTGCAGCGGGATCGTCTGGTCGGCCGAGGCCCTGGTGGCCTGGAAGAGAGCATGCGGTCTCGCATGGCTCCAAATGGATCGGACCAGGTGAGTTGGCGAATGTCGAGGATGGGAACCAAAGCCGTTGACCGGTTAGCAGATGATGAACGACTTTATGCACCAGACGGGTCAGTTGCCACAGCCTTTCGCCATGGAGCAACTGCGACAAGACCTCCCCAGTGTCCAAGGGATCGCTCGTCGGTCACCGTCCCCCGGCTGGGGAGCCGAGTTTGATCCGGGCGAACAAGCACGCATGGAAGCTGCCTTCGCCAATTCCAAGATGGCGGCACAACGACCGAACGGATTCTCCCCACAAGAATTTGCCCGCTTCCAGCAGGCGACTCCGCAGCGGGCCGCGAGTCCGATTACTCAGGCTCCTTCGATGATGAATACCTACCAGAGACCCATGGGGATGGGGTACATGGGTGGGATGAACATGGGCATGAATTATACACCGATGCACATGCAACAACAGCCGGAACAGACCGCAGATAAAGGCAAGGGCAGAATGGTCGAATTGGACGATGTGAACTGGGAAGAACAGTTTAAGGAACTCGAAACGCAACAAGATAGTCTCTCGGATGAGGCCAACCAGGCGATGGAGAGGGAATTGGACGAAATTGACAGGTCAGTCGAAGTCCCCGTGGATACCTTTGAGGATTTTGAGAGTGTGTGGCACGGGATCCAGGCTGAACAAGCATCCAGGCGAATGGCCGCGGAAGCTTCTGATTTGGACCAAGCATTTACGAGCGAGGACTTTGCCGCCTGGGACAATTTTGATTCCACATTCGGCATGAACACCCATAACCCCTTTGAACGAGAGCCCATGCTTGGCGATTACATGTTTGAATCACAGAACCCGTTTTTGGAGAACAGCCACTCTTCCAAGTCCGCCTTTGAACAAGGAAAGGAGATCCTTGAATCGCACGGTAACCTCTCTCTTGCTGCTCTGGCCTTTGAGGCCGCCGTTCAACAAGACCCCAACCACGTCGAGGCCTGGGTTCTTTTGGGCTCGGCGCAGGCGCAGAATGAAAAGGAAGCGCCTGCCATCCGCGCTCTGGAGCGGGCATTGCAATTAGACCCCAACAACCTAGACGCTCTTATGGGGCTGGCAGTTTCCTACACGAACGAAGGATACGACAGCACGGCCTACCGGACTCTGGAGCGGTGGCTGAGTGTCAAGTATCCTCAGATCCATCCCCCGGAGAACCTATCGGACGCATCCGAAGTCGGCTTCACGGACCGTGCAATATTGCAAGAACGCGTGGTTGACCTCTTCATCAAAGCAGCTCAACTGTCGCCGGCCGGGGAACACATGGACCCCGACGTCCAGGTCGGTCTTGGTGTTTTGTTCTATGGGAACGAAGAGTTTGAAAAGGCTGTGGATTGTTTCAAAGCCGCTCTTGCATCAGCAGAAACCGGGTCGGCAAACAGGGAAGGACAGCTGCATCTGTTGTGGAACCGGCTGGGTGCAACATTGGCAAACTCGGGCCGGTCAGAGGACGCCATCACCGCCTATTGCAAGGCACTCGAAGTCAACCCCAATTTTGTCCGAGCCCGATATAACCTCGGAGTTTCGTGCATCAATATTGGATGCTATCCTGAGGCAGCCGGACATCTGCTCGGAGCGTTGAATTTGCACCGGATTGTGGGCGAACAGGGGTTGGATCAAGCTCGTGAGATTGTTGGAGATGGTCATGGAGGGATCCCTGATGCCGAGTTACAGAGGATGATACAGCAAAATGAGAGCACGAATCTCTACGATACCCTGAGGAGAGCGTTTACTGGCATGGGCAGGCGAGATTTGACGGAGCGGGTGGGTGCTGGCATGGAGCTGGACTCGTTTAGAGGCGAATTTGACTTTTGAAGGATATCACAACTGCCCTGACTAGACATATGACCGAAATATACTACAGCAGTGTACTAATTGTACGCCATGGCACATGCAGATGCTTTAACATCGAAGCTCTTCCAAGCGGAATATGCCCAGGGGGATACGCTTGTTGCTACACTACCTAGGTACATGACACTGATCATATTTGGGAGCCTTGCCGAGGGACTGCCAGTCAGGTGATCAGGCTGCGTTCCGCGACGCTCATCATGTGATTGGTTGATTGCAACCGGATGCTGTGGAACTCGTTCAAAGTGGCAGAGGCACTGGCAGTGACCGCAATGACCGCCATTGACTGATCGACCAGCTCCCGCCTGCCAACAAGTTCCCCGGATTCCCTCTCACTCACAACAAGTACCTTGTCAACCCATTGTTGCGCCCAACTCTTCAGGGAGTATTCATTCTAAGCCCGGTTCTAGAACTACCGCCGCCGTACCCAGCTTCGTCCGGTCTTGATCTCTCCAAGCGCAGGCGTGTCCCGCCATCCCTAAGGGCTGGTGCCTGCGGGGCTCACGACGTTCGCGGTCAATAAGTATGGATGACCACGGCGACTTCGACAGTGTTTCGTGGCAGCGGGAGGATACGCAACAGGCGGAATCGTCTGCGCCGTTTCAGGCCAATCTGCCAACTAGACCTGGCGATGGCCGGAGAAGCGATAGCATGAGCAGCGAACCGCAGGCTGGCGAGCATGCCGACAATGTCGATCTGGCGGGAATCGGTCGAGACGGGATTCTGGAAGTCACGGTGGACAGTCCGCTGAAAGAGAACGATGGTACAAAAGACGCATATGTCTCATACCTCGTCACCACACATGTAAGATTGCAGCACCGGGGATGTCCTCCCAATCAAGCTGCGCCCAGCTAACTGACATTGCTCTCAGACCGACTTCAAAACATTCCAGAAAACCGACTTCTCTGTAAGACGGCGGTTCACCGACTTTGTGTTCCTGCGGCAGACGCTACATCGAGACTATCCAGCATGTGCAGTGCCTCCACTGCCGGAAAAGAACAACATGGCGTATGTGAGGGGAGACCGGTTTAGCACAGAATTCACACAACGCCGAGCATGCTCATTACATCGGTTTCTGAAGCGATGTACTCTACATCCGGTTTTGCGCCGGGCTCCAATACTATTACTGTTCCTCGAAACGACCGACTGGAACTCGCAAATGCGGCTCAGACCATCCAGGGGTACGGTGAGCGGAGAAGGCAGCGGCAATACGGCCGCACCGACTGGTTTCTTCGATAATGTCGCAGACACCATGCTCAACGCCTTCTCCAAAGTCCACAAGCCGGACAAGAGGTTCATCGAAGTCACGGAGAGAGCAAACAAGCTCGACGAGGATTTGTCACATGTGGAAAAGATCGTTGCAAGAGTGGTTCGGAGAGAAGGCGACCTGGAGCTGGATTATGCCGACTTGGCCACCAACATGCGCAAACTCACTCCTCTCGAGCCTGCCATTGAAGCTCCCATCCAAACCTTCGCCGGCTGCGTCGAAGAGACATCCCGAGGCTGGAAGGGTCTCAAGGACCACACCGACCAGAATTACCTGGGTAGTCTGCGCGACATGGAAGCCTATATCAACTCTGTGAAATCATTGCTCAAGACCCGGGAGCAGAAACAACTCGACTTCGAGGGGCTCACCGAATATTTGCAGAAAGCGACTGCGGAGCGCGACATGCTTGCATCCAACAATCCGTACTCGCACGGGTCCCATCTCAATCCGGCAACTTTCATCCGGAACAAGGTGGAGGACATGCGAGGCGTCGACCACGAAACGGCCCGCAAGGACCGGGCGCGCAAGCTGGAACTCAAAATCGCCGAGCTCAATCGTGAGGTCGAGAGTGCCAAATCCACCAGCGAGATGTTCGACGAGCAGGTGGTGCGCGAGGTCGCGGATTTCGAGAGGATCAAAGGCCTGGAGTTTAGGGATACCCTCGGTGCGTTGGCCACGCAACATATCGACTTTTACCAGAATGTCATTTCCACTTGGGAACGGTTCCTGGTCGACATGGATCTGGATGCCGACAAACATTTGCACAAGGACAAGGGGAAGGCAGAGACTTGAGAAGGGAGAGGCAGACTACTATTATACATTGAGTAATGACTTTATGGTCTTAAGTTCGAGGCTATCACTACTACCGTGTAGCGAAGGCAGTTTAATGGCCATGATGCAGTACTATCATTTGTCCCACGCTCACCCTCTCCATCTCATGTCTCTCAATAACCATTCCAGCCTTTATCCTGCTCCTGGAACACACCTACATGCAGACTTTTCAGTGTTACACCAGTCCTATACTTTCTCAATGAGCGGAATGTTTAGCACTCCGATGAAGACAAGAAAAATAATATAAGGAATTCGAACCTCGAATTTATTAGACAACAACGGACGACAAATAAAGACCTGAACGCTGAATGAGGTTTTTATGCTCTGGCCTCTGGCTTTTGACTCCTCGCTTTTTGCAATTCGCATCTTGCTCGTTCATTGGATTCTGCAATCTGCAACTGAAACCCCAAAATCCAGACTTCTTTCCAAAGGAAGACACAATCCCTGCCATCACAGCCCATTGCACCCACCACCATATCCAAGAGAACAGAAAACAACAGACCTTCCCAAGGGAAACAATGGGTGACTTCCATCTTCCAAGCCATGCTGCCACTGCTTTAAAAAGGTAACTACTCTATACAGTACTTACTACCAAGCCGTGCCCTCCTCCTGAGCCTGTCTCAACTTCTCATAAAACGCCCACGGCCAGCCCTTCATCTCCTCATCACGGGGCAAACAACTAGCGCCTTCAACCGTAGCAACTAGTTCACCCTTTGCCTTGAGAGCCTCCTCCCTCCGGCGACAATAACCCACAACATTACCAATAACCCTTCCAAGCATATCGGGACTGATAGCTACCGGATTAAGGAACGGGTCCGATTCACTCAGCAACTCCTTGACAGTTGGTCTCAGGGACTGTTCGCGAGTCAAACACCTTCTCAGAGTCTTGATAAGTCCAAACGGTACCACTGCACCACCGATACCCGTGTTGGGGAACTGGATCTCGACTTTTGGATTCGGAATGCTCATGATGCGTTCAAACTGTTTGGCGATATGGGCAAAGGGAGGCTGTCCGTACGTCATTTGATACAGAATACATCCCAGACTCCAAACATCGCTCGGTTTGCCTAGTTTCAGTATCTTGGGCGCGCCGGGAGTCCCTCCCGTGTGACACACCAATGACTCTGGGCTCATGTAGTTGGGCGTCCCGATCTGGTTCTCGCGATGCACATTGACCGTGTCGTCCTGGATGGCGTTTGCGATTCCGAAATCAATCAGCTTTAGCTGGCCTTTCACCAATAGAAAATTCGCCGGTTTCAGGTCCGAATGTACAATGTCGTGCTCGTGTACTGCTTGTACGCATTCCAGCATCTCCTTCCAGTAGTGTCGGGTGAATGTGATGTCTAGTCGAGCGTTGTCTGCTTTCAACTGCTCGTTGAGCATCTTGTTGAAATCGGATTCGCCTAGCTCCATCATCACGTTCAGCACTCCCTTTTCTTCGTTGATCTCGTAGTCGTATAGTCGAATCACTCGGTCCACGTTCTCCAACTTCTTCAAAAGGTCAATCTCTCCTTTGTACCCGGCTATCGCGGCCATGTCGGCTTCTTCCAGGTTCACTCTTTTCAATGCAAAGATCTTGTAGTTTTCCGCCATGATTCGGAATACTCTTGATGACCCGCCTCGTCCGATGCAGTCTAGTCGTCGGTATGTCTTGCCGTTCAACACGTAGTGGACCGATCTTTTGCTTCGTGATCCGGCGTTCGATGTGGCTGCTTCCAAAATCGACATTTTTGGCGGCGGCGCCGGGGCTGGTCGGTGGGCTATATTGTTGGGTTTCTCCACCAGTGGTTGTCGCGAAGGTGAGGTCTGCGCCGGCACTGATGCAGGAGGTTCCGCAGCAGGCTTCTGCTCGCTTGGGGGCTCATCTTCATGCAGTTTTAATACTGGTGCGGTAGACTTTGCTCTGCGAAATGTTGGAGGTGGCTCATTTTCTTGATCTTGCGCCGCAGGATGCGAGGGTAGTGGGGGGATTTTGAAGATTGGATTGCGCTGTACGCTGGATGTCCTCGACGAAGAAGGGTGTGACCCTCGGGTGCCAGGTGTCGGTAAAGCCCTGTTAACGGATGCTGGCCTTGATGGTGGTGGCCGGTTTGGTGAAGGAGGCTCCTGTGGCCACCTTTCCGGCGGCTCTCTTTGTTGTTCGTGTTGCTGCTCCCTCGGTGGTTCTTTTTGACGGTCAGGAGATGCATGCTTGGGCGATTGATAGACTGATTTCACTTGCATGGGACTGCCTTGAAGGGCGAGCAAGTCGTCAGGCAGATCCGCCAGATCAGCTTCTCTGGCCCTTCTACCAACTTCAATCTCGGGTGTGCCTGATCGGGCCTCTTCATGCTGCTCTATGCCCACATCGTCCTCCTCACTTTGCCGCCGCACCATCCCTCGTCTAACAGGTCTGTTCAATAAAGCACCTCCTATGCGGCGAACCCGCATGGTGCTTTGAGGTCCATTCTCTTCCCCTCGTCGGGATCTCAGAATTGTGGACGGGATAGCGCCGCCTTCCTCATCTGGACTGCTTTGTGAGTGATGATTCTGCGGACTGTGAGAACGACCTGCTGATTGAGACGCGTCGACTTGCTGATCTTGTCGCTGAGCCGAGTCGGGCTGTTGATGGGAAGGAGGAGACCTTGAAAGCCGCCTAGAATCACTGATGCGGACGCGCCGTATCCTTGGCGCCGGAGTCTGGGAGTCGTGGAAATCGGAATGAATGCGCGTGGATGGCTTTTCGTGGATTTTGTACATGAATGAACCGTCTCTTCCCAAGATTGCAGGTGGCCCAGGACGAGCTCCTGAGGTGACTCGGACGACCCGTGGAGCTGGGCTGCCGTCTCTTTGTTGATGCGGACTACTCTTCTTCAGTACTTCAATTGCAGGACCTCGCTGTTTTTCGTATTCTTCGTTCGCCGGCCTTGTTTGTCGCGAATGTGGTTCCCAGTTCTCCTTGTCCGGCGCCGAGTGCGGATCAACCTCCCCTAAAATCGCTTGGGCCTCTGCACTGAGCTTGATTGGCGCGAGATCCTCATCGTCGGAGCTGTCGCCTGTCATATTTCGACCAGGTTGTGATGCTTTATATTCTGGTGCGGTCGCATGGGCGGATGGCTGCGCACGATGGGTAGCCAGGCGCGTCGTGGTTCGGAGATGCGATCGTCGAGAGTTATTGAGACTGGAAGCCAGCGCTGCAGGGGTCGGAGTGGCATAAGTAGCCATTTTAGACAATGACAAGCATTGGGTATATCAATATTCGTAGACAGCGCTCATTGTTACAGTAGCCGTAAACTGTGGTTGATCAGACTTGGGATGATTGATGGATGAATAACTGAAGAGCATTTCTCAAGCCTGGACGCGATTGGATGTGAATCCGCAGGGCACGTCGGATAAACCCCGGCCCCAACAACATCCGCGTTGCTAGAGCAACCACATAGCCTGAACCGGAAGGCCATCAAGATGAGGGCGAGTTCTACAGCAGTTCAACGCTGTCTGTCAGGATCCGATTGATTATACCGACTCGTTTCAAGCTTGCAATATCTTCTGATATGTTCACGTGGGATAGTTGAACAACAGCGTGCCGGAATCTAGAAAACAGTCGGCCAAAAACACGGTTCCATTCCAGCGCCCATGCCAAACGAATGCTCATTACGACAGTTTGCTCTTAAGGTCATGCAATAGCCATGACCTGGTGACATGACATATACATGTAGGTTACGCAAGCTCAACTTGGGTTCGTCTAGCTCGAAGCTCACCAACAAAGCTTGAAGCGTATATGTGAATCAGCGGGGCCGCTTACGGCCAACATGGTAGAATTGTATCCTCTCAAACTTTCTGAAGCCACGATTTCGTTGACAGCGTTTGATCCAAAGTAGGATTTTTTCTCACACAAACAGTCCCCATGATCCTTCATGTACAAGACCTTACTTCGGGTATACGATGTATGCGTCGTGAAGTAGAGGACACGGGCGATACAAGCATGATGTTAGCCGTTTATGCTTGCCACAAAAGGTTAGCCTTGCTTGCAATTATTGCGCTTGTCCCGTTTCGGCCAATGTACTTTCTGGCCAATCCAATCTGAACCGCCGCGTGTCTTTTGCTGCAGACCTTCAAGTTCAATTTCGCTCGGGTTGGAACCGGGAGACCAGATTCAACCACACTCCACTTGCGCCGTGTGCATGGCAGCTGGCATCAACGCCCCCAATGATCTACCGCCACTTTTTGAAACTTGATCCCAGGACGATCAAATGTACACCACACAGGGACAGTCCCAGTCCACATCCACCAGCGGAGTAGATCCAGCTTCTTCCGGTCCGACTTCCGGTGACTCTGTATCGGACCACGGTTACACACCCTACTGGCAGCATAGGAGAGGCTCTTGTCATTCAGACGATCGCTCTTCAGATCGTCCCCCACCAATCACCCTCGAGGACCATACCGAGTCTCGAGCAGCTACCAGAGGCGCTCTTTGGGCCAAGTCCATCACCATTGACGACTATGTCATCGTCCATGGCAGCCCACCAGGGCTCGGAGCCTATGTGGTATGGAATTGCAAAGTTCAGACGCTTGACGGAGGGCCAATGACCATCCGAAAACGATACTCGGAATTCGATGAGCTAAGAAGGAAGTTGATCAAAGCCTTCCCTCAATCGAACAAGACTACTCTACCGCCACTCCCTCCAAAAAGCGCCATCTACAAATTTCGGCCCAAATTCCTGGAAAAGCGACGCGAAGGCCTGGCCTACTTTCTGAATTGCATCATGCTCAACCCCGAGTATGCTGGTTCAACCATCGTCAAGGACTTTATCTTCCCTCCGGAATCGTGAGAACCGACTAAAGTTTGGTACCAGGGTCTACATATCACCCTTGTTCGCCATACGGTTCAGGCCTCCTTTTGTGCATCGTGGCCCCAGTTCTTCAAGGACCGGTATGAGTTGCTGTTGGTGTCTTGCTTGGCCTTTTCCTCCTGGGCCAGGTGTCGCTTATTATAAGCAGCAACCTTCCTCATATGAGCCAGGTCGTCGTCATCATACTTGGATGGGTCTTTGTCCGGATTCTTCCTCAAAATTTCGACAATCTTCCTCCCGCTACGGAATAAGTTAGCATATTGATGTGGACGAATCAGTTAGTATATTGATGTGGACAAACCGCACCAATTGGTGCATCAATCCGAAGAGGTCGCCAAACGAAGGCATGGGGTGTTGCAGTCTCCAAATCAGGTCCTATGTACCTACCTCTCGTGACCAATGCTCTCCCCAGAGCCATCATTCTTGGACCAACCGGCCTTTTGGGATTCGTCCCCTCTAAGCCACTCTTCAAGCTCGTCAGCAGTCATGTTGACCGTGTTGTTGAAGTCACTGGGTGTTCGTCAGAAACCACTCGCCCATCGCCAGTCTCTCTGGATGCATACTCGATGACATCTTGTTCACTCTTGACCATTTTGGAAGGCGAAATTTGGAACAGCCTATACGTCTTGGGAGGGATAATTGCCTTGCGATAAAGAAAGAATCCGCGCTTGGAAAGCAGCTGCATTTACTGGAAGATGGCAATACTCAATGCACAGAGGATATTTCATGTCTCTTCTGTGTTGTGTATACGGTACCTTATGCTCGCCCATTGAAGATTACGTCATGACTCTGGGAGTGCCAGACCGTGCGTGGAGATTTTGTGGCGAGCTCACCAAATAATGGTCCAGGCGCCACAATGTTGCACATGGCGCATCGGATTTCGGAAATGGGGCTGTCATTCGGAAGATCCGCTCTGCAAGGCTGCGGAGGGAGGAAATTGGGTGGAATTACTTCGTTGCACGAGGTCCCTTACATAGCACATAGCATAGTACAATACTTGTTTTAATGTCTCTATTGTACCAGTAGTAATTGCTGTGTGGCATTCAAACCCAATCGTACGCAATCTACCGGCAGCAAGGACTTCTTTATCCACAGACCCATTTGTACTAGTAAGCGTAGTGTTCGAAGCGCCGATTGATGCAAGGGGCGCCAGGAGCAACGCAACAACACTCTCTGACCCATAAGCTGTGCTGTATAAGTAGCTTCGAAAACCCTTTTCATCTCCGACTGTGAAAAATACTGCCACTTTCGGACTAAGATTGATTAACGTTGTGGCCAACGAACCAATCCGCGCCGGAGCAGCACAGGTGAATCTCAGGAACCACAGTTCCTGTCCCACTTTGGGAGACCGATGAGGTTTTTGAACCTACCTTAGACGGCTGACAATTGACTGGCATGTGGCTTGCATTTGAGCGCTGCGTAACCAGGAACCCCTGCCCAACCTTCTCCCACTATTACTTCAAGTTCTCGTCAAGGTTGTACCCTCTCATGTGTTGGTTTCAAGTGTCATGTTTCATACATTGTGTGGGATCTCGCGAGAACTCGCTCGGATGCCTGCGTGACCATCTGCGATCTGGTATGAAGATTTGTTAGCATTGAGAACGTTGTTCAAGCCAAGGTCAAGTAAAGAGGAACCGAAGCCCAGATCCCCGATGAACAGGGTATTCCAAGCCACATCCACGGGGAGCGGCCGGGAAGTGCAAATTAGGTGCAACCCTAAGCCGCAGAGAACACCGACGTGGCCACGCAGGGTCCGTTTTTGGGGAGTGCAGTTGGAGAGCAAGTCATGATGAGGATTTGCTGGTGATCAGTGCCGTAGTCTTAGCTGTTTGGCTGGGAGGTAAGATGACTCTGCCTGGCTGGAACAGTGTCTGAGCAGCGACCAGGTGTTGCCGGGATGAAACAAGAGACACGCCCAACGGAAACGAGGCAGTTGAGTGGAGAGCTGAGTTGCGCCCTAAGGAAAGCGCTGGGCCGGAAGAGCCCCAAACCCCAGGCTTAGGGCAGGTCCTTTAGGAGTCCTCGGGCTCTCAGAGTTCGCTGGAAGGCTCAAAGAGACACAGGCAGCCTCCACCACGGGTATCACCCTGGTCCCGAGCCCTGTCACCCCGAGCTGTCAGTGTCGTGGTAGGTCCCTTACCGCCAGCAGAACCTCCGTCTCGCAAGCGTTATAGGCTGCAAACTGCACACAATTCCAGGCCTCAGCTGGCATCTGCCGCCCACTTTTCCCACTACAAACGTACTACTGCTAGCAACCACAGTGCAAACCACGCTAGAGGATCAGGCTCGTCCTTCAACTCACGGCTCGACACGTCGCGTCTAGTCCGCACCTCATCATCGTTGATTTCCTGTTTCCAATTCTAATTATTGCTACTGCAAGAAAAAGTGGCTGTCCCTGTCCAAAGCGGTCGGCCTGGGCGGATGGTCTTTTCTATCATTTGTTTCATGCCCTTCATCAATACTCATTTGCCCTCCAGCGACTTCAGCAGGCTGTAGTTACCTACAGTACTGCAAAAGTGAATGCACCCATCCCCTTTTGCTCCTTTGCATTATCGCTTTCTTGTTGATCCCACCCTCTCAAACCCACCCTGCCAATTGTGGTCCGTGGCCGTTCTCCGCTCTCATATTCGTCCCGAACCGATAGACCCCTGAACCTACGACTGGCATATGCAACTTTTTTGACTGTCAGGACCGTCACCCGGTTTGCATACATCTCGCATTGCGCCCACTACCATCTCAGGGCCCTTGCTTGGCTCGCCGAGAGTCAACCCTCACACCGTTCCTCCCCCATTGACCGACCTGGTCACCGAGTCGATGAGAAGAGGTCTCGGGAGCCGTCCCTCCAGTCTCGACCTCACATTCGAGCATGCCGTTCTTTTCAAAAGTATTCAAAAGCAAGGATGCTGCATCGAAGAAGGCCCCTGCGCCCGTGGCGAATGGAGATGCACACAAGAAGGTACAATGGTCCGACGCCTGGCTTCGAACAAGAGTCGATCCAGAAGAGGTGTCTGAGTTACTGCACATGTGCACAGCGGAGTTGAAGTCGAGAGGTAAGTGTTCGCAGCCGACAGTGGCAGATGGCCGTGCGTCTTACACACTCTTAGACCTGAATGTACCGTTCCTTCTCCTCCCTTTCCGACCTTCCTCGGATCCCTCTGCGGCCAGATCCTTTGTGCGCAACTTTTTCCTTCCGCCCCACGATCGAGATCCATTACGAGGGGATGTCTTGGAAAGAGAACTACGGATGACTGAGGCGATGGTATGTAGATGTCTCACAAAGCTTATGATGCGCTGACCGCGGCTACAGGTGCTAATCAGCGTAATGAAATGGTGCTGGGCTCGTTTGCCTGGTGGAGTCGTCAGTTGGGAGGTGTATGAAGGCTTCCGCGTAGGGGAAAAAGGTGCCAGCGTGAACCACCCAAGATCATGTCTCAGCTGCTGACCTCTTCAGATTCTGGCTTCGCGCGTGACGCCTTCAGCACGTTCGTTCCACTGGGCGTGGATTCCCCTGCTCGGTTACAGATCATCCAAGACTTTTTCGACCTGCTAGCCGCCGTGGCAGCACACGGTAAAGCGAACGGATTAGGAGGGCACAAACTCTCGCGGTATGCTGGCTGGTGGGCTTTCGAACATTACGACACTGGGAAAGGGTTCGAATCAGGATATGAGTCCTGGGCAAAGTACACGATGCCCGTCATTGAACTGTCTGTAAGTTATGCCGCTGACTTTCGATAGTGCCGCCGATGCGACATCACACCTTTTCTTCGCCTACTTGCGTTCGTTATCTCCCGATTCAGGCAAGACAAGCGGTATCCTGGGCCTACCTCGGTCTCTCCAGCAACTTCTCAACTCGACGGAGTATCCCCCAAAGCACGCGTTGCTTTCAAATGAGGTCACTAAGGTGGTCATGATTGTTGACATAGTCTCACCCACTCCGTACGCATTATTGCGACGAGCGAAAAACTTCGAATACCGAGACGACGATCGAGCTCTGCAACGATTCGCGAGTTATGAGGACCCCGTCGAGGCGCTCACCGATGAGTGCCGCCGGGTTTTGAAAGCGATCTCTTCTACGAACCAATCTCACGTCTCCAACGCGAAGACATCAACCAGTTTGGCGGATCCCTCCTGGTCAAGATTTGAAGACATTGGTTTTGGAAGTTCCCTTGAAGACGAAGATGAAGATGAGGAAGACGACGGAGTACTCGTCCGTAGACCTCGTGCCACAAGACCGATCCATCCTTCAGTGCGGCCCCGAGGTTACGCAGATCTAGCTCGGCCAACCACGCCATCGTGGGCGGATTTTCTATCTTCAGGATTTGCGGATGAAAATGGCAGCAAAGCCCCCGCTCCCATTCTCCTACCCCCTGACAAAATTCTTCCACCTATTCAGTCGACTATGATACGTGGTCAAAGCTCGCAGTCCCATCGAAGGAATCTAGACGCTCACCCAAGTCTCGACCCTGGAGAATTGGCGAGCATTACCAGAATAAATGTGGACGACTCTTTCTGGTGGGTTTGGATCAGTAGTTTGGCGTCCGAGGAGCCAACCTCCAGAAAAGCTGTGTTCGGTCGATGTGCTCTCATCGAAACTGTGTTACCTGATGGGCAATGGATGGTAATGGAGGAACAGGTCAAAGGTGCGGCACCCGAACCCGCTGTTGGCGCATACATCGCAGAGAAGAAGACGTTCCTGGGGTTTACCACCAAGCGAGGTCGTCTCGGTCGGAGACGCTCTGGAAGTAAGAAGAGTCTTCTCACTCCAGAGCCGCAGTTCGACACAAGCCACAGGCCAACTTTGGCTCCAGATCAGCAAGCGAAGATCCAACAGGCAGCAGCGGAGCTGTCCAGGAAACGACAGGTTGAAGAGAGAGCGGAGCAAGCTGCCGTGGCCACGAGACGAGGACGAACGCAGGATTTCATGGCCCCGTCGAAAACAAACAGCATCTTTACTCTTGGTCCATTCATTAAGGATGAGGCGTCTCCAGCACTTCAGTGGGCCAACCAGTACGACAAGAAGACCATTCGGGCTAAGTACCTGGGTGACACTCTGGCTGGTAAAGGCTCGCGCGAGATGTTATCCCTGCCTGCAGAGGGTCTTGGAATCAGTAGGTCTACTTCTACCCTCTCGGTGGTGAGCAAGAATAAGGACCTGCCACTCCCACCAGGAGAAACTGGACAACAACGTCCTGCAAAGCTAGAAAGGAGTCGATCGGCCGAACAGATTCCTTCAATGGCAGCGACTCCTACCGCGGCTGAGCCACCGGTCGAGGCCGTCGCCACGCCGCCTGTGGAGGTTGTCGTCGAGCCAGCCCCAATTCCAGTCGAGCCTAAAGTTGATGTCGAGGAGACTGCTGTTCCGGGCGCAGTTGACGTTCCCCTCCCTTCAGCAACACCAGATATCCCGGAGACGCAGACGTCGCAACGTCAGGAGATATCAGAGACAAAGGCACCAAAACATCACCCTGCCAAGCTACGTAAGTCGGTCGATGTACAGCGAAAGTCACCCGAACAGAGAAAGTCGAGGAGTAAGAATCCAGCGGGACCACCTCCGGTACAGAACAAGACGGGATTTCGTAGGCTTTTTGGAAATAAGAGATCCAGATCCAAAGAAGCCCGAGTGCAGGAGCCTGCTGCGGTAGAATCTTCTGCTCCACAGGATGCTGATGACCCTGCTGTTGCTGCCGCAAGACGCGCACTGGAGGGGAAGCCTGCTTTGCCTGGAGATGGTCCCACGTCGCCGCCCTTGAGTCCGGGTCATTTCCATCGTCTTGCGACTATTAATCCTCAAGCCGCAGCACCAGCGGCTCCTAGTGGGAATGAAGCGTCTCAAGTGGAGATGAGCGCTCCTCAAGCGTTCCCCCCACCTACAGAGCTCCCTGCTGACCCCGACACTGATTCTGAGGAAGTCCCGGCACCCCCTATGATACGGCGAGATGAAGAATACGATCAATTATCGCGTGTGGACACAAACGAGCGAGAGCATGCCGACCGAGCATTCTCCACGTTTGATCAAGGCCCACTGCTGGACCAACCTGCTTTTGCGCCGGCAGACACACCGCCGCGGAGTGCATTTTTGACCCCTGGCGAAGAGATGGAATACGAGCCGGCAAGCCTACATTCGGGCCGGTCATTTCAGGGAGTGGAAAGCATGACTTCGGTGGATGAAGAAGACGAGGACGAAGTAGCGTTGACACACCAAGTGAGCCCAACCGATCGATGGGCACAAATTCGAAGGAATGCTGCCGAGAGGGCAGCAAGGCAATCCGAGGAGCAGACGTCTCGAAGCCGCACCGAAACTCGAACTGACGATGGTGAAACAAGTGGTGAAGAGAGTAAGTTTGACAACGTAAGCAGTGTAATGATAGGAAGAAAGCTGACCATGTCAACAGCCATTGAATCACGAGTGGCCCGGATCAAGGCACGGGTGGCCGAGCTAACCGGCAACATGGATGGCGCCCGACGATAGAGCTGGGTTCACAGTTCCTTCCGCCCAAACAGTTCCACGATTGCAAGACGTTGACTGCACACGTGGTTACCAACAATCATTTCAAACACAAGTCGTTTGGGACTTTCGACCTGCGACTTTGCTGGATTTCCATTCACAACACGACGTATGGGGAGCAAAGCAAGGCGTTATCTCTTGGGGATCTGGAGTTTTCGAGTCGTATCTGTGTGCGAGATACCCTCTGAGCACCTGAGCGTTTGCTGGACAAAGTCTTTTTCCATTCCTTTTATGTCACCGTCTTCCTTGATCGAATGAGCGTTCTAGCAGCATAACACTACCAGTTTTTCCTTCGTTCGTTCGAGCTTCTGGGCGGCAATCAAAACACAGCCGCCGCACATCACTTTAATTCCGGGTTGAGGCAATTTGTGTTGGGTTTTGTCTTTTTTCCAACATTCGCTTGAAATTGATCCGAGAATGCAGAAAGCAAGGGGTCCAAGGGTCTGTGTATCCTGGTCAAATGGTCACCACATCGACCCTGGCCATGGTAGTATCGAATTGAAATATATAGAAACGGCAATGCAAGCGCGAGGCTTCGGTCTGTCAGGCTCAGGTCAGGGGAATACCTACGCAGAGAACGGTACGGACAACAAGGCGAAGCAGAGGATGGTAAGGGGACTAGTATGGCAAGGCTCAGAAAACGAGGAGGCCTACCTTAATGCGTCAAATGGTGTGGTCCGTACATAAGGTAATAATGCAGATGATCTATCTAGCCTCCACTCTTGCAGCGCATATGGGCTATGAATGCTTCTGCAGTGTACAGTGTGTGTTCTGTTGTAGAAGTATTTGACGATGGGCCAGAGTGAGTAGGAAGATACCGACACGTCTGGTTAGGCCCGGTCTATAGATAGTAACTTGGGGGCCGAGGCGGCTGGCCTACGTTAGGCTCACTGGCATCACGTCAACTCCTGCAGTGTGGTTCGCCAATAGTAGTGAAGCAACAGTGGATTATAGTGCATGTCAGAGATCTGATGAGAGATGCTTTGCTAGATGCCGAAATCCGCTGACACGTTGGCCGCATATGTGAATGTCGTACCGAGTTAAGCTTGATGTCCAATGCACCCATAGCGCTTCAGAAATGGGGTTCGGTTCAAATTGACTGCAATTACTTTATATACTGTACTATTCTGAATCGGTTGCGAGGCCATTTGTAGAACAAAAAGCGCGTGGTGGCCGAGGTGTATGGCTGGGAAGTACAGACGCTCAGATAGGTACCTAAGGTAGGCACCTACATTACGCGCTGTCTTGTTTTATCATGGGCTTGAAGTACCAGGTATGCACCTCGACGGTCGGTAACGTGTACGCGCTGTAACCAGGATGGTTATGGAGGTTTTCTGACGAAGTACCTGAACAATAAAGTGTCAAGCTGTCGAAAAGTACCTGGAACTGAAGTGGTATGTTTACGGCCTGTCTTTAAGGGACAAAAGCGCATCTGGCTCAAGTGCCCTTGAGGCGCCTATAGGCGTGCTGGGGAAGTATTCCGGCCAGTGTAGTGGTCATAATAAGTCCTAGGGATCCCTGGAGTTCCCCGCGGGCCTTATAGTGACGACGGTCGGTCGGTCGTCTACCTAGGTACTGCAGCCTGGCAGTAGGAGTAGTGAGTAGCACTGCCAGCTTCAATGCCAATGGCCAGCGGTGCCCGCCACTGAATTTTCCGGTTTTCCACACTGGCAGCCTCCTTAGCCCACTTTCACAGTACTTGGTAGGGGCGCGGAGGCTAGTACTAGGACGTCAGGCTGCTAGCTGCAGTGCTGCTGTGGCTGTTGCTGCTGCCCTTGCCGCTGCCGCACGCCTCAATCATCACCGCCAGAGCAGTCCCTTCTCTCCCTCTCTTCCTTCTTTTCTATCTTTAGCATCTTCTATACCCACACCACACCCTTCAATCGCATCGCACTCGCATGCAAACATACCCGCCCGATCCAATCCAGTCTAATCCCAATCCCAATCCGTATAGAGCAGAGCCTCAAGCGACTGCTCTGCCATTCATCTACGTCTCTAGCCGGCTACAAGCTTGTCGTGTGGTTGGATTGCCGCGGCGTCTTTGTGTATATCCTCCCCGCCCCGTCGCCGTTCCCGTCCCGCGACAAAGCCAATTCTCGTCTCATCGTCCGACCTGGGCCTACTGTCCTGGATCTGCGACAAAGTAACTCGACCACCTTCATTGTCCGCGAGTCAACCTTTGTCTCATCTTCCGGGTCTCATTCTTGGCCAGCCACCGGTATCCTTGACACGAAACTGTTTTGGCAGCGTGTCGTTAGCCGAAGGAAGTCATTGGGAATATACTCAGATGCAAATACCTTGAACAATCATGGGCCGCAGAAAAATCGAAATCAGAGCTATAAAGGATGATCGCAATCGTTCGGTGTATGTTATCCTGGGGCCGCACGGTTGTGCTGCGACTTGTTGAATGCTGACTGTGGACCTAGGACATTCCTCAAGCGAAAAGGCGGCCTCTTCAAGAAGGCTTACGAGCTGTCGGTCCTATGTTCTGTCGACGTCGCAGTGATCATTTTCGGCCACAACAAGAAGCTCTACGAGTTCTCTTCGGGAGATATCAATGAAACAATACGGCGATACCAATATGTGAGTTCTGCTGTTAGCCTATCTGCGGCGAATCTGCTGCTAACGTTAGTCCCAGTATGGACAACCTCACGAACACAAGGGGCCGGCCGACTTCAAGAACAAAGGTGGTGATGATGACGACGATGAGGACGAGGAGGAAGAACACCTTACCCAGGGCCGGGAAGAATCTCTCCCTCCTCAACAACACGCGGTGCCTCATATGCAGCCCCATAACTCGTTTGCGCATATTCAACCACCCATGGCTACCGCCTCACCTCCAATGCCTAATGGCATGTTTCAACCTCGACACGCCACTCCTCAGCCTCCGCATATGATATCTAGACCGGCATCTCAGAATATGATCCGTCGCAGTAGTTCCAATCTTATTCCCGTGCAACATCCTCACCCAACTCCCCCTCCGCCTCAAAACGGGTTTGCTTATGTACCAAATCCGTCCGTCTACAATCCCCAAGCGGCTCCTTCAGTGGCTCCTCAACCGTCGCCACAGCCTCCCTTTCAACAATATCCTCCTCAACCGCACCACCACCAACATGCGCAACATCAGCAACAACACCACCAACAGCAGCAGCAGCACCCTCATCCCACACCTCCTCCGCCGCCGCCGCAATCACATCAGCAAATGCAGCAAGCCCATCAACAGTACTTGCAGGAACAAAGACGGTCATCTCAACCTCCGCCAGTCGCACAACCCGGTCTTCAACCTCCACCCCAGCCGCAACCACGAGCTTCACCCCAACCTGATGCACAAAGTTTGCGGCCCCCAGAACAATCTAGTCCACCCCAACCTAAACACGGTCAGTCGAAATCCAGAAGCATCTTCACCCCAATAGATGAGGGGGGATCGGTGCTGGCACAGCATTTCTTTGGCGCACCAGATCCTCCAAGGACTTTCCCAAAGAAAGAAGTCGAGTCGCCGCCCGATATCAAGCCGCCACCGCGCAGTGTTACTGTGCCTTCTGTCCCCCGGCCAACCTCTCAACCCAGCAGACCCCAAACCGCTGTTCCCGAATTTGCTCCTCCACCGCGGACAGATACATCAGGGTCCAGGTCGGGAGGACGACCCAAACTAAACCTACAGATTCCCTCTGAGGCGGAGGACAACGAGTCAGCGGCAGGAGGGTCTCCTTCGCAATCGGCTGGACCATCAGCAAATCCAGCCAGGGCCAATGCCGACCATATCGTCCTACCACCGCCTTCACCTAGTGCGTCCGCGGTCATGTCGGCTGGTACAAGTGGACCTCCCAATCCCTTTGCTCGTCCTCCTCCTCCGACCTCGAACCAAAACCGCGATGCGTATAACGACAATCGCAACAACATTGAAACCCCGATATCCGCGTTGCCCAGTCGGTACATGAATAACGATCTGTTGCCCAGTCCGAGCAATTTCTTCAGCGAGTGGTACGAGTCCGGTAGAAACGGCGGTCTTAATTCGGCCGTTTTACCCAGCCCGCTTGTGTTTCCGACTCCACAGGATTCTAAGGGAATCGGGTTCGGTGGGCGTGATGGAGGGGGAAATGAAGCAAATGGCGAGAAACGAAAGGGAAGCGTGGATCTGTCAGAGAAAGAGGGAGACGCGAAGAAGGTCAAAACGTGATAGATTCCAATTCCACAATGTGATGAAAAAGTAACGGCCGTGAAAGCAGGACAACCCCTTATTTGACCTGAGATGAGAGTTTGTGTCGAGGCTGTTCCAGGAACTTGTGTTTTTGATTTTTGATTTGAAAAAGATATTTGCTGCATAGCGTGGGAGGCATGGGTTGGGTTTTTGGAGGTCGGATTGGTTTTGCAACGGATTTGACGAGGCTAATTTATATTTGGCCTTAATTTGACTCGTACATTTGGATTCATTCGTTCTCGGGATGGGATGCGATGGGCAGGGCACCGAAGTGAAGTAACCTGCCCAACACTGCCAGGTTGAGAGTAGGTGCGGCACCTCTCTCTCTCTCTCTCTCTCTCTCTGGATACGTTACGACTTTTCAAAAAGGTCATTTTGAAATCTGATTCTTCTTACTGCTGTCACACACTTTTCCAACCCCTATATACGTCTCAGACGCCTAGGCGACACTTGCGATGTCTGGTAATCTGTCTCTAGTAATCGCTCTCTGGGGGTCGGGACTAAGTTACGGTATATTGAATTGTTTCCATGCTCCTCATTAGCGTTGACTCCATCATACAGTGATTCCAATATTGCCCAGATAGTTCAGGAGGGAGAAGGCGAAGAAAGAAGCAAAGGAAAATTGTAACAATTACGAACAATTGAATAGAAGTTGCACATTAATGGCCTGCATAAAAGCTCGGGAAAGAAAAGCCCCCCGAACAGACAGACAGATAGATTCGAATCGCACCTATTTTGATCACTGTGCGTTGTTGTCATTGTCATCATCATGTTGCGAATCGAGACGACGCATGACTCGCACACCATGACGGATCGCCCGGGCGAGTTCGGTGCCTTGTTCCCAGATATCATTGTGTTGACCTTTGATCTCGAGAGTCTCAACGGATATCTTGTTGTCGTTGCCATCGTCGGTGACGGTATTGCCCCTAGGGGTAAATACCCTCTCCATAGCTTCGACTTGCGACCAGTCGACGAGGCCGTCGTCGTGCGAGTGGGCGAGAATCAGGGCTCGGCTTTGGGCTTGAGTTCGTCTTCCTTGTCGTCGATCTGTTTGCGGTCCATTTCCACTTCCTGCCTCGGATGGTAGTTTTGTTCCAGTTCCAGCGCCGCCGCCGGCCCAGAGTTCAGCATATTCATCAGCACTGTACCACGCAGGACTGGCAAGGGCAAAATCCTCGGAATTGGGAATCGCGTTCCTCGTCAATTCGATATACGAAGGGAATGTCTTGTGGAGGTATTCGAAATCGTAGATGCCCGAGACGCCGAGGACGGCTAGCGGAGGGTCGATGTCAGCAAAGCTGGACGAGGTAGACGCGGGGTGCTCGTCGCCACTGGAGTTGCTGCTTCTGTCGCTATCGCTGGTGCCATTGCTGCCCTTGTCGTCATTCTTCGATTCTGTGTTTCCCTTTTTCGCCTTTCCGAATCGGATTTTTCGTCGGCCTTTACTGCTCTTTCCACCCTGTGCAGGCGTGGCAGAAGCAGCTTTTGTCCCGCTGGTGAATGTCTTCCCTCTAGAAAGCGTACTCAACACAGCCATAGTGGCACCCACGCTGTGTCCGACAAGCAAGTAATTCTCCCCAAATCCATATTTCTGCTGTAAATGAGCGATTGCCTGGACCACGTCATGGATGTGGTCCGGCCAACGGGCGTCGCGGAGCTCATATTTTGGGGTTTTGGTTGGGTCCTGCGGTGCTTTTTGATGGTGCGGTGAGAGGCGGTAATTGATGGATGCGTAACCTGCAATGTAAGGCCTTATGTCTTCGTCGTCATGGCCGTCCTCGATATCACTATCGTGGCTGTCATGCAGCTCTCCGTATCTGTGTCTCGGATCCGAAAAAGGATTGGTAACGTGTTCTTGTCCGTCTTCGTCCTCATGGTGGCGCTGATGCTCGAATGGATTATGTATATGAGGAAGATGAAGATGATGGTGGTCAGAAGAATACACCAATTGCGACAGGGCAGGATAGAACGATGCCGAGGTTACGCTCGGGTCGCGGAAATATCCTCCATGGATGTACACAACCCAGTACTTTTGCTTGGGGGCGTTTGAATGTCTTCGGCCGTGGTGGCTCGTGTCGGCTTCCGGAATGTAAATCTCGTACGATTGCAGTATGTTGTCCATAGCATATTGATGACGGGTGATGTTGCGATGTAAAGGGTCCGGAATATCTGGAGATGGTGTCTCTCGTTGACCGTTTGAGTTCCGCGGTTGCGGTGGAGACGGCGGCCCTCCTGCAGACGTGTGGGCAGGAAAACTGTGAGCGGCGGTGCTGGGATGTCCCGCTCGCGTTTGATGGTGTGCGGTATGTTGCGCTTTGAACTGTGACGGTGTGTGGTGGTGCTCCCGTTGCTGAGGCTCTTTCGTCGCGGGCGACAAATAAGCGGCGCCCGAGTGCCTTTGCTCGCTGGCTTGGACGGCTTTAAGTAGAATTGAACAGATTAGATTGTGGTCAATGGAGTAAGATGTAATGTTTTGAGAAATGGATGAATAGGGGGATATTTTATACACGAGTGAACAGAGGAGAGACTTGTGCCAGGCTGACCCAAGAACACATGTTAATATGGTACCCAGCGCCTGTACCTGTCCCAGTCCGTGGAATATTGACGCTGGTACCGAGCGAAGATCATGATAAAGCAACATTAACGCCCAGCTCATAATAGATGACTTACCCTGGTCCTGGAGATACCTGATGAATTTCCTCATCTTGAGTTCCTTTCTTTCCTTCTAGCACTGTAAAGCAGGGCTTGAAATGTACTGGCCGGCGACACCTATGCTGTGGTCTGTGATGGTGAAGGCCCAGTAGGCCTCGACGCTCCGGACGCGGGTTCTGTAGCTTTCGTCCTGCGCTGCGAAACACGGTTGATTCGTCTCCGTCCGCTTTGAGGCTGATATTGCTTTGTGCTTCCCAGCCTTAGCCTGCCTACCCTCTTCTCTCTTGAAGAGCCCCCAGTGATTCGATGTCACCAAGTTGCCAGGCGTATTAACTCTGTTGTGTTGGCTGCGATTGAAGCCTTGTGTCACTGGTGTAGAGTCTGAGCAGTAATCCGCAGAGGAGAGTGTTGATTCCAGAGACTTATATAATACTCGGTCCCAAAGTTTCCTCAATGACTCCGGATCAGCGGCTTTTGGATGCCAACGATGGTGGCCAACTGTTCGCCCAACTCGGAAGTGATTGGATCACCTGCTTGATCGACTGTTTGACTGAATGGTTCGCATAAGAAACGACAGCAACAGCGATCGCGAACGCAAGCTACAGATAGGTATGAAGCGGAAAGAGTGGCAATGGCGGGAGATGGACCATGCGTGGATATGGTCGGAGTGTATCATGACAGGGCTCTCAGGCTGATATGAAGGTCATATGTCAGCTTCCACCCCCTGCAGGATATACCTGTTTTCGGCTTTCTTGAGAAAAGTGATTAGTAAAGGGGAATGGACCATCAGCCACGGCGTGGGTCAAGCATGATTTATCAAGTCTGGTGTCTGAGCGGAACTCAGTCATCTTCAAGGTGATCCCTCTCTGCTCCTAGGAGATGCTTTGGATCACCGGTCGAAGTTGAAGCAAACCCCCGTGCCGGAGTCGTGTTGCCGAGTAAATGCCGCAGCTGATACGAGGACAATCTGTGCAATGGGAGGCGGCTCCCCAACAGGGTGTAATCCATGACACATTTGTTGTTGAAATGATAGGACGACGACTGCTTGCCTGTGCGAGCTGCAAAAAGTCTCCGGTCGAGTGCCATGGGCTGAAGAAATCATCAGCTGTCGATCGCTTTTCTTTCCATCCTTTGTTCGCCCTTCCACCGGCCTCGACTCAATACAGAAGGCGTGGCCGAGAAAATCCCTTGAAAGGCTCCGGGGTCATCTCCACAGAATATCGTGCTGCATGACCAACCCCGTTTCTATCGTACTCCATTGCTCTGCTATTCGCTGGAAGCTCCTGGTCATGCTCCTGCAGCATGCTCGATGTTTGATGCGAACCGTCCCAGAGACGGCGATCTGGCTGAGTTGTCGTCCAGACTTGGGGCTGATCCCATACTTTCTCCGGATCTACTGCTATTTGCTCGAGGCTCGTGTCGTCCATGTTCCACACTTCCGGAGATCCGGCGTCATCAACGGCCATCTGCAGCAACTGCGCATCGAATGCATCCAGTTCGTCAGGCGCAGTGGGTGAGTCAGCAATAACGTTAGAGGCCACGTTGAACTTGTCAATTAACGTCGGTACGCTGTGCCATGGCAGAGAAGATTGGTGGTGGAACGGTGTATCAAGAATGGGATCCCGTCCATCATCGTTGCACGAACCCTTATCACTGATCATTTCTTGACCATTTTCTTGCCCGACTTGCCGTATACATGTGGGCCCTCTAGTAATGTCTCCGAGATACTGCTTAGCGTCTTCTGCCGGGGACGGGCAAAAGTCAGCCAAAGTATGCACACGAGATGTTCGCAGGTGTGTCTCTGTCGGCTTCTTGTCTTGCTTTTGTGGCCGACCATTGTCATGTCCCACGGGGTCTTCCCCTGATCGATCTTCAATATTGATCGGGGATTGGAGTTGGGCCCTCCTTCCCGCATCATCACTGGCCTTGACTTCGGTATCCTGGCGGCTCGATACTGGGTACAAGTTTCGCATGCCTGGCTCATGTGCTACCCCTTCGCTTGACGCAGGGTCTTGCTTTTTGTATGGAAGATTTGAGTCTTGGTACGATTGTCTTCCTGACGCCATTTTCTTCAATTCATCCAAAGAGTACCGCTTCTTCTCTTTGTGTGAAAAAGCCTCGACACCTCCTAGCAGCGCTTCTGTGGTCAGATCTTGCAAGAATTGCTCCTTGGCTATGCTGGAACTGGGAAGTTGGGGAGAATCATTCTGTCCATGCTCCTTTCTCATGGGGGTGAAGATATTAGGCTCTGCTGGGCGGCCCAACAACCACTCTTGCTGGCCCCTTGATCGAGCCAGGTGTCGCGGAGGAGACATGGACCAAGAGATGTAGGTGCCGTTGGTCGTCCTGCTTGAGGTGAGAGTATCTTCGTAGGAAGGTTGTCGGTAATGCTGGACCTTGGATAGCCTACTGTCGGGTCGCCAGTGCTGGTTATGGGACTCTCGCGAATGTTGTCCAGGAAAACGAGCTTCTGCGGCGGAAGACACACTGCTTGTATGCTGATGGTGTCTCCAGGCCTGGGATTGGTCTCCAGCCTCGTACAAGATCGGCTGAGAGAAGAACTCAGCTCTCCCGTCATTTGGGGCACGGTGAGTCCACTTCCTGGTATTTTCTATGTGTTTTGGAGTTTGTGCAGTCCCACGAACTCGCTTTTCAAGAAAGGACATGTTTGAAAACGTCAGATCGGGAACTCCTTCGCGAGGGAAAGAAGTCGAACTCCTTCCCTTGGCAAACAGTCCAGGTCCGGTATGAGGCCTCAAGGTCAGTCTCTTGGTGTCAACATTGGGCGCTTGAAACTTTTCCTTTACTGGTATGCTGCCCTTCCCTGCTCCTCGTCGCTCGGGTCGCTTCTGTTCTTTTGTATCTGCTTTAAACTCGTACCTCTCCGGCTTCGTCTTGTGGCGTGGTCTTCGAGCATATTTTCCGCTTGTATCGTTGACATTGCTTTCTGGGTTTACCTCACTTCCCTCCAGGTGGGTGCTCATGCAGTGTCGGCTCTGTACATTCTCGTCCCGGCGTCGCTGATCATGCTTTCTCTTTCGAGTATTGTGACCATTGTCGTCTTCCCCGGGGGTGTGTTCACGTTGCCTCTTATTTCTCCGCCTCGAACGTTCGTCATCTTTCCCGTCGAGACATTGGCCAGAGCGAGAAGAAACAACTGGATCTGCAGCTGCGTGTTCTGTTTTCAGAATGGTTAGAGCTGAAGATCTCTCCAGGGCGCGCATACTTGCTTCTTGACGGCCTGACGGCCTCATCCTGGTAGTCATTATTCCTAGCCATTTCCTCAGTGCTGACTCGTGCGCTCAAAAGCGACGGACCTACCATTGGGAAGATCTTTTTCTCGGACCTCGAGAGGTGTTCGAACGATCTCTGCCTACGGCATCTTTATCGTTATCGGATGGCTGTTCTCGAAGAGTGGACAGCCATCTGGTCACACGCTCGTCGTCTCCAAACCCGGTTCCATCGTCCATTAGGTGCTTCCACTGGGACAGACGCATTCACGTCGGTTTGGAGAGACGGAGGGGCACTAACAGAGATACATGCAGTGTCGGGAGATGCCACTACCAAAGGGTCGAGTATGCGCAGTATTATAATAAACACAACTACCTTCACGGGCAGGCACGACAGGCTTTCAGCACAAATTTTTCGCGTTGGCTACGAGTGTGTGCAGTGTGTGCACGGCGCCGGTCAGCTTGCCATGTGCCTGATCATTTTCATGTTCAGATTGTATTCTTGTCCCCAGCTGGCTCTAAAGACCTGATCTTAGGGCGGAAGATCGCACGTTGCAGTAATGCGGATTGGATTGGCAATTTACAGGGATGAATGCAAGACATTCGGCAAGATCACCCCGCATGCTAGAACACCCGATCAAGCATTGCGTGTGAAAGCCCACCGCGCCCTTCTCCTGTAACTGCTGATTGAGTCCAGTCATTGAGCGTCATGAAAGTGACCGGCAATCCATGTCTAGCTGGAGTGAGGCTTACCATGGAACACACCTCCGAGATACACGCTTTGCGTGTCAAAGCGTGGGTTACTGTCCTTGCACGGAGAGACAGTCTCTCACGGTGGTTAGAAGGCCACGTGGAGCATTGAGAGGTCAAACAAGAGCTCCGCAGCAAGCGTTGACCAAGCGGCCGAGACGAGGGGAACAGTTCTGGCTTCATAGCAAGGTGGCTAAAGTTCACTTTGTCCAACTCCTAAGTAACAACGGAGTCAGATGACCGCGGCAGAGCACGTTGTAGGTAGTAGTGGGAGCGGCTTTTCGGAGGTGATGGACGACGGCGAGGAGATTAGCTGAGGAGGCACAAAGAAGTGGCTGCGACGGTGCATAATAGCGACAGAGGCAGTGGATCGACGAGTCGATCAGGGAGGTAACAAGGTCGGTGGTGATGCTAGGCGAAAGGCCACGCACAGGTCTGGAAGGAGTATTGATAGGCTGCGGATCGATCTCGAGCCAGACGAAATGGATGAGGAACCCGCCCCTGGACCGTTCGTCGTAGCGGAGAGGGCACCTACAGTAACATGAGATATGGGGAGGAGGAGGAGCAGTAATAAAGATGTGACCGTGTAAAGCCTGAGTAGTAGGACTACTACCTAAGGTACTAGTGGTACTCAGCTATGTATACTACTAGTAGTACATAGGTGTGGACACTTGTCCAGCCGAAATGGCAGTGCGGTGGGAGTCAAGTTGAAGTTGTAGAACGTGGACTGCGCTGCGTCTTTCGCCATCCGCAGGCAAGAAATACAACGTCGTAGTAGTAGCAGTTCGACTCGAACAGTTCCCCCGACAGCCACCAACTGCACACGCGTGGTTACAGTACAATGTACAGACCTGTGCTCTTCCACACCGTGACTTGCAGTACATCACAGTTTAGTGCCGGCTTCTGCTCTGTATCTGGACGCTTTGAATGCGCAGCTGCTGCAACCGGGGCACTAAGCAGACGTCTAACTCTATCCATTTGCAGTTCGCAGCCAACCATCTTTCAACCTTCACCACCACCAGCATTTCTTCCCACCACCATCACCGCCATTACACCATCACGAACCCTCCTCTCCATCCTGCTCCTGTACCGTCGACGACCTTTTCTGCTCGGCCGCTCCTCGATCTCCAATCCTATCGGTTCCCTCGACATCAGCATATCCTCCTCCTTCACGTCAAACTTGGCGTGGATACTTTCCCTTTTTCATTTGGTCAAGGAATCCGACTTTCCAGAGTTTATTGTCCGAACTGCTCTCAATATCCATCTCGTCAAGATGCTCATCTGACTCATGTTCCGAATATGGGTCAACCCTCCCAAGCGGGGCGTGCCTCTGCCCGTAGCTGTGCCAGTAAAAGTGCCTGAGATCACCCTAGTCTCCAGTACCCTTATGCTAGAGCCTCAATCGATGAAGGATACCTCTCACGGTCGATTTTATTTGCTGTGTTCGATTGAGGAGCAAGCCCGGTGAACTCTGTCCTGAGCGTTCAACTATGCGGCTCATGGAGAACATCTCCCGGTTGGCAGATTCTGTCAGCCGGCACCCGGATGTCCTTCTGGACCCTTTTTCCTGCTGACCTTTGCTCTCAGCCGACGTTGCTTCGCGAGTCAGGCTGTAGTAGTAGTGATGTCTCATCGAACACTACTGCGTGTACTCCGTAACAGCAGGCATGGCTGTATGTGTCAGTTCTCGCCGACGCTCTGTGTCAACCTGTTGTTCGCGCGCTTCTGGAGATGTTCCCCGAATACTGGATGTGACAGCTGCTTGTGCCCAATCCTGAACCTGACGTGCCCGGGACCGGATTGCGGAGCACAAGCAGGTGCTGTATCCGGACCGAATTGTCGCGCCCACCGGTTCTTATCTGGGACTGCGTTGCGGCTCGGCCCACACATTTCTTCACGGATACCCTGACTGGCATTGCCTCCAGCTTGCCCGCATTCACGACTCGGACACGTTGACACCATCCGGTCTCATCGACCAAACCCCCACTGACATCACAAGACCACGAGCGCTCACGCTTGCAGGGACAGTAGTCGCAATAGGCCTTGTTTCTTGAGCCTCCGGTAGGATAGACCGAAGGAAATATCGTCTTGCGGCTGCCTGACTGGACATTTCCAACGCAGTTAATGCCATCCAAATCGTTACAGATGACTCGTTCGCTTGTCCCATAGTATCCTGACTCGACCTTTGGCATTGCGCAAAGTTGCACAAGATTTGATCTGCGCTTGTATGCTTTGGGCCGCACCTGTTGCCTTGATACTGGTCCTGCACGTGGAAGCGGTGATTCTCCTAGGAACTTGATCTTGAGTTCCTGCCTGACTTGCTGCACCCATCTGCTTCTCTTTTCATGCCATTGTCACAACAGACACCTGAGCGCAAAAGTAAGCCGGCGTCAATGCCTCTTCGCTGATCGGCTTGTCATCTTTGTGACCTAAAAGATAGATTGGATGATCTCTCTGTTGCGCTCGGCCAATAGAATTTGTATCGCCATCGCCGCCGGACTATTGCTTTTCAAGGGCTCCCTCAACACTGAGCGGTGAATCTGGAGATCAGAACTGCTCTCGTGGTCTAATTCTGGGGAAGGAAAACGCTTTGGCAAAGACATCTCTGCTCTGACACTCCGGAACACACCATGGCAAAGCTCTTTATCGGGTAGGCGACCTCCCTTACGATTGCAAATGCAGGATATTCACCTAGACTCAACAGAGGCCTCGCCTGGCATACCACAGATGAGACGCTATACGAAGGTTTCAGCCAATTTGGCAATATCGAGGAAGCGGTAGAGCTCCCTGTACCCATTAAGTGGAAACATTGCTCATCATATGCAGGTCGTGGTCAAAGATCGTGATACCAACCGCAGCCGCGGCTTCGGGTTCGTGCGCTTTGCCACCAAGGCCGAGGCGGACGAGGCCATGCAACGGATGAACAACACGCAGTGAGAAGATTGCCACAATGACTGCGCTGACTACGTATTGACGGCTGTTCTCATAGGTTCGACGGTCGCTTGATTCGAGTTGATCATGCACAAGACAGCAGACCCGGCGGTGGCGGCAGAGGAGGTAGTTTCGCTGGAAGAGGTGGATATCCCGTGTCAATGGGGACGCAAGGCGCGTACGCACAGCCTGGATCTCAACCACGGGATCTGAACACCGGGGGATACGGCCGCGGCGGCCCATATGCGTCTTCCTGGGGTCAATACAATCCACAATATCAACAACAGGGAGGAGCGTCCGGAGGACAACAAGGGGCACCGCAAGGGGGCCAGTATGGCCAAAACCAGCCTCCAGGAGGCAACGACCCCTACGGGTCACAAGGACCATATCGCCGATAGGTCGAGGATGATGTGTAAGACACGCTGATTGTGCAATGATACCCATCAAGTTTGTCCATCGCCAGGGAAAATCGGTAATCGGCAGGTGGTAATGTGCAAGCCCAGTCAGGGAACAATTGAGAGGCGAGCTCGAAAATTTGTCAGACCAGATTGATGCCATCGACAATCATTGTTCTTTTTCAACCTCTTCCTGCTCTTCGGTGCTGTTCACAATTTTCAAAGCGTGCTCAGGGGTAGGCATGGACGAAGCTCGAACCGGCGGAGGCAGTGCGCGAACACGGCGAGCCAGATCAGTAACATGTTCGTCGCCACTGTCCGAACTCAGCTCATTCAAGGCCTGTTCAAGATGCAGAAGGTAATCCCTGTTCTCCCCACTCGGACCAATACTCGCATTGATGGTCTCGGCGATCTCCTGAGGTGGAAGCGCCCCAAGAAATTGTGGGTTGTCCGGCATTCCGATGTACACAAGACATTGTAGGTCGGGAAGTGAAGGATCCGCCGGGTGGAAAGGGGTGTATTGAATACTGTATCCGTTTCTGATCAAAGTCAGTACTCCCATCAAGAGGCTCGAGGTGGCACTCCCACATTTCGCGGAGATCGAGGTACTCTTTCACCTCTTTGACTTTGGATGGCACAATATGGTAAGCAACACCCCAGACGCGGTCTCCCTCAGTATCACGTTGCTATTCACGGTCAGCAAGAGCGCCTAAGCAGTGGCATCATCGAGGACTTGAAGCCCGGGGGTGTCGTACAGGATCATCGAGCGTTTCCCAGAAAGACCTTTGAATCAACGTGACAACTCTTCCGGGAGCTTCAGGAGTTCCACGATGGTCCTCGCTAATTATGTTCAACAATAACTCCGCGTGCCATTACAATCAATGACATACCTTGCCTGAGAAATCGAGTGTCAGTGCCGACTTGATATCTCACAATCGTCATAGATATCCTACCTGCCAGAACCGACGAACATAGCCTCGAATGTAGCCCGGAATGCGTTGATCTTTTTTGACAGGACATCAGCTGACTGACTATCAACCTAGCAACCAAATCTCTGTGCCGTACCGTAATGTGGCGGAGGCTTCCATATCAAACTCCTGCATCCAAGTTTGTCAATCCTCGAACGAGCGCCGGAGTTTGACTTGTTCGCAGAGAGAAACCCACCCATAGCCAAATAACCAAAAGTCTTCATTTTCAACGGAACCCATAATTTTCGGTCAGAGATGAAACTCTGACAACCTTAGTACACGTTAGATCTGATGCAAGGGGACCAGGTGCTGGATCTACGATAGAATTGAGAAACGAGGAGGTTGGGAGGAAACAATTAGATTGCGATCTTTCGCAAAATGGATGATGTATGAGCTGTACTACAACTACCTACAGACGTGGCCAAATTATCTGAAAGCGTAGCCACTAGTTCAAGCTGTTTAGGTGGTACCTGGGTACTCGAAGGTGCCGCGACCAACCACAGGCACCTGACAGGTACCTAAGTTTGAGATAGAGCCGGCCGGCTGCTCGGAATCTGCAATGGAGACTTCCGGGCCTTGACGAGCCTCCCAGGCCCAGGAACGGCGGGACGCTTTGATCGAGATTGGCAGAGCTCTGAACTTGAAATGCTTAGGACTTCCATGGGTTCAATGACCAGTGTGTACATCTAGAGTCATGATCATCATCATCGTATAGAGCTTGGAAGTCATTTTACAGCAACCTGGAACCAAACCAATGCCCAATAGTCACTATCTCGCGATCTTAGGTACATGTACTATTTCAACTGTGCCTTGTCCAACAGAACGCCGCAGCATTGTGTCACAAGGTAGGTAGAGAACCGGGCGATGGATACCGATTCAGTCGTATGCATTGCCAGCAGAAATCGATGATTATGATGAGGGTACTCTACCTAGGTAGGTATTATCCATCTCGATCCCAGTATGAAGGACGGAAATAGAGCATGGATCTCTGCAAGATAGCAAGCAGCTACCGGTCGATGTAGGCTATGTTGATAAGCACGGCTTCGTCACGCAGTGGCTGTCAGATGAATCCAGCTGGGTCAGGTTGTTTGTCAGCCTGATGACAGTGAGTCAGTTGAACTCATGACCGTGGCTTGTTACTCAACGCTGTAAGTGATCATCAACAGTGATGGAGGCCGCGGGCAGCGCAGCCTCACTGGCAACGTACATGTACAGCCCATCGCATTGTTTTAATCGATAGCACCTACCTAAATTATTAGCGCTGTACCTGCAGGTGGTACTTTGGTACTGTAGCAGTAGTAGCGCAAGTTCCAACCGGCCGGCCTGCCCTGCTAAACCCTTCCGGGCGTGTTTGACGCCATTATTGTTGTGATCTGTTCGCCTGTGCAAATCACACTGTCACTGGCACCCGCGGGCTTGTGTCGGACTGCGCCCGCCCTGCGCCTGCGCCGGAACTTGAACTGCCACTATACACGGTGCACAGTGCGACGCCCTCGAATAGTTCCTATGAAGACCGATTGAAGAGATATCATATACCATCCTCTGAGTTGTCCAAGCTAAGAAATGGCCTGAACCTCGTTCGCCGGAAGAATTCCTGCCTCATCTATAGGCACCTACCATCAGCACTGTCCAGTTGTCAATTGACGCGACCACGGCTACGGCCACCACCAAATGGCCTACAACAAAGCATTCAATCCTGATGCATTGCCTGCGTAAGCCTGACCTTGCGCACACGATTCCCGCGCAAAAGACTGTCTGCTAACGTACCATGTCCGAACCCACAGTCATGCAGAGCCAGAGCAGGCTGCTCAAGCCCTCAGTCAACTGCAAGGAAATCGCAGACCCTCTCCCAACAGCCGGTATCCAAATCCACAGCCGCTGAGTCCGCATGACCCTCGATCTTCAACACCAGGCGCGCGACGAACCTCACCAGCAGGCATACCAGCCCAAAATCCAGGTCGGCCCTCGCCCGTTCAAACACACCTTCCGCATCGACCCCCGAGCAATCAACCATATGGCGATAACCAGCCTGGTCGCCTCCATTCTCCTTCATCGCAAATGAACCACGGTTACCCACCTGGACCTCGCCCTCAAACAGACCCTTCGAACTTCCGCAGACCATCCAATGAAGCACATCAATATCCGGCGCGTACACCGGCGCCGCCTGATCCAGACTCTGTCGATCTCCTCCCTCTCTTTCGAGCGGCGAACGTGTCTGGCACAGGATCGCTTACCACGGCAGAATTAGGGTCTGCCTTGGTCAATGCCGATTTCACACCATTTCACAGCTTGACCATATCGTCTCTGATGCGCATGTTCACTACCTCACCCCCTAATCAGCCTCAGGGTCTCACCATCACTTTCACGGAATTCGAAAGCCTCTGGCGGTTTCTCGCCGCGTGGCGCACGCTATTCGAACGTTTCGACGAAGACAGGAGCGGCCGCATTTCTTTAGGGGAGTTTTCAAAGGCTCTGACGGCTTTTGGCTACCGATTATCGCAACCTTTTGTCGGCGTGTTATACAGCACCTTCAACGACCGGAGTCCGGTTTCGAAGCAGGGGATGAGCTTCGATCTATTTGTACAGGCTTGTATCAGTTTGAGGAGGATGACAGATGTGTTTAAGAAATACGACGACGACCGGGACGGATATGTGACCTTGAGTTTTGAGGAATTCCTCACGGAAATTCTTCGGTTACGCGACTGACCAGCCTTGACAGAAGATGCTAACCTGCGCACCTTTTATATATCTTCTAATCTGTCCATGGAGTTCCTTTCGGCATCGGAAAGGGACCGACGACTTTATGCCCTGGATACTACCCCTTGACACTCGAATGGTCCTCTCCGCATACTGACATTATGTAGATGAGAGAGCCGGCGAGTTTCCAGTTGATCCGGCTTAGAGTATCTTCCACAAGGTGTACTTTGGCCAGAGTCCCTTTTATCCGTCAGCTACGGGTTTACCAGCCAGGTACTTCCGTCAATCACCAGGCGGAAATGATCCCAGAGCTCTGCTATGGTTATACTTCGCACAGATATCTACTACTACGCGCCATGGCACGGACAGTGAATCGGCCTACAAGTTGAAATGGACGGGGGCTGACCGATGACCGATGACCGATGGGCACGAACGCCAGCCCTAGCCTGGCTAATAATAAAAAGGCAGTCCCGGAGTTCGGCGATAGGTGAGCTTTTAGCGCCCTGTCAGCTTTGGTCTGGTGCAGCTGGGCTACTACTGGATGGGGAGGAGATCGGTCCTGGAGAAATGACCATCCTTGCTCTGGATGGCTCATCTGACTCAACAAATTGCCTGTGAACTAACAGCGCGCCCACTGCACTCATCTGCAAGCCTCGCTCTGGACAAGTGCGGCCACGTGGGAGATCGAGAGAAGGACTCTTGGAACGTTCTAAAACATTTCTCAGAATATCAGCTCATGACCTAAACTGAAGTTGAGCACATCAAGCCAAGCTCGATCGGAGAGAAAACGCACTCCCTACATGTGCTTGCATCCAACCACATTTGGGCCCTAGAAAGTTCCGGATCATCCTTGTTTTAGGCAGAATAATGACCCAACCTCAAGCCACAACCGACGGTCAACGCTGCCCAGACACTGGGGAGCGTCACTCGCCGGGATGGTGATCTGTGCTTCTAACCTCCGTTGCTTTTCGCAGCCAAACGGCGTGCATGGTCATAATAAGGTGTTGCTAATCCCTGGTGCACGATGGCGGGAACGTGGTCAGGGATAGCGCCGGTAACCAACCAGCGGGCAGGCCGAGGGGGCCTCAACCTCCCCTGATGGCTCCATCAGGACGCCGAGAGAGCCCGGTGTAAAGCCCCCAGGTTTGGTGCAGTGCCCCAGACGCTGATGGCTTTCTTTCCACCACAGTCTGAGCTGGAGAGCTACAGAACTCCATAATCATTATCTCAACATGTTCGACACTGCGGCCATCAAACAGCTACTGTGAGGGCCAGAATAAAGCCACGCAACGGACATCTTATAGCTGTTGCTGTTTACCAGGCTGCCTGTGTCCAGGCATACGCGGCACTTGATCTAAAGTCGATGTAGTGGTGATCAACATGGCTCCGAGCTCGTCTAGGAAAATTCCCGTCTGCTGCCGAACGTAAGCGAACTTGCTGCTGTAGCTCGCGACTTCTCAGGGGCTTTTGAGGCTGACTGCCTGCCTTTTGAGATGGATAGTGTGTACAGCTCAGGCTTGCCCATGGAGGATCTTCGGTCCGGAATCAGTTTGGGGCAGATGGTGGTCCACCACGATAGGAGCGGGCAAGGTCGACTGCTGATGCGTCAGTAATGATGTGGCGGTTTGTCCGTCTCGCCAGACAATCGCCCGATCGGCAATGCTAAAAGGAACAAGCCCCAACATTCGACGCCAACACTGTGAGCAGGTGCCGGTGGGTTGTAATAGCTACGGCCTCAGCTGTTAAGGCTCACAAGATTGTACACAATGGGTGATAGTGGTGGGCACCGCCCGGGCAGCATTGCGCACAGGATTCGGCTCTTGTTTGGAGAGCTTCCAGGAGTGTTCCAACGGGCGTACACAGCAAAGAGCCTGAGAGGCGCCACTAGGATGTACGACGTTGTATGTGTGATATCGGCTGGGTGGTGTGTGTGGTGCGCGCGAGAGAAGCCACTTGGAGCCCAGGCGCAGGCGGCCTCCACCTGTCATTATTATCTGTGGCCTTTAAGCCCCCAGACGCACTACATGCGGCGTGCCTCGCTTCTGGCTGCATCGCCTGCGCTGCCACCTGCCACTGCACGCTGCACCCCGCCGCAGCCTGTACATTGGTAATAAAGTAGTTTAGCCAGCGGCCGTTTGCTCCAGCTCGTCCAGTAGCAGAGGGAGCAGCAGGTCCAAGGTTACCAGGTACTGCAGGGTATCTCACTACTGCAAGAGGCAACAAGAGCACTGCGGCACTCTCAGTATCTTCCTACCAAACCACTGCTACCACTGCTACCTACTACTTGCCTTCTGCTACTACTACCGCAGTACTACTCGTCTGCTACTTCTGATAGACCACTGGCACTGCTGCGAGTTTGAATACCACCTGAGGCCTGCCGCTTCCGTGCCGTTGATGACCACAACTACCGTACCGCTGCCGCAGACACGACCTTCTCCTCTTCTGCGTCGCTACCTCTCCTTCCTTCGTTTGCGAAACTGCTCGGTCTCTGTCGTGCCTGCACCAATGCGCCCTGCGCGGTCCGAGTCGTGAGCGTCGCAAACCCCTTGTACCCGGGTTGTTGCAGATGAAGGCCTTTGACCATGACTTCCTTCTTTGGGAAACTGAAAAGCCAGGTACGGATTGCACCTGAGAGATTCTGTGTCCGACTTGATCGACCCTGGTCTGGGCCTCAGCCGCACACTGTTCACCCGTTGGACGATGGTGGTACTGACTCTTTATGGCAGAATGCTACCAGTCCGGCTGTGGGCACAACTCCCACCAAGAAAGACCCAAATGCGCCTATACCCACCCCACTGGAGCGCATGCTCATGAACGCTGGCCCAATTCGCAATGATGGCAGCGATAAGTTCTTTGGCATGGAAAATGTAAGACCGGTTCCTGTTCCAGGCTTGTCAATTTGGACTAACTGAGACAATGTGCAGTTCGGTAATACTTGGTCAGTGCCAATCCCGCTCGATGTACTGACCTCCAAGACTGACGGGGCTGCAGTTATTGTAATTCAATCTTACAGTGCCTTTACTATTCTGTGCCCTTCCGAGACCATGTCCTTTCCTACCCGAAGCGGTCAACCCCCGAGTCCGTCGCCCATGCTCAAGCAAATGCTCCGCCTCGCGTACCGCCGGCCCAGCAGAATGGCGCCGCAAAGAAGCCTCCTGGCCCCTCTTCTGCGCGGAACGCTGGCACTCCTCCCCAACAACAGAAACCAGAGGACAAGGACTCGCCTGAATACAAAAAGAAGCAGGCTTTGTTGGCGGGACCAATATTGAACATGAGTTATGAGAACTCGCAGGAATACGAAATGCCCGAGACTCTCTTCACCTCGCTTAAAGACCTGTTTGAGGCTGTGGTTGTTAACCAGTCCAGGATGGGTGTTATCAGTCCGAGTAGATTCCTCGAGACTCTACGGAAGGAGAACGAGATGTTCAGATCAGCCATGCATCAAGACGCGCATGAGTTTCTGAACCTCCTTTTAAACACCGTAGTGGAGAACATTGAGGATCACGACAGGAAACTGGTTGCCCGGAAAAAGGCTGAAGGCCCATCATCGACGACGGACGGCGCCGCAGACATATCAAGGACAGAATCTAACACTGTTTCATTTCCGTCCGTCCTGCCTACACCCACAACGACATCCCCCACTGGCTGGCTACACGAATTGTTCGAAGGGACTCTTACATCCGAAACCCGATGTTTAACCTGCGAGAACGTTTCACAACGTGATGAACCTTTCCTTGATTTATCGGTTGATTTGGAGCAGCACTCGTCCGTCACTGCATGTTTACGCAGGTTTTCTGAGGAAGAAATGCTGTGTGAACGAAACAAGTTCCACTGTGACAATTGTGGCGGTCTCCAGGAGGCTGAGAAACGTATGAAGATTAAGAGACTGCCACGGATACTGGCCCTGCATCTGAAAAGATTCAAGTACACCGAAGATCTGCAACGATTACAGAAGCTTTTCCACAAGGTCGTGTATCCTTACCACTTGAGACTCTTCAACACCACAGACGACGCAGAGGACCCCGATCGGCTCTACGAGCTATATGCCGTAGTCGTCCATATTGGAGGGGGTCCATATCACGGCCACTATGTCGCTGTGATAAAGACCCAGGATCGCGGATGGCTGCTATTCGACGATGAAATGGTTGAGCCCGTGGACAAGAATTTTGTCCGCAACTTCTTCGGCGACAAGCCGGGGCTTGCTTGTGCTTACGTGCTCTTCTACCAGGAGACAACAATCGAAGCCGTGCGGAGGGAACAAAGAATGGAAGGCAAACGAAGGGCTTCGCAAGACCTTGCGTCCGGCATGAACATCGATCATAGGCGGTCGGCAGAACTACACCAAGTTCAAACCGTGGACCCCACGGGCTTTTCGGGTTCACCGTCGGACGATGCACACTATGCGGCTCTGGACCACGCTATGACCGCACCTCCTCAACTCAAAACCAACGGCCATGTTGAATCACCGCGGTCTCCTCCACTCTCGTCGATCCGGCCCACGAGCCCTGGCCTTCAAAGCAAGAAGGAAAGAGCTAGGGAAGAAAAGGCACAAGAAAAAGCACGCAAAACTGCAGAAAAGCAAGCCGAAAAGGAGAGACAGGAGGCAGAGAAGCAAAGGCGAAAAGAGTTGGCAGCTAAATTATCGGGTGCTCACAAAAGGCAGGAAGCCGAATTGAAGGCAGCGTTGGAGGCGAGCAAGATATCCAAAGCAGAAGAAGATAAAAAGCATGCTTTGGAAAGAAGCCAAACACACGCCAACGGGAGCGGCAGCAGTTCATCGGGTTTCGATCGATTCAAGCGTACAAAGAGTTTGCGCTTTGGATCCTTGAACAAAAAGGACAGGCAGCACCCCGATTTGTCCGACGAAAACGTTCATTCTCCTCCAGCTGATGCGTCAACCCCGGAAAAAGAGAAGAGAAATCGGTTCAGCATTCGGAAAAAGTCCTTCGGCATGTTGTCCTGAGGACAAAAGGGGCACGAGGAAGTTGGTTTTCGACATTTTGCACATACGTCCTTTCAACCACCTTTTCATGATGAAGCCAACGAAGCGATACACCTTCTTCGATTCTGGTACATATACATTTTCTGGTCGTGCATACACATGAAAGAAAGTTGAATGTCTGTTGCCGCCGGGTCTTACCGGTTCGATGTTGCGCTTTGTCAGCTACACCATTTATCCGTTTGTCCAGGGTACCTGTATAGCATGGTTACGATAATCATCATGATGCGAAGCGGCATATACAATTATGTCCACGATACTACCATCAAATGGCCTCATTATGTCAACAAGATGCGAACGTCGCAGGATTGCCGTCCGGTAACGTGCAACAGAGACAGCATCGTCCTGGGTTAAAGGTTGATTGGCCTAGGCAGCAGTGGATCTCCGTTCTGCCCTCGCCCCCCCGGCTACTCCGCCCTGCGACTGCGGATGACCACTAGAGACTCAGGTCGTCAGTCACTCGATACCACCCCACAGGATTGCGCCGCGCCTGATCTGATCTGCAGGAAGGCGGGAATAGAATCTAACTACGCTCTTGAGATGCCAGACTCCAAAGTCTATGCAGTGCCTGCGTGACGGGGTTCGCAGTGCAAACGTATAAAGGCAAATCAACCATCAAGAGTCATAGAAAACGGTAGGGACACACGCTTTCTCTCGATCATCCTCTCGGTCAAACGCCTGTGGTGGGATTGGGCGCTATGTTACCAACACGATTGTATGCCGGATTCACGGAATCTCGTCGGAAGCGAATGGTTAGGATCTCTGCAAGGGAATAAAAATACAGGTTACAGCATAGCATGGAACTTGTGGCTTGAATGAAATGAAACGAACCAAAAACGCCTGCTATTTGAAACGCGAAAAAAGTCACACAGTGCACTGCAATATTAGCAAGGTGGGCTAGACATCAGTATCTTTCTCTACCATGCGCAGGAGCAAATAGAAACAGTATTATGAGCCTCGAATACCGAGTCCATGGTTGTAGTCCCTGTTCGTCTCTAACTACCTCCTGTATCGTGTCCAGGACCTGTGAACTTCTTTCTTCTGGCGAGTACCGTCGGTGGCGATTGTCGATCCAAAACAGACGTCGCAATCCTCGGGTTTGGCTGCCCGTGCATTGTCTACTTTGTAGCGGATGCCCCAACATATTGACCAAACGATGGGCTCGGTCGGTCCATAGCAGCGTACCGTGCGCAGGACAAAGCCCTCAGCGAGCAGGAATGATGATTGGGCAGGCACACTTTATTTCATTAGTCTCCAGTCTCACCACCCACGCCGTCGCGCTCTCCATATCAATTGCACGGCTTCCAGACCGAGCACCATGTGCTGCCTTGGATCTCCAAGAATCAACCCATGACGGAGGTCCCTGGGGCCCTCGAGGTCTGAATGATGCGACAATGCAACCGACAGCAACAGGAACAGCACAACCTGGTAGCTGATATAACGGTTGAAATCATGTCGACCTCGCCCGTGAGTGACAGCCAGCCGTGCGGGGCCATTTTGGAGCATCGGCGCCGGTTTGGAGCGTGTTGGACGTGGAAAAGGGGCTGGAGCTGAGGCTGCGACTTGCCCGTATGGTTCGTCAGTATCGGTTTACGTTGTGCCCGTCGCTGGATTCGCTCCGACTGAAGGTTCTTTGGTACTGGAATTGGAAAACGAACAGATGCTGAGCGGAGGAGGCACCACCGCCCTGCAATCCACGAACACCGGCATAGATTATTTAGTCGCCAGCTCGTAACCGGAGTACGTCTGGCCTTGACTTTGCCGGGGGTGGTGGGAAGACCGAGGGAGACAGACGCTTATATTTCACGGGTTTGCTGGAAGCAAGGGCATTTTGGTTCCGATTCTCCGTCATGAGCATAGGTGAATCGTTGTCCATCACAGATTCTATCATTGGACGGGCAGAGGCGGGAGCAGTAGTTGCGTGGACAGTGTAAATAGCTCTCCAGGGCACACAGGTTGTGAGCCAGTATGCATGGGTGAAATGGAAGACAAGGCGAAGGGTTTGCAAGTCTCGTAATGGTTTGAGTTGTTTTAACTTTCGTATTCTCACTCTGAGAGGATGTTATCCGAGCATTAACTCATAGACAATGATGATCGAATTGACCAGAATTAACGGCACTGTTGTACGTTTTCGGTCCCCGAGGTCAGCTTTGATTCATACGTGACGTCTTTGAGCTGTGATGAAATCCAATGGCGCCGCATAAACAAGGGGACTGCAGTGCAGCATGTTACATGTGTGGTCTGTACGAACCTCGACATATTGTCCTGATACTTGATATCAGATTGATGGCTTTGCTCCGGAAGCTTTCTGGATCCTGAACAGGCGCACCGAATGCGACACCGGTGGAAGGGTCGTGGAGTTGCGACTTGCCCCAGCCAACTGCCAGATATGTTTGTTAGCCTTGACATTGTCCTCGTTTCGAACCCCTTAAGACACTCGTGTTAACTTCAGGAGTACGCGCTCTTGGACATACTTCGTGCGAGGAATCGGTCTTCGGAGAGAATGGCTACTGCGTTGAGAAGCAGGCAGGTCGCTGGCAAAGACGCAAGAGATTAGCCCTGCTGTTCCAAAAGATCCTCCTGTGGCAAGCGAAATGCAGTGGAGTCCGGATGCTCTGCTGAGACGCAGCTTGATCCTCGCCTACCATAAATAAGCGGCCCGAAGCCGAAGAAACCCAGCATCATGTATAGACGTATTCTCGAACAACACTCGATTTCGTTGCTGCTGTGGTGGTGGGATCGGAACAGAGCGCGGACGGGCTGGCGGATCGCTTCTAAAGTTGTCAACAACCACTACAGATTAGACTACTGTAGAAGTATTGCGCAGCTGGGAGAAGGTAGACGCGCGATGTGATTGCAAGGACATTGTGTCGTTCAACTTGTCTCCAACTTGAACAGGAGGACACTTCGGCTATATTTCCAGATGTAGAGCAGATTACGGGCGATCACTGGAGAGGTGAGGCAGCTATACCGCAGAGCACGCTCCTGGACATGAGTGCATTTTCGAGGCTGGCATCACCATTCGTATCAAAATATTTCCCTCGAAGGGCGGCTTTCTAGAAATTCCAATCTATGTGCCTTTTACTCTTAAGTGTCGATCGACAGTACTCCCTAAGTCTTAGAACTAACACAGGCCTGAGAGAGCTTATGGCTACGCAAGGCTGCGTAAGGCTGCGTAAGGCTGCGTAACTGCACGTGATCTCCCTTTGCATCAGGCTGACCCCTTTTCTCCGACCTCCGTCCATCAGCCCTGGCACCTCTAGCAATCTACCTACCACTCAAAACGCCAATCAATACTAATGTTGTCACTGGCCATAAAAGCTGTCCGCCATGTCTAGTCGTGAAGCATGGCAGCTCTCATATATTTTGTTTCCAGCGCTAGTGCTTGTGCACCTCTACATCTCTCCATATACGAAAGTGGAAGAGTCGTTCAATATCCAAGCCATCCATGACATCCTCAAATATGGTGTTCCAACACACAATGTCTACCTCAAACTCAAAGCACAGTATGACCATATGACCTTCCGCGGGGCAGTGCCCAGAACTTTCATCGGTGCCCTTGTCGTCGCCACAGCAGCGCAGCCGATCGTCTGGATGTGGCCTGGCCAACTCGATGGAGAGCAACAGCAAATGCTGGGTATGCATACGCGATGGCCTTGATTGACAGTCCCCAATGCCATGGAGCCGACATGATACTAACACCATGCTCAGTGCGAGCTCTCTTGGGTCTATTCAACGCGGCAGCCCTCATCAGTTATGCCTCTGGTGTGAGGAGAGCATACGGCAAGCTCACTGCAGCATGGTACACGGCGCTACAGGCCAGTCAATTCCATCTGCTATATTACTCATCTCGGACTCTTCCGAACATGTTCGCTTTTGGTATCAGTACGGCTTTCCTCCTACCCTGAATGCCTGATCAGCTGGCGGGTTTTATCTGACCAGCGAATGTCTATGGCGAACAGGTACATTTGCTCTACGATTCCTCCTACCAAGCCACTCAACTCCGGAACTGCAGGCCAAGCACGCCCGATTGGCATTATATCTCCTGACGCTGGCGACGGTGATTTTCCGCTCCGAACTTGCGTTGTTGCTTGGCTCGCAGTGTCTGTACATGCTGTGGAAGACGCGCAGCGTAGCCTCGGCCATGGCTTTGATTCGAAGAGTCTTCCTCCCGGCCATTGTGGCCGCCACCATTGCAGGTCTGCTTCTGACCGTCGCCATCGACACCTACTTCTGGCAATCCCCGCGTCTATTGTGGCCTGAACTCGCTGCATTTTTGTCCAATGTGTTCCCTTCGCAAGACAGTCTGGGCGCATCAGCCTGGGGCACGGCCCCGTGGCACTGGTACTTCACGTCTGCTCTACCACGACTTCTGTCCAACCCAGTATTGCTGTTGATTCTGCCCCTTTTTATGATTGCCCCAACCGCACTACGTCCTCAACTGGCCGACCTGATAATCCCGTCCCTGGGATATATCTGTCTCTATTCATTTCTACCGCACAAAGAGACGAGGTTCTTGTTCCCCGTCGTTCCACCCATTGCGGCGGCCGCTGCTCTCTGCGCGAATTACATGTTCGTGCGGAGAGGGCGGTCTCTTTTCTTCCGCCTCAGCACCTATCTACTAGTGCTCAGCACGGCCATGGCAGCCATCTTCTCCCACGGTGTGCTTCTGCCGCTGTCTGCGCAAACGTACCCGGCCGCCCATGCCCTGAAGTCACTACACTCTCTAACTCTCAACTATGGCCCACAGCCCGTCATCCGTGTCCATCTCACCAATCTGGCTCTACAGACCGGAGTGACGCGATTCTTGGAATCGCCGCCCCCACATATCGCCAATCGTCCCGTCTTCACACTCCCAGGCTCCGCTGACGGGCGTAAGCCGACCATCACCTCGACACGGCCGACGGCGTGGATCTACGACAAGTCCGATAACAGCAGCTCGGAGTTTCTCTCGCCGGATTTCTGGTCTCAATTTGACTATGTCGTCGTCGAGGATCCCGAGGTCCCTGTCGGCGGTGTGTGGGATGTGGTCGACAAAGTGCCCGCTCTCGGGAGACCTAAACTCTTGAATCCCTCCACGGGACGTGGCTTACTGGTCTTGGGTCCGCCACAGAAAAGGAGGGAGGATGATGGCCTGTCCCGTCTCGCGGAGGCAATGTACGGAAACGTGGGCAAGTGGGTGTATGGCGTACTGCATGATCTGATACGAGAAGGATTTGGCGCCGAATTCGTGTTCGACTCAGGCTGGAGCTGGACCAAGGGTTGGTGGCTGCATTGGGGATTGGAGCCGAAATTGTATATTCTCAAAAAGGCGAGAGGTTAGACCGATTTACAACAGAAGGCTAGGAGGTCTTTTCCAAAGGTGGTGCAGGTCGAGGCTTATGGGTGCAGACCAGGACGATGCAGGCCCAAAATCCCAATATTCCTTTTCTTCATCATGAGGACATCTTCCACGTACCCTTTAGACCTGTATACAAGGAAAGTCTTTTGCCAGCTGGTCATGTAGCTTATGAATTCGAATGTTGTAGACTCTCCACCCTCCGTTCCAGACTAGACACCATGTCTCCCACAAGCTGGACATTCCCTTTCATCGCATCTTCCAGATCAGCCATGCCCTTCTCCACGCTTTCGACGGCATCTCTCCACTGCCTGATTTCGTCACGCATCTCGGCCTGTCTCTTCTCCACGGCATCCAGATTATTCTTCGCGTCGGCTGCACCGGCATGAACCACACTGAGTGTACGCAATCGCTCCAGAACGACGGGTAACAGCGGCTGCAGGTTTTGGATGGACGGAAGGAGCTGGTACAGCGCGGTGATCTTGGCCGATTGTTCCTCGAGAAATAGTCGCGATTGGATCTGCAATGATTCGTCGCCAGGGCCGGAAGCAGGAGTCAAGTCGGCGGCTGCTCCTGATTCTGCCGCGCCTCCTGCACCTCCTAGATTAATGGCAGCCGAGGCATTAGACAGCCCACGCCGGGGCCTGGTGTTGGTGTGCACCGAAGCGGAGACGAGTTGACCCATGCGTTTTTCGTGCAACTCGATCAGCGATTGCATTGCTTCCTTCCGCGCCCTGGTTAGTCGGTCGGCTTCGGCGATCAGAGTCCTCAGCTTCGAAGACACGCTGTCGAGAAGAGGTGCGGAGGTCGTCATCGTCGTAGTTGTCCTCCCAGACTGCGGATCTTGCTGGCCCAAGACGCTGGATAACGTGCTGATCTGGCTCGAGAGATTTTGCAGAGTCGGCAAGATCGACGTCTTCTGTTGCGAATCTAGGCTCGTGGAGGAGACTCCGAGTGCCGCTTCTAGGGCACTCAGTCGGTCTGAGAATGCTGCCACGGCTGGGAGGGCTGATATTGATGATGGATCCGTCCGCTGGTTATCCTGCTGTTGTCGTTCGTCAGAAGCATTTTGGTCTGAAGTGTCGACGTGTTGCTGTCCCGGCCGGTGTCTTAGCCGCGACTGCGATTCTAGTCTTGACAGAAATTCTGTTTCGGCTGTAGCATTCATGTTTGATTTGGTTTTTGTGCTCAACGTGTCAAGAAGCTTGCTCAGTTGCTCAACATCGTCCAGATCTGCAACGGCTTCATCGTCATCAGCTGCGCCGTGCTGCCGGTGTGTTCGCTTGTCATCGCTGTCCCCTTCGGCGTCCTTCTCATGCTCCCTACGCTCCAGCTCGAGCCGCACTTCTTCCGCTTCTCTCTTTAGCCGGGCCAATTTTCTGCTTAGGGTTTCGTCCTCGCTGTCGCTGAGATCACCCAGTTCTTCTGCGCCATTCTCCTGGATCCGTCGGCGTCGACGTGAGCTGCGTGTTCGGTATGAGCGGTGAGGACCGCCTATCGAGTCGGAGAAGTCGACGCCCCTGGCATCCACCACAGACGGCTCAAAGCGTCGTCTAGCGCCGTCGCGATCGAGGTGATGGCGATCAAGATTTTCATTGTCTCCCTCATCAGACGGGTCTGGGGATAGGGTGCGGAGTGTACCGGTCTGTGAGGGACAGTTAGGACGTTTTAATGCGAGGTAAAACCGCTTATCTGTGTACCTGTGCCGTCGATACGTCATCCGCTAGGTCGGGAGTCTCATATACCTCTGGTGCGGCATCCTGTCAGTCCTGGTCAGTACAAAATGCGGCGCTCGATACCTTAGGCATTGAATTGTGTCCAATGGCGCGGCGACTTACGAGGTCGGGTAAGCCGGCGTACTTCTTGCTGACGGACATTGCTGGCTCATCTGGTTCAGAATTCTGTCCCATACACGTCTCGCACAGGCCTATAGGGTTCCTAGCGTGTGGCTCACCGCACGGTGAACTGTCCACATCTACTAGACCGGGCAGACGCGGTCCCTTCTCAGCAGCCAAAACATTCTTGGCGCAACCCCGGATTTCGAGTCATGCGTTTCAGCCTCGTGGCAGTCACTGACTCGGGACTAACGCAGCCCGGCCCTCCAATTCCTCCGCGGGGGGGAGTTCTTGGAGTTTGGCGAGGGGGGGGGGGGGGGGGGGGGGTGAGCCTGAGATTGATTCCCTCGTTCCTATTGTGCTTTGGTGCAAACCGAAAACAGTGCAATTCTGTCGGACGCCTTGAATAACTGAAGAAGTCATCTGTACTAGACCCTTTCTGCTTCAATTTTTTTATCAGTCACTAAAAATTGTCCACCGTTCTGTAATGTAAAAGGAGGAGAGACTAATCTACGGTATCCCTCTACATCTAAACATCGCATATAGGCACCGCTCACAATCGATGAACCCATTAGCGCTGCAAAGCGGCTGGCCCGTCAGTCAGCTATGCTCGGTCCAGCGACTGCGCCATACACATTTCGTAATATCTCCCTCTGAGCCGCTGCAACTCGGCATGTGTTCCCATCTCGGCGATTTTCCCGTTAGCAAAGACATAGATAACATCGGCATCGCGTATTGTGGACAAGCGGTGTGCGACGGCCACCGTGGTGCGCGTGGCGGACGCGTCTTCCAAAGCGGCCTGAACGAGCCGTTCCGACTGTGTGTCTAGCGCTGAGGTAGCTTCATCGAGCAATAGAATCCGCGGGTCACGGATGAGGGCCCTGGCAATGGCTATGCGTTGCCTCTGACCTCCCGAGAACTGCATGCCGCGCGAGCCGCAAGGGGTGTCTAAGCCCTGCGGTAGCGACGTGATAAAATCGAGGACGTTGGCTTTGCGACAGGCTTCCTTGATCTTGTCATCCGAAGGAACATAGTCAAGACCAAGGGATATATTTTCTCGCACAGAGCCTTGGTACAACGTCGGTTCCTGCTGCACGAGCGAAATATGGCCGCGGTATAGTCGGGGTGACATGGTTGAAATATCTTTGTGCGCCAAGCAAATCCGTCCGGAGGTAGGATCGTAGAATCGCTCGAGGAGGGAGATGAGCGTCGACTTACCACAGCCCGATGCACCGACAAACGCCACGAACTGGCCCGGTTGGATAGCCATGGAGACCCCGCGGATGACTCGAGACGTCTGCCGCTGCTGGTAGCGGAACTCAACGTCCTCGAGATCGATGGGGCCGTCCCCCTCGGGGCCAATGTCTTTGTTGTCATCTGTTTCCCGAATGGTTGCCTTCAGTGTCCGTAACCACAGAATGTAGTTCGCAGCACCAGTAGCTTTCGTGAGACTCGACGTGAAGCTGAAAAACTGCCCAGCTGCCTGTCCAGCGAAGAGGACACCCAAGAAAATGATGTAGAATTGGCTTGTACTGTATTCACCCGACGCCAGTAATCGACTGCCATACCAGAAGCCCAAAGCCATTGCGAGAAACTCCAGAGACTGGGACAGGGAGTACCAGAACATAGTCCAGGTCAGGGCCTTGATTGACCTGAGAACGACGTGGTTTAGCATTTGGGAGTAGTCTTGGAGTATCTTGGCTTCGAGAGTAAGGGATGCAACAGTCCGTATCGCAATGACAGCCTCGCTTGCAAGACCAGCACTTTCCGAAAAGCTTGCCGAATTCTTCTCCTCGAGTTTAAGTTCCATGCGAATACGGACGTACCCGGATACCACCAACGGTGGAAGGGCCCCGAACACGACGACAAGCCCGAGTTTCCATCCATACGCAATAGCTAACGCACTGCTCGATACGATATTGACCAGGACAATGAAGATCAGTAGAACATTAGCAGAGATTAATTCTTGCAACTGTGTAGGGAGAGCCGAGAGTTTCGATGTCAATGCCCCTGAAGTATTTTCCGGGATGTCAAAAAACTCAATGTCTTGGTTCAAGATTTGTTGAAACATCTCCGACCGGTATCGATGTGTGATTGTCTGTCCAATGATGTTGCAAACCCATCCAATTGTGAAGTATGCCACCCAATTTCCCAGGGCCACGACGAAGAACATCAGAGAGTAGAAGTCGGCACGATCGCGGGCTTCGTGCCCGCTCTTTAGAAAGACACCCAAGAGTCTCGAAAAAAGAAGCGCCTGCGCCGGAAAGGTTGCTCCTCCAATCAAGCAAGCAACCGTGGAAAGAACGAAGCACCAGTACAATGATTTCTGTTCTTTGAACATGACTAAGATGCACCGTAAGAGAGAGTAGCCAACGGTTCCAACAGGCTGTTGCTGCTGCCCCTCCGGGTTTCCGGCTATGGACGTTGCAGTGGTCGTTGCGGTTCGTTGGAGGGCAAGCGGTTGCGTTGTAGGCTCTTCCAAGTCCTTCTCACTGAACGCCTCCAAGGCACCTTCTCTGTCGCTGGAACCGAGATCTTGCGCATGCACAAGACTAGCATAGTGACCATTGAGCTCCATAAGTTCTTCATGGGTGCCCTGTTCGACAACCTTGCCGTTTGATATGACAGCAATGCTGTCAGCATTCTTGATTGTTGCTAATTTGTGCGCAATGACCAATGTGGTGCGCTTAGCAGATACCCGGTCCAGCGCATCTTGTACCACTTTCTCAGCTTTTGGGTCTAGGGCACTGGTAGCTTCATCGAGGAGAAGGATTTTTGGGTCTGACACGATACTGCGTGCAATGGCGATACGTTGACGCTGTCCGCCACTCAAAGTACCGGCCCGTTCGCCCAGCTCCGTCTCATAGCCTTCGGGAAGCTCCATGATGAAATCGTGCGCGTTGCTAGCTCGGCATGCTTCAACCACAAGCTCCTTTTGGTTTTCCATTGCCAACTGCCTTTGCGCGTCTCCAAAACCGTTGGCGATGTTCTGGAAGACCGTCCCTCGGAACAAGGTAGGCTCCTGCTGCACCAGACGGATACGGTTTCTCAGCCATCTGACGTTGAATTCGGCTAGTTCAACGCCATCTAAGTAAATTTCGCCGGCGGCTGGGAGGTACCATCGTTCCAGGAGACCCACAAGCGTACTCTTGCCCGAGCCTGATGCTCCCACTAATGCTGTCGTCTTTCCAGCCGGTATGTTTAGGCTGAATTCATGCAAGATTCGAGCCGAGGGGCGCGAGGGATATGCAAAATCGATATTTTTGAGTTCAATATGACCCTCGCAGCTTGAAGGTTGCCTTCCTGACGTGGCTAGGGGATCCAGAAGAGATGGCTTGTCGATAATGTTGAACAGCTCTGAAGCAGCTGACGCCGCATTGGTGAGCGACTGGAGTTGTGGCACCAAGGTGGATATTGATGTGGCCGCAATAAGGACTGAAAGGACCACCGTGAACACTTTGCCCACATCACTCACTTCATCACGTTGATACATCCTGAAGCCTTGCCAAAAGGAAAGCGCGATTGCAGAATATACGCAGAAGTACTCGGTGGAAAAGAGGACACCCCAGTTGGGAGACTTCTTGTTACCTTCTTTGTGCGCCTGCTGGAGAAAGACCTCGTACTTTTCCACCATTTTGTTTTGCGCGTAAAAGGCATGCACAGTCCTGATCGACGATAGAACTTCTTCGGCTAGGGCTGCAGCTCGAGAGTATATCCGGGTAATCCTTGCTTCCTGGACCGCATCGATGATCAGACATACACTGGTGATTATAAAAATGGCAGGGATGATAGACATTGTGATCAACGCCAATTTCCATTGTGTGGCCAGTGCCACGATGAAAGCAGCGAAGAACATGGCCAGGGACTGGATGCTGAGCACCAACTTCTCAGCGATCCCCATTTGAATCCGGCTCCCATTGGTGGTGACTTGGGTCGCCGTTGCGCCATTGCCCTGCTTGTCAAAGTGCCAGATCTCTTGCCGAAGGGTACATTCGAGAAATGCTTGTCGAAGATTGCGTGTTGTTCGGGTTGCCGATATGGTGATTGCCGCAGTAGCAACGTATGTAACCACAAACTTGCCCACGAACAAATATACAAACCATAGCACATAATGGTCGACATCACTCCTGAACTGTGCTGGCGTGGTCCGGCCAGCCGCATAATTATTGAATTTGTTGGTGAAATCTCCAAAGATCAAACTCATCAGAGGGAGGGACGCCCCCGATGTGATGGCACAGATGGTGGCCACAACATTTAGAAGCCAGTCGTATCTGTCGGCGTATCGGAATATTCGGACATAGTATTTCAAGGCACCTTCCACCTCTTTTGCTCCTCTATGCGAGCCGGAACCGGAATTATCCTGACCAGACTTGGTCTTTTCCAGATTGGCGTCCATGCGAAGGGTGGTAAACAGATATACTGGGATCTTCACCTGCGCCGAACACAGTTTCTTGATTCTTGGTAGCTGTACAGAGAAGAAAGCAGGCTTTTTCAGGTCAAGGAGAATATGCACGAACTCTGATGATACGTTCTTGCCCAACGCCTATCAGGAGCAGGAAGCATCATCGTTTATATTCACGATGAACGCATCCGAAAAGGGCACCTCTGTCTCGGAGCAAGCGGCCGAATGCGGCCGGGATATGGAGAATTGCATGAAGACGTGGCCAAGCCTGGGATCTACCGTACAGTAACATGGATGCGAACACAGTCCGAAGGATAAGATCGATAGGAGCGGCTGTAGAGACGCTCTGCTAGTAAGACGATATAGTGATACAAACGGACAAAAAAAGAATGCGATGAGGTGGGCCCAAGCCTCGGCCCGGAAGCCGGGGCGTGCGATGCCACGCGGGCAGACGCGAGAGATGCGAGCGATGCTGTTGATGGTGTTGGTTGTTTCATCAGGTGCAAATTTTGGTGATGCTCTTGATTGATTGGTAGGGTGAGTACCTACCTACCCGGTACCTACCAGGCACGGTACTACTACCTGGGTATGTAGTAGTATTCAAATTTTGTTTGTCTTGTTGTCTGCCTGCACCCAGACATTGGTCTTGGCACCTCCCCGGGTCCCGCGGCGCCCGACGGCGGTCAGTTTGCAATCATTGTCACTTGTCCTACCTGAATCCCAGCTTCCTCCCCTTTGCCAATCGCTATACGAATCAGATCTGTCCCTTCCGCCGTATATCCGGCTCCGGATTCATGTCCGAGCATAATCTGTCTGATCAGGACCAAAGTAATGCACTCAGAGTCCCTGCTGTACGAACACCCTTCCTCTCCTTTCCTGTGTGCTCCACGCGTCTGCTTTGTTCGACCGCTTGCTGACATGTTATGTAAATAAATTAGTGTGACAGTTGTCGAGCTCGCAAGGTACGCCCGAGAGGAGACTTGGTCAAGCCTAACTCATACTAAAGTTCGTCGGCAGATCCGGTGCGATCGAAAGAATCCCTGTTCCAGCTGTCGGGCTTCTGGGATCTCATGCCGGACCACAAAGAGAACGCCCGAGAAGAGGCAGCGAATCTTGGTCTCCGGGCGATAGTAAGTTACTTCATGGCCATCTGCCTGCAGGCACAAAATTCTAAGTCTACCTGTTATCAGCGAGCGAGAAATCGAACATGTCAATGGTCGGCTGGCCAATCTTGAAGGCATTCTCCAGACGCTGGCCAACCATCAGAAACAAAATTCCCCATGCCCTGCACAGCCGGCCATTCCTGAGGGACTTTCAACGCCTCAGGATAGCCAACGTGTGGGAAGCGAACTAGCCTTCACCGGCGACTCATCGTTCGATGCCACTTCCAAGCATTTTACTCAAGCCCTTGAGCACAGCTTGGACAGCTCGTCACATGCGGCCTTTGTGCGAGATGTTTCCGACGCAGTGGCAACGTTGAGGAATACCCTGAATGAAAAGCCCGCCGCTACTGACGGGACGGTGCCTGTAGACCAGCTGCTGGAAGTTTTCGTCCATTATCCTGAGCTATCAAGACTGGCTCTTCCTCCCCAGGCACCAGTTCTGACCATGCTAAGATACACCAAAAGTACAGCTTCCCATTCTCTGCCGATGCCGCTTGGCTAATTATGACTAGCACACCCCCAGAGGTTATTTTGCGATGTGCCAATCCTTGACGGCCCATATATCATTGAGCTATGTCAGAAAGTGTACTTCCCAACCGAAGAGTATACGATTGCAACCTTCCTTACAGTTCACACGTCGCTTTACTACTTGTTCCGCGATCTCACTCCAGAAGCAGCTCGCGACTTACGCTTCACGCCTCAGGGGATAGACCAGATTACAGCGATGTGTAAGAAGAATGCCGAAGTAGCCATGCGAAATGTTCGACTCTTTATGGATGTGAGTTATGAAAACGCTGAGGCTCTCTTCCTTGCGGTAAGAATATTGCGTCCGTCTCAGCTATATCTCGATGCTTATTTATTTTTCAATCAGGCCATGCTAGCCATGGAGCAATCCCGCAACGCGTTCGCTTGGACCCTGATTACCAATGCTGCTCGAATGGTTCAAGATGCCGGTTATCACCGCCTCCCACCATATTCAGTAGCTCCCGAAGCGGCAAAGAAGAGGCTTCTTTTCTGGATTGTCTACGCCCTGGATCGGGGCATGGCCCTCAACCTGGGCCGCTCACCCAGTCTGCAAGACTGCGACATCACGGTTGATAGACCCAAGTTTCCTGAGGAGGTCACCGGCACATGGGGTGCTCTGTATGTTAATTGGATCGACTTTGCTGAACTTCAAGGACAAATCTATGAGAAGCTGTACTGCCCTCGCGCACAAAAGCAACCGATTGAAATGAGAGTTCAACAGGCGCGTGATCTTGCTGGGCGTCTGCTTGCCCTCAGAGACACGGTTCTCGTCAACTCGGAGAAGACTCCCTTCCCCGAAGCCCTAAGCGAATTGATGCTCTCGGTTGATATTGTCTTGGACGCAACCCTTACTCTCATTTACCGGGTTATTCCACCTGCTCCTCTGACTCCCAGTAGAACACCACATCCTCTCAAGTTCTGCGACGAGGCCCTTCAAAGCGCTCGCATGGCGCTGATCAAGCACAACAGAACTTGGGAAATCATGAAGCACCGGGCGGGCGAGAAATGGCGACTTTTCATATACTGGACCCTTGTATGGGTCCCGTTCATTCCATTCCTAGTGGTGTTTGGAAATGTGATTGCGGACCACGATGTTGACGATCTGCGATTATTGGAACAAGTCGTCTGCACCTTGCAGGGCGCCGCTCAGGCGAGTGATGGCGTGAGCAAGCTTTATCGCGCTTGTACGGTCTTTAGTCATGTTGCCACCGTCTACCTAGGTAAAGGACAGGGGCATGCTGACCCGACAAATCACACCTCATATCAAACAGGAGAGTCAGCCCAGCCTGGACATAACGTAGGCCCAACGCCGACCTACGCTCTTCAACCTGAAACATCCTTCGGGGCCACGGGTCTCCAGGACATTCCCTTCTCTCAGCAGGACTGGAACGACATGTTCGATGATTGGGATTTTGGTCTTGGTGCTGAAAATGCGAGGGAGATGTCAACTTTCCTTGAGAGCTCCTTAGCAGGTGCTGACCAGCCAGGTGACATGCAGATGGGCAATGCGTGACAGTTCAGCTGGCCGCTGCAGTGCTGGCCGGATCATTGCCTGAGTGTACAGCGCCTGGACTTGGGATGCATCTTTATCTATGAAGATGCAGAAAATAAGTACAGAATATCTGCCAGCTTCTTGCTATACCACCGCAGGTGGTTCGAGTGGACACAAAGCGTTCGATTCCACGTGCAAGACTGAGAACTTGCTGGACGTACACCTGTGCCAGGTGCAACGAGCAAGGTGGTGCTACCCCAGCTGCGGGCAGGGCATGTGCAATCTCCAGCTCGAGAAATCCTGCATTGAGCAGCTCAGGACAGCACAAAATCCATTTGGCGCATGTTGCTATGTTGCAGCGCACCGCTCTGTTGCTGACAGCATCGCTTTGCTTCCCGAAGGATCTTGTCAACGACTTACCGCTGAGTGCAGCCATATTTGTTAATATGCAGGGAAGCCATATCGGCTTACATATTATTCTCCATTCATGAAGGTGTCTCCGTTCCTGGGCCGAAAGATAGCTTCGGAGCTGCACCAGACTCCACACTTTTGCCTGGCAGACATGGCTCAGACAGCGTCCGAAAACTCGCCCAATATCCTAAACCAGCACTCAGCTTGGAGGACGACGCCGTCATGGTGAGGGAATATTCTCCGGCGCTGCCCAACACATTGCCCTTAATTTGGGAAAGGGCGCTTCTCGACATTCTTCGGCAGAGGTGAGAGAGTAGCTGGCACCACAGCGCACCTTGGTTGCATCATACACGCACCATAGCTTCATCGGCGACTGCGGCTGCGGTGGTGGTGGTGGTGGTGGTGGTGGTGGTGAGGAGGGGACAATAGTAATAGGAGGGTCGTACTAGCACGGCCCGAGCATGCGTAGGGAGCCATTCTGGAAGTGTCAGCTCGGTTCTTCTCAACCTAGACCATCAAACTGCTGAATAACCTTCTTCAGCTGGCCGTATAGAGTTTGGTACCAATGCTACCTTCTCTTTGTAGATGTGATTAATAACAAAAACCGACAATATTCACTGGCATCAGTGGGAAAATACAAAGTTCGTCGTCTGCTCATGCAGGAAAGAAGGATGCAGTCTTTTAAAGAGTCCATTGGCCTTTTCCCGGTTGCGGCGGGCACTGGAGGAGGCAGAAAGGGGCTTGCGCCAGGCGGAGGCTGCTATTGGCGGATAGCACTTCCCCGTATATTCACCGGCGGAGCAAATGACAGTTTGTGTCTGTCTGCCGCAGGTCACTCCGCGGGAAATAGTGAACTGAACTTCATCATATCCAAGTTGTTCAAATACTCCTTCCTTTTCGTTCGTCCGTCTGTGATAGTAAAAAACGAAACATTGTCGCCCTGAATTATCTCAATTGATTCATTAGTTCCGCTGCTGTTCGGCCGAAATGGCCTCTCCAGAACTCGTAGCAGCTCTGGAGTCGGTCGCAGACAGTGCGTCTAGTGTCAAGACGCGAACCTACAATGACCTACTTTCGCAACTCACCAACCATCCACCCGAATCTCCCGAAGAATATGCTGCGGATTTGATCGCCTACGTCGATGCCATTCTTTCGTCTTCCCTAGGAATCATTGCCATCCGGCCACTTCTGGCTAGTGTCATCAAATCGCTACGTTCTGCGCCGTCGGAAGTCAAGGTCAAGGTCGGCTCGTATATCGCCGAGGCCTTACAGTCTCAGTTGGCTTCATATGAAGAGCAGGATGCAGCGGTCCGAGAGATACTGGCAGACGGCTACGAAGCGGAGGAGGAGTACAGTGCAGCCGCAAAGGCGCTACAAGGCATTCATCTAGATACCACACAACGCCAGGTGTCAGACCGGTCTAAAGTCGAGACGTGGATCCGGATCGTGCGATATTACCTGGAAGACGACGATACTGTATCAGCGGAGACGGCGTTGAACAAGATCAAAAATTCGGCCGCCGCGGCGCAAGTCTTGAAGGAGGCTCCTGACCTACGGTTACATTATCAATTATCCCAAGCACGGATACTGGATTCTAGGAGGGATTTTCTGACGGCATCGGCGGAATATCTTAATGTGTCTTTCAACTCCATGATTGACGAGGAAGAGCGTCGGCGGGCTCTATCTGCCGCCATCAAGACAGCCATTCTCGCTCCGGCCGGGCCCCAGCGAAGCCGCATGCTGGCCAAGTTGTACAAAGATGAGAGGTCTCCCGAGACGGAAGAATATGGAATTCTCGAGAATATGTTTCTGGACCGGCTGTTGTCTCCCGCGGAAGTGGAAGCGTTTGCTTCTACATTGGCTCCCCACCAACTTGCCAAAACAGCAGATGGCAGTACCGTGCTCAGCAAGGCGGTTATCGAACACAACCTGCTAGCCACCAGCCGTCTCTATGGGAACATCAAGACTGATGCTTTGGCTCGGATCCTCGGTCTCACCGATAGTGAGGACGAAACGGCCGCTGAAAAGGCCGAGGATTATGCCGCGAGAATGGTGGAACAGGGTCGGCTGCGCGGCGAGATCGACCAGATTGATGGAGTGATCATGTTTGAGACTATTCCAGACGTCGAGTTGAGTGGCCCTGTTCGTGACCTCCGGGCATGGGATCACGCCGTGCAGGGGTTGATGGAAGATGTGGAACGGTGTGCTGCCAGTCTCAGCGAGAGCTTTACAGTAAGTTGCCCTTGATTTGAATGAATATAGCCAAGGCTGACTGTTGCACACAGGAGTTTGCGGAGCGACAAATAGTTCATTGAAGACACTGCATGATTGGCGATTTTGACACACTGCCAGCATTATCACCGGGCCTCAGTCCATAATAGGCGTGGGCCAAACGGTGTCTCTATGATTTCCAGGTCACGCGAATCCTGGTGTACCGACTAAAGTGGCGAGCATCAGGGACAATGTCTGCGCGCCGCGAGAATTGTGATAGCACCTCTGATAAGCATGTAACATGTCGAGGAATCTCGGGCTGTCTCACGGCTGTCTCATGCCGCCAGCACCAAGTTCTGACGGACAGAACTGGGCACCATGACGACATGAAAGACGATATTCTATGGTGAAATGAGAAATGCAAAGCACCCCTTACGGATGAGGGCCGTGTCACTGCTCCGAGCGGATATCCGGTCGTGGGAAAAAGACACCCTGCAGTGGAGCTAGGGAGATAACTCGGTGGAGGAGGCACCTGCTCAAAGGGCCTCGCCGACTCCCTTAGGCACACTCTATCAATGTGGAACGAGAAAAACAGACGACGAGGATAGTCAATGACATGAAGTTGCTCCAAGAGCGTATTGTACACTGCAAATTTTGAATTCTTTACCGGGCCGCAGGCAGCCAACACAGTCTTTCAAATGCTACAGTGTGAACAGGGGGGTCTCTGCCATCGGGCACGGGCGCTGAACCTCGGGCGAACAACTGTGGTCTCAACGTACTGTAGTCTCATTGGAGGGCCAAGAGCGGCGTGAAGCCGGCACGCGAAACCCGCGTCGTTGGGAGCCGAAATGCGGGGGAGAAGCTAGAGGAACGAGACTCCGCATTAAAGCAGCATTTGAGGCGCCACGGATGTGGATCTGGGGCAAATCTCAGAATCTTACTCGCGTCGTCGTCGTCGCTGCCGCGGGCCGTGCGCCAATCAACGCGTTGCCATTGTCCATTTTCACCTCCCGAGATCTGTTCCCGGTCTCCCTCCTCGAATCCGTCGACCTCCTCCGCCCACTGCCTCGTCTGCCATCAGCCCTGATTTTGTGGGCACCAATACCGACCGCTCAAGACAAACCCTTGTCATTCCTTCAACTCCAGGGCCACCGCCAGCTTGCCTCGCTCCTCATTTTGAAATATTAAAGAGACGTCTAACTCTCTTCCAACATCAACAGAAGCTCGAGGGTCATGGTCCTCGTGTGCGATTTGTCTTGAGTCCTTCTACCTGGGATTTTTGTATCCGAGAACAGAACAGCGTCAACTCTCTTTTCCCCTCTGCACATTTCCTCGACAGCATGTTTGTTGCAAGTTTCATCTCGCCGTGGGCCTTGCTCCTTCTCCCTGTTCTCTACTACCTCCTGCCATATCTCCGGAACTGGAGTCTGCTCAAAGTCCCCGGTCCACTGCCAGCTGCTCTCTCCAATCTCTGGCTGTTGTATCAATGTCGACGAGGACGGCGGTATAAGGCCGTGGACGAGGCGCACAAGAAGTACGGCAAGGTGGTGCGGATCCAGCCGAACCATGTCTCCATCGCGGATGACCGGTACATCAACACGATCTACGGGCACGGCAACGGGTTCTTGAAAAGGTAACCCCACCTTTTTGTGTATGTTCTTTTTGTGGGTGGTTCTCTTGTGCTCACCGCTGTGCTCTTCAAGTGAATACTATGACGCGTTCGTGTCAATTCAGCGAGGACTGTTCAACACCCGCGACCGAGCCGAGCACACTCGCAAACGCAAGGTCGTGTCGCACACGTTTTCAGCCAAATCGATCGGCCAGTTCGAGCAATACATCCACGCCAATCTGGACCTGTTCGTGCAGAAATGGACGAACCTGGCGAAAACGCGAAAGAACCTGTCGACGGGCTACGCGTCCATCGACGCATTGCACTGGTTCAACTACCTGGCCTTTGACATCATCGGCGACCTGGCATTCGGACAGCCCTTCGGCATGCTCGAGCATGAAAGGGACTTTGCCGAGATCCGCAAATCCCCCGACGCGCCGCCGACCACGGCGCCAGCCATCGAAGTGTTGAACCGCCGTGGCGAAGTGTCAGGCACCCTCGGGTGTCTGCCACAATTGAAGCCATATGCGAAGCATCTCCCCGACCCATTTTTCAGTCAAGGAGTAGAAGCAGTCGAAAACCTCGCGGGCATCGCCATTGCGCGCGTCAAGCAACGACTAGAGAATCCCAACACGGACCGCGTCGACCTGCTAGCACGTCTAATGGAAGGCAAGGACGCAAAGGGCAACAAACTCGGTCGCGAAGAATTGACGGCCGAAGCACTGACACAGCTCATTGCCGGAAGTGACACTACCTCCAACACGGCCTGTGCGATTTTATATTACGTGGTACGCACGCCTGGAGTCCTCGAAAAACTCCAAAAGGAACTCGACGCCGCCATTCCGCCCGGAGTGCCGAAATACGAACAAGTCCGTGACTTGCCGTACGTCCAGGCCGTTATCAACGAGACCATGCGCATCCACAGCACAAGTTCCCTGGGTTTGCCTCGTGTCGTTCCTGGAGCCGATACCAAAAGCAATGGTGGCAATGGCGGTAATCCGACGCCCGCCACCGGTGCAGGCGTCGATATTTTGGGTTATCACTTCCCTCCAGGAACAGTCCTCAGTGTGCCCAGCTACACAATCCATCATTCAAAAGAGATCTGGGGTCCCGATGCCGACGAGTTCGTTCCCGAGCGTTGGTCTGAATCGCGTCTTACCTCCCGCCAGAAGGAGGCCTTTATTCCATTCTCGGTCGGCCCCCGAGCCTGCGTCGGTCGCAATGTCGCGGAGATGGAGCTCAAGTGTATGGTTGGCACGGTGTTTCGCAACTTTGAGTTCAGAGATGAACATCAGGGTGAAATGGAGACGAGGGAAGGGTTTCTCAGGAAACCGCTGGGGTACCATGTTGGCATTCGCTTGAGAGATGGGACTGCGTGATGGGAATTAGGTTGACGATGGTGATGGAGTTTGTTGAGACTCAGACGCGGGCCACGCGGTGTGGGCAAGTAGTGCGATGGATTTCCAAAAAAGAGGGGGGTTGGATGGGTACGAAGATTCGTTCAGGCTTGCTTTTTGGTTCGAACAAACCATGGATTTGAACAACTCCGTGGCTCGGTGACTGATTCCGAGTCCGTGGAACTTATTGATATATGTGATTATGTCTTACATAGTGTACAAGGTATCATGACTTGAAATGATTTGAAAATCAACAGGAGTATATTCCCAGCCATCTAGCTGATCCTTATAAGCAGCCGCCCTTCCGCGAGGCGCTGCTGTCCCGATAACAAGGGTAACGTAAGCTGGGTACCCATGAGCCTATGGACAGATGTCCAAAAATCCTCGTGCGCGAACACCACATCTAACCTTTCTATTTTGTAAACAATGTTTTGATCAGACAACAATTTTCCTCTTTTCCCAGTGTCAATCTGCCGCTCTATCTTTTTTAAAACCAGTGCAACCCCCTTGTTCCGCGATCCAAATAACTGCAATAAGATCCAAAAACGCCTGTGCCATGCGCTGGGTTGTGCTATGCTTAACAGTAAATGCAACAATAAAAACAGGTCGCGATGTATACCACCAAGCATGCTGTGTCTCTGCTGCGTGATCCGATCGAGTTGTTTATGAAGTGATAAAACGATATGTTCGTCATAACGGTGCCCCGGACTCGTAGGCGGGGTTTATTTGTATAGCTTCACAAAGGCTTACTTGGGCCTGGAGCAAACAGCAGAAGAGTCCCGACGGTGGAATTGTCTTCTGAAGGTTCATTTCTCGTGGCCAGCGGCTTCTTCATGTTGTAAAATCATAACTTGGCCTTGAGTTTTGCATCCTGCTGAGACTTGGTCTCGTCCACCGGAATGGCGACCAGTACAGCAATGTCATCGACTTTGCCGCCGTGCCAAGGATCGAACGGAAAATTCTTCTGCATCTCCTTCGCGAACGGGCCGTCTCGTTTCGAATTCTCGCTGGCGGCCTTGGCTTCACCAACGATGGTGGCCGCTAGGACACTCTGCAACGTCGCAGGGAGCTTATGTTTCTGCATAGCAGTGGTCTTGTCCACCAGTTCACCGAGGACGGGCGAGATAGTGTACCCTTGATCAGGCGTCCTCAGCCACGCGCCAGTCGCGCGCATTGTCCTGGACACGATTGACAGCACATCGTGCGAATTCAGGTTGTCCCAGACGCCATCGGTCGCAAGGACCAGCACATCGCCATGCCGTAGCATGTGATCTGCCAAATCGGCACGGTCGGGTTTGTCGTTCAAGGGTACACCGCCAAAGATCATGGCTTGAGCAAGAATCTCCGGCGGGGTGAGGCTCAACTGGTATGGTGTATTGAAAGCATGGGTTTGTGGGATCGAGTAGTGATGGACCTTGCCCAACCGAAGTTGTAAAAACCCCGAGTCGCCGAGATTCGCTATCCGCGTGCGTCCGTCACCTTGTGTCACCGCGACACATGCGGTGGTACCACCGGCCCGGATCGTCGGGTCATTGATGGTCTTCTCGTATCCGATTTCCAGCAGTCGTTGCGGTGTCAGTCGTTCACCTTTCGGCCATGACAGCGCCGTTTCCGCCATGTAACTGCACAACCCGTGCGAGAAGTCTGCAGGGTCTATCCCATGTTCGCCCCACCCTCCTACACCGTCTGCTATTGCAAAAGCCGTGGTGTCCGAGTCTTTTCCCACGCGCACCGCAAAGTACGCGTCCTGACCGCTGTCCGGACGGTTGGACCTCACCTCTTCGCGCGTGCGGCCGCGTTGAAGACCTAGCCCGTCGGTATTGCCGGGATCGAAATCGAATGTGTTCTGTTCGGGCTTGTATCTTTGCCCCTTGCCGCTCGAAGACGCGGCGATATGCAACGAAATATGTGGGATCGCGGACGTCGCAGCTTTGCCTCCTGCGGCGGTGGCGCCAGTTCGAGGCGAAGAATGCATTTTTCGCATGTGGACTTGGTACGGATCGAGGCTTCGCCGTATATTTTGGTGAAGTTCTGGGACAGAATGGTAAGCAAAGGCTGTATCTGGAAGGGAGGATTTGCCCGCACGGTGGTTGATCTGAGGATGGGTGAAAGCCAGAGAACGAGTGAGAAATGCTGGCCCCCGTATGGCACCAGCTGTGGACATGATGAGAACGGCGAAAGAAGCGATTCCTGCGCCTCAGATTAGGGAACGTGGAGGAATACACATAGAAGCACTTGCGACGACGGCTTCGGGGTCAAGGCATTCTGTCTGTTGAGAAAGCGGTAACGCAAAGTACAAGACGGACGAGAAAGTCTGAGCGTGTACCGTGTCTGGCATCTCGGACATAACTTTTTTCTTTATCAGCGCAGCAACTGACGTCGGAACCTTCCATTGGCTGCCAACAAATCCACCGTAAAGATCTGGGTGAGTGATACGGTAGAGTATTTATGGCAGAAGAGGCAGAACAGGGGAATGTAGCCTTGCCGGTCTGCTTCCTGGACTTATTTACACGTCGGCCACACCATACTATTGAGGTGTCACCGTTGAGCAGAGTTCTCAATTGATTCATGCAGCCTGACGTCGGTCCTGTGTCTGGAGTACAACCTTCGGTGGGAGGAATCAGTTGCATACTGACTCGCGGTCTTATGCTGCCTACATAAACTTGACGCAGTTCCTGATGCAGAGCCAGAAGTCCTGCATTATGTACTCAACCCGTGGATTGCAGGCACGGCTGTCAACATGCTGCAACAGACCACTGACGAACCTAAAGTCCTTCTCGCAGTTCGGACATCGGAACCGGTATTCATCCATCCAGTGGTTCACGTACTCAGCGCAGTGTGTATCATCGAAGACGGCATTGTCAATTTTATCCAGATCCACCCCGCTTGTGCAGTATCCGGATTCCAAATGTAGCACCATGGCCGGGAACTCCGAAAACATCTCGTAGCAGCCAAAACACTGGATTTCTCGTGGAAGATGGGCACGCTTGTGCTAAGGACAAGGGTAAAGGTTAGAATCCACCGAACCTACGGCGCGGATCAGCGCCGTGCGGTAGTACGTACCTGTTGAAGATTATTGTCATTGATGAATTCTTCGCCGCACACGGTGCACTCGTGATGATCTTCGATTTTGTGTTCCTCAAGGTCAGAAGCCGTGTGGTAATCGAGATCGCAGCGGTTGCAAACATTGTGATGGCGAGAGTTGGCCTTGTGAGCACCGCAAGCTTCGCGCGAAACGAACAACCACTGGCATCGGTTACACCATTCTCCAGAATGGACGGCAGCATTCCGGCAATGGGATAGGGCGCCATCCGCATTTGAGAAAAATCGATTGCAGGCCAGGCATTTGTAGAGTCCCGCGGCCTCATTGATATAGAGCTCATTCTCCCGTGTCATCTTGATCAATGAGACAAGATAACTCTAAGTAGCTCACTCGGGGCCAAGGAAAGGAGACGTGGAGAGGAGGAGGATTGCTTGGCTGCGTTGATAGCGCCACTCCACGACACAGGCACAGGCAGGTAGCCGCAAACAATCGGCAAAGAGATTACCTGGACAGGGTATTAGGTTAGGCACACCTCGTCTCACAACATGCTGTCCTCTATGGCATACCGGGTAACCGTTCGTCAAACTCTGGTCCTGGACTGTGCCTCAGGCTAGTCTTCTGGGGATCAATGGTGCGTTCCACAGGGCAATAAGTAAACAGGAAGGGAGGCACACGCTTCAGGGATAGACATTGGACACCAGGGTAGTTTTCAGTTCATTGAAGAAACCCAAGCACTCAACTGGCAGTGAATGCTCGCTGCGTAGGCGGTTGCAGCGTTGTAGCAGAGACAGTGACTGTACAATTGTTTGGAAGGAAAACTCCCTCAGTCAGGAGATACTGTTTGAGCATTGATAACAAAGATGGAAGGTAGTGGGAGACGCCGGCAGGGTGCCTTGTTTATACTGTAGGCGTACTGAGCAACATACCCTGCTGTAATGCCCCTTCCAACGTTTACCTTTGCTTGATCATTATAGTCTCCTCCGAGCTGAATGCAAGCTTATTCGTATTGCCCTCTTTTCCACCCAGATGAGAAAGTGACACCGCATGTGGAATATTTAAATTTTTAGCGGGCTACCGTACAGTGTGCAGTAGTAGCACCAGTTGTAACGGAAATGCTCAGCCGTATTTCCATCGGAGACGGGGGCGGAGCTTCCCGCAGGCAGCGCATGTCCAACTCCATCCGCTACTTATTGCATGTGGCCATGTCGACTGCCATACTCTTCTATCCCTCTAGTTCAGAGCCTACCAGGTATCTAGAGCCCTGCTGTTTCATTCTTTGACCAGGTCTGGACCAGAAAACATCCCCGCGCAATGGCTGCGCAAGTCCCGGCCGCCCTTAAAACGGCCGACATCACCGCATTTGCTCATCGAGCGGCGCAGCTGGAGAAAGTGAAACCTATAATAGCTTATTGGTGTAAGTCTAGGTCGCTTCAACGCTCGAAGGAGATCCAGCGGATTAACTGTCGGCAGGTAACTATTGGATTGTGAATCAGATCCTGTCCAAAGGTTTACACAATGCCGATCAAGAAAGCCTTACCTACACCACCACGTTGATGGACAAACTGGAACGAGTAAGTCCTGGATGAGACTACACCTGGTCAAAGCCTGACATATGACTTCAGTTCAAAGCCGAAAACGCCGAGGAAGCCGCTGTCTCTGATGATGTTGTTGGGAAAGCCTACGTGGAACAATTTGCATTGGAAACACTAGAAAGAGCGGACAATGCAGTGAGAGCAAACAAAGCTACCAAGCAAACAGCAGACACATTTCGAGCGGCGGCCACTTTCTTGGAGCTTCTACAGATTTGGGGTCCTCTTGATGGAGAAATTAGCAGCAAGATAAAGTACGCAAAGTACCATGCTGTAAGGATAGTCAAGGCCATCCAAGCTGGAGAAGATCCCAATCTGTCCAACCCGAAGCCAGAGCAGCCGGCCGGAGAAGCTCTTCCTCCCTTGAACCCCGACGACCCTGAAGTACAAGCTCTCGAAGGCGACAGCAGGAAGTCGAGGCAGCCATCCGTGGTCGAGGTCCCCGACGAAGCGGACCAGACGCAGAGGAGCCTTGCGCAACGGTCGTCGCTTGATGAGTCTCTTCACCCCTCGCGAGACACGTCGAATCCTCCACCAGTACCAAAGCAGGAGCGTCAACCATCTGTTGTCGAGATTCCAGACGAGGCGGACCGAGTACAGAGCTATATCGCTCCTCAGTCGATAATTGATGAATCTCTTCATCCCTCCCGAGAACCATCTGCACCTCGGACGCCGACAAATAATGTCTCTCCAATAGTGCCAGAGGATGCGGCATCATTCTACAAGACTCAACCCGGCCCATCCGATATCTCGCTACCGGAGGCCTCCTCAGCCAGGAAGCCGTCAATTGGCGGCAATTACTTTCCTACAGTCCCGTCCGCTGTCGCACCGGAGCTTCCATCAGCACCCGTAGCCATGGATGCTGCTCCGTTTTTACCGTCTGCTCCAACAGATTTTAGTGGAACACCTCCAGTTCACCCTGACCCATCATCCACGTCAGGCCCCAACTCTCTCGGTGCTGGGTCGCCTTCTCCTCCGCCGCACCGGCATGGCCAGTTCTTGCCACCATCCGCCCCAGGTCAACCGCCACAGATTCCACCAAACCTACAGCCTCAAGTCCCGCCGCCTCAGATTCCTCAAAACCCTCCGCAGCTTCGACAGGCTCACGGATCAGCACCTCCAGTTCACCAGCCTCAACAGCCTACACAGTCAGCGAATGTTGTTGTTGATGAAGAAGCCATAATGAAGGCTCAGAAACACGCCCGATGGGCCATCTCGGCCTTGAATTTTGAAGATGTCCCTACTGCCATTCGGGAGTTGCAAGGCGCTTTGGCCCTGTTGGGCGCCAGGTGACACATCATAACCCAGGATCTGCTTCGAATTCTTTCTGAAACAAGCATTGTTCTCCATGACCACCAAACTACAAGGGCAGCTCGCAGCTCGTGGTCTGCTATCGGCCGCTCTTCTTAACGTCTCACCAAGCAGACCTCTGAATTCAAGCAATACTATCGAAGCTTGCACTCACGGGGTTATGGACAGAAGCAGGCCAACGATGACGACAATGGTCCTGTCATGTCAACCGACGTTAAAGCTTTGCAAGAACAACGGAGTCATCCATCAGTTAAGACTGAATCAGGCAAGGCCGTCGATCCCTTTTCATCCCCGAACGCCGAAGCCGTCTATTTCTGTTCACATCGAGCTTCATCACCTTTCGGCCTTCTGCAATGTGGCTCTGTCCGTAGGGTCTCCGTCCGCTCGGCCACTATCTATGTGGAATGAAGGGCTACTGTCGAATTTGGACAAAATGACAAAGTATTCTTCGATGGACTATCCCCCTTGGCGGGTTTCCTCGAGGTTGAGATGATGCGCGACATGTCAACGGAGCCATCTTGAGACAAGTATTGGTCGCAGCCAAGATGGTCCTCAATCCCCCCGGTTTCCATTCCTCATCGTTGTTACAATTCGACTTCGGGTAGCGGGACCGAAGCAATACGTCGCATGGCTATCTTAAACTGAGTCTGTGTGTGACTGGCGAGTCAGCCGCAGAGTTGATCCCGCCAAAACTTCTGATGCCGGGCCCTTCAGATCATTTATATCACGACGGCTTCCATACCGGCAGGCGATGCACTAGTGGCATTGTGCATATCATGCCCGATATCCCGCCCACAGCCTACAACGATAGGATAGTCTACGATGGCATGTATGCATGTCTACTAGCACGAACGACAACACATAGTTTAAGACCAGCATGTACACTTCGTGATGAATCACTCGTCAAGCCCTCAATTCATTTTCCTTTCTTGCATTGGAGAAAATGGCTTCCTGCTCTAACTTGAGGCGCATTTTGTGACTGTACATACATACATAGCATGACTTTGTGGGTCAGGTCCCGTAAGATAAAAGTATGGCTACCTAGCTTTGGCAGACCACTGCACTCCAGAACTTCGATTGGCCGAGTGGGTGTCCAACTTCGGATGTAAGAGTAAGCTCAAACTCAGCGCTGGTCAAAATTGCAATTGAACGCGGCATGGTTTGGTTGTGCTCGGGTTTCTCTTGGTATTCTGGCCGATCTAGCCGGTCAGAGAGAGGCTGGGATGTGTTGGGTTGTTAAGCCGGATAAGTGTCTGTGCTGGCCAGCTATGGCGCGCCTAGCCCCCAATCGTGCGTTCCATGTGATCGTACAGTAGTCGCAGCCTCAGCCGCCACCGTCTGATCGCGTTCTCGCTTCGGATCTGAAAGCGTAGGTCTCTGATTCGGAGATCGGTCCAGCACCTGCGTGCCGTGTTGCAAAAGCTGAACTTGGATGAGGCCAAGCAAATGTGCAAGTGAGCCGCTGAAGCTCGAGATACGAAGATGACGTGAGGCATGATGTCTCCACCCCCCTAACGTGCAATAAATCGTGAAGTTGAGGGCAACGTTGGGGTGGGCATCTCGTGATGCGCCGAAAGCCACCGTTGTTTTGTTTCAGTCGAACAAGTCGCCGGCCCTCCGTCGAATTCTCTTCTCCCGCACAGGCTCGTCAAAGAGTTCTTTACCTTCGTTCCTGCCTCCCTTATCATACTGGTTCGGAAACAGCTCTTTGACACCAGCGCGACCCTTGATGCTGAATCCTCCAGAACCCTTAATACTGAAGCCAGCACCGTCCTTGTCCTTGGCCGCGCCCTTGATATTCAAACCCGCACCAGAACTGTGGCCGGAAGAGGGAAACAGTTCGATACCATTATTTGCCATTCCATTTTTGAACGACTTCGTGCTGTCGATGGATATTGACTTGCGCGCAAACCGCTCTGCGAGATCTTCCTCGTTCTTGGCATCCATCGCGTGACTGCGTCGGTGGGAGCGAGGACTCGTCTGAGCCGCGCTCAGCAGATCAGCTTTCAATCGCTTAGCGGCGGCCACATTCGCCCGAGCATTGGATGGGTCGGTAGTGGCCTTTGGCGCCGCGTTGTCGGTCTGATCAATGTTCATAGATGCATCTACTGTAGCTGCCTTTGAGGGGAAGAGCTCGATCCTGTCTGAATGCAAGCCACTGCTGCCCTTGCGGTCAGGCGTACTGCTGAAGAGCTCCTTTCCAGAGTTCGTGCGAGGACCTCGGTCGCTTCGATCGCGATAAGCGCTGCCACGTCGGCGGACACGACCCTCGTCTTCGGAGCCGGAAATGTCGATTTCATCACTGTTGCGTGTTCGCGGTCGACCTGGACTCGCACTTCGTCGTCTGCCTTTTGACACTCGGGAGAATAAATCTCGGCCTCTGGCAGTCTGTTCTTTCTCGGTGGCGGTCGCCGGCGCATCGTCATACATGTTTGCTGAGAAGTCTGTCCCTTCGTCGTTGCGGTCGTGGTCTCTTCGCCGCCGGTGGAGCTCGCGATCGTCGAACCGTCTGCGCCTGTAGTCCCCATTTTCAGGTCTTGAAGTCCTGCTATTGGCGAACTCGCGGCGCATTCTTTCTGTAGGATCTTGATCAGGATGCAGCAGGTAGTATCTGCTTGCATCTCTTGCTCCTTTCCTCTTCCTGTCACCCTGTTGCGCTACTCGAACCACAAGCATACTGGCCGGTCTGCTGGCGAGAGGTTTGGCGGTCCGCAGCTCGAAGGGCTCGTTCGTCAGTTGATCGACTGTAATTGGATTCGCAAGGAATGCGAGATGTGCTTTCTTCGCCGTCGCGTTGTCTCTGAAGCAGATGTTGGCAGAGGTGTCGTCGATCCATTGAACATGTACATCTTCACCAACTTCACTAAAGTGGTCGTGTACAAATGCCAGAATGTCGTTCGTATGCATCTCGTCCACGCCGCGGATGTGCACTTTGTTCCATTGCGGCTCGAGAGCGGGGTCTTCCGTGTAGATTGCCGGGATGATGTTCGTAGAGTCTTGGGTCGCCGTCGCGCCAGTTGGTACAAACGAGGGTTCTTCACCTTCCTGTAACGTAAGTGTGAGGATGCATGTCCGCGATAGATCGAGGCTGGGGAGTTCTTGACCGTACTTCGAGTTGGTATTCTTCATCGATTGGGATATCGTGGTCATCAAGGTCCATGTCGATGTCGATATCCATCAGATCGGCGTCCTGCGCCGAAGCCGCTGACGGTTCCATGGCGAGCGCCATTGGGGTCTGCAACACCTAGTCGAGATGCCAGAAGTTTGAGGGTGTGTCGAAGATACGGAAATATATGGAAGAGTGAGCTCGGCGTGAGCGACCGTGTGATGAGGGATATTTGAAGATAACTATTGATACATAATCAAGGCCGTGAACGCGCAAGAAATCGCGGATGAAGTGAGTTGGAAAAGCACGGCTTAGGTTGGGGCTGGGGCCGATTTTAGGTGGAAGTGACAGTGAAACCGTGTTGTTCGCGTACGTGACTGGTGATGATTGGGGGTGAATCTAAGATAAAAGCCAAGTCACTTGTAGAATACAATGCAGAACCAGAGTAGGGGACAATGGGCGCGGATGTCTTCTTGATTGTTCAATTGTCCGTCCGCAGTTGTCGAGTTGGAGACATTCGGCGACGTCTCGAGGCTGCGAGTTTGACGCATTTCTCACGCTTCTAAGATAGGAAGCAATCCGGAGCTGCTTTTACATCCCAGTCCCCGCCTCCTCTCTTCCTCGAACCCCCTCCAGGTGCCCCTTTATTCCCGAGGCCTTGTTGCGGCCCCGGGGCCAAGTCTGCCGTCCAAGCGATCCCTCGAGAGCATTAAGCCCAAGTCTCCAATGCAGTGCCAGCTGAAATGGAGTATGTTAATAGAGGTCCAAAAGCCATAATCATTATCGAGACCAATAACACCTCCTCTTGTAGCCTCGGATAGGGTCCTTATCAAGCCCAAGTTGAGCCCTTCCTCTCCATCCTTTGGCACGGTGGCAGACCATGAACGTGGCCAGATCACTCAGGCATGTTCGCAGGCATGGTTCTTCGCCACGACATACCTCTCTCCCAAGACGGAGTACCAGGAGACACCTCTCTGTCCAGCGCATAGCCGGCTCCTTGGGAGCTGAAGTCGAGGACATCGACCTGAATCATATATCAGAGAACCCCGGCCTTGTGCGAGAGATCCGCGAAGCATTCCTCGAGCACCAAGTCATCTTCTTCCGGGATCAGAATCATCTTGAGCCAGAGTCGTTCCTCAATTTCGCCTCTCAATTCGGCAAGTCCGTCAAGTATCCTTTCGTACGGGGCATCGACGGCTTTCCCGAGATCATCCAGGTGTTAAAGCAGGAGCACGAGACCGTCAACTTCGGCGGTATCTGGTACAGCGACACATCGTATTTCGAAGAGCCACCAATGGGCTCAATCCTGTTGGCGAAAGAAGTTCCCCCCTTTGGCGGTGACACCCTCTTTGCCAACCAATATGCGGCATACGAGTCTCTGTCAGAGGGACTGAAACGAACACTGAGCTCCCTGAAGGCGGTAAGCACTTCTGTGAAAGCAGATGTGAGCAAGACGCGCGAAGACAGAGTTCGGGACAGTGGCAACAGCGCTGCTCAGTCATCTGTCATGGAGGCCGTTCACCCTGTCGTCCGGACGCATCCAGAGACAGGCCGCAAAGCCCTCTATGTGAATGTAGCGCATACCTCTCATTTTGAGGGTTGGACGGAAGCTGAGTCGAGTCCACTGTTGCAGTTTCTTTTCAATCATCAGATAAGACCTGAGTTTACCTGCAGATTTCGTTGGAAGATAGGCAGCATTGCGTTCTGGGATAATCGATGTGTCCAGCATAATCCGATTAATGATTACCATGGATATCGACGCAGTATGTTGAGAATCACGCTTGCTGGAGATAGGCCAAGATAGTAATTTAATGAAATGTTTGATTGTTCAGAAAACCATGCGTCCATTTGAATTCTTAAACTCCTGGTATTTGCACTTCTGGAAGGAAGTAATTCCTAGCTAAAACTCCGGGGTATCATGCATGACTCGTAAAAACAAATAAAAAAAACAAGTCAACCCCGATACGCCGCACTGCATGCCATTTCCATCTGCTAGCCTTGTAGGTGCATGATAGTTGAAGATCGGACCAGCCGTCTTCTGCATGCCTTTGTTTCTCAAACGCCCAGACTCCCAAAACTCCCAAGTGCTATGAACGAAAGTGGTTAGGATCCATGAGTAAGATATCTTCAATAAGTGTCGCAACTCCTTCCCCATATGTAGGTAGTGTCTTGCATCAATCTCGTGCTGTCCTCCTCAATATCTTTCCAGTGTGTCGGAGTATCTGTTGCAGATTAAATGATTGTAATGGTGAAAATGTTGTGCATCTCCAACGGATGTAATAGTGGTGAAAATCCGAAAAATTTTGATGCATAGCCAAATGAACGAACTGAAGTGGAGACTTGTTGGAAAAGTCGAAAATGAATGAAATGGCCATGTATGTCTAATAAGCGACGCGGGCTTTTCTCGTTCTCAATCCCTTTTGCACTGCATTGATCAGCTCCTTGTCGGGCTGCCACTCGTCATCGTCGTCATCGTCGTCTCTCTTTCTCTTGCGAGGCGGTGTCTCGTCGGGCCCGGACTCGTCAGAAGGGGCAAAGAAGGGTGAGTCGAAATCCTCTTCTTCTTCTTCTTCGGATTCAGACTCGGAATCGGTCTCGTATGTTCGCTTGCGCTTTCCCTTGGCCTTCTGGGTCAAGGTCGAAGCGGCTTTCTTAGTGCCATTGGCACGTTTTCTCGCTGCTTGCTGGGTCTTTTTGGCCGCAGCCTTGCGTCTGGCTGCCTTTGCTCTGGCCGCCTTGCCCTGTTTGGAGGTCGAAAGTGGCGCCTTTCTGTTCTTGCGCTCGTCGAAGAGGGAACGGGCGCGGCCATACCGGTTCCAGAAGTTCTTGACTGCAGTCTTGCCGGTCTTGACGACCCCGTCCTGCTGTGCCATGCGTCGCTGGGCTTCTCGGAACCGTGCTTCGCCCTGAAGTTTGCCTTCTGCTCGGATGTTGACCATGTGTTGGATGCACGACTCTTGCTCGAACAACCGCCACTTCCGGCCAGGCTTTTCCTCCCTGGAGGCAGCGACAAGGTTAGGAGGGGCAGGGAAAGGCAGGAGATCATCATCACTGTCGTCTTCTGAAGACGACGATTCTTCTGAAGAAGACGACTTTTCAGCTTCGGATGGCTCCGGCTCTGATTCAGGTTCCTTGGCTGACTTCGAGGATGATGCCGACGATTCCTCCGAAGAAGACGATTTCTCATCTTCGGATTGCTCCCGTTCTGATTCAGGTTCCTCGGCCGATTTCGAAGATGGCTTCGAGGACGACTCCGAGGACGACGATGATGGCGTTGGCGATGCTGGGGAAGGAGACGCCGGTGGTGGTGTGATTGGCGACCATGATGGCCGGACTGGCGATCTGGGCGGCCACTGCTGGGAGGTTGGCATTGACAGTGGTGGAGGACGCTTTTTGGCGCCCCCCTTGCCATTGTCAACCTCCTCGGGCTCATCGTCCGAGATCTCAATTGTCTCCCGAATCAACTCGGGCGAAGACGATTCTTCAGCCGCTTCCGACTCATCGAGGAAGAGTTCCCCGGCAAACACAAAGCCAGGGACCTCCTCCTCAACAGAGTCGTCAGCCACCGCTGATGGGGCGGCCACTCCGCTCCCACCAGCGGCGTCCTGCGCCGGTGTGGTCTTGACAAGACCCGGCAGCAAGGGCTTGACAAGAGACTCCGCCAGCCCGGCCCGCTCCTTCAAATACTTAACAAGCACATCGGGGTGCGCGTCAAGAAAGTCGTAAACGTCACTCTCATTCAATGGGAGCACGTGAATCGCCGGACACCATTCGGAAACCGTGGCGTTTAGCAGGGCAGAACATTCAGCGTTGTAGATGGCCATTTTGACTGCAAAGGACACAGAAAAAGAGCCTGCTCTTGGGTTTGAAAGGAGATTTGAAGTGGAAAAGAGATCTGAAGCACAAGATGAGCCTGCTCAACTTGTTCTTGCAAAGGGAATTGAACTGCGAAAGATTTTGAAGGAGAAGGTAAAGAGCCTGCTCTTGAGATGTGAAAGGTTGACGAGGGAAGAGAAGAGGAGAGAGAAGGAGAGGGAGGACAGAAGGGGAGGTATATATAGACGGCCATGACTTCTTACCTGTGCGAATTGGCCGCATTGGGATGTATTGTGTACGCATGGAACCATTGAATAGAAGTCAATGCCGCGGGAACACTGGTGGTGGGATATCTCAATGGCAAAGCTGTGTTGATGTGGGATTGGATTGAGGCCATTGGCCGGGGAGACACAATAAGACCGCAAGGTGGATGGACAATAGCTTGAAGTGAATATCGGGACAATAGAACAACAGAAGGATTCTCCAGCCTCGTTACCGAACTGCTGGGACTCCGGAGGGCTCCCGGAAGTCATTTTCTTGTAGCCAAGCAATACACTGACCAATCCTGAGACTCGCTGGACCAGCTGAGGTTATTGTCAACGAGCGCGTCTTGTGTTCAAAGGAAGTAAAGTAAATGAAGTTGTCGCAGAGTAGAACACAGGATGGACAATGCTACCAGCACCGATTGTTGCTCGTGCAAATAGTTAGTGCAGCTACTGCCAATATACAGGACCCTACCTGTGTGAGAGGGTGCGTGAGCTCCTTGAGAGCAATAGGAGGGCGTTCAACGCACACTTCCAAAGTCCTCCTTTGCATCAGGTCTATCCCAAGTCTGAAGTTCCAGCCGTCTCACACGCCCATCAATCTGACAGATACGATCATGATTTTCACGTCTAGCCTTCTCCTGGAGATCAAACGTCCTCCTCAGCTGCTGCAGCATAAACGGCTCAAGGGTGGTCTTTTTGGCCGCGCGGTAATCGTAGACGACCACGTCCTCGAGACAGCGAGCGGCCGGCCTCTGACGCAGTTCCGACATGATCAGGACATCGAGCACCAGCGACTCGCTGGACTCGTCCGGCCGGGCCCGCAGCTTATGGTAGACGGAGATGCGATCAGGCCATGTCATGGGGAACTTGAAGTCGACGGTAATGCTCTTGAGAATCAGGCCGATCCCTCGCGACGTCAACAGTTCTCTCCAGGCTCGCTTGTGCGCCGGATCCAAATCCACCACAGCACCACCATTCTTTTCCTCCTTTTCGTCCAGCACCGGATGTTCCCCGTAGTTCAGAATCCAATTACACCGTCCACTTTCCGCGTATCGTACGTACATGACGTTGTTGACGTGGCCCATGGAGTCTTGTTCGCCCCAAACGATCCGCTGGCGGTGTAAGCCCGCTCTCTTAGGCGAGGTCAGGTATCCTTCGCTCCCGGCCACCAGTTCCCGCCAGTCACGTCCGAGGATCCCCAGAATCTCCGCCGCCTCGTTTACCAGCTCGCTCGGCATTCCGAACGTAATGCATTTCCCAATCCGGGCTTTTGTTTCACTCAGCCATCGAGGCGATATCGCGCTTTTGGTGTCAGCGTGCCCGGGCGCTCGAACTGAGGACGTGTACTGGCGGCAACGAGTTCGACGGGGAAGGAGCGTCACCGGTTGACAACACAGACCCGCACTCAACGACGACGCGTTCGAGCTCGAGGCTGTTGCTGCTACTGCCGCGGGTATTGTCTGGCTGGCATGCCGGAGGGCGCGTTGAGGGATCATATTACTAGTACCAGTACATGTATCGGCTGCGGGCTTCTCCTGCGCCAAACTGCACCGTGTCAAAGCCACTGGGAAAGGGCGGCCGCGGGGTTCAAAGAGAGGTTGAGCAAGAAATAAACTCAATTCTATTACTATTACAATACCTCAGTACCTAGGTAGGTTGTGCTGTGAGCAAATGTACGAGTTGTCTTCCGTCATTTTTGGGGTTCCCGGTCGAACCTCGGCTTGTCGGAGGTCTCCATGCTCACGAGGCTGAGCACCCCTTGCTAGGGACGATCTGCCGAGCAAATGGACTTTCGACACAGCTGCTATTGCATATGTATTTCTCAGAAATCAAGAAGGATGTCGGATGTTAGAATGGAAGCCACAAAAATTCTTCAGCTCAATGTCCTAACATGAAGGATACACCCAGTGGTCGAATTAAACTGGTCGTTCCGAGATCTCCATCATCAAATAGTAGTCAAAAAGCCCTTCCTTCACCTCTGTTCTGCCGGTGAGTTTCCGATGCCGGTGATGCCGTTACAGACGGACCATCTTTCTGCTTGCTGTTCTTGGTCCTCTTTTCTTTCGTACCCGCCTGTCCATTTCCAACCACTTGTTTTCCCGTGCCAGAGCGCAACAGCGGCACATCCCCCTCTTCTTGATCATTGAGTCGTCGTCCTCGTCCTCGCTTTTCTTTCTCCGAAGCAGTCACGGTCCCACTTGCCATCTCCAATCCCGCGCCACTACCAGTCCCAGTCCTGACAGGGCTTGAATTCCCAGCAGCATCAATTTGACTGCCGCGCGCAAGTCTGGGACCCTTCCCCAGCTCTCGCCACACGACCAAGACGGCCACATAAACGACCCAGACCAAGGTCGCGATGACACCGTAGACAATCTTGGGCGCCGTGGACCACTGTGGTGGACGATGAGAGGCGAATTGAAAGCCTAGGTCGCCGTTGAGGATGCCGACAGTCAACAAAATCCGACCTAGCCATAGGTGGATGTGGGCGAGGTGGATGAGCCGGGGGAACCAATGGTATAGTCGGTGATTGAGGACTTGGAAGACAGGTTGTAGACCGAGGAGGGAGAGCAGCACTAGGCCGATGATGGGGTGGTAGGATGTCAACTGTTTTGCATGTGCCGTGCGATTAGTATTGTGGATATTCTTCAATGAAATAGAGAAAGAGACAAGATAGAGGATGGTTCGAGGAGAACAATAAGAGAAAGAAAGGGAACCGGCCTGAGGGCTGTTCGTGGAGCCACGAACAGAGACAAGGCTAGGAGAAAAGAGAGGATCGATAACTGCCAAAACGAAGGACTCAATGGCAGCGTGGTTACTGTGCAAAACGTTCAGATCTCTTCGAACTTCAGTCCACATACATGATCTGTTCTTCTTGCCATCCATATCCCCAAGCCGGCCGCAGTCGCAAAGACGACATATGCAAAGCCCTGCAACGCTGCGTGAATCCAGACGATTTGGGCTCGATAGTTGCCGATGCGGACCAGGATGCCTCCGAGAGGGAAGAAGACCAGAAACGCACTCGACGCCAACACAGCGTGTGCGATGCGAATTTTGTTGAAGTTGGTCGGCAAGTCGGCTGGGGTTTTCAGCGACGATGCCCAGTCGATCCCTGCATTGCCCGAGTCAAGCTGTGCAGACTCGGTCGCCGTCGCTGCTGATGCAGGTGCCGATATTTTAGAGTGCCACCATCTCGAGCCTACCGGGTCGGAGGGTGTTGGGATGAATGGAGGATGGGCGACAGCCAGAGTAGCTGTGGCATAAAGACGTTGAAATCGTTAGCTACAGTTTGCTTGCGACCCACAGAAATGCTATGTGGTTTCTGACATCAATCGAGATGAAGTTGACTGAGGGATTTGAGATGCTTGGGATAGGACTTATTGTACGTGCCATTGGTAGGTTTGGCCGTAAAGAGATCTCGAGCAGAGGCGCAACTGAACGTACCGGATATTGTGAGAAAGAAAAGCACAGAGGGTAGGTATCGGCGGCGAGACATGACTGTGGTTTGGATTATTGGAGAGGCTGTGTTCCTGGAGTGATGGGATCTTCAAGTCTGGAAAACGTCAAGCGATACCTTTGGGACCAGAAAGAACGACGGAACATGACCAACTCGGGAAGAAAAGAAATCAGAAACGGCCCGGACAAAGAATGAGATATGGTCTTCGAGATGATAGAACAGTATCCATGGTTTGCTTGATATCCGGCGACAGCGGCACATGTCCACGATCGGTTTTGTTGACATGGTCAGCTTGAGCAGTGTGTTGTTCAGTTGGAATGTGGCAGACATCCTAGGCAACATTGACCATGGCCAGCATTCCGGTAAAGCTTCCATGTAGTGTTCCAAGAGTAAACAAGTAGACTGATGATGAAATAATATAATATTTGATTTTAGATTCGAATTGCTTGCGGTCCGTATGAAACCAGATATAGTGCCGCTTGTCCTCGTCGTTAATCGTTAATCATCAGGTCGTATACGGTCATCAAGCATGCATTCTGGAGTTGTAATAGGCTGGAATACCCAGCTCCTTGAGGGATACCATCTTACAGAGTGACTTGATCTGTCACCTGTCCGTTCTTTGCCCACCACTCAGCCCAGTGGACGACCTTCCTTCCCCTTCGCGCCTCCTCGGCGGCAAATACCACTGCATGACTCAGTATGATTTCGGCCAGATCACAGCCCACGATGTCGCGTTGCGCCTGCGCAACGCTCATCGTCCCTTCGTCAACATGTTGTACGGCGCGGACGAAAGCACCAGCAAGACCCCAGTCACCACCGCCGTGGCTTTTCTCGACCTCTGGAGCTTGCTTCGGGACATTATGTACTATCGTCTCGCCGGTCGCGAAAGTGTGCACGGTAATGGTGTGCGAATCGTAAGTGATTTCGCCCAGCGAACCATATATCCTGCCTCGGCGTTCACATTGTGATTGCGTCGGATAAGTCATGTGGAAAAGCGCTCTTTTCGGCCCACGACCCAAATCTTGCCCGGCGACAGGGTCCTCGTCCCATTCCATGGTGACAGTCTGGTCGTCGACCACGTCGTTGTCGGCTTCGTACACACATCGTCCGTACCATGCCCTACTGGCAATCGTTTCATCCGGCGTTATGCCTCTATCGTAGTCTTCGCCGAGCTTCTGCGTGAGTCTCGCTTCAGCGGCATCCCAGCCCTTGCACGAGACAATATCCTCGATTTCAGGGACGACTATCTTCAACGGCCAGCCGGTATCTCGCTCCTTTCGTAGCCACCGGTCGCGGTAGATCTTCTTCGCCGAGTATATACATTCTGGCTCCGCGGGACATGAAAGACAATTCGTAGTGGCAGGACCTGCGAGTTTCGGCTTTCTGGCCGGCCTGAAATGTGTGATGGCTCCAGTACTTGAGACCGTCGATGGCAGATGTGGAGTCTCTCCCGTGAGAGGACTGGGAGAGCAAAGCAACCAGAGAATAAAATCAATATCGTGGCAGGACTTGGTCAACAATGAACCGACGCCCTCGGGCGTTGTTCGCCGCCAATTTCCGCGGACATAGGAATGGGCAAAGTGCCACCACCCCACGGGTTCGGTATGCTCGATGGAAACGATCTCACCAATAGCCTTATCGATGGTCAACAGTCTGCGTAGCAGGATATTGTGTGGCGAATATCGCAGCACGTGTCCGATGGAGACCACCTTGGGAGGATATCTTGAAAGGGCCGCTGATATGGATAGGCAATCGGACAACGAGAGGGCCATAGGTTTCTCGCAGAGAATATGGAGGTTGAGAGGCGCGATTGCCCGGATGATCGGAGCATGGGTTTCGTCAAGGGTGCAGATGAAGACGCCTGTAATGGGGATATAGCCAGGCTGGATATCTCCAGCCTTGTCCGCGCTGTTCCTCCGCCGCGTCTCCCACTCGACCCATTCTTGCCAGCCCGGAAAAGACTGATGCTCCTGGGGTTGTCCTTCACTGCCCCATATGTATCGCTTGCCAAACTCTTGCCGTTTGAAGGGGTTGATCTCTGCTATGGCGGCGATGGACCCAGATGTGGAGGCTTCGACAGCGCGGGCATATGCATGACCCCGAGATCCTGCGCCGATAACAAGGAATTGCGGAGGATGGGGAGGCGGTGCAAGAGAGCCCATCTTGAAGACTCTCCTTATACAAGGAGTGAGGAATGTAAACGAGCGAAGGGCATCGTGGAGGATCGAGTTACTGGCTATGCAGCGGGCTGTGGAAAAGTCACAACGATGTGGCTGCTCATTCAGTTCAAGTTATCGAACATGGTAACTCGAACTCCGAAATGGCAGCCTTGTTATTGGCTGACCTCGTGGTAACACAAGCGGTCCAAGTTCAAGTTGTACACAACCAACCAGCCACGCCCGCCGAGTTTTGTTTATGGGTGGCCTGGACAAGTTCTGGTTACAAACGTAATCTTGGTTTGTGAAACAGCTGTAGCCATAGCCATTGTGCCCAGCAGTAGTATTGGTCTGGCGGGTGGTCCACTGCATGGCCAGTTGTCCAGGGTTCAAGTTGGGCAATGCTGCAGCGAACCTCCTGGGCCAATGCATCCATCCTGAGGTGCTGGCCACGACCACCCTGTGTCCGGCTGGGCAGCATACCTCTATCTGGGACTCTTCATGCAAAGCGGGCTGTGGCGTCGTCTTCATTGCCGCGCGCCGTGCGAGCATGCTTCTGGCGGGGCGGCACTTCGAAAGGAGTGTTCCTTAACCACTCTGACCTGCCTAAGTGGCTGCAGACATCCTTAACATCGGGCAGGCCGGCCCATGATGCTGGAGCTAAGAAGCTGGAAGGATTTTTTGCAACCGTCATGGGCTCGCCCGATCCCTACGGTAGGCAGCTGAATGGCATGGGAGGAGGGATTTCTTCACTCAGTAAAGCCATGGTGGTTTCTCGCTCGACCCGGTCAGATGCCGATGTGGACTATACATTCTTCCAAATTGGCGTGAAGGATGGACGACTGGATATGGCCGGGAACTGTGGCAATCTGACCTCTGGGGTCGGGCCTTTCGCGCTGAATGTTGGGCTATGTCAGGGATCCCTGGAAACGGGGTCTCGAACTCCTCCTGAGGGCGAAACTCAGCCTATCACCATGAGGATGCACAACACCAATACTGGGAAAGTTATCCAGGGCGACTTCGAAGCATGTTATGTCAATGGAAATTGGCAATATCACGAACTAGGAACGTGCTCGATTGACGGCGTTCCCGGCACAGGGTCAACAATTACTCTCTCGTTCCTCGATCCTGCTGGTTCCAAAACTGGAACTGCATTACCGACTGGCAACGCAATCGACGAGATCAAGCTTGATGGAGACGATGGAGTGATCCAGGCGTCGCTGGTCGACGTCAGCAATCCGGGCATCTTCATCGATGGCAGGGACGTAGGTTGGAATGCTGATGCTTCCCCTGAACATCTCAATGCGAACCACGAGCTCTTGGCCAAGCTGGAGACGATTCGCCGACGCGGGACTGAAATGATGGGCCTTGATCCCAATATCAGCAGCATCCCTAAAATCGTGCTTCTGTTTCCCCCTGCCCGGGAAGGAGTCGACATTGTCTGCCAGGCGCTGTCAATGGAACAGGCTCACAAGGCCGTTCCCGTCACCCTCGCACTCAATCTGGGTGTCGCCTGCAAGATGGATGGCACGATTCCTTCGAGAATGTCCAGACATTTACATCGGTCTAACACGGTCATTGGCCATCCTTCCGGCACGCTGGAGGTTGGCGCCTCGATCGAGCCTGGCAAGATACAAAGCGCCCGGTTGACCAGGACCGCTCGATGTCATATGGATGGCTATCTCAACCACCTTGCTGCCGAGGAGCAAGCATTCCCGTGATCGGATGCCCGGCTTTGCAGGAGCAGAGAGCGTCGTTAATGTGCAGAACTGGGTATCCCTGGACCGTCACCGAGTTTCCTTACCATTTCGTGCCCACCACCGCGCGTTTTACATTTGAGGCGTACTTTCTTCAAGCCTACCATGCCACGAGACACTAGTCACCCGCTGCACTGAAGAGCGCCGCATCCACAGCAAGACTTAGAGAGACCTCTGAAGAGAGGTAGTCCGAGGCTGTATCAACCCTTAGTAAGCATATTGGAAAGGTGATGTCATGCACTGCGGAGTGCGCTCAACGCCTCGGACCTCATCCAAGTACTATATTAGTTATTAACAGACCGTTACAAGCACCCCTCCATGTTCTCTGCAAATCGCATAGATACCACTGCTTCGCAATTGACGACAAGGTGAACTTCTCGTTCTCCTTCTTGTCATCGCGTGGGGAAAGAGCGACTGGAACTTCAAATACCATTCCGTGCATATCCAGCCGGCGCGTTGAAACCGGTGACTCAGTAGTACTCAGCTCCTCTCACAGTCTTGATTTACGGTTGCTTCGAGAACAAAAACAAAGCGCACAATGGCTACCACAGAAATCGGCATGGGCGCCTGCTGCATCTCAGGAGCCGTGCACGACGGCACACCCAGTGGACATGAAGCCACAGTCGGCGGACTACCGACATACATCGCCGAACCCAGCGATAAGTCGAAATCGAAGACTGTCGTCTTCATCGTGGATATCTTCGGGTGGAAGTTCAAGAATGTCCGTCTGCTGGCAGATCAGTACGCCAAAGCCGGATTCTACTGCTACATCCCGGACGTGCACGAGGGGGACTCGTTGCCCATTGAGTTCCTGCAGAGCGTCGAGCCGCCACTCAAGGTCAAGGAGCAGGAAGAACTACTTGCCAAGGCGAAAGAGACAGTCGACGTCATGGCCACGCTGGGCCCTTGGCTAATGCGACACCGTGAGAGTGTTTCAGAGCCCTTGATCTCCGGATTCATCGATGCCGTCCGCGGCATTGAGGGCACCGGCAAATTAGGAGCCATCGGATTTTGCTGGGGTGGCCGCTACGCCATCCTTCAAGGCCATGCTCGCAAGATTGATGATCGTGGTGCCGCAGGTCAGGGCCCGAAGCCAAGCGGCGGCGTAGATGCTGTCTATGCCTGTCATCCGTCTTTGCTGTCGATCCCTAGCGATCTGGAGCCCGTGGCAAAACCCGTAAGTCTGGCTGTTGGCGAAAAGGATTCCATGCTAGACTTGAAATCAGTGGATCAGATCAAAGAGGCCCTTGAGAAGACCGGCGTCCCTTTCGAAGTCAAGATCTATAAGGGCCAGGTGCATGGGTTCGCGTTGAGAAGTGATTGGAGCAGTGACGAGGATAAGAAGGCCATGGATGATGCCGAAAAGCAAGGCATTGAGTGGTTCAACAAGTACCTTGCCTAGGTGTGCTAGAATGCTGCTCAAGTCAGGAAATTGAGAGTGTGGAAGGGAGGTGAGAAAACAGTATGCTAGTATGTGGTACCAAGTCGTCCTTCCAACCGGCGGACACCGTCATTACGGGTCAATGCTGACAAAAAAATGGCAGCTTTTGCCCTGTCGTGGATGCTCAATGTCACATGTTAGCATAAGTTCATCATCGAGACGCAGCCTGTGAGCTGTTGATTCTGTTCCCCAAAAAGCTAATCGGTTGCGTATCCCTTCGGCCTTCTTGTCACCCCAGGATAAGCCTTTGCAATCACCCAAGGCTCGCCGCTTGTTCTTTGCTTTTTTGTTCTGTCCTCAATACTTGAGTGCATGAGACCGTCAAAGTGGCACAGCTACCGTCCATAAGCAGGCCCTCATTTTGTGGACTATGGTAAGCGGTTGACAGTGGGTGATGGGTAGGCTGCTCATCAGACCACCGAACACCGTAGTTCTTCTGATCGTGTTGTGTCACCGATCGTGCACGCTCGTACTCGCTTGGAAGGAGGATAAGGTCGACTGGCCCAATGGCGGAGCATCCAACCTCGCCCCCAAATAGGTACCGCGACCAACTCAGTCGGCTTGAGCATTCAAGCCGCAGCACGACTGTACCATACGCTATTAGCAGTGCACTGGCAAGATTCCAGAGGCCAGCCAGGAAGGCTTGACAGAGTTTACCAGCATTAAAAGTTGCGCCCCCAGGATGCCAAGTACTGATAAGCTTCTTCTCCACTATTGGCTGCTTTTCCCCGGATTCTGCTGTGGAGGTTGCCATACTTCAGGTTCAAGTCATCGAGAACATGGATGCTGGCAAACCAGATGTCGTGGATGCTCCATCTCTCATGATAAGGAGGCGCGTTCGCTTCGGCCTGTCGTTCACAACGAAGCTGGCCTAGAACCCCTGGTTCTCCTCGAACAGGCTGTCGGCCGCAGTATCTTTGCATGCTCGAGCTTCCAGCGACAGAAGGGTGGGATGACCGTACAAACCTGACAAAGTCGAGGGCGCGAGATCACTGGGGTCCTTCTCCAAGTCATGTCTGTGGGAGGAACCCGGGATGGTCCCAGGCTCTGAAGCGAGATGTAGCAGAGCCCTTATAGCGCACACATATCCCTTGTTCTTAAGAGATGGAATGCCCAACCGAGCGTCAATGCTTCCTGTTGTCTCAAGTCTTCTCAGCGAGCCGACCCAGGCAGAACACCTGCTCCTGAACCCACCGTGCTCGACCGTCTCTAGGCAACTGTAGCTGCCTGAAATCCTCTCATACGCAACAATGCCGGCGTGGAATGCCGACGATCTAGTGGCCCCCGACTGGCTCAACAATGGCGATAATGCCTGGCAATTGACAGCTGCGACTCTCGTGGGCTTGCAGTCTGTGCCAGGTCTCATGATCATGTACGCAGGTTTGGTGAAGAAGAAATGGGCCATCAACTCTGCTTTTATGGTCCTATATGCCTTCGCGGCGGTCTTGATCTGCTGGGTGGTGTGGGCTTACAAGGCCGGGTTCGGGAAGAAGATGCTGCCTTTCGTCGGAGTTCCCGGACCTGCGGTGGAGATGAACTATGAGTTGATCCAAGCCAGCCTACCGGCGGCCGGCTTGACGGCAGCGTACCCCATGAGTACAATGGTATATTTTCAATTTGTCTTCGCAGCAATCACTGTTGTCATTATCGCTGGAGCCGGACTGGCAAGGATGAACTTCCTTGCCTGGATGGTTTTCGTGCCGTTGTGGGTCACCCTCAGTTACACGGTCGGAGCATTCAGTATCTGGGGAGGCGGGTTCCTGTACCAGATGGGCGTTCTCGACTATTCCGGTGGCTATGTCATCCACGTGTCATCCGGGACCGCAGGATTCGTCATGGCGTATTGGGTCGGACCACGACATCCGCGCGATCGTACCGAGTTCTATCCCAACAATGTCCTTCTTGCACTTGCTGGAGTAGGACTTCTTTGGCTAGGTTGGAACGGTTTCAACGGAGGTGATCCATATACAGCCTCACCCGATGCTGGTGCAGCCGTGCTTAACACCAACGTCTGTACTGCTATGAGCATGCTGACATGGACCGCCCTCGACTTGATCTTCTTCAAGAAACCAGCTGTGATCGGAGCCGTTCAGGGCATAATCACCGGTCTGGTTGCAATCACGCCGGCTGCAGGGTTCGTTGCGGGGTGGGGTGCAATCATCATCGGCTTTTGTTCGGGGACCATACCTTGGATAAGCATGAACATTCTCGGAAAGCAGAGATGGTTCCTTGAGTTTAGTGACGATGTAGTCGGAGACTTCCACACACATCTGGTTGGCGGCGTTGTCGGCGGCTTTCTGACAGGCTTGTTTGCAACAAGTGAAGGGACGGCTGCTTTCGCTTTGAGCCCAAGCGGTGGTGCAATTGATGGGAATGGTCGTCAGGTCTGGCTCCAGATTGTTGGCTTCCTCTTCGTTATCGGCTGGAATATCTTCTGGACCAGCGCTATCTGTCTCTTCATCAAATATGTCTTGAGAATTCCACTTCGATACAACGAGGAGCAGTTGCTAATTGGCGATGGTGAGGTTCATGGCGAGCTGCCATACGCCTTCTTCCACGACGGGCGACATGATTTCTCTATGACCTACCGGCAGCCTGCCAAACGCGCTGATGAGGAACTAGGAGGTGTCCTTGAGGGACAGCATATTACAAGGGATGTTAGCAGCGAAGAGGGACTCGGCGGCGGAAATGCTGCAACAGCATCAAAGCCAACGAAACAAGCATAACATATCCGAGCATGGTCAGACTATGCACGTCCAGCAATGCGGTGTAGACGAAGTTTGTATCGGAAGTTTGCAGATCTGGCTTGAAACTCCCGATTGCGAAGGGACTGTCACTGTTCGGTAACAAATGTATTAGGATCGCATGTTTCAGCTGCAATTAGGTTGTCAGTAATGTGGATGGTTCTCCATGTACCGCAGGTTTGAAGCGCGTTCTGGCCTTTTTGCTGATTTTCAGGCTACCAAGTATCACAAGGAGAAATTCCACAATGTATTACACTGCATAATGGGCAGCTCCATCGTACCTACGACGTACATAGGCCGCCGGCATGGTGAGGAGTGAGAGGCGAGGAGAGAACTTGAAGCTCAAAGGCAGTGAGGCTGAAGTGACATCACAAACACGCAGCCTTGCCTTGGCGGCACTTTACGCGTCTATTGGCAAAAGCTGGTGTGACACGACCGTTTAGGGAGCTGCCTGCCGCGTTTATCTGACAAAGCGCGTCCCTGCCTCACCTGCTGATAATAACCAACGCAGCCATTCAGATGCACTGCCAGTGGCAGCCTGCGGTTTGTAGAAGCTATCAACTTTTCTTTTCTACCACTCCACTCTGTGACCTTTAGAGTTCAGAGTACGCGACTATCGGCGCAAGCAAGGCACTGCGCTGCTCTGCTTTGTTGTTCCACCTCCCCCTCTCAAGACGCCCTAATCTCAATTCTTTCAACCACCATGTCGAATGCCACGTATCGGTTCGGTAAGTCTGACTCAGCCCTATTTGACATAAATGAACATAGTCCTACACTGTGAATCTACATTTGCCCACCTCCGATCTAAGACAATCTGTGGCACTCCTCAGCCATCAGCTTGAGGAACACCGCTGCTCTCCCGCAATGGTTTCGGGCATCCACTCATGCTAACGGAGGGCAGAGTTGGCCAAAACCGGCCGCGCAAAGTGCCAGGCTTGCAAAGATGCCGGGCCTAAGATTGAGAAGGGTGAGCTCAGACTGGGCACACTGGTGAACATCCAGGACCACTTCACCTGGAAATGGAAACATTGGTAATGTTGCAGATCGGACCCTTACCACGGCACATATTTACGAGTGTCTAGGGGCTGTGTTACACCTGCTCAGGTCAAAAACTTCCAAGACCAAGTCGGCCCGTTAGAAGACCTTGATCTTGACGAGGACTTGCCAGCAATTCTGGATGGCTATGATGAATTGCCCCCGGAAGCACAGGAGAAGATCAAGTTTGCATTACAGCACGGTCACGTTGCCGATGAAGATTGGAAGGGCGTAAGATTTGCATTTCCGGACTTTCACCCTAGCCCCTTCTAACAGTAGCTGTTCCAGGACCCCGAACTAAATCGGCCAGGCCAGAAGGGCATCCGCAAACGCACTCCAAAGAAGAAAAAGAACGATGCTGAAGGAGACGGCGAGGCGGGCGCGGATGCAGAGGAAACACCCAGCAAGCCCAAAGCGAAGAGGACTGGCACAAAGAAAGCCAAGGCGGGACCGGAGCAGGACGAAGATGACCTTGCACTTTCACCGCCACCAAAGAAGAAACAGAGAAGCCGCAAAGGGAAGACCGAGGATGACGAGGAAGATTCCGAGCCGGCCCCACCTCCCAAGACATCTGGGACCCGGAAGCGGAAGGCTGCTGACGAGAACATCGAAGCGGCGGAGGTTCCAAAAGTGAAGAAGTCCCGAGCCAAAAAGGTCAAAGCAAAGGAGCACGAGGCAGCGGAGGACTCGGACCAAGCATTGAACGAACCCAAGGCCAAGTCTAGCAGAAAGACGACAAACCCACCAGCAGCTGGCGACAGCGAAGAGGACGCCCCCAGACTTGAGGCGCAAACTGATGGGCCGAGTGACGCTCCTATTGTCAAACCTGCAGTCAAGGCGAAGAGAGGAAGACCAACTAAAGCGAAGCAAGAAAGCGCTGACGAGGGCGACCTACCTTTGCCATCGAAGTCGAAGAAGACAAAGAAAGTCAAGGTTAAGCATGAGGATGAAGGAGAGGATGTCCTTGCGCAGGAGCCACCTTCGGTCACTGCGGATCTCGACGACGCCGACCTGGAAGAGCCGCAACAGAAGCCAAAGAAAGTCGTCAAGCGAGCCACCGGCAAAGGCAGAGCAAAAAGAAACGCAGCCTAGGTTGTCGGAGTGGCTTATGCCGGAAAAGATGTCTCAAGTCACGAGCTACCGACAGCTCGAACTGGAGTCTGAAACATGCTGATCTGGTTTGCTTGCGAAGCGAGCCGAGGAGCGGTATCCGAGAGCAGGAAAAGCAACCTGCACCAATACCCAAAAAGTTGACAGCGAGTGGCGTTGAGCTTTCACACAAGGATGTGATCCCCCTGTATTATTAGTGAGGATATTTCACAACTCGGTCAATTGCAGTTTTGATGAAAGAGTAGTCCAGTGGCCCCAATCGAATTTGAAGATGTTTGGCCGTGTGATAACAGTGTTGTCCATCACATTTCGAACATCCACAATCTGGCTCAACGCTGTATAGTAGTACAATTCCCAACTCCAAAGGCCGTAGCTCGAATTTTGAGTAACTCCTCGTGTGCCTGCTCCTTGCCCCGATCAGATCCAACCCAGACCAGCCCATACAAAAGCCCCATAAGCACGTTGCCTTTTTACCAATGAATTTTCGCACGTTTAGACAGGAATTAAAACTCGCGACTATCGCCAATGTCACAAACATCAAAGACGCCCGTTTCTGGCAGCCCATGATGAGCAAGGGCTTTTCTCAGCAACCTGGGCGGCTCCAGGACGTCCTCCTCGGTCAAGACCCAGGTTCCCCAATGCATACCGAGGGCCTGTTTACATTTTGTATCGCGAAAGATCTCGACGGCATCGCGAGGGTTGGCATGCATTGGACTCATAATCCAACGAGGCATGTAAGCACCAATAGGGATGAGACCTAGGTCGAAGGGACCGCGGAGACGTCCGATGTCCTTGAAGGCGGGACAGCAAGGGAGAGAAGCATATTCTTGACCCCAGTCGTCTTTGCCTTCGGATTCCTTGGGAACGGTGCGATAGCCAGTATCACCGGCAAAGTAGAGTGATTTGTCGCCGGATTTGACGGACCACGATGCCCATAGGGTCCTGGCGCGGTCGTGGATACTACGGGCGGAGATATGTTGACATGGTAAGCAGGCGATGCGGGCAGTTATAGACTCGGACCCCGCGGCAGAAGAAGAGTTGTTGGGATGTTCACCGACGGGCTCAGTGACCCGCGTGCTGGTGCTGGTTGTTTGTTCGGAAGAAGAACTGTCTACCTCCTTCTTTTCTGGACCGCTGGAGGAGGAAGAGGAAGATGAGGATGGGGTCAAGGTGAAATCCACTTCTTCCCACCAATCCAACTCAGTGCACTTCTCGATTCCACAGGCCTGGAACCACTTCTTGTTGCCCAGTGGCACGAAGAAATGGCATTCCGGATGCAATCTGGCAATCTCCATGATGGTCGGGTGGGAGAGGTGGTCGTAATGGTTATGGGAGATGATGACGGCGTCAATGATTGGGATGTCCTTGATCTGGCAGGGCATCTCGGTGTATCGCTTGGGACCGAGCCAGGAGAAGGGCGAACACCGCGGCGTGAAGACGGGATCAAACAGAACCCTCAACCCGGAGGGAAACTCGGCGTAATAGCATGCATGGCCTAGCCAAGTGGCTCGTAATGAGCCGTTTCCTGTCCGCTCCGACAGAAACTGGGGAGCATGCACAGGCACGGTTGGCGGAGTCGTGTCTGGTGTGTTTCCCTTGCCTGACAATCTTCTCCCTAGGAGGCCTGTTATGATTTGGAAGACCGACAGCATCTGCCATGACGGCCATGGGTTCTCAAACCCGCCGTTCTTCGAGTGCCATGCTTTCGCCTTTGTGATCTCATCTTCGGGCCTTGTCGCCGCCAGTGACGGGGTCGCTATGGTCGCCGCATATAATAGGGCAGCTGTGGAGGAGGTGGACATTGTTCGTAACGGAGAAGCAGCAGAGATTCGAGGCCGGGTGGTACCAAATGCGCCGGTTTTGAACAACAGTTGGCGCAAGAAGGACCGCATGAGGAAGGGAGAAGAAGGGAAGAAAAGGAAACAACCCGAACAAGTCTCCTATTAATGTATGTAGTGTGCCTGTGTAAGACGGGATGCCTCGCGCGCAAAAGATTCCCTGCTGCCTAGCTTCTAGTAGTTCAGCGCGTCAAAATCTCACGGCGCGAGCGAGGTATGAATGGTGGCTTGGGTTTCGTCCGCGAAGGTACAGGGCACGGTGCTGATGGCATTGACTGGGACGGTGATGCTGCTGTTTCTTAAATCCGCAATACGGCCGGACGCGGTCGGACGAAAAACTTCCCGCGCGGCAGCCCTGTTGATCCGACTACTAGTACCAGTACCACTCACTGCACCAAGTCACCAACGGACGACTAGTAGTCAGATGTGTCCCAGAGCAAAGGTCTAGAGGGAATGCAGAGCGACAATGGCGTGGAATCGGTCGCCTCGAGCTCGACTGCTGCTCCTCCCACGTCACCAACATCAGGTCTAGATGAACACCCTGCATCAAAGTCCGATCTGCTGCGTCAGTTCGCAGGAACCGGCACAAGCACCGCGTCTGGCGATGGAGGTATATTGGCACAGTTGACGAGCAACCCTTTTTTCACTGCGGGCTTCGGTCTTGCAGGACTGGGCGCGCTCGCGACATTTGCACAACGAGGCCTACGCCATGGAGCGGCCCTTCTGCGGCGCCGGCTGCTCGTTGACGTCGAAATCAGCGTCCGCGACGATTCCTACCCATGGTTCCTCTACTGGATGACGCTACACGAGCGAGGGAGAGCGATGGCAACAAATGGTGCCAGACAACTGGGCGGGAGCGGCGCAGAAACAAAGACCGGAATGTTTGAATCGATCCTCCAACGATTGACACCGGGGATGCGCCATCTCGCGATCGAGACGGAGAAACGAGAACTGCCCAACGGGGCGATCCACACGGATTTTGTGCTGATCCCGGGCCCGGGGAGACATGTGATACGGTACAAGAATGCCTGGATCGCAGTCAACCGACAGAGGGAATCGAAGCAATTCTCTATGGACGGGAAGCCATGGGAAACGGTGACCTTGACGACACTGTACGCGCATCGCCACGTGTTCGAGTCGCTCTTCAAGGAAGCCCACGACATTGCCACGCAATCTGTCGAAGGGAAAACCGTCATCTATACCGCCTGGGGCACCAAATGGGACAAATTCGGCCACCCTCGAAGCAAGCGACCTTTAGAGTCGGTCATTCTGGACGAAGGCGTCAAGGAACGGATTGTGGCCGATGTGCAAGATTTCCTGTCTTCTTCAAAATGGTACTATGAGCGAGGCATCCCCTATCGGCGAGGATACTTGCTTTATGGCCCGCCAGGCACCGGCAAATCCTCCTTCATCCAGGCCCTGGCGGGCCATCTGAACTACGACATTGCCATGCTCAATCTCAGCGAGCGAGGGCTCACGGACGACAGACTTAACCATTTGTTGACTGTAATACCGCAGCGCACGTTGGTGCTGCTGGAAGACGTCGACGCTGCATTCGCCAACCGTCGCCAGGTCGACTCCGATGGCTATCAGGGCGCCAATGTCACTTTCTCGGGCTTGCTGAATGCCTTGGATGGCGTCGGCAGTGCTGAGGAACGCATCATCTTCCTGACTACCAACCACGTCGACCGTCTTGATGAAGCTCTCGTCCGTCCTGGCAGAGTCGACATGACGGTCCACCTTGGTCCGGCCACGACCTATCAGATTGAGCAGCTCTGGGAACGGTTCTACGGCGATATCGATCAAGAGGGCAAGCTGAAGCGGAAATTCTTGTCCAAATTGGTGGCGAACCACGTGCTGCCTGATCCCTCGGCCCGCACTAGCCAGACCAGCATGGCTGCTTTGCAGGGCTTGTTCCTCTTCAACAAGGGGAATCCCCAGGGTGCGGTCGACATGGCCTGGCAGCTGGCGCCGGGTGAAATGCCCAGCGCGCTGGCTCCAACACAAGAGAGTCCACCTCAGTTGAGCTAGCAGTCGTCATTGCTGCTGGGCAGATAGATACCCGATAGATTATTCTGGCTTTGCCGTGGATGAAAGCATTTCATGTCCTACTGGAAATGTGTATAAACATTTGACCAACAACTTATCAAAGTTGGTGTAACAACTACATATCTTAAAGATCACGACACGGAATTGGTTATCTGTCGTTTCTTTCTTCTTCGGTTTGCACCACCCAGTCGAGAATTGACCAGACAATCAGGACATAGATATTTACGCACAAAGGTAGAGATACAAGAGACCATCCAGATACAGTAGTGTCATTTGGTCATATTATCAGCTACTAGTATTGTAGAGGTTCTAGGCCGGCAGCAAATCGAAGAGAGTATTTCCCGGCATATCAAGAGATTTCAACACCGCCATCTTCTTCGTCTGCAGACGCTGCCTCAGGATTAGGTAGCACAGTGCCGACTTCGGATTCGGGAGAGCTGCTGTTGCGAACTCGAGCCGCTGGTGCATCCTCTGGCTCATCATCGGCTGGCTTAGGGTCAACATCCATAGAGTCAGCCGCTGCAGGCTTCTCCGTCGAATCGTCGGCCTTTTTCTCCGCTCCATCCTTCTTTCCAACCCAGCCTTTACTCAGATTCACCAGCGGGGTATCGTCATTGAAAAGCCGTAATAACATGGCCCGCCGATCTTCCTTGGGCAGCATCAGGTTGACGCTTTGGAGCGACTTCCAGAGCGGAAAGACCATCCTTTCGCTTAGCCCATCTTCGGCATCACTCGGCTCGACGACAAGCACGCAGCAACCCATCTTCAAGGGCAAGATCTGCTCGCCAACCTCGCCGAGCTTTTTGTACTCTTCGCCATTGAATCGGGGAAACATCTCAATCAACAACCTTCTCAAAGTCTCCTTCTTGCGCAGTTTGACAATCCGCTCAGGGCCGACCCACGCTTCGAGTAGGCGCAAACCATCGGTCTGAATTCGCCAGGGGCAAATGTCCGGAGCTGGTGCGTCCTGCTTGACGTACATCTTCACCCCGGCGTGCACAAACTTCAAACCTTTGCCTTCGTTTTCTTGAAGGATCTCCTTGGCAAGCGCGTTGGTGTAGTATATGTTCTTGGTCGCAGTGCCTTGAGCGTTGCGGACCATGTATCTGTCGTTCGGGAACCGGGGTGACAGGTTGTAGAACTCTTTGATTTCGGCCAGTTCAGGGATTGATGGGGAGAGGTATTTGAACGGTTCTTCGAACGGTTGGTCACGGTTCCTCTTCCTGAATGGGTTCTGGGCATTGTTTGGCTGGTCCTGCTTGGGTTGAGAGTCTGCTGCATTCTGCACAGAGCCGTTCGTGGCTGTTGTTGGTGCTGGACCTGGTTCACTATCGGCTTCAGTGCCTGCAGCCGGCTGCTCCTCACTCTTGACTCTCTTTATCGGATGGGCCTCTTCCTCGTCCTCTGCAGGTGACCGTTTTCTCTTGACCGGTGAGTCTGCATCTACGGGCGTTGTGCCATTGACCTTTTCCACCGTGCCATCAGGGGCCGTTTCCAGCTCGACACTCTTTGAATTGAAGTCGGCAGCTTCCACTTTGGTGGGCTCCGGGGCGACAACAGCGGGTTTCTCTTCTGGCCTGGCCTTAATTTCGGACCGCTTCTCAAGAATGGCAATGAAGAATGCTCCCGTGTCTTGCTTATGGGGATACACGCGCATAGCTCTGTCAAGAGGCAAGTCGTTCTTCGGCGGAAACATGCTCTCAGCCAGACGGCCGAGGCCCTCCTCACCCACTGTTTCTTTCTGTTTCAGCACAGACTCGTAGTCGTTCCAAACCCGACCAGCTTTGTCCATGATGTTCCACTTCTTCAACCCTGGACTTCGCTTGAGCCCAGGCAGATAATCCTTCGTTTCGAGTAACTGAACTAGGTCTGAACCTCCACATCGGTTGATTGCCTCGGCGAGAACTGCTTCATCTTCCACCGGATTCATGCTGCACGTGGAATAGACCACTCGACCGCCCACTTTCAGCATCTGCAACGCCCGAATCAAGATTCTAACCTGCGTGGCATGCAGACCGAGTCCGTTGCTGGGCGCCCACTTCTTCCAGATCTCCATGTTCTTTCTCACCGTGCCGTCGCCAGAACAAGGCACATCTGCTAGAATTCGATCGAATTTGAGATATCTATTCTGAATAAGCTTTCCATCCTCGGTGCGGCTAGGTGAGACCTTGATGGAGGGGAAGATGGTCGCGTCGTGATTGCTGACAAGGATATTGGGTGAGCTTAGTCGCTTGACTTGGTGCACCAGCATGTGTGCTCGCTTGTAGTCGACATCGTTGGCAATGAGCAGACCAGTGGCACGGCCATCATCTTCATAATCTTCTCCTTCAGGTCTGTCCAAGCCTTTAGCAAGGTTTGCAGCGACTTGTCTACACCTTTCCTCCTCACCCGCATGAATCATTTCAATCAATTGCGCAGATTTACTGCCCGGTGCGGCACATAGATCCAAGACTGTCATGCCCGGTCTCAGGTCCATCAGCAACGGTGGAATCATGCTGACCACTTCCTGTCGAGTGATATTGCCGACATCTGTTTCTGCCACCAAGAACTTTTGGAAGTTCGCAAAGGGCTTGAACCGACGAATGACGTTCTTGGGAGTGGTCATATACCACGCCAGTTGATCCGGATACCATTCGACCGGTCGGGGGGCTTCGACATATTGGCCTTCGTACGTGATGGATGTAATCTCGGGGATATAGTAGTCGCGCAGTCGTTGCTGGACAGCTAGAGCATGCCTATGGACGGTCAGGCCAAATCACTGCCAAAAAGGTGGTGTACACGACAGACGTACGCTTTGGAACCAGTGAACCTGAAACTGTTGGGCAAATCCCTCCGCATCGCCTCCCAGAAATCCGATCGCTCCTCCTCCGGTATGATCCCAAGTTGGTTGTAGTATTCTTCGAACTTTTCATTGTACCGACTGATCTCTGCTTTATTTGTTCGGTTGTCTTGTCGCGGGCGATGGCCGCCGCCGCCTCGGCCTCCGCCTCGACCACCCTGGATTCGTTGTTAATACTGCTCAGTAGTGGAAAAAAGAGATATCCCTACTTTCTTACCGCCCCGTTTGCCCATTCTTGTAGAGAGTGGGATCAACTGAGATACTAGTAACGAGCGTCGGGCGCATGCAGTCGCGACGTGGGGAAATTTCACCACCAAATTTCTTGTATGAAGCGCGGATTCGAGTCCTTGCGGAGCCAGACTCAGGCTTATGTCAGCCTTGGCAGCGTTGAAAACAGCGAGAGATCTTCTCGGAAGAGAAAATGGACTTCATGCTTTGTACAGTACTTCTACTAATATAATACGGTACATGTAATTGTAACCAACGGGATATTTTCTCGCTCTACACAACACCAAAGGTACAGCTATGGACTACTTAGTCGATTCTAATCTAAAACCTCATGGCAGGTATCTTAACTGCCCAAGCTGTCTGTTTGGTTAGCATAGGCGTTCCTCCTCCACCCCACTTCCGATCGTATGTTCCCGAGGGAGCATTATGGGCAGGACATATCGGCAGAATATACCAATGGCGCGGACTTGCTCCATCAGCTGCCAATTGCAAATGCCCACCCAGCAGAGGCTTAAGCCAAGAGTGACTCCCAGGCTCGAGAATTTTGCAAAGCTGAGGAACGCAGCCGCCTCGCACGCAGTCGTATAACCACGACTTCCAATACTTAATCCATGAGCCAGCCCGTTTGTCCTTTTGAGTTCCGCTGACATTGAACACATAGGTATCGCCGATATCGACCCAGTCACAATTAGCTCTGAAAGCTCCCAGAGTACTTTGAAGGGGCTTCTGGTCATCTCCCGCGCCCTAAGATATTAGTCTCGTCTCATCAAGGCACAAGTTGTCTCGCGGCTTACCTCTTTGTCAGTAGGAGGCACTATTTCAGAATACCTGACAAACACCGAATCGACAACTGGGGCGCACAACGCTTTCTGACCGAGTTGTTCCACATCCGGTACACCGACCAGATCAGTTGTGTAGTCGTTCTGAGTTGGATCTTCGTGCTCTTCGCCCATTAATAGCCCAAAGACCCAGAATCCCAGGCCCTTAAACTGATCCATAGCGGCAAGCATCGCACATGCAAGCTTATCAGCACCTGGGGGTGGACCAGGTGGAGGCCTTCGAAGTCTCAACAGCTTTCGAAGAGTTTTTCGCAACTGCTGGTTTCCGAGTTGTTCCTCCAGAGATGACTTGTACTTCCGAACAGCCTCACGGACGGACATGGCGTGGCCAGAGATATCATCCTTGAGTTTCTTGTCTTGCTCCAAAGTCTCATTGTTCACTTTCCAGGTTTCAAAGATTGAATACCCTTCAACGAAGATACTCACACCTGGCAAGACCTTACCCACAACTGGCAAGACTTTACCAAGCACTTTGAACACCGGTGAAGCTTTCAACAGAAGGCCGCCACCTTTGCCTGTATGGGTCAGCACATTGCGTGTCCAAAGGGGAAATCCCCACCTAGCAATTTACCAAACTCTGCGCCGCCTTTCAAGGCCAATGTCGCCAGAGGTTTCACTCCAGCCGCGCCCACGACAAGCCCATGAAAAGCCATTTTACTGAACCCATTCGCAGCATAGGGAACCCTGGGAGGTCTGATACCTGGACCGGATGGAACTTCTGGCTTCACTCGAGGAGGTGTCGGGGTCGTAGCGAGTAGAGTTAGAAAGCTTGTGAGGGATTCGTGCAAATTCGACTCGTTATCCTGAATATCCTGAAAATGCTTTTCCAAAGCTTCGAACGCAGTAGCATAATTTTTCATGACTTCCTTAAATCCCTCGGCTGCATCTTTCTCGAATTTGAAATGCTCCGTAGCACTCATCGCAATACCGCTGGCTCCGCCGGCAATTGCCAAAGGGATACCCACGGGTGCAGCCGGCGTGAGAGACAAGATAATGCCTATAACGGATACAAGGGAGCTGGCTCTCGAGGCTATCCTCGTGCGATTGAGGTGGGCTTCAAGTGTATTGTACAATTCATCCAGTTTCTTGCCAGCTGCGGTGGATTGGGTTTCCAGGTCCGTCAACTTAGAATCAAGCTGATCATACAACTCCAACATTACTTCGAACCGGTCCACATACGCCTCCCTTGCAGCGGCGATGGCTGAAGGCGGTGCAGGGTTGTCAGCCATGGCTGAACTAATCAAGAGACTGGATAGGTTGAACTGAGAGCAATAGAATTCTGCAGAGACCGAGCATCTTTCAGATACTTATAGCCGGGCAAAGCCACACCTTTCGGACGTGCCTGCGCCTGAAGTCCAACCCGCATGATCTGAACTGATACCGTAGCTAACTGTTTTCACTGTCCGCGACGACCCTCCTGCAGCGGTTGGCCTGCAATGGAACCGCATCACAATCTCCGGCCGTCCCTTTGGTGGCGCACACAGTCGCGAGCTGTGAGGGTCATTACTGCGGTGGCGTGCTGGCTGCAGTATCACAGTGATGGCTGCAAGGCTGGCTGGCTGGAACATCAAGACTTCTTTTGAGAGAGTACTAGTACACTGCACGTCTGTCACTCGTATGAAGATGCTGGAAAGACGGGCTCAAAGCGAAGACCCCTCGTTGGCAAGCAGTTGGAGCATGACGCCGCACGGTCATCCTCTGCAGGATGAGAGATGGCCCATTGCTGGGTTAGCAGTCCATGCAAAAATCCTGTACCTCTCTCTGTTTGGCAAAGTCCCAGGTACAAATGAAGCGAGGTCATCTCGCCGAGACCTTCTTTTGCATTGATCGATGCGTCGTTTGCATCTCCATATGCAAATGCAGCTGAGGATGCATTTGAAAGTCATGACAGGAAGGATCTGCTTGCTTGGGCTTGTGCACTGCAAGCTTTCAACATGAAGTTGTCCTATGCCAGTTGCCATTATTGTGGGGCTGCCACCGGCTTCAACTTGAAAGCTCAGGCTGCGCGAAGGACCGCGCACACTGGCACTGCATGGCACTGCACGGAGCGCAAACATCCCCGGGCAGCTGCAGCTGTACGTGAAATACTAGTGTTGGCGGATCACGATAGTCGACAGCCATGGTCCCTTCTCGTTGTTCTTGAAAATGTCTGGACGGTACGTTGGTTGAAGAGTGGAGCAGCACGAGGATACAGCAACCTCCAGGTGTCGACATTCTTCTCGCAGGGCCGCTCGTGGGCTTCATTTGCTCAATCACTGTACCAGTGTGAAGAATGGGCAGACAGCGAAGGGAGAGGCCCACCAAAAGCATGTTGGTATCACATTACTTTGGAATATTGGGATTTGTCCAATCCTGCAGAGACACCCTCGAACGCCTGCCCATGAACTTGACTTCTATGTATTAAATACATCTACAAAACAAATACCCTGTTCCATAAGGCCTAGGGAGCTGGCTCTGCAACAAAAACTGCTTACGAACGTTGTGCAGGACACGTACTATCATTGCGCAGTCTACATTTACACACGATCCGCCGACAATGTCATAGGTGCGATCTACTGTGGTGAAGGGGCACAATGGTCGTCCGTCGACCTGCCTTGGGAGGCCGTCGATTGATCCGACCTCCCGCACTCCTGCACCCTTGCGATGTCTCACCTCGTCTTGCGTACAGTCTAGCCCCCAGAAGCCTCCCATGGAGCTGAGCAGTGCTTGGCCCCTTACTTTAGCTGGTCGGCCATATCCCTCACTCGCTTACACCCCGAGACGGATAGGCAAGGAGTGGTGGTGCTTACACTTCAGCTGGATGCTAGTGCGCAAGACGGTTGCACATATCGATTCGAAGATGACCGGTTGTGTTGCCGGCAATCCACCTGCCATTGCGCCGCACAGCACATGGGAGGTCGACATCTCATGGTGCGAGACGACCGAGAACTGACTCGACCGACGTGCGGCAAAGTCCTCTCGTTGTCCAGACTGGCGAGTGACAGGAGTGGCCGCGCACCAAAAGCAATAGTAGTGCAGTCAGATCTGTCGCTATATGCACGATCTCGTCTATCTGCCCGTTTCCTGTACTAGTAGGGCCGTCAGCCCTTGTGCTTGGCTATTCCAACGGACTTCAACCTTGGAAGTTTCGTGGCCAGGAAGCCCGGCCAGAACGCACCCGAATGTCCGCCGATGACAGTGGGCAGACTGGAGGAGCTGGCCCAGTGTGACCGTGTCCCTCTATTCTGCCCACCTTGCCTAACCCTCTTCAAGACGCCGGGGAAAGGTCAGTGGAGCATTGAGTGCGCACCGTTATAACGTTAGCTGTTCGGCGCCAACCGATGCGGGCGCCTTCTCGGAATGCCGACCCGAGCCCACATTGCCGATATAACAAGCTCTTTTCAACGGCTCCAAACTCTGGACGGCATATTACTGCTACGGTTATAAGGAAACATGCGGAACGGCGCGCGAAGCCGGCAATCTCTCTAGGTCTCACAAAAGACTCAGGTTCATAATATGATCCTACCTGATGGAACGCCTCAAGATAACTTATTGACAATGGGCGAGACACACACCCTTCCTGTTCATGCTTGACAGGGTCGACTCTCCACTCTCCACCCTTCCTTAGCTGACAGCGGGGATGCTGTTGAATCGTCCTTACCTTGGCCGAGTCCCTGCAAGGCACCTGTCATCCACATTTTATGCTCTGACCATTGGACCATTCTGGATTTGGGGCTATTCTCTTAGAACTTGACAAGTCGCGCGTCCAACGCTTCCAGTGCAAGAGTGAACGACACATCCGAAGTGGCAACCACCGATCCGAACTTTTGAACAGATGGACACGCCATGGTTCGATATCTGGGTACCGCACAACGTGCCATGCTGCGACTTTATATTGCCAGAGTTGACACCTCTGGGGATGGCAGATTCCAATCTCTTCCAAATCATCTGTGCACCGAGTATCTACAGTGAGCTTTGAACATGTTGGAGTCTACGGATGCTGCTTTGGTGGGCACGAGCCTCGTGCTCGCGGTCGGGACCATCGTTTTTGTGTCGATCCAGCTCGACAGGCAGTACACGACCGTTGGTCGGCTGAACGCAAGTAAATGTGAGTCCACAAACGATCTCAACCACCGCAAGGCTGCAAATACTGACCCGCTATAGGGTTCCTGGTCATCAGTGCTGTACGTTGCACCTACCACCGACTTCGTATGGACTTTTTCCTAACTTGAAGTGCAGTTCCTCGCCTTGGTCATGACAGGCATTGTATGTGCGGGTAAGGATGTTCTTCTCAATCCCTGGTACCAAACTCCAGTGTGACTGATATGCCTCCAGCGGCTGCGAACGGCCTTGGAGCCGATATCACACCCCTCGAATTTGCGACACGACCATTACTGCAGAAGGTATTGATTTGCAAGTGAGCCTTGCGTGCTGGAATCATAGCTGACTTCTTCTTAGCTTCTTGTCGCCGTTTTCCCGCCATATTTTCTTTGCAACATGTTCGTCAAGCATGCGTGGTTGACGTTCTATTACGGTCTCGCACGGAGCCGATGTCAACGATACTTCATCCACTTCATGCAGTTCGTCGCCGCCGGCTTTGGCATCAGCTCTGTGTTCGTCATATTGCTGCAGTGTATCCCTCTCAGCCACATGTGGAATCCACTCGCAAGTCCTGACGCCAAGTGCGTCGACATCATGACCTTCTTCTATTGCAATTCCATCATCATGATTGTCAACGATGTCATCCTGTACCTGATCCCAATGGTACTGCTCCGCAACGTCGACATGGTGAAGCCGCACCGATTGGGCTTATATGCTTTGTTCGCCTTGGGACTACTGTACGATATTTCTCCATCTCCCCAGCTCAACCAGCCTGTCACTGACACATCTGTTCCAGTGTTGTCGTTGCAAGCATCCTGCGTCTCGTTGCTCTCGTCCACCTCGACAGGGGCGGCAGCGTCTCAGGTACGACATTCCCTCCGAATGACCCAGGGTCTGCCCTTTTTGCGTGGAAAAACAGGTTGTGGCTAACCTTTTTTGGGGGACGTTTGCAGAAAACTACGCCTTGGTCTATCTCTGGGCAGCCGTGGAAAACCACATCGGCATCTGGGCCGCCTGTGGCGGCGCCATCAAGCAGAAAACCCTATCTGCATTGCACAAAATCCGAAGATCCTACAGCGGCGCCAGATACCACTCGGACGACAAGTCGTCGTCACCGACACAGGTCTCGACCACGTTGGCTCGCAGCCAGTGCACCGAGGACCGGGCCTTGTACGAGCGTACAGACAGTATGCAGGAACATGCATCTAGCTTTGGCAGCAAGTCTCCGCAGACGCTGTATGAGATGCAATCGGTGCCTGACTCGCCGACCAAGTCCATCTCTATCGAGCATGAAAAGCGGCTTGATGTTTGAGCGATTGGTTAGCCGACTGACTGGCTATGCCGGTGACATCTTCTTTTGCCTGACACACACAAAAGCCCTGGGATGCGAAGCGGACAAATTGCTGGCTGAGGTACAAAAGAAGACCAAATGGGATTGGATCTTATGAGGATATGTAGACCATTGATGACATGATAATGATGGAATGGACAGGATAATGGAAATGAATGAACATCAGCACTGGCAGGGCACCTGCCAGCCAAAATTTACCGTAGTCGTAGCCGGGGTGCATTGGCGGTTCAGTATACTGAAGCAGTGAAGTCCTTCATAATTTGATAATGATCATGTCTGTCTCGTCTGGTATCGACACAAGAACACTCGCCCCGCCCGTCCGTCCGGTTTGCAAATTGCCCGCCAACTCCGGCTTCACACCCACTCAAATGCGATACAGGACCAAGCTTTGCCATTCCATTTTTTTTTGTTTGACCCGAAACTCCTCGCTGATGAACCCGAACCGGATAATGGCAAGCAAAGTAGAGCAGTTGATTGTCTTTATTGTTTGGTTTTCCTTTAAAACACCCACCGATAACTGGCGTACCTCCCAGCAGTCTCACTCTTGCGGATGATCTTGACGACATTCCCTCTCTTGAGACCGAGGTATTTAGCGACGGGATCATTGAACTGGATGCGAGGCAGCTGAGTCTCCTTCAGACGGTATCTGTCGAGCAACACCTTTTTCTCCTCGGCACTCAACAGAACGTGTTTGGGCACCAACTCGTGTCTAGTAATATTTACCAGCAGGTCTGACTCCTGGAACCATTCCGCCGTGATACCTCGCTCCGCCAGCGGCTCGAACGCCCTAAGTGCGGCCGCGGTGACGGGTGAAATGGTAATGAAGATTCCGGTGGTGAACTTGTTCGCGTCCAGATGTTGCGCAAACGCGCGCAGGTGCTTGATGCCAATGGTGGTCTCCGGGCTGAATTCCACCCAGATGGTGCCGGCCGTCGTCTGCGGGTTCGGGTTTGACTTGGTCGGTCGCGGTGTGTCGCGCTTGATCATCTCTTCCGTCGGCACCGCTTGCAGTTTCATCAGTCTCCGCCTAAGGTATGCCACAGTCAGTCACTTGGTCGCGCGGGCGCATTTCGAAAAAACTCACTCAACGTGGCCTGTGGATGGATCGCCAAACTTCCTCTGGAAATCATCGCGGGTGATTGCGAGCTCGTCCTGCGCGATCGCATAGCCCTGTGGAAATAAATGGTCAGCACTACTGCTTCCATCCTATAAGCGATGGCAAGGTCGGTCGGTCGGTCGCATACCCTGTCTACCAGCATTTCGAGTACCGTCCGCCATGTCCTCCAAAGTCTGGTCAGTTCCTTCTCGCCCTCCACCGACAGCTTTGGCCGGTCGTCGTAGTCCATTCTGCCGCAAAACCCTTGGGGCGACGATTCAAAAAGGGTTACAGAAAAAGGATGCAACAGAGAACTAGGTTATCTCTTGGTAAGAGTGGTGGAGCGGCGACGGCGAGTATGATTATACCTCTTCTAGGTCTTCAATACCCAACTTCAACTTCTCGAAGCGCGACGCAGGCAAAAGTTTCTGGGCTTGGCGGATGCGGAACAAATAGTCGGGAACAAGTTAGCCGCAATTATTTTTTAGTGGCTGCGCTTGCGGATTTAACAAGGGCGTTTATAAGGTACTTTGGCCGTGGAGGGGAATCAGCCGCACACCGCAGGTGTACTAGTGTACGCCCTATTTTCTCCACACACTGCACCAACAAGCAAGAACCCGACTCTATCACACTGGCATTATTTCTCAGTAAACTAAATATTGCACAACAGGACTACTAGTAGTATCCATACTATTAGCTCTCGAAAGTCTGTCCTCTGTCCGAGTCCCTCATCGTCTTCTCGAGTCCCTGCCTGTTGTGTCCGTGGTCTGTCACTGCTGGCACATCTACTGTCACCCCTCTTCACCGCTACCGTGACCTAGCATGGACTAGAAATACATAACATATAATCCTCAATATCGCACGCTACCTCGACCTGTCCTTTCGGTAACTCCCAGTTTGGTCGTCGCGACAAAACATTCATTCTATCACCATGGCCGATACGGAAACTGTCTCTGCCACTGATGGCACTCAAAAGTCGCGACCTGAGAAGCCTGATGAAGCGAAGTTCAAGGCTGCCCTTGCACAGGCGGAGAAGGAACACGAAGCCGCCCAGGCCAGATTTGTATGTCTGATATCATGCCCCCTTGTCACGACGTAAAGACTCTTTGTGACTGACTGATTGGGTTTCAGAACGCCGCCCGAGCCAAACTCGACAGTGCCCGTCCTGGAAAGTCCACGCCCGCCAACGACCGCTTCAAAGAGCTTGTGGAAGAACAAAAGGCGATCCGTCAGAAGCAGCAGGAACACAAGTCGGCGAAGTCAGGCCAACAGGAGAAGTTCAACCAGAATGATGCCTTGATCAAGAAGCTCATCGCCGAGCAGAAGGATGCCCGCACCCGTGCTGGATTCAAGAACGCCGAGGAGATCGATGCCAAAATTGCTAGCATCATGAAGCAAGTTGACTCTGGTAACATGAAGCTGGTGGACGAGAAGAAGGCGTTGGCTGAGGTTTCGGCCCTGCGTCGCCAAAGAAAGGGATTCACGGCTCTGGACGATCTGCAGAAGAAAATCGACGAGAAGAAGGCCGAGAACGCAGAGCTGAAGAAATCCTTCGACAACCCGGAGGCTCGTGCTTTGGCGCAAAAATATGAAGAGAACCAGAAAGAGCTCGACCAGATCAAGGCCGCGCGTGAGGACACCAACAAGAACTTGGACGCCTTGAAAGCGGAGCGGGAGAAGTTGTACCAGGAGCAGCAGGCCACGTACGCTAACATCCGGAAGATCAAGGACGACTACTATGCGCAAAGGAAGGCTTACAAGGAGTACGAAGACCAACTTTACCAGCAACGCCGGGAGCGACAGAAGGCCGAGCGTGAGGCCTACGAGAAGGAAAAGCGTCGCCGTATCGCCGAGCAGAAACTTGAAGAAGCCAGCGAACCGGCTTTCTCGAACGAGATTCGTATTGCTGAAGGTCTCATTCGCCATTTTGACCCGTCCTCGGTTAATTCTGGAGAGGCCAAGGAGTCAGCCAGCCAGCTCGCCGCGACCGCGCAACGACAAGTGGACGATGCCGGCTTCAAGGGCATGAAGGTCATGAAGAAAGAGGACGAGGACTTCTTTGTGGGAAGTGGAGGCAAGAAGAAGGGCAAAGGTGGCAAGAAGGCTGCTGCTTCCTCTACCGCCGAATCTGGAAAAATCAACCTGAACATTGGCATCATCGAAGAGCTGGCCAAGGTCGGTGTCGACCCACCAAGCACTCAAGCTGATGTTCCTGCCGTTGTTGAGAAATTGAAGGCCAAGGTTGAAGCCTGGAAGAAGGACCAAGAGAGCCAGACCAAGAAGGTAAGAAATGTTTGTGCTTTGCATATTAGAGAGATACTGACCGTTCGTGACAGAACATCGAGAAAGCCAAGAAGGAAATCGAAAAGCTGGAGCAGGAAGCCACTGAAGCGTCCAATGCCTCTCCTCCACCTTCTCGAGGCGCCGGCAAGGGCGGCCGAACCGATCGTGCGAAGAAGGTTGCATTGAAAGACTCTGGTGTCAATGGAACTATTTCTGTCGAGGCCGAGGAAGCACAGGAAAAGGATGCAGTTGCTGATGTTGCTAAGGAGCTGAAGGAAACCAAGATCGAAGACAAGGAGAATGAGGAGGTTGCCACGGCATAGACGGGATTGCTATACCACGGATATACGAGCAGTCATGCCAGGCATTCTACAGGAGCGATACTAGGCTGGCTGCTCGCTGGCTTTTGCTTGCTTCTTGTTCTTCCTGGTCAGTTTCATGCCTTTCATGCCAGGCAGACCTTTCTCAGTGTGATTGTTAGGAGCGATAGGGGAGGACACCGTAAGGCCTAGGAAAAGTACCAAAAGTACCCAAAAGCCAGACTATGTTCTATTTGCACTATTAGAGACAGCCCAGGTGTTGCAATAACAGAAACGGCAGACCATTTTTCACACGCGTACTAGATACAGACACTGCCCTTGATGATGGGATTGCAGGCTATGGACGGTGCATGTTCACCACAAATCCTACCGAGTATTTGTAGCGTCACTCCGCACGCCGTACTGGTGTTGCAGAAGAGGCACCGCTCGACGTCATTGGCCATCCCACAACGACATGACATGACATGGAACTCCCGAGGTAGAGTACGCGGAGCCTCGCCGCGTGAAGCGTCCTTCTTCCATTCTATCCTTTGTCTTCTATTCAACTCTCATCTCAGATCGTCCGAGAAACAGGTACTCATCCGGCCAGCAGCGACACCAGAGCCATACACACAGTTCTTCGACCCAACCACCTACCGAGTCGTCGAGACCATACTTATCAGGCAGAACAGTACATTCCCGACCTACGGAACAACCACTACAGCAATGGCATCTCCATCTACATCAGTATTCCGACCCGGAACACTAGCATTCATCACAGGCTCCGCATCCGGCGTCGGCTTCGCATTCGCCCAACACTGCCGTCGACAAGGGATGCACGTCGCCCTAGCCGACATCAACAGCGACAATCTCGAAAAGGCCAAAACAGCATTACAAGCAATCACTCCCAACACTCCCAACACAAATACTTCCCCCCAAATCCTAACATACACCCTCGACGTATCCGACTTATCAGCATGGACACAAGTCAAGTCCGACCTAACAACCAACAAAAGGTTCTCGACGATCAATTTCCTCATGCTCAACGCCGGGATGAGTATGAAACCCAGCACTTCAACACCATGGGACGACGCAGCATATTTCCACAAAACACTCGCAACCAACTTTTTCGGCGTTGTCCATGGTCTCGCCACTCTGTTGCCCCTAGTCACAGACACAAAATCAAATTCCGACAGTTCCGGTCCTTCAGCCATTGTGATTACCGGAAGTAAACAGGGCATCACCAACCCACCAGGAAACCCAGCCTACAACGCCAGTAAAGCAGCAGTCAAAGTCGTCGCTGAGCAACTTGCTCACGACTTACGAAGCAAGACCTCAACATCACAGCAACAGGTGTCCGTCCACCTCCTCGTACCCGGATGGACGTTCACGGGTCTTAGTGGGAATCAAGGACCCGTGCCGGATGAACAGGCCTTGAACAAAAAACCCCGCGGCGCCTGGTTACCGAGTCAGGTCGTTGAGTATGGCGTTAAGAAAATCAACGCGGGGAAATTCTATATCATTTGTCCGGACACGGATGTCGATGAGGCTCTTGATCAGGCTCGTATGGCGTGGGCGGTGGGCGATATTATTGAGGGCAGGAGTGCGTTGAGTCGATGGGATCAACAGTTCAAGTTTGATGCTGCGAAGGCGATTGCGGAGGATGCAGAGAGAAGAAGAGGTGCGAAGAAGGCTTGAGATGCAGTGACATGCAGGTGAAAGAACAGAGCTTATGATGCACTGCATGAATGATGAGATAAATTGAAAGTTGGAGCAAGGCTCAAGATGCAAAGAATCTGGGGTGTAACCTGCAGAACGTAAATGACGACTTTACAGACGGTATGTACAGTATGTATCATGCGAAGCGATACAGGAAATAGGTACTGTAGTACTACCACAAAAATCTCAATCGCCTTGGAATGAGAGTGATACGGATGGACTGGATCCTCACGGATATGCATATCACACATTCGAGTGAGGCTGACAGGAAAGGAGCATGAGCGTGGCGATACATGGCGTGTGCCACAATCAAGTCTTTTTGGTCATTAACGACACACCCTCCTACCCACCTGCCTACCTACCATCAACCTACCTGTTAGTCCTGGGTCCCCAGAACAAGTCAGTATATCACCTGTCTCAGCGCAATATCAGGCGGATCCCAGACCACGTCCTTGACACTGGCACGCTGGCGGGCAGGAACCTTGAATGGCAACAAGTGATCGGTATCGGTAGAGCCAACCCACAATTTGTTGCGGATGAGGAGGAACGGGCCTGTATCTCCTTCTTTCAGATCCAGACTCTCTGAATCACCGCTAGATCTCAACCTAGATCCAGCTCCAGAAGGAGAGTCGACACCAGTATCCGTTCCACTTGTAGCTTTGTCTTCCTTTCCTTCTGGCACATCTAACCCGATCGCCCGTCTCGCACGCACACTGACACATTCATACAACGTACGTGCATCAGCCTCCGTACCAGCCTGATAAACCCCGACACCGAGAGAGGCCAGATGAAGCGGGTCGCCTGTGCCCCAGGGGGTGAAGGCATTGCCGACATTGTTGATGGACAGACAAGCTTCGAGACCCAGACGGCTAATCATATCGACGACCTGGATAGTTCCCCGAGGACGATTGTGAGGCGCATGTGCACTGAAACCCAACCGATTACCGTCCTCAGCTTGCGCTGTCGAAGACGGCGGCTGCTGCTGTTGCGGACGTCCCATCATGAACAAATCGCTCGTAGGCAGCCCTACAAAATAAATTGGAAGACATGATTCCCTAATCTCATGCGCCAGCCTGGCCATCTCAGCATCACTGCAAAGAGTCAGACGCGAGCAGTGGCCCAGCACGATCGTTTTAGTCCTATCGGCCCGCTCGGTCCATCGCGCTTCTTTCAGTAACTTCAAAACGTCCCAGACCATCAGACTTTTAGTTTCGTCGAGGTTGTAGTCGAGGTGGAAATCCAAATGGAGGGAATACTTGAGGGCCATTTCGATCGCCCACCGGATGTTCTGTCGGCTGGCTTCGACGTCCACTTCAACATACGGAGTTGTTCCGAGGGCTTCGATCACGGCGGCAGCATTGATAGCACCAGCATGAGCACCTCTACCAAAGTCATCTTGGCCACTGTCATTGATAGTATGGCGGCGGCGGCTACCGCAGTACTTGTCCAACGCCTCAGTGAGTAAGCGACGATTCTCCTCGCCGTGATACTCGGCGCTGAATAAGGGATCTTGGGCAAATGCGCAAATTTGAACTTTGAAACAACCATTTCTGCCCTTGAAGCTGTTGATATCGGTAGGGTCGCTGCTCTTGCGATCACCGCCGCTTGCGTCAGTTCTGGGCGTGGTGGTAGTAGTAGGAGGAGGAGGAGGAGTGCCAGTGGTGGCGTTTTCATTCTCAAACCCCCATTTCAACATAAGCGCCGCCTCCAAGCCCTTATGGCGCGTGACATGGTCGACTTCCACAAAGGCCCGACACGAAGTGACGCCCTGCGTTGCCGACGTGGCTAGCAGCTGCGCACCCCGTAGGTAGAGGTCGTCGGGTGTATACCGCTCCTTAGCACGCGCTGTCAACGCCAGTGCTTCGGTGAAAGAACCGCTTCGTGGGGTCAGATCGGTGTAGTCAAAATCACCGGTCAAAAGATATGCTTTGTCAAGGTGAACATGGGGATGACATAGCGATGGAAGAAGAAGCGGAGCGGTGGGAACCGGCGACAACGACGTCGACGGCTCGATAGACTTGATGATGCCCGCTTCAATATCCACGTCCCATCGAGACTCCGGCTCACGCCCTGACAAAATGATATTCTGCAGCTTCATGGATCGATCGATCGGACACCTACAAATAGGATAATTCGGACCGATAAGAGAAGGACGGTTTGAATACCTATGGGTCGACAACCCGATTGATGTGCATCATACAAGACTACTATGGGTGCAAGGCCAGGAACCTCGGGCAAGTCCGTCACGGTAACGGGACTGCATCCTCGCCTCCTTGTTCCACAAGGCTGTGTGCCGGCGGCTGATCCACCGCAGCAGCCTCGTCCTAACAAGCCTCGTCCCGCAGCACGGTCTGTCTCATCCCCTGCAAAAATGGCAGCAATCTGGAGAATCATGTTGCTGCACCACTCCTACAACACCAGCAGCAACAGCAACAGCAACAGGTACAGGTGCAACCAACTTGGATTGTTAGGCGAGAGACGAGGTAGGATCCACGACCGGAGAGAATAGAAGAAAAAAGAAGTAAAGCAAAACAAAAAAACAACTTTTGATTCCTTGGTATCTCTCTGCACTGCCCAATCCATTGCTAGCTCGAGTCATCCAAAGCAAGTACCGACATTCAATTGCCCGTTTCATACGCCCGTCGCTATGCCCCATGTTGTCCAAATGCCATTCTGGTTGTGCTGGATCAGACGGTCACACCTTCGCTGGACATCCCATGTTTGAAGAATTGAAAAACCTCGTCATAATCCTGGGTTTTCTATTCGCAAGCGCAACCGCAAAGCCCCTTTTTGGTCATAATCGTCGTGTCATGTCCGGGTCAAATCCAAAGATCATGCTGAACCATATTTCTTGATGATCTCTGCAACCTGCGCAGCCAGCTTTTCCGCCTCGGTCTTGGAATGGGCTTCCGCGTAGACACGCACCACGTCTTCTGTTCCGGATGCTCGAGCAAAAGCCCGGCCTTTGACATACATCTGACAGCAGCGGTCGATCTCTTCCTGAGCCCCCTTAGGAGATTCCAGTCTCCGCTCGGCGTCGGTGGCCTTGAATACCGATCGATCGTGCACGGCAACTGCAACGAGACGGTTGGGGAGGTCGATGTATGTGTTTCGCCAGTTCTCCAGAGTCCACGACTTGTGCGCTAGGACCACTTCTGCAAAAAGCATGTCCGAAATCGCGTCTCCCACAGCTTGATTGATCAGGTCAATGCAAGCCCGGAGGGATTCGAGAGCATGTTTCTGACCAGGAGATCTGGGCACTGCCTCTTTAATGGTCTTGATGGCGTTGTCGGAGAAAAGGACCGTTCCATGACCATTGGCCTCGAAGTAGACGCCAATATCGTATCTGGCAGCGGCGTGATGGAGATGTTTCACGCCAGTAGGGGTGATTGTGACGGGTAGCTTCAACACTTTCTCGACATACTCGGTCGCCGCTCCGTTGGCATAAGCTGTCTGGACAATGCCGATCCTGAGTTTCTGGTCCACACCGGCAACACGAGTCATGTCGGCCAAGAAGACCGCCCCGAGCGTTGCGATGCGATCTCCATCCAGCAAGTGGAATGTGTTCGACTCGTCGGTATAATAGTAGACAACACGATCCGCATCGCCGTCTAGAGAGCAACAACGGTCACCCGGTTTGGCCGTTGAACTAGGAGGAGCTCGCTGTTTGGTTTTGACATAGTCCGCACCGCACTGGATCATAGGTCAGCATACAACTCTAACTTGTCACAAACAGTCTGGATTGCTCACGTCAAGGTTCAAAGCCTCGGGTCTGACCACGTCATCGTTGACCACTTTGATGTCGATGCCGCCTTCTTTGCCGCTGGGGAGGTATTTGATCAGCTCCTTCAATTTCGGAGCCCCGACACCATTGGCACAATCGACCGTGATAGGACCCTGAATGGTTCGCCCATGCATGATCGTCTTGAAGGCATTGGTCATTTTCTCATAGTAACCCTTCTCGGTCGGTTCACCGAAGGCATACGGGGTGTTGAGAGTGTTGATGCAACGGACGATATAGTGAAGTTGCGGAGTGGTCAACAAACCATAGTCGGTGTACTCGACCTTGACTGCATCCAGCGCAGCCTTCAACGCCGTGACCAGGTACGGACCTGAGGCACGAGTATCACGGGCGAAGACCACCTTGGCAGGTCGCTCATGCAGTTGTCGGATCTCATCCACCAGCGTTTCATTGACCAAGTCTTCGTACGCCTTTGCCAATTTGTCATTGGGCGTGTTTGCCAGGGTAGTGGCCAGGCCTTCCCAGGATTGCTGTCCTCAATGTTAATCACGTGATGAAGAATGTGAGCGAGCAGGGCCGGCATACCTCGAGCATGTCTCCCTGGTGTGACGGTCAGCAGCGTGTCAACATTGAGAGCGTAGATGGCGACATACCATAGGATCAACCAACTTGACCCCATTGTCGTCGGCCGGGTTGTGACTGGCAGTGATCATGATTCCGATGGTCGCATTGCGCTTCTTGGAACGAGCCGCCGCAATGAGGCCAACAGTGTATATGACATGGTCGAGTCCAGCGTTACTTGATTCCCACTCTTTGTCAGTAATGGAGCGTTTCAGTGCCGGCTCAGGAGCGGCATGGGGAGGTTCTGGCTCGGCCGAAGTAGAGGAGGAACAACATACGCTTTCATGCGGAACTGTAGATAGACACTGGTTAGACGATGAGGCGGAAAGGTACGGCCATGCAGTGACTTACCCCTGCAGTGCCATATTGGTATTTCTTTCCCTCCGGAATAGGATATGGCTCGACACCCTTCGTGATGGCGTCCAACAGATCCGAATGTAGATGGACTACCGGCTTAGGCTGGTTGAAGACCGACTCCCGAGGATTGGAGAACGACATGACGGCGGCGGTGGTCGACGGCTCAGGCTTGAAGCGCTGTTCTCAACCTTTTGACTCGATCCCACCGAAGGCACTGAGAATGTGCCAGACAAAGCAGTCTGTCCGAGGACAGAAAATGAGATGAATGTAAACAAAGGAATCGGGTCCGTCGGCTGAAGTGAGAATGAGGAGGATGCGAATCGTGAATTGTGACAGATTCCGTGATCTGCGGGAGGGAGTGCGTAAGAGGGAGAGGGCAGAGTTCGTCTGCCAGGCCACTAACCCGTTAGTGAAGCTAGTGACCTTGCCATCCTGCTTGTCAACGTCTGTTATAGGCTCATAACGGCCCAAGGCGCGGCTGATGTTGCAAAGCCAAAGAGCTTATTGCTGTTGATGGTGCTTCCACCGCAGTTGGTGCTGGGCTGGGCTGGGGCCCGCGGCTGTGCGCCACTGCAGAAGAGATGATGATTGAGCCAGAATTCTCCGCGGGTGGATGGTGTCAGTGCTGTGCCTGACTAGCAAACACTAGCGCAGACTAATGAACCCTTTGAGTGCGCTAGCAAAATTAGCGTTTCTAACCCGCCTGTGCGTGGGGGTTTGCTATTGACGATATGCACAGAGTCTATATCTTCAGGGACCACAGGCCACCGATCCGGACTACCAAATATACATTGTACATATACTCCAGAGCTGCTTTCCAAAGAGCAAGACATGGCCACTTTTACCAGAGAAGCCAGACTCGCGCTTCGTCCATCCTCCCCCTTTACGCTTTTAATCGTTGACTAGCCAAGTCTTCCTGAGCATCCTTGATGAGAAAGCTACAAAACCGACAAATCAGCCCGGACATATCCAAAGACAAGTGACAAAGACAGTCTCTTTCTTACCTGTACCACCAAATGGTGGGAACCACCGTCCCCAGATGCCAAAGACTGTGGGCATCGATCATGCCGCCAATCGGAGGGAAATCAAACAGCTCGAGACTCATGGCCATGATGATCCAAGCAACAATCAAACCAGGCCACGCGGCCCAAGTCTTCTGGAGCTTGCGGTATCGGGAGAAACTGAACCAGGTCCAGAGGACATTCTGCACAATCCCCACCACGACATTGGCCGCCATGTTGTAGGTATAATCCCAACTCCAAGCCGTCAGATATGTGACATGAGCGACGTACAGCAGAACGCAGAACGCGGTCCAGGCACGCAGGATCTTCTCGTTTGATTCGAGGCGGAAAATGCGGATTGGGGCATAGTACAGGCCGTACAGTACACTGGCGCCGGCCGCAAAATAGTCGAGTTTCTCCGTCACGTTGAAGTCGCGCGTGTGGAAAATCATGCTGAAGATCCAGCTTGCCAGTCCAAAATATCCAAAGCCCAAGTAGTACGGACGTAAGGGGTAGTTGGCGGGGATTTTCTCACGGATCCGTGCCATACCCTCGCGATGGGCCAGGAAATTCATCAACGAGAAAAGCACTGAGAAGGGCTCCTGGATCCCCAGGAGCCGGTGGAACGGCCATTTGCCGTGGTACTGCACCACCGGTTCGATCATGGGCGGATCACGGGCCTTCCGTCGGTCGGTGATGACATGCTGACATGTGTAGTCGCATTCAGATGGACAATCCCATAAAAGTAGTCGAAGGTGCAGAGCTTGAAGAACGATCAGCACCGAGGTGTTGTAACGCCGTACACAGAGGAAAATTTATGAACTTACGCAACGCGCTGTGTCCTTTGTCGCAATTCTCTTCAATGCAAACCTACAAGGCTCGATGTCAGTACACTGAGTGTCAGGGACATTTTCGGTCCGTTTGGGTATAAGATGGCACTCTTTCGTACCTTGACACACTCGCGAAACTCTGGCAGCCTGTCGCCCAGGGATGCCAGCGACAGATTGACTAGACATAAGACAGTAAGACCGTAAACCGCGCTCCGACCGTACCAGCCGAGGAGCTTCATCTCTGCCAAAGAATAGACTCTTGAGTGGAAGATCTCGCGATCCTGATGCAAGGCCTTGGAATGGCCTATTGTATACTGGGACGCGCAAAGATGTTACTGTAGCTGAGAATAGGGACATCAAAGCCCAAAGGCCAATAGGGGTGGTTCATCACTCAAAGGTCGCGATGCCCTAAGCAGATTAGTCCCCACATCGCCCGTTAGCACTCCTACCTAGTAACGTGCCGGTGCATAAACACTGCATAACGTAGCCTCGCCATCCGGTTCCCATTGCCGAGAACCGTCGAGTCCACCCTCTTGCTATAGCAAACCGCCACCTGCAGCATCCTCTTGACTGTCGTAGATGAAGATTGCGAAGGATGTTACTGATGCTGGCACGATACTACACTAAGCCCACCGGCCGGAGGAAACAGCCGCCAGGTATTACAAGGTAGGAAATTCCGAGGGGAGGACATATCGAATTCACTTCCGTCACTTTTGCAATATGTTTATCATTGAAGCCGAGCGCATGATACGTATATCTCCGTCGTTGTTCCTCGTAACAGTACAGAAAACAGTTTGCAAATTGTCCGGTTGCGACACCATACAAAAATAAACCCCCGGTTGCCCAGTATCAATCATGGCTTCCACCGGAAAGCAGGGTGTTTCCAATCCAAATCCTGGACCTGGCGCATACTCAGACCATCCAACTCGGCATCGACGTCCTTCTTTTCACGAACACTGTTATCCCTCAACATCCAGATGTGCAACAAGATGGAGCAGACCAAAATGGTGGAAGAAGTGGCCAAGTTCAGCCCGTTCCCGATATGATAGTCTGGCCCGTCGAAGGGCAAAAAGGACCAAGTTGAGATTAAGCCGCCGATGTTACCAAGCATGACATTGAGTCCAATGGCGGCAGATCGCGCGGTGTCGGAGACAACGTTGGCGGAAACCTGGGCGTTGCAGAGAGCACCGTAGGAGAAGGCACCCGCGCCGATGAGGAAGGTCGCGCCGTACCGGACGTGCGGGCTGGTGCTGGCCAAGAACATGATGTAGCCGATCATCATCAGCGGTGTAGACATGATGAAGAAGATGTTGCGGCGGTCGAAGCGCCAGGACAAGAACGGGAACAGCACCGTAAAGAAGGCCCCGACCACATAAGGCGGGACGGTGTGCAGTTGTTGCGACACCACCGTGTTCTTGGGGTAGATGGTCTTGACGATCGTGGGCAAGAAGAATGCCAGACCCTGGACCGTGATGTTGTCGAGGAGGAAGATGAAGGCGGTAGCCAGGGTGACGGGGCAGGTGACGCCACGGAGGATCTTGGGCACGTCGATCTTGTCCAGTACCTCGGTCGTGGCCACTCTCTCAGACTTGACGCGGGCAATGGCCAGGTCTTTCTCCTCTTGTGTCAGCCATCGTGCGGTCGCTGGACGGTCTGTCAGGGTGAAGAAGGAAATGACGGCCAAGCCGCAGGTGATGATGCCTTCGACGGCAAAGATCATGCGCCACTGGTGCAGGCTTCCGAAATGGTCGAGTTTGAGGATCGCCGATGCCAGAAGGCCTCCGAACGCGCCGGCCAGCGGAGCCATGACAATGTACAGTGACAGTCGGAAGGCCAACTCGCTTCTTCGGTACCACCTTGACAGATAATATGCGATACCAGGCAGCATTGGAGCCTCGAAGATGCCGAGAAGGAAGCGGACACCACAAGCTGCGGCCTTGTTGTGGACAAAGGCAGTACCAAGCGAACAGATGCCGAACCCGAGAGCCGTGGCTGGAATGAACCAGCCTGGCCCAAAGTACTTGCAGGCCACATTGCCTGGTAGCTCGAAGAGAATGTATGAGACGTAGAAGACGGAAAGAACAATGTTGTAGTCGTATCCTTTGAGGCCGAGTTCTTTCTCCAGGCCGGCAAGTTTGGCATTACCTGAAAATCGCTCCAATTGTCAGTTATCCACGACCTTGCGAGTAAAACAAATCTGGGAAGAGGCGGATCAACTCACCGATATTGGCTCGATCGATAAAGCAGAACAGATAGAGGAGCGAAACAGTAGGGACAATGTATAGATCAATCTTCCAGCGCAGTCGTGCCTCGGCCTTGGGGTCGAAGGTAACTATGGGATGGCCATATCTGAGAGACACAATGTTAGCGACATCGAACAAGAAGTTGGGACAAAAACCATACTTGTCTGTAGCCACATGACCTCTTTCCGCTGCCTCGTGGGCATCCTCGGTGTGCAATGCGGCCGCTTTTTCGTCCACCTGATCCTGCAGTGACTGGCGGACATCCGATCCAACCTGCCGCTCTTCAACGTTGTGGTCTTTGAGTATCATTTTGCAAGAATCGAGAAATCAATGGGGCATGGAGTAAAAGAGGCAGGCGTGTAAGCAAGTGTAGGGCTGGAGGAGTCGAACCAAGCGAACGGGGCAGCCACCCAGCTTTATGTCTGCCGCCCGCTTATACCAATCTATCGGGCGGACGAAACGATGGAGGAGAGGACCCTGTCGCAACAACATGTGCGCCAGGCGAACTTAGAACGCCAGACGGAAGAAGGAGCAAATCATGCCTCCTTCAGACATGCGTGTGGCCTTTGGCTCAAAGGCCAAGTCGTCTAGAGTCGTCTAGCGGGCCTTGACACCGGATGATGCACCTTGTCGTGGTGGACTTTGGCGGGGACCGGGGAAAGCTAGGAGACAAGCCACTCTCCGGGGTAAAGAGCCAGACTGGGCGACTACTGGTAGTTGGCGGTAGCAGGACACAAGAAGGGGATGAACCTGAACGGTGAAATGCTTGACCTGCTCGACCTACCGAGGTTTGTCAGGACGTGTTGCACACTGTAACTAAAGGAGTCGTGGAGAGAGCCTATCGTAGCGGCAGGATATACGATGTCGTAGTACAGGATGGGCGGCCATCCATTGGGACTCCGTGAGGTCTGCCGTCAAGACGGCTACGTTCCTGATTTCTAGTGGCACAGCACGTCGCAATGCAATGCTGCCTCTATGTAAAGCCAGCGAAGGTCAGCAGCATGGGCAACAAGGATGTCCTTTGTCCCAGCAAACTGAGAGAGTAACCTGAGGTATGTCCCTGCATCAAGACCTCCCCAGAAGTGGCAGTGAGAAGACAGGAACTGTTTCCGCCTCTTCAAGAGGCTTCACCCCAGGGTTTGTCCACCCACCTACCTACCTAGGTACCTATGATCTGCCCTGCCGCCCATGTCTTTTGCCTCTCGCTACCAGCCAACACGGGTACACAAGCCACTAGTAGGATGCCAGTGGCCCATGCGATGATGCCCAGCAATGCCCAGCCACTATTTTCCCCGGGAATTGGAATCGGCACCGGGTGAGTAGCCGACAAGAGACTATACTCCTTGGGCGTAAGGAGAGAAAGAACCCGCCTGATCCCTTGGTCAAAAGCCTAACGTATCACTTCTCTGGGGCATTGCGGGCGGAACTACAGCCTCGCACAGACGCATACAGTACACTCTTGGATCTTCCAACGGCGGGCATCGGATTTGCAACCGGGACATGGAGTCGGCAAAACGCATCACTTGGCTGGCGGACATACATGGACGTGATCGGACCAATGGGTATGGCAGGATGTCTACAGCATATTCAAGTTTCTTTCCCCTGAACTTTTGCCTCCGGAGAAATAAACTCAAAAGCCCCTTGTGTCTGCAGCAACAAGAATCAAAAATGATGGTGGGTATGAATCGTGTTCACATTCATGTCCCAGAGGCACCTAGGTGTCGGGTATTCATCAATGGTAGAATTCGATTCTGAAAAGAGAGCCTCCTTGGGTTTGAGCCCAGATAAACGCCGAACAAGCCAGGTGAAAAGAAAGAAGGACCTCCTCCCGCGTCGTTGTGTGGTGTACACCGTCATGGAAATTGAAAACGCCTCTGCAATCCTGGTCTGGAGCCGTCGTCTTGTTCTGATTGCCTCCCACACGAGAATCAGTTCAGTTCCCGTCCTCCGTTCCGTCAGTCTATCTCCCCAAATATTTCGTTCCGTTTGTCTCTCTAGTTTTCGTCAAAAGTGGGCGGTGGGTCGTCAATATACAGAAATGGCTGGTAATAAAACGCTCAAAAAAGCAGGCTGAGCAGCGAAGAGTCACACTTGAGGTAGACTCAGGCGGAAGAAGAAGAAGAAGTCAGGCGGGATGCCTTGCAAGAATCGCAATCCGCATCCTTGCATGAGAGCGAAGAGCTCCGAGTCGAGCACCGGCAGTTTTGGTGGGATTTACCCTCGACGCGACCCTGATGGCGGTGATAGGACTTGGGTCATATCGTCTGCAGCTTGCACACTGCGTTTGCAGAGACAGCTTAGATGACTTAGGTGTGTCGCCGAGTGTGGACTGCCTTCTGGTATGACTTGACTCGGTGGAGGTATCGTTTAGCAACGTGGCGTCAATCAAGCAATCGATTTGATGATGTGCAGTTTCAAGAACTCATTTGACGATATTGTTGCTGGTGCCGCCGCATTCTTCGTTTCGGCGGCGGTGGCTGATCGTTGTCGTTGCTCTCATTGTCGCGTTTAGGCTCTTTCTGGCTTTCTCTCTCTTTGCTTGCCGCATCCTCCTTTTCGTCTTTTTTGTCGTCCTTCTCAGGATCACCAAAGGCCTCCTCGAAGATGACTTTGGATTTCAGACTGGTCTTGCCTTTCTTGGGCTTGTCCTCGGGTCTCACCTCGACAGGCTTTTCCTTTTCTTTCTGCTTCTCCTCCTCCTCGTCGTCGGCGACATAGGCTCCTGAAGCATGCTCTAGATCCGGAATACCCTCGGTTTCACCGAGGTTGATGGGCTCGAGAATGTCGGTTTTCTCTTCATCCTTCTTTTCCTCCTCTTCTTTCTTCTCATCCTCTTTCTTCTCCTCTTCCTTCTTTTCTTCTTCGATGATCTTTCCATCTTCTCCCAATTCTTCAGCCTTCTCTTCCTGGTGGATCTTATACAGCAGTTCCTTTTTCTCGTCGACGTCATCTTTGTGGTCCTTGGGCCGGGTGATCTCGAGCTGGGCGTCCGTGTAATTAAGTGCCGCTTCGACCAGGCAGCTTCGAACATCATCACCAACCCAAGATGACAGCATATTCATCAACTCCGCATTGTCGTCCTTGAGGGGACCGCCTTTCCTCAACAGGTTTTTGAATTGAGGAAGATTGTGCACGAACTTGAGGAGTCCCTGCACACGGGCCACCTGGACTGTCTCGTCGTTGACGCTGAAGGTGACGCTCATAACGTCCTGGCCGTTGCTCGTGTCCCATTGGGCAATGCTGTTGGGGATCATGATACGGCCGTTTCCACACCTATCATCGTTCGGACCCAGCTCGACAATGGCATTGCCAAAGTCCAGCGACTCGCTGGCGAAGGCCAGGTGGTAATGGTCTTCGATCTTGACCATGACGACGAACTCAGGTCTGTAAAAACTGCCGTCACAGTGACCTTCAATGTTCGTGCGTGGGAAAGCCGCCCACACTTTGACCTTGGGATCGACCTTCATGCTGGCCGGGATAGGCACTGGCACAAAGTTGGTGCCTCCACGTAGACTACCGCCATCTTCCTTGTGCTGGGACAAGAATCCCTCCGGCACGCTTTGCTCGTATGCGAATTCGCAGTCTCCACACCGCAGGTGGCATTTCAGAATCCGCAGAGGCTTGAAGCTGTAGATGAAGTGGATGTAATCGTTGGGCACACGGGCGGGCTCACTGCCAGGCAGACGAACCCTGCTAGGGGAGACTTGTTCGTATTGTGGCACGAAGAAGGGCGCCCAGTTCTTCTCGGTCCATTGGCGCTCGTGGTCCCGGATGGTCAAGAGGTTCGAGTAGTTGCTGAACGGTCGGAAGATGTACATGGCACGCTTCCAGTCCGAGGGTTTACCAATCATGTTGAAGATGACCACAGGCTCTGCGCCTTCGACGTTGTCCTCGAGAATGATGCGAGGATCCTCCGGTCCGTACAAGCTTCCATCCGGGTCATAATTGGCGGGAATGTCGAAGACCAGGGGGAAGTTAAAAGTCTTGCCACCCCAGGTCAGGTTGTAGTTGTCCAGGTGCTCCCAGTCCGCGTTGAACAGTTGCCCACGGAGGAAACTCATCTTGGGCACCGACCGCGTCCGCTGTGGGCAGAAGATGACTCGGGTCACGGACAAGTAGACCTGGTGCTCGGGCAGCCAGACACTCGATCCGGATAGCCGTGCCCACGTCCGCTCGACAATGTCCGTCACTTTGAGGCTCGGGTCGTTCATCATGTCATCGGGGTAGTCGACAATTGGGTGCGAGTCTAGCGTCATGGCGATCTGCCTGATGTCGTCGTTGAGGAAGAAGCTCTTTTGCACGCCCACGGTCGAGTTGTACTTGAGCGTGTCACAGGATCTCTTGCCCGGCAGGCCCGTGTTGACGAAGCCCGGGATGTCCATCGGTTCGAAGGGGCCCCATTGCAGATAATATTCCGAGGGCGTTGAATCGTACTACCCAGAGGTTTCAAGGGTCAGTTTTCCCACTCATTTGACTGCTGACGTAGATTTCCAGAAGTACGTACAGATTCTCTGTGCAAGTTCGGAACTGTAACATCCGGGAAGAAGGAGCCCGGAAAAAAGAAGAAAATCAGGATTGTGATGAGGGCGAAGATGCTCAGCCGCTGGATTCTGGCCGGGACGGCAAATCTCTCAAAAGAAGGGACAGGCATCTTCGAAAATTCGTCCGACCTGTGGTCGTCCCTTCTCACAGAGAAGAGAGTGGTCAGGTTTTCGAAAACGTCAAGAAGGAACAAGAAATACGAAACGAGTGACTGTGTCGTGGAAGGAGATCGGGGGGAGGAAGAGGGAAATCCACACGCCACGGAGGGATCACGGAATCTGTTATATCGAAAGCGCGGCCGTGCTTATTATGATGGTCCAAGCATATGCCATGATGACGGGATCAGATCTCCTCCTTTCCTTCAACGTCTGCCCTCGCTTTGCCCGGCATTCCAACCAGGGTTCCAGCCTCGCCCGATAAGGGAGAGCGGAGAGGGACATTCCGAAAGGGAGGTGGATCTTTCACCAAGCAGGGGGGTGGAAAGATATCGATTGGGCCTGGCAAAAAAGAGGGTACGAACGATAGCCTAGACAGCCCTGATCCTCTTTGGGGCCCGCACTGGGCTCCATCACAACAAGCGTGCAAGACGCGAGTGTGTTCCATTTTAGTGCTGGGCCAAAGTCTGCCCTGTTGCGGAGATTGCGTTCTACGTTTTGCTGGTGGGCAGGTTCTTTCTGGCCAGGATAGATTCAGCCCAGTTGTAACTGGCCGCACCATAGCACCATCCTGGCGGTATCAGCAGGGGTGTGTTTGGTGCTTCGGATAATTTGAGGTTATGTAGGTATGCATCCACGCCTAAAATAATAGATAGATAATTTAGATAGTATAGTCATCTGTGGTTATCACCTCTAGAGGACCAACGTCCCTTGGCGACATGGGCGGTTTTTTGATGACTGGAGACTCCGGCATCTGTGACGGTTTAACCGCTGCCCGGGGGTTTTTCTGAAACGAATCCCCAGGCAAGGTGACTGGGACAGCCATGGCTGCTAACAACACTACTACCATTTGGCCCTCTGCTAGCAGCAGAAGTAGTGGAAGCATGCGTCAGCTTGACTACCTATGATTGGGCCAAGCCAGTATTTCTGTGCTTGAGTACTCGCTGCGATCGTCACGTTGGTGGCTCGCTCGGACTGAGCTCCAGTCCACGGCGGTTCCCGCTCTAAGATCGAAAGCGCGCCGAACAGTCGATCATCTACACCCCCTGAGAGGGAAGAGTGCATCCAGGGAAGAACCTGAATGGCGGGTTCATGGAGGGGAGACAGAAGTTGAGCAGTAAACACCCCCTTGAGCACGCAGGACCCGCGGTCTCATCACGGCTGTCAGAACTCTCAACTGACGCCTCTGCTGGCAGGTGGCTTGCGCTGTCTCTGCGGTGTCTCGCACACACTGATAAAACTTGGTGTGTGTGCGCGCGCGGGCAAAAAAAGGTAATTGACAGACTATTAGCCCGGGAGCGGAGGATGCTGCCTGTTAGTCCCACATACTGTATGATAGCACAGTAACTGGCACTGTAGGCCCGCAGGTTGTAGGCAACGCAATTCCGGGTTCCTGCACTAGCAGTTGCAGTGGCTCGACCAGAGATCCCTTGCCTTCTTCCTTCTTCGCCGACAGTAAGGTACAGTAGTGGGCAGATGAAGAGGGTCAAGGGAGAGAAGAAGAATCGTTAAAAAGCCAAACCCCTGGAAAGCGACAGGGATGGTGAGATGATTGGGATCCAGGGCTGAACATCACAGCCAAGAATGTTCGATAGACCCGCAGGTGGGCTGGATCTGATTTAAAAAACAGCCCACAATGGGTAGAGATGGTGAGAGGTGCAAGCCTAATTGTAAGCCATCTCGCAGTCGACGCGCTTCTCGTCAGCCTTCCACCTCTCATGTAACCAAGCTCCAGAGAGCTCAGTCAGCCACCAGATACACAAACAAAGAAGATGCGGCCGCCCCAAAATTGAGCCTAGAACACCTCGACCCCGTGTGTACAGGGCATCCCAGTTGCCCCAGGCTAGGACAGCGGTGTTCATTCATTGCAAGGACCAGGAAGACCGGTGGTGTGCCGCACCTTTCGCCAGGCAGTGTAGTCTGAGGCTCAGACCATGTCGAGGGCTTGTAGAGGGATGCCGGTGTCTGTCTGTGTGTCAGTGAATGTCTGTGCTGTCCGTGCTGCGACTAACGGCCTGTCAACGACATATCACTGCAGACCATCCTACGACTAGTGAATACTGGGTACCTACAGTGGTACAACACAGCAGCCTAGCAATCGAAGGTTCAGCCCCTCCGATCGTGTAACTTGACATGTTTTTCGCGACGCGCGACTCTCTCGACGCCACTGCCGCAGCCCCCGAATCGACCGCCATTTTCCACATACTGTAGATTGAACGAGTCTGCCGCTATCAGTGATGAGTATCTCTGCCGTTGTGGCGTCTGTTTTCGACCGAGCTAGACTCTGGCGACCGGAGTCCCAAAATTGCCGGTAGATTTGGTTTTGCTCTATCCTGACTCGAGGGCAAACATGGATGAACTATCCGCTGCGATGGGTTGGGTTGGGTGTGCAAAACGCGATGCCATGCCATGGCCCTCACGCGCGTCTGACATGAGAGGGAAGTGCTACTACTAACCGAGGGTCAAAAGCTTCTTTCTGCCAGGAGGTCCGTGTGACAGAGCGACAGCAAGGGCGACAGCCTCCTGATCTACTTGCCACGGCGCCGGCAATGAGAAGTATACATGTCAATTCTGCCTGACAGGATGTCAACCCTCAGTTTCTCTCCTATACTACAGATCCCATTCAGGATCCCATGGCTAGTGTCGCATCTACTGGATCTATCGCAACTACAACCATCATTGCAGCTTGCTGTTGCATGGTTTCCTATCATGCTGTGCTGGTCTACGGGAGGGGTTCGAAACCAAATCTATGGCCGCCTAGTATTGAGGGATGCGTCGCATTTTACCCGGAATCGAACCTTTTCCGCATGCTGTTGACACTGGATGACACATTCCGATGTATCCAACTTAGAAGTCGTGTCCTTCCACCTTCTGTCCAAAGACCTTCACTCTAGGCCTCCAACGACTTATATAGATGTGAACTTATATCTATTAGGTCACCACAAATGTTGTTGCTGCTCGCAAGATCCATGGATCGCATCACCCAACGTCCTCTGTTATGAGTGCCACTCGCAGACTCAGCTGGGACCTTCCCTTCACTGTGCCTTCTTTTTTAAGGTTAGGTAAGATCATGCTCCGCGCCCAGCAAGGAAACACAAAGCCAAGGCCTTCCGATATGGAGAGAAGAGGCACAAATGGAGGCCCCTTCAATTTTCAAGCTGCGAGGGGCATCCTCATTGCCGATGTCCAGACAGCGGCAGATGCGTACCAAGTCCGCTTGCATAGCCTTGAGAACCTCAATTAACAACCAGGGGAGGGCCGCTTCACAGGAACATCTAGCCTCAGACCGCTGGTCCCTGTGGCTCTATTTTTCCGGCACAGGCTCAAGCATCGAGGCTGGCATCCTGACAGACCTGTTATTGTCGAGTGCACCGTTTTGTATCTCTTTTGAGTCCCCGGAGTCCCCGGAGTCCTCGCGGGCTTGCTGCCTGTTTTGATTGAATTCGTCTTCAATCTGCTTTTTTCTGGCTTGGTCTCGACTGACGTAGTACCTAAGCACGAAGATCATGGTGAACTGCAGGACACTGAGGCCGCTCATGATGCAGAAGCCTAATTTGAACCGTGGAGCATACTTGCCCACGTTGAGAATGACAACTAAAGGAAAGAACTTAGCATGGGGACCTTCCCTTTGAAGCAATAGGGGCACAGTCGAACTCACCAGGCACCCAAGCAACAAAGGCCTGACCGAAAGTCTGTGCCACGCCAATTACAATGGCTCGTTCTTCCGCATCTTCATGGCAGAACTCATTCGCCCAGGCATAGACGATGGGCCAGTAGCCCCATGAGGCCGCATTGATCATGTACCCAAAGAACGTGGCACCATAACCCGGATATGCCGCAACGATGACCATTCCGACAAAGTTGAAGAGCTGGATGGAAACGATTTCATTAGCACTCTGGCTCTTAAACCAAGAAAACAATGCTAGCCACTTCCACTTACCGCCGGTGGTATCATCAACTGCCACCGTTTCCCTCCCAGACCATCAGAGATCCAACTATACGCCAACGTGGTGACGAGCCCAAGCGCCTGTGCCGCGGTCGGGAAGAGGTTGACTTGATAAACCGAGAAGCGGTCGAGAGACTTCAACCAGACGGAGAAGTAGTTCAACGGTTGAGTCACTATGCAATGAAATCTAGGAGGCACACCAACAATGTCAGTTTTCCACCCCAAAGAGCCAAGAGAGAGAAACACATGTGGTCAAACCACTCACATCAAGGTCAAGGTCAAGATATAAATTGGCCAGTGACTGAAGATCTTTCGCATCTTGCCCCACGAGAGGCGCGTAGGACCACGACGGCCGACCGACTCCATGCGAGCCAGATACTCGACCCGGTGATGGTGTTTGATCCAGCGAGCCTTGGTGGTGTAGGGATTGTCTGGGACGGCATAGTAGCCCCAGAACGCGGCGGGCAGCGAGATGACGCCGCAGAAGATGAACAACCACCGCCAGCCCGCCAGACCTAAGTGGCCATCCATGTTCTTATAGATACCGGCCTGCAAGTAGCCGCTGAACATGCTGGCGGCGTAGCTGGCCGAGTAGAAGATGGCGATGCGCTTGCCCAGCTCGCGCGGCGTGTACCAGCTGCCCATGACGGTCAACACGCCCACGGCAAAGGGCGCTTCGAGCATGCCTATCACCCATCGCAGTGCAAAGACATGCTCGACCTTTTGCACTGCCGCAAAGCAGAACGTCACTATCGTCCACAGAAGCTCCGCCGTCGGCAGGTAGTACGACGGCCTAATGCGTGTGAGCAGGAGCTGCGATGGAATCTGTGCCGTCAGGTACCCGCACGTAAAAAACGTCGCGAGCAAGTTATATTGATTGCCGTGGAAGTTGAGGTCTTCTTTCATCCCAGACACATAGGCATTGGTGACGTTGCCCCAGTCGAGAAGACGTACGAAATACCCGAATGTCGCCCATGTCCTGAAAAATGAAAAAATATCAGACCGAACAATTCGTCCAAATTCGAGAACAAAAAGGTACTTCAGAGCTTACATGAGGTGTAAGTCGAGTCGTTGGACAAGCCGTCTTTCTGCTGCCGTGCGCTCACCATCCCAGACGACTTCCTGCACCTTTTGCCATGTTGTCTTGCTCTTCTCCTCCGACATCTTGTCCAGGACGCTGAGCACAGACCGAAATTAACAATTTTTTTTTTCAGCCGGGCATTTCAGGGCATATATCCATTACGGAAGCACTCCTGCACTGTGCTGTTCGACTTGAAAAAAATGCCGTGTTTATAGGGGCATGCTGATTCAACAACAGTACTGTTGTACAGCGATTTCGGAGCAGCTCAACGGTTTTCGCTCTTTTTCCATCATTCATTGGTTTGTTGGCGGTGGCGTTTTTGTTATGGAGCCATCACAGCACGGTGAAGTAATACCGTAGCCTCGGATCAGAACGTCAACCACGGAATTACCAACTGCATGCCGAGACATTGCCTGATTCATCTACAACGTTGTATTCTGCAATCAGATTCGCACGGTTTTGGACAGAATAAATATAATCACCGTCTTCTTTGAGAGGTTTGCACCGGCTGCCCTAGCCCTGGCCAGGGTCGTCGCCATAATTTGGCGTAAGGCTGCAGAACCCGGGGGGAGACAAGGCTGAGTACTAGCATGGCACAAGAGGTACTTTTGGCGGATATATACAACCGCCGCCATATAGGATCGCAGAACAAGTCCTTTACATGGCACTGACACTGTCCTGACGAACCAACCAAGCTCACAGCTTACTCTTGCTTCCAACACACTTCATCAAGGCCCGGCCATTGCTTAACACGACCTTTCCATTGACCTCGACCACAAATCTAACCTCTTCCCAACCATCCTTGATGTCTCCTGTTCTCCAGATCTTAGTGACAAGTTTCTGGGCAGGCTTGACCGGTGCGGCGAAACGGGCCTGGAACTCCTTCATGTTGGCCGGATCACTTCCGCCCAGCTCCTTGAGGAGGATGTGCGCGGCCGTGTTCCAGCTGAACAAGCCGTGCATGATTGGACCGCCAAAGCCCATCTTGATGCCTGGCTCGGGCGTGGCATGAAGAGGGTTATAGTCGCCATTGAGTCTGTTACACGGGTAGAACAGTCAGCACGTTTTTCTCCTTTCTCCCCTGCGCTGCGCGCGGTCATTTCGGATTCGCAGTCTGGCTTACCTATACAAATGCGCGCTCTCGTTGGTCAACTGCGTCTCGACCACTTTGTCCGGGCTCTGTTCTCGTCCCTTGGGAGGAGGATAGTTGACGGTCGCAGGACCCTTGGGGCCGCCCCATCCGCCCTGGCCCACGAAGAAGCCACTGCCAACGGCGCGGGTGTACACTTCGCCCGTCTCTTTGTCCACAATTGTCTGTTCTGTTTCCATCACGGTTCCTGGCTTTCCCTTGTCGTAGACTCCGAGCACCTTGGACCGCAGCTCGAACTTGCGGCCGGCCGAGGTCGTGGGCAGCGGTTTGAAGAATTGGATCAGTCGTTGTCCATCGACAACTCGTCTCGCGTCGAGCTTGGGCACGCCCGGAATCGCGCTTGTGTTGCTCTCTTGGGCCGCATAGAAATCAATCACTTCTTGCGATGTCTTTTTGAATGCTGTAGACTCCGTCAGCTAAGAGTGGCTTCGGGCGCAAAGCGGACAGACGCTGCTACTCACGTAGGATGATCGAGTATGTAGGGAATACGCAGAAGTTAGGGTGCAGTTCCTGGACGACAAGAGTCAATCAGCATTCATTCAGTCACAATGTGCTCTCCTCTATCAAATTCGTGCTCACATAAAGAAAATGTAGTTCATCAACGGTACAGCCAATGCTGACCGCAAATAAGAGGACGTCTCGCTTCAGCCATGACACCTCTTGCGGCGGATACTCGTGCCCGACACCTGGACCAGACATTTTTGCTTGATTGATTTCCAAAGAGACTACAGGCCGGTATAGAGAATGAAACACTCCGGTGGCCTTTTCAACGAGAGAGCCACGGTGCTGTTATGAGTGAGACAGACCAAACTTGACGATCACCGAAACTATGCGGGGAGGCTGGATGCCGAGGTTCGGTTCCTGGACGCTTTCGACAAACTCACCCAACTCCGACTTTTTGCTATGCGCGACCAAGGTACTAAAATAATCAACGACACCCTCAGCTGAGAGCATAATTGGCATGATTACTATTGCCAGTCTCTTACCGCGGCTATCTACGCACATTAGCGCAGAAACACAAGTCCCCGAACAAAAGAGGTCTGGTGTGTCCATCATGAGTCCATTATCAAATTCAGCGTCAACTCGTGGGGTATCTAAGGTATATAACGAGGCGCCTGAAATGGTGCTGGGGGATCATTTCGGTCATTATGGAAGCCCAACCCTCCTAGCCCGGTTGCCCGGCTTCTATTGTTCACGTTGCACCGTATGGCGCGAGCGATCGAAAACCTGAGAACATAGGAACTGGCCTGATGCTATGCGAAACAACAGCTGCAATGAAACCCCCAATCGAACGCAAAAATAAAAGATTGCCGTCAAGGTAAACCGTGGATCAACACCTGTGAAACGATATTAGCCAAAGAAGATCACAAATTGGCCGGCACGATGCTTACATTCTGTACTCGCAGGATCCACGAGCAAACCGTGTGGGATCCGAGGTTTCCAGCTCGTAGTCAATCTTGATGTCCAAATCGCGCCTATTCTTGCTGTTCGGCTTGTTCGAGAGATAGCCACGTACGACTTCCCCTTCCTCGACCGTCAAGACTTCCCGAAGATAGAAGACGGTCTGCTTCCAGTGTGTGTATTTCGTGTGAGGACCGGTCGAGAAACGGATCGGCTTGTGGCACGCGGTGAAGTCGATGTCGAACCACGCGATCAGCGCGTGGATAAAGTCGTTCCTTTGTACGCGGAGTTCGAACTGCTCCGAAAACGCCAACTGGGCCGGTGTGACGGTGTTGAGGTCAATCGTGAAGACGGGGCAAGGGTCCGTGACCAGGGCCTTCATTTCCACGGTGTCCACCAACGGCTCGCTCAATGCGCTCTCCTTCATGGGGGAGTAGTCGAAGCCATACACGTTGTCCCAGACTGCCAAGGTTAGTCTCCCACCCCTCAAATCGCAGGCCGTGGTACAACTCACATCCGATCTTGTCATCCTTGTATTCACCATCTTCAATCCCTGCCATGTATATCGTGGCCTTGTCCGGGAAGATCTTGCCACCTGGCACCAGATATTGGTCACGCGCGTATAGGACAGTGTCAAGCATGCTCTCATAGAGGAGGAAATAGCCCATCCACTCCGATATGATGATATCAACCTTGCCATTCGACAGGTGTTCCGCCGGTAGCTGCACCTCTTCCATCTTTCCTTGTAGGAGAGTGATCTTCTTTGACAACCCGTTCACCTCGACGATCTCTTTGGCCTTGTTGATGATGCTGGACATGTCGACTCCGATGACATGTCTGGCTCCAGCACGTGCGGCGAACCTATTCAGGTCAATGTGAATTCAGGTAGTATGGGAGGGAGACTCGTACATGCTGAGGATACCAGTGCCACATCCAACATCGAGCACTACCTTGTCCTTAAAGAGGTGCGCATTTTGGTAGATAGCATCTCTGTACGATCGGGTGCGGACTTCGTCTTTCTTTTTTTGCCCATTAGTTGAATTCTCAGAAGGGTGGGAATATGCTTACCAGCATTTCCTCGTGAATTCCATGGTGATCGTAGCTGCTTAAGTCAGAGATCGCGCTCACTCCTGGGTCATCTGAGAGTCGCTCGATTGTGCTTTGCTGACCTTGTAAAGTAGCGAACTTCTGAATGTTCCATGCCAGCCATTCTCTCTTCAGTTGACATGGCAGCCAAGTCGGCCACGGTGGGACCCTGTTTGCTGCCGTTCATGGTTTGCTGATTGCTGCACTGGACGGTAGGATTATGCGAGTTTGTATTAGGCAATCTGCACGTTACAACGCAGAAGAATCCCGAGAGGCAGAAAAAAGTTAAAGTCAATTGTACATGCGGGCTTGCGCAGGTTCCCTCCTACGGCCAAAATACTTTTGTAACAAGCGCACCAGCCGCTGGCGCAGGGTCCATGGACACCCACGTGATTCGAGGAGTCAAAACTTTTCTCCCAAAGTCTTCCCGCCTACCACTTCCAATTTTTATAGTAATAATAGTAGTACTTCGAGCTGGTGGACGCGCATACAAAAAGAGGCAAAATACAAACTTCTAACACGCCTCAACGCCAAAAAAACAGATATTGAATTGGAGCCGCTGGGGTTTGAACCCAGGACCTTATGCATGTTTGCTACGGGATGCAAAGCATACGCGCTACCAGCTGCGCCACAACCCCATCTCTGAGCTTTGTCAAATCATGCGAAGCTTCTGAGCTAAATTTCAGTCCTTTTAATCTATAGAGCAAAAAAATAAAGGTGGACCCGGTTGCGCTAGCTTAATAGCTTTGCATTCTTACAACATTGAAATGCCGCTTTGAGTCCATTACAGAACTTCGTTGCTCCGACGTCCAGGAAGTGGAAAAGCGGCATCACTCCTACCCCGTAACGAGACCCGCAGCCTCGCATATCGCTACTACTAGTAGTACCGCGCAACTCGATGGACAATCCTCCTAATGCTTGTCGCCAAACGTTCTCCTGCCAGAAGCCTTTTTGCCTGTCCTGCTTATTTTCGAGACGAGATGACCTAGGCAGGATGAAATCTGGCCTGTCTATTACGGCAATTTTGTCTATTTCCCATGAATAATGACATCGTACCCGTCCTTCCACCCGAACCAGAGGAGCAGGGCACACTACGAGCCCGCGACACGAGAAAGGACCATATTGAATCCCTGCTACATACTCTCGACACTTTGATCTTCGTCCAACTGGGGATACTATATCTCTGCGACAATCTCAGCTTTCTCCTCTTCCTGCGCGTCGCTTCGCAAGTGCTGCATGTGCGACAACCCGAGACTCTCCAGTTGTCACCTGTCATCTTTGCCAACTTGCTTTGTGTTGGCGCGCATTGCCTCCGACGCAGCTCTGGGACCAAATATCTACATGGGGGGCTTATCGTGGATTTTGTCGGGGAATTGCCTCCGTCCAAATGGAGGCTCGTGTTAGTCGACTTGGTTGTGTTCGGATTACAATTACTCATGCTGGTTGTTGGACGAGAAAAGCTGCTAGCCTCAGGATCTACGCTGGTACAAGAAGATGCAGAGCCACAAGATATAGAGAGTGAAGAGGCCGGTCGGCTTCGATCGCGGGCGCCGGTCCAGCCTTCGGAGACAGAACAGGGCATTGAAATGCAGAGTCTCTTGCCCAACGGAACTACTGAAGATGATGGTGGGCAAAGCAGTTCAAAACATGCCGTCGAAGATGCCGATGTGATAATACTGGATATGCGAAAAGGATTGAGAGCATTATTCAGGAGAGCTCCACAGCCGGCTGCCCCCACCACGATGGACAACCCAGCAGCTCGCGCAGGATTCGCGAATATGTTGGCGAGGATTGCTGCGGCAAGGGCACGAGCTGCGGCAGGCTGAGTTCACCGATCTGGTTTACTGTGGTTAGGACAACGGTGCTGGGCTTCAGATTATTGTGAGAACTCCTTTCGACCTGTCACGCGTCGACAAACACTGAGCCTATCCAGAAGGTCGTCCAAATCGAAGATAGTTGACCTCTGTACAGTCGAATGAGGATGGCCCAGACAATACGGAGCGTTTCAAATACCTGGCAAGCGATGAACCTGGGGTGATCCGCGGACACCATCGACTCGCCTCTCTACGTAGTACCAACATAGCGTGTGTGCCGGCCGTCCATTCTGTCTCGTAATTTGGCTTGGATCTGTTCAGATGGTGCACTGCTGTTTTACAATCGTAGAATGGCGGTCATGGGTGCCTCAGATGGCAGACAATAGCCAGCCTTTGGTTGTAGCTGTGCAAGCTCCCTATCTATATCCGCATTGCCCCATGGCAGCCTCGTCGTCATTGGGCGGAAAGTGCCGCAGTGTGTCATGTTTCCCCGTACTCGTCCAAGACGAAAAATAAACTGCGGAGCACAACTGTAAGAACCGTGACATCTCCGAACACCCCAATGGGGATTGAAGTTTCAATCCTCCTGCGACATGTAAGTCGTCGAGACTCGTCCCTACACGACAATTGTACTCCGCTGCACAGTAATGAACGCTCGGCAGTTCCTTCGCGTGGCTCCCGCGCTGTCGGCGCATGCCTCGGGGCCAATATGCCGACGGAGTTTACAGACGAGTAGTCTGGGCCTTCAACGGCAGTCCTCGCGAACGTCAAACCCCTCAACACAGACACAGACATCAAGCTGGCTCCCGGTGCCGTTTGTGACCGAGACGATTGCGGGGATGAGCCACACGACCGACCTGTTCAGCCGACTGCTCAAGGAGCGTATTGTGACCGTGTACGGCGAGGTGGACGACCGCATGGCCGCGACGGTGACCGCATCCCTACTATATCTCGAGGCCGAGAGCGACCGTCCAATTTCCATGTACATCAACTCCCCGGGCGGTTCGGTGACGGCGGGGCTCTCGATCTACGATTGCATGAACTACATCGTGCCGGAGGTGACGACGCTGGTGCTGGGCCAGGCTGCGTCGATGGGCAGTCTTCTGCTTGCCGGCGGCGCCGCGGGCAAACGGTACTGTCTGCCGCATTCGACCATCATGCTTCATCAGCCGAGTGGAGGCTACTTCGGGACCGCGGCGGACATTGCAATACATGCCAAAGAAATCCTTCGGATCCGCACACAGCTGAACAAGATCTATGAAAGACACTTGACGGGCAAGAAGAAGATGACGCTCGAAGAGATCGAAAAGATGATGGAGCGTGATTACTTCCTTAGCGCCGAAGAGGCATTGGAGCTGGGCGTTGTTGATGAGATCCTCGCGAGCAGAAAGAAGGCGCCGGGTGCGGACGACGACAAGTGAAAAGTCGCGTGCTCCACGGATGTGTCTGAAAAAATTGTCTGAAAGCGTCAGAATCTCTACTCTCATCATGCGGCATTTACGGCTTCGGGGCAGAGTTGAACTTTCTTCGGAACATCGACAATGTCCCTATTTCCAAGACCGTGTGGTTCATCAAGTCTGATGTCCGCCGTGCTATGGTCCTTGACCCACCAGCTTGCCTTCCCAACGACATGCAGTATGCCGCAGGTTTAGGCTTGTTGGTCTGTATGTCCACCGGTGTCGGACGTTGGGTTCAAGGATCCAGACACACAAAACTATATTGCCCAAAGCTGGAAATGGACCAAGGGACTGGTCCATATATGCCATCGGCCTCGGACGCCAACGCAGATAGCCGGAGGACGTGGCGGGTCCGCGTGAGCCTCTGTCGAAATAGCTGCAATTCGTCAATGCTGGTCGGGACTTGGTGACCACAGAAAATGGCGACAGTGATATTGTTTGCCATGGCATTAGTGTCTGAAGGAGGATCCTTTTCCGTACGCTATGATTTGAAGGGATATGATGTAGCGTTCTCGGCCACAGAGTACCTCCGGTTCGAGGATGGTCCTCCATTTTCAAATTCAAATTCAATCAGAGAATCCCGACTATGATGGAGATTATATAGTGCAGTACGTGCCACTGTCCCGTTCAAAAAGCCCGAAGGAATATACTGCTGTGCCAGAGGGTGTGTGACGACGGGCTTGAAATAGATAATCATTGAAGACATCAATGTACTCGAGCATCAACGCTGACATCGAGCATTTCAGGGGGGGCTACTCTAGTGGTGTCAACAAGTAGGACATTTAGTCTTGAATCGGGCAGACAAAACTCATTTACTCCTGCAACGCTGGATAGAAGAATCATCATTATTGAATTAGCCCGAGCACAGCAGGCACGGGCACAGGCATTAGGCTGTTTTTGTTTCAAACGATGTTGCATGCATGCCGTAGGGCAGACCTCAGACTAACTAAGCTTGAGCGGGCACCCTCCATTCAGTCCTGTTGTGTTGCTAACTTTGAAAGCCCACGCTCACAATCACGCCGAGGGAAAGCCATAAGGATCCAAACGACGTGTGACAAGGCTGGAGGAGCGGTCATGAAAGAAAAAGGATCGACGCCGAAGTGAAAGCCACAGAGTGCCGTGTCATTGATGTTTTTGTTTTTTTGCGTTCTGCTGTCATTACTGATGGGAGTTGGTGTCCCTTGAATGGTGGTTGATGAAAAGTTCATGCACCGAAGCCGCCTTCAGGAGTAGGCAAACCATACTCATAGGCGGTGTAAATGCCGATAGGGCACTCATCCTGATCCTGGAAGAAAGAAAAGTAGGTGTCGTTGGTGTAAGTTTGACCGGCGACGCAGGTACCCGCACCAACGAAGCAAGGGCCGACATCGATGGTGTAGGCATTGCCCGGTTCCATGTGGATAGGCGGGAAAGGCGGGAACGGACCGGGAGCAGGCTGGTTGTTGTAGGTGGTTTCGGGGCCGGGACAGCTGCCTGGGTTGTAGCCGATGAAGAAGAAGCTGCCGCCGCCTTCGTATTGGAAGGACGAGGTCTTCAATTGCGACTGCAGGGGGAAGATGAACTCGAGGGTGCAGTTGGCGTCGGCGCGGCTGGCCGGAACGTCAAAGCTGAAGATGGACGCAATGTCGTTGGGCGTGAACACTCCGTTGTATTGCGGGCCAAACGCCTTGTCTGGCTCCGACTTGGAGATCTGGGTGATGTAGTGAGGGAACTCATATTGGCCCGGTGTGAGGTCGCGCGGGCATCCGCTGTCTCGCTCGGTAAGAGCTCGCTTGCGCAAAACTTCGCCAGGGTAGGCGGCGGCGAGGCCGGCGAACAGGGCAACGGCACCGATGAATGACTTCATTTTTTCGTGACTTCTCAAGAGTAGGAAATGTCTCAAAGGTTAAAAGCGTAGTTTAAGAGGGTACTATTAGTTGGGTTGGGCAGGCAGATTTATAGATAAGGGAGGATGTCGTTGGTGTAGACGGCAAACACACCCCGGAGCGTAGTGTAAGCGAGTGACTGAAATGATGAAGCGAGAGGAAAGAAGAACAACAGAGCCTCAACTCAGGGTAAAGTGACCTTGTAGATAACAGGAGACCTCCCCGTCATCGTCTTTTTGGCGCGTGTCTGTAACCATGTTGATTAATCCTAAGGGAGATTGGCTTCAAAAGCCGTCCCCAGAGACCCGGCACGCCGCCAGGCCAAACAAGCCTCATGATTTGATGGTACATCATGGGCCGCTCGTAATAATAGAAACTCGGCGCAGAGCCCCAAGCTACTGCTAGTGGAAAGCAGACAGGCCCCGGCAAGGCTGAACTGGCGAAACAGGCGAGAAGTTCCAAGCAGCACTTCAGCGTGCTGTAAACGAAGTGACAAACATGTCAACGGTGTTGGTGAGACACGGGACACGCGCCACGATGTCTCGAAGCGGATACCCGAGGTGACCCATCTGCCCATCTGCACTGGGGTAGGAAGACACGACAAGCCTCCCAGTTGGCTGGTGACCCGGACCCTAGCTGAAGCTTCGATGTCACTCTACTAAAAAGCCACCGTCTCCAAAAAGCTTACCTTTGCTTCTCGAGCAAATGGCCAGGTTAGCTGGGGTCTCGTGTCAAAAGGCCATGCGAAATGGGGTTAGGGCTGACAAGAGGAGGGAATTAAAAAGGTGAGAAAGTGGCTCCAGGACCTGCCTCTAAATTCAGGATAACTGCATCGTATATGGCATGATTGGCAGAAGGGTTTTGGTCTTTTGATCACCTGGAGTCGTTGATCGCCGGCGCCCAAGTAGAGTGGACAGTAGCCAAGCCCCAAAGAGGGCGTTCCAACCATGTCGATGTCGATTCTCGCAACACCTCTGACGATAAGAGTGCGTTGCAGAAACAATATTGAGTTCAATAGATTCCTGGTGGCTTGCGAGTGACAGCCCGGCAGTGTTCCGATGGTGCGATGGACCGTGACCGCGAGAATCAGGTCCCTGAGGACAAAGGTACAAGAGGGTAACAAGGACATGATGGTGTTGAACAAGGCAGATTGCAGTGGAGGGGCGGGCCCGCGCAGAAAGCCAGAGTATCCATGTACAACCAGCAGTGGTCGCCCTCAGCTTCGCCAGGCAATTCACCACCAGCCGCACACCTTCAAACTGAGCTCCCATCCGCCAATTGGTGACCGCTGCAGGGAAATGGGTTCCCATTCTGAGTGCCAGCAATGGCCGTGTGAAGCCCATCCAATAAATAAATGGAGCCAATGCAGGCACGGTCCAAAATAGAAGCTTATCAAAAAGCCAAAGATCGAGGACTACACGAGAAGACAACTCATCCAAGTTGCCTGTTCCTGCTATTCCTGTTTCTGCTTTTGCTTTCTTCTCGTGCGGCGCAGAATCGGCCTGTCACGCGCCTGTTGCGCGCGCCATGTATGCAGCCAGCCACTCGAAGTACAGTAGTTGCAGTGTCGAAGGATGTATTTCCACCGACTTATGCACCACGCTGCTTTCCCGGTTCGCACGGCAGTGGTCGCGGGTGGTGCAGTCGTGAGACATACAACGTTTGCTAAAGTTATGTCAACCAGTGAGAGCCGAGAACTTGCTCAGGGCCCGACTGAGCGGCACGTGTTGCAAGCGAGCTTCCCCTTGGCAGATCAGGTAGGTAACAACCTGGGAAGCATGCGGCTGAACTTATCAAGAGGCGTTGGCGTTGCCAGAAAGAGCTGGGGCTACCGAGTCCAACTTGAACGGTAGCCGACCACCCACAGCCATCTCGGGTGCTGTTTTTGGCTTGCTCTTGATTCCCAAGTTGAGACCCTTCGGGACTGAATGCATGATCCCCCATTTTTGGACATGGCTTGGAGAGTTATAGAATTACCGTGGCTTGAGGCGGTCAATTACTCTACACTTTCAGCTAGCCTTGGGCGCTCATGGCTCGCTCTACGCGAGCCTAGGCTCTGAGTCGCAACCACCGTACGATTGAACTTGCGGAATCTTGTCGGTAGGTCATTCACTGCTCGGAAGGTCCTCGTGGCGCTGCCACCCGTGTGGCGGCTCGTCCTAGCGACCGGTCCAGGACTGCCGGCGAGGTGGACGGACAGATGCATCGGTGCAACATCTGTCCGCACCGCTCAGCAAGTAGTAACATGACACCGTCGAATCTGAATTGTGCTGGCTATGTGAGAGGTAAGGCAGCAGCTTCCCGCCGGCATGATTCCACATCTTTCAAAGACAGTAAAGCTGAAGGCATTGGCTGTTGCTGATTCTGTCGTGTCAATTGGCCTGCAATATATCTTCATTGGGCGACAGTGACCAGTTCGAACTCGCATGAGCCCTGGTTTACTGTGGAATGATCTCAGCCCCTCTGTTGTGAGTCCTTTTCTCTCCACTCGCGGCAGAAGAAGGATATTGCGGCCCAGAGTGGCCGTCCAACGAAGAGGGCAACGGCATGGTAAGGTTCGACGGGCGACAAGATGCTGAAGGCAATATGCTCTACCCCCGCCAGGAACGGTTTGATATGACCACTGGCTCTGCATTCAACCCACTTGAAATACCCAAAACATCCAATTGCTACTGTTGCCGCAAGCGATGGGTGATGCTTTAGGGCAAGGAATGGCGGCGGTCTAAGCAGACCTGAGTAAGTCTTCTCTTTGACCTCTTGTCGGAGCTGGAAATCTGCATCAGGCGCCGAAGGATTTTGCTGTGTCAAGCCAGGAACCTGCCTGTATCCGTCAATGCGTCGATGCGCCGGTTTAGCCGTACATCGAAAGCGTTACAGCTGGCAGAGTGCAACCAGCGTCCATTGCGCTGGAAGCAGAGGATGTGACAACAGAAGTTCAGAGGTCAATTGTCCAGGCATCTATCTAGATGGCTGTAGCTTTGGCTTGGAAATGACAGGGACCCGTGCAACGTTGAAAACGGTGTGCTTCAAAATGCATGTCCCACCGCCCAGGCACAGGCTGCCGCAGAAGATGTTGCTAAAGACTTGCGGCTATTGAAGGAGCAATGGACGGACGATGTGGGCAACTTGATGAATATCCTGTCGGGGCATGATGGCAAGAGCTACGCGATACACTTGGCCTGTCGTGCCAGGAGCATCGCACGGCTTGGCCGGAAGCTATCATACCAATGTCACCTGGAGGCAATGTTTCGAGATTCTTGCACATTGTTGTGCAAAGAGAGAATGCATATTTATGCAATTCAACTGTGTTGTTGAACCTCGCTGCAGTGCTGCTGACCATCTCTGTCCAGGCTTCGAAATTGTTGACGTCTTGAGATATCAAGTTCATGATCTACACGGGCCAGACCAGCTGCTACGTGGGAAGTCGACTCGTGGATGTGTAGCATTTCCCCCGTACTACTATGCTACTGATAAGCATCCTTGATCTACAAAGTGAAATGCAGATCATACACATAATAATGCACGAGAGCCTTGAGTCTCGAACAGTCTTTGTGCGACCTTACTCATGCACAAGTGGTGTGATCCCAGCGGGATCTTTGTTTCCACCTCCGCGATTCGTTTGGAACACACCATACGATACGAGAAAAGCCTGGCATTGGTCCCCTCAGCCTATGAACTCACGTCCCGAAGAGCTGTGCCACAATGTCGTCGGTGATTTGAGCTTGGATGAAGACATTATCTCGCAATTGGACGAAATGCTGATGGCAGCGCCGGAACCGTTAGGATGCTGAAAGACTCGGAGCTTCATATATCCACCCCAGGACCCCTACTATAATAAGACAAGCCGCATGGCATTTTCTGCAACTGTCAGTTGACGTAGGGCTCCCTAATACGAGGCTCTGCGGAATTACAATCCCGGGTACCTTGCGCAAGCGTCATCTACTGTATCTTCACTTCACGAATCCTGGTCCAATATGCATACCAGAGGACGTCTGGGTCTCCTGCTCGACGCGGACACCGACCGCGAGATTGACAACAAGTGTAGCGGCTGGCAGTTGCCTCCCGCATGCACAGAGGGAGAAGCAAACGAAGAGAACTCAGCCGTTGTGCAGCATGCGGAATGGGTTCAAGGCGGCAGCGCTCGTTTATCACCACAGTCGCGCAACAGCAGTACCGATACTCTCTCGGGCTTGGACGCCGCCGAGTTGCAAGACTTGGAGTGAACATAGCGGTGTGATATCGACAACTATCACTTACTGCAGAATGCGTCAAGATGAGGCGGCAGAGCGTGAAGAAGCCACGCCCGGTCGAACAGCCTTGCACAGCATGATCATCATGGAATCCGTCAGTTTGGGCCATGAATTATATATGAGGCAATTTGATGAGGACCTCGGGTTCAACAGAACAACGGACTGCCTCCCCTCGGAGCTGCTTTCTCGTTGTCACCAGTACAGCACCGTGCCTGAGGAGAGATGCGTTTCCAGCCAGTGGAGGAGAAAGACATCACAATAGGACATTTATCCTGTGTTAGTATGGAAGCTAGGGAACGAGAGATACCAGCGCCATCGCATGGTTATCATAGCAAAGCGGCACTGTGTTGCTATGCGCAAGCCACACTCACTTATGTCACCGATCCACTGGAGAGGTTTCTCTCCAGTTCCACGAGGACAAGCAGTTGTCGCTTCGTGGCGCGGTTAGAGAGAAGCGAAGACGAGTACCTCAGGCACAGATCATCTGATCCAAGAGGTCATCTGACCCTAGCCACACTCCTTGGAGCTTGAAGTAGGCATCCTTTTGTTGCACGAACTTGAACAGCCATAGATTGATAATCAACAACAATCATACAGTGTAGTTATTTCCGAGATACAAATTTCTAGGAAGTCTTTGCGAATCCCCAAATCGTATACCGTATCACTAGCCACCCCGCGGTGATTCCCGATGATTAGCGATGCCGATGCTCGGCGGTAAATTCAAAATCCCAGCGGCCCGGTTATTCTGGCGTGATGCCGAGAAATGCGCGCGGAAAACTCTGGACACAAACCGCAGCCTCCCTAAAAAAGGGATCCCAGGCCGAGCCATTTTCCGCTATGGAGTCGAGACATGTTCTGTCGTCTCCGCCGGAAAGCTTCTAGAGTGGTCTGATGGATCTCGTTCCCCATCAACTGAGAGGCACTTTCTCTACCACAGCAAAGGCGGTGGAACATGCGTGGATCGATCCACGAGCATCATTACCGATTGCTGTACAACTGTCCTGTTGACTTGACCCACACGAGGAGCTTTGCATGTGTCAGTCAATTGCTGGCTGGCAGGCAGTGGCAGGCATCCAGCTGTACAAATGCGACTGTGAGTGAAACTTCGCACGTCCAAGGCTGCTGCGGTGAGCACGAAGTCCAAGTCGGATCTGCCTGGAAATGGGATGGATGGGGTACGTGGCCTCGCCTCGACCTGTCCTTGTGGCCTCTTGACCCAGTATTGATTCTCCGCCATCGTTCCTGTTCCCCATCCCCCCTGTGCAAAGATAGGGCACAGCCATGGCCATGGCGATGGCGTTAGCGCAGCTCAAAGGTATTTGAACCTCCCACAACGGACGGTTTTCTCGTGCGAATACTCTTCCTTTCCCATCACATATCAAGCAAAGCAAAAGAAAGCACACACTCTCCCACAAAGTCACTCGCTCCTAGAGAAATCTACCAATCCATCTACCACCCTCCCACCATTTCAAATTCCTCCTAACACTATACAATGTCTCTGAACACCACCACCACCACTACTGTGGCCACCACCAAGACCGTCGAGACCATGCACAACTACGGCGCCGACTACTTTGAGAACTTTGGCGCCATGGCCGTCCAATACTTGCAACAAAAGTCCACAAAGTCGCAGCCTCAATCGACGCAGTCTACTCCGTTGACCACTCCTCTGGCCAGCCCTACCTCTGAAGTCACACCATCCATGCACGGCTACGGCAACAGCTGGTTCGACAACTACGACAGCCAGTGGCAACAGTGGCAGAAGAAGAAGTCGGCCACCAAATCTTCCATCTAAGAGCGCCGACTCTTTGATGAACTCTTTACACTCTACTACTACATGATTCGATCTTTTGCGACGCATATGCATTGGAATGGAATGGAATGGGATTACATTATCCAACTTGTTTGTTTTCGGCGGAGGACATTACATGACATGCATTGCAATAATACTGTTTGGGATGGGATGGGATATCCCCGGGGAACAAGAACAAGACGCGCAGCATTAATTCAGCCTAGAAAAGGCGTATGAGGACGGGGCTGCGCAACACGTTGATGACCATGACTCGGATTTCGCGCACATAAATTGATGTTTTGAGGGTTTCAATTTTTGGGGTCGCACAGACAGACAGAAATACCTCGGTCCATAATAATCCAAGGGTTCTCAATAATGATATTAATTGACAGCCAAAGCTCAAGCTTCAAGCTCAATCTCAAAGCTAAAAAAGGCCCACGATGGCATTCAGGTTCTTCAGCTCCCCAGCTTTGTCGGCCCCACTGCTGCCAGATCTCTTGTGCTGTGTGTGCAATATTAATTTTTCTAAGGGCTCTTTTTGCTAGTCACGCGGCAGTACTAGCACTCGGCCTCCCCGCCGCAGTGGCAGCGCTAAGCAATTGGTGACAGTTTACCCTTACCTTTCTTCGAATTGGTCCACCTAGTAGTCTGTCCACGATTAATTAATTAATTATTAGGCAGGGACGCGAGAGAAAGGGAACAGGGCCCCAAGAAGCAAGAAAGGAGGCAAGAAGGCATTGACTTCCAGTCTATCGTGATCATGACCTTGATCGTCAGCCTCGCCTGCAGTGGTCTCGTCCCGAGCCTGGACTTCTGCAGTGGGAGAGGAGATGACGAGGCAGCCTTGTGCTGAATCCGTCTACTTCAAGTTTGGGAGCATCGGTTATCATTGTTGTAAGCTCAATGGAAACCGGAGAGTCCAGATCAGGCGAGAAAACAATAGTCCCGGTGGCATGGCACTACGGAGATCAGATCGGAGCTGCAGCCAGTGGTTCTGGCAGCAGATACTCCCTACGTTTAGTTGGGGGTCGATAGCTCTTCGACAGCCCACAGTGCCGATGACCTACTAACGTACTGTACTTATTAGGCAGAAGAAGGCAGGCCAACCCGATTGCAAATGGAAGCAAAGCTAACAAAAGGCCATTTGATTAAACTTGAACTGGACACTCATACATTGTCGAGAGTAGTCTCCGAAACTGGATGGATGCTTCACAGTAGGAGTGCCACTGCTACCTTAGGTAGGTACCTACCTAGGTAGACTCAACTTATTAGTTGAAGTGTCTTATCGAGGCGCTACTGTCTACCGTAGTTGTCCCTGTCTCTGGTAGAGGCTCGCATTCGGACAGCGTCAGTGGGTGAGCTTGTGCAGTACGTACCTAGGTAGGCTCTGACTGCAACTTCCGTGGCAGAGCTGCTTGCAATTCATGAGTAGGTGGGACCTGCCGTATGGTCAAAGGAAAGACGAAAGCAGACGTTTATCGGCGAAAGAATAAATATTCCCACATTTATTATTACTACTCCAGCCAGGAATCTTTCCGTTTCCCAACCCCATCCTAATATCCATCTCGCGCCTGAATTCCTCACTACCTACTTTTCCTGAATTCCAGATAGAAGACATCTTGATTCATGGGCATGACAGTGGACTCCTACGCGCCGCAGACGGCCAAAAGGTGCAGAACTTGGCCTACTCCTTGGGACAAGGTAGGTTCCCAGTTTTTAAGGGTTCATCTCGCGGGAAGGTCCCGTGCCGTGCCTTGGCTGGCCTATTACTGCAGGGACAGTGCCAGCTGCAGCTGGGATAAGCTATCACAGTGCAGCAAACCTGAAGTATTCAAAGAGATGCCAGTGTGGTTGGTCATGTCGAGGTCACTGCACAAGTGTGCGTTGTTCAACAACAGCCTGATTCGAAGTTGGGCCACCCCGCTTTCACTGGCATCACCAGTACATTTTAGATTCCTACCATGGTCTTTGCCTTGAGCCTCGTTTAAGGTGATCACCTTCCTTGGACTGCAGCCGTTTACCTCTAGCAGTTGTCTCGATAAGAAGGTCAACTCAGATACACATACATACCTGTTATACAAGTCAGGATTTCGTTTCGTTATTATTGACACAAGATGAGCAGCATAACAAAGGGCTCACCCTCGCTCGGTGACCTGCCAACCGAGATACTAACACGCATTCTGACACCCTTACTCCAGCATACAGTCGAACAGGCCGACGAATGGAACCACACGTTTCTAATCACAGAATACAAAGGCAGATCGTACGCTCAAGTCCTGCCAACGCCGCCCGAAGATGAGTGTCTTCAACCCCAAGTGTTGCGAGTTTGCAAGCGATTCAATGACATCGGGGTTGACCTGCTTTATGCGAACAATCTCATCTTTCCCATGCATGCGTGCACCTACTGGGCGGCCAAGGAAAGTGCCGATCGACAACGCGCGTTTCTGAAGAAGCTGTCATCTCCTCGAGACGAGCGGCACCGTCTGAAAGGGCTCTGCATCATCATCTGGACGCCCGACTTCTTCAGGTACGGGAGCCATGACACGGACGGCGACTGGTTCGACGAGCTGTTTGCCGGTCTGGCACTCCATCAGCCATGTTGGGACGAAATCCTCATCGACTTCCACGATCTCACGGCGCGAGCGGCATATAACACAGATCCCAAACTTTCAGGGCGCCTGATCTACGGCTTGGGCAGACTTCATGCCAAGAGTTTGCCGAATCTAGGAGCTTCAGTTGTCAAGTGGAGCATGGAGCAGCCGGAACATAAATATCCCTTGACAATTCTCCATCACTCTCTGGAAGATTATTTTGATGCCTGGGAACCACCGAATGCCGAGGTTGCCCAAATTCCTCGGAGGAGGCGTGAGCTCTTGCAACGGAGTCTACAGGCTGCTGAGGCATTTGATGAGGAAGCTTTCTTCGCTGTGATGATAGATGCCGTCCAGCATGTCAACGAGGTTTTTCGTCAAGGCTCGAAAGATCGCTCGTGGTCGCAGGACAAGGTTGAGGAGTTGCTGGACGAGTGTGAGAAGGAAGGTCGTCTCTTGTTGAGCGCCAGAGACAAACAGTGGCGCGCTGCCTACGGACCCTGCGCCAGAGATGTATGGAGGTGAGGTTACTTGGTACTGGTGGCTTCCAAGAGCATGCAGCCAGTAGTCGATTTGTAGGAATAGTTAAGGGGGCAAAGCTGGTGATATGAGGAAGAGATGCGTGCCAGGGTTTTTCATTATGATTCCATTCCCATCCTCATCATGATGACCGTTATATTTAAGCCGCGCAAGGTTGGGGTTGGATAATCCCATCCAGAGTTTGTGATTTTTTATCAGAATATGAATAAAATGCTTCAGCTGCAGTGTGAGTACTAGTACCGGGTGTTCCCATTACTCCCATTAGTGTCTTTCGCCCCAAACTCCATACACCTTGAACCAAGAAATGCCTTTCCCCAATCATCTCTTCTCGGTACTGGCGCCGTCAAATGCAGATGAAACGCAAATGCATGCTATAGTATATGTATATGTCAAAGGTTCATCATCGTGTAACTGGCTGGCTGTCCTGAATCGGGACTTGAGCAAAATATGCAGTCCGCCCGTTGTGACTAGCTCAAGCTAGTCTGCAGGGTGTGGTCGACCCGAGCTGGGTCAAGACAAGGTATAGTAAGTAGATGTCTATCGGCTGCACCGCAGTCAGCCGATCTTCCTTCAACGTCCAGCATGTCTATCGTTGGGATGTGATCTTGTCCTGCTCGATAGCCATTGGAAGTTCCGTTCTCATTGCTTCGCGCACAACCCAACCCTGCCAGGCTGATCTAGATAACAGGATGCCATTGCCATCACTGGTCGAAGAACAAGACTGTCGTCAAGAGCTCTTCTAGGGCCGTTTTCGGACGAGATGGATGATGCAGTTGATGAGAGTAACTCCCCTCATCGGAACCCGAACCATCGCTCGAAGCCTCCAGGCCAGTCTTAAACCGGAACTGGGCCTGTCGCTTCCGCTTCCTAGGAGGAGCCAGGCCCGCTTTCGTATCTTCGTGATACTCGCCGTTGGAAACGACACTGCCGGCCTCGGAACCGTGGTGCGAGCTAACGCTGTTGTTGCTCGACGAGGCATCGGCATAGTCACCCGAGAAATCGGTGGACGCGGACGAGTGCGTTGAGTCTGTGGGCTCGCGGTGTAATGTCGGTGTGATTGGTGTGGGTGGTAGTTGTTGGCCATGGGCATCCAGATGAGGTTGAGGACTTCTGGCGCCTGCGGAGGAGCGTGACACTTCGGGGAAATGGGCAGACCGTTGGCCTGTGAGATGGTCATTGTTGATCTTCTGCTGGCGCAGTTGTTCCCGGATCCGGCGCATGGCGTGCATGTGGCTGCGGAAACCATGCTCAATATCGTCGAGTTTTGGATTGTGAGAAGATGGAGGACTGTTTTTGTGCTGTTGCTGCGATTGTTGGTGTTGTTGCTGCCGAAGAGTTGATGTTGGGATAGGTACGGCAGAACGGGAATTCTGCACCGCTGAAACTCCAACTCCCCCGTTCAGCAGTGGCATCATGTAGCTTTTGACATCGTCGTTGACAAAGCCCGGAGGCTCGATCGGTCGAGGGGGTGCTCGTTCTGCCGGTCTCCGAATACCCGCGGCCACATCTTGATCCCACTTGTGCAACACGTTTCTCGTCACCTCGGACAGGACACGGAACTCTTCACTTTCAGAAGCGCTCTTGGCTCGAGCAAGTTCGGCGTGTGTCAGGCATGACAGGAAGACGTTGAGGCTTTCCACCAACATGGACAGTTTTCGACGGAAGTCCTGGATGGTCAGCCCGTCAAACACGGCGTCGGGATGGAGCATCCAGTTCTTGATCGACGCTCGATCCTTGGCCGGACTGGACAGATACAGTCTGACCAGACTGTGGAGCGGTCGTAGAGCAGAACCCAACGAGGTCAGGATCTTGGAAAATGTCAATGCCCACCTTGCCCGGTCTGGTTGTCGATCGATCAGCAAGGGCGTCGTGCCCACGCTGTGTAACGAGTCGAGACTGATGGCGATGGTCCAGACCTCGAATCGCAGGTTTTCAAAATCCTCCGACGCCTTCTGCATGCCATAGAACGTGTGCCATGCCAGTTTGCACACGTCTGCCAGCGAGGCAGGCTCGCCGGTATTACTAAACCTCATGTTTTGGGCCATTGCTGTGAAAGAACGGTAGGACGAGGTGTAGTGCAATGCTGATAAAGGTTTGGGATGGAGGGGCGAGGCCTTCCCTCCAAAGGGGGTTCGATGGGCCTGGCCTGGACACACTGTTTTATTTAAGAGATCAGTTCGAGCCTTGCCCGGGCCCAAGTAGGCATGACGCGAACAGCTTATGGCTGGGTACAAAAGCTTGACTCGTCGTCCGGCCCAAATAACAGGTGATAAGATGTCAGGCTTTTTGCCTCCCTCGCCAAGTTGAACAAGCCTGGACGAATTGGTGGTCGTTCAATGGTAAGAAAGAAGAGGTAGCACACGGGCAGACTCAGCTTGGGAGAAAACAACATTTGGCCCTTGTGGGCGCTGCCTGGCTGAAAGCCCCAAAGGTCCAAGTTGTCGGTCACGGTCGGTCTCACCACCATGTGGTGTGACAGGATTACTTGGTAGTACAACTGACGCTCCACCGTCCCGTGTCGGACGGGCCCCGGTGGATTGATTCGACCCCGGATATCAATTCCCTTAAGGCGCCCACTTGATATCTGGCTGCTGAATGGTATTGCTCGTGTATGGCGGCTCCGGGTGGGCCAGCCACACGCCACTGGTTCAACCTTGACGACAACCGACAAGCCTCGGGAGCCACTGCAGGCCGAGATGAGCCTATCTCGAATCCTGGAGTAATCGAGACCGGTCCTTTTTAGGCACAGACAGGGCACACACGGCCATTCTCTACAGGTAACCATGCAGTGTGGCATGCTCACCATGGCACATAATCATGTCAAGCAGGTCGGTCATGTCGTCTTCACACGTGCCTGATATGCATGCCTAGGCAGTAGAGCCTACAGAAAAGAACGTGACAGGGTAGGATGAAGAGTGAACTTCATCACCATCATGATTATCGTTGTTGTCGATGGGCGGCCAGAGGTCCCTAAGACCAAGAAATACAGTACGATGGTTCCTTTTAGGCGCGGACGAACCGCCGCAGGGTCCTCGTTTAGCGGTATCGGCCTGCGCTCTAGGCGGCGGTTAGCTGGTTTTCAACCATTTGCACTGGGGGAGGGTCCCCTAAAGCCACCGCGTGGACAGGAGCGCCCCGGGGCTACTTTAGCAGGCACCACTCTGGTCAGGATCATTCAAGTTCCTGCAGGTGGGAATGGTCAGCCTCGCCAGAACTGCCTAACAACATCAGGGTCTGGATGTCTTCATTGAGGCCGTGATGAGGTAGAGCAAGTAGTCGGATGACTCTGAACATGCCTCATGATGCTGATGCATATCAAATGGCGGCTGCTGGTGGAGGACCACATGATTGGGATGTCCGATTTCTCAGGGGAGGAAAGCAAGCCTTGGGACCGCTGTACCAAACAGGCACCTTGTGGAAATGTACTGCGTCTTCCGAGGCTTGCGACAAGAGCTGATCATGGAAGCATTTCCTCTTGCGCTTGTTCGAGTAGCATTCTGCGCCAGCTTTCCCTTGAATACTACCTACCTAGGTGTGCAGTGGATGTTGTTTGCACGAGTTGCTGTACCGCGGCCGTAACATACCTGGCTACCTACAGTAGTGCCCGTCGTTGCCTGACATTCTCCCTTCGCCAGGGCAAAACACCCGCAAGTGCCATCCATTCATGTAAGGATACACGTCCTCCGCCCTTGACTGGGCCTCTAGACCCAGAACGTGGAATCCACGACCACTCAACACAGCTCGGACAGCCTGGGTGTGGTGACCCTGTCCAAGTTGGGCGCTGCCTCTGTGACTGGTAGGTCCATCACACTGACCGCACATGCATATGTGGGCACATCGCAGGCAAAGGGATGACGATGGATGAAGCTCGCCACGAGGGAGTTTTGTCAAATGTCACCTGAACCTCCACTGGCATTGGTGGTGGGAGTAGAAGGGGCCTCTCCCGAATATGGCTCGCTCCTCGAGGCATTTCGTCGCCAAAAAGAGCCCCGAAAACAAAAGGCCTCTCTAGCCTCAGGCCGCTCCCGTTCTCGCCACCTGCACGCGCAATAGGGCTGTATCTGGACCCTTGGAATCTCAGCCGTTTCTAGTTCGTGATGGACTGCCATCAACAGGTATAAGTGTTTTCAGTGTCCTCCTTATGGAGCTGGATTTTGTTTGGGAAGATCATGCCAACAAAACACACCATCTTTATTATTTGAGACACAAATCTCAGAAGAACTTGAAGCTGCCCGCAACCAACAGGCCTTCAGCCACAACTGCCTTGCCAACATATACTACCAAAACCAACCATTACCGAATCAGCAGTATCACGAGGTACTCGCTCATCGAACAGAATTCACCATCACCGATTCACCGCTCAGCCTCTCTCCACGCGAACAAAATGAGAGTCGCTGTTAAGAAACTGGAATTCAACTTGGGGCAGGGCCTCAGACAACTGATGCGCAGGTGGTTGATCGTCAGACCATACACCGACAATGCCATCATGGTCAGATTGACAGAGCCCGAGCGAGCCCGATAATGCCGCAATACGGCGTTATTATTACCGTCCACGGGGGTTCGCGCTCGCTTGGGGGACGTTCCAGGGGGGTCGGTCCAGGCCAGATGCCAAGTGTGGGCACCAACGGCTGCCGACACACACACGGCAGACATCGCCTACGAGTGCTATCACACCACTACCTGTCAAACCACTTTGTCGCCGGCTGATCACGACACCCGTACGGTGTGGTACAGCCTACTACTATGGACGCTGTACGAGCATTCCAAGCTGTATCACCACCGTCGGTATCATGATCCTGCACGTGCTCTTACCTTATGCAGATGCATAGAGCCCCTGCGACCCATCACAAAGAGCAGGCTGCTCGTCTGCCTCCACATGTCCCGTACACCAGGCTGACACCCTCGCCTGCAAATATGAAGCAAGTTGCACAAAAGTGTCTGGCTCCGCAATAATGCTCGCCCTCGATATGGGTCATATGCATACCATACATTATTGATTGCATGTTCATCTCTCGGCTTCGAAAGCTAAGCCGCTAGTTGCGAACATCATACGATTCACGCTCACCCACGCATCCTCAAGGCTGATGCTCACCACAGCCATGGATGAGGACAGACTAGTGAGCCAGGCTAGAAACCGACAATGAAATACTGTCAATATGCCTCACCGGCACTTTTTGGCAGAATCAAAATCCAGCTTCGAAGAAACCTGCTGAATATTCCTCTCGCCTTGTCACCTGGTCTCTGTGTGTCGTGCCGTGCATCCACACGCTCGAAGATTCTAACCAGTCAAGTCTTGTAATACTTTGATCTCACATTCCACTCACCATGTCTGCGACCAAACCCGTTTCCAGTAATGATATGCGATGCATCGCCTACAGAATCGGCTACCTCTCGAAATCCAGAATTGAACGAGAAGCTCGGAAGGCCGAGCCTCGATTATGGAAACTGATCGGCCACGCATCCCTGTTTGACAACGCAAAGAAATACATCATCGACCACATTGATGACGATGACGACGACGACGACGAAGAAGCAGTGGTTGACGAATGGGCCGAGAGCGACGACGAGCTGTCCACCATCGACCACATTGAAGACCTTCTTGAGTTGGAGGACGACGACAACGAGCCAGCGCAAATCCAACCACCACCACACCCACAGTTGCAACGTCAATACCGGTATCAATACTATCAGGCGTGCACCAAATGTATCAGCCGACCTGATCAAAAACCACAGCAAGTTGTCGTGACCACGGTGACTGACTGCGCGAGCGAAAGCGAGAGCGAGTCTAAACCCGAAGACCAGCACCATCAGTGCGGCTTCGAAGATTGGGAAAACGTCAGCGACGTCAGCACCGAGGGTGATGAGGACGATCACGACCACGACAACACCAGCGACAGTGACTGGAGCGATTCGACCTGCGCCAACGAGGATCATGTCTACGACGATGCCAGTCCCGATCGCAAGCTCATCGACATCTGTGCACTGGCCACGTCGCAGTTCTCCATGCCCAAGTACACTCCTCAAGACGAGGACATGCTTTTATGGGCTCAGCAGCCGCGGGTTTTGTCGCAGACTCAGTCGGATAATCTTCTCGTGGAGGCATTCGCCTGAATTTCTTGCGTCTGGATTTTGGACATGGTCGGATTGTTCTCTACTTATCCTATACCCGTGGACAGAGGCCATCTATTATGGCTTTTCTTGCTTGTCTATTCATGAATCCCGTTTCAGCGTGGCGTTCGAACGGAAAGGATATGGAAATTTTTGTGTATCTGAAAGGCTGCAATATGCCTTCCCAGCACAGGTACAGCCGCTTGCTACCTGGCTAGACTATGATGACTTTTTCAGCGCCGGCATTGCAATGGCCGCGCACGAACTATGAGTGATAGTGAACTGAGCATTAAGCTCATAATAATACCACTTGAACATACTGTACTTCGACTTCGAAATTCTATGGTTTGTAAACACCCATGCCCTCCTTAATTTGAAAATCCCCATCAAGCAACTATCATTGCCCCGAAGGGCTTGCAGGGCATCATAAAATATAGCTCAGCTGCGCAATATAGATTGTTTGTGCCCTCCGCATCCACGCGATATGCACAAATCTTCCCAATTCACTCCCCGACCCGACTCTTTTGCCAAAGAGTCATCGACGAAACCTGTCGGCAGCTCCCGAATACCCAAATTCCACTAATCTATTGTGTGTGAGGATTTTGCTTCAAGGTGTTTTCGAGTCTTTTGCTGCGACTCGCCTGCTTATCTCTGTTGACTGCGCTGCTCAGTGCTGTGCAGATTATGACGTGGAAACCCTTCGGCTGGAGGAAAGCGAGCGCTTGTTTCTCTCTCGAGTCGCACAAACATTGGAATGACAAACTTGAATACGGTAACATTCTCCGGCTCCTCCGCCTCTCGGCTCAAGATGTGTTTCCACGAGTCTCTTGGTGGAGGGAACTTCTCAGGCCGCAGGTGAAGAAAAAGTTCGGTCGGGCGTGGATATCTCAAATTTCCTCATGCAGCGTCGAGTGTGACTCTGAGAGTTTGCGGCAGGGAAGGGAAGCGGGGTGCCATTCATGAAACGACGACGCTTGACTTGACTTCCGAGAGAATCTTGTTCCTCATGTCGTACGGTATGTCTTGCTGAAGAAAGATAGCGACCTAGGTATGTGATCATCGTCGGAGGTCGACTAGGTACCTATCTCAGTATCATTCCCCCCTCTTCTTCTTCTTCTCCCTCCTCCTCCTCCTCCTCCTCCTCTTCACTCAAACTTATCCGTTCAGCTTCAGGTTCAGGTTCAGCTTCAGCTTCGCCCACATGACGAATCTCACAAACGTGCGTCAACGTCTCGACGGGGACTCCATCCCTCATTTCACGCTTATACAGCGTTTCATGGCGATGGCCACATTTCTCGTGAAATTGTTGTCCTTGTTCGACTGCTGCTGCTGCTGCTGTTGGGTGTTCTGTGCACAGGCAGAATTGTGGATCTCGCAGACACGCTTCGTGGCGAGCTAAGAGCCGAGTTGGCGTCGATACTCTGACTTCTGTAGCTGCGCCAATATCGACATCAGTGTGGTGGTTGTGTGCAGACAACAAGGGCGCAAAAAACTCGAGTTCGCGTGGCTTTGGGGGGACTGCAGGTTTAAAACATCGAACAATGCCGGTGGCAGTGTGATGATCGTCTTTGGCGGCTTCGATGCCTGGAGGAGGAGGAACAATGTGGTTCAAGTGGGCGACTTGTTTAGGACAGAAGTGCTCTCTGAGCGGTGAGTCCGGAGGCGTAGGTGGTCGCTCGAAGGGGTCGTAGTCGTTGAACGCGTTGGCTAGGGAGATTTGATGGATCATGTAGGTATGTAGACACTAGTAGTACTAGGTATCTGGCGGTGTCTCCTTGGGTGTGTTTGTGTTGATGTGTGTCTTGTCTTCGTTTACATTGGCAATGGGGGAGAAAGGTACAGTAGTATTCCCACCACTCACTAGTTGTACTCGTTTACATATTTACCTACCTAGAGTAAGGGGAAGCAGTACTAAGCATAGGAGTAGAAATGACTAGATTATCTAAGAGAGGCATTTTGGTGTCGAGTCGGTGTGGTCAAGCTCGTGATCGCGAGTGTACAGCGTGAGACTCCTAGGTCAGGCGCAAGGCTGGAATTCCCCTGCAAAAGTTGGCTGGGGCCATTATATTTGCCGAATGCAGTCGAGCGCCTGATGAGATCGACCGGCAACAACTCATCTCTGCCATGGTCAACCATGTGTTCCTTTATTTGAGCGTTGACCGAATTTGCAGTGCAAGGCTATACGGGGAAAGACGCGGTGTTCTGCTACTATTTGCAGTAAGTGGAGCTCAAGGGGCAAGTTCGGAAACCGAATTCCGCGCCAATTTGGCGGGTCTAACCACAGTGGGCACAACCAACTGTTGCCCCGAAAATGGCTCACGGGCACTGCAGTGCATGTTTCTCACCTGCTACTCCGGTACATTAAGTCATGAGATGAAGAGAGAATAAACTCGATGGGTTTCTATCATTTGCCAATTGCTGTTTCCATCTCCGAGAGCTTATGAGAACCTCGTTGCAGAGGGTAGGCGGGTATACCCATTCCAGGCTCGGCCTGCAACACAGCACCTGACCGTCGTATTTCGTATACTACCTATTCAATGTCAGTACGCGGGGTTTTGGTGTCGGTTCAGCCTTCAATAATGCAATGCGAATCTCAGATTTCAACAAGTCATGTGAGTATCCAAGGCTGAGGTAAGGAATTACTGTACTGCGCCTTCGAGTTCAAGTTCTGTTTGGTTTGTGCTGTGTCGAGTCTTGGTTCGAGCTCCATGGTGTGGTCGAAGGAGTATTGCCTTGCTGTAAGCATCAATATGAAGACGGGACTGCTTACACAGAAGAAACATGATGAGTACTTCATGCATAAGGCTGCAGATGCTGGCTGGTTTGTTCGTTGGACATGGGTAGCAAGTTGATGTTGGTCTTGATTCGCTCGGGGTCGGTCGACGCAGCGCAAGACTGAAGTCGATGACTCCTGGTTGGCTATATTCCTGCTGAAGAGAATGAGTCGCAGATAGAAGAGAAGAACGATGAAAGCAACAGCCAAGTATATGCTTGAGGTTATATCCATAGTAGATCGTGATAGGTGTGCCTATCCTATCTGGAGGAATTGAGGCCCCGTGTAGCTCAGCATATACTTTCTTGGACACCTTTCGGCAACGAGCCGTCACTGTTGCAAAGACCAGATGACAATGTATAGGAACAAAGTATGGCTTGCTGAATTCGAGAACAATTAAAAGCTTATGCTTCACACCAAGTCTTCGGCTTTTCGTAAACGGCCATGCTGAGTACCAGCCTATTCAAGCGCATGTACTGTACAATGATAGAACCTCAGACCAAAACTTCCTGCTCATTGGCCTTACAAGAGCCGAGCAAATGAAGTGACCTTCTCCAGTGGACAAGCCCTTGAGATGCACCCGGTGATGTTAATATGGCCACCATCATCCGTCATTATCGTCGTCACATCTCATCACGTATTATAAATTATGATTATCATGAGCCAACTCTTTTCTTTCTGTACGCCAGCTGTATAAAGCTGGATGACTCAACCAAGCTCAGTTCCTCACGTATAGACGCCTCCCGTTGAAAGTAGATGCTGGCTTCATCAGCTCCTGTGCCATGGCCAGCATGGCATCCAATTGCTCCCCACTTCCTCCTCTTTACGGTACAAATACATGGTTGTACAACAGAAGGTTTTCGGACATGACCCTTGTTTGATTAGGTAGGGGTCGGTTTTGGTAAGGCTTGTGCTACACGGCCGAGGTCAGAGCTTGTCCACTGACACTCGACATCGGTGATGGGTGATCCTTGTCGTGGGTACAGCACGCACAGTGGTGCTGTTGGCTGGTTTCAGGCTTGTTCATTAAGGGAAGGTTCCTCCAGCTCATTGTATGGTCCAGCTCGATGAGGCGAAGACAGAAAGCCACCACAGTAGACGAAGCAAACGCGGCTCTAGCGGTATCCAAAGTTAGTCACAGCGATTGGGGCCCGAACAGCTTTGACTTTTCACTTTGACACAAGTGTCCACTCACAAATTGATGATCATGAAGGCGAACATGGCCTTGACTAGCCTGCAGTCGGTCGAGAAATAGGACCGCCGAGGTAATCCACCAAAGTACTTGTTCTCAAAAGAGGTGCAAGTGCCGGTGCCATCGTTGTCCCAGACTCCAATCAAACTGCTCCAGGCACCCACCAAGCCAGCATCAAGCACCGCCATTGTGGTGAAAAACAGGGGTCCTCCGAAGAAAACGGGCAAGACGGTCACGCCAGTGTAGACCGTGCTGACGCAGGCGATGGCAAGGGCGGCCGAGGCCTTGGATGGCACGTCGACGTCGGCATTGGACAGGCCGCTGATTATCGCCGCCACGAAACCGATGATCGGGATGGAGCTGATCAGCTCAAACACCCGGAGACTGATGAGCGAGAGTCGCAGGAATACCTCGTCGAGGGCCTTGGACAGCTCGAGTTCTCTCGTCTTGAACCTCATGTATAGGGGGGTGATAGGTATTGGTATATTGTTCTGTTGTTTTGGCTTTGCGCAAATGGTATGGTATGGTTTGGAACCAAGTCCGACCTTTGAAGGATACAAATATTCTTTACCTACCTTTGGATATTCACCCCCTTGTCCTAATATAGAAGTCATTGCTCGCAGTGCCTCATTAGAAAACACCTCTACTCAGTCCCGTGATATTGGCAATAAAATACCGTATATGGCGCAGTAGCTGCTAGAAGAGCGGCGTTGATGCTGGGCTCGACACCCAAGATACGAATGCCTCGTGATCACCGCCGATAATGGCGCAAGGACTCGTAAAGGGCAAGAGCGCAAACGAGCCCGTATGGATGGACCCGTGCACGGGAGACGACAAGTCTTATCTCACCGGAGATTCAGACTCGTGTCGCTTGTGGTGTTATGCCTCCGGTCGTTAAACAGCATCGGCTCGACGATTAGGTAATGCGCGAGCTGCGTCAATATTGCCAGCCCCGGGGACCTACGGGCTTCGAGATGCAGCGCTCGGCTACAACAGCCTCGAATGAACGCTCTGGGGCACATGCTTTCAGCGAAACACCGGATTCGAGCATCTTGGACAAATGATAATATGGGACCGGACCCTTTGCTCCGTACAAACTCTGTTCCTTTGGCCAGCATGATGGATGGAGCATTCAGGATTTTCACACACGTGGACATGTTCCCTTCTTTTTTCCCTTGGATACCCCATCTGGAGTGGACAACTGCGTATCACAGTGTATACCAGTTCCTTCAGGCCGAGGTTTCACTCGAGACAGTCGGTCTCTGGATCGACAGAACGGGAGCTGGGCGGGTTGGCAGAGGCCCGATGTCACAGGCCGCCGAAAGGACCGTCCACCTTGCTACCGAAAGATAACAGGGTATAGTAGCGTTCACTATGAGCAAGGCCCAAGCATAAATCTCTATGGCCTACTACTGCGTTGGGACCAGCGGATCTGTCCTTTTTCGGCGACGATTGGTAGGTCCCAGTTGTCCTTTGATATTCATCATCTCCGTTGTGCAAAACCCTGCAAGGAGAGCACATCGACGTCAATGCCTGCCGATAGTGTCCACCATAGCCAAATATGGCGTTGAACAACGGTGCCTCTCCCGTCTCTGGATGCTGTTGCTGTCACCGCTTTGCTGGCCCCGAACAGCGAAGACTTCGAACAGCGGGCCAAAATTGCATTGGGTCAAAGGGGCCGTCAAACAAAGCAGCCAGAGAGACAGCAGGCTGACAGGGCCTATAAACGAACACTTGGGTGTTGTATGCGGTGTTAAGTACTGCCAGTGCACGAACGAGTTTTAAGGAGTCTTTGCCGGCTCTCGGCACCCTGACCCCTGGAAAAGGCCCATTCGAGCCCCCAGGGCCCAGCTTCGCTAGGTGTGCAGCACCCACGTTAGGCTTATTCCGCCAGCCGCAGCCGGGGAGCTTTCGCCCAGCGCCTCCCTGTTAGCCTTCCCTAGCCCAACGGGAGCCCACCTATAACTGCGTCGGCGACCGTGTCTTCCGGTCTTTATACGTAGTGGCTCTTGGTGGCCTGACGGTTCCATCCAGTATCTGCGCGATCCATCTGCGGAGCTCTCCTACTTGCACCAAGAGTGTCTTGACCACCCACCCCATAAGCGAGCGGAACCATCGAAGTCTCGAAGGAGCTCGTCAATCCATCCTCCAGATCACAACAACCATATTATTACTTAGGGCCAGTGCTTCTCGAGAGGCGTGGAGTGACGGGCTTTTAATTCTGGATCGGTCTCCTTATTCTTCCACCACCATCAAACAACCTCCACCAACCTTTGATCAAGAGAGAAACCTTCGATTCTCGAAAGGCATTCCAAGCAACTACAAACATGCCGTACTCGCAGATGTTTCCACAGTACCAGGACTCCACGTACGAGAACCAAGTACGTACCTAGCTGAAGTGGCGGAATTGTGCCTGAGAAACCCCCCCCTTGCTGAGCTAAGTGACAGCCACAACAATGGGATGAAGTCGACTTCACGACCATCCCGCCCTCGGGCGATAACTACAACAAACCGATGAATGATGCATCTTTCTACGATATCAACAATGTACCCTCCGACATTCAGAACCCTCCTTCACCCAATTTCTCACAGTTCTTAAACTTTGACACCTCAGATGTCGGCTCATACTCGATACCCAGCGAAGAAGTCTCCCCGGACAATGTCTACAGGACATCGCCGAACCCTCTGGATCCCACCCAGCAGTTGACCAACCCCCCATTGAAGATCGAACCTGGTCTCAACCAGAACGAATTCTACCCTTGTGGTCTTACCAATGTCCAAGGAGAAGACTGCTTGCCCCAACAGGCCCTCCAACAGGCAGGACCCGAATCCGCCTGTGTGCAAATGGCTGGACTTCCGGAAATCGAAGATTGCAACGCAGCGTCCTGTGTTGCCGTTGACCCCAACTCGTTAAGTACGCAAAACTATGGTCTACGCCAGACCAGGTCTTACTCTGGTGATGCCGGTCGTCCGGCTGCGAAAGTCAAAGGGGAGCGAGGAGAGAAGAAACCTCGGGGCAAACGTGGCAACAAGGCCTCGTCGAGCGAGGACGAGTCTGCCCAGCTTCGTGCCAAGCAAGCTCACTCGGTGGTTGAGCGACGGTATCGTGACAACCTGAATGGCAAGATCATGCAATTGCACCGGGCTTTGATTGCGGCAGAGTCGACGTCTCGCCTGAACGGAAAGCCAACACAGGACTTCTTCGCTTCCCGGGAACATCGGGCCAAAGTTCGCAAGTCCGACGTCATGACGGATGCAATGAACTATGTACATCAGTCCGAGGTTGAAATGCGGCACATGTCGGATGAGATCACTCGGCTGAACGACCGGGTTCGAGCCTTGGAGAAGCTTGTCAAATGCGAGGACTGCACCCTTCTCAAGCAGATGGTGCGGCTGCAGATTCAGCAGCAGCAACATCAGCAACATCATCATCAAGCGCAGCAGCAGCATCAACAACAACAGCTCCAACACCAACAGCAGCCGCCGCAACTGCAGCCGCAGCAACAGCAACAGCCACAGCAGCAATTCCCGCCACAATAATGAAAATGTGCTAAAAAGGCCAGAAATGGTCAAGAAAGCTTGGTTGAAAGAAGGGAAAGAAACTGTTGCCTCGGAAAAAAAGAGCCTCCAGAAAACGAGGGGTATCGCTTGTCTCGGCACCGTGCTTGAGATAAGAAACCTGACTTCTGGAATGTTTTCGAAGATGAGATAATCAACGGACATACGGTGTGATACCAGGTGGGCGGACAGCAGTGCACGGGCGTACAGTGCTTCTATCTAGGTTTTGCAGGAAGAGATGGAACTCAGGAGTTGTGCATACACAAATGATACTGCGAGCAGGCGGAGCTCGATTGCTCTCATTTCCACAGTTGCTGAACGATCCGGGGACGGGCGCCTTCACACACATGCTTTAAACGAAGAAGCAATGAACGGGCGCGATTTTTTTTTTGGCTGGGAGTGAGTGGGGTGGGAAAGGGGAGCGGAACAGGCTGGGTTGTCTAAGAACAAGCAAGAGAAAGGCCGGTATGCTGCAGTGTGGCCTGGGGGTTTTCTGTCATGTTACAATTAACGACTATCTGTTTTGGTTTCGGGAGGTTGACTCGCACTTTGGTTGTGCTTGAGTCCTAAGGCGTTCAATTGGAATGCGTCCGGTTTCACGATGAGGTCCCGGCTTCGCTCTGCCAGAATGCAGTTGCTCTGGTACTGTTTCTATGTTTTGCAACGAACGCATATTATGGCTTGATCTTTAGGGATCGACTTTCACAACCTGCGCTTAAGGAGTTCCTGGCTCTCGTACCACGTTTTTCCTCCTAGTATGCGGCAAGATCGCACCGATTGTACTGTATACTAGATTATAATGGTATGAAGTCTTCCGACGAGGCTTGTGACCACCTTTACTCAGCAACAGCAACAGCATGACCACGCAAGGCTGATACAGAAGGTAGTAGTACAGTCCAGTCCATTCGGTGCTATGCGTCGTATGATGGCCCCGAGAAAGTCAGGGCACTTATGCAGAGCCTGGAATTGGAGTTCCGTGGGCGATGCGTTAGTAGCCCCGGCTGTCATCGGGACCGCTAGGACAACCCGTACAACCCGTTCCGGGGCCTGGCACTGCCGGGAAGCCTGTGGCAGTCATTATTGCGAAACACCCGCGAAACGTCGCCTGGGCTCAAACGTTCAGACGTTAGATGCACGATACAGTGCATGACCTGACCGAGCAATCAATTGTGTTGTGGAGTCGGAATCCCGATGCGACTACTGCTACTATTGCTGCCATAGGAACAGGCACCGATTTTCAGGCACTGCAACATTTGGAGCATGGACAAAATCCGAAAATAAAGTGGTCTGGGAAGAATTCATGGGTGCTGCGTGGTGGCATGACCAGCATGGTATTACTGTACTGGAGGTGGTGCTCAGGCGTTTACCTGCACCACCACCACCACCACCACCATTACCCCGGAAGACCATGGGCGCTTGCTTAGGTAGCTTTCTAACTGCAGTGTTGCTGTAGGTACTACTACTACAGTAGGTACTGATCATGTGTATGCAAACTGTACCTGTATGTCCTCAGGCCATTTCAAGGTGTCACATTTCCGCCAGCATCCGCCGCGTTCGTGATTCCCTTTCGGGACGTATGCCATCGAGATCTGCGATCTTGCGGCAGAGGATATAGCTGGCCCTCTTCCCCAGCAAGAGATATTTTTCGTCTTCTCCAGACCTGACAACGGCCACATCCTTTGAAACCAATATAGCCTGGCTACCTAGTAGTGGTCCAGTGCATTCCAATGGATCGTTTCACTATTTGAAAGATTACTAGTATTTCCTCACTCGAGGATGATTTGCACGAAATACACCATGGCGGTTCAACAACACCGCTGATCAGAGCCTGAAAGCCAACTTTGGACGGCTCTCAACCTCCTCAAGCCGCTTAGGCTGGCAACAACAAACCATCATGGGGCATCTTCTCCATCCGACTCACTTGTTGGGAGCGACATGCAGTCCTGCAAGCTGGCTATTGCGAGAACGGAAGCCGATGTCTACCACTACCACTACCACCATCACAACTATCACTCCGAGTCTGCTGGTCTTCTTGGAAATGGAGATCATTTGCAAGTATCAAAGTCAAATCCTACAATCTACGGCCCAAAAAGGCAAGCAAGCAACAAACATCCACTACAACTTGACTCAAGTGACAGCAATATAACAATACGATGTCAAGGCATCACCACATCACGACATCAGGGCAGATTTCAAGTTCACTGAACCAACTCAAGACAAACAACCACATCCAAAGTCAACACAGGGGCATAAAGGATAGTCGCAGCAGCATTGTGACTGCTGGCTCCTTTCACCCCTTCAGAAGGACTTTACGATGTGAATTATTGTCTTCTTGGACTTGAACTTTCTTTTGGTGGTGGCCTTTTTCCCTGGAATTCTTGAACAAACCTCCTCTTCCTCCTCCTTCTGTGGGACAAGGACACTCATAAACTGGAAGTAAGTCGGGCCATGAGCGCCAGCGTCCAGTCAGTGTTCTCTGCAAGGAAGAAGAGGGGTTGTGTCTAGGATCAAGGGCGCTACTACTGAGCACTACTGTATCTGCATGCAGTGGTGGTGGTCTTGACTGCAGTGTGGCTTGCCGTCATCGCCGATTCCCGAAGTTTAATGTTTTGGGATGAAGCCCGACCTGTCAGAAAGACCGCCATGCGAGGTGGAGAGCCGAGACGTTGAACTCAAAAAAGGGGCATTGGGGGGGAGCGAAGTGTTACCTGTATTTTTGCTATCTTTGATGACGATGACGACGATAATGATGCCCCCAACTTAGGAGGAGATACAGTACGTGTATTCTGCATGACAAGCGAATACTGGTAACACAATTTAAATGCGATATAGGTATATCTCCTTCAGCAGCCGCCTCGTTTCAGTGTGTCTTTGGAGCAGGAAATAGCCCAGTTGTGCGAAAAAAAGTAAGAAATGGACAGGACATTGTTTCTGGCTTGCGCAATGATCCACCGTGAAGACGTAATCTACAACTTGAAGCTACTGTAGGCACATGGATGACTTGGTGGTCGATACAGTGGCATGAAGACAAGAAAAGCCGAGAAACCGAGCACGAACGGGTTACGTACGCTTGAACAGTTTGTATGTCGAGGACAGTAAAAATGCCATGCCTTGCCTTGCCTCGCTTGCAAGGCTTTAGAACATCTATCTCGGCGTTCCATTTCCGAAAAACATGCTCCGGATACCTACCTACTCCCAGTAGAGGATCCATTTCAATGCAAGAATACCTTATCCGAGAGGGTCGTTTGGCAATGCTGACTGGCTATTGTCGTATTAATTGTGGGCTTTGAGACCACATGTTTTCTCAAGAGAGACAGCAGGAAGTCCACCTCGAGAGTCCACTTGTGAGGTCGTCGGAGGTCTCGTTGTGTGAGTGCCGTAGTCGGTAATAGGAGGCCACCTCCACCCATGCCATGCTTCGCGAGTCCGGGGTTCACTGTCAAGTGGGTAAGATATGATTCAAGTAGCTGTTGCTTCAGTCAGTAGTACAGCAGCCCGCTACGAAACTAGTCGCTGGCTCTAGCTCCAGCTCCAGCACCATCGAGAGAACTTGCAGCAGTGGAGCGAGGATTTGGAGCGAGTACTGTTTCTTTGTAGCCAATGATCGGGTGCTGGCACAACTTCCAGATCCGGACCGGATCTGTGATTCGAGTGGGTTGGGAAGAGGGTCCCCTGGTCCAGCAGGATGTGGGACAGGACAGAGAACGAAGATATGGGCGATGATAACATGTATCGGGCCTGGCACGTTGCAAGCTTCAACGTGATGAGAGTAGGACTTCGTTCATCGTGTTTGCAAGCTCTTGTGATGAACGAGGTCACTGAGGGGGTTCAAAATGATTCGAACAGGTTGGCATGAGCTCAAAAAGGATATTATGTGCTGGGCTGGGTTGTGGGAGTGCGGCGATAAGCTTGAACTGCTACAGTCCTGTGCTGGAGCTCATCCTGGTCGCTTTGGCAAGCCACAAGTTGCTCAGTGCCATTTTGTGGCGGTGCTTTGAGGCGAGTGATGCAGTACTGCGGAACCTGCCAGTGCGGCTTTCGAATTCCGCAATGCTGTCCAATCGCTTGCGAACACTGGGCCGGAGCTGTCATGGCTACTAGGACCTCTGCATACAGGTGAACAAGGTGGCACTGAACTTGGATTATTCATCTCTCTCTCAACATCAGGTATTGTACAGAGGATCTAGGTAAAGTGGTTGAATGTTTCGGCAGTACATTGTATGGGCGACCGTTTACAACTAGTGGTAGGGAATGATTCGAGAAAAAGATACGGATAGTGGTGGTGTTGGCGCTGGTGGTCTGACGTCGGCGCTGGTGTTCGTAACGAATTCTTCGTAACGTGACAGTCACTCAGGTGGCGTACATCATCCGTCTTCTGTCCTGAGGACAACCTGACCGGTGAAGGATCATTTCCGCAACGCTAATTACCGTGTTTGCGAGGGAGCCTACCGACCGAGTCTGGAGAAGACCTCTTGAGTCGATGTGAGATCAATCATACAAGCCATCGTCAAGAAGATGACCGTTACCGTGCGAGAAGGGTCCGCATACAAGGTAGGTAAGTTCAGTATGTACCTCAGATAACGTCAGTCGTCTCCATCCGATCCTCGGCGATGGCCTTCCACCCGGGAGATCTCGAGGCTGTGGCCCTCATAAAGTGAGTCTGTGAACAACAGCTAATCCACTCGTCCCATTCCCCTTCATCAGTCATCCATACTGTCCCCACGAACCAAGCTTAGCTCTTGTTACCCTGACTCGACCGAGCTTGGAAAAGCAATCCAACATCGACCATCGACGAGTGTCATTATCTGAGAGTATGCTGAACTGCTAGACTTGAGACGAAGATACCAGGCTTAGTAACATTTGGATTCACAGTAGCTTCAGCCATTTGATACGAAGCGACAAGCCTCAGGCCAACCTTGAGCCCTACAACCTCAAGCACCGGTGAAATCGGAACTCTCGAATCTCCAATCAAGAAGCCCTGCTATCCCTGGCTATCGCGCCTTTCTGGTTCTACCTACCATGCCTCGTATCAGGATCCCCGTGGCTCGGTTGCGCCAAGGACTCCGAATGTATGCGTCACGCCCAGTTGCTCATGCAGCGCCTCACGGTCACCATGTACCTGTACATCACGAACCTTCACAACGGATCCTGGCCAAAGCAGCCGCCATGCATCAACGGACAGCCTCTCGATTCCCCGAGACGGTGCGGGATGTAACCAGCTATACGGCGCTTGCCGCTTTAACAACGGGCGTTGCATGGTTGGTATATTCCACGGTAGGTGATTTCCTCCGCTGTCCTCCGATTTATACTACATGGTGCTTTCGAAGCAATGCTACCGGCGGGGAAGACGCCAGCCGTATAGGCCATGTTTGTCCTTGCTTGCTTGAGCGAAAGTACTATCATGTTTGGCGAGAGCAACCGAGAGCCGAGGATGTTAATGCCGAACTTAGCTGATACCTGGCTTTGCATAGGACGAAGATGCGGACTTGATGGAGTTTCTAGAGTTATAGCCTTGCCAGTCGGCGGAGCGATGCTCTTAGCGGCTTTGATCAACCTATTTTTCGGCTGGGATATGTGTTTGTGTTGCATTATGACAGGCATGGAGTTTCCAAAATGGACCGATTGGCATTTTCAGGCGTTGTGAAGCTCAAGGACACGGAGTTTGGCAAGTGCTTGTTTGGGTTGGCATGAGCCGCCACGTAGTGTTGATGGCTAAATCGGACACCTATTGCATTATCGTCTGGGAGATCGCAAGAGGAAATCGAATGGCGGCCTGTGGCATGGCCGTTCGACACATCACATCATCGCCAAAGCTGCTTGTCGTGGGCTTGTGGCAGGCGATGCACCTTACTCTGAGGAACCCTCAACCCATCTTATGCGATTGTCCTTGCACACTCGACAGCGACAACATCGATCAGTCCCCAGTCTCCCAGCCGTCACACCCTGAGTGCTGTGCTCGAGACGACCAAATGTCCTTGATACCACATCGTAGAAAAAGCCTCATCACGTGGGTGGAATCTTTGTCAGCGAGCTCACGTGACATCAATTCCCTGTCCGATCTTGTCTCTTTTCGCGCCTTCCCTCCGATCTTTCTCCGCTACACAATGCAGTGCCAGTGTGTCCCTCATCTATTATGGGCAAAAGATTGCTTCCGTACACTGGCTTTGTGATTGCTCTTCTCCCCTATGGCCCCCATCCCGATAGGAGGTCTGATGAACTCATGCATATTGCTCCAACCAATATTCTCCGCATGACCGGTGCTCATCCAGCTTGCCTCCCACGGACGCTCCCAGTGTAGAGGAACTAGCCCTCGCGCCACAACCTCTCCGTCGGTCCTATCGGCCCTCCGTAGAAGATGAGAATGGCGTTCAATGATACGAGGAATAGCACGGTGCCCCGGACTTGTCGGCTTCGGTCTATATCTCGTGGCCGAATACTATTCGACCGGGAATTCCAGGGCCCGGAATGCCCGGAGCCGGATCCAAGCACTCCGGGGCACAAGGCACTATCAACGGCCGAAACGGCCGAGAGTTACGTCTAGAACGTACTGTTGCTCGCAAAGAGGAGTATACTTTCACATCCTCAGCTTCTTCCCGTGTTCATGACTACAGGTCAAATGATGACCCCAGACTGCCTCCACGACAGTCAGCGGGCGGGCAACGCTACAATTGGTGCCGACGCGTCCGCTGAGTGAGGTATTGTTGGCTGAACAAATAGCACGACTCGCCTTCTACACATTGGTTTATAATCCCAGGAAGAAGGTTGACAATTCATATGCCATTCTGATGAATTACAGCTATCTAACAGCACGATATTTCACTGCCTTCAACCTGGCTACCTTCGAGGAACTGCATCAATCTTGACTGATTTCAGACACATCCCAAGAACAAGCGGCAAGAGTTGAGCAGGCAATTGATACATCATCCTCAGCCAGACAGAGGGACCAGAACCTGGACCCTGGTGACAAGCCTATTCTTGGCACAATGCCAGTGCTAGTCACCTACGCAACTTCTCGGGGCTCTACACGCGAGGTCGCCGATCGCATCGCGTCCCGACTGTATGAACATGGCTTTGCCGTCGACTGTCGACCGGTTGACCATGTCTTCAGCGTCGAAAACTACTCTGCCGTCATATTGGGCAGTGCAGTAGTTCGACAAAGATGGCTGTTGGATGCTCTCGTCTTCGTCGATGTTGAGTCCATGGGCCTTCAGCATAAACCTTTCTGGGCATTCAGCCTGAGCATGGCACCTGTGGCTGTCCCAAAGTGGATTGCAACGAGGATGACCAAACGGCAAAGAAAGACAGTCGAAGTGAGGCTAATGAGCAAAGTGCCTAAGATGAAAGAACACCGTCTGTTTCCAGGAAGGAATGACGGCTCATCCGTGCCTAGACGTTTACGCAGTCTGTACAGATGTCTTGGGGGTCGGTTTGGAGATATGCGCGACTGGGGTGAGATCGATGCCTGGGCAGATAATATTGCGAAACAGCTTGCATGTTGACCCTACTTGACTTTTGACCGCCACGTTCGTGTGCAGTGCAGAGTCCTGCTTTTTGCACGCTTGAGTTTTCGCGGATATGGACCGGAGGAAACGCTCTTTACAAAAGCTGCTTCCTTGCCTTTGTCGTCATACTGTGAATCAGTATCGGGACCTTTGCAATTGTGGGAGTCGGCGTCTTCACTCTTGTTGACGGAGCAAGCCTTGCTCGTAACGCGGAGCGCAAGGTATTCGAGATAGGGGTCGAACTCTCCCAAAGAGGTCCTTTCAGACTTCCTATCCACCATTCAGGATTCAGGATACCTGCGGAAGCCGCGATCGAAGGGATCCGGTGTTCGTCAGATTAGGGCAAGGCGGAACTGGCGAAGGCTCGGCAAGACGCGGGTTGACCAGTCTCTGGTACAATTCGGCAACTCTCCGGTCCAATCAAAGCTCGAGCGGCTTCTATTCCACAAGGGTGGCAATGCCAAAAGACGTCTTGAGCGGTACACGTGCATGCAGCCGTTGCTGACATAGATCGGCTTTTACTGAGAAATCAGCCTGCAAGGTGACGAAGAATTGGCGGAGGTGTCGAGCGGGACGTACGGCTCATACACTCAGGTCAATCGATCGATTGCCACATACAACGTATACAACATTGTTTTGCGGCATTGTTAGCAACAGACCGAGCTCCGCACTGCAAATGACTTATGAGCTTCCGCTTCCAACATCTTCTGTCGACCTCCCTTCACAATGTTCGAATCTCGGATAAAGTCTCCACGCATCCGCAACTTAAAAGAAAGCCCAAGGGGGTTCCCTGTTCTAGAACCTCGCCACAACGGATTGGTGGGAACATATCAACAGCAGAGACTCCACATCGGTTGCTAACCTGAGGAATGCCACGCTTCCACATGATTCGTGTATTGGGTGGGGACATGAAAGTCATTCTTCTGCACATTGTAGTTTCTTTTTGACAATGCAAGATGTCCAGATCGGTTCCTGGAGCAACGTGTGTCAGTTTCGGATTCTCTACAGCCATCAATCCAATTTGAATAGCATCGCTGGGACAAAAAATCCATCTAGGAACTTCCATAACCAGGCCAGTGCTTGTCCAAATGAAGCAGAAAAGGCCGGCCGTTCGACTAGCCATGTCCGCTGCCGAGATGGGTCGTCTATCGAAAGCTCTTACGGGCTCAATTATTTGGTCGCAGCAACTATAACCGTGGCCACTTCCACCGGCCTACAGATCGAGGACAGCGTGCAGTTCCTGATCTACGATTAGTGATTGGGATCTCCGATCTGCCACTGGAGTCAGCCCCATTTCCAGCCATTAAGAAACAGAGGGAAAAGTGTTCCTGGAAGACGTTGTGGGATTGGGCCGGACCCCATCTCATGATGGCTCATTCCACTCGTGCACCATCCCCATAATGGCATGTTCCGACTTGGGGGGTTTCCTACAACCAATGACAGTCTGAATTGATTCCACCCTGTTTGCTCAAGCGCGGATGACATGGACCGTTTACCGACCGACCATTTGCTTCTGCCCCGTCTAGAGTTCCCACTATCGGCAGCGACAGTCCGCTCGACCTTGCGAATCTATGCCTCTGGGCATTATTGTTGCTAAGACCAAGCAATACTGATGCCTACCAAGGACACTACGAAGCCGCCAAACAACCGTACACGTGTTCTTGATTCGTTGAAGGGGTTCAGCTCGAGTCAACCAAGAGTCTTGTCCCTTTTCTTCCTAGTCTGCCAAATACCGTATTCAGCTGTCAGACTGTGTTCATTCCCATGAAGTCTGACGCCTTGTTTGAATCTGATAGGGGCGGATACCCGCATGGCCAACTTCGCAGGGGCCGAACCATTTGGTCTTCTATTCACCAATGCCTGATATGGCATGTGTGGTAACCCAATCGCCGATGCCTCCGGCCTCTCTTACAGAACTTACCCCACCTTGCGGGCCTGGCTTGTCCCATGTATGTACGATGTGGTCAAGCTCGCAGTACTTTCTCTTTCGATACAGAAAATACTGGTCACTCGAAATACCCGACATGACTCGAGTGGAATAAAACTGTGAGCATTTCCCTGTGCAGAGAGGGGTCTACTTTGGAGATATCTCTCAGCCAATGTTGGTGGACCGGGTTGTGATACAAACATAAACTGACCACTGTCAGTGTCTAAGCGAAGGCCATATAGTGGTCAGTGTCTAAGCGAAGGCCATAACGTCGACCACCGCCGTCTTTACGCGAAGCCATATTGCTTGACGCCTCCCACTAGTCCGCCGCCGATGAATCGGACTTGATCGAAAAGACGGTTCGATCATCCGTTGCCATCTGACTTCTTGTACTACTGGAACTGCCGAACTACATACATACAACACATTTCAGCCTTTTGCAGTGCTCTAGGATCCGTTTCTCAATCCTCATCAGACACGCCCAAATTCAGTCATGCATCCAGAACAAGAGCGTACAAAGACACGACCCCGGGTCTCGAGGGCCTGTGAAAGATGTCGAGTAAAGAAGGCAAAAGTATGTCGAACCCCTCAATGAGCATGGTCCTTCCTTCTCCTACTCTCATGATCTGTATCGTCGGTTTTGAGTCCCAACAAAAGGAACAAAATCTCACAAGTTGTGCTGTGTAGTGCGATGGTGAAAAGCCTTGCAAAAGGTGCAACCTCGACAAAGCAGTCTGCTCATATAAAGTTCGACGAAGGACGGACACGGGCGGTTCAAACCAAAGGTATCTATTGATATCCCCCGTATACTATCATGGGGAACCGTGAGTACGGATCACACGATGAAAACTGACTCGTCTTATCTCAGATACGCTGGCATGCTTCTTCAGCACCATGCAGCAGTCACAGCCGGTCTTATCGAACTCTATCAGCGCCTGCTCAAGGGCCAGCCCTGGGAAGGATCACCGGTAGACGAATTAAACGGAACCCCAAGCGTGCATTGCATTCTTGAGCGACTAGGGGTGATTGATGCGGAGGACGAGGTCGACCCTACTCCTAATCCGACTCTGCAATCCGACGCCCCCGTTTCGCACGTCCACAGCACAGCAGCTTCTGCCGCCGCCATTGGAGGAAGAGTCGCCAAAAGCCGCAAACCGTCTACGAAATTCACCCCATCACGAAAAGGCTCGCAAGCAGCGTCAGCAGCAGCACGCGAGTTCGACACAGATCCTCTATTGTCCCCGTTATCAACTTCGACGACCATTGTTCCTCCTGCAGGGTCTTCATTCTTCGAGACCACCGAGGATCCAGCACTGGCAACGGGCTATTTCAACCAAGTCGCATCCCCATTGAGCTGTGCGTCGAGAAGCGGCTCCCTTCAGAGTACAACGACTTCATCATCGTCGACGTGGGACTCGTCCCAGTCCCCGGACATCAGCGACGACATGTTTACAACGCCAATTCCAACCCCAACGACCACAACCAACAACGATTCGCAATGTCAGTCGGACTTTCTGTCTCAAACGCAGCAGCAGCAGCAGTTTCCCGACGGCTCTTTTCCTGTCTATACCGACGATCATCAGACCCCCGTTCAAGTATCTTACACCTCCGCTGAAGTTCAGGAAACTTGCACGGCCGGATACTTCCTCGATGCGACTGGTGGTATGGGCCTGTACGGCTGGGACGCTAGCAACATGGGCAGCAATGTCCCCTTCGGCACCGTGCCTCCCGATTGCTGCAACCCCTGGGACTCTGGTGTGTTAGGATGACCTAACCAGTCACAGCATCAACGATGACGACTGCTAGGGTATACTTGTACACGCTCGTTATGAAACCGGACGAAAGACGGTTTTTAATCTGTTTGTCCTTTCCGTTGCCTTGACATGAGGTGGACCGTGCGATCGGCTAACGAATATCCCACCACAATCAAGTTTGATCGAGGAAGGTGTGCTAAATGTGGACTGGCATTCAAAGACCCCCGGCGAGCTGGCAGAGCGGGGCCAGAGCGAGCAACCTGCTGGTTATCCGAACACGATCAAGGCCGCCGCGGCCATCCGATGGTAGGGGATTGTGACATCTTATCACCGTTCGGACTGAACATTTGAACTCAGCTGGAGAGTACACGCCCAGGTTTCACCACGAGTTTGACGCCGACACCAACCCAGGCGCTTGCTTACTACTAAACAGACTCAATTCATGGGGGAAACGCTGCCCAAACCTTACTTCACACGCAAATGGGCCCACAGGGTGCCAGAGCAAACCATTTTATTATGTCGACATTGATGAATGGGGCTTGAGTTGGAGATATAGGTCTGGTCCTGGTCTTGGAAATGATCCTGATCTCCCATGAAAAAACGGAGGAGGCAAAGTCAATTACTACAAGGGTCGCTTGAATGCACGCAGTAGGCGGACCCTGTTATGTTATTTTTTTGACACGATCTTCGGAACGAAGTGAGCGTATACGCAATGCTTACCTATCTACCTTACCCTATCAAGTCCATGTTTTCGATATTCTCGTCAAAAGCTAATTAGATTTATTCTCACCCTTTCATCTTCCTGGCCTCCATTATACTTTCTTGCGTAGAGGACATAAAGGTAGTTTCTCTTCCTAGTTTGAAATCCTCCTACGCTGGCTACAGTGGTATATGCTCGCTGTACGAGAGACTGGCGAACTTAGGGTGGGAATTGCAGGAAGAACCATGGCCTTCTGGTCCCGTCAATCTCCATGTATTTGCTTCTTCCAATGGCCTTGAGGTACGTACCAAAACGTAGAGAACGGTTTTCTGCGCTCATGCCATGTCATGCCATGGTCAGGTCCGTCTCGGACGGAACAGCCGGGAGTATTTTCTATCACTTTCCAAATGCATGTGCACGGAATCAGTTGACAGTACCTAGGGATGTATGTCTGTGTCAGTCGTAGTCAGGTCATTCATTATATTTACTATCAGCCAGCCAGCCACTGCAGCCAGTCGTTGAGACCGACTCAGTCGACTACGACTACCTGGATTTACCTCAACGGCCCAGGTCGGTAACAGACGCCGGGTTCGTGTGTGCGTATCACATGCCAGAACGCCACTGCAATACAGAGTATAGTACTGTAGGAAGAATGCCGTTTCCAAGTAAACCCGTAATGACCCTTGTTCCGCGGACGCACAGTAATGAAACCCAATCCCAGAGAACCAAACAAAAAGAGAAACCTGGCTACCCGCTGCACTCCACGCTATAATGATTTTCTCTTCTCGCATGCCGACTCCGTTCTTGGAGAGAAAGAAAGCACAGGAGAAGGCCAGCAAGTTGTGTGTCGGCCTGAAACAAAAATCAACCTGGTACAGCGACTTCTGATGGCGGCTTTTGCGGCGGGTTTCTGTTGGGATTCGTCAAGTCGACGTCGACATCGAGGCCCCATCGCGCCGCAAACCCTTCACAGACTTCCTGACACGTTTTTGCAGCTTGGCGAGTCCTGCACCTTCGATCCCAGTCGCCGGCCTGGATCAACAGGATGGAATTCTGCACGAGCTCGTCCTCGAGCGTCATGTCGCCGACCATGTCACGAACCGATTTGAGTTTGCGGGTGGCGGCGTTGGCCACGAGGCGTGACTCCTGCAGTAAATCCGTGAGGGACCGCAAAGTCTGGCCTAGCTCTTGGGTCTGAGAGGCCAGGATCTGCAGAGACAGCAAGGGGTTCTGGGGCCGCAGAAATGGCAGCGTGTCCGTCAGGGCGTTGATCTCGTCCAAAAGCAAATCAATCATCTCCTCTGGAAGCTGCAGCATACTGGCCCCGTACATGAGCGAATGGCTTTGCGTGAACAGGTCGCGGGTCTTGTGGGTGCGGTGCGACGCCATGGATGTGTAGGCCGTGATTAAGCGTGTCACGCCGTATTCAATGTTGCCTTGCGGACCTAGGTCTTTCAGCCCTTGTATCGTCCTTTTGACAACCCCGCCCTCTTCGCCTAGTGCGTCTTCTGGATTCATGCTTAGTCGGGTCAGATTCTCGATGTCGCGAATCCGCTTTCGGAGAATGGGCGGGAGGGAGGATGAGTCCTCGTCTTGTCCTTCTGCTTCGACGTCTGATTCGGGCCCGTAATCGGATCCGTCGTATGCAGACTCGTGTCTTTTGTGGGTGAATATGGATGGTTTCTTGTGCAAAGACACGGAAGACGGCTCGTTCGTTGGTTCGAGTAGCGAGTCTGCTGGTGTAGTAGATGACAGTCCGCTGTGTTGCTGCTGCTGCTGCAACACCATTCCAAACCCAAAATCGTGCATGTCGTTCATCTCGTAGGGACTGTGTAGATCCCGCAGTATGGAAGAGTCCTGCTCTGCCACATCACCTTCTCTTAGCCCCTCGAGAAACCCTGACTGTCCGTCCCCCTCGTCGTCCCAGGCCTGTTCCAACTCGTCCGCCAAGTTCCCCAGCCCGTTCTCTTGTAAATGTTCGATGCTCCGGTCGCTGTGAATGCTCGTCCTACTCGATCGACGTTGCTGTGAGAACGAAGGCGGTCTGGACGACTTGGATGACATTGGACGTGGCGTCACCGGAGATCGTGGTTGGAACGAAGTCTGAGAAGTTCGCGACGATCGTCGGGAGTAGGCCGTGCCATTGGTCGTGCCGCTGGTGTAGGGACTCGTCGAGATGGCTTCTTGCGAGGAAATTTCGGCGTGTGATAACCGGAGCGAGCGTCGTTTACGCGAGGGCGTCGCTGGGGAAGCCGGTGGAGATAAAACCGTCATCTCCGCTGGTCTGACGGTCTGGCGCAGGGGGGAAGGTTGGATGCAGGTTGAGTGGTAAGAGGTCTAGAATGCGTGCGTGGACGGTTGAAGGGTCTATGTGTTCTATTATGCAGTCTGTAGCATGTTGTGGACGACGGCTGCCAGTAGACCGTGGGAGGAAGTTTGGATGGTCGAATCGAAATGCGGTGGAAGAGGCGGGAAGAGAGGCGGTCGCTCGCTGCGGACTAGACACTCGCAACAGAAAGACGAAACAGTTCTGTGGTACTACAAAATGGTTTTGTTGTGATAGTAGACAGAAAGACCAGTAAAGAGACTCGCGCAGTTGATTTCGTTCAAGTTGTGGTTTGTTAGTTGATTGTTTTGCCCGGATGCAGTGAGCAACTGACACACGGAACGGCGCGTTGCGGTTCCTTTCCTCCACACACCTTCAATTATCGTTTTATTATTCACAGCTCCAACGGTTCCTGCTGCTACTGCTCTCTGGCTCTCACAGGTCTACCGCACGGAACAGGATAGATCGCCTTCTTGCGATCAATAGCAGCTGAGCGCCATGCCGACCATTCGAAGAGTCCAACCTTCGGACCTGTTCCATTTGAACCTTTGCAACCTTGATCCATATACCGAAAATTACGATTTGAATTTTTACCTCACGTATCTGATGAGATGGCCGTCGCTATTTTACTGCATTGAAGAGCACGGCCAGATTGTCGGCTACATTATTGGCAAAGTCGAAGAATCCCCTCCCCATTTACGGTAAGTGAAAAGAGTCACTCGTTCCTCTTGTTCAATCATCGAACATTGTTCTAAGAGCCATGATCGTCTGGCAGAGGCACCCCACATGCTTTGCCGTGGCACGGACACGTTACAGCCTTGTCGATAGCGCCGCAATATCGACGGCTTGGATACGGGAAGCTCCTGACCGAGTCGCTGGAGAAGGCATGTAATCAGCAAAACGCCTGGTTTGTCGATTTGTTCGTCAGGAAGAGCAACAAGAACGCCATCAAAATGTACGAGAGCATGGGCTATTCGACCTATCGCACCGTGGTCAAGTACTACTCCGATGATCCGACAGGTGTATCTGCCGAGGGAGAAGATGCACTGGACATGAGGAAGCCGCTGGATCGAGACAAGGATCGCATCCATGTGCGGGAAAATGGAGCAAGTTTCAAAGTCGATCCGGAGGATGTGTTTTGATCGTGATCGTCGACGATGCAAAGCTGGACCCTTGGTCATCGCCTGTACTCCCAGCCTTCCTCGAAGCGCCGACTACTCTTCCCGCATTCGATAAGATCAGAAATGCAGCGCTCCTGGTCTTAAGACTGCCTCGGCTCCAACAAGCGTGCAACCTTCTCCGGCAGACATCCCGAGGTGTTCATTATCCATCTCTCCGTCGCATGTGGCAGGCAAAGGGCAATGTTCTCATCGACTAGTGCAGCTTTGTCAGGATTGCGCAGTGTCCCAAGGGTGAATCCATACCATGTCCAGACCTGACCTTTTGCATCCATCCCAAGATCTCATCCGTCGATCAAGCAGAGCACTCTACGTTGACAAGATGTGCTCGATCCGCTTCAAGGCCGCTCAAATGAAGCCGAGTCATGCGCCCTGACACAGAAAGGAGAAAGCTGGTCCTACAAAGCTCAGCGGGTGGCCCAGCCCACCGTCACCGTCACATACATACAGGAAAGACGCCTGTTCTGATAATGACTCCTTCATGAACCACTACCAGCCAAAATACACATTGCTATACCCGGAAGGAGATTCAGGCTATCCTGTCAGCTTTTCTGCCCTGAAAGACTGAATCCTAGCCCCCATCCATCACAGATCAAATCACACCATTCGATCCACCCCCTTTACTCCCCTTCCCGTTTCGTCGTCATCGTCAAATTTTACCCCGAGCTCGAAGTTCCCGCGTCATTCCTCTTCATATCCCGCGGACCAAAACTGCACGGCAACAACTCCCCGATAGTCATGCAGACGACATCGCCCGCCAACCCGTCCTTGCCCAACATGTAGATGGGCAGGTCCTCGGTGGTGGCAAACTCGTTGATGAACTGTCGACACATGCCGCAGGGGCTCGAGGGCGGATTGATATCGGTACTGACGGCGATGGCGCGGATGATTGGCATCTCGGGTCTTTTGAGCGATGCCACAATTGGCGCGATCGCACACCGTTCTGCGCAGATCCCCACTGGCGTGCTGGCCACTTCGACATTCGAACCCGTGTGGTAGGTGCCGGTGGATAAGAGGACGCAAGCGCCGACGCGGAAGTTGGAGTATGGGCCTTGCGTGCAGTGAGTAAAGGTACGGTTGAATAGGGTCAGATGCCGGGGGAATAAAAGACAAGAGAGGCTCCACGGGTTTCATATGCGTTCGAGAGCTGGCCCGGCTGGAAGATATATGCTTGAAATATATGAATTTCACACTTCTCAGAGGGACAAAACAAGACTCGCCAATGCAATCCCAAAGTACTAGTATAGTACCACCAGATCGCCGAGCGACATACTACTATGTGACTTACAGTAAGCGCACTCTTTGGCCTCAATGGCCAGTGTGGCGAGTTTGGTAAGTTCCTCCCGAGACAGTGGCTCGAGGGGCGCTTGCGTGGTAGTCATGGTGAGTGTGAGGCAGTAGTCGGTGCGGGTAAATGCTTGCTTTTCAAGCGTACGGACTATCTGTCTGTCGTTGTTGTTTCCGATTGAAACCAGAGAGAAGTTGGAAGGCGCCCTATAGCTTGGGATCAGGTTAGCAGCCAACAGCGAGCGAGACGTAGAAAGATGTGGACTTCAAGTTGGAAAAAGGGAATGAATAGGTATACAAATGTCCGTGAGGTGAAAGTTTCTAACCACTGCAGTCCTGGAACAAGTATTCGAGGGCGAGTTCCGCGTTGGGAAAAGTTCAGCCTTGCCAAGGATTTGAATCTGGCTTCCGTTCCACTGGATCTACCGGATCTACCACGGTCAGTACTGGTTAGTGCACCACAGAACGCCAAAGTGCATGTCAAACCGAGGCTATAAGTGACTTCTTCACTACGCTAAGTTCCAGAGAGGTGTATATGCAATTTCAGCGGCCACTGGCGATCTGTGGCGTGCGTCATGTCATCTCGAACAGGAACAAGGTCAAGTTCCGGTTTGGGACACAACAAGGCTGGCTGGGCTGGGCCGTGTGTTGGCAGTCAAAGTCAACCCGTGGGACGAACGGTCCAAGCTGGTCACCGTCAATAGTGACAAAACATGACTACCTAGTATTGAGAAGTATCCCTGGCATTGTAGATTGGCACTCTTGGACATCCGCAAGGTAAGAAGCCGCAAATTGCTCCTTTTCGTCAACTTGTTTGATTTCCGACTATTTTGGCGTGAATATTTGCATTTGCATCCAATCTAAGCAGAAGCAAGCATACATGGCTCATCCGTAGCTTGCGACGAGCTCTCCTCTCCATTCGAACGACATGACGCCCCGTGGGGACTAGTTCTTGCAGTCACCGTGATCATCGATCACGTATAAATGGGGGATGGAAATGCAAATACCTTTCCAGTGTACCTTTTAGCACCATGGCCACCTCTAATTCATTCGTGAAATGAACAGCCAGCGCAGTACAGCCAAAGTGTACATGAGTATACCTGTACTCCAGAACACAATGCACCACCCCATCGCAATATTTTCGGTCCGTACCAAATATGCTGTGTCTTCAAGATCTTATTTGTGGACATGCCTTGCCTAGCAATTCACTCCCGCAACCGCACCGTCTCAATTGTTCAGGCGATTCATGTATTGTGGATAAGGAAGTTCTTGAATGAATCCCAGTAATCCGAATTTACATATCTGGTAGCTCAAATGTCAGTTCTCCTTATCGCCCACACAAACACGTGAATAACTGGTTCTGTTGAGCGGCGACGTACATATACTTCATACTGCTTCTTAAACTCGACTGAATGCTTTCCGGCTGCCATCTGAAGATGTACATGACCATGGCCCAGCTCAAGCTGGCAAAGACTGGCCAAGCATTTTGTCGGATCTTTTCTCTCGTGGACGGCGGTAGCCGCTGCGTCCACAGCGTCGGAGTAGGCGTGGAGCTGGTCATGCTGGGAGGTTCGATGCTGAGTCTAGCCAAAGCGAGTATCACCCGCGCGAAGACGTAAATGACGATTTGCTGGTTCACACTGAGAAATGACCACACAAATCAGCTTCTGCGCAAAGCATGGTGGGACCTTCGGTATCAGTAGCCAGGCGATCGAGGCACACTGTCTCTCTTACCTGCCGGGCTTCGCTCGACCAAAGACCGCATAACCGCCCAACAGGCCGGCGAAAAATGTATCATATGGCCCTTCTTTGCCCGGGTGGACCGGATTGAGCAGCCGTAACACCAACATTGCTGTCTTGTATATTGCCGCGAAGGTCGCCAGGTTGCGCGCGTGCTGTTTCGTGGCCTTCAGCACGAGCCGGATCTTCTCTCGAAACGATCCCTTTCGGAACAGAAAGACCATGACCAGCGCATGAGGGAAGCGGACTTTGGCTCCGTAGACGGCGCCATTGCGGGCGGCTTTGACGATGGCGAGGAGAGGGGCGAGGTCGGGGTTCAAAATGACCGATTCGACTGACTCCTAGATATACTTGGTCAACACCGATCCAATGCACGGAATGGAGCTGAACTTGAAATTCATCTATACCTTCAGCACATCCATATTGGCTGCGTTCCAGGGCTACAACCCCGTGCTGGCAGCAAGTGCACTCGCAAAAGACTCAGGGTGTATGGTCTTCTGGGATTTCCAAGATCGCGCCCAAGCAATACAATGTCAGAAGGTGGATTGAGGAAGCAGGCTGCGTGATCGAGTTCACGTCATGGGCATGGACGAGCAGAGCTGAAACGGCGTTGACATGTGAAGGCTACTGGCTGTAGTGTTGTTGTGTTTGTCTTTGACACGGCAGGGGTTTCTGAAGAGCACGAATCAGGTGTAGAACACACAACCACAAGGTAAATGCGTAGAGATGTACAATTCGACGGTACTAGGAATAGAATTGACCGAAGTGCTGAAGAAACTGGCCTCGGCGATGCATCACTTGACCAAGTTGGACATCATCGTCATTTCTGTGGGCGGCATGTGAATTGACCCGAAAAGCAACTTCGAATCCCGCAGTTTTCATTAGCGGACGCTTCCCCCACAAAACTTTGTGCCTCGGTACATTTCGCTCTGTAAATAATTTCTACGGCAATATTTCGTCCCGGCAACCAGAGTACGAGCACCGCAAGATGAATGATAATGGTTTGCATTTGGTCCACACAAGAGTTGGCATGATTGTTTAGGTATTTTCGTAAATCAAGATAGCATGGTCAGAGATGATCAACCTTTGAAAACTCCCTTTTGCGCCTTGATGCACCCAACTCACTGTGCTACCGGAAGCAACACTTTTGGCACGCGATAACATGGTCGTGTGATATCGCTTGCCTTCGGTGGTTAATGTCTGACCAGCCATCAAACACCATTGCGAGTCTATCTACGAAGGGTAAACCCAAAATATTCTCACATATTGGCCCTCTCTCGAGTATGAGGGCTGAGCGACTGCGCTTAGCGGCGCATCAACAAGGTGTGGGCGAATCATGCACGACTTGAACTGCTCATCTCATTGCCGTCCCAAGTCGTGGCTTGTCCTGCCAAAAAAAATAATACTTTGGACACTGGGTATGGTGACACTGCTGTGTCCTCTGCGGTATATCCGCTTTCCAGATTGCAGCACCAAAACCCGACAGTTTGAAATCCGGGGACGTCGCGTTCTCGTGTATATTATGAAATTCGTTGCCGCTTCGGCTTTTCGTCCGCCTCCTGTGCATCATCCATGTCTTCATCATCATCTTCTCCGATGCTGATCTCGTCTCCGCTGCCACCGACGCTGCTGTCTCCCGAATATTCTTCGTCAAGATCCATGCCGCCATGGGCTGCGTCTTCGTCTTCGTCTTCGCTGACCTCATCTTCACCAGAATGGTCTTCTTCCAGACCATCCTCGTTCTGTTCCAGATCGGCGCGCCCACGCTTCAAGCCTTTCATTTTTCTTGTCTGCAGCGTCGAAAGGTCTTGTTTTCCAAGATGTACACGGCCAATCTTATCACCCATCAAATCGGTCTCAATGTTCTTCTTCGTCTTCGCTTCATTCGGTCTGCGTCCGTGCTTCAAGGCTTCCTTCATCACGTCAGGGTCTGCTTCTCGGTAACGCCCGACTCTAAAGTCAAAGCTTGGCCCCAGAGGATCGAGCTCCACTCGTGGTATTTTGGCATTGTTTGACCGCATGGTTCGGATCTTGTACCACCGTAGGTGCAAAACGGGTTTCTGGGAAGGATCGTTGAGGTCTGCGGATGAGGAGTTGTTCTCGCCGGAAGCAATCATCAGGATATATTGTAAGCCGGCAACGTCGACAGAAGTGACTTCTTCGCCCTGGAACAGATCGAGGAGCGTCGACTTGAGGGTCTGATATAGGGTAGCTTGTGCGGACGATGACGGGTCATCCCATTGTGACCCGGCAAATAATATCAATGGCTTCATGGCCAATCCAACCTGCAACTTCGGTTCCGTCTGGGGCTGGTCTTGAGGCACCACGAGGAGTAATTCGACCATGTCAAGGACTTTGTTGTCGAATATCCGCACTATCGTGATGTTGTTTGGCCTCTTCTTCGAGTGTGTGCCGAACACTACCACGCCGCATTCGTTTTTCTGGGCGAGGAATTCTAGGGAGGCGGCGTCTTCGAACGGGTGGATGTTCTCATTCTTTTTGTTGAGCAGGACGGAGTCAGGTTTCGTGAGCGTATGCACCGTCTTCAGCACCGATGCCACCGGTTGAGGGCATTTCGTTCCATGGAGGAGAAGGACCTTTTTTCTGGATTCGATCTGCTGCGGTTCTCGTGCCTTGACAATGCGCGCTGTCCGCGCATTTCGCGGTTTGCTGCTCAGAGGTTAGTCAGGGATCGCAATGGCACTAAGCGCCAGACATCTTACATTTCTCGTAACATCATAGCGAACACGAGAACAGATTAGAACCGTTGACGCCGTAACTGATGGTTGGACATGTAGATATTACAGGACAATGCGGCGGTAGACCTGAAGTGTTTCCCCATAGAGGAAAAGATTGAGAATTTTCTTTATCGATAAGGATTACAGAGAAGCACAGCTGCCCCACGCGCCTTTACCGTAAGGCTACAAACGGTACTAGTAGGTAGGTAGCGCTGATAAGGGAGCTCATGCGACCACCTACCCAATGCGCTGCAGTGAGTCGCATGCGAGATGAAGAGACAGCCTCATATTGCTTCTCTGAGCCCGCTTCGTCTCGGCGCGTGAGTGTGGATAAAACCAGTGCCGTCACAGAGGCCCCGAAAGTACATAGTAGAAACTAGCAGCCAAATACGCGGCAGTCGTGGAGCAAATTTGATCGCGTTCCAATATTCTAGATGGACTGCTGAATATCCAGGCAGAGACGTTTGTGTTTCTCCTCTCACGAGAACACGATACTTTTGCGCCCAGCACCAATACCGTATGTCCAAGGGCACTCAGTACGTTATCCTAGAAGAGAGAAATGACCACCTCGTTCACCTGGGAAAATATACAAGGCTCGAGTCCTCCAAGCGCTTGCGACGTCCCAGCGGAACTTAACAACATAAGTCATCTACTGTAGAATTAGGTGCTCGGTACTCGCAGAATCTACTACTCCTCCCGAGGGTGGTACCGGGCCTTTTGATCAAAGCCTGTCTGCAGCCCGGGGGTGCTACCTTTCACACTACAAACAGTCGGTATAGCCTCAGGTGGTTCCCTCTGCCTGCCCGATGAGGCATTCTGTTCCACCTTTTCCGATAAGTCAATGTCGCCTCTGCAAATAAACAGGTGCGAACAATCAAATGAAGTCCATAACAGAGGGAAAAAGGTCCAGTCCAGTCACGTGAAAGGCAGAGCTTGACCCCTTTGGGAAATGACATGGCGGGCGAATCTCGCAGTCTTCGATGTCGCCATTGAGGCTGCGACAGTCGCAAGAGCACACGGTGTCGCAGTGCAGACTATATATCAAGAGTGAATACCTCCCTGCTCTTTCGCACCTCCATCCTATCTGACCGACAGGGAAGCGCACGTGAATCTGGCTATCATGATGTGTACATGCAATCATGATTCAGCGCGGGACGAATGAGCGGGTTTGGTTGGTCTCATGAAGCGCTATCAGGCTCTAACAGCCGTAACCTCGCCAAAAGCACCCCTGCCATCCACCACCACTGCAGTTCCTCCATGGAAGTGCTCAGCAGAATCTGAGCTTCCTACTCCTCCCGACCAATACACAGCGAGTATGGAGCGGTCATGACTATCGACAACAAAGTCATCGTGGACATTCCGTGTCTGAAGGCAGCCCTCACGACACCATTGTTCATCAAACTCATCTCATTTACAGGCACAATCTCCTCCTGAAAAAGCTAGAGTGCACTGATTGCATTCTGAAAGTCTTTTGTACCCCCTGCACCCAATGGCGATTGATGTTGCGTGTCTCGCTACCTCGGAGAATAACTGAGGGACCATTTGACACCCTTGAGCACGCCGTTTACGTGGTCCTTGATTTCGCGGACAGCTTGGTACGGCCCAAGCTCGCCTGCATATCAATATTTCTCCACCTCTATCGCCTCCACACACTATTGATCGGCTCAACCCCTGGCCACGTCAACCGGATGTCGCTCGACCAGGTGCTAGCGGAGACCTGTCAGTGGCGCTCTTGGCATTCGCGGCCTGTCTCGTTGAACGTTGATTTCTTCATTGGGCGAGACCACCAACATGGCTCCCCGTCCTCTGTGGGAGTGGCATGCTGGTCGATTGTTGTGTCCAAACTCGAACGGCAACGTTCGCCACATGTTGTGGGAGAACGCGCAACCAGTGGCTTGTTTCGATTGACCGCTGTCTGAAGGGGATGCGAAATGACCCAGGCTTGTCGGAGTCCCGTCGCAGGCCTTGCGCCTCCCTCAACTGGCGACAATTGTGGTGTTTCGAGTGCTCATGACTACGACCGCCCTACCCGTTTGACTTGTAAAGATCCTCGTGTCCTCGCCCACGTCGCCTCCGCTGTCACCTTTCTGTGGAGGTTCTGTCAGGACTTCTGCCCCCCTTTATCTGCACGGATACAACTATTGATCCAACTATCGCATAAATAGATGGGCGAAGAACTGCCGCTGCTACACCTTGCTTTTTTTCCCCTGCACATTAACACACCACCCTTCCAATCATTAGTCTTCGCTTGATCCTTGAACACAAGGATATCTTTCTTTAACGTCCAATCTTTCTTCCCCTTTCGTGCACGCCTACTCCTTGGGATCTCGAGAGACTGATCCTTGTCCGCTCGCTATTAATCCAATCGCTGCTTTCACACTCCGGAGAGCCTACTAAATCCATATATCTGAATTGAATCCTGCATTCTCGTCGAAACCTACGCCATGGCATCCGGAATACCATATACGCCGAAACCGGCCACGGACATCTTTACTCCCTATCAGACGGACATCAACCGGCGCGAATGCAAACGCACCGTGCCGATGAGAGTGCTGGCCCTCGGTCTAGGAAGGACGGGGACAGCCTCGCTTCGCGCAGCTCTCCAGGAGCTGGGATACACTGACACGTACCACATGATGTCCGCCAGCGTTGAGAACCCGCCAGATTGTCTGTGCTGGATGGATGCCTTTGCTGCGAAGTACGAAGGAAAGGGAAAGTTCGGCCGTGAAGAATGGGACGCTCTGCTCGGTCACTGCCAGGCGGTTTGCGACTGGCCGGCTGTGGCATTTGCCAAAGAACTGATTGAGGCTTACCCAGAAGCCAAGGTCATTATCACCACGAGAGATGTCGATTCATGGCACAAGTCGGTCATGAAGACGGTCAACTGGCGTGCCAATGACCCGGAGCTCAAAGCTGTCGCCAACTTCGACTGGGCCGCTGGTCTGTATTATCCCATGCTACGCAAGTTCTGGACCTACTTCTTCTACGACGACTTCGAGAACCGTGGCAAAGAAAGGTTCCACGACTACTACAAGGAGATTCGAGAACTTGTGCCGGCTGGCGAGTTGCTCGAGTACCGAGTTAGCTCGGGCTGGGAGCCTCTGTGCGACTTCCTTGGTGAACCCGTGCCGGAGACACCATTTCCCAAGTCCAACGACGCGGAGCATTTTGTGCAGAGATGCCGAACACAGAACCGCAAACAGATGATGAATGTCGTCTTCCGTGCTCTGGTTGTCGGAGTTCCTGTTGTGGCCACTGCTTTGTCGGCAACGTTCGCCTACACCCATTACCTGCCCAAGTTCGCACACAGTGCCATCTGGCCAACAAGCTCTTAGGGAGGCAGGGTATTTGTATATAGTTTGGAGTTTGCATCTACTCGTGGCGTTGTAACAAGCTTGATTTGTACTTCAATCTCGGGTCTACCAAACAGGTTGCTAATATTGATATGAGCGAGTGCATTTTTCTCTTCTTGAGAGATGAGGCCTTCGGTGAACTTTTCTTCTGGGACGGGCAGGAGGGTTGGAGTTTGTCAGTTGCCAGCCGGTTTGCAATATCGAGCTATAGACATGCCGACTGTGCATGAATTAAAAAAGACTTCTGGACAGATGGCTCGAGCGATCTTTGTTGCTTGCCTATTGCCAATGGGTCGTCCATGCAACAGTCGCATTGTCTTAATAGAATCAATCATTTGTGCTCGGCTCGATGTCTATCTCATTCTCAAACTTTGTCTCTACGCTCCATTGACTTCGACGTGCTCAAGTGGTGACCGAGGTCGAGGCACCCAAACAACAGGTAATCAGCGAGGCGCCATGCATTGAATTGAACCAAAAGGGTGCCAGACCAAACGGCACTAATTGGAGCCCCCGAAGTGTGGGTGATGCTGTTGACAATTTGCTACGAACGACAGCAATAAGGAGAGCGTTTCACAATCCAGGCCGATCACGGAACATAGCAGCGGCAGTCAATCGCGGTCACACCGAAAGAAAAAAAGTTACCAAACCCTGTTGTCGAGGACGCGTCATGTGAAGGCGATCCGGACAGGGGTCCCATAATGGCCTGGCGACAAAGCGACCCACGTCCGAGTGATGAGTTGGCCAGCCACGTTCCCTGGTGAAAACCCGGGATCGAGTATGCCCATACTCTTGTTACGACTACCATCAATAATGCCTTACGTCCTTGACAATGGTCCCTGACGCGGCACAGACTCCGTTCAGGAGTGGCTCTGACGATTCCGATTTTTTGCCAGCAGCTGGCTGACCCATCGAGCAAGACTCACAAGGCTATCTACTACCGATGTCCATTCTTCTGTTTCAGGTGCAGATAACCTTTTGAAACACGATCGAGGAACATCTCTTTCCCTTGACAGAATCTACGTTGTAAACCCTCGGCTTCGACGGGTGGCATATCCCCCCGGGTCCGCGCTTGGCCCTTGGTGGTCGATTAGCCGTTGAACATCTAATTATCCTACTCGTCTTGAATATCGTGCCCTATTCGATACACCTTGTTGGCCGTCGAGATTGATGCTGGGCCAGGCTGGAACTGGGATCCAACAACCGGGAGCGATGCCATGAGGACGTCTCTGCATCTAGTTGTATACTGTTGGCTGATATGCCTATTTTCTTGGAGGACAGTCGCCGACAATAAGTCACAACCCATCTCCATCTTTCGCTCGGTAAGCCGACCTGCATCATAAGTATGTCGACGGACAAGAGTCCATTAACGAAAGGCCAAACATACAGAGACCCGATTTACAGGCACCCATCCTGACAGTCTTGACGAGTGTTCCGGAGAAAGTGGCGCCGGGTTACTACTTTGTTGCCCCTTATCAACAAGCCCAGGAGACCATTCACATATACGACAATGAAGCGGTAAGTGCGTCGGAGCCTCGGCGGTTCTTTGAGTCATCTTGACAAGTCACGCAAACTGACATTTTGTCTTATAGAACTTGATCTATTCAGGCTTCGGCAGTGCCGGGCCCGGAATCATCCATGCGCCTCAGACATGCATGTACCAAGGCGAAGTTCATCTTTGTTTCTACCAAGGCACGCAAATGGTGGGCTGGGGTCACGGCCACGGGGTGATTATGGACAAACACTACCGGGTAGTCAAGTCGGTCGAACCGGCCAGCTACCAAGCGTCGTCGGACATGCACGAGTTTCGACTCATAGATGACGGCAGAAGTGCCTTAATGACCCAGTACCTGCGCAGCGTCTACGACCTGTGCCCGTGGAACCTATGCGACGGGCTCGGTTACATCCAGCAAGGGGCGTTCCAGGAGATTGACGTTGAGACGGGCGAGCTGCTGTTCGAATGGCAGAGTCTGGACCACGTCGACCCGAACGAAAGCTACGTCGGCCCCGGCACCACCGAGATCAGCGGCAGTGGCCAGCAACCCGACAGCCCTTGGGACTACTTCCATATCAACTCAATCGACAAGAACGAACAGGGTGACTACCTGATTTCCGCCCGACACGTTTCGGCCGTCTATAAGATCTCCGGAGTCGACGGACACGTCATGTGGCGACTGAACGGTGCCAAGTCGGACTACTACTTGGACGGGTTTTCTTTCTCGTTCCAGCACGACGCCCGCTTCGTGTCGGACAACGTGACACATACGGTTATATCGCTCTTCGACAACGGCTCCAATGGGTTCAATCAGACCCAGCCGCATTCGACAGGCCAGATCATCAGCCTCGACCACCGGACGAAAGTCGCAACATGTTTATTGAAGCTCGACCCGCCGCCGGTTGTCGAGGGAAAAGTAGGAGGAGGACACATCTCCAAGTCGCAGGGAAACATGCAACGGCTGCCGAACGGCAACTTTTTGCTCGGGTGGGGCAACGATGCCTTTTGGACCGAGTACGCCGCGACGGATGACCACGAGGTGGTCTTCTACGGCACGTTGGGCTGGACCAACCTCATGAACTACCGTGTTCACAAGTTCGACAATTGGGTCGGTCGTCCGCTGACCAAGCCGGCGTTGTGGACGTATTCGAAACATGGCGACAATGCAACAACAGAAAAAATGACGCTCTATGTCTCGTGGAACGGAGCCACCGAGGTCAAAGCCTGGCGGTTCTTTGGATCTGACGACGACAAGATGGATCGCGACTTGAAACATGGTCGCATCTGGGCAATGCTAAGCACCGACCCGGTGCCCAAATCCGGGTTTGAAACGGTCTACTTTTATCCTCAAATGTACCGCTTCACTTACGCGGAAGCGCTCGACAAGGACGGAAATGTGCTGGGCACATCGGCCGTGGCAAAAACATATGTCCCCAATCACCAAATGCAAGAGCATTGCGACGACCTGGCCTGTCGCTTCATGCCGACCCAGGAAGAGCGCGAACAATATGCTGCTCAGCAGCGGGAGAAAGAAGAACAGGAGAAGTTGAACCGCCAGGAGCGGACGCGGCTGCGGGCCCGGGTCAAGAAAAGCGTCGAACTCTACGCCGGCACTTTTGGTCTGTTGGCCTTTTTCACTGTCTTGCTTGTTCTGTTGGTTACGAGGAACTTTGTGTCGCGACCACTTTATTTCGTGGTTCATCGCGTTGGCTCGTTGGCGCGCAAGATAATTGATAGACGGGACGATGGCATTGGCTTGAGAGGGAACAGCCTGCCCAGATATAAGGCTCTATCGCGGGATGATCACGAGGCTGATCATGAGCATGGTAATGACTGAACTGATTAAAACAAAAGCGAAAACTCAACTTGGACGAACTACTAGTGCCCAAGGGTTCTCTACGGCGCGAACACCCAGTGGAAGGATCCGGTGTGATTGTCGCTGAACACTAATGTATGTTTGTGTTGGTAGTATGTGGATGTATGCCTTGGTTGGCCAACCAACGTTATGATAGTGAATCACGGATAGATATTAGATACCTACCTATGTACAGTCTTTGTTTGTATCGACCGTCTGGGATGAACGACGCCTCGACTAGTAGCTGAGACATAATGACCCCAGACTCGACTCTTCCTGATTTGATATTGGTTATTTGAAAGAAAAAAGCCCATCAACATCAAGAGGGTTTCGAGGATCAGCTGGATCTTACAATAACAGCGAAGACTGCAAGATTAGATTGCAAGAGACCCTCGAGAAAGGGGAAGAAACAGAATAAAGGAGGCACAGAAGCTGAGTGTGCTACCGAGCGAGCGAGCGAGCGAGCGAACGACTATGGTCTGTATCTCAACGGTCCGATGTCGAGAGACGCACCCAGTTTCTGAAGGTGACTCCTGAGCAGTCTGAGCTTAGCCAGCCTCGCCGCAGGGTACTAGTACGCGTAAACCAGCGGGGCACGGGCGGGCGTCGCACCACCAGCCTCGACGTACTGTAATGCACATCCTGAGAACGCCATGATGAGCACCACCCACTGCATGCTTGGAAAATCTCGCAGCCCTTGAGAATCAAACCACGATATCTTGACGATACCAGAAAACGACGGCCGAGCCCTAGAGGGCGAGGACGGAAAACAAAACCCCCTTTTAGTCGGTCGCTCGGTCCGTATGTTTTTGTCCCTGTTGTCGTCCTCGACGCCTGATTGGGAACTGAAAACTGAAGTGCAGTGCGCGGAAGATCCCATCTCTGCATAAAAAAGTAACAAACCCAAAGGGGATACACGAGAACGACAGACGTCGCCAAGAGTGCCATTGGAAGAGAGACGTGTTGGAGAAATTTGTACAATAGTGTATACTACTGATGGTAGTGCACAGTAGTATATTGGACAGTAACCATGTTAGCGGTAGATGCAGCGATGCAGCGATGGTTGACAGAACCTTCAAGTTCCCCTGTTCTGCCTCGTGTTTGTGATTGTGATCGATCCTCCCCTTTGTGTCTGCTTGGTTTTCTTTTTCTCCTGACAGACAGATGAACCGTCAAGTTGGGCAAAGTGAATGATAATAAAAAATCCCTACAGGGCCCCAGTAGTGACAGGTCCGTGATCAAATGTCAAAGCTGTCAGAACTTCAATCGTTCAGGGACCCGGCCGGAGACGGACTCCGCACATGCCAGTCAGTGCCCAACAAACCAATTCAGTTTTCGCTTCGTACCTTGGTCGACTATAACTCGTGACGCGGCGATCCACGCATTGCAGCACAAGCAAAAAGACGTTGCGTGGCTGATTCGCCACTCGTATCGTTGGTGTCTGTCCCGGGCCACTTGGGCCCCCCTGTCGATAACCCCCCGACACTCGGGGCAAGTAGTGGGCGCCACATCCCTCATGACCACCGATTGTCGAATGTGCCGCGCGCGCTGCCAGTGCTGCTGGCAATACTATTATGGCTGTGTTGTAATGAATCTTCTTTCTATATTCTTTTCTGGACTACATTGTCCAACAAAAAAAGATAATCACGAGTTCCGATATCTAGACTCTCGACGAGAAACCGGGGCGTAACAGTAAAGATATCAACAGACATCTTTGCTGTCTTCAATCACACGTATGAGCGCTTGACTGCTGCTCGTAACTATTGGAGTACCGCGGATTCTGAGATACCTGATCAACAATTGATTCAGGTATCGACGATTCCCACCAGCCCCTTCAAGTTTCTTCTCTAGAGGCCACATACAGTATCTGCGCAAGCAACAGAGTTTCCCGCAGATAACAGTGTCACCTACCTTTTCTGCCGGCTTGCGGCAACACCATTACCAACAATGGCGCAAGACGTCGAGTCAAGGAATAGACCGAGCGGGCCACCGTCGTGGGCATCGATCCCTAACAAATTCCAGCTCTTCGTCATTTGCAGTGTCCGAATCGCAGACTTCTTCCAGCAAGCGGCCATCCAGGCATACATGTTTTACCAGCTCAAGTCATTCTCGCCGTCTGCTCCGGACAGCCAGATTTCCTTCGAGGCCGGCGTGTTGCAGGGAGTGTTCACGGCGGCGCAAGTGTTCACGGGCATACTGTGGGGCAGGGTGGCCGACTCACCGAAGTTTGGGAGAAAGAGTGTTCTCCTGATCGGGCTGACGGGACAAGGACTGAGTTGCGTGGGCGTGGCGTTCTCTGGAAGTTTCACGACCGCCGCCGTGTGGAGGTGTTTAGGAGGCGCGGTCAATGCGACGGTCGGAGGGGCGCGAACCTCGTTGGCAGAATGCACCGAGAAGAGATACCACCCGAAAACGTTTCTACTGTTGCCCTTGGCTTGGAACATTGCCAACATCTTCGGTCCGCTGGTCGGCGGGCTCCTGTCCGACCCCGTGGCCAACTACCCGGGGCTATTTGGGCCGAACTCGACCTTCGGGGGCGCGGAGGGCGTCTCCTGGCTCAAGAAGTTCCCCTACGCAGCTCCGAATCTGTTCTGTGCATTCGTCCTTTTCGCCGATGCGGGCCTTGTCTGGCTGGGACTGCGCGAGACCCTGATCACCAAGAAAGACCAGCGCGACCCCGGACTCGACCTCGCCGAAACCATTCGCATTCGCCTCCGCAATCTCCTTTTCAAGCGCTTCGGATATACCCAGCTCAACCAAAGCGATGCCGTAGGAGGAATTGGCGACGATGACGACGACGAGGGAACTATGGCCTCCGGGGTGCAGCTCACGGATCTGCCTGTGAAAAAGGAAGTGGACACCATGGTGATGACGGAGCAATCAGCCAAGGGCACCGCCAGTATGAGCGACATGTCGACGCCTCCAGAGGCGCCCAAAACCTCACCACCGTTCTACCACGCCCTCACACGCAATGTGCTCCTGGTGCTGGCGACGGTGGCGATCATGGATTTCCAGATGGGCGGCTTCACGTCTTTGTGGACCATGTTCCTGTCGTCGGCGCGGCGGACAGACGAGGAGAAGACCACCGTGCATCTCCCGTTCGTCTTCACCGGTGGCCTACAGTTTTCTCTGCCTACGATCGGGCTGGCCATGTCCATTCTGGGCTTCATCGGCATCTTCCTGCAGCTCACATTGTATCCGTCCGTCAACGCGCGGTTCGGCCTGCTCCGTTCGTTCCGCTGGTCGCTGTTCGCGTTCCCTGTCGCCTATGCGCTCGCGCCGTATCTGTCGCTGCTGATTTCGCATTCGTTCCTGCTATGGGTGGGCATTGTTGTTGTCGTTTTGTTGCAGGTCTCCGCCCGCACCTTCGCCATTCCGGGCTCGGTCTTGCTAATCAACAACTCGAGCCCCAGTCCCGCCATGCTTGGGACTATCCACGGTATGGGCGCCGCCACGTCCAGTGCCTTCCGGACCATCGGCCCTATCGTCGCCGGTCATTGGTATGCGCAGGGCTTGCAAATGGGGGTCATTGGCTGGGCGTGGTGGTGCTTGAGTTTGGTTTCTCTGCTTGGGGTGGTGCCGAGCTACTGGGCCCGAGATGGGCGGTAGAGTAGAGGATCTCGCAATTGCGTGGAGGTAAACGCGGTGCGCGCAACCATTCTAGCTTGAATTGTGTTAATAAAATACTAGATAAACAAGTCATGAGCCGGACTGTAGTAGCATTTCCGGACCGACATGCTGTGCTGCAAGGTGTATGCAATGTTGTACGTCCACACGTATCTCAGGCTCTTGTCGTGTTGTGGTTGACCACAACCGAACCCAATAATAGATGTCTGCGGCCCCCACGCTCCGAACCACATCCGAGTCTGGGATGTACAACTTGAAGGTCACTGTAACGGCATCATCGGTTCTTTGAAGTGTTGAGGTATAGAAGACAATCGATATGTTGTTTCACCCGTTTGACCAGCGAGCTTCCTTTGCTTGGCGCATGTTGCAGCTTGGGCTCCGACCTCAAGTTCAGCCTCTTGACAACTGCTTCAGCCTGCTACGCCCACTGTGGTCGACACATCCCTTGTCTCAACCACGCCCACGCGAAACGCCACCACCACGGCACGACCGTACCTTTCCCCTTCGTCACAATGCTGCGACGTCGAGGACTTCTGCATGTTGGTCTCAACAACCTCAAGGGCAGGTCCAGGGGAAGAACGGGCATATTGCAGCTCTAATCATGGTGGGTGTTGAAGGAGTATATTAATGTGACCGGCTCCTCATCAAGTTCCATACTTCATCTCCATCAGAGTCCGCAACCATACGTTCTTTTGTCTAAGCATAGCAGCTGGTTCTGTTTGTTCTTGTCGATCATTGTGTTTTTGTCCTTGGACCCTTGCATCAGTTCAATCGTTCATTGCAGTTGATCAGTTTTCCCCATTTCAACTATCGTTGCAAAAAAGTACCATCATAATGTACTTCTCACCTGCCGCAATCCTTCTCGGCCTTGTGGCCCTTTCCGCGGCCACTCCCACTGGTGTCAAGCCCGTGGTCAAGAGAGCCCTCACTGCTCGACCATACAGCCAATTCCAGGTGTCCGATGGTGTGGCGGGCAATGCGCTGGCCGAAGTCAACGCCCAGTTCCCCGTAAGTACCATAAAATCCCCCCGAACGAAGCTTGCCTTTTAAAACGTCCGCCCCCACCGTGAGCATGAAAGCTGACAGAAGCCTTCATTAGATCGACACTTCTGATCTAGCCTCCGTTTCTGCGGCGGATCTCAAAATCATCAACGATGCTCGTGAAACAGCGGAGGACGCCGAAACGGGTACGGGCGGGTTCAACGACCAAATCGCCGCTGCTTCAGGCGCCGATGCCACGGCGCTACAGAACGGAAAGATCAAGAACAAGGTGCTTAAGCTGCAGCTGGAAGTTCTGGCGTTGCAGATCAAGGCTGCGCAAGGAGACGGCGATCAGGATAAGATCGACGAGGAAATCACCAAATTGAACAAGAACGTGGCTCTGGATAAGAAGGCTGCGGGCCAGGACAGTGTTGGTGTGAGTAACACTTTTACTGGCTAGGAGGATTCGGTTGTACAACTACACAGAATTTGATACAGTACTCTATCGTTTCAGCCTTCCAAACACCCAGATCATGGGCCTTCAACCATACACCAATGTGTCGAGAGCAGTTAGGGTAGGTAGTTATACTTGACCTAGCTTCATCCAGACTTGTTGAGCTATTAACACCGTGACCTAAGGTACTGTGCGGACCCGCCGACACAAATCAGATTAGTTTCTACACCAGAATCAAAGCGCGCCTCGGTGCAGCATGATCAATAGGGACGGTAAGTGGCTGGCTTCAGTATCAATAGTACCAAGTCTATAATAAGTTGGGTAGTAGTAGTATTCAAGTTAATTCCGGCTTTTCCTTGTTCCTCTGCGGTGTTCACGTGCCGTAGGAGGAACTTGGAAGGAGGAAGGCACGACGCGCCAGTGCTTGCTCCAGACGCGTGTTGCTGATTGATTTCAATTTAAGCGCGTCTTCATCGCGTTTCAGCCTTACGTGCCTGGAAAACTGCAAACTGCAGGTGCTGGCACCGCACTGCGTACAGTAACAGTAGTACCAACTACACCTCAGCGCCCTCACACGGTTCGCCTGATTCCACTACAGTCCCTTCAGGACCTGCCGACCCGATCCGAACCTGCGCATGTCCATCAAACAAACCTCTGAATGTCCGGCCGACTCGACGACTCCCCTGCTTTATCTTCCTCCCTGTGCTACATTGGCCTAGTAGCATCTCATCAAGATGCAGGCGGCTTCCGTTCCACGAGTCCCCGAATTGCCCAATGAAGTCTTGCAGAACATCATTGACCGCCTTCAACTGCAGGCGCTCAAGAATGTCCGTCTGACCTGCAAGTTGTTTGCCACAATGGCAGAGCCCCGACTCTTCCAGCTCATGGTCTTGGTTCCATACATCGACTGTCTCGAAGGGTTTGCGTCTTTGATGCGCAACAACCCTAGTATCGCACGACACGTCAAAACTATCCATTATCAAGCCGACTGGAGATACCACCCTGCAGAGGCAGGGTTTTCAGATGCAGCAACTCAAGCCCTCACGAAGAGCCTAGTTCGCAATGGCCTTCGAGGCCTCCATGACGAGGTCATGGAGGTAATGTTGCTGTCAGAGTGTCTTAGAACGCTTCCCTCGTTACGCGAGGCCATAATACAAGAAGAGACAACCGTCAATGACAGACTCGGGTATCCATTTTGGCCTCCCTCCTACTTTGTCCGACTGTTCGGAGAGAAGGATCATTATGAACTCGATCGACTCCATCAGCGAAGTTATGATGACTGCATTGTCGCATCTTCGAAACCATTTCTAATGTCATGCCATGCGGCCGGGCTAAAATTGCCTGAACTTTACGTGACCGATCTTAACGCGCGAACCTTCCTTGAGCCCTGGGACAAGGTGGGTCCTCTCAAGGAACTTTCCATGTATCGCGCCGTCTTTGCGCAACTCAGAGTCCTGAGGCTGTTTCTTCAACCGAGACCGGCTCGACTGCTCAGCAGCAGCAGCCGTCGTAACTTGGCAAGTCTGCTGACTGCCGCATCAAAGCTCGAGACCCTGTTCTTGAGCCTCACAGACAACCAAGTCTCCAGATTACGCAACAATTCTCCTGAGGATTCTTGGCTGTCTTGCATACTAAGGGACGGAGACGGTAAGATTACTGAAAGTGCCATTTGGCCTCATTTGAAATCCCTGGATCTGTCCTGCCTACTCTGTCAGGAAGCCGAGTTGGTTGCCCTGGCCCGTAATCACAGGCATACCTTGAAGCATCTGGGGCTCGCAGACATAACACTGGTTCCCAGTGTTGGCCAGGTTTCTCCTCCCTGCTGGGTGCGTACTCTGAAAGAGATCAGGCCTTTCAAGATCGACGTTGCAATGTGCTCGTACTTTTCGAACGGGGAGTCCCAAGTGTGGAACGTCGCAGCCACTGTAGTGCCTATAGCGAATTCTCTTAAGGATTCGCTCATGAGGTGGTTGCGCGGAATAGGAAGTGACGAGTGTCCAGTTGAGAGGTGCGCCGTTGCCGTTGGCCACCAAATATCCGAGAAGGGACCAGCCAAGCAGGACCTTTTCAAGGGCGATAGCACCTTCACAGTCCAGATGATCGACGACGAGGATAGTGAGCTTAACGGCTCTGATGATTTCAGTGACGAAATCTACGGTACTTTCAACGACTGGGATGATGAGGAGTTTGATTCAGACGGCTACCCATACTATGACGGCTATGCAGACGAGGTGCTGAGGATGTTCGACGCAATTCATTCTCATCTTTGAGCACAACTTCCTAAGTGCTGGCGGAACCTTGTTGGTTCGTTCTCCAATCGGAGAGTCGGCCGAAATCGGCGAATTGAGTCTCAGCCATCTTCCCTCTATCGAAACGACATGTGTCTCTACGCAGTTTTCGGGGTTCGAATTCTCAAAGCGACACAATGCAGAATAACACGGACGACGTCAACTATGTGCGAGACGCCGTGTGAGTTATTTGGAAGAGACCGCATTGCAGTGTCCGACTCCGGGAAGCATCAGTGGCGACGTTACTGTGAAATCATCAGGCAGGGCTCTCTCTGAAACTATCGAGCGCAATTTCAATGCCGACGAGGACCGCTCACGTAGCCGTGCAATCGTGGCATAGCACTTGTCGCTCTTTCCATGCTGAGTACTGCTGGAGGACAGGGTTTCGCATGATGGGATATGATACCTAGGACTGTCGCCGTTATGTCCTACTCCTGCCAAAGACAGACCACCGCGGTCCTTCGGATCTTGCTATGCTGCACAAAAAGTCCACGGTTACCATCATCGTCCAAGCCATGACAATGTTGTTTGGCCTGACAGAGAACGAGAACCAGGGCTGGAACGCACGGCACAGAGAGTGCATCACTTTGATCCACGTTGGGAGCAGGAGGTTGGGCGGTTCTTTCATTTCTTTTTTACCAGTCACGCACAATCGGACGGACCCCTGCCGCGAGCGGGAATTTTCTACGGGCTAGTTAGGCTGTATGGGCTGATGTTACTGACGTGGGCATGATTGAGTTATATTATTGGCGAAAGAGGGCAATTCTGCGATGCGGCCATCAATCAGTCCTAGTGGCAGAACAAAGGTAACGCAAAAGCCATGGTCAGCATGAAATCATGACGGATAGTAATGGCAAGAATGGAAAGCAGCCCTTCTCGGGGATTCATCATTAGTCTCTTCGTATCTCTAGCGCACTGAATAGCAGCAAAAAGAGGCACACTTTTGGACCCCATTCGAGTTCAGGGTTGTCATTGAAATCGCCCTATTAGTGGCACGTCCATGCCGTCTCCTCTCAAATTGTGATGAACGAGACTTTTGTGGAGACGTTAACCATCCAATTGCACTCCGAGTGCAATACACTGCTTCTGAGCCCCCAGGACGCCAGGCTTGATCCGTGATGGAATGAAAAAGGAAAAAGAGGAAGAAAATCTGTATTCTGTCCACTCGACGGCTCGTCGGCCGAAGTTCATGAAAACCACTTTTTTCAAAACGCTCAAGACGTGACTTGCTGAAGGGGGTATCATCTCGTATCATGTCACTTGCTTGGAAGAAGGGGAAGAAAGGGGAAAGGGGGACATCGCTTCGTTTCATGCATGGGCAAAGGTGCGCGCAACTGCCGATGAGCTTCAGGCCAGATGTTGTTCGCTCAATGCGCGAAGGGAGGTGGGTAGACAAAGCCCGGTTGATGAGGGTGATGGTCCTGCTCGAAGTGGCCGAAGAAGTTGTCGTCGACCTCGACCTCGTAGTCCATGGTCACTGGCGGGGTGTAGTGGCCGAAACCATCGTCGTGACCGTCGGTGGGACCCAGGTCTGCGTCAGCATCAGCATCAGCGTCGTTATCATCGTCTTCGGCGCCGGGTCTGGATAGTTCGGCACGGGAGTTTTGGGTGGAAGTCGGATATTCGCCCGAAGGGTAATGGTAAGAAGTGCCGTAGTGGAAGATCTGGCTGCCGCACATGGTCATGGATCCAGATAGAAGAGAGTCATAGGCCCCGCCTTCATCATCCATCTCATTTCCAGAGTTGTCAGCCTCTGCTTCTGCTTGCGTTTCTGACTGTCTGGGAAATGACAGGTCAGCACCAGGATTGTGTGCTAGATTTGTGGCTGCAACTCCTGTGAGAGAGGCGATGGTGGACGACTTCTTGACCCCCTTGTCTGAGCGAGGCTTGCGCTTCTTAAACGCCTGACCTGGTTCGGGGCTGCCATTGAGATCACCGGAATCTTCCTGTCCCGCCTTGCGTTTCTTCTCGCGGATGGCCCGCTTGGACTCCAAGCCAAGATGTGCAGTCCGGACATGCTCCTCCAGACTCGCCTTGCTAGTGAAGCTGCGGTTGCAGCCATAGACGGCAACATCTGGTTGATCGGCAAGTTCTTCCGGCAGAGTGATTTCTGTCTTGCCGCAGACGAAGTCGCGGTGGTTTTCATGGACAGTTTTGATGTGAACATTCAGATTACCCTTCTTGGTGAACTTTTTGCCACAACCAGGGTGGGTGCAGGGGAACATGGTTGCGTTTTCTGCGGCTTTGTTGGGAGGCAGGATCCCATGCTGGATTTCCAGGTGTCGAGTCAACTCCTTGTTGGTGATGAACGAAGTAGGACAGAGTGAACAGGTTGGTGGATGGACTTCAATAATATGAGCACGGAGTTCTCCATAGGTCGCAAAGGAGGCCACAATCAAGTTCTCTGGATTGATACCATCAGTTGGATTGGCGAGTACCGCTGCATTTTGAGCCATGCATTCTGAACAGGAGAACCGCGTGGGGTCATGCTTGGCTCTTTGATGAGTGCGTAGATTCTCGGCGGTGTCGTAGGCTTTTGTACACGGAAGGCCGGTGACAGAGTCGAGTTCTGTGCATTGAAAGGGTTTGATGTTCTGGTGAGCAGACAAGATGTGTCGATCTAGGGTTTCTTGCTTGCGGAAGGTCTGGTTGCAGCCAGGATGGCCACGGCATCTGAATCTTTCTTTGGCCTCATGTGCCTGGATATGACGCCGCAGTCTGGTTCCAGTAGCAAAACTTGCATCACAGCCTGCCCATGTGCATTTGTAGTCCCTGACATCGCTGTGAGCGCTCTTGACGTGATGATTCAAATGGCTCGCTCGTAGAAAGGCTTTGGTGCATGGAGGGTGCGGGCAGACGAAAGGTCGGGTATTGGTGTGAGATCGGATGTGCTCGGCGAGTCTGGCCTGCCGGTTGAACGCCTTGTCGCAGTTTTCCCAGGGACATTTCAGCGTCTTCTGGCGACAGGGTGGAAGGGCGGTGGATGGGGGAGTAGAGGCCGGAGTGTCGTCGATCTGAGTCGGTGGTTCGTCCTCAGAGCTGACCATCTCGTAATCATCCAGGTCGAACTCATCGTCAGACTCTGTCTTCGCCATGACAGTGGACTTGCCGCAACGTTGTTGCCGGCTGTGATCAGGGATTCGAGCACCGCGAAAAGAAAAATCACGGCCTGACCTGGTCTACAGTGATGGGCTTGAAGACTGAGCCAATGGCGGAGTTGTGGGGAGATATTTTTCGGATGGCAGCTGGTTGGTCCGCGCCAGGAAAAGTCGCAGTCCAGTTGTTGACGGTCTCTCACTTCAGTTGCGCGCCGCAGGCACTAAAAGCAATCATGTGATCAGATCTGCGTTTGTCTATCCGAGTCACGTGGTGAGGCGGACCCTTGTCACTATTTTTTGTTTCTATACTGCAGTGGTACTGCACTCCAGTGTCCCGATCTCAAGGCTCTACAAATTTGTTCCCGGAACCTAAAGTACCATTGTCTTCACTCATCAAAACCGTCGCAGTGTGGTGTCCAGCGCGCTGACAGTGCAAGATGTCTGACTACGGTGATGAGGGCGGGTGAGTACTTTTGAATCCTCTTTTTCGCGCTCCGTTTGTCTGCGACCGACTAACACCTTTGTTTGCCTACAGCTACGGCCAAGACGAAGCCGATGAGACCTTCTACGAGCCAGAAGAAACCGTCGAGGAGTTTGCCCCCGACGTCGAAATCGATGAGGCCGCGATCGAGGACCGAGCAAATGCGGAGGATGGGGACGAGCGAACTGTGGTGACCGGTGATCCGAACCAGAACGTTCAGAAGCCGTCAAGCGATGCGGACAAGAAAATCCCGGACGACAAGAGGAGCACTACTCCATACATGACAAAATACGAGCGAGCGCGAGTTTTGGGTACGCGAGCTCTGCAGATCAGGTAACCACTGCCGCCAGCCTTTCTGTACACGATCTAAACTGACTCGATGTAGCATGAATGCGCCCGTTCTGGTCGATCTGGAAGGCGAGACCGACCCCTTACAGATTGCGATCAAGGAGTTGAACCAGAAGAAGATTCCACTTGTGGTCCGCCGCTATCTACCTGATGGATGGTAAGGAAGGCCTAACAAGAATATCGATCCAAGTGCTGATATCTTGGCTAGGTACGAAGACTGGACTTGCGAAGAATTGCTGTGATCCTACGCACTAGTCCACATGCCTCACCGATTGCATCGCTGCGCTATGGCGACCTCTGTACGATTAGATCACTCTACCTGTCGAATTGATTTGCCGACCGTGTTCTTGCCCCGAACCAACGCTGCCTCATAACTTTCAGAAAGTTGAGCATCCGATCTGCGCAGCCAGGACTGGAGCACCATCGAAGTGTACGACCATCTCTGTTCCAACCGCTTTCTCCGTCCAGGAGCCTAGGGCCAAACTAGAAAGCAAGACGCGACTGGAGCGTCAAGTTCAAATGCGGCCGGCTGCCACCGCCTGAGATTGACCTGACGGATGCCATGTGTTTGTGCAAGTTTCTTGTCCAACTACCAGAGGAAGCCAGCTGAATGGCCCCCAATTATGATTCCAGAGGAAGGCTTTGGATTCTACAAGTTTCGAGCTCGTTGTTCCGCACATGCTTCCGACCAGCAACGAAAGCGCGACCAAAACTCTTGCGCCATAGCACTCCCACGGCATTCGGTCGCAACGAATTACGATTCATGTATGTCATTTCCAACAAGCCAACTGACCAGTGGCAAGACCTCTGTCTGAAATCCCTTCACCGTGTATCTGGCCGTTCCTGGTTGCATGCGACATTGTACACCATAACTGCCGCCTCAGGCGATGAATTTGCCCTCCATCGCTTAGCGTATGGCAATGCGCGGTTCCTCAATTCACCCTCGGGCAAATTCTGTCCGGTGAACCTGCTCAAAGCTTCCTGCAAGACGGGTGGTTAATCCCCGTTCAGTCGACCAAGCCCATTTACAACCCCGCAGCTTCCGAAGCATCTACTTGGCCCTTGAGCCTATTAGGAACGCAGCTTAGGAACGCAGCTTGCCATGAGTGAGGCACCTGGGGAAGAGTTAGGTCGACATCAGACCAGGATACGTGAGGAATGTCTCGGTGAAAGCAATAGGGGACCCTGGCGGGAGATGGAGATGATGAACGGAATAGACTACGGGGTAGAAAAATGATGCATTCCGAGAGATCAAACATGCAGAAAGACGATAGGATTCCGTAAGAAGGTTCTTGCCGCTATGCAATCGTTTGATTTGATTCTGGAGTAGTGGTATCGGAGAACATTCATCTAGACTCCTTTCCCCTTTAACTACGGTAAAAAACAACCAGCTTGGACTGCGGTAGACCTGCAGTATTGTCTGTCTTGTCCAAGTGAGTCCATGTCCAGGAACTCCTCGCCCGAATCTCACCGCTTCAACCACTTCAAGTTTCTGCGACCTGCTTGCTAGTTTTCTAGCGACAGATGCTGTTGTCATCCAAGTAAGCTAGATAGATTAGTAATGAGTATCGCTGCCGAGTGCTGGACAAAACAAGATGTCCATCACCATCCGGACCGTAGTGATGGCAGTGGGGTCAGCTTCAGTCCGCAATCGGCTCGTCAGGTATCAAGCTTTGCTATCTTCCTCCGCGGTCCTGAGTCCGTTGAACCATACCAATGATGTCTCGCCGCATTGAGCTCAGAAGGAAGGAGACCTTGTAGGCAGTTGATCTCCCAACGCCTAGTGAATAATGTTGGCGGCTGCAAGGGAAAACGTCCTCTTCAGATCAGCTGGTTTCGTGGACATGGCCGGTGCACTCATGTGGGGCGCACAATCAGCGTCCTTTCGAGGCCGAGGTAAGTGGAAAGCATGGGCTGTTCGACATTGTTTCTTCATCCGCACATGTTCCACTGCGGGAAGAAGGTCATTCCTCCTGCCGAAGAAAAAACAAGACCGGACCAGACCGGACCCAACAGTTGCTCATCAGCATGCCGTCCGTCCGTCTGGCTATCTTCTGTTTGTGGCTCAGTCAAACCGAACTCGAGGAGATCGCTTCACAATCCAGGCCTTCAGTTTCTCATCCCAGACGGCCCCTTCGACTTCAGGCATGCGGTGTGGTTTCTGCTCCCGGCGCGGCACCTTGATCTCAGTGTATTTCTCATGATCGTCTCGTGGAAGTCTTTCAGCCTCTGGTTTGGGTGAGCGCTTGTAGACCCGAACTTCCTCTGCTGGGCGATGAACTTTCTTCACTCGAACCTTTTCCCAACGGACCGGCTCAAGCTGCACATCTTCCTGCTTGGCTTTCTTCTTCTCCGCGTCTGCGGCGGGCTTCTCTTGTTTCACATGGATCGGCTCGCGGATTATAATGTTAGGAGAAGGGTGCGCTGGTTGATCTGCTGCTTTGCATCTCTTGTGGGCTCCAACCGTGATGGATATGCCACCTGGTGTTCCGCTATTCCCCACGATAATGTGCTTTGTCCCGTCTTCAAGTCCGCCAATGTCAATTCTGATGCCGTTGTTGTCAACTGGCTTCTTGTCGTCGGCACATCGAGGATGATGATGGTTATGTTTGTCCTTGGCTCTCAAATGCTCAACTTGAACCACTTCCACGTGACCCGCCTCAGCTAGGTTCTCATACACTTCGACAAACTCCTCACGAGGCTTGGACTTTGGTGGAGTGTACTTCTTGCGCACGAGATAGAGCTTTCCGGAGGGTGAGCGTTCAACATGCATCTTGTCATGGCGTGGAGGCGATGCACGAATTTTGATAAGGGCAAAGATCATGACTGTGGGGGAAGGAGTAGAAATAGTAGTGGTAGGCAAGCAATCAAACGTGAACCCGAGGGCACAGTTAAAGAACAGCAAGGGCTCTGACTGTAGGAAGGATTTGTGCTGGGTAATAAGGCTTGTTGTCACCTGTTTGCAGAGTGAAGTGACAAGGTGAGGCTGAGTGAAGTGGATGAAGGAGTGATAAAGTCACCATTACAAAAGTGAAGGATATACTTGACCTCTGTTCCTGCACCGTTTGCCTGAGACATGACGATGGCTTCAATGATCTTTGTGAAGAAGAAGGAAGTGCTCATAGTCATTAGTACTATAAAGGGCACGAGGGAGGATGCAGCCATGCTTGGGCGAGAGTAAAGAAAGTGAATGCCGTGGGCTGTGTTTGCCTGCGAGGGGAACCCTAGTCATTCATCCAATGTCGATGACATTGTAGATGGGCATTGTGATGGTAGCATGGCACACCCAGATCGCTTTATCTTAGGTCCCGGGATGTATTGGTAGAAGCGCTCACCAGATAGCCTTGATCAGGTGGACAAACGAAAAGCCAGGCAGCCTCGAGAAGGTGGAGGGGGTGTGGCTCGCAGACTTTGGGACAAAGCCGCGAATGTATGGTGCATGCGTCGTTCTACAGCATTGAAAGAAGACATCATTGTATAGACGACCGCCAGCACCAAGAAAGATGGTTGTACTTGATCGCAGGAAGTAGAACAATGAGATGATGTTGACTCTGGGATGTGAAACGAGTTGAGAGGCCCACTAGTACTGATTAGGATGGTGCAACTTCAACTGGAATATTACATAGTATAATCCCACGGAGTGTCCACTGTCTGACGCTGTATTACCGGACATCCATAGTAGGACGCAAAATTTGCTTAGCGTCCGTGAAAAAAAGATTTTGTCAGTCAGCTGTATTACCACCTGGTCTGAAACGTCCGCGGTCCGCCCATCATAGGACTGTACCTACCTAGGTAGGTACCCACTAGGTAGGTAGTAGTAGGCAGGTAGTAGTGACACTACCAGGCATACTCATACTGCTACTATGCACACCTCAACATCGAGAGCCAATGCCAACTCTACAAGTAATAGCCTAAAAATCATAGGCAATCATCCTGCGCAGTGCATCCTGTTGCTTGAACTAGAAATCAGCGCCTACATACCTAGGCATTCAATCACCTGCAATTCGTGTCGGCGTCAACGTCAATGTTGATCAGAAGGACCTATTCCACACCGCACCAGCAACGATCTTGCACACATTCTCTTGGTCAAGTTGAGCTTAACACTTCGAGTTCCCTGTGCGACCACCACGTGTTTTGCTGAGGTGAAATCTCGCCAAGCTCATTTCGTAGGGCCGTATGTCAGCTTCCGCACCGCTTGCGCCCTTTCAAGGATGAGACGAGTCGTTCTCTGGATTGCTTGGTGCTAGTCCGTTGATGCCGCGAAAGCGAAGCAGCAGCCCCATCATACTATCGTCACTTGCATTGAGTGTGCAATCTGAAAAGGCAAAGGCTTGAGTAGGCAAGTATGGCTGGGCAGCACTGAGGCAGTGCGCCATATCCTGAAACTCGTTCACTGCTATTCAATCATAACTTTGACTTCGGCTGTTCGACAGGTTACTCATCAGACCGCATGGAGGGGAGAGCTAAGGACGGACCTGAGCAGTCTCCGACGACTCAGCAGCATGGGTCAGGATCCAGTTTGCAACGTCCTTTGCGAACTGCTCTCCGACTCCCTCCGGCTCCGCGTGGAGCTTGTGGTAGGCGTCCGGATACGAATGGAACACCTTGTCGCCGTTGGGAGCTTCGAGGACATCAAACAATCTTTGGGCAGCGGTAGGAGAGACGACACGATCGCTGGTGCCGTGCGCTACCCACACAGGACAAGGGACTCTCGTGGTCAAACCATCAACCTTGCGGCCGTGAGATAGCGCTGAAAGATCGCCTGCCCGCTGGAGTAGACCCTTGAGGCCTTCGAGTGTTCCTGTATCATGACATAGCGGGTCGTCGACCCACTCTTGTCGGACTTTGGCGGACCGTGACATGTACGTTGCGTGGAGTTTCTGCTTCATTTGTCTGTGCGGTAGAACCATGGCGGCCAGTTTCCCGGCAGAAACAAGTAGTGGTGAGGGCTGCTCGGATGGGTCGAGCTCGACGTAGGGTGCTTCGAGAAGGAGACCTCGTATGGGTGGCCGATTCGAGAATTTCGGCGATGTAGACAGCGTGTAACATAAAGCCTCGCCGCCGCCCATGCTGTGTCCCATCAGGAACAATGGTTTGCCGTGCGTCTCGGGTAGCGAGGCCACATGCAGCACGAAATCGTGTATGTCGAACAAAACGAGACTTGTTGGCCCTGTCAATCCGCGCTCATCTGGCTTGCGGACCGAGCGGCCCCAGCCTCGTTGGTCGAAGCCGTATACGGCGATATTGCATGGAGATGAGCTGAGAGTCGGGAAGAACTCGTAGTATGCTGAAGGTGTAGGATGTCAGTGGCACAATAGCCTTCTCTGGAGGTCCCATCCTTATGGACGCCCCTGGACGTACCGTTGATATGGTCAGAGAAGCCATGAAGAAAAATGAGTACGGCTGATATTTGTCCAGATGAAGGCTCCATGGAACGCGTGAGTCAGCACCTGCTATGAAAGGCGCGGCGGACCGCGAGGTAACCATCATGATAAAACGTCCAAGACAGTATCACTAGAGGGTAGCTGTAGTCTCACCTTCCACGTCTTCTTGTACAGCTTCGTGCCATCACTCGTGGTGAATTCCCCTTCCATGACGCGGAGATGAATCCTTCGCTCCAATATTTGGATATGAGAATGTAGAAATCAGGGGAGATATGATCCAAGAAGTAACCTCTTATGCTCTGTATCTCGGGTTCTTCGAAGAATAACACAAATTACATGGTCCCCGATCAGATGAGGGTCTGAAGCATGTGCTTATTTCATGCTCGTTGTTGCCGAGGCCTCATGGTATGTAAGATCAAATGACGTGTCATTGGTTGTCAGCTGGAAACATTATGGGGACGTCAATCAACAACAGCATCCTGATCCTCTTGGTTACCAGGGATCAACATGCTGCACAGCTCGCACTGATGAACGGAGCGATATTCCGCGCAACTGCGTCTATTCCGGCGGCTGGAATGGCTGCACTGTCCCAGGAGGGCTTTCGGGGAACTCCTATCCTGCCATGGTACACGAGGCTGCGAGGGGAAGAGTGGATGCAAAGCACCCCTGTGTTAGGTGAGAGCCATCAGCTCCATCGATCGGCCAGCCTTGCGGTACCGGACGTCAAGACAAGACCTCGCCGTTACGGACCGATCAAGGTATGGGCTCTCAGAAAAAGACAGTTCGTTCGGGCAAAGCTCCATAGCATTGCTCGCTCAGCGCGGTAAGTGTTTGGCACGGATATCATCCACAGCCAGAGCATATGATCACGCAAAAAAGAAAATCAATCCCAGCCTAACAAACCGGAAAAATCGCCAAAAAAAAAAAAACAAGCCTCGCTTCTGTCTTGACCAGAAACGAGACCCCCGAAAACCTGTCCTCCATGTTATAATTGGGCAACGAAGGGCAGGGGAGGCGCCTGGGCTGTGCTGGGGGGCGAGTCACGATGGGGCGAGGGGGACGAAGGGGCTGGGCCGGCCCTGGGCTTGGGTCACGTCACGACGAAAGGGGGGACGAAGTTCGAACAGGTTTTCAGTGGCTCCTTAAGCGATCCATGGAGAGTCTCGGCAACCAGGTCCTGGTCCTCCTGCCAACCCGCCCGGCCGCAGAAAATTTGCGAGGTCAAGACAAGCACTGCATGCGGTTTACGGCCGGTATGGTCGGCCCTCGAACCGGGCACGACCGGCAGTGGGGCAAATATTACTGGCAGGAAGGACCCGGAAGGAGACTCGGATCGAAGGACTACTATGATGTCGGAAACGGCGTGTTGACTCCGCCTCCTTGACCGTTAGGCCACGGAGGCTGAATCACCAAGAAGCCAGGCGACAGTAGTCCTTGAAGTTGGAAGGAATTCAGTCGACGAAATATATCAAGTGTTAAGCTACTCTATTGTTCTGTGGGTGGGGCCGGTGAGCAGGTGAACACACTGACCAGGCTGTGATGAAGCTGAAGTGAGAGGAAGGGAAGCACGAAAGTCGAGACGATAGGAGGGGCTCACGTGAGGTTCTACGTTACAGATTCCTAGGGTGGCTACAGATTCTATTATGGCGGGTGACGGTAAGGTATCCTATAATCAGCCCCCCTATACGGAAGGGCTATGCACAGTGCGTGTAAGGAACGCTATGCTATCATGGTCTTTGCAGGATCGGTCAATAGCATGCTACTTTACGTCACAGACAAGCAACAGAGCATCCACGGAACGGTACGCAAAAGAATCGTGTGAAATGAGGACGGGCATAACGGATATTGTGTGTGTCTGACCCCTATGATATTTGTGATATATCATCCCCAGGACAGAGTCATTCCTTCTCCACCCTCCAGAAGAAGACTTTCTTGTCGAAGCCTCCACTAACTAGGATCTCGTCCTTTTCACCAGCCTCCCAACCAGCATACAACGTCCGTACCTTTGTGCCGACCTCATGTGCCCGGAGAGTGGCCACGACTTTGCCGCTCTGGGTGTCCACGCCACGGATGACTCCATCGTCTGCATTGATGAATACTCCCTGGCCTCCTGGACGCCAAACAACCTGCGGTGTGGAGTATGGTGTCTGGGGTGCCATAGTGGAGACATGTAGCTTAATTGCTGAGTCTTCACGGTCCTGAAGAGCGAGAGCAGCACGAGCTTGCGAGGCTGGAGTCACCGTTTGGGAATCGGTCACTGCAGCGGTATTCGTGTTGGGATCGTACGTGGCGGTGGGGAACAGGAGACGCACAATGATCAGCTTCATATGTGGTAAGTGTGACGTTGCAACGGCCAAAAGTTGTGGATCAGTCGGACAGACAGCTAGACACGACGGGGTGAATGCGACCCATGCGTTGGAGTGCGGCGCCAGATTTTGTTTGCCGGTCTCTTGCACTGAGTACGTCGTTTCACTACCCCGAGAAGAGGCAGACTCCTGGGATGTAGGTGTGATGCGGTAGTAATATAGAAATGTGGAGTCTCGTCGTGAGACGACAAGATATAGGTCCGACGTGTCCGGGTGTCGGACGAGAACCATTGATTCCGGATTCGTCTGCATCGTGATAGTGCGTATTGGATCACGTAGAAGGCCCGGTATATATGGTTCATCATTGGTACGCGAGACGTGTGCATTGGGCTCGAAGTTTGTGGCCAACTCAAATTCCGGCGCGTAGATGTGGACCTTTTGATCCCACCCTGCTGTCGCCACGATCCATCTTCCTTGCTGAGTAAGTCCCGAAACGACATGGACGGCGTATTTCAAGTGATCGCGGCACTTGTCCAGGAGACGACCTTCGGAATCGTGCAGTGCAAGCTGCCCCGACATTGAGGTGGAGAAGACGTAGCCTCCAGGCAGTGTGCTGATGGAAAGCACTGGACTGGCATGAGCATCCGACACGGTGCCCAAGAGAGCAAAAGGCGCATTCGTTGAAATACGGTTCCATGATCGATCCGCTGCAGTAACAAAGATGACTCCATCATCGGCCTCGTTCTCTTGATGCCCGCTTACGCAGAGCACATTGGACCTGACGGAGATCTGGGGCTCCACAGCTTTGGAGGGTGCTGGCAGCGACCAGCCGGTTTGCAGGCCATCGCCTTTCTTTTCGAATGCTAGGCTCGCGTCGAACTGTTTCTTCTCCTCCAGGATCTTCTCTATAGTCCAGTCGCCGGGATTGGTGACGCCTGCATTTTCAGGCAGCCCTGCTTCGGCGAGGAATGCTTCAAGAGTCTGCTCTCGGTAAGATTAGGCTGAATTATATTATGGGCTTACGCACTTCACTGTAATGATTTGCTTTCAGAAATCTAGCGACGATCACGGCCGCCGAGTCTGTGGCAGGCATTCTGGGCGTGCAAGACAGATCATCAGCCGGTGTCGTTGACGCCAGATGATGTTGTCATGCAAAATGTCATCACGTGATCGGACTCTGCTTCATGGTTCTACGGAGACAGGCAACATATCAGGAGAAGTTGTCGAGGGCAGATTTGCCTTTAAAGCCTCAAAATCAGGCTTGCGGGTAACAACAATGCTGAGAATGGGCTGCGTAGATTGTCATCCTCTCATTGCTTGGATTCTTCTTGCGGTGCCCCCATTCCATACCGGGTCTTGTATGCTCGAGGACTCTCGTAGTCTTTCTTACTTGCAGCCCACATGCCCTTCCTCTTTGTCTTTGCCCACCATTCAGCCTTTCGGTATTTCTTCTCCAAGCCTTTGCCGAACTCGGCGCCTGTTTTGGCTTCGTACACGGTGGCCAGCCCAGCCCGTAACATTTGGAGGCCCACGTCCCGCCGAAGGAGTCCCTTCCACACATAGGCTGTCCCAACGACCCTGCTGTACTGATCTATCTTGTAAACATACGTCCTCACTCGCTTACCCAGGATGTAAGCCGTAAGCCAATTGAGGGCCTCCTGCGCGTAAGGCTGCGAAGGTCGACCGAAATGTGCGAGCTCCGGTGCGTCAATACCGGCAAGACGGACATGAATCTTGAAAGACGTCAACGTAATCCTCCAAAGTACTTGCTCTCGTTCACTTACGGTCTGACCCTTCAGCTGCTTCTTATCTGTGGGAACCCGTCGACCAGGAAACCATCCCCAGCCCGCAAGTCGACCACCAGGAGTGTGATAAATCCGAAAGTTATCCCCATCTCCTACGCTCGTAACTGTTCCTACGATGCTCCTGCGACGAAAGAAGCCGGGGTTGATGTTGGTTGCTTGAGGAATTCTCTTGAGGTAGGCCTTGTAGAACTTGAAACAGCCAAGCGAAGCAGCAGTCAACACGGCAGCAGCAGCGATGGTCTGCGGCTCAGCAAAAGTCCACAGCTTCGAGGAAGTTGGCCCATGGGGTGCATGCTGTACAGAAGTAGAGTCCTCCGCGGTTATTGTGGTCGATGATTCCAGGCTTCCAGTGGCCTTTGGGCGCTCGTTGTACTTGATCTCGGGCTCATCCTTTGTCGACGAGGACCACGGATTGGGCCATGGCATGGCGAGCTTGCCCAACCTCAATTGCTGAGGCCCAGCAATTGTTTGTCAATGCTGGCTTCAGTTTGCGGGGAGATGGTTGACGTTTACTATGGAGGAGCGCACAAACCTCAGCCGTCAGGCGTAGGGCGCCGCATCTGGCTGGACAAAGTGATCGTAGCCCCTAAGCCTTGCCTCCATAGAGGATATAAAACCAGACATAGTTTATCAAGAGCAACATTATCATTGAATTCCTGTTTTTACACCAACTTGAATAGAAGTAGTACTTCCTGGGCCCCCAGCTTCGTCTGTTGTGCGTGTTCTGTGCTATACCGCCGCCATGACCGAGTTCTATTATCCAAACGTGTGCCTTCCCAGAGAACCCTTATACTCAAAATTACAAGGCCACGATCCATAGCCGTTTTCCCTTCGTCTCGTTGGGAGCTGGACACATTGCTTATTCTGCATGGTGGCTTCTTCTCTTGATACTACCAAACCTCTTCTTCAGCCCACCACTAAGCCTCTTGATGCTGCCACTCCGTCTCACATTTCCTTCGCCATCCTCCCAGTCACCTTCGACGGGGATGTTGCCGCTGCCGCTGCTGCGATGCCGAGTCTTCATCTCGATGCCTTCGTTACCAGCCGTGTCGTCGCTGATGTGGTGTTCCTTCAGAGCCTTTTCGATACTATAGCTGGGTTCGCCTTTGCCTTTGACATCTTCGGGATCATACTGAATGCCCGGCCACCGCTTGTAGGCACCACCTTCGGGGTCAGCGGCGATCATCATGTTGTCGCCTTCCTCGTAACTGTACTTGTTGCCCATGGGATCCTGCGATCCCGGTGGATAGACGGCCACGCCATCGAGTGGTCGATGGCGCACAACGCTGTCAATGATTTTCTCCTTCGGCGTGGCCTTGAGTGTTTCAGCATTGGACTCGGCGACTGCGGCAACGGGCGAGCTGATTGGGTTGGACGAGTTATTCCGCGCATACAGCGTGGCATCATATGGACCTCCATGATGCCATGCGGCACCTCCGCTGTGGTCAAGGTTGTCGATGATATCCGGGGGGATATGATGCTTTTTGGTTGCATGGCGCGCACGGTCTGCGGTGGCCTTTTCCTTCATCAGGAGATCCAACGGCCGGTGAGACTTATCACCAGGGTACCGCTCAGACAGTGAACTTCCCCGGCGCCGCCCGCTTCCGGTGGGCGTGCTGTCGCCGCCAAATGCTTCTTGTCGATGACTGGGAGACCGAGGGGAATGCGGTTGCGATTGTGACTGTGGAGACTGACGCATCGTCGGTGATGCAGCAGACGACGTGCGCGAATGATCCTTGCCCCCGTGGCCATTGGTCTTGCTGTGCATCGAGACGCTTCGTCGAATCTCCGTTGTGGTGGTGGTTGGAGAGTCCTTGCGGTATGGGTTCGTCTTCGACAGTCGCCGGTTCGGCGTGGTCTTTGACGACGGCGGCGTCTGAGCCGAGGAACTTGTGGCACCGGGCCGGAATGTGTTACCTGGTCCATCTTCTTGCGACGGCTCGGGGGCATTCAGAGGGTCGAGAAGGTATTTGGAAGCCTGACCAACAGAATTGTGCGTCAGTATGTCAGCCTTGCGCAGCGGGCAGTCTCGGGGCGGAGCGCAGGCGGGGTTGGACTTACCCAATCCTTATCGCTCGCAGACTCCATCTTTGACGGTTGCAGGCGTTGGACTTGAGAAGGGCAATTCAATTGTATACTACGGTAGATGGATATAGGATGTGTGCGATCAGTGCCGGGATGGAAGAAAAGGCAGAAGACACAGCCTGAGTGAGTGAAATCCAGTGCATTGTATCTCAGCTCAATGGAACGGGAAACGCAGGGCAGTGCCAATAGAATGGGAATGAAGTCATCAACTCTCCACTCTGCGCCGGAGCAGGCGGACCACAGTTTACAGTGTGCCTAATCCTGGCTGCATAAATGCTCATAGCACATCATATTGCGGTTAGCAGCACCGCTGGCTGCCAAAACTACTGAAACTAGTGGGAAATGTACACGAGCTAGTGCTGAATCATTGCTCCAATCCACGTAATATCCCAGATGTGTAGCTTAGCGCCGTTATACCCAGGCACTGCAGTTGTGAACAAGCTTTCTGGACTTCTGCACTACAGGGCCCACCGAAAGATGTGCATTGCAGAAAGTCTGTATTTGGCTGGCATCTCGTTGTGCGATGAGGAACTCAGCTGCATCAAAATTCGTACTTCTTCAAGCATAACTGTGGAACTTGCAACTTACGACCACAATGCGGCGCAGCCTATGCCGCATAGGTCCGCGCTATACAATGTTGTAATCCAGGCAAGACCTGGGTCTTATCTTTCAAAGACCATGCAGTGGGTGTGCAACGTATGCCGCCCTCCAACCTTGCAGCCGCGGGACAACGAACTCTACCCGGGGCCGCAAGTTGAGGTGGCTTACGCGGATTCAACTACTAATGATAAGCAGGATCCCTGCCATCTTTGCAGAATCAACAGAACCCCCGCCATACCTGGCAGCCCGACTTTCCATATCGCGCGCCCTTGTAGCGATGAGCGCGTCTCTGAAACAGCTCCAATGGCGAGCGGCCTGCGGCTGTTACTGCCCAGCAGGGATAAGGAAAGTCTGATCACAAAGACGAAAATTGCCCTGATATAACATATCCCTAGCCGTTTGATACTATGTGTGGTGTTGGACACTTCGACATACAGTACCTGTGTGTGGTAGGGCAGCCGTTCCTCAGTGTTGATTGCGCCCTAGCCACACCGTAACAAATTGTGGTCAAGCTGGCGTAAAACGGAGCGGCTATCATGGTACCTGGACTGGTTCCGGAGCAGGTCCCACCTCCACATCTATATGTACTGTACATGATTGTATCCAGACACAAATTGCTCCGGTACGCCCTCCACAATCCCCTACAACAAGGACTCAGCATAGGTCCCTGGTTCGGTGGGAACCACCATGACGGTTTCCTTCAACCTGGGTACGCAGCAATAGGATTAGGAATCCGTGGGGATAACACCTGGGCAGGGCCGGGTAACTGATGAAACAGCCGTTGAAAGCGTGTTCTGTCCGGTCGCTGGAAACTTGAAGTAGGGTCGTTGCTGAAACTACAATGTTGGCACTTCCGGGGCAGTGGGACCACCCTTCAACCTCCTACGATTAAAAGTTTACTGGCAACCTTTCTTTGGCTCCCTCCCGTGGATTGTTTTAATTGCATCTGTTGTTCCTATCTTCAAGGCTTCAACATCACAGCACGAGCAACGCATCTTCATCAACTTATACAGCCAGACCATGGATTCGTTCGATTATCTGCAAATAGCCAAGATCATCGGTGTTACCGGAGCGGCATGGCTAAGTGGTAAGTGCCATTTACCCTGAAAGTGATGCTTCTCAAGACCTTGGAGGAGGCTGACACAGCGCGTATCGAAGGGAATATTACTGCTCTGTCTCTGATGGCCACGCCAGCTCTTGGCCAGTCGAAGACCGATGACAATACGCCGTCGACTACTCTCGCAAAGCAGTGGAGTTACATCTACAACCGAGGGAAAGTCCAAAACCCCCCTGTTGCTGCAATTACGGCAGGCTCCTTTTTCTATCTTGCCTGGTCTACCCGCACCACTACTCCTCAGAGTCAATTGCCGCTCCTCTATGGCTCGGCGGCGGCCGCGACGTTGGGAATTGTGCCCTTTACGCTTCTCCTCATGGCTTCAACGAACAGCAAGCTTATACGGCATACGGCGGCGTCGAGCAAGGAGTTGAATCCAGGTGCCCAACAGTCGAAGGACGAAGAAATACTTCGTCTCCTTGGCACTTGGACTACTCTCAACGCAGTCCGAGGATTATTCCCGTTGGTCGGTGCGGTCATAGGTTTGGTTGCCATCTTGGGATGAAGAAAGCGGTGTCGAAGGTTGACTGGCTTGACCATCATCGCCAACTTCCTTCTCCTATGTCTCGTGAAGGGAGCGAAAGTGGCAGGCTCCTTTAGCCACAAAAGAAATATGGACTGCCCTCAATCAAGATATGGTCAACACCCTCGTGTCTTCCTTACAGTACTGCTGACCCTGTCCGTAATATTGGGACTTACGCCCGAAACTATCCAGCAACTACTTCAGCACCTACCTACATACCGCTGGCAACTTGTGATGTGAGGTCGGAATTAGTGATTAGTGCATAGTGCATACCCTCCCCTCTGTCACTGAATGAATATGCCGGGAGTGAGCCTCCTCTGGTATCTGGATGACCTGTCCAACATCGAGGACACGGTGCTGTAAGTCCCACAATCTCGTTATGCACTAACAACCCTAGTGCCGCTGGGGATAAGTAGGCAGCGCATTGTGGGACCTGCCAGTGGTACCAAGTTAGGAGTGCTGTATCTCTTTCAGGAAACATCCAAGTGCCCCAGGAAAGCTACAGTTCACGACTGTGCCATCCTTTCCCGGCCACCAAGGCTCTAGCATGAATCCTTGCGCTACAGAATCCTCAGTATACGAGAAGAACAACCTCGGCGTCGGCAATTGAGTTCTGCAATGATTCAAAGAGGCTGGAGGCGAGCTTCCCAGGGCTGGTATTCAGGACGAAAGCTAAAGACAACATGGAACGTGTCGCCTCCTTTACAATTGACGTCTTCGATTACTTGGGTAGACACCAGCTGTGAGGCACGCAGTCGGTAAACTTCAGCTTCAACACCGGCACAACCTTGGAACTGTTGTGTACTCGATTGATATTGGACTATTTGCTTTCCTTCAAGTTCGAGGCTACCCCAGGAAATACCTTCCCCAAATCCAAGCGTTGGCGGACCCGGCTTTATGGAATGGTGCCTCGGGACTCCCTCCCCCCAAATTTATCAGGTCCCACAAGCAAACGGCCACTGAATCTGCTGTTAACTCCGTTATCAAAATGGTCAGAGTCCGATCTGACACACTTGATGAGAGTCCAAGACATGCTTTTGGCGACCTTCGAAGCGATTTCGACGGCGTCTTGGGGATATTGAGCACGCACTAGCCACCATCCTGCGACAGGACTTGAGCCGATTTTTCCACGCTCCGCAAAAGACAAGGTATCTCCGCATTTTCAATGGTCTTTTGCGGAGCGTCGGCCCCCATGCTCCTGCTTCCTTGAAGCTACCTATAAAGCGCTGACAGGATTATCCGGAAAGTTTTCATGGTACTTGATGGGATCATCGCGAGAGTATCTTGGACACTTGGTCTTGAAGCTTTGAAGACGTTGCTTCTTCGGATCGCCTGCCCCTTTCTTGCACCATGGACAAGACGTTCGACGTCGAACAAATCGAGCAGTATGAGCTCACCCCAGCCGAAGTCATTGCTGGTTCTCAGCAACACCAGACTCGGACACCAGTTGAAAAGCGTCTGCTTCGGAAGGCAGATTTTGTCATCATACCGCTGTTTTCGATGGTGCACCTGGTGTCATATCTTGTATGCTCTTCTTATGATTCACCCAGTTGGCGTGCCAAAACACTAAGAGGGCCAAAAGGACCGCAATAGCATCGGCAATGCCAGGATCATGGGATTGCAGAAAGATCTCCATATGACTGCGGGCCAGTTCTACAACTGCCTGACCATGTTCTGTAAGTCGCCTGCTCCTTTGGCTCCCCTTTCGAAGACAGGCTTCTTGCTGACAAAGTTCCATCAGTCATTGGTTATGGTATCTCGATGTTCCCGGCAAACTTGACGGCGAAGAAGTTCAAGCCCAACCGGTCGCTCGGGGTGGCATGCATGTTCTTCGGCATCTGCCTCTGTGGGATGGCGGAAGCCAAGAACTATTCCACCATCCTTGCCTTGCGGATCTTGCTGGGTTGCGGACAGGGCTTCGTCCAGCTGGCCATGATCTATTGTAGCATATGGTACCGACGAGACGAGATGGCAACCCGGACTGGTAAGGAGAATTGTTCGTTTTCGTGTGATATGGACAAGATGGCCTGGCTGACAAGGAGGCTTCCTAGGAATCTTTTATGCCTGTGCAACTTTATCCGGTGCATTCGGCGGCCTAATCGCATACGGTGTCCAAGCAGACATGGCTTCGCCCACCGGACGCTCAACATGGTCGTGGCTGTTCCTCATCGAAGGCGTTCTGGCCGTCGGTATTGGTCTCGCCGTGGTGATCGTTTTGCCACGGTTTCCAGACGACCTGCACAGGCGCGCGAAAGGCCATTGGCTGTTCAATCAGGAGGAGATTGATTTGGCTCACAACCGATATGCCGGTAAGATTTGCCATAAAACCTTGTCGGCATCATCTGAGATGGCTAACTGATGGTATTTCCAGCGTACAACATTGAACGAGAGAAGTTTCGACCAAGACAACTCCTGGCTGTGGTGAAAGACATCAAGACGTATTTCTTCGGCTTCGTGCAAGGTGCAGCCGTACTGGGCGTGTCAGTCGTCGGCAGTTTCCTGCCCACGTTCATCCATGACTTTGGCTTCAATCCAGGCGAGTTGCCCCTCTCTTTCATCAGCCACACAGTTAGCCAGAGTGATTACTGACTTCCTTCCCTTCGACAGTCCACACCCAGCTATTCTCAGTCATCCCATACACATGCGCCTTCGTCACGGTGATTGTGACGGGCTACGCCTCAGACCGGCTGAATGTCAAAGGACCCATCATCTTCACCTGTTGTTGTGTGGGAATGCTCGGTTACATCCTCCTGATGACCGTGTCGTCGACCGTGGCAAGAGTGGTGGCCACTTGTCTGGTTACCTCTGCTTGTTATCCGATCGGGAATCTGCTTCCCGTATGGCTCTCCATCAACACTCCAGGCTTCACCAAGCGCGGTGGCACCTGGGCCTTTTCCGAGGTGTTTGGCGTCGCTTTCTCCATCATGGGAACCCGCATCTACACCAATCCTCCTAGGTACCTTGGCGGCCATGGCACCGTGTTGGGCATCTTCACGCTCGGTGCTGTCAATGTCGCCGCGGCTTACTTCTGGATGCGCTATCAGAACAACAAGAAGGAGCGGATCTTGAATGATTATGCCCATCGTGGCCAGATTCATCCGCACATTGCTGAGATGAGAACCCTGGAGCAACTCGAAGATGACCATATCTCTTTCCGGTATGTTCTTTGATTCACGGAAAGAAGAACAAGATTCCTTCCTCCTGGGAGGCCGGGGGTTTGAAAGCGATTGACGGTTGGAAACCCGATGAGGTGTATATTGAGTATGGTCCGCCCAGCGGGACGCAAGACACATGATCTCTCCTTGAGATGTGTACGTCTCTGATACTCTCGTGGGATCACACACATGGCTCCAAACAAAGCATTAGCTAGATAGAGCGTCCATCATTCTCGTAACCGCATTAACATAGCAATCATCAATGCGCGTTGCAGGGACATGGCTAGTCGTTTCATCATGAACTCGTCTTCATCCTTCCGCAAGCCGCACACGTCCACCACTCGCTTTCCATCCAGTTCCCGCACGTACCGCACGTCCATCCCATAGGCCTTGTCTGCGTCTTTGCTTTGGCCTGCGACTCTATCTTAGCCAACGCCTCGCCGCTCGACAAGCGCGGTTGGAGCGCAGGATGGGACGGATGGGTGGTGGTCCCGTTTGACCGGGCGGTAGACTTGGAGGATAATGGTTGGTGGGCATAGATTTCCGGCCGTTCTGTCCCGCAGGCGTCGCACATGAGATGTTGGAAAGGATTAATGAGGGTGCAAATATCGCAGGTCCAGGTTTCGAGTGTGGTCGATCGAGATGGACTCTTGGTGGACTGTGCTGGCGCAACCTGAGATGGCCGCTCCCGAGGCTTGGTGGTAGGCCTGGACTTTGTAGCCTTGAAGTCCGGAGTAGCTTGCCGCGGTTTTTGAGGTTGCGGCCGCACCTGAGCTCGGGCTTCTTGCAACTGCCTCTCAATCTGGAGTTGCTGCTCACGCAGAGCATTTGAATCCAAAGGGGAGTCAGATTGCGGCTTTATACTCTTTGGGACACCATCCCGAGAAGCCAGGGCACCCTTAGTACCAGCTGGGTTCTGTTGGGTTGGAGGGACGTAGTCCTTGCCGTACAATTGACTCTCTTCTTCCTGTATCAAGTCGATAAATGCTTGCATGAGAGCCGCGTCGTTTTCGTCCTCCTGTTCCGCCTTGGTGGTGGTCACCTTTTCCCTTTTCGCCTCTTCTTCTTGCTCCTGAGCGACCCGCCTGCCCTTGTCGCCAACATTGGCGCAGCCGCGTTCGACGCGCACTCTCCTCTCCACCGCCGCGGCAATGACCTCTCTGGCATCCTGTCCACGCAGTATGCCTCGGCCGCCAAGTTTCTTACCACTTCCTCTGGTGAGGTCGCGTCGTTTCTCGGCTTCAGCTCGAGCCTGTCGCTTGATTTCGGCCACTGGCACACGTCTTCCGCCCAACCTGCGACCAGTTCCCAAGAAGCCTTCACCCGTATACCCTTTCCTAAGAAGAGCCTCGTGCTCGTCCCGAAGCTTGTCCCACAAGGCGTGGAAGTATTGGTCGTGCGGCCCGTAAACAATGTGCGCCAGTTCATGCAACATCGTATCGACGATGTTTTCTAATGGCAGGAACTGCGTCTCGTCTCCAGCGTAGCGGAGTCGGAGACAGATCTTCTCGCCCTGGTTGACGTTCAAGCCGAGCAGATTGAATTCTGATGGGTAGAATTCTGTCAGGATCCCGACCCGCCAATTGCGCTGCCGCATGATCGGTTTCACCATCGAGGCAATCTTCCTAAGCATCTGCAGGGCTTCGCCAGCACGGACTTTTCCTGATAAGTGCTGGAATCGGTCGACCAGCGGGTCCAGCTCTGTAGGATGGCTGAGTGCCATGGTAGAAGGGTCACTGGAACCAGAATCGTGGGGATTGGGTGTTCGGGGAGGAAACAGGACTGTAACGTAGGACGTGGAATATACTTCTACCACTTCGGGGCGTATCCCAAAGGCAAAAAGGGGCGGTCACAAGTCAAATACCATACTCTCTTCAGATTCCAGGAAAAGGGTGATTCAAACAAAACAGAAGCACCCTCGTTTGTACAGACAAAGCACTCAGCACAAATTTCCTCATAAGAGCATAACCCAACGCCACGACACGCCCGCTGTAGAATAACACAAAGAGGTCTCGAGACGCCAGAGAACTTTTGATCGTGAGTGAACCAGGATTCGTAATGGTCGCCAGCCTGCAAGAATGAGGCGAGTCACGTGAGAATCCGCCACAGTGCATGAGCTCACGTGATCTTTCTCCCCGGGAACCCCTCCTTTCCGGATTGGCCAGTGGCCGACGTCAAGTCGATACGCCCGAGTCGTCTCCACGAACTGGAGGCAACAACTTGAAGAATGCCATCCATGGCATCGCTTCTGCAGTAACAGTACATCATCTACGCATCCCGAATTCTGTAACCATCTGACCTCTCACCCACGCAAACATGACGAGTGATGACCAGCAGTTCTTGGACCTGGTAGGTTGGCCCCCCTCAGATTCTTCCATCGCTGAACCGCCCGCTGACGGAGTGCGTACTCTAGCTTGCGTCCATCCCGCAGGACATGGCGCACTATGGCAGTCGCATTGCAGACTACATAGATAAATACACCGATGCGTTGGCATCAGGCATCCGCGACGCCATAGACCACTCAAGCTGGGTCCCTGACGCTCTGCGGCCACCACCCCGACCGGGCAGCGGGCCCGGAGCCTTTTTCGCCCGCGCCCAGCCTCTGCCGCAAAGTTACCTTGACAAGGCCACGGCCTGGATATCCAAGAACCGCATGGCGATTGCTATAGTTGTGGCATTCGCCGGCACTTCGGTATACCTTGTCCACAGAAGAAAGAAGGAACATGCGCGAAAGAGACGGGTGAGGAAACTGCCCAACGGGGCGAAGAAGGAGATTGTGGTCCTGGCCTGCTCGACATTCCATGACCCACTGACCCGGTCTCTGGCTCTTGATCTGGAGCGACGCGGTTATGTCGTTTATGTCACCGTCTCCTCGACGGAAGAAGATTCTTTGGTTCAGCAGGAATCAAAGACGGACCTGCGGCCGCTATGGATCGACCTGACCTCGACCGTTCCCAATCCCGCAGTCGATATACATCCCAATCTGGAACCGATCAGGGAATTACTCAAGAAATCGTCACCTTCTTCAACTCCTCAACGAAATCGCTCGGCGCAGGGCTCCTCTATGGGTAACATGACTCTGGCCGGCATCATCGTCTTTCCAGGATGTTCAGGCTACCCGGAAGGACCGCTCCCTCTGCTCCCGCCAAGTGATGTGGTTGACACCATCAATACACGCCTTGTTTCTCCCCTTCTAACAGTCCAACAATTTCTCCCCCTCCTAGCAAACAACAGCACCGACCCGAAATCCCCCTCCTCCATTGTCGTCGCGTATCCTTCCATCCCGAATTCCTTGTCACCTCCTCGCCAGGTCCCAGAGTGCTTGGTGACATCGTCACTGTCAGCTCTGGCGTCATCACTAAGACGAGAGATTCATGCCGCAAAAGCGAATATCACTGTCACTGAACTCAAACTCGGAAACTTCGATATGGGATCCGTCCCTTCGTCGCGGACGGCATATTCACAACCTCCGCCACCAGGCAGCTCACACTATAATTCGTCAGCAACATCGTCGCAGGCTTACTCTTCTTCAGCATTGACACATTGGCACTCTTCGCAGCGCGCTGCCCTGCAGCGCAAGAGTCTCGGCCAGCGCAGTTTGATTCGAGGCTCGTCCGCACGGGAATTCCACAACGCCGTCTTCGATGCGCTGGCTCCACCACAGACGTTCAAGGCGTTCGGTCGGTTCGAATGGACTGCGACGCATCGGCCACAAGTCGTGTTCGTCGGCAGCGGCGCCCGGCTTTACGACATTGCCGGTCGAATCCTGCCTGACGGCTTGGTCGCGTATATGATGGGATATAGGAGGAAAGAACATGAAGGAAGCGGCATGGGACTTGGGATTATGCATCAGCATCAGCAGAGAAATGAGCCTTCTTTCGCAGGGGAGCAGCAACCCGACTCGTCCAGCCAGGGCCACCATGAAAGGGAAGGGGCCGCCACAGGCACTCCTTCTGCTGCAGCCGCAGCGACGGCCCCGACTTGGGGGTTTGGCTCTACGGGGAGTGAGAGTGGGGTCTGGGAAAAGCTTTGATCGATGTTGAACTCAGCTGCTTGGTTGGTATGGTGTGTATCAACAGCGCTCGTGATTTCTAGGAGCGGTATAATTGAGAGCGAGGCTCAGACCGGCTTTGGGTCTCCGAGCTTTTGCCTGTCCTTCTGCTTTTGGATTGTCGTCCAACAAGGGCCAAAGCCAGGGAGGCGAAATGGTGGTGGCTTTTCTTCTTCAGCGAGCAGAGATGCTTCTTGTTCGCTACTGTACCTTACCTTACTCATTCACCTCATCATGTCATGTTACAATCCACGCTGCTCAACTTATATACCTTATTGTATGAACGATTGGACGACTGGAACGACGACATCATCCTGATTGAGATATAATCTATTTAGTCAGTGTCTAACAATGCTACGCTTAGGAATTAGACCTCAGAGCGCCTTTGAAGTCTGTCAATGTGGCTTCAGAGGACCAGTTCAGGTAGTCGACTTAGGTCCCCCCCGATTTTCTAGTATATTGAGTGAAGACAAATGCAGAGATTGGCACTGTCATATGGTCAACAGCAAGAGCAAGAGTCAGAGGCATTCCCACCACTGAAGCCAGGACAATAGGGTACTTGAAGGTCCCAAGCCTGAAAACCGGGATGAAACTTGCACCTGGACATTTACAGTATCCTGCACGTCGGACCTACCTGAGACTGCCACAGTAGAACACATTGTGAGACAGGCAATGACTGGGAATAGTACTGACTGGTACCTACCTGTCGATTCCTTTAGCTCAGCCTATTGCCATACTTCGGAAACCGCCATCTCACACTATTCAATCCCCAAGGTTTCGTTTGCTCGTTTTTACAGACTGTACCTTACTTCCTTCAGTTGGCCTCCTCTGTTTGTTCGCGCTGTGACCGTTCCCCATGTGATGAGTCCCTCGGCACACCGCGACGCAAACGAACATATGTACCTAGCTAGGTAGGCACCTGCTACCTGTAGGTAGTGTCGTCAAGTCAAGTCGGCCAAACGAGAGACTGTACCACCTTCGATACCGATTCCAGGAAACACATATGAACCACCTTTCACCCACTCTTCTATTCCGTTCCAGCTGACTGACGGGCCAGGTCAACTGCCCTGATCTGCTGTTCGTTGCGCGTGTTAATACCAGTGACGTGTGAATTGCGACCGTACTTCAAGAGTGCAGGCAAAGTCCGTGGTCGTTCTTATACCATAAAATAGAGTCTTGCTCGGGTTGAAGATCGCAATCAAAGGACTCACCTACCCTTGTCAGCAACAAGACACATCCTCACCGGGAGTCTTTGCATGAGCGTCTTGCCTGCCTGCTGACTGCTGCTTACCTACCTGATAGCCATACCTTCAGCCCCTGACTGACAACTTGTCCTTACGGTGCGTCCTTCTGCGCCTCAAAGAGGCTGGTCAGCTGTTTACACTGCGTCTCTGCCTGACATGGCATTCTGGCTGTCGTCGTCGTCATCGTCGTCGTCGTCGTCATCATCATCCAATCCTGTCAGCCGAACGATGACGAATCAATATCAGAGCCTGCACAACTCGATGCTGCAAGAGCCAGCAGCGGCGGCCTTTTTCATCCGCAGTTCGGACTTCCCTAAAGGTCAGTTCTTCCGGATGAACCGACCGGCGGAAATCTCAATGGTGCCGCCGGTCGCAGTGCGCCGTCCAGCCTTCCCTGAAATGAGAAGGCGATCTCTGCAGATGCTGGAACCGTGTACCTTTTTCGTACAATATCCCTGCCAGCAGAATTGTCGCACAATGGGTATCTGCATACACTATCAGTTCGTTGTGGGCTGTCGCAGATGCCCTGATGGTCTGAGGTGCTCCATCTGCATGGGAAGCAACGTTGAACAGGTATGACCCTTGGACACACATTTTCTTTTTCCCCCTCAAGGAACATGCAGATAACTGACCTGCGAGTCCGATACACATAGGCAATCCAAGCGTGCCGCAAATGCCCACTGCACCAGGACCCAGCACAGGCAAATCCTATCGGCAGCCGGCCAGAAGACTTCCTAGCTACAGACAAGCAGAAGAGTGTGTGCGATGAGGTGTTGGCCAGGTCATTGACGTGCAATTGGGAGAATATCCCTCCTCCTCCCCAAAAGAGGGCAGAGGATGTTGGTAGTGGCATGATCCGTTTGCCCTTCGACAGATCCAGTACACCCAAAAACCTGAACGATGTAAGAATGTTGGACACGATATTTGAGCACGAGCCTGCCCTGTACGGTCAGCCTGCTTCGTCAGCTGGACAGATGCAGATGCAGATGCCGATGGGGCCATTCCAGAGTCCGCTCCGTCAGCGAGGATAGCTTTAATGAGAAAAAAGCGCAACAGGATTCAACAAGGGAGGGATAAGGGATCCTGTCCTATAATGCGGGAGATGGCATCATTTTGTTTGTCAAATTTGAGCTGGCCATGGAGGGAACTTGTTCGGGAGGCGGACCAGTTCGGTATAACTAGGCATACATATAATTGGAGAGCCATCTTCTGCCAGCGCGGCTCAGGAAGGGAGTTGGCAAGCCATAAATTCAAAGGATCGCAACACATCTCTAGCCGATATCGTTGTGGACAACTGAGAACTTTGGACGCATAACTCCTGCCCTGGCATGTGCTATGCAAAGCCAAAAAGGCAGAAGAACAGTCTGGTCACATCTACAAAAAAAGTAGCTGCGCCAACGGAACGTTGTGGGTACCATGTCCAGACATGACAGGACTTCAGTGTCAATGCCATCGACAGAGTCAACCTGTAGCTCTTGCTGTCGTTTTGGGGGCTTCATTGCTGCAATGGGGCTGTCCAGCTAAGGCCTACCTGGTACGATGAGGTATTCTAAGGTAAAGTAAGGATAATTCTCTCCTGACACAGTGAATTAGGGGTATCCTCCTTGACTTGGAGGCACAGCACTGCAGAAGTAAGTTTGTCATGGTTGTCGTTCAGACGCACAGGGGAAAGGAGGGACACTCCATGAGATAGTAGCGATCAGAAGCACTCTCACAGCATGGCTCACATGGATACGACGCCATAGGTACAGAAAGTGCCCCGGTCGTCTTGGAAGACATCCCAGATCCTGCTCAGTTCGTATCAAAAGTTGTCATCGCACTCCCATATGATAATCATCGAAGTCCTCTGGGTTCGCTGGCTGGCATGTGGTGTCAGTGTGGCACAGAAGTGCGAGGCAGCTTCCATCTTGTGGAGCCAATGCCAATGTCATAGTCCGAATTTGAAGCGCTCTTTCCTGGGGCTGCTTTCCCTTCAATCTCACATCCGATCGGAGTAAACCGCACAGATTATGATAATAACAACATGTCATAGCATTGGGCAGCGTCGTCGTTCCGGTTCTGATCGAGATGGCGATATAACACCAAAAGTTCGGGGGTTGCCTGAAGGAGGATGGGATGGCTCCGATGTTGTCATGGCCCGCCCACGGGGCTCTTCTTGCCCAGCCTCGGACATGTCGAGCAGGCTGGGGCAAGCAGCTAGTATGCAAGGAGAGATTCGAGTTATTGATTTGACAAGAATACCGACAACAAGTCTCGCAGCTATTGTTGTCCGGACGCACTGCCCCCTCAACAAGGTGGTAGTAGGACTGTACTACTGCGTAGTAGTAATGAGAAGCGTAGGAAGGAATGCGGCGACCGACCTGGGAGGACAATGAGGGCAGACCCAGCCAATTGGAACAGAGTTGTCGTCGACGTCGAAGGAGCTTCAACTTCTCAAGGCTAGCTAGCGTCAGTAATGGCCCGTGCGCACGGCGGGAAGATTGAGATGGAGACGAGCGGGCCCTTGTAGCACTGAACAATCAAAAACGGCAGAATCAGCCACTGACGACGATGGCATCGTCTAGCGAAACGTCCCTGGCTGATGAGACAGGCCCGCCGCCCACCTCACCAACCGAAGCGCAGTGACACCGGGGCGGGGGTGGTCTCTCGTTGGCGCCATTGCTAGTGTTTAAGAGCCCGTAGCAGCGAGAAGAGATCGAGCAGACGGGATGGAGAGAAGGGTACCTAGTATTCAGGGCATACAGAAGCGACGCTGTAGATTCTCATGGTGAGGGAGAGACAGCCGCAGACGTACAACAAGACTGGGCGAAGAGTCGAGCTCAGTCGGGGGGCAGACAGACACAGCAGCACGCAGCATGCAAATTTGGAGACGAACACTGGCAGCCACTGCAACTTGCAACTGCTGCCACTTGGAAATTACGAGGCCGTGTATGATGTCATGCCTGTTCGTCTGTGAATGTCCACGTGACCTGTTTCATACCGTAGTATGGAGCTCCCTTAGCAGTGGCACTGTTCCAATTCTTGCAGTCCAAGTGCACCGTCCATAGGTGTACAATGCTTCCTCTGCTCCCTCCAACTTCACAGTATACGCCGGGCCATAGATATCAATAGAGATACATGCAAAAAGTAGTACCGCAGCAATAAGTTTCGCCAACATGATCAGCGTTTGTGGTTCATTTGGAGTGTTCATATCTAGAAGGACTCGCGATTTGTTGCAGTCTTTCTTCCCCAGCTAAACGTTCCTTCACAGCGTGCCTTCGGTACGCACAGATGACGCTAATTCCCACACCGCTCATAGCGTTGACGTGTCAAGCCAATACTGTCTCATCAAAACATCGAATAGTGTCGTGTGTTTCCCGCAGACGACCGCTCCATCTTTTTGCTGTCCTGCTGAGAAGTCACCGAATCGTCGATGACCTGTCAGCTCATCCTTCTGACCATGTCCCCTCGTCAGAGGGACAGACTGGGCGCACCCCCGCGCAATACCTCCTTCTAATGAACTTCCAGGTTCATGTGTGAAGTACAACCTGCCGTGGTTGCAGCCGTCATCTCGGGGTATCAAGGTCGTCATAATAAACAATACATGTATGTGAAGCGAGTGTCGTGAATCGAAAAGCATTCCTCAACGCCGATCGTGGCATAACTGCAAACATCCTTTGAAAACACTCGCCGCCCGTCTATCGCTCCTCCAAGTGTCGTACACAAAGAGCGCCACGCTGCTCCGAAGCGCCACGCTGAACAATAATGTACACGGAGCAAGAAAAGCAAGCAATCATGGCACGGCCCTATTCGGCATGGTGACCTTCTGTAAGGAGTCCGTGAATGGGTGTTGTGACCCATGTGCGTTTCGTAATATTAACCTTCCACATCGGAATGGCTGGCGGTCGACGTTGAGTCTCCTTTATGGACCTTCTTGTGTCTGCGCAGGTTGGACACGACTGAAAAATGCCGCCCACAGCCTTCGACGTCACAGGCGAATGGCTTCTCGCCAGTGTGACTGTACATGTGCGTTTGCAGAGAGCTCGGTCGAGTAAAGCGCTTGTCGCAAACCTTACATTTGTGCTTCTTCTGCGTGTTGGCTGACATTTTCGACGAAAACTGGCCCATCATCGACTGGGGAGCCGGTGGTCCAAGGGGGGCGCCAAGCAGTTGCGTGGGACGAGGTAGTGTGCGAGATGTTGCCATCGATTCATAGCCGGCGTCTGAAGCCGCTGAGCTGTAGTCGGTGGCAGAATCTGCCACCGAGCCCACTGAGCTGGCCGCATAGTAGGGATAGCCACGACCAGATTCACTGGAGATGGACGAATGGCTGGACGCAGTGTGTGGGAACCCGTATGAATCCGTGGATGCTCGCTGAGCCCGGGCTTCGTAGATGTTGCGAGGGGTCAAATCTTGTAAGCTCTGATGGCTCAGGGCCAACATGCCCCTTGAGGCGTCAAGCTCACCAAAACTGGCTGTGGCGACTCGCGAGTTGCCAATTCTACGTCGTCGTCAGTTCCAATATTCGAAGTGAGAGGAAAAGAATACTTACGTGTCAGACATCTTCCGATGTTGATGTTGCTGCTGCTGTTGCTGTTGAGCCAGCGATTGAGCATAGCTCAAAGAAGTATATGAGGGCGCATACGACCCTGACGATGCTGAGGAAGACGAGTACGCTTGATCTCCAAAGTTTGGACGTGGGATCTCTTGAGGGAGACTTAGTAAATCCGTGCCAGAATAGCCAGTGCTGGAGTAGGCGCTACCTTGAGCCACTGTCCCCGAGACTGAAGGCATGTGGGAGTACGGCATCGTCAACCCTGAGCGCGAAGTGTCCGTCTTGGAGAGGGCCGGGAATGACGAGCTGGATGTGCTGGGTTGGTTTGACCATGGGTCGTTGAATTGCGGCGCGCTGTGCATGTTCGGGTACATCTGATCGTAACCCATCCCGCCGCCGTAGTGTCGACCCTGGTTGTCAATGACCATCGTCATGAGGGCGGTGTTCGCGGTTATATGAGAGTAGAAATAGCAGCAACAAGGCCCAATACTGGGAAAGTCGGTCCCTTGCCGTCGTCGGTGTGCAAGGCTGGATCACCAAGGAGGAGCCAGTGTACAGCCTGGTTCCCTGGAGGATTTGGAAAGGTTGATCAGTTTTCACCGAGGGGATCGGCGATGGTTATGTAGGATATCGTGTGGAGAGCCTGGAGGCGGGTAGATGCCAGTGGCAGATCCACAGAACGCTGGGTGATGATCTTTTTCTGAAGTGGTCGATGGCGGAATGGCAGTGCCCCTTTCTCCTGGTAGCAACAAGTTCTATCTTTGCTACAACAGCGATGCGTCAATCCTCAAACAAGTTCGGCGAACGGCAGATCGACAGGATTGGCTGCTTGCTGGAGGTATGATGGCAGTTGGGAAAGCAACAGGCCTGCGTCAACGGCCGTGCCCAGATGGAGACCTGGTAAGCTTTCCAAATCTCCGAAGTGCGGAGGGTGATATCTTGTATCTTTTTTGAGTCGTGTCGTCGGTCTACTTCTGGGGAGACATATATATTTTAGAAAAGGGCTTTCTTGTCTCAAGTGGCGGAATGTTTGGCTGATATGGTTCTCGTAAGTTTTGAAGACCCAAGGTCCGTCCGCGATAGGGTGGGGAATGTGAGGGTAGATAAGTTGTCGTGAAGCACCGACTCTGCTAAGAATGAATGCCAGTTGTCTGCTATGTTAAGTTACGTCGGTGGATTGACCCTTCCTGTTGCGCTGTAGCAGACCAGGACGACTGGCATCATCGCAATCACTGGGACTCGCCCGGGGGGCATTTCTTTATGCAGGGTGTTTAGGCTCGTGCTGGCAATTGGACCGTGTTGGTTGTGGGGTGGTCGGAGGACAAGGATCGAGTGGCGGTTTGGGCAGAGGGTCCTGCGCCAGGCCGGCACTTGTTGGATTACGGTGGAGGCAGCAGAAAAAGAGGGCCGGCCAGGGGATGTGTGCCACTGGTCGTAGCCGGGCTGGTCAGTGGTCAGTGACCAGTGGTCAGCTTGGTCCTGGCGGGCTTGGGGGGTCGTTTTCCCTCGACAGTAGTGTCACTGCTCAGCGGTAGCTTGTGTGGGAGAGGCCCTGTCTACGGCGTCCCTTGATGAGGCTTAGGGGAGGAGTAGGGGTGTCGAAGCGGATGCGGAAGTGGATAAGATGAAAGTGGATGCTTGCTTGCGTTTGATGCCAGATTGAAAGATGGGAGGCTTGCTGGAGTTGCGTTCCAGTTGCTGGAGCCGGGGCGAGGAGGGAATCTGCACAGCATTACTGGAGGAATTGCAGGCGATGGCATCAACTGGCATGAAGGAGGCTTGCAAGGTCCGTCAAGCCAAGAACCGGGTGGCGCCCTAAATGCAGCCACCCCGTCGACCCTGTCCACCTGCTCCAAAAGCCAGCATTAGCATTACTACCGCCCTGCTAACTGCAGTGGTCGAAGGTTTCCGCCCAAGCAAGGGTGTGCGTGATTGATGGAAACCAGCCGGACTCTATGATAATGAGCTCAAGGAGAGTCATGAGCATTATTTGGTAATGTGTGTATAGTTAAGCGAATGTATTGAAAGGAGGGATCTCAGCTACTACCACCACAAGCTACTAGTAGTGTTTGCGCTTGAGCAATGTCAAGAAGCCCACAAGGGCGGAAGGCATGGCTTTCACACGGTACGAGTCGACGAGCCGAGTCAGAGACACCTACAACAAACTCGAACCAGAGCAACGTCAGGCGGTGTACGCGCACACAAAGTAGTGCACTCTCGTAGGGCAATAACAACAAAGCTACTACGACTGCTAGTAGTGCAGTGGGTCGGTGGACCAGCCAGTGTTGTCACAGATGGCCCCTAGAGCAAGCACTAGTCTTAGTAGCTAAGGCAAAGGCTAGCAGTTAACCTTGAGCCTACCTAGGAAAAGGCCCGAACTTGTTAGGTACCCTCACTGCAAGTCCCCAGGTAGTAACACGAAACCTACCTATGAAGATGCGTGCTTATGACAGTAGTAGAGTACCTACGGTAGGTAGGTACATACTCAAGGTCCTGTAGACACTTCTTGAAATTAGGTACAGGTGGGCGGACTGCTGCTTTCATCGTGCTGCGGACGTGCCATTACTACTAGTATAACGTTGTAGTATTGCTCTAGTCATTCGCTGGATCCCGGTGGCCTTGTGTAAAGCGCCAGATGCAGCACTAGAAGATCACCGGTAGTGGCTCCTAAATCGTGGCCCAACACTGCAGATAGACTCGGATGATGCTCGACGAACTCGCAATGCGTTCAGGAACGTCCGAAGCTGGTGGCTTGAACGCGTTCCAAAGTACCAGCTGTGCCTTAGGCCGGGAGGAATACTTTCCATTTGTCTGAAGATAATCTGGAATAGATCATTCCAGGGTGGTGATGGCGGCTATCACAAATGCTATTAACAAGGATCGTTTGCCTTCAAGGGTAGCATCCCACCATGGCCGAAGTACAATGTATACCAGGGTACGTACCACATCAAAGCAGCACTGGCATGTAGCGAGCTCTTTGAGGTACCACTGCACTGCAGTTTACAGCTGCCCACAGTTCGTAATGTACAACTTGAAGTGTCTATTCCCAGCGGGCCGCAGTTGAAGTTGGTTAGTGGCAGCCGCTATTATCTCATTCCTTCAACTAATCTGCTCTACTACTGGCATAATATGAGCAGTAGCACCAAAAAGGCTGCGGCACTACTACAATGTACAAGCACCTACGGTGGACATGCAGTGTTGTACTCTAGCTGAGAGCACTCCAAAATTGTCTACCAGGTAGATATGACGGGGACCCGGACAAGGAAGGCTGCTGAACGGTCGTCGAATTTCTGCATTATTCGAATCAAACCCCAATCAAGTTGTAGGCACTAGTATCTAGCGTATCGACCGGGCACTGAACCCCAATTTTGTGGCATATAGGTGATAGGGTTGCCTGAACTTGACCGCAGTACTTCCCTGTCCGGGCTTCCGATATGAACGCCGCTGACGCGGTGGTGCTACTTTCCCGGCCACTTCGAACCCGCAGGCTTTGTCAGTGGTTGACGACTCTCCACTCTCCATCGTCGCCTTCAAGTTTCACACCGACCAAAAGGGAAAATAGTCAATCTAAAAGTTACACCTTTCAATGCCCTGTCTCTCGAAAACCCTTCCGCAAAAGCAAGCAATCAACTGCCGGAGTCAGTCAATATGACAGCCACTTCATTCTGATTGAAGCCAATCGGGCTTCACTGCAGCCGCCATATCGTCTTCCTGTTGCCAGAGCATTTGTGCCGAGTTCCGAAGCACAGCGAAGTACGGTCCTGACGGATTGTCCTAGGTCCTTCACCGGGTGTATACAATCTCATCAACACGGCCTTTCCGCCGTTGTTGTTCTTGTTGTGCAAAGATATGGCAGGAAATCCGTTCACCTCTACGGCCGGTTCGCGAGGCCGAAAAGAGCGGTTAGCATCGGGGGATATCTGCTCCATCGCTGATCTGTCTATCGGAGATCTCACGTGAAGAAGCATCATTGCTCAGTCTTGCTGATCGTTGACCGTTCTTTTGGTACTCTCACGTTTCTTCAACCACCGAGCACGAACGGGCGTCACCTGCAGCGGGAGATTGCCCAACAACATCGTTGAAAGTGAGGCTTGAAACACTTCCTAGTCCCTAGGCCACTAGAAGATCCGGATGTTAACGAGTGAATGAAATGGTTGTTTATTGTCGCCACCAGCACTGCCATAGCGATGGGAGCTTCCCGATTGGCAACTTGCAAAACCATGCACGCGCCCTGCAGTCAGTGGTCGGTCGTGCCCTGCTTTGGAGAACCTTGCAATATATCAGCGGTTGCCATTGATAGTGACCACTCACGGCAACTGTCATGCTCAGCCTCCTTCTCGAACGTTGTCCCCGGCTCGGGCAGGGAGCAGGGACTGCTTGACAGGGCTAGGGAGGCTTCTGCGGGCTTGTAAGAGTCCCTGCAGCAACCCCGGGTGTGTGGCCCTGGTCACGTTCTATATTGTATGTCAACATTCGACGCAGGGTCTCCAAAGGGTCTGCCACACCCCTGATCTCTCTGACGTGTTGTTGACAAGCATTCCTGAAGGATTCAGGGTCAACAACACACGCTGTTTTGCCCTGCATCTTGCTTGCGTGGTTGCTTGCTGCGCAATCATCCTGACCAAATTGCTCGAGGGTCGTTTCTTTACAACTGGGTTTTCTTGCTCACAAGCGACAAAGAGCTGGACGGCAAGTCCCCGTACTACTGGTAGTGGGCCTTATTCTGAAACGCCCGAAAACTGGGCTTCGGCACATAATTGTGGGCGTCTCCGTTTAGTCTGGTCGCTACTAATCGCAGCGGTTCACGGGTGGCACTTTTCACATCACTTCGCTTGCAAACAAAGCTCCGGCTGGCTCATTTGGGCCCTCAATCTTGCTTGGACCCGCGGACAGCCCACAGCACCCACCCGCCGATATCAAGATGATGAGATCCCTTTTCTCTTCAGGGTGCCACCAAAACAACGTCATATGGCCACTGTTGGTGTAAGGGATTGGTTCGTGATTGGTGCTAATGGGAGCAAAGGTGAGACGATTCAAGGTTCGGGTTTGCATTATTCTGAATGTCGCCAGCTGCCTGTTGCAGACGGCTGGAGATACAGCGTGCAGTAGACTCGGAAGTTGCAGTACTATCAGGTAAGAATTGTACTCGGTTCATGTTGTCAGAAGCTCGCAGGCTTTGGGGCATACGAACAGCTGAGTACCCAAGGTTTTGACGGATAGTACCAGTACTTCATTGTACAATGTTATTATTGTTATACACCTACTAGTAACGCATCTGGTAGGTAAGAGCCCGCTACAATCGTGACGGTGTACCTTCTCACGCCGGCCAAACTTGAGCCTCGCTGCACTGCATGGCATCAAAACACCCGCCACTACCAGGACATGATATTGAATGGCACCCGCTTATGTGCCCGCCGATGAGGCTGGTCTATTCCAAATTATCCCCTTCCCTCCGATTTGCGAGTGGTTCAAGTTGCAGTTCCGGCCAACCATCCGACGACTTTTGTCTGGAATAAGGTCGAGAAACCCGGAGATCTATGCACCTGCCTTTTCCTCGATTTGAGTTTACACCTTCCGGCCTCCCAGTAGGAGGAGGAGTTGATCAATGCAGCAACACCCAAACTGAACTTGGAATCCATACTAAGATACCTAAGGTAAGTACAGGCAGTACAGCTGGTACCTGGGCGTTCAAGCGCCCACAGGACAGACAGCACATCTCTTTGCCACCGGCCAGGCCACTGCATTGTCCGTTTCGGTCACGACAGCCATCCTACGGCTCTACCTACTCACCTTGGCTGCATTGCGCTAGGTAGCATGCAAGCCGGTACGGTGTACTATCTTAGGCACATGTACCCTACAACACTGCCCCAGTACATGGTGATCAACAAAGGACTCTGGGGGAAGGGCGAACTCCAGGTTGAAGGAAGAGTCTCTTGCTTGCAAACCCGGTCATCGCCTAACTAACCGAAGGCCCGAACCCCCATGTCCTGCATCTTCTGTCCAATGTGGTATTGTAGTAGTAGGCTATGAGACGCCGACTTAGATGTACAACGGTGTACCTTCGGTGCTACAGGGCAGTACTAGTAGTAGACCGGCCATCCAAAAATCGCCTGGTCGAGATCTTCAAGGACATCACGCGAACACTTGCCGTCCAGTCTTGCCAACGGATGTTTCCCGCTTCTACTAAGGTACCTTAAAAACAGAGGGGAACGAGGGAAGCTTTGGGCAGGGACTGTAGTGCACTGTAACTCGAGAGATAGAACGAACGAGGCCTTTCAAGTTATTATTGTCCGTTCTGCTAGTCTCACCACTGCAGGTGGACAGCTAATGCCTACTGTACGATGGCTTTTCGTTTTCCTGCACGAGAGTTTAGTCTCGGACTTGTGAGCCTCAGCCACTGCGGGTCTCGAAGCATCCAAATAGGCGGCCAGGTACCTACCTGGGTAGGTACCTGCTACGCGGATAGGGAGACAAGGCAACAGAAACAACGGAAAGTTGTTCCGGTAGGAGTCATCGTAGGATGCATGCGTCTACTGCGAATACTCGCCACCGAAGAAAAACAAAAATGTCCACGGGTATTAGTATCCGGCGGCACGGCCAGCTCGCTGAAGCTTCTTGGGCCTGTAGCGTAGGTCGATCGGAATGTCTCAGGTACGTGAGACACGTAGGTAGTCAAGACAGTTTTGGATGTTGGTCATGCGCTTGCTATGAATCTGAGTGCACCTCCAAATCATGAATCCACCATGGACGCCAACACCAAGATAATCTATTTCAAACTCCGGCTGAAGCAAAAAGTCATGATACTTTCATCCCGTCCATAGAGAACAACAAATACCGATCATCCGCGGGTAACGGTGAAATTCTGCTCGTGTCGAGGCCCGAGAAGCCTGGATGTTGAGATGTCGAGGGCCTTGGGAAGACGCTGGGGGATCATCGGATCAACAAGGCTCCAGCCATAGATCTGCCTACAAGCATGTCCGAGGCCGAAGGGGACAGTTCGACATGCCCCTTAAAGCAAGGTTAATGGACCGCCGGCTGACGACGAGCAGCGGTTGTTGTGCAACGTACTTCCGCAAAGGATCCGTTATCGGATCCTCTTCAGCCTCTCAGTTTGGAAATGTAGTCGATCGTCGAACCGGTCGCTCTGGGAAAAAGTTAGTAGAGTCACACGATCGATGACACCTCGGCGTTCTCGTACCTTTTCAGCAATGTTCTGTATGAGCTGGTTCTGTTGCTCAACTTCTTCACCGGTAGCACGAGCAAGTAGATTCAGACGCTTAGCCGCACCAGAAAGCTCGTCAATGTTGCGATCGATCTCATCCTCCATGGCGTCGTCCTCGCTATCAGCTTCGAACTGATACTTCGCTCGCTCGGCAAGGCTTGACTTGGTCTTTGTTCCGGCGGAGACCTCGTCTAGCCCCTTGAAATTCTGGTTCATACGCTGTGTGCTCCGAAAAGCGGCTTCTCGAGTCGCCTCTCGGGACTCTCGTTCTGCATGATGCCGCTCCATGATCTGCTCGTCGCGACGAGCACGCCTGTCCTTGGCGGTGAAAGGATTGCTGACATGAACTGCAAACATGCTCCTGTTCAGAGTCTTCAGTTCTTTCGCCTTGTCTTCGGCAATGTTGATGTGATTATTCCCAATATCTAGGTTGCGATCAGTGTTGTGCATTCTCTCGCCTTGCGCGCCGAGGCGAGCAAGAGTATTGCGACCCATCTCTTCGGCTTGAGCAGCAACGCGGAGAGCATTCCTCGTCGAGGCTACGTCCTGCTGCTTCATAAATCTGATCTCCTGCTTGGTTGCTTGGATATCCTCTTCCTCTTCCTCCTCAGCAGTCAACTGCCGATCGCCATAGGCCCCGTAACTTCGATCCCCGCCACCATTGGCCGCGTCGTACTGATAATCGGGTGGACCGGTTGTTTGAGGCTGTTTTTGTTCAACGCGCTCCCTTGCACCACCAAAAAGCTGGTCCCGATTCGGATCGTTGTCGTATAGGTTGTTAGCCCCAAGTCCGCCATAGCCGCCCTGTCGTGATGTGCCACCCGTTTGCTGGGTGCTCGCATAGGGATTACCACCGCTGCCTCCAGCGCCATAACCATTTTGATTACCAAACTTCTCTGCGCTGTACCCGCCGCCGCCATAACCACCCTGAGGTGGCCCAGATTTGTTGTCCGCTGGAGGGTTATTGGGCGGGCCGCCACCGTAGGAATTGTCCCTACCATATGACGGCCTCTGCTGCCCAGGTCCTGGCAGTCCGCTGAAACCGCCTTGAGGCGGGGGCCCTGGACGATAGCCTCCTTGTTGTGTGGTGGCCGCAAGGGGCGCCTGACCTTGAGGCGGGACTATGCCAGCATTCATCTTGGCCTTTGTGTAGGGATCTGGAGGCACAGCCGCCTGTGCATACGGATTTGAGGAGGGAGCAGGAGATTTGGACTTCGACCGTGAGCCAAACAGGGCGAGTCTACTTGAGTCGTCGTCATTGTCGCCCTTCTTGAAACTGAACTTGCCCATCTTGCTGTAAGTCAAATGGGATACACAGGGGCAGGATTTCGTAGAGTAACGATGTTCAGTTACTTCTTTTTCACAGATAAGGGAGGAGTGAAGGTCCAGGAAAAGTGTTTCGGGGGCATTAGAGTTGATATGAGACGTTCAACTGAAACACGAGGACGCGGCTGACGGGCGGTGCACAATGCCAGCGGCGGTCTATATCAGGAGTCTGGAATGACTTCGGCGCAGTCAAACAATGATGCGCCGCAGCAGTAGTAACAATGGGTATACTCTACCGTACAGCGTTTAGTGAGAGCAGGGCTCCTCCGCGCCTGCCCGGGTCTGGAGCTGAATTACGCCCCTTTCGTCTTGGCAAGTTTGTTCCCAGATTTGATATCGATATCAGCTCTAGCCTGTCACCACGCATCTCATGCATGATGTTTAGCAGGTACTGGGTGGGCTTGTCTCGTGCATTGATGGATCTATCCTAAACTCCCGTCAACGTAGGGCAGATGGCCCCCAACATAGACAAGGAAGCTGAGCACATCCGGGACAAAGCGAGGAAAGAACTTCTCGCATTACTTGAAGGAGTGAGCAGGGACACAGATGCCTCATCCTAGTATTTGCTGATCTCTTGCAGGTTCGTGGCAAGAAGAACCTTGTGATTGGAAAGGGCTTGACCGGAGCGCTGGGTCTGTTTGTCCAATTTACCCAGCTCAAGGAGTACGGCGTGGACAAAGTATTCGAGCTCGAAAATGGCAACACCGACTCCTCCCAGCGGAATATCGTCTACCTTGTTCACGGGGAGAAACCCAGCTTGGTACAGTCAGTAGCCGGTAAGTCCATGCAAGTCTATAGATTCGCCCCAGAATGGGGCCTACAAAGAGACTGCGCGGATTCTTCCTCTGTTCGGCGCTGGTCAGTCTAGCTCCTAAAATTGAGAAAACTATATGTTTATATCAGCATTTCCCAGTGTTGGAGACCTTTCATGATTCTTAGTCCATGCGAGGCATTATTACCACAGATGCTGACATTGTTCACCATAGAGCAAATCAAGAAACTGCAAAGAAATGGCTCTGTCGAGCATGAAATCTCCATTATCTGGGTTCCCAGGAGGACCCTCGTCTCCAACAAAATCCTGGAAGACGCAGGAGTCTTGGGCGACGTGAACATATCAGAGCTGCCCATCTTCTTCCATCCTTTGGAGGATGACATGCTATCTCTGGAGCTGGACGAAGCGTTCAACGACTTATACTTGGTACGTGCAAAGTGAGAGCGACCAATGTGCCACGTTTCCGCTAATTGGTTTCCATAGAGGCATGATCCGGGCCCGTTGTACCTTGCTTCCCGCGCACTTATGCAAATCCAGCAGCGACATGGGCTGTTTCCGCGTATCCTTGGAAAAGGTGACAATGCCAGGAGACTGGCCAACCTTCTGCTTCGTGCACGTAAGGAGCTGGACGCCGACGAAGCTGCTACTCGCTACACCAGCATGCCCAGCACCTCAATCGAACAGCTGATCATCATCGATCGCGATGTTGACTTCGCCACTCCAATGCTGACGCAGTTGACCTATGAAGGCTTGATCGATGAGCTGGTAGGTATAAAGCACAATAGGGCCGAAGTTGATTCCTCCATTGTTGGGGCTGCGCCTCAGCAGCGCCCTCAGGGCGGCTCCTCATCGGCATCAGCTCCAACGGCGGTCCGACAGGGGTTGAAGCGAAGGATCCAGCTGGATTCGTCGGATCCTCTGTTTCAGCAACTTCGTTCAGAGAATTTCGCTCTTATCGGTCCGCAATTGAACAAAATCGCTCGACGACTAGAGTCAGACTATGAAGGCCGTCATCAAGCGCGAGGCATCAACGAACTGCGAGAGTTTGTGAACAAATTGCCCACATTCCAACAAGAGCACCAGTCGTTGGCAGTCCATACCAATCTCGCTGATGATATGACCAAGCATACCCGTTCGGACACCTTCAACCGGGAGCTGGAAGTCCAACAGAACATTGCGGCTGGCACGGATCCAATCTACCAGCATGACACGATCGAGGAACTCATCGCTCGTGATGCACCACTCAGCACCATCCTGCGCCTCCTGTGCCTCGAGTCAGCCGTTGCCGGCGGCCTCCGTCCAAAAGACTTGGACTCGTTTCGACGCCAGATCCTCCATGCCTACGGCTTCCAGCATCTTCTCACCCTGGATGCCTTGGAGACGATGGAACTTCTTCAGCCTCGCTCTTCTGCGTCGGCCTTGCTCCTTCCTGTAGGGGGAGGGGGCGGTCAATCTGAAAAGGGGACGAAGACGAACTACGCATATTTGCGCAAAGAGCTTCGACTGATTATTGACGAGTATAACGAACAGGATCCCGAGGATATTGCATATGTCTACTCGGGCTATGCACCTCTGAGCGTCAGAATTGTGCAATGTGTGCTCCAGAAACAATACCTCCAATCCCTGCACAAATCCCCCTTACCGTTGACACCGTCCAGTATAGGCTGGACGGGCTTCGAGGATATTTTAAAGTCGGCAAAGGGCCCAACATTCACCCTCGCGCAGAAGCCTATAGATGAGAAGGCTGCCAAAGCCAAAGCCGCTCTTGCTGGTACAGGTGGTTGGAAGACGATCTTCGTGATGTTTCTAGGCGGCATCACGTTCGCGGAAGTTGCCGCTTTGAGGTTTATCGGGCGCAAGATGGCAGAATCTGGACAAAGAAGAAAGATTGTCATATGCACAACTGGCATAGTCAGTGGAAGAAGTATTATGGACGGAGTGATTGAGAGGTCCAATCTGGCTTCTGGCATTACTAGTACCGCATGAATGACTGAACCCTGCTGTTGGAGACCGACCTAGAACTTTGCAGACATGGCCTTGTCCCCTTGGCGTCGTTCCTCGCCAGGGAGACTGAATACTGCTTTAACACCAACATGATCCGTCACGTATCCCTTCTCGAGACCTCTTTTTTCGACCAAGGCCTTCTTGACATTGTCCTCTTCGACTTCGACACCGAGGCCAAATCTCTCGAACTTCTCACACCTCAATTGGCCACAGAAGTACAACTTGTCCATACGGGAGCAGCCAAATTTGTTCCTTTCCGCCACTGCCGCCATTTGGCCCCAGGTATATCCATCGTCGCTGTCCTCCTTTCCACCGAGAGTCAGATAGGCATCTTGGAGATTGTTGTCAGAGTGCAAAGTCCTGTCAAAGTCCTGGATGGCGTTGAGGTCTCCTCCCAGGACACTCCCGGCCACCGTCGGGTCATGCATGAACTTGGCAGCTGTGGCGAGCTGATGTGGCCGTTTTGGAGGATCGGCGATCAATGATTCAAGATGGGTGTTGCAAATCCGGACGACCCGGTTACCACCAAAATCCAAATCGACAAAAAGACCATCGCGTTCCATGACGGTCTGTTCGTAGTGGACCCGGAACACGGCGGCGATGGGCCAGATGTTCTTCGGAATGAGGGTGCAAGTGCCGTAGTGGCCGGATTCCCAATATTTGGAATCTATGTCGGTCAAATAGTAGTTGTCACGAACCCACTGCTGGGTTTGGATCAAGGCCAGATCGGATTCCAGCATTTCTTGTAGCATGACTATACATGGGCCGGAGCCAGACTTGACCTGCGACTCTAGTTCCTTGAGGGCGGCGCGCATCCTCTCATCTGGGAAAGGGAGCATGAAATCAATATTCCAAGAGAGCACGGTAAACTTTGAAGAGGGCACTGATCCAGAGGACGCGGCTTGATCCGGAAAAGTCTCCTTCCACGAAGCTGTTTCTGGAGAGAAGGAATAGTAGGGTTGATCATATCGCTCTCGTCGTTTCCAGGGGTGAGAGGTCTTCGCCTTGGACCGGATGAGTTCGATGATACTTTTGAGTGAATCGTCCATGTTGACACTTGAGGCAGGATATCTACTGCTAGTAGTGAATAGACAGTACCCGAGTCTCCCGAACAAACTAGTCGTCGGCTTCCGTGGAAAGGATGTTGGTCGCGGAGGACGCAATTGTAAGGTGGGATTTGCTTTCTGGAATAGTCCTCCCGTCCGCCTTAACGCCAGGACGATAGTTGCGCAAGTAGATTCCGTCTAGAAGATGCGGTAGACGAGCAAAGACAAACACTGTTCATAACTGTAGATGTGAGCAGTGTATGTTGTATTTTACAGTATGTCCTGCTGAATTCCCAGCTCGAGCCGGCGGCATCCAACCGAGGTTGCGTTGTCCTCATGTTCAAGTCGTTGGCCCTCAGGCGAGATCAAGTCCGCCAATCAGCGTCAGGTCAGGCTCAGCCTTGTATCAAATTTAATTATATACTTTCCAAGTGTACACAAACGCTGTAGTATGTTTGCTACCAACCTTCCATCACTGTCGGGTGCTAGGTGCACGGTCAATCGGCCCGAACCACCGATCATGTATAGCCCGATCAAATTCGGTTGTCCGTCTTGTCAGTTATGTCCGCGTCGCAAATTCAGTTGAATAACATTGGGGAGAAATTCATGGCAGACATTTCAGCGCAAGTTCGTGAGTCTCTATCACCGAGGTCGAGGTCAACAATGATCAAGCGGCCGCGACCAGTGATTTCGTGTCTGGAATGCAGAAGAAAGAAGCTGAAGTGCGACCGGACACATCCGTGCCGACAGTGTCTCAAGATCGGTCGTCCCGGGCGCTGCCAGTATCAAGACGGGCAAGAGCCGGAGCCCAACGCTGCACATTTGTCGGCCACAGGGCCCGCCTCTAAACGACGCAGTCTGGACCAGGAGTCATTGCGAGACACCACTGGCACAGGTGATGCCAGAGGAACGGGCGACGAATATGATGAGCATTTTGCCCAACGCCGCGGACAACACAGTGCTTCTCCCTCAGCAGCAGCGGGACGCGCGGTCGGAGTCATTAAGGACCTTCAACAACGGGTGGCAAAGCTGGAACAAGCGCTCCTAAGCCAGGACCAGCACCAGCTTCAACGCAGCGGAAGTGGACGGTCGATAGACCCCAATCAAGTGCCCACGCGGCCAAATGTCCTTGTCTCGGATAACTTGAGCAATGGTGCTGAGGAAGGTGGAAGCTCTTCTTCCCTAAGACCCCGTGCCGGTTCGCAATTCCCAGATGCATGTCTATTCTTGCAGAGGTTGCAGGACGGCCCAGAGGGTGCGGAGATGGTCAGTCTACGAAGTGAACTGAAGAGTCTACACGATGCCATCGCGACGACGAACCGGAGACGTGATAATGACCACCCACGTTCTACACCCGCGGCATTATCTCTGCCCAGGGACTCAGCGCATCAGTTGGCGTCGATGAGCGTCCAGTTCCCACCATTCGACGTATGCGAAAAGCTGGCGGTGCACTACTTCGACAATCTGGAGCACTGTTTTCGAATTCTGCACTGGCCCGAGTTCAGGACGCAGCTGGAAATATTCTCCACGCCCGGACAGGGTGATCAAAGCTGCAAGTTTGGCTTCGTTCCTCAGCTGGTAGGCGTGCTTGCCACAGCCTGCACGTTGGGCACACACCCGGAATGCGATGCCGGAGCGTCGTACCCGATCCTTCAACAGCCCATAGCCCTCAAATACATCCAAGATTTTCTGGCTAGTCTACCAGATCGACAGCGCTATTTGTTTCCGACACTGCAGGCCAAGATGCTGATGCTGATGCTACGATGGATGTCGGTGGACAAAATCGACGATCTGTTCCGGTTGAACGGAGAGATCCTCCGCGATGCCCTAGTGATGAAGCTGGACCAAGATCCGTCGACGGGAAACAACAACAACACAAGCATTTTCGAAGGCGAACTCCGCCGCCGCTGCTGGATGACCATTGTCGAATGCGACCTGATGCTTTGTATCCTGTGTAAACTACCCTGCATGGTCCCACCATATACGACGCAGCAACCGCGGAACGTCAATGACGACGAACTTTTCGAGGGCATGGATCGTCTTCCTCCTTCTCATCCTCTGGAAGAATGGACTGACGGCCTCTGCCAGTATGTTCTTGCACAATCGTTCCCCCGTCGTCTGGCCGCTTGCAAGCAGATGGACAGCAGCAGCGGTCATGTCATCGAGTTGAAAGACGTGCTTCTGCACACACGATACCTTGAACAAGTCCTTCGGGACCTCCCGCCGCCCCTGCGGTTCAGCTATACGGGCGACCGTGACAGCAAGACGCCTCCTCGCCTCATGGCCCGCATGGAGCTCGATATTAGTATCCGACGACCCTTGATGCATTTGTATTCACGATGTGCTGCTGCTGCCGGGGTGGATGATGATGACTCCTCTGACAACAGCGACAGTCTTATTCAGCAGACGCATGAAGCCCGCGCCGGATTCTTGCGCTCGTGTCTGATGCTCATCACTTTTCAAGATCTGTTTGATCCTCAATTCTCCGAAATCAATGTTCCCCGACCCAAAGGGTATTGGGATTTTTTCCACAATGTCTACCGTTGCGAGTTGGGTCAGGCTATCTTGGGACTTTGTCTGGAGATCAAAAGGTTGAGCTTGAGCTCGGCTGAGGAAGACAGAGACACACCAACCAACTCATTCACACCATTGAACAGTACAACCACTGCCGGGGGTACCAGTACTGGCACACAAACACCCCAATACTCCCGAGAAAGCATAATCGACTCTGTCAAAGACATCCTAGGCCCCATGAAACGTCGCCTCTTGCAGCATCAGCATGAACACCAGGACCAGGATCAGGGCGCCAAGGCCAACGCCATCGCAAACGCCAATGCCAACTTGAACAACTTCAGAGACATCATTTACTTGACTGTCGTTCTGACTTCTGTTCTGCCTCTATCCGCAGAACAAGAACAACAGGATATGCAAGTTCCAGAAGTTCAAATAGGTCCACCACATACCACTACTGCTGGCACAGCATCCTCGTCCTTGTCCTTGTCCAGTATTACTAGTAGGAGGCAGATGATGATCTACCGTGCCCTAAATGATTTTGTTCATGATTGCAGAGCTGAAATGGACCCAAGTCCAACTCAACGATCAGAACGTCCTGGAAATGACCCTCATCGGAGTCGGCGGCAGGAGGAAGAAGAAGAAGAGGAGCCTCAGATCAGTTCACGACGAACCCAGCAGCAGCAACAAAAGCCAACACCGACAGCTGTAAAATTTGATCCGACGTGGGCCGAGTTTCCTGATCTGGAGTTTTTGGATTGTTCTCCTTCTCCTTCTCCCTCGTCTCTTCCTCTCGTCGTTACTAGTTAGATGGTTAGAAAGATGGTAAACGTTGAACAGGAGGTCATCATATCACGACATGTCAATTCGTCTCTATCTATCTATCTTAGGTGTCCATCTATCCTGTCCATCCGTCCGCCTGTCTGCTGTGTACGTTGGTACGAACAAAATCCCCATCATCCATTTCCCGTGTCGAGTTACAAAAGGACAAAATGTCAAAATGTGCAGAGTCAGCCTGAGCCACTGACTGTAACAGGCTCAATATCCCCGGGCCGCACTCTATCCTGACGCTGGTAAAGAGATCTAGCAACTGCGTATGTATCTAAAGGCCAATATTGATGGCTCTTTGCAGTGTGTCTGTGTCTGCCTCAGTGATTTTGTGGCATTGTCATCAACACGGCCCTCTGTCGGACCATGCATCTCAAAATGTAGAACCAAACGCCGACGCCGACGCCTCTTGCCCTCTGAGTTTCTTCCACGTAGTGTATCGGACCAATGCTGTACGAATGTTTGCGAGACGCTTTTGCGCGACTCCCCCTTTTCTGCCGTATATATTCTTGACCCACTACTGGTGTTGATTTAATTCATGCTGAAAGCAAAATGTTCGTAAGAGCTGTGTGTGCCAGGAAACCAGCCCGATAGAGTAAGCTGGACGCCCTGTTTGTTGCTTCGGGTCACATCATAAACAAGCAAAAGAGAGTCTCTCGCGGTGACCTTGGCGCGGCTTTGCCTCATTCTCGGAAGGGAAATATTGCTCCCCATCCAAGGACCCGGTATGCTGTTCGCTTCGATAGAGACTTTGGCGCGACAAGTGCTGTCTTAGCCTCGTTCCACGAATTCAGTTGCCAGTGCCCGTTGGCCGCTTTCCCCACAAGCCCATGTACGACGGCGATGTGTCAACTGATACTGCTGAGGCGTTGTTCTGCTAACCAAAGTATTTCCTCAACGTTTCATAAATGACAAAGATGATGGCGGAGCTCGGGGCACTTCGGAAAACAGTGATGCCGCAGCCCCGATAGAAGCCTTTGAGGCCCTGCTCACGCCACAGGTCCTGAGCGGTGGACGCAAAAGTCATTTTCTTGACCGCGGCAATGTCGGCGGCGCTCGTTTGCATACGAGACTTGACCGTGTCGGCCGGGTAGAAGACAAAGTTGTAGGACATGCCGGCAGCGGCGCCGGCGCACATCTGCTGCCAAACCTTGACGTCCGTGACCTGCGACACAGATGGGTCGTACTTGACAAAAAGCGTCTTGACCCCCTCATACGAGCCAAACCAGGCCGCGGAGCCCCCTGTTTCCCGAATGAGGGTGCCCAACTGGCCATGCCAAAACCCGAGGATGCCCTGGGTGCGAAATACTGTCCTGATCAAGGCCAATGGCCCAGGAGGGCGAGCACTCGTGTGCGAGCCCAGGCTGGACGCTGAGGTGGGGACTTGCATCTTGCACTTGATCAACTCGATCGGAGTGAGCAGGAGGGACGTGAATGCACCAGAAGCAGCACCACAACCGACGAGATAAGGAAATGGCAGCTCGACTCGGCCGCCATTGTTCCGTTCCTCTCGGAGGGCGCGCAGAGACGGGCTGTTGGCCACGATGATGTCCTGGGCGATCCGATAGCTGAAGAACAACGAAGACGTCTCAATCGCCGCCCCAAGTAACGGCGCGCTGATTCCACGATACAGAGAGACCAGGGGGCCTTCGGGGGCTCGAAACGCCGCCGTAAAGGCATCGAGAGGTCCGCGGAACCGTTGGGCTCCAGACTCGGCGGACTGCGACTGCAGTCGCACCTTGATGGTGTCAAACGGGTATTCCACGAACTTGCCCAGTATTCCTGCTATTGACCCAAAAGTGATGTCCTTCAAAGCCTCGATGCTCTGGCGAGGAGGAGCGACTAGTTCTTCCGGCAACGATGTCGGTGCTGACGGGGTCGGCTTGTGGACCGCTGCCGGCTCGAGGCCGTCGACATTGGCCAACTCATTCGTGAAGGCTGCCATGCGTCTTGGGGTGGAAGAGAGACAAGGGGACAAGAAAACCCAATCCTGCTGCAAAAATCGAATGGTGTTATTCGTGGGACATGCTGCGGTACATGAGAAAGGGTTGGGTGCCTCTGGGACACTGGCGAGGAGAGGGGTCCCTTGTTGAAGACTCGAATTGATCGATCGAGGCGGTGTCGCGATGCAGTGCAGCGGTGGAGAATCGCGACGGAGTGTTTGCTCGACTTGGGCAGAATCTTAGCAGAAGCAGACCCAGAGTCAAGACTTCATCCTTCGACAGATGCTTGTGAATGGTGCGACAGTGGCCGCCAATGCATGCTAGAAATGCTTGACCAGCAAACTGCACCGATGTCGCGGGCGAGACACGAGATGTGATGTGTCTTGGGTCTTCTTTTTTTCCTTCCGGGCGCAAACTTCTGACTCGAGGGGTTGCATCAGACTCGGGACACTGAACGGCGGAGCGACCCGACGAGGTTTAGCCGGGTGCTACTGATGCCGCTAAGATAACGGTTTCATCCAGTAATCGGATATGATTAGATTAGATCGACAAAATTCTGTTTCTCCGGCTGGGACCACGGCAATACTGGAGGAATAGTACCACTCCGTTCCCAAGCATCGTGTTCCTGTGGTCTCGTATTCTTGTGGCCCTTCTTCATACGGCCTACCATATACCGGGCGAGACTATCCAGCAATGTCTGCGGCATCTCCGACTCCCCAGTCGAGCACCGCTACTTCGGCCACTGCGGCAACCGCTGACAAGCAAAAGACTGCGCAAAAGCCTGGCATGCGCGTCAATGGTACGCCCGGTTCAAAAGTACACGCCCAATCTTGACACTAACCGTAAGCTACAGGCAAAAACTGGCATGCTCCAAAGAAGCCGTTCCGCCCAACAGCGGGCCAGACGTCGTATGCCAAAAGGAAGGAACAAGATGCGATCAAACAAGCAATCAAGGCCAAAGAACAAGAGATGAAAGCCGAGAAGGAGGAGCAGAGAAATCAGCGAATCCAAGCCATCCGAGAGCGAAGAAAAGCCAAAGAAGAGAAAGAACGTTATGAAAAGATGGCCGAGAAGATGCACAAGAAATTGGTCGAGAGGAGGAAGCGGAGGGAGAAGAGGAACAAGTTGCTGAAGAGCTGATTGTTTTTGCCCTCAATCTTGTGCAATTGCAACGATATTGAATTAACCGTGCAACTACAACTCCTGCAGGCCATCACCTCAACCGACCTTTGCCAACTCCAAATGTCGAACCGGAAACAGCATTCCCACGCACCAGCCAGCTTTGTGGCACTCGCTGAGTGACTCCAGGAAATGAAGCACTTGGGAATATGCTTTGATGACCATGGGCTGGCTCATATTCAAAACGCCTTTTGGACACTACGAGGACAGGAACGCCGGGGACTTGCAGGGAGTGGATGGGCCATCCCTCGAAAAGGGGTGTACGCTCTAACATCTGCTTGTCCCCAGCTGAGCCGCAAAAAGACAACGTGAGATGAGTAGTCCTCGCTTTCACTCACGCAGATGCGACGACCCCTACAACGGTGCCGGTATTGGCGGCATAGGGAACCGAGAATCCGTTCCCAGTGAAAATGGATATCAGTCAGGTCCAATCCGCTCCAGCGAAACTAGGAGCTGGGGCACGGCACGCAAGAACACAGTCAGATCTCTCGGACTGGTATCTAGTGCAACACTCTCCTGTCCCGGTAGACCAGCCCGCAACAAACAAACGTCACGACCTAGCCTCGGAAAGGAAAGCAAAGAAGCAAAGAAGCAAAGAAGCCGAGTCCAGACATATATTGTCCCACTCCCTGCAGTCCCCAGGCCGGGGTTAGGAATACCATCTCATGAGTCAAGCAAGTTATCAAAGCGCAAAACCCGACGAAAGGAACATGTTTTCTAAGATCGTGTTTCTCGGCGGTGTGTCTGTCTCACGAACTGAACGGAATGTCGATGACAGAATTACCAATCTTCAGTTTTAGCGAAGAGAATGCGATCTCCAGACCACGCAGCTGCTCATTAATTCCTTCCTCCTCGAGATGCGCGAGCGTTGATCGCTGTGACATTCGTACCGGGTGATCATCATTACCGAAGTAATCTGGGTTGGGATTGTGCAATGCCCACGCAATGCTGATATGAAACGCGTGCGACTTGTCGTTGCCGGCCTTGATTTCTCTTTTCTCTTTTTGCCTCTGCTTTTTTTGAGTCCCTTCTCGAGACTGACGCTGATGCTGATGTTGTTGATGCTGATGCCCTCGTTTCGTCCCATCTTGCTCCTGTACCTCTTCTTGTTTCGTATCTTCTTCATACAAGGGTTGCAGCCCAAACCGCCTCGCGACCTCATTACACACGGCCAAAAGTGTGTTCAATTCATCGTTGTCCGGCCTACTGAGTTTCAACACGAGAAACCATCTTGACCCATCTTGATTCGCAACCCAATCGAGTCCCGTGACATGGACCGTGAACGGCTGAAGTCCGAGGCGACTCGAATTTCCAGAGCGGCAACCATCAGTAGTAGTAGTACTACTTCTTGTTGTCCTCAATTCGTCACAAAACCTTTCTTGAAATGCACTCTTTTGGTCCGTCCGCAAAACCAACGGCGCAGATAGACTGATGTGTAGAGGAAGGAGGGCACCTAGTTCCGAACGTAGGAAACTATGTAATTTGACCGAAGGTGTACCACCACCACTATCGGCAATGTCTCCAAGATTCCGTTGTTGTACTCGATCAATAACCCCATCCAAGATCTCAACTTGATCTCTCGACGGGGTCCATTCCAAAAACACGTGCGTCGGCCAGTTGCCGGCGACGTGCGGAATCTGTCTTTTGCGGCCGGCGTGTAAGGACGGGTCGTCCGCTGCAAAAGTTCTTACATTGGTGGCGTATAGTGATGCGAAAGACGGTGGGAGTGGTGGTGGAGAAGACGACTGTTTATGTTTGTGTTGCTGCTCGTCCACGCGACGGCGTTGAGTGGTACCGGAGACACCGTCGACATTGACAATCTCGTCAGCCTTGCGCTTCCGCTTGTTCGACACCCCTTCTTCATTCCTCCAGGTCTTGTTGCTGTCGTTTTCGCTTTCGGAGTTGCTGCTTTTAGAGTAATCCACCAGCATGATCTGGTTCTGGTTTGAACAGAACACTCGAGTAATCAAGGAAAGAAAGGAAGAAGAGTGCAGTGAAGCAAAGCTCCCGGGATCCGAATCGAACCTCGAAATTTAGAACAGTTCCGTCTATAGGTGATGATGGACTGTGGCCTGCCACCGTGCCGTTCCTTGTGAGGCGTGTGCTAGGTATTCAACATTCATTTCTAAAGAAAGAATAATAATAAGATAATAAGATCAGTACCAATAGGACCTTCAACGGCACGAAATTAAATTCAGCTCCCGAATCAATAGGGGATATTTATTACACTCGCGGATGGATGTGCAGCACGTCAAGAGAACTGTTGTATATTGTCTACCCTAACTATTTTAACAGGGCTAAGTCCCCGTGCAGCACGACCACCACCACATCGTCTTGTCTACTACTATAGCTTCAACCAGTACATAGACGACCCGAAACCAGGATATTACTGTAGTATCATGTGGTCAACGTGCGATATCGCACTTCATCAGACCGATAGAGCAAGGAAAACTTCAGCTTTTGGCCAGACAAGAGAGGCCTGGATTGTTGAAAGGTACAGTTATCAAGCGAGTGCACGCATACGAAACAACCAAACATGTATCCTCATTGCGCAATCCGAACTGCACTACCGAACGAGAGCGTGGTATCTCTATGAAATGAAGCCCACCAAAACGAAGGATATTGGGCTCGACCAGTCTTTCCGCTTCTTCAATCACATCACCATCACCATCCTAACTGGCATGACTCCTTACTTTCTACTCTCCATTTGTCCCGCGCCTGCTCGGACGCGGCAGCCAACATTGCACGATTGTTGTTATCGCATCCAATACATACACCATACTGTTTACGAAGCACACCTTTGGGCGCATACCGTCGTAGAATAAACTGGTGCTTTGACAAGGTCCTATCCTGGCTAGCGCTTGGATGAACCCAACTGAAAGGTTCCGGGTATCGATAGGATATCCATCTAGTCATCTTGGAAGAATCTGTAGTGCTCATTAGACTTGCTTTCCAGACTGCTTGAACAACAACAAATCATCACTTACCGCATAATGGCCTTGATGCCCCTTGACCCGAGACCATGGGGCGGATAGGCAATCCACAAAGGATCTGCGACAGCTCCCATCTTCTCTCTGAACTCCGACTTCCTCACCAGGTTGAACTGCTTCACAATGGCATCGTAGGTGGCTGACAACACCTTAACCTTGGCACCGCTCATATGATGCCCAGGAGTCAGATGAGCAGCGGCACCGCCGCCAAAAGTGACCGACTTAACACCAGCCTCTGCAGCAGCATTGAGAGCATGGGTAGTGAGGTATTCAATCGTGCCGGATGGGGCACCCGGGAAATCCAAGGTGTACTTGGCTTGCCAGCCGCGCTTAGGGGCAATTTCGCACATGACCGCAATACCGCAGAGGGCACCCTCTTTGTCCTCGGCAATGTAGAATCGCCTATGCTTCTCGTCTCGGAAGAGATCGATGTTGGAAAGATGAATCTGTGTACCCTTGCGGTTGGACAACCAATCCCTAACTCTGGCGTTTGCACGTTCCTTGATGCTCTCTGGAACGGGCTTCTTGGGATCGAGATCAATAATCTTGACACCCTCAGCTTGGGCCTTCCGGATTTTCCTGGCCACTTCTGGGTCGGATTCGGCGGTCTTCTTGTGCGGGTCGACTCGCTCTTCCGCGACACAAGAGAGCGTCTTCCAGCCAAGGCGTTCACCGAGGATTTCTTCCATCTCTGGACCGATCAGGATCCAGATGGGTTTCAGGTGAGTCTCTTTCTTGAGCCACTGAAGGAAAGCCACGACGATGCGGTAGTACTGGCTAGGGGCGCAGAGAGGGTCACCTGGCAAGATGGCATAATTGCCAACTGGCACGTAAGACACTGCGGCACCGGTGTCGGCGTGACGCCATATCTTGTACCTGGCATCGCCCCAAGAGGTGGCGGTTGCATCACCGTAGTTCGCAATCAGGTCGTAAAGATCAGGCATTTGGCGGTCCTCCGGTGCGACCTCGCGGCCGCGCTCTTTGCGCCAGATGGGGTTCAGGGTATCTGCTTCGGGATGACGAAGCTTGTCAACGACAGGCTTCAGTGGGAATGACTTGGGGTCTCTGTGGAACATCGAGGCCAGCCTGATGTTTCCGAGCTTGAGGATGAGCATCACAATACGTTCAAGACCGACACCACAGCCAGCGTGCGGTGGCGCACCCCATTTGAAGCCTTCCATGTACTCGGCCATGTCTTCAGGATCGATACCCACCAAACGCATGTTATCTTCTAGCATTTGTGCCTCGTGGATACGCTGCCCACCAGAGATGATTTCTTGCCCGCGAACAAAAACATCAAAAGAGTTTGTGTATCGTTCGTCATTTGCATCCGGCATGGTGTAGAAAGGTCGTGCTGATCTTGGGAATTTATCCAGGATATAGTAATCGGTCTTGTATTTCTCCTTCATAAGCTCACCGAGACGGATCTCGTCGCGAGTGGCAAGATCCTCAAGAGGCGAGATGGGCTCACCGTCCTCGTTCAGCCACCCAGATTCGTTAAGCATCTGTATGGCGTCCTTGAAAGGAATTCTTGGTGTTTCTTCGAGCCAGACCAAATCCTCACTAGGGAATTGCTCCTTGACGATATCGATTTCCCGACGGTATCGGGTATAGACCCCCTTGAAGATGTTCTTGAGAGTGTGGTCAATGACGTCCATCATCTCGTGGTAGTGCTCTTCAATAGCCATCTCCAAATCAAGACCCGTATACTCGGTCAAATGGCGATGGGTGTTGGAGTTCTCGGCCCGGAAGACAGCGCCAATCTCGTAAACTCTTTCAAAGTCGGATGCGATAGCCATCTGTTTGGCAAGTTGTGGGGACTGGGCAAGGAATGCTGGACGACCAAAGTAGTTGACTTTGAACACCGATGCACCAGACTCTGTAGCAGCACCTTGAAGCTTTGGAGTATGGATTTCCACAAAACGTAGTTCGTCGAGACTGGAGCGGAACAGGTTTCCCACGGCGGATTGGATGCGAAATATCGACTGGGAGGTGGCCGTGCGCAGATCCATGATACGGTTGTCCAGTCTGGTGCGATCGGGAATCAAAGCCTTCCGTCCCTCTGTTTTCTGATCGTCGTCAGAGATGGCCAACTCAGCCTCCTGGACAGAAAATGGGACTGGGAAAGTCAGTATCCAGTAAAGCGATGGTCAGAAACACTATAGTACATACCTGGTTCGGCTCGCTTGACAATTACATGCAGGTTGGTCACTTTGACCTCCATAGTGTGTATGGACGCCGACTTGACTGGTATCTCCGGCTTTTGAAGCACTCCCTTGACCAGCATAACATTACCAGTGCGCAAGTGCTCGGCCCAATGCACCATGAGGGCGGAGATCTTGCCTGGCTGCTCCAGTAGGACACCCTGAATGGTGCTGAGCTGTTGTCGAAAGATGAGGAAAACCAGCTTCGCACCCATCCTTCGGACATTGTGCAATCTACAGCGGAAAGTGATTTCTTGTCCCACCATCTCTTCCGTGATGGTGCTGATCTCGATGCGGTCGGTAGTGTGTCGAGTGGTGGATTGCATCAAAGGAAGATCGCCATAACGAGCCTTCATCTCTGCAGTCTCGGTCTTCGCAGCTTCTTCCAATCGTTGCTTCGACCGTTCGGAAGAGTCATCCCGGTGCTCCAGGCTCAACCTTGACCGCTGCTCATGCTTTTTTTGTTTGGCGAGGGCCCTTTTTTGTGCATTTTTGCTCAGTCCATCACTGTCGAAATCACTCAAGTCGGACTCATTGTCGCTGGAGGTATAATCCTTGTCGCCGAGATGCAAGAATTGCGCCAGCGAACGGCGGTGGGGACCCGGACTCTGGGACGAGACAGGAGAAAGCTCTGAACTGGCTCTAGGGGAGTCGCTCCCCTGAGTGTTGACCTTCTTCGACAACTTTCGAAGGACAGACATGTTGGCTGGGGCAGAACTGGTGATGACTCCTTCAGTGCTAAAGGGAATGCAGGTGTAGGGGGAGTTGGGTTTGTAGAGGCCGAGTATTAGGCCCTCAATGACGTGGGAGGTCAATCCAAACCGCGCAGATTTTGTACCCTCGCTATGGTGACGATGATTCCAATGACCAGCTGCTCTTCCCAAAGATTCTGATTGTCCGATTAAAGGCTGTTATGCGGACTTTCAATCACGCTCCTAGCCGGGACAATTTCGAACGATCTCTCGTTCTGAAGAGTTTTGCGAAGTGGTTCGGTGGAAGATAACCATACGGCGCTCAACGGGGTGGTCCTGGCTATGACGGGATGTCGCGGCTAAGGAAGATTTCGAGGCAACAGGTCGGTAACTCGAAGGGCCGACGATACCGAAGTCTTGGTCTGGTAAAGAACTGTTGCGCAACAACAGCAACAGCAAGAATGTCGGCCAGGCAGAAACAACCAACACTGGCAGAAGACGCAGGTGGGAGTGGCTGGAGGAAGCATTCGTCGGGAGGCTCGGGATGTCCGTGGGAGAGACCCGATATGCCCAGATAGTGCATCCTCGAGTTGGCCGTAGATCTGCGATAATCTGCTAATCTGCTTATTCAGGCGGGGCGTTGCGGGTGCTGCGGGCGCCTCGACCGGCCGGCCTCAGCTTCATTCATTATTAGTTACATGTCATGACTGAGGTATCGCCCATATTCAGTCCATATGCCTCTTTCAGACATATCGCATTATTGTGTCCATGGCTGAACTAACGATGCCAATCCGCGATAGATTGGCGCCTTGACCGTGGCCGGATCTTGTTGTGCAAAGCATATTTTTAGCGCTCGTATTAAAATGCGAGGTTGGGCACTGTCGTGGCCGTGATCACGTGTGCATACGCACAAAGGCTGAATAATTGGGGCTATATGTCATACCATGCCGCTTTAGAGTCACGGGATTTGCCCCGTGCACGAACCGTGCAACACCAACCCTGGAAGCAATTGCAGTCATCATGGTACTTGATAGAGCCCGAGATGGATGAGACGCAGTCGAGGTCAAACAGACACGACTGGCGGTGCAAGCGTTATGAACTTGAAGCCAAGATCGTGCCATCTACATAGCCCCGTGGAGACTCGCCTGATTACCACTTTGAATGTACAAGGTGCATGGTAAGCAGGTCTATTCCTCTCCTCAACGGACTCGAATTCCTCCGTCTGACCCTGCCTACCTGGTACTCACGTACTCAAGGGCTGACCGCTTACCGGAAGTATATGCATGCCTGACAAACAAACTACTGCACATGTGCTACTGCTTGGGCGTTTGTTGCCGTGATATCTTCAGGCGATTCTGAAACGTTTTAAAAAACTGGTAGAGAGTGACAGTAGCCCACAGCCACACTACGCGTCACCTCAAACACCTTCCAAATCCCTCTGTCAAGGGTCCTTGTCCTCGGGGCGACATTTCGCCGCAAGCGACGGACGCATACTACACTGTATATAACGTTGTAACACTCCAGAGTCACTATGTTTGTGGTAATCGTCGCGACAGGTGCTTAATCGGGCAGTTGGTCGTGAACCATTGGCACTCCTCCCAAGGCGCCTCCTGCAGTGATACTACATCATACCACCAGGACCCCTGCCCAGCGCGATTCCGAGTGGCATGTCTGCTCTATCAATTACCGCATCTTTCTCTCCCCTTCCCTCCTGCTATACCATTCTACAAAGCTGAACCAGATGCACTGTGCTACTTCGTCGTAGGTCAATCGGTCTCCTATACTCAATCAGCAAAGACACCATACCCGTACACTACCGGCGGTTACGTCCTCTCCTCGCGTACGGAGAATGCTCCTACAGTCATGGCCCAAACTTCCTCGACCATGAACAACTCCAGTTCGGAGGATTCCTATGACATGACGGAGGCGAAAGACTTCGCTCCCCCGTCGCAGAATGCCCCAACTTCCCAGAGTTCAAAGCCCGTGAGGATTACCTTCAATGATATCGACGGCTTCGAAAACGCATCCACCATCGATCCTCCTGAGAACCTGCTGGCGCAGGCGTTGTCCACCGAAACCGGTTCGAGCAGACCTCGTTCCATGTCCCACCACCTATCGAGCACAAAGGTTCCCTCGCGACGGTTGCTGAAGTTGAAAGCCAGATTCTGGAGAACACTGATGACGCTCGCGATGCGCTTCCACGATTATGCTCCACCTCGCTCACCCCGACCATCATTCAGACGCAAAATCCCCACTGACACCATACCGATCGAACTCTTCTTCTACCTCCCTCCAAGATACCACGAGACTCTCGCTAGAGACCCTGAGTTCCGCTTTCCCGCCGTTATCAATTTTCATGGAGGTGGCTTTTGCCTGGGGGACGCAAGAGACGATGCATACTGGGCTAGAATCGTGCTGGAACACACCAATGCCATCTTTGTGAGCGTCAATTACCGTCGCGCACCCGAACATCCTTTCCCCATACCGGTAGACGACTGCGTCGACTCGATTCTATATGTGGAGGAGCACGCCGCGGAACTGCACATAGACCCGTCCAATTTGGCCCTCTCTGGCTTTTCCGCCGGCGCCAACCTGGCTTTCAGCGCCCCGTTCCGGCTGGTATACCATCGCAATATGAACGCAGTCGACCGAAAGTCATCTCGGCCCAATACCTCCCACAGCGTCGAATCCGACCTGGAGGTCAACGACCGTTCAGGGCAGGACCATGAATCCCACCAATTCGTCACCCCGGTCCACTCGACTTCCAACTTGATCCGCCAACGGACAAACACACCACTACAAATCCGGGCCATCATAGCATGGTACCCTCTGCTGGACTGGACCATGTCACGAGCGCGGAAGATCCGCGAATCGCGCAATCCCAAAAAGTGTCTTCCCAAAACCTTTATCGACCTGTTCGACTTCTCCTATCTGCCCCCGCCGGACATTGCGGGCGATCACTGCAGCCCCTATGCCTCCCCGAGCCTTGCGCCGGACCACATGATTCGCGATGGCCTCCCTGAAGATATTCAGATGTGGCTCTGCGAGTGGGACATGCTGCTCCGGGAAGGTCAAGTTTTCGCCGACCGACTCGACCGTCTCGGCAAGAGGATCGACAGCAAATTAATCCCGCGCGTGCCTCATGCATGGGACAAGTCCCCCAATCCATTCCGGGACCAGAGGGCCATTGACATCTTGTATACCAAGTCGGCAGTGAACTTGAACAAGGTCTTCCAGGACAAGGAGGGATTCGGCCCGGCAAACTCCATGAGCTCTCTGCATCCTACGGATTCCATCATCGAGAGACAGCCTAGGAGGAGCATCGTTCTACCGATTTGAATATGGGGCGAATTCTTTATGGAATCATAAAAATACGTTTGTCGCAAGCGCGTCAAGGGCAGGCCCTGGCGTTTAGCTTCTTTACTCATGTCTGCTGCCCCTTCTTACTGCTTAAACGCACAGCTACGAGACGGGCATGGGATACTTCTCCCTCCTGGTACATGATTTGAATCATCCGATTCGATTCCAGACAGCATGCAAAGGCTCTTCGATCTTTTTTCTTTCTGTTAGTGAAAAATGGGTTTCATTTTATAGCGTCGGCGTTAACGGCAGGGTTGAGTTTGATAGAGGGCGAGGTTGCCCCATGACTATGAAATGTCGAACAAACATTCGATCCGTTTCTGACATTCTGGGGACTCCATGTACCGTTACTAGGCATTTTACGTGTCTTGCGAGCAGCAACCCGAGATGCCAGGTCCTAAAGCCACCAAAGTCGGTGTTGACCACGGCGGGGGCTTTTGTACCGTATGTAGAGCAATATCCGACGACGTTTCTTTTTTTCAAGGGCAACAAGAGAGCCAGACATGTTCTGCGCTGGCGTCTATTAAAAGTTCAATACATTCAAGTTGTTATGCCTTAATACCACTGCTCGATCTATCATACGGATCTTGTTCTTGTAGAGCCCAGCCTGATCTAATCTTCTATCATGCAACCATCCTCACACCCCAAGCTTAATCTACGATATGTTCATTTGGGATTTCTGCCCAGCTCTCCTTCTCGACCTCACCCAGACTTCTTTGAGCCAAGATGCCTTGACTCTTCATCCGGCCATGTCCAAGTCCCTTAGTAGCGTTTGAAAAGGTAGTGGCTGTTGGTCGTTGAGACGGCCGGGAAGAACAGCTTGGCAGTTGGTGTAGGGGGCATGCATGGTGCAATAGACGACTGGTACGATGACTCAAATGTCGTGTCCAAAGGTCCATATGTACCACTGGACTGGGTGACGTTGTTGATCAGAGGACTATCAGTGGCGGTATTTGATCCGACCCCAACGCTCGCGGTCAAACTACTATTGTAGCTCTGAGTGAGTTCGGTTGCTGTGCCCAAACCTGTACCAGTACCAGTGCGCACAGTGACGTTGGCGGTTTGAGGACTTCCGGTTACTGTGCCGGACGCTGCAGCCGAAGCAGTCGTAGTGGTCACATTGTTGGTCTGAGGATTTCCACTTCCGGACCAACCTGTGCCAAGCGTGCCAGTGAAAGAGACGGAGATGGGTGGTCCCCAGGTGGTGATGTTGGGTGCTGGCCAGGACGATCCGGAACCCCATAAGGTTACATTCGAAGATGGTGTTGGCAATGGGGTCGGGGTTGTGATATTGCCTGAAGCATCAGGGGTGGTACTGGTAGAGTTCAGAGAGCTGCTATTCGACACGATGGCGGGGGCAAGGTTGCTGCAGACAATGGTCTGATATTGTGCAACATGGATTCCCAAGTAGTCTCCTATGGTGTTGAAAACACCTAGATTGCCACAAATCTCGGTTCTGTTGGTTGTGTATCCGGAAGCGACCCCCAACCCCCAGAGAGCAGCTTGTAAAGTAGCATATACAGTCTGGCGATTGCTGTTGAAGTCATAGCCGTGATCGGCAATCCAGCAAAGAAGGTTTCTGATTAAATCAGGCTTGAGTCCTGAATCGAGCATTTCCATTCGAGCTTGGGTTGTCTGGACTTGTTGACATGCGAGGCCGACATTCATGCCGGAATCTGCAACGTTGAGAGCAAACATGGCCGAGATGATCTCTTGCATTGAATCTAATGCCGGGCCTGACAGAATCTGAGCGTTCGGAGCGACATCAGTGATAAAAGCAGCCACCTCTTCAAGCATGGTATTGACATCCGCCCGACGAAAAGCCTGTGGCTTGCTAAGGCCCCGTGGATAGTTGTGGTGGTCGGGCTGAGGCGCTGTTCTCTTGGAAATTTCCTGGCGTCCGACGACTCCTCTGGTAGTTACCGACATTTCCGGAATGCATTGGACACGGGTGACTGTAAGCATGGAGCTGGTGGTTTTGGTGGTGAAAGGGCCCTGAGTCAGTCAGCCGACAGTTTCGCTGGAATATACCATATGTCTCACCACTGGCTCAAGATTATTGTCGATGTTTGTGACATTGCATAGGCCACACTGTACAGCCTGCCATTGTCAGTAGGATCCAGGCACCGCAGACGAAGGTACACTGACATAGATGGTCTGAGTCATGATTCCACCATAGATTGTGGTCGTTGGACCGCTCTGAGGGGGAATATAGGGAGTGAAGCTCAAGGTGCAGCCTGGCGAAGCGGGAGGCTTTGAATATGCCGTACAAGCAGGTGTGGGTGTAACGGCAGAGAGACCTAGGACGGCCATGGCCAGAACTAAGACGGTCTGGAGCCACATTGTAGCACGGGGAATGTGGGAGATATCTGGAGAGCTGAAGAGACCGGTTGGGTGAGGAAGGCGGAGCAGATGTAGCAAAGCACCAACACTGGCAGTGAGAGTGTAAAGAAGTGAGCCGGAATGGAGAGGATGCAGGAAGAAGAAAAGTTCCAGCCGGGTGAAGGAAAGGTGAAGAAGAGATGGATATGACAGAAAAGACAGAGCTTGAGGTCGCAGGCGCAGGCGCAATGCAAGATGGCAGCAAGGAAGGAGAGGAACTTGAGAAGCCGCGTGAGAGCACAATCAAGGAAGGCGCAACGCAAGAATTGAACAAGAGAAATGCGAGGCCTGCAGTTCATGATACTACGACCTAGTAGTATCAACCATGGCAGAGGCAACCGCTTGCGTGGTCGCACCCCAGTGTTGCATGTAACTCACTTCCCCTTCGAGTTCGGCTTATACAGGGATAGAACACCTGTACTATCAAGAAGCAACTTGAGCAGAAAGCATGTAACCCGCTTCTACCGACGTGCGGCCTTCAGGAATTGCCCTGAAAGAGGTGCGAAATCAGACAGCTGAGACAAGGCTAAAGAAACCATCGAGCAAGATTGTCCGAGGCGCACAAGGCGCTGCTGAGACATTAAGTCACGCTGCGCGCTGTGGTCTCCAAGTGCATATCGCATGGAAAGGGAAGACAGCCTTGTCCCCGTCCTGCCCCTTGAAATCCATATTGCCCGATTGCCATGCGACTCGGACAACGAGTCTGTTTCGTTCCACACTACAAGAGTGCCAAGTTCCTTACCTCATACGTAGACATCTTATGGGCAATGGAGACACCAGCTAGCATCTGCTGTTCGGTTGCGCCTGGAATGGAGAATCGAGGTAATGGAGAATGGAGGACTCACAAGGGGTTCCCGTGTTTGAAGGTGCACGTGATGCACCGGTCGCCATTATGAGGTGCACAGTACCTAGGTATAGGTACGTGTAGCAGTTCAAGTCAAGTCGTAATCAGTGTAGCTCTGCACATAGACGTAATTTGTTCCCTTTGCGAGAACTCTTTCGCAGCCTAAACGGCCTCGAACGTCGGCAATAATGCCCAGGGAACAGTATCCTGGAGGCAACGATGCTGTCATGCCGCTAGGTTATAGTTTTGTCGAGATAGGTTTTTTCAACCCGACTCGTCGTTTTTCGAGAGCTGCAGTGCCTGATAAGGTGTGCAGCGGTATCCTTGCAGCCGCATGCATCTTCCTGCAGAGCAAGAAGCGATCAGTGATCGCGCCACTGAAAGCTTAGCCTGAAGCGAGGCAGCGGGCAAATCGGACAGTCTGTCTCAGCATTCGGCCCTTTCGGTTACATCATGGTGATGCGCATGTTCGCGTTGACATCTCCAGGTCATGTCATCGTGACATTCGAAAGGCAGCTTTGAGTGCGGGGTGTGCAGCTGGAGGAATTCGAAGCGGGTATCGTTGCCCGACGCGATATCACACTTGATGCAGGAATACTATAGTAACCCATTCAGTTGTTGCAGAACCCCACGCTGGCCGTTGAGCAGGGGGCGGCAAGGCCATGCGACCCTTGCTCCGTCGACAAATCGACCGCATCTGCCTCTGAAGGCGGCATCTGTGCACCAAGCCATGAACTGTAGCCGGGAGTTGGTGCTGTCGCACTGGAACCAAGCATATACCATGTGGCACGTGTAAAGCCTAACAAAAAAACCCCATGGAAAAAACCCCATGGATGCGATGGCTGTTGTAGACATATTGGAGGGTGACCAGCAACTGACTGTCGTGATTCGACCCTTGACAGGTCTTTTCGGGGTGAAGATTCTGCCCGGGAAGCGCATCTTTGCCATAAATACCTGGTATGTATGGCATTCGAAGAGTTGTTATCATCGCAGAATCTTGACTGCAAGTGCAAGGCAAGGCACGAGTCATTTTGTATGATATAATTCGTGCCTATCTGCTCAATTGAATCCACGGCAAGCTCAAGAGAGTGTAGGCTGCAGAGTGGAAGATGGCACACAGCAGCCAGCAACATCGCGCGCTCCAAAAAAACCATACATGATGATGCTCTCTTGGACATTTTACCAGCACATAAGCATTTATCAAGCCACGTTCACCAACTCAGAATCGACCCTGAGGCCTCATCGTTGTGTTCGGTTGCGTTGGGAGGAGAATGGCGCAAAACGACGCAGCGTTTGCGACTCGAATGTGGTTACATCCGGCGCCTCATCTCCTCATATTCTGAGGCCTCGAGGAGTCGCCGAACGGCGGCCTTGATGCAGACCACACTCGGAGATGGCAGACAACAATTCAATGCGCTTTCACCATGCAGTAGTCATACAAGGCATTTCCGCTTGTGTCCGGAGGACGAGGATGGTAAGGACAACAAGACATGCCAGGCGCAGTCCAGTCGAAAGGATTTGAGTGTCGGCGCAGGCGCATCAGGCCTCACGACAAGATGGCCTCCAGGAAAAGCACTTCTGCATCGTCCAGATATTGCAAAGTTTCGCCTCTCGAACTCCGCGGTTCACAACTCATATTTCGCTCTCGGATGTCTGTCCACGGACCGCATAATCCCTCATGAAATACGGTGGGATCAAAGACAGACAGATCATCAAGCGCCTTTAAACGGCATGCTGCATGGTCGTGTGGCGGGCTGCCACGGCAACGTCTCTTTCGGAGATGCGCCGGCACTCGTCTCGATGTTAGCACCGAGGACGGAGGGCCACGGTGAACGAGTTGTGAAAGGCACAAAAGCAGCCTCCACAGGAATCTTCTACAGGACTTGAGTGGATTAAATGAACCAAAAGTCGTGGGGTGGATGCCGATTTTGTCGGCCGGGTTTTCCAGAAAAATGCCGCAACAGACGGTGAAGCCTCCACCACTACTACACCCAGTCCCAACTGTAAAGCAGAGCCGACATATCCTTATCGAGCCGCTGTGCACCGAACTCCGTGCGACTCTTCAGCGACGAGGAAGTTCAAAAAAGGTTCCAGCTCGGTGCTCGGTCAAAAAAAGGGAACGACGGCAATCTCAAGATGGACATCCAGTTTCGCAACTACGACAGTAGCCTATGGCGCCCACGGAGATGCGTGCTCCATGGGTTGGATCCGCGCAAGATAGTAATCGAATGATACATTATTGTACAGTAATAACAAGGTGCCAGCAACATATTATTATTGTCGTTGATCTGCGTACAGCGTACAAGGCTGACGGGCACAGACCAGAGTACTCGGACTGGCCCAGTCGGTGCCGGCGGTGAAATCCTGTCGTTGCAATTTCTTTCCACAACATTTGCTGTTGTTTACATGGCCAAACATTCCAATTTAGGTCCCAGTGGGCTAGCCGGGCCAGGGTTTGTGGCAGCACCACCTGGATATGCGCCGGCACCCGCATAACCCAGCGCTTGTGGCGCTAGTGAAATTCACGTCCTATGCTTTCAATCAAAGGGTGGGCCTTAACTGGTGTTTTGAATCTCCCAAAGAACCATAGCTGGCTGGTTCAGACCCAGGCAGAGCCACCAGGTTTATTTTGATTTTGGGCTAGGTCCTGGAGAGCAACGCACACAGGGACCGGCCGAGTCTGAGCTCAACGATCTGGTCCATCTTGCCATGCAAGAAATAAGGTATGCTCCGGATGTACGCCGTCTGGTATCATGCAAGGTGAAGTGTCGGTTAGTAGTCCGAAAGGTAGGTAGTGGTAGAGGTCGATGACGCCGAGCTCTGGCCTTTGCACGGCCCTGTGTGGGAGGTAGCGGAAGTCCCAGCTTACTGCTGCTCTCTGTGGGCAGTAGCAAAAGTTGCCCGTTAAGGACTCGTGGCCGGCGACTGGTGCCGGCAAGCTGGGGATACCATGTCGGAGCAAGCAACGACGTCGCCCCGATGTCTCGATGTCAGGGTTCAAAAATGGCTCGTCGTTTGAAGTCCACGACGACCTTGCGATACAAAGTGTTACATTCCCACCCGAATAAAATGTGTTCAAATGACCACCATCAATAGATCGATGCACGGCTAGCTAGAACCAGCTAGTTCTTTTCGGCGACCCATACATCCACCGTCGCCAAAAGCCGCCGTCAACTAGTTCGCCAGTGATGATGCTCGTAAATGATGCGACGTAATGAAGTCAGCGTGGGTCGGTCCACCTTTCCCATGTTCCGGCATGGGTTCGTAAAGAGAATAGGATCGTGAATATCGAGCCATCGGAGACCCTGTGATGAAACCCCGGGAAAGGCGAACGGTGTTCGGCATCGCCCAGAAAGCAGTCGACAGAGGGCTGAAACGCTGAAGAGGTGAACAATGCCATCTGCAAGCCACTCCCACTGCGACATCGCCGCCAGGAGAAAATAAATCACTCAGATAGATAGTGAGGCAGACAGCGAAATGCAAGATTACACCATTGCTGAATTGCACACCTGCCCAGATGTCTGGGTTGCAGTTGTGGCCAGCAGTGCAGCATACCGAAGGGTCTACATACACAGTCCGTACCTACGTACGTTGTGCATACAATCATCTAGCAGATTTCCACAGAAAATAGCCGTCAATCGAAGTCGTACTCAGCAATGACAAGGTGCTTCTGGGTACAATACTGAATTCAACAGGTGCTGAGAAGGACGTAGGTTTTCCTGCGTCTCATCGCCGCTGGATTTCATCTTCGCATCGCTCAATCCTCGATGCAACAGGGAACGCACAAAGCCACATATGGGGTATAAACTCCAACTCTTGCTCCAGCTCTTTCTGGTTGCCAGTACACCTGAAACACGGGTCTCGTGGAGGAGGAAGCTGCCAAATATTGGGAGGCTGGGACCTAGTCATAAGACCGGGTTCAATAGTACTTTGAATCATCCAACAATGCGAAAAGAAAGAAATAAATCGCAACCCAGCTGTCATGAGCAGGCCTTCACTCCGTCGTGCTGATCTGTCGCCGTATCAGAGTTTTGACATTTTTGGTCTTCACGTTCGTCTCGAGGTGTGTCCGGGGAGCGCCGTTGTACGTTGTAGTTGCAAGCCACACTGAGTAGAGTGGTACAGTAACTGGCTCGCGTTCTGGAGGATGCTGTAAGAAGAGCCCTACCTGGTAGGCATGGCAATACTGTAGGTCCGACCAGCATACAACGTACAGTTGCTGATCAGAGGCTCGAGAGGACCTCAGTACTACTGCTACCGCAGCTCACAGATAGTACCGGCGTCTGTGAAGTAATAATCTACATCTCTACCTACCACCTGTAAGGTAGGTATCTTCAGCTGCTCACCAGCTGGTTACTGCTACCAGTTGTTCTCTGGGTGCTCATCCACGACCTTCTGGAGCCGCCCAGCTGCGCTCGCTGCCAGTGCAGCCAAACAGTTGCGGCACCTTCCCTAGCTATCCCACGTCATTGGCGCAGTGAATAAATCCCACAGAAAGAATCCGGCGCTGCTGACTACGAGCCTACTAGTGGCATAACTAGTAGCGAGCAGAATTTGGGCTGCCCGCCTAGACTGGAGAACGCACAGCAGAAAAAAAAATCAAAACATCTCCCAGTGGAGCTCTGCCGCAGGTCCTCGTCCAACTGTCCACTTCTCTTCCTCAACCCACTCCATCCACCCACATCACAACCGACTACTCGCATCCCTGCCAGTGTCCATCCGGCGGATTGACGGCGCCACCCCAAACAGCCATAGTCTGTTTCTTCCTGCACGGACTTGTGGGCGCGCAGACAGTAGCTTTGTTGTCACCATCACCGATTTTCACCCAGGTGCGTATGTTTTGGTACGGCGAAACGCAGCCTGTTACCGTCAAACCCTCCCGTCACCTCCGTCTTTCCCTTATCAAATGGCTCACGCGGCATGCTCGCTGACTTCAAGCCCAAGGAAAGCTTAAGCAGCCAACCAGATTGTTCGCCCGAGGACCTTGCTCGAAACTATCGCAGCTCCACGGCTTGACGGATCGCTGGTGGAGCCCATCTTCCTACGCACCCGCCCAGTCAGTGTTGTGAAGGTGAGCTTCCCATTTCCTTCTGCTCTACTCGCATGTTGTGAACGGCCGTTTACTTTAAAGAGGGGTCGTACGCCGCAAGCTCAAAGCTCTCTTCTCTTCCCCCTTCAGCTTGGTCTTCACGCCCGACCTTGTTGTCGTCGTCGGTTTTCTTCTTCTTTGTTTGCTTTCCCGCGTACTAACCTCTCCACTCCACAGTCAACATGGCGGAAAAGCAGGATCTCGAGAATGGCGACCCCAAGCGTGAAAGAATTTCTTTCGCCGACGGTTGGGATCCAGACAAGGACGAGGGCGAGTACGCCAACCTCATTCGATTCATTTCTACATACCGCGACCGTCGCTTCTCCAAAGCACCGTCTCAAGTTTCGGGTGAAGATGCTGCAGAAGCCACTGCCAAAAAACACCCGTGGTGGAAGAAGCTCTTCGGTATCACCGCCGGCCCTGGCGAGCTGTACCAGGTGCCTGAAGAATGGCTCAACACCGATATTCACACTGGTTTGACAACCGCTGAAGTCGAAGCTCGACGCAAGAAGGTCGGCTGGAACGAGTTGACGACCGAGAAAGAGAACATGTTGGTCAAGTTTATCGGTTACTTTAGAGGTCCTATTCTTTATGGTGAGTTTTCGGCCTTTTCTCCTTCACTCTGCCGAGCAAACAAACTAACAATGGACAGTCATGGAACTTGCTGTCTTGCTCGCTGCTGGTCTTCGGGACTGGATCGACTTCGGTGTCATCATCGGTATTTTGATGCTTAACGCCGTTGTCGGTTGGTACCAAGAAAAGCAAGCTGCCGATGTCGTCGCCAGTTTGAAGGGTGACATTGCCATGAAGGCTGAAGTCGTTCGTGATGGTAAAATCCAGGAAATCAAAGCTCGTGAGCTCGTGCCCGGTGACATTGTAAGTCTCCTTGATTCTCCTTGGTTACACATTGTTGCTAACATCCTATGCAGCTCATTCTCGAAGAAGGTTCCGTCGTCGCTGGTGAATGCCGTCTGATCTGTGATTTCGACAACCCGGCCGGCTTTGAGGAATACAAGGAGATGATGAATGACCCAGAGGGCTACCACTCCAAGAACCACACCGACTCTGACGATGACGAAGAACACCACATTGGTAGCTCAATCGTCGCCACTGATCAGTCTGCCATCACTGGAGAGTCTTTGGCCGTTGACAAGTACATGGGTGATATCTGTTACTACACCACTGGCTGCAAGCGCGGCAAGGCTTATGCTGTTGTCACCGAATCTGCTCGCGGCTCCTTCGTCGGAAAGACTGCGTCTCTTGTACAAGGTGCCAAGGACTCTGGTCACTTCAAGGCTATCATGGACTCTATCGGTACGGCACTGCTTGTCCTGGTCGTCTTCTTCATTCTCGCGGCGTGGATTGGTGGTTTCTTCCACAACATCGCCATCGCCACCCCTGAGGACAGCTCGATCAACTTGCTGCACTACGCCCTTATTCTGTTGATCATCGGTGTCCCTGTCGGTCTTCCAGTCGTTACCACCACTACTTTGGCTGTCGGTGCTGCCTACCTCGCCAAGCAAAAGGCCATTGTCCAGAAATTGACCGCCATCGAGTCTCTTGCTGGTGTCGATGTCCTCTGCTCTGACAAGACCGGTACTTTGACTGCCAACCAGCTTACCATCCGTGAACCATATGTCGCGGAGGGTGAAGATGTCAACTGGCTGATGGCTGCTGCGGCTCTCGCCTCGTCCCACAACCTGAAGGCTCTTGACCCCATTGACAAGATCACCATTCTGACCCTCAAGAGATACCCGAAGGCTCGCGAGATCTTGCAACAAGGCTGGAAGACTGAGAAATTTATTCCTTTCGACCCGGTGTCCAAGCGTATCACCACCATTTGCACTCTCAAGGGTGAACGATGGATGTTCTGCAAGGGTGCTCCCAAGGCTGTCCTGTCGATTGCCGAATGTGACGAAGCCACGGCCAAGCACTACCGTGACACCGCTGCCGACTTCGCTCGTCGTGGATTCCGTTCTCTCGGTGTTGCCTCCAAGCGCGGTGACGAGCCATGGAAGATTATTGGCATGTTGCCCATGTTCGACCCTCCTCGTGAGGATACTGCGCACACTATCCTGGAAGCACAGAACCTCGGTCTCAGCGTCAAGATGTTGACTGGTGATGCCATTGCCATCGCCAAGGAGACTTGCAAGCTGCTCGCTTTGGGAACCAAGGTCTACAACTCTCAACGTCTCATTGCTGGTGGTGTCGCCGGTCCTACTCAATACGATCTTGTCGAGAAGGCTGATGGTTTCGCCGAAGTCTTCCCTGAGCACAAGTATCAGGTCGTGGAAATGCTCCAACAGCGTGGTCACTTGACTGCTATGACTGGTGACGGTGTCAACGATGCTCCATCTCTGAAGAAGTCTGACTGCGGTATTGCTGTCGAAGGTGCCACTGAAGCTGCTCAGGCCGCCGCCGATATCGTTTTCTTGGCTCCTGGTCTCAGCACCATCGTCGACGCTATTAAGGTTGCTCGTCAAATTTTCCAGCGCATGAAGGCATACGTTCAATACCGTATCGCTCTTTGCTTGCACTTGGAACTTTACCTGACCACCTCCATGATCATCATCAACGAAACCATCCGTACCGACTTGGTCGTCTTCTTGGCCCTGTTTGCCGATCTTGCCACCATCGCCGTCGCTTACGACAACGCTCACTACGAACCCCGCCCTGTCGAGTGGCAGTTGCCTAAGATCTGGGTTATCTCGGTCATCCTCGGTATACTCCTTGCCATTTCTACCTGGATCATGCGTGGTACTTTCTACCTCCCAAGCGGCGGTATGATCCAAAACTTCGGCAACGTTCAGCTTATGCTTTTCTTGCAAGTCTCACTGGTTGAGAACTGGCTTATTTTCGTTACCCGTGGTGGTCAGACCTGGCCATCCTGGAAACTGGTTGGCGCCATCTTCATTGTCGATGTCCTGTCCACACTCTTCTGTGTGTTCGGCTGGCTCTCTGGCGACCCAGACGAGTTCTTCACCAAGCCCGTCGATGTCTACTCTCGCGATCACTACAGCGTCCAGACCTCCATCGTCACTGTCGTTGTTATCTGGTGTTACTCGATTGGTGTGACCATTGTCGTCGCCATCGTTTACTACCTCTTGACCAGCATGAAATGGATTGACAATCTTGGTCGTTACCAACGCAGTCACGCCGATACCACAATGGAGAACATCCTCGCGCATCTTGGTCGCGTTGCTCTTGAGCACGAGACTGATGTTCACGGCAAGTCCAAGTGGGTCTTGGGATCAAGATCTACTGGCGAGGAGGAAGATGTAAGTTAATTCTCGTGAACACCCTTCACTTTCAGTTGCTAACTAGCTTTCCAGGAGTAAATGCCATACTACCATGGGTAGAGGTTTTAGCTTTCGGTGTCGGGCAGCAGCAGCAGGTAGCTGCCGGAAGCGCATGATCTTTGTTGTTATTTCCTAATTCGAGCTAATGGGGGTGCCAGCTATGGAAACAAGCGGGTGAGACTCGAACCGACCGACAATTACCATGTATTGTTTTCCACAGCAGTGCCAGAACAAGAAAAAAACCATGAAAATGATCCTGCTTCTTTAACGGCAATAGAGTTGTGATACCATCTGGCTGTTTTACTAGTGCGAGGCTGCTCATGGTCAGTTTAGCTGCTGGCCCTGGTAGTCTCACCATAATTAATTCCATGTACTTAGAGTACAGTACTGTCCTGTTCCTACAATTTCTTGATGGTTGGCCCATTGTGAACCGAGATCTGAGAGATAGCTTTGCATCTCAGCCCCGATCTCGTCTGCGGCAGAATCTATCCGCCGCACCCTGTATCCAGCCTGGCCTGCATATGCCCCGGCCTGAAAGAGTGCTAAGAATAAGGATCAACGGCATCGGCCGAGCACGAGTTAGGTACTGTATCGGCATGCTGCAACACATGCCATATGGGAGCATCCTCCGTCTGCCGTCAGGCTTACGATACGTCACAACACTACCATCACAGTTGTAGGACCACGGGTTTCAAGAGCCTTTGGCTTGTCTTCCTCTACGTTCTCCTGCCTGTCCCGTGATTTGGCTACTATGCTAGTGAGCTGTACAGTTCGAGTGCCCGCCTTTTCCTCTAGGAACGCTTAACAAGAATAGACAGTCTGTATCCCTCCCGTAATGCTGCGCACGCTTCTACGAGTCACTCATCTATTGGTCTACGACCTTAGGGACTAGACTATTGGTCTCTCAATTGGCCAACCTAAGCGAAAGCATACTGTACATGACCCTAAGCCAATGACTGACACATCTATTCCAGGATTTCGCTGGAGCGCTGTAGGAAGGGATTCCGGCGGTTCATCAGGCCTCTCTCTGCTCTGGATCAAAACAAACAAACAAACCGGCTTAACAGACCCGTGGCCGTTTGAAATGTCAAGCTGCAATCGTTTGTGACACTTGTCAGCCGGTAAGCTGAAGGGCGGCTCGTGCACACTCGAGCAGTCTGACTAGGTATGCACGGATGTCGAGGACTATACCGTAGTAGTAGTACCGGTTTGTCTCAAGTCGTTTCAGACTCGACGGCTGCACAAGGCAGTTGAAGCAGCGTGATCCAAGTTGGCAAATTAAGCTAGCGCACCTCGATATCGGCATTTCGCCGAATATTAGTGTTACGGTTGGCAGTCTCTAGACCTTAGGCACCATTTTTAAGCACCCTACCTATATACTATGGCTAGGCCCCTCGGGCCACGTTCTGACCTCCTAAATACCAAATCGGATTCTATTATAATAAGTATAACTAAGGTCGAAGACTCTCCCGTACCCTCTCGCTTCTGTATGTTCAAGTTTCGTTATCTAGAAAAGTTTAAGTATATTACTATAACTTCTTATAATATTATTTAGTTACTAAAACAAGTTTGGTGAGGCTACCGAGCCACAAGGGCCATTCTCTCTGTCAGTGAGCTTTGAGTGGCCACTGCACTCCGAGTCCAAGCATGTATATAGATAGTGCGGCAACGAGAAATTTCCTCCTGGTGTAGCGAAACCAATCATAATACCACCAGTTTAAGAAAGAGACGCCTGCACGGCCTCAGTGTTTCTGTGATTAATAAGGTGATGGAGATCCTTTGGGTGCCAAGCGGTGCACAGACGTCGAGGACCATCGGACATAACCTGAACTTCGCTGCTGGCCCGGAGTTAGCGATATTGGAGTTTATTAGTAATGTTGTGGACGTTCTGGTGGACACCAATAAAAACATGGGCCTACTGGTGTTCACACCTGTAGTAAGGAGCTGTGTAAAGATACTTAGCAAAAAAACACGGGTTATCAGGTGGGCAACACGGGTGCAACACAGCTTAAACCCACGTCTTTCCCGTATAGCGCGCACGTTTCCACGGTCTCGCTAACTCCGGATTTCCAGCCATGTTGAACCTCTTTAGAACCATAAAGTACCTTATATAGTCCAACGAGGCCCCCCAGCCCGCTGGCTGAGATAGAACAAGTCCTCCGTGAAATCACAATTTTCTTCGTCACTTGTACTAATTGCCCGGTATGGATTCCCAACACCTCCCTCGGACAAAGTCCATTCTCGTGATAGGTTTCGGGGAACTCGGCTCGGCCATCCTTCACGCCCTGCAATCCCACCGCCTTTACAGCCCCGAGGAGAATAGCATAAGTGTGTTGGTACGGCCCTCCACGCTCTCCAGCCCGTCGCCTCAGAAGGCACGCCAGCTAGACAAGTTTCAAGCCGAGGGCATCACATTGGTGCCAGGGGATATCGAAGGCTCCGAGGATGGACTAGTCACATTACTCAAGTCATATACATCCGTCATCCATGCAGGCGGGATGAATTTACCGGCCGGATCGCTACTCAAATTGACTCGCGCCGTTCTTGCAGCCGGAGTTCAGTACTATATACCTTGGCAGCACGGGGTCGACTACGATGTCATCGGGCGGGAAGGCGGACAAGGCATGTTTTCCGAGCAAATCGACGTGCGGGATTGTCTTCGCGCTCAGAATTCGACGGCCTGGGTCGTGATCAGCTGTGGCATCTTCACGAGTTTCCTGTTCGAGGACTTCTGGGGCGTGGTCAAGAATCTCCCGGACAACAAGGTCCAAGTGACTGCGTTGAATTCATGGCAAAACGTGGTGACCACAACTGCAGCCGAAGATATTGCGACCTGTACGGCAGAGTTGCTGCTTTGTGCCGATACACCCGTCAATGGGCCAGTGTACATCGCTGGGGATACTTTGACCTACGAAGAATTTGCAGATGTGGTGGGACAATCACTAAGGCGAGAAGTCGTCAAGAAGGTCTGGCCACTGGAATATCTAAGGGAGGAGAGCTTGAAGGACCCAGGAGATAAGTTGAAGCGGTATAGGGTCGTCTTTGCAGAAGGCAAGGGCCTGAGTTGGCCTAAGGAGACAACGTGGAATGCTCAACGTGGGTTGAAGCTGATGGGTGTGGAGGATTGGATTCGAAAGAATCTAGCATGAATACTGATAGCAGAGGGTTCAGCTCAAAAATCTGCCGTACACTGGCATCTTTCGGAGGGTGATTCTTCCGCTCCTGTCATATGTGCTGAGTGTCTTGCTGGCACACTGTCCAAAGTAGATATATCACAGGTTACAATGTAATTTAGTACCCAAAGTACGCAAGGTAAATATGAAGTGATGGTTGCTCGAAGAAGCCTCGCGGAGCTTTTAATCTTCTTAGAATGAGAGGTCTACCTAGGTTAGGTAGGTATCCTAAGATGGTCCAGAATCCCCCGACACTGGAAGACATGGCCAAACCGATACATTGTTGTTCCCCGGGCCGGTAATAAGCCCCGTGCGATATCGAGACAGAAGTCCGAGTCCTCCGCAAGAACCACACTCACTCGGGGGCGCAGGCAGCCAGGCAACAAGGCATCGCCTTGGTGCTGACTTGTCAATGTATTTGTTGTTGCTGCCTACCGCATTGTCGTCTCTCGCGTGTCTATAGCTCTGGCAGAAGGTATTAGTAGTATGGGATACCGGTACAGCGGTGCTTCCTGCCACACTGCAGTATCTAGATAGGTAGGCATTGGCCTTACTTCGGTTATCTTAAGGCACCTAGTAGGTAGGGAACTATTTACGGGCGAATCGGCACCTTACTGTTTGCCGACACCTATATTAATACCTAGGCACTTTAGGTAAGAGGCACTACTATTATAGCTGGGTGTCAGGGCTAAAACAGAGCCAAACCACCTAAATCACAGGTGCCTAGCCACCACACTAAAAGCGGGTAAACACCTTAGATAGCGATAAGCGCAGGCACTGCAGTAACTGGCACACGTTGGACTTTACGGGTTCAAGTTTCGCGCGACTTGTCCTTTTCCCGAGACGACTGCGTGGTAAGAAAGTAGGTAGTGGTCTCGACGGCCTTCCTACAACAGAGGCGTTCCTTTTACTCCTACCAACTCCCTCCTCAACTGGCCGACTCAGTGCAGTCTTACCGACTTGCATTCAATCCATCATTGCTTCACGTTCAGGAGACTGTGGTTCGACAATTTCATCCCGCCGAACCAGTTTACCTGCTGTACCTACAGTCCCTCTCCCATGCACTCTCTACGTTAATAAAGAACGAACGACCACCCGATCATACCCTTTCCCCGGACGAGGATTCGAATTACAGATTAGACCACCATGGAGTACCTCTCCCTCCTGATTCCCATAGCCTACCTAGGCATTCTGATCGGCTCCATGGCGACATTCTCGCACCTGTACCGCCAACGACAAGTCACATCGAAACTGCGACTAGCACCCTACTTTGGCCCACACACGACTCGCAACATCTACTTGTCCTTGTTACATCTACAAGATCAATCATCAACTGCAGACTCGACGACAAAGGTTCCAGATAGCATATTGCGCGCGGCGCTCTTAGCCCGCGCGGTCGAAGACATCCAGCGCATCAGGGAGATCCAAACCCGCAAGCCGGCCCTCGCCCAACTCCTTCAGCGCGGCGTGGTCGGCGACGAAATTTTCCAGCGTCTCCAGCGGGCCGAGCAGGAACTTGAGCTCGAGCTCAAGGATGTTGTCGCCGAGGCGAATGCCCTCGCCCCGAACTGGGGCCTGTCGATTTTCCAGAGCGCAAATGAGATGGTTCAGAACAAAATTCTGAGGGATAAATTGGATGCCGTGAAGGCCACTCTGCCGGCCGAGAAGGAGGCTTGGGAGGCTCAGCGTGAGAGGTCGAGAAGAGAATTGTTGGGAGAAGGTGAACCAACTTCGAAAGGTCCGGCGGCGCAGCAGCAGCAGGGTTCGGAACAGTCGCCCCCAGTGGCCACTGGTGTAACAGCAAAACAGCAGCAGCAGCCGAGTGCAGAATTGTCCTCGACCATGGCGGAAAAGGCAGCCAGGTCGGCGGCTCTAGCTGCAACCGTGACGGCAGGTAGTGATGATGAGGGTGTCATGGTTGAATCGCCTGGTGTGGAAGCCACGAACAGTGCTGCTGCAGCTGCTGTCAATTCATCGACAACGACTCCTAGCGGAGGCGCAGGAGGCGGTGGTGGGAAGAACAAGAAAAAGAAGGGCAAGCGGTGAAAAAAAGTTCCTAAAACGAGGCACGTGTATAACATGTTGGTTGTGTTTACGAGTTTCAGAACCGAACCTTTATTTGTTACCCTGACACGGTGAGGATTCTTCTTTGCTCGCCCGTCCGCCACGCTTTTGCCGAAGGCTTCTAGACTTCTTCGCTGAGAACTCGGCTATCTCTGTGAAGGGATGGATCGGGAGCAGAATCAAAAAGCAAGCGCCTTTACTACGGTTGTGAACGGAGTTTTTTTTTTCTTGCTTCATACATTTCTATGTTACAAAGTAGATTTATTTCTGCTGGAAAAGATGATGATACATAAGGTAGACCTGAGATGAGATTGCATCCAGACATGATATGTCCATTTGATATATGTAGAGTAATCGGCTGTCTATTCAACGCCGCGGACACCATCGTCCCAATCACGACGGACGAGGACGTCAGTAGGAACTGTAGTCCTCATCTGCGTAGCCACATCGGCCACGTCTCGGACAAGATCGACAACACGAACACCACCGTCCACAGCCGTATTATTATTACTATCCAACGACGCCTTTTTCTCGATCACCATGCATAGAAAAGATGTCAAGACATCCAATCGCAGGCGCTGCGCTGCAGGGCTCTCGAGATCATGGTACGCCTCGGGTTTGGTGTCTGTTTCTTCTTGCATCTTCTTGTCCATCATGGCCACAACGATCTCGGTCAGAGTCTTGACAGCAGTCTGATACTGCGCGGTCTTGGAAACGCGACGGTTCCGACCGCGCGCTGCGCGTGGGACAACGGCAGAGCCCAGACTACTAGAACCTGGGGGGTTTCGGGCAGATATGCCGGTCAGGTCGGCAGCAAGCGTCCGCGCGACCTGCATGATGACCAAGCGGACGACATCTTCGTGCGGCAATATGTCAAACGAGTCCCGGAGACCGTACAGCGCACACAGCGTGCCGTGCAGGTCGTACGACAGACAAAAGGCCCGGATGATTTGCTCGTAGAACTCGGGGGAGAAGTCTGCCTTGGCCGCGCGCCGCTGTTTGGGTTCCAAGGACAAAAACCACTCTTGCATTTCAGCAAACAACGTCCGCGCATCCGGAAACTTCTGGTTGTGTGCCGCTGGAGAGCCGTAATGCGTCTTTGCTGTGTCCCAGAGCGCCGCGAAGGTCTCGAGGTCTGGCGGAATCGAGTCTCTGAGCGTGCAGTATTTCCTCCACACCTCGGGAATCTGACCTGATCGAAGCGACGCATAGAGCCAGTGGTTCATGATGAATGAGTTCGGTTTAATCTCTGCCGACGTCGTCATGACATCCGTCAGATGGTCCGCGTTCGTAAAGTCAGAACGCCGAGTGTAGTGCTGTAGCAGGATGGAGAACGTTTCGACCGTAGCAGCAGGGGTTCCTCCTCGCAGCAGAAAAGATGGCGTCGGTTTGGTTATCTCTGGTTTCACTGTGGTGGCGGTGGGCTCCTCGGTCTGCACGGGTTCAGTTTCAGAGCGCCGCTTTTGTACCAGCTCAATGCGGGCTTGAATCATCATCCAGGCGGTACTTTCGGCCTTCTGTCGCGCCCTGGGAGACCCTTCACGGAGCCAGGCTGCAATCAGTCCGTTCAAGTGGCGGGCATCGGGCTTGACTCGTCGCTCATACATAAGTTCCACCACGGATGCGGCATCGTCCACCTTTCCCGCCCCAAGCAGCCACTTGATCCACGCTGCAAAGAAGAACTTGTTCTGGAACGACCGTGGGAGTGCGGCAAGGGTGGAAAGCCCTATGCGATTGACCAGATCTTCACTCGGAGTTTGTGAGGACTGTGTACTCGTACTCGTGCTCTTGGCTATCTCCTGGAATATTTTCCACGAGTCACTTGGCGACTTGGCTCGAAGCATGAACATGTCCTTGAACACCGCCAGAGCCAGCTCTGTACGACCCGCCTCGAGGATGACACTACTGGTTCGGCCAAGGACGCTCAAGGTTGTCTCGTCATCTTCCGAGCTTTCCAGCCGTCGCCGGAGCTCTAGGTAGCAGAGCCAGGCTCGCTGGGCGGCTGCCGGGTTCTGGCTCTTGGCCCAACTGGCGATCACCATCACAAGCACCGCCGGGTCGACAAGAGTGGTGTGGTCATAGCATTCGAACGCCAAATTCTGTGCTTTCTGTGGTCTGCCCAGTTCAACGTAGATCTGGATCCCCGTTACCCAAAATTGACCGGCCAAATCTTCTTTGGTCCCTAGCCGGGGTCTCTGCGTCTCCCACATTTCAGCCGCGGCCGCAATGTCTCCACTGGCTCGGAGAGCGTCGATGTATTGAAGCCATTCTTTATCCTCCAAGGGCACATCTGCTTTCATCATATCCTTGCCCAGCATTTGGAGGTGTTTGGGCCGGTAGTATGTGGTGCTCTGAGTCCTCCACAGAAAATGCCACACATCCTCCGGGATGATGACGGAGAAGTTGGCCACATGTTGCTGACACCGGAGGTACCATCTCCAAAGCGTGAAATAGAGGCGCTCGTTTGGCGGTCCTTTCTCCGCCTCCTGCAACGCCTGGTTGAATCTCTTGACATAGATTTTGTCTCGCGCCGGTATGCCCAGGGTAACTTTCAAAGACGCTTTCTCGCGCGCTTCTCGCTTGAGAACCTTGTCGTCTTTGGCCAGTTCGTCCAGTTCCTCGTCCGTGATCAGATCCAAGTCTTCCCCAGGCATGATGCCCTCCTCTTCAAGAGCTTTGAGAAGCTCTTCTCTTTCTTTGGCCGGAAATGAACGCATGAACTCGCTATCCGGACCAAATGGACCTTGTCGCATGATGGCGAGTTCGCGATCCAACTCTTCCAACTCCGCTCGAACTTGTTGTCCTTCCTCCTCGAGATAGTCGTGGACCGGGACTCTGGTCGAATCATCTTGACCTTGTTGTTCGAATTCTCGGATGTCCAAATCTTCAAAGGGCGCGACAGGAGCCCTACGCGCAGGACGCGGACGCTGTCGTGGCGGTTGTCGATAGTGACGAACAGGCTGGAGAAGTTGTAGGCAGGTTTGATGGCCAGCAAAGCTGGGGGACAGACAAAATTGTTGATGCCATCTTGGGGAAAGACGGCAGATGTTCCGCATAGATCAGACAGCTCGGTGACGGTGTTTAAGTGAATAGAGGACGAATTTGGATGGTAGAATCCGAGAGTAGAAAAAAAGTCGAGAATTGCCTGAAGATGTCAATTTGTGACACGCCGCCGCCTCCGAAACAAAATGCGGAGAACGCGAGTTGTAAGAGCCTCGAACTCATTCAACCGCGTCACATTGAAACGCGCTCTGGAGTCTTCTCGGTCCAACTGTCTATGTGATCACACGCACTCGGGGTACCTTCTGATCCATGGACGCCGATGTTATCCAGATCGACGATAATGCCCATACTGTAAGGAAATCTTCACGTCCATCAGGTTGACCTCCCTGGCTGAACAGAACAGGGTTGCTACATCTTCAAACCCGCGGCACGCGACGAGCACGAGATAGACGACCGGCCAAAGAAGAAACGAAAGACCAATAACTCGCAGTCACAAGATGACGAGGCGGACCATGGCTTCTCATGGCCTGCTCTTCTTCGCGGTCGGGAGCCCGAGAACGCGATAGCGTTGCGCCAACAACAGTTTCAATTCCAGTGGGACAAACAGCAGACCCGGATCGCCGCAATCCTCAACGAGGTTGACGAGACTTACGTGAACGAAGTGTTGCAGTATGTTCGACAACCACATGAACACTCTCAGAGCATGGTCAGGACCGGACTACTTGTGTCGACTGCGGCGGGCAACGCTCAACGCGAACTCCTTCGAGGCTGGAAGAGCAAAAGATCAGTTGAGCAAGACCAACGAGAAGTCCTCCTCGAGATTTCGCCCGGCCACGCTCCCAACTTGCAGACCGTCCTAAAAAACTTGATCCGGATGGCCATCTGTCAAGACGACAGTATGGACGAATACATTGCGTTCCTGGCTGAGCAAAAGGCCATGATCCCGATGAATTTCGACCTGGAACTGCTTCAAAAGTACGTGCAGAAGAAGAATCTACAAAGGGTTATGTTGGTCATTTCCGAGGTCGAAACCTTCGACACGGGCATTCTCTCCGAACTAGTATCCATGTTCAGCTCCTGGTCTGATCGGATCCCGTTTGTGCTATTGATTGGGGTCTCTACGACGGTGGAGCTCTTCGAATCTCGACTCTCGCGCTCGACCGTCTCGCTCTTGGACGCAAGGGTCTTCGAGCCCTATCAGTCGGGGAAGCGGAAAGATCCCCTGTCAGCAGTCTACGAGGTTGTCCAGGACTCGGAGGATACCGAAGTGTTCCTTGGTCCGGCCGTCGTGAGCGTGCTTGCCGAACTGGCCGAAGACCAAAGCACCACTGCAGAAGCACTGACTGCCGCCATCAAATATGTCTTTATGTCGCATTTTTTTGCCAACCCATTGAGTATACTGTGTTCTGGATCGCTGTCGTCATTAGACGACAATGCTGCTCTCTGTCGAGCCATCCGCAACACAGCCAGTTTCAAGAGATACTGCGAGGCTCTTGTGCAAGGGGATGCAGAGCAGCGCCAGAGAGCCCATGATCTCCTTGCCTCCGATGAGACTTTGGTCAAGGAGGCATTGGACGCCATTCGACATGGCCAGCAGCGGTTGCGGTCGAGCCTCGTCGCAATCAGAACACTCGTGAAGATTTCTCAATATCTCGTCACCCCGAGCAGTACTAGTAACTCGTCGAGACCGCAGCCCACCTCCTCTCTTGAGATTCAGGCACAGCTCCTAGCGGCTCTGCCGGACCTTACGGAGACTGAAGTATTCGACAACGTCGACCTCGCGATCAAGCAGATGGACTTGTCCCAATTTCAGACTTTCTTGCACATGGTGGAGACCGGCGCGGAAGATCTGAAACTTTTCGAACAAGATCAAACCACCGGCACTGACATTCAGGAGACCGACGCTACGCACCAATTTCATACGCTCGCAGAAATCATCGACGCAGTCAATGACACCAGTGCCAACACTACCACGACAACGACGACTTCCTCCAGGAAACATCAAACGCTCCAAAAAGAAGACCACAACAATCTCGAATCCCTCACTGAAGCATTTCTGCGTCTTCTTACACGGTACATACACCATCGAACTTTTGGTGTTCCTGTTTCTCCAGACACCTCCAACACCACCTCCAATACCACAAAACCAGACACAAACACCACAGCCAGAAACACAACCACAACCACAAACAGAAATCCATTCCACGACATCCTCAGCGAAGCGTATACATACAACCTGAAATCGCCATTGTCGTCAATTCTCCGGCCGCGGGCACGACACAGTCTCGAACGAGCCCTCACACGACCCGCGGACTATCTTGGCTGCGAGTGCTGTTCCGATGGCCCTATTACAAGTTCCAAAACTAACAGGGCAACCTTGCCTCCTACAAGTTTGCTGTTGGCAATGCTCAATGAAGCGGGACATATTATCAACGTGAGAGATTTGTGGGATACTTTTCGCGACACGGTTGCGCCGGCTCTTGTGGCGGATGCGAAAGCGGACGCAAATGCAGACGGAGACGTGGCTGGTGCAAGGATTCAGGGTCGAGGGCGCAGAACAACAACAACCAAGGGACTAGAGGATGAAAACGACGATGACGATGACAATGACAATGACAATGGTGATGGAGTTGGTGGTGCTACTGGTGATGATGGTGGTGCAGGAGAAGAAGGTCAAGAAGATATCGACGCCGCTGCCGCGACCGTCTCGGCAGAACCAGAAATAGGAACAGACACAGAACGCCAGGCTCTGGCGCTGTTTTATCGCGCCCTCGCTGATCTGCGATACATGGGCTTCGTGAGGCCGAGCAAGAGGAAGCCTGGGGTTGACTGTATTGCCAAAACGGTGTGGATGGGGTTATAGGGCACAGAACGGAATTTACACCAATTCGATTCTGCGTTTGGAAATGGAACCAAAAACAGGAAATGACCTGATTACTTTACGTAGGGATGTCAGGTATGTATACTTACTTACCTGGTCACAAACCTATAGTCAGTATACTGCAGTTACAGCTGGAGTGCACTGAGCTGTTAGGCTACAGTACTATAGGACAAAAATCATCCAAGGTAAAGAACTTGAACTACTATTATGATGGTACTTGCAGCATCAACAAACGAACAGCATACTCGATGCCAACAACAACTGACGACACACCGTAAAGCTGCAATAGGAATACCCACTAACCACAGCATAAAAGGTGTCCCACAAGTACACCTAACTGTTAACCGATATCAATCAACCCTTGCAGTATAACATACAGTACCCCAAGAACAATACACATCTCATGGTTCTGATCGTCATCATTTACCATCACCGTCATTGGCATTGGCATCACCATCGATCACCGAATCGTGCATAACATCGCGTCAGATTGATGCCACTCCATCGTCTAACTCCCATCTGTGGTTCTGCAAAAGTGTGATCCGTAATCCGCAAATCTGGAGTTGGTAACTGTGGTCGCTGGTCTGCGGTCTGTCGTCCATCTATGCTTACCCAACCTGTCCCAACATATTCGTCCGGCGCCGTCGTCGTTTGGTCATCGTCATCATTGTCGTACATGCATCAACGCCCCAGCAGAAATTGAGTCCAAGTCGGTCTGAAGAAAACAAACCACCAAAGGGCCATATTCTGCGATAATCTCGATCTCTCCAAACAAAATCCAACGACAAAATCCAGCCGTTTAGTAAAATAGATCAATCCAATAACTCAAAGCATAAATCAAGCAATCATTCAAGCATTCAATCATGGCCTGCACTGGCGGTGCTCTTCGTCCAGGACCTCGAGGGCTCTTCCACCTCTCTCCGTCTCATTTACTCATCCTGAGGATTCGGGTGCCGTCTACACCCTCCACAAAGCTCGTGCGCACAACTCGGATCCATACAATGGGTATAACCCAGCGCGATGGCCGAGGGACTCCTGCACTGACAGCAGGTGACGATTGCAGCGGGTCCGTAGTACTGCGGCGGCCCGTGGCGTCGTTGACGACCGCCGTGGCCTTCAGAAACAGTGGAAAGCCCTTGCGGTTGTGGTTGCTGCTGCTGTTGCGGTTGCGGTCCCAGTGGTCCACCACTGGAACCTTGCGTGGGAGTTGGGTTGTCTTCGGTCAGATCCAAAGTCAAATCCGGCTCCGAATCAAGATCACCCATGTCAATGTCCTGATCTATGCCCCCTAGATGATTGAATTCAGGACCTGATCTTCTTAAACTTGTTCTCGCTCTTGAACCTGACCACGATGGTAACCCGAGTCGGTCCGTACGGGTCAGATGATTGATGAGCGGGGTCGCCGGGATCAAAGGAGACGAGAATGTCGGGAATCCAGATAATGACGAGTCGATATCGGTGTCAGCGTCGGCATCCTCGTCATCATCATCGAGAAACGAAGGAGATGACGATGAAGACAACACCCCTGAGGCCGACGATGTCGAGGCCTGTGACTCTGCCATGTTCCCACTTCCACCAGCAGAAGACACATCTTGGGAGTCAAAAGCCTGCTGCCGTTGCTGAGGAGGTGGATGGAGTTCTCCTTTTGTTTTGCCACCCCCTCTCAATTCAATCCAGTCCTTGGACGACCGGTTCTCCTTCTTGAAGTGGTCGGCGATGTGGTTGAAGCGAGCCGTCACTGCCTGGCCCCCATGCTCATCCTGCCGGATGATATCGTTGCAAAAGCCACACCAATACTGTCCCTGATAATTGGCGGCGATCTGGAAATACCCGGCACCGTCGTCCTCTTGCGCCAGATATGTTGGGTGTTCTTCACGCATATGCTGCATAAAAACTTCCGCATTGTAAAAAAACACCTTGTTACAGTCTGGGCAATACCAGCATTCTGGATGTTGGTGCTGCGATTGTTCATGCCTCTTCCAGTCATTTTTGCTGCCAAATGTCTTGGTGCATCCGTCCCAGGTGCATCCGTAGGGCTTATCATGCCGAGCCATGTGTTTTTTCAGCTCACTTTTGCGTTTTGTCACCTTTCCACAGCCCTCCCAGTGGCAGCGGAACACTCCCTTTCTAGTTTGCCTTCGTTTCTTGCCCATCGCTCGGTCAGTGACTGATGGCACAAGGCCTGGACTCCTACCCAAGGAGGAAAAGGGCGAACCGGCATTGCCATCGCCGCCGACCGGGGCGCCGGTTCTGCTTGATGATAGGTTCTGTAGGCCCGATCGGACCACATTGAGAATGTCATCATCCGAAAAGGAAAAAGCTTTGTCCTTTTCGGCGTTCGAGTTGTGGTTGTGTAAGAACGATTGGATTTCCACTTGCAACTTTTCGCCGAGTTGTCTTCTAGTCCCGTGGGACTGTTCTTCCGGAGGGATTACGTTGAGCCGAAAAGGCTGCTGGGGCGGAAGTGATAGGTCGGGGCCATTTGTGGCTGTACTTCCCGTGCTTCCGCCAACGTTGAGCAATAGTTCCTCTTGTCCTCTACTCAGTTCATCTGAAGGTGTAGCTTGGACGTCTTGCGGATAGTCAAGCTCTGCCGACCTCTCGTAGGTGGGCACGGCAACCGTATGGGGGCCAGGAATTCGACGTATCTGGTCATTTTCGACAGTGTATCTGATAGGAATGCTCATGGCTGGCGCTAGGTCGTTAGGAACAGCAACAGCCCAGGGATTATTGTTGTTGGAAGGCTCATAATCCATCAAGGAGCCTGAGGTAAACGCCTGTGGGAAATTGTTCGAGTAGCTTGCATAGTCGCTCTGGGACTGCGTCCTTTGCATGGGTGGTACAGAGGGTATAATGGGGTCGTCATGGGACAAGAGATAGGGAGGCTGTGCCTGTAGTCTTGAGGAAGAAATTGGGTTGGAAACATTCCTGCGGTGCAGATGCCGTGGCCACGCATTGCGGTGGTGTTGCATTGTAGGACGGCCCAGGGCGGGGTCGAGCGGTCTGCAATCGAGGCTCAAGGACCGTTCCATGTGATTGTCCGGGGCGGCAGGGGTATCATAAGACGAGTGATGCAGGACATAGTTGTTTTCGTAATCGTCACGAGAGTGCATGGCGGATGCCACCGAGCCGGAGGAAGGCATTGTGTCCATCTCCATATTGGTTGACTCCGGGTCATTGGAAGGATATTCTGGAGTCGATTGGTGCTGCTGTGATTGGTGCTGCTGTGATTGGTGCTGCTGTGATTGGTGCTGCTGTGATTGGTGCTGCTGTGATTGGTGCTGCTGTGATTGCTCCTGCTGTGATTGCTGCTGCTGTGATTGTCGCTGCTGCTGCTGCTGCTGCTCGTACCATTGTTCAGACAATTCTAGCAGGTGGTCTTCGTCCTGGTCTGGATGCATCTTTTTCAGATGCTGTTTGAAATTGTCCTTGCGAGGCCAGGGTTTCTCCGCCTTTGAACATCCTTCTGCAAAACATTTGTAGTCTTTGCTGTTGCGATTGTTAATACGATGGACGGATTTCAAATGCCTGTCGAGGTCATTCTTCGTAGCAAACGCCTTGCCCACACAGTGCGGGCATTCATACTCCCGTATGTGACGAGCGCGGTGTTTCCTGGAGCAGTTAGCGCTTTGAGAATGGCCCTGAGGCAATCAGAGCTTCTTCTTACCGGATGTCCGAATTGGTCCTCGATACGTAGCCGCATTCAGGGCAGACAGGTGTCAGGGGTGTTTGAGTATCCGTACTCTCCGCCACAGGCACTGACAAGGCTGAGGATTCACCGACTTGGCCATGTTCATCCCCGATGGAAGGGTTTGGGTAGATGGATGTTGAGTGGTCCATGGCTTCTCCCGCCGGGTCATCTACAGACTCGACTTCATGTTGGGATTTGCCACAGCCGGTGTCGTATGCGGAGTCTCTGAACGATTCTTGTCCACTTACTGCCGAGGGGACAAGGTCACGAGCCCCATCAACTTGATGTCGGTGTCTTTCAAGGTCGTTCAGCTCGACGCCAGCGGGAAGGGGCGTTGTCCTTCCTTCAGCAACAGGCAGATGTGTCCAGACCGCGTTAGATTGGCCTTCTGGATCAGGATAGCTCGTTGTGTGACCGACTACACCCTCGATATCGAGAAGGGTGTCAGCGAAGTCTTCGTAGCTAAACTCGGAGACAGGGTAAAGAGAAGAATATTGGTGGCCCCCTTGAAAGGAATCGCCAGAGGCCAGTGACTCCAACTGGTCCGCGGCAGAAGAAGGATTGCAATGGGTTGGCGGCAAGGAAGTCGTGGGAGTACGGTCAGGAGGCGAGAGGGCGGATAAAATGGCCTGATTTTCAGCCGCATCTGAAAGGGTGGGATGGGCTGTGTCAACCACCGTTGCTCCGCCCGCATGAGATAGAACGATTGATGCCTGGCGAGAATGGTTAATCGTCAAGAACATCACATAGTGGGTGGCTGTGTGGCAACATTACATTTGACCTGACTGTCCGCAACTGACAGGGCGGCCAATGAGAGGGTTGAGCAGGAGCCCCAGCCATGTTAACGGTTGAGGAGCTCGAACTGTAGTTCCTGCAATGCGCCTGTCAATGAGGGTCCACGCCATGTTTGCTAGACTTTGCCGAGCGAGTCACGGCATCGAGGCAACGGTATGACTTACTTGGGCTTGGATGTGGTGCTGAAGAGCGTATATGGTATGTCAGCGGTAGCAGGGCCAGCAAGGCAGGAGCCCGGGGACAGGGCGAGGTCAGGAAGTCTGTTGATTGAAAGGGTAAAGCACAGCCCGAAACAATTGAGGCTGGAAACAGCCCGAGGCGTCGAGCGTAAGGCCAGCCAATCAATGGGCAGGGCTATAGGTATGCAGCATGCTGTTGCCCGACTGGAAAATGAGGCGGAGGGCAGAAGCTAGAAGACGTAAGCCGTACTGTGGCAGGCCGGCGAGAGGGAGCAGGGACAGGATGGCGTGGAAGCAGAAAGAGCCAGAGCAAGAGTAGGAGTGCAGGTCAAGCCATCAATGACACATAAGGTCGGCCGTCCTCACGATGAACAGAGGAGCGAGGTTGAGTTTGGGTTGAATGGTGTTGGGTTGACGAGCAGGGAGGCAGTGCTGGGTTGAGGGCTCACCGTGGACGTTTATGAGGCTGACCAAATCCCCCTCCTTCCCTCGTAGAACGAGACTTGGCCGTCGGGTGCGTCGGCTGCCGTTATCCAGGAACCATCTTCGGGAGGAATATGAATGCAATGTTCAAGTCCGATACCTTCAGGGAAGAGGATTGCAACTCGTCCTAGTAGTATACATAACTACACAGAAAGTGGATGATTCGGAGGTTAAAGAAGACGATTGGAAGAGTGGGCACTGGTATCATATGCAATGTGGTTGATACGAGACGCAATACCCACAGCATGTCATGGCGGGGATGGATTGGATTGGAAAGAGAAATGGGCAAAAAGAAAAGAGAAGCCGTCGAGAGTCCCGCGGTTGAATCTGTGACCGGTGAGTGTTGAACCTCGAAGGTGTTGAAGTTCAGTTGGTGTTCAGTTGCGTGGCAGCCCGAACAACGAAGATGACGGGATGTCGACCGGTGAGGTATTGAGTACCGCCTGATACTCACAATGTTACAATTGGCGCCATGATGGGCGAATGAGCGATCGACACTGCCTGTTACTCGACCAAGTATTTGCCCAGACAGGGCAAGTCTGTACCGCCCGTACCGCTCAAGACATGGATGCCGCGAGTGAGGCAGCCAGGCAGCCGCGCTAACGAGTGACCACTACGTATTAGTAGGACCTGTAAAGGACTGTACAATGTACATTCAGGTTGTATCAAAGGAACATCCCGAAGACTCGGGGTTTCCAACCCGCACACCTACCAACCGACTGTCTCCCAAGATCAGAGATAAGGCAGGATTCGGCCTTGGATACGGAGGTCATCAACAAAGTCAACCTCGGGACACAGTACGTAGTGTTCCCACTGAGGACGGTTACCAGCGGCTGTCGATTTTCGGGACCAGAAAGCCGATGCTTCCCTCCGTCTAGACGCCTTCAAGTTACAAGATTGTACGGCATGTGGATAGGGACAGTGGTCACAGGATCCCTTTTGGACCTGACAATACAATGCACTGAGGTGCAATCAATGCCGAGCAGGACACACGAGTGCGGTTCCATAATAGTAGTCAGTACCTGGGTAGTCAGTACGGGTAGTGCCTTACAAATCCTCATCCTTCAGGTTGTCAAGAACACCATGTGATGCTTTACCAAGATACCACTACAGGTCCATAGCCTCACCGAAGTGCAGTGTTTGTACACTGGTAGCACGTCATACAGGCTGGTAGCCGATCCAACGCCTCAGCCACGCCGAGATCAAGCCAACACCAACAATATCTCCGAACCAGAGGTTTCTGCCTTGCCCTAAGCTTTAAAGAGCTAAATAAAGGTCCTGTACTTCAAACTTCAAGTTACGCTAGGTTCAAATTCCGCACATGTGTCGGGTTGAGAAACCGCTCTGCAACTGGAACTCTTGGACCTCGGGCTCGTAGAACAGGGTCTGAATCGCTCCAATTCGTCATTGTCATTGCTCGCACCGCATCGGTTCGTAAAAGAACCTACAGTAGTAGATAGATACTCGCTAAGATCAAACGCACCACCCAATCCTTCCCCATTGCATGCGAACAAACCGGGTCGCTGCCCAAAGCAAGAAGAAACGAAAATGTTTGTATCTTGGGTATCTCGAATGCAGACAAAGCGAAGATAGTTCAAAGCCCTCCCAGGAATGTGTCATCTCTTCCATGTGTCCAACAATCAGACACATACGTATGATCCCGTTCCAGCTGGAAACTCAAGCTAAAAGGGACTGTTCCGAGACAACAAGTCCACATCATATCCGACACTCACTTCTCATTCCATTTCATTCGTGAGAAAAGAAATCACTGCGTATACTGCATGTTTCCAGATCCAGGCTGGCCTTGCTGATGTCCAGCCTGAGGATCTTGAAACACAAAACCTTGGTTCATCGGGTGCAATCCCAGTCCTGCTGACTGGTTCTCCACACCGCCTGGTTGTTGTTGCCCCAAATGCTGGTTATGCTGCATGGACGGTGAGGCATATTGCAGACCATAGCCGGGCGTTGACTGCACGCCCGCACTCGAATACATGCCAGCCATTGGCATTGGTTGCGTATAATCAAGGCCACCAGTCTCAAAGAACTGGTCGCTATGATTGTAGCCCGTAGCTGTGACCGGCTGAGGCTGAGATCGTGGTGTCACCACTGAACTGTGCGGCGACACACTGTACTCGTGCGGACAATGTCCTACATCCCCTGGCTGCATGTACTCCGACGGCCCCATGTACATATGCGGTTGCTGTGGCATACTGGTCGCAGACGAGCCCGGAAACATGTTACCTGTCATCGGCACGTGCATGCCCGCCGTCATGCCGTCATCACTGTAAAAGCCAGCGTCGAACTGCTGATATCCGCCATGCCGGGACGGCCCGTGTCCTGACGCCGGGGATTGCCCGGCTGATGATGTCTGGTAGGCCGAAGTGGCGCTTCGAGGATACGGCGACAAGGTCGCGCTGGCGTCCATGGTGTTGTTGATCGTCCCAAGCCCAGTCGGGTGTGTTGAGGCTATCGCAGACGGAGGCGCTTGGTCGATTGGGCTGATGACTGTATCCGGCGCCACTTCACGTATTCTCACCAGCTGTAGGACAGGCAAGGCAATCTGTTCCAAGTGTTTGCCCATGTGTACCGACAGCTTTTTCCAACTCGAACATACATTCCCACAGAACCGGCACGGTTCATCGCGCGGCTTTTTGGTCGTCTCATGTCGGCACGAGTCAACCAGGCGCCACAGCTCGGCGTCCTCTGACCAACCCACATTGTTGTTGACTGCCTTGTTTTTGCTGCTGGCAGAGCCACGACTTCTGACTTTCGGCTCCTTCATCTTATGCTCTCGGACAAGATGTTGCACAAAATTGTCTTTGCGGTAGCAGATATGTGAACACTCTTCAATGTTACACTTCCACCACTCCAGGTGACGATGTAGTTCATTCTCGTGACGTACCCAATCTGCTTTCCGTTTGAACGACTTGGACTCAGGACAATGGGGAAATGTGCAGGAAAAGGGTTGGATGTCCTCATGTACGTGTTTCGTCCAGTCTGACGGCTTTTGGAACTTCTTGACTTTGAAGCAGAGTGGGCATTCTAATTCTGCCGGCAGCCGTTTTACCGGCGGTAAGGGGATGCCTGCTGGAAAAAGAGCCGGCGTGATGATGCCTTCGGTGAACCCGGACTCGTCGATTTCATCGTCGGCAGGATTGCACACTTGGAATTGGGTCAGAGTTGCCTCGGGGTCTTTAACGCTGACGCGCGGCGCCAGAAGAGCTGCCTCGCCGCCCAGGTCAAAACAAAACTTGCCCGAGGGACATTTCTGGTTCATCTGCACCGCGCGCGTATGTTTGATCTTGGTCTCCACCAACTTCTTGTAGCGGCGAATCTGCTCCTGGCCGATTCGCTCAATCATATATGGCTCCAATCGTGGGTTCAGTCTCCGGGCATGATCTCTGAACCCCTCCAGAGTAGGTGTGATCTCCTCTGCCCGGATCTCAAAGTCCATTCGAATAGCCACCTCATCCGCTTGATCGTCTTCGTCATCGTCGGCAGGGGCTTCTTCATTGTCAAGCACCTGCGCAGCCACAATGCGTTCGCGTTCATGCATGGGGGAAGCAAGTGTGGGAATGGGCGGACCACCGTGTCTTGTCATCAGTTCTGTCAACCCTGGGGTAGCAGAAGAGGATCTCCCATGCTTGGACACATCACTCTTGGACCGATGCTTCCTCAGAGCCTGGAGCGACCCCGACGACTTATGGGTGTCGGTGTCCTGGGTCATTGCGTTGGCTCGGCCAATCGCGGTGAGCTGGCCAGTCATGGCCATGAATGCGCTTCCGGTATCCAGTGGGGGCGATTTTGGCTTGCTGCTAAAACTGGGCTTTCTCTGGGTGGGTTTGATGGTGCCGATCGAACTTCGATGAGCATGTCCGCTAGTTGGGGCGGATTCCTGACCCTCGGCTGGCGATTCGGTCTTCACGTTGCTGCTGCTCCGCCGTGGTAACAGGCCACGGGCCTTGTTTAGAATACTGTTGCCCCGCTCCCGGCCCCGTTTGGAAAGGGATAGATGTCGTACCTGACTACCTTCCACAATGGATCTGACTTCGCTTTCGCTGAGACGACGGCGGGTTCCCCAAGTGGCTGCTCTTGATGCCGTCTCCCACTTGGCTGCTTCCTGATTAAACCGGTAGAGGGCCGCGTTCGATGTATCAGGTTGGTCTCTCGCATCGCTAAGTGAACCTCGCACAGGGTCTTGCCATGGGCTGCGCCTGTAAAATTGCCGTGGGAGAGGCTCCTGTAGCTCCGGTGGCGTGTCATCCTCAAGCGGCGGGAAAGACATGTTTGGAGAACCACGCTCCTCCAGTGCACGCGGCGACATGCGAGGTGATTCCGAGTGGTAGTATGTATCCAGGATTTGGTTTGTATGCCCCTCCATCTGGGACGAGGATATAGACTCCTCATCCGAAGACTCATCATCCGAGTCCACTTCCAGAAGCAGCCCGGGACCTGGGATGTTCTTGTCCGAGTACACCAGGCCGATCGCGTCCATCTGGCCTGTGGTATGAGCACGGCGTCTGCCGCCAGTGGTTAGGCCGCGCATGCTGGTCACGCCTTTATCTTTGTTATGGTGACCACCATCATCGCTCGTTTCGAGCCAAGTTTGCACTTCAGCATTTCGCTCATCTCTTTGACGCTGCTCCTCCAGCTCCTTAAGAGATAAGACCACATCATCTCCTCGCTGCATAGGTTCCAAGCCACTTCTTTGGGCCGCAGTAGCGGATGTGTTGTTGCTGCCAATGGGTGCAGGTGGCATAAGATGAGATGAATCCACGTTGGGATCCCCACCTCCGAGGTGGTTGTCAACACCTTCATCATCATCATCATCATCATCTTCCTCCTCCTCTTCATCGTCCACGTTCGAGCCTGTTCCACCCCGACTGCGCTTATTGGAATTTTGTGCCTGCGCCGTCTGTTTCCCATTGTTCGGTTCGGGTGCTTCGTAGCTCGAAACCATAACAACAGGACTAGGGGCGCGCATATTCGGGGACGTGCGCTGCCATGCAGATACTCCATGGTTGGGAGAAGGAGTAGAAGTATGATTTCGGGCGGTGCTAACTCTTAGATTCTGAGTCGCATGGTTTGTCTGGCTGCGGCCGTTGGAAGGTCGTTCCATATATTGGTCTTGACCCGGCATGGGAGACTCGGTCCCCCGCGAGAGATCAAGAGAATGGTCTATTGATGTGTTCAGCTTGGAATTTGCCAAATCGTGGCCAGACACAAAATCCGGCAAGGTCTCCTGTGCGTCTGGGTAGAAGGCTTGTAAGTCGGAGGACTGGGTGAACTCGTGGCTCCCGCCGTCTCCGCTCTGGTCGTAGTTGTCCAGAATGTAAGGTTGTTTGTCCTGATATACAAACTGTTGTTCCCAGATCAGCTCTTGCGGGGTGGTATGCTCGCTGACGTGGTTTTCTGAGGAGTATCCCGTGGTCAGGAAGTCATCAAAGGAAGACTCATGGTGAGATGTGTCCTCCTCTAAGCCGAGGGGATATGTCGACTGGGGAAGAGATGCTGGGCTGGCGACAGGGGCGCTAAAGATTTGATCGAAGGTCCAACAATCCAGTTCCGAACCCAGTCGTGGTGGTTCATGCGCTGTTTGCGTAGGGTTGGACGTTATGCTCGTACTGCGGTTATGACTCTGAAACTGTGCGGGACTTGACCGGTACGCTTTGGGCGCCGTCAAGGGAGATTGATGGGGGGTAGGTCTTTGAGTATTTCGTGACTGTGTGTTGGTGAAAGACATTCTTCCTTCGATATGGCCTGGAGGCGGATGCAGGAGATCCCCTCCTATAGCGCTCTGGTCCCGAGTGGGAAAGGTGTGTTCCGGACCAGATGTTCAAGGCGTTGAATCATGGCCCTGCCAGTAAGCCGATCGGCAACGAGGCTGTGGCTTGACGGTAGGATGCTAGGCAACGAGGCGACAGCAGGACCGGGAGCGAGCGAGGCTGCAATGGCACCTCTCGATATAGAAGCTCAGACAGAGAAACGGGGCGGTTTCCCGCAGGTTCAGTGATTGTGTGGAGACTGGCGCGCAGACAGTCAATGTACAAAGTAATGCCAGTAGGTCGATCCGACTACTAGGAAGCAGTAGAGGGTACCGGAAATGGATACGGTAAATGTGCGACACCAGGAAGAGTGTTCTGACACGAGTCGCACAGGGACTTGAGGTAGGATGACTGGTCGTACAGCGGAGTGAGGCTGAAGCAGATCGGATCAATTGGACCTCAATGGGGATTGGAGCGGAGGATTAGCTTGTGTCGTCGGGCAGACTGCTGGGCAGACTCGAACAGCATGGGAGGCAGAGAGCCGGGGTTGGTCATGTACGCAGATGAAGGACAGTGTTTCGCGGTGGTCGAACGGAGGCTGCGCCCTCTGAGCCGAGAGACGGTCGATCAATCGGTCACTCGATTGGAGAAGCCGGTGCTAGTAGTTGGCGGCCGACAATGGCGTAGGGGAGAACTGTGCAGCGGCGCAAGTGGTAGGATAATAAGACAGAAGAACGGTCAATGGCATCAGGGTCGACAACGCTGCGGAGACTGTTGCTGTGTGTGAATGCCTCGAGGATAGTGGTGAGGATGTCCAACCTGAAGTTGCGGGTGTTCACGTTGGTTGCGGCTTGCGGCTGCGGACTACTACCAGGTAGTATGCCACTGCGACCGCTGGAAGGTGGGTTTGGAGCATTGGCAGCGGCCAGTCAATGGGAAAGCGCAGCGAACGGTGGGTAACGGTGGAGCACTCGGAGGAGTGGGCAGACCGACCGACCGAAGACAGCCACAGCCAAAAGGCGACCTCACATACCGCAGTCGAGCAGCCACGGCCACAATCTGCCCTTACAACATTATTGTACTCACTTACTACCGACTATCCACGTACCCACTACTGATTTTGTCCATTTGTATAGCCCGTCGGGGTCAACTCCACAGCCGGAGCCACTGACAGTCAATGCTGCGTCGCACAATCTCAAGCCGGAGATATTATGAAGTAACGAGCACAGCCTCTGCGGGTGCCTTGCAGCCCCAAACTTGAACTGCGCAGCCACAGAAATAGTGAGCTAGTAGTGGTCGCGATGCAGACATATTAGCGCCAGAGTCAGCCATCGCACTGCTAGTACAGATTGTAAACGACAGAATTGACACCAAAGCTATCCATCTCCAATAGAAACCGAAGCAGTTCGAGAAGAGAGACTGACAACAGCCCAGGGCAGCAGAACGTGGCCCGTGTTCCTCCTCAAATCCCTGTCCTGTCCCCGTCAGCCACGGCGTGCAGAGTGGGCTTTGGTTTTCACGACGAAGGTTTCGGGCCACGGCATCACAACCCGGAGTCAGCCTTATCGGCGTCAAGATTATTATTCCCCGGTTACGGCTGTCTGAATTGGTCGCCCATCTCCAACTGCAGTGCAGCGCCCGAACAGTTATCTCACACCGGCTGCACAACTTGAAGCTGTCGGTTGCAAGTCGTAGTAGTTCTGGCGCACTTGTGGCAGACTCCCCTAACACTGGGTGCAAGTTTTGAGAATACAGTATAAATGTCTATAGCGACAGAGCCATGCGCCTCCAGCGCACCAATGCAGCATTCCAAGGGCGCTATGTTACAGTACAACTACATATTGATTACCCAGGCTAAGTACATAAGGAACCTGCTAGTACAGTATATCGTACAATGTAGATTTCGAAGAGTACTCATCCAATGTAAACCGCCTTTCCATGTCATCACATCAGAGAAAAGAATGTGTCCTGCAGATCCTCCCTCTCGCAGCTCATGTCATCTTGCTTGGGTCACGCGAGAGTTCTGACGTAGCACCCTTCCCTGTAGATAAACGCAGCGTCCCGGCGTTCGGGGCCGTTGAGGGCTACTTCTTGCCGGTGTCCGGCCCGGGTCTCGATACATGCTGTGAGTCACGACTTCGCCGACAATGTGCGGCCGCACCCACAGCACGATGTCGGAAGGACTGGTGGCAGCTCCATCGTCCCAAGTGGTGTCTGATGTTGATGGCATGACAGAGTGAATGAAATTCCATTCCAGACGTGCTCGGCGCCAGGTCTGCACCGCTCGTTTGGCCACAACGCGGACAGCTTGGAGCAGCCCTGGCATATCCCCATCCAAGGTCGACACTCCAATTGCTTCCATAATGTCTCTGCTGAGTCCTGTTGCTGCGGCCATCGCAGCTTTGCGGCCCCTGTTTCCAGTATAGATCGCTCTCATCATTATGGCCCTCCAGATTGCCTCTCGGCGGAAGCTTTTTGCTCTGATGTTTGCCGAGAGTAAAGCCAAAATTCTCTCAAGATCATCCCAGCCGTCCGTCCCATAGGCTGACGTGAACAAGAAGGGCGCAAATATCCGCTGATGTATGATGCTCCAAACTTGACCCGATACCAACAGAGACCGGAGAAGCTCTGCAGCCTCGGTAGTATCCGACACATCGGGCATACCGACCATCTTGAACGTGTCGCCATGGTCTGCGTTGTGCCCCGGACTGTGGTTTAGGATGTATCGGGCAAGTTTTTCCACCGAGGATGCCAGCTGGTCGAAGGCGTGTAGACTAGATTTCAGCCGTCAGTGGCGTATAGCCTGGATTGCCCGTGCCGAGAGACATATCCAACAATATCCTTCCCACACGCCTGGATCAACTCACAAGAATTGGTCGCCACTCCGTCCGGGTTTGCTTGAAACAACAAGGCCAAAATCCTGGAGCAGTCGGTCCATTCGGTCGCTTTCAAAGTGCCATTGTGCCTGTTTGTCCTTGAGACTGCGCATCGATTGGGCCAGGGCGGCGTGGTGATTCAAAGCCTGTTCGTGTTGACTGGCCAGGCTTTCATACGCCTTGCGTGCTTCGTTGAGGTTCTCCTTCAAAGAGTCAATCACGTCTTGCTTTTTGGCCAGCTCGGTCGTGGTGGCCTGTTTCTCAGACTGAGCAGCTTCCAACTCAGCTTTCCAGTCAGCCTCCCGGCGACTATGCTCTGTCTCCTTGTCTGCGAGTTGTGCTTCAGTCGTTTTCGAGATCTTTGCAATTTCCTCCTCGTGGGACCTGCGAAGCAGGCTTACGTCTTCTTCGTGCTTGGCTCTCATCTCGGATAGTTCAGTTGCCATCTTGTCAACCTCCTCCTTGTGCTCTTGGGCGCTCTCTTGCGCTGTTGTAGCCATCTTCTGCAGCTCTTCTTGATGCCGTCGTGTCAACTCGGTCAGTTCCGCGGTCTTGTTCTCCAAGGAAGCCTCGTGCTCCGAGACAATAGCTCGGACAAAGTCCAGCTCCTTCTTCTGCTGAGTATGTTTGGTGATCATGCCGGCAAGATCGAGTTGGACTTTGGAAAGACCTCCTTTGTTCTCGGCCAGTAACTTTGAGTGCTCATGTTCTTTCTCGGCGAGTTCCTTCTGATGGGCATTTTTCAGTTCCGTCAGCGTACTCTGGTGATGGTCGTGGTCATCAGCGGCTTGCTTCTTCAGACTTTCCACTGTGGACTTGAGAGCCTGTCCCTCTATGACCAGCTCTTCCGTTCTGTCCTTCTGCCTGCTTGCCTCCTGTTTCAGGAGATCATACTCAGTACGCAATTTCTCCAGCTCCTCTTTAACCAAGGGAAGCTCGTCGGCCATCTCCTGAAGGTGCGCTATTTTACCATTACATTCCGTAACTTCCCCCTTCAGCTTGATGTTTTCCATTGCTTGATCGCCTATGATCCTCTCATATTCTGACTTGGACGCGCTCAGCTCGATTCGTAGTCGGGCAACATCTTGCTCATATTGGGTCTCTGCTCGCTTTACCAGATGATCTTTTTCGGACAAGAGTCCCTGGGACTCGCGGTAATAATGCAGAAGCCGGTCTATGTCAGGAAGAACACTGGCAACCTTCTCCAAAAGCTTGGCACGCTCATCCTCAGCCCCCGCGGAGCCAGATCTGGGGATGACTTCGGCACCCATGAGACCCATATTCGCGGCTGCAAATGCACCTGGATACATTGCGGCATGGAAGGGAGGGCTGTTCATCAAGGGTAAATGGTATGGGTACGGATATACAGCCTGCTGGGGAGGAGGACTGCCGACATGGTGTAGCAAGGGTGATTGGCTTGGTGATGTGATTGCAGAGCGCGCTGCCGGCAATGATTCATGGGGAAGCATGGCGTCGGACACCATTGGCAGGCTGGACGTCATGGCCACAGGGACTTCCTGCTCTCCTAGATCAGCCAGCGCTGGAGAAAGTGCAGGGTGGAGCAGAGTAACTGAAGCTCTTGGATGTGGTGCAGGCAGCGGGTTGCTGGGAGAAGGCGGCGGGTTCCGAGCACTGTTGGTATTCGACACGTCTTGAAGAAGAGATGTAGACCCCTGAGGCGGTGGCGGAACAACATCGTTCGCCACTGCATCTTTGGAAGTCGTACCTGGCGATGCTGCGACGATGGTAATAGGGGAAGATGGCGTACTCTTCCGCGGTAGTACCTGTGAAGTCGGACGATCAGGATTTTCTTCGTCTTCGTCGGTCACCGTTGGTTGCAAGGACGTCACCGGCGGCAGCGGTCGTGCTTCGTTGACCGGGATGGTAGGTTCGGCGCCCGTATTCTCCGATCCCACGGGCGCCGCGACTGTTGCGACATCAGGTCCAGCCTGTGTAACTGACGATTGTTTTGCGACCGGAACATTAGATTGGCCCAGCCCATTTTCAGACTGTTGCACGACTTGCGGTTTCACCTTGGCGACAGAAGCTGGTCTCTGCTGCTTCTCTTCTTCATGCATTGTCCTGGCATTCTTGCTGGAGGGCACGGAGCTTGTGGAGCGCCGCGACGGAGGCGTAAATAGGTCGGGCTGCCTCGGATCAAGTGGTCTCTGTCGGTGGATGTAGACGGCCGGTGAACCAGGCCGGCTGTTTCTCGGAACAGCAACCTCGTCCAGAGTTCTGGATAGTGTTTTCGATAACCTCAAAGAGGCAGAGCTAGACGCTCTACTGCGATTGTTCTCGGAGGATTCGCCCTGACTGCCGCGGCGACTCCTCGGCTTTGCATTGGTCTGGTAGGTAGTAGTTGACATGGTGACGAAAAGCAGACAGGAGCCAGAAAGATGGCCTGAGCTGCTAGAAAGGATTGCAATAGAAAAGACGTTAAAGGACTTAAGACGTCTCACCAGCACAAAATCGATCAAGTAGCCAGTCTCGTCCGGTTAGTGTAATAGCGCATAGTACTGTACCTACGCATTACTAGTATATGCAGGAACAACAACAAGCACAAGAAGCACAGACAGAAGGGACGGCAAGATAAACATTTTGTCGCCGGCAGCGAAAGATTTGCAACAAGAGAACACAGTCATCATCGCTTGAAAGCCGGTTCAGGAATAGTTGTCGGCACCTACTAAGGCGTTTTGCTGCCCAATGATGGATTTGAATGGCGATCGTCTTGCCCTCTTCCTTCGAGCTAGGGAGATTGCATGAACCATTGCACTCACTCACCTGCAGTCTTCTGAAGACCGATTGGGTATCAAGGGTCGCGTGGCAGGAAGTGATTGGTTTGCAAGAGGTTTGAAATAGCAACAAGTTCAAGTTGAAGTTCAGCCTGATGAACGAAAGTTCCCGGCAGATCACGTGCAGTGGTCAGCGCCCTGCTGCCGCCCAAAACAGGACTAGCTTCGACTACGACCTGTGTGGTCCAACTTCAGTTCACACGTCAGGCTGGAATACCTTGCGCCTGCGCCTGGAAATAGACCGTTCTACACTGCATCAGCCATGTCGTTTGTGTCGAGAGGGGCCAGAGCCGCACTCCGGCCAGTGAGGCGGTCAGTTCGACACCAACCACGCAGATACGCCGGGCACGAAGCTGGCCACGGTCATGGAGAGACCCATCACGGAGAAAGTGCTCTGCACGTAGATGCAGGCCCGCGCACGGAACACTTTGGCGTAAGGATGCTCTGGTGAAGGTGGAGATATGGCGGACCGAAACATGCTGACCGCTGGCCAGAAAGGATTCTACATCACAATAGCCGCGGTGCCGTTGGCCATCCTATGGTATTCTGCTGCGAGCTCGCCCGGAGACAATGCCTGGTCTCGATTGGTCAAGAAATATGAAGCTGGCAAGCAAGAAGATGCGAGAGCAAATATCATACATACGACAATGATGGAGGCTGCTGCTGCAGACCGACAACTCTTTTCTTCGAGCCCGCGAGACGACAGTGGTTCACCATTACGAATGCCAGAGTGCGTTATCTCCTGGTGTCATCTTATGTTGGATATATGGGACTGACGCTCAACTATAGGACAATGAACTTTGGCTCGCCTTGGAACGTATCTGCCGGTCGCGGTACAGCTGACTTATCAGAACTCGCAAAATTCTATGAAGAACGGGACAGGAAAGCGGAGCGGGCCCGGCTGCAGCGACTTAAGGAGAACAACGGTGTTTCGATCTATGATTAAGTTATTGCTGTCGCCGAAGAAATGGGTTTGGTTCTGTACATACGAGCAAATTGCACACCGATGGAACCACTAGAGATAAATCTGTGTGCCTCGCAATGGGGCTATGACGCCCTCGTCAAAATCTCATCATTCTTCGGACAGCTCATGTTTCCCGAACTCATTGCGCTTCGTTTGTTTCGTTATGTTACATTGGAGCCATTTCAAAAAGCTGCTGCACATGCCCACCACAAGCAAGAATTCTCAAACTTCAGAGGTTCTCTCTGGGACCTTCGCCCGGCTCGCCAATGAGGGTGAGGAACGAGTTATGCACTTCGTCAGTCAAATCGCTGGCCTGCAAACTCCTCTGACGCTTTGCAAAAGCGCGTCGCGAACATTCCCTTGTGATTGCACTTCCGCCAAATGCAGCAACCAGCAACGTTTCCTCTCTGCTCATCTTGTCCTCGCCCACATCCCACAGATCCTGGTGGTAAAGTTCACGCCAAGCGAGGAAAGTGCCGAGAGACCCTGTCAGTGTATCACCTTGACCGCCAGCCCGCTTCAATCCTCCTTGAAGATCGCAGATTGTAGTGTCTATGCCCTGGGAAATGAAGTCTACCGCGCCCTTCTGGATGATGCACACACCACCTAGTATCTTGGAGACATCCTGACACGCCTTTTCCGGATCGCCTTTGGTTTGATCGTAGCCCACCGACTTGGCCAGACGGCCAAACTCGACCACATTCGGGGTCAGGATGCATTCCTTGTGGCCTTTGACCAGATCGGGGTCCGTTTGCACGAGCCACAGAGCATCAGCGTCCAGCACCATTGGCACGGGCGGGTTATGTTTTCTTGCAGCAGTAATGATTGCCTTGACCTGTTTCTGGGTGACCACGTCACGGCCCAGGCCCGGCCCAATAACCAGCACATGCAGCCGTGGAAGCATGTCCAGGATCGGTTTGGCCAGCTCTTCACCCGAGGCGTCGCTGTCCTTTTGTGCTTGTGATATCGAAGCCGTCGACCGGAGGATCGGAGACACCATCAAGTTTGGAGAGTATGATTTGATCGTCTGCGCAGCCGAGGGTTCGCAGAAGACGTAGGACAGATCGCAGCCCAGCCGTGCCGACGCCATGGCCGAGAAGTACGGCGCTCCCGTATAGTCTGCGCTGCCACCGATGACGGCAACTCGACCCAGCTGTCCCTTGTGGAATTTCTCGAGCATGGGAGGGACAAGTTTGCGGACTTTGGCCAGCATGGCGCGCGTAGAGGCCGACATTTTGATCTCGCTGGGGTTCGAGTCGGAACTCATTGGATTGCTCAGGGTCTGTAGATGGGATATGAGACGAACTATTAGATCAGAGCAACAGAACCAAAGCTGGATTTATGGGAAGAAGAGCAACTGATCAGCAGCAGTAGCAGCAGCTGAATGGCAGCGGGCAGCGGGCTGGAGGGCGGGCATGTTTTCTCACAGATGTTCAAGTTCAGGGTTCAACATGTCCAAAAGTGATGTCACAACTCGAAGCTGCTCGCGTCACGATAACCGAGAGAGCTTGTCCACCACTCGAATCACCGCCCCTTTTTACCGGCTGCCAGTGTTCAGGTTCTGCTTCGATGCGAGATTGTTTGCCTACCAAGTCAGATGTAGGTGCTTATCATTACTGTCCTGTATCAGAGAAAGGGACACTTTATGTAGCAGAAAATCAAGGGTGCAAGAACTTGCAACTATGCGTCATCCGTGAACTTTTGTACTATGTACACTATCTACACGCACTATGTGAATGGCAATGAAATGAAACACAATCTATGGTTCTAAAGATCGGCAGATACATCCGCCTTTCCAGCCACAACCGTCTATCTCCTTTCAGCCTTGTCCCACCGTGTCAGGGTACCGTGAAGGCTCCGATTACGAACACCGAAGACATCGCGCCTGATCCCTGTCAGCCTGTCCTAGACTGGGTACACACTGATTCTGACACGTTCCTGAGGAGACTAAGCCCTTGCCACCACTTCCGCGTAATGGCTCGCAAGGCTCACGATCTGTTCCTCGTAGCTCTTGAACTTGAAGTTGAACACTTTCTCGGTCTCGCTGGCATCAAAGGGCATGGGCAAGGATTTGAGTGATCCGCCGAGAGGGAAGACGCCTTTTTTCACCTCCTCAGGGAAGTGTTTCTTCACAATGTCGATGGCATCGTCCCATTCCACAGGTTTATCACCGCGGTAGTTGATCCCGAAATTGCGGTTGCCTTCAACGCGAGAATCCAGGGAAGCTATATGAACGAAAGCAACGTCATCCACGTGGCAAACAGCTGCTGGCACTCCAACCGGGTTGTGTCCGCCCATCAGTGGGATCATCGGAACCCCATTCGAGCCAGACCTGACGCTCTCCGGGGTCGTCGCCAGTTCGTTTTTGCCAATGACGAAGCTAGGCAGGATGTTGACAACGGTGAAGTGTGGCTTCTCCTTGGCGATAAAGTCGCGCGTACGGTTGAATGCCAATCTCTTGCCGGCACCATATGCAGCGAAACTATCGCTGTACGGTCCTTGGGGATCTGGCTCGACATTGTCCACGGTGAATTCCCGTAGTTCCGATGGAAGGACTGCTACGACGGACGAAGTGATGACGATACGTTGGATGGATGGCTGTTTGAGCGCGGAATGAAGGATGCCAAGCGTGCCCCGGATGGCTGGATTGACGACGTGTGCTTCGAGATCCTCCGAAGGATGGCCCAATGGAGATGCAATATGGACAACAAAGTCAACACCTTTCAACGCCTCGTCGAAGGCACCATCCTTTTCGATATCGGGCACGACAACGAAAGAAAGCTGCGCCAGATAAGGTTGGATGGACGCCGCAGCCTTGATCTGGGCGGTCTTTGCTTCCGATCGAACAGAGGCGCGGACGTGGTAGCCTCTTGACAAAGCCTCGACCAAGGTCCTGTACCCAACGTGACCCGTCCCGCCGGTCAACAGAATGAGCCCGCCCGCCATTTGGTAAATGTTCTCGAGGAAGGTAGCGTTGGATTAAGTGGTATATGTCGCGGGTATCGCACGGTTTCCTCAGTCGAATTCTCCACAAGCTGTTGACAGACTCACCAGCCAAGCACTCCGGACATCTCAGATTTATAGCACTGAGGCCCTTCGGCCTTGCTTACTGGACTTGGACCACAGACACACCCCACAAGGGCCAAATATTCCAAGATGGGCAGAATTGAGTCAACACTTACAAAGCAGGAAGTGAGTAATCATAGCCTCCTTACAGGCACCAACCTGTCATCTGACGGGCGCCTACTTTGGAGGCGTTCGATTGGGACCAGGTGCAAGGGACTTTCACATTTACTCGCCCAGAATAGGTGTCCGACGGATTTTTTGGATAGTTTTTGAGATTAGTGATCATACAACAAGCGTAAGGTATGTGGGTTTTAGCTGGTTGGTGCCTGGAAGCAAATCTGTGAAACTGTCACGCTCGGAGTTCCACGTTCCGAGTCCGACGGCAGCGACCGTGACTCTCTTGGCGGTGACCGATGCGCGTCGGGCGCCCGTGACTGCAAGGTCAGATGAACCCGAACAACTGCACAGTACAGTGTACTTTTGCAGTTCCCGACGACTTCAAGTCATTCTGGACTTCCGTCCTTGCATCTCTGCCGTCCAGCGATTCGGCTAGAGCACTGTAAGGCCCTAGCCGCTATGATTCAGCAGGCAGACATTGACCAACTGAGTCTCTTTCACACCTCGCATTTCCCTGGCCAGCCAATCCCAAAGCTGACTGCATTCCCTGCAAAGGACACCGAAGAGGTGAGCACCGGTCCAGGCCACCAAGGTGAAGAAAGCGATGGACTAGGTTATTACGAGGATGGGGTCAAAAGAACCCTGACCGATGAGCAAATCCAAATGTTTCGGCACTCGGAGATCCAACGCTTGCTGAGCGAGAGGAGAGCTGCACGGGAGAAGGAGGAAAAACAAAGATTGAAGAAAGAAAAGGCTACACCTAGACCTGGCAACGTTAACCGCAGGAAGCACCGCTGGGCCGATCAGCCTGGAATGCAAGACACCCCCATCGAGGCGTCCATGTACGACGATGTACGGGAGGACAATGCCGACTCAGGAACCACTCCGAAGAAGTTCTTATGGCCCAAGCTGGGGCAGGTCTGATCACCTGGCTCTTCATCAACAGCATAAGGGCCTTGTGTTCCCTGTGCCCAAAGAATAATGCTGGTAACCTTCTGGCCGAAGGTCAGATATTGTGACATGGTTGTGGAGGAAATGCCAGATTGAGCAGAGTCGGAACCGGTAAGCACACCTCATTGCCTGCATTACCTAGACCATGATGATGAACTTTTTGTATCATCCTTAGCCTGAATTGGGTTGGAAGCAGCCTCGGCTTAGCTAGATGATTGCTTCCATTGACCTCCCATTGTGTTGAACTTATCTTCTCTCTGATCCCAGCCTGTGCCCGTTACACTCTTGCAGAAAGTTGTTGAAACTACGCTGACTCTGCTCTTAAAGGATTTACATCCCTGGCCGTTTCGCCGAAACAGAACACCATACCCATTTTTTTCTATCATCGAAACGTTGTCCATGCGAAGCTTGCCCGCCGATGCCATGAAATCATACCGGTAAACCGTGGATTTCGCGCTGTTGACAGTCACTTGCCTCAGGGCATACTGTTTACTTCTCGGACGAAGTCGATTTGGGTGAAGGAAGTTCATCCCGGTCCAGATCCAGGTCCTCTGGGTAGACCTCGGGCGTGGTCACACCCCCGGGAAATGACAGGTGAAGGCAAGCTTCACCATGTGGAATTGTATCGGGTATCTCTGCCTCTTGGCTCTCTGTGGTGCTACTCTCCTCCTCCATGGAAGGCGAGTTGGCCCCGTCACTCTCCGCATGCGTGGCATCAGCTTCAGAGCATGCTGCATTGCATCAGTGACCGCCCCAATTCAAAAGCAATGAGGTCGGTATACCTTCCGCCTGGTCGACTGAACCTTCTTGGCTTGAGATTGCCGATTTTGCCTGGTCTTCTGGACCGCTCGCTGGTCCATCAGCCATCGTTGTGGAAACGGCGTGGTAACGACTTGGGTTTTAGAAAACTGGTTCAGCGGACATAAACCCCTCCTTGGTATGATCTTTCTCAAGAATGGAATCGAGCCAGTCCTGAGCTTAAATAATCGAAAGCCCCCATGTCACTGCGCGGCCAGATTTGTCTTCTACTCCGACCCAAGAGCATCGTGAATGCATGGAAGCATGAAGACGGGGTTTGAATATCGCCTCGATGCACCCTCTCCGCGGACGCCCTTCCCCTTCAGCCAGAATCGAAGCCAGCGAAAAGTTGCAGATGTTTGTGCATCCCCTGGCCCCCGCCGAAGTACTAGTAGGGTTCCGGTATGAGCTGGAAGCGAGTGAAAGCTTCCTCATCATTCGAATGCAAGATTTCGAAAGTGAGCTATGCACAGCTGGCGTCTTCTCGGCCCGGGTGGCTGGATACAGCCGTTGTTCGCTTAGCCTCTATGCTCACCTCTGAGCAATGCATGTCTTTGCTGGTCTTTCATATATCCTAGTCAGCCAGCGGAGGATCTCAACCGAGACGACCAAATGCGTAACTCCACTTCAAGAAACGTGGCTCACTCGGGGCCTTGCACAGTCCCCCTACAGGGGAGACAAAGAGTTCGATTTATATTCCTACACAGCGTCAACATGCAGCCTGACTTGCATTCAGCCCCAAAAAGGCGTATCCCTGGGGCACCCGACTCAGACCTTCTGGTCCTACGCGTGCCCCTGTTCTGTTCATGCACGAAACACACTAGCACAAGCTGGCCGACAATTGTTTAGGGTCAAGTAACTACACGAGCCCTTTGATCTTGGTGGCTTCCAGAAGAGGACTGCCAAATCTTCTCGCCTCGTCGCCGGAAAAATGCAAGCTTCACAGCGCAGGTCGTGCCTCAACCAGCCAGTGAGATATGATGCATCAACAGAGATCGACGTCCTCAATGTTTGTTGAATAGACTGCAGGCTTCTTCATCTTCCTAGAACTGCCATTCCCGCAAAACGATAGCAAAACATGCGCGCCCATGGCTAGCCTGCAAAAGGTCGCATGAAGGCCGCTTCAGATCCCTTGGCGGGTAGTGAAACGACTGAGACGGTCAACAATGGCTCAAGACGGTTCCCTCTCAGAGCATGGACACCGAAGACATTCATGACGCCCCAATTTCCAGCCTGGCCCTACCCCGGTCCACTAGACTCGTGATTTGGCACAAAGTCTCTGCGCACACGCCGTCCGGCGTCGAACGAGCCAGTTTATTGGAGAGTGAGAGCACAATACTCTTCACAGTCATGGAGGATCTTTCACATTTGTCTCCACACCAACCTTACAAACCATTAGAGCAGTCATGTCACACCGGTTGCTTTGCATTGATGAGGACTGGCCAAGAAGACGTGTTACGTGCAGCCGAGACATTATCTCCTTCCAAAACACTTCCGATCCTTATAGTGCGCGATCCACTCGACGATGGAAGTACTGCCAGTCATGATCCAGTATACCAGACCGCAATGTTGTTCTCTTGCGGCATTTTACGGCATTCGCAGGATGTATTGTACTTGTTCTTCGATTGACGTGGCTTTTGATCAAGAGGCCTGCTGGGTTGGTGCTGTCTGGATCGGGTCCTCATGCTTGTGGCAGACAACTGTCAAGGCATGGCGCCTCTATGGGAAGCGCCACCGTTTCGGCTGAAGCAGACTTCCGGGCGGGAGACATTACGCGAGTCCAGGTATTGTGAGCAAGACGGCGAATTGGCCAGGGTTGAATTATGCGTTGGTGGTCGAAGACCCTTGTTCTGCGGTCGGAAGTTCACACGGAGTAGTGGGTGGTTCCTGAAGAATCCGAACGTGGCGTTGGCCTGCCCTGCTCCCTGACACTGCAGTGCGCCAACCCCGTCTGCCTACTGCCCGCTCGGCAGCCCCTTTCTTCTGTACGAGCTCACCGCCCTTTGAGACTCACCATACCCCAGGAAAGATAAGGGACTTCCAGTGCCTAGACTATGGAAACTGCCACGTCGATTCCCGTGCGCCCCGATTCCGCCACATTCTGCTCCGCCCTTCGTACCTCCATGAGGACTATCTGCGGGTCCTCGCGTTAACCCCGCAGACACAGCCAGTTTCAAAGATCCAGTGGCCTGGGGTCTTCATGTTCTCTCTCAAGGAGCTATTCACTGGCCACATTTGCCTCGACTCTAGGAGACCCTACTGTGAAGGCGGATGCTTACGTCTGACAGATGGTCTGGAAGGTTGTGCAGCTTTACGGGCCCTCATGAATTTTATGAGATTCTGAGGCCGTGACATGAGGCTGTAGACTAAAGAGCATTTCCATGACCAGGGGAGGATCTCTCCCCAAGTGTTGATAATCGAGTTGTTGCGGTTTCGTGCATTGACCTCGTTCATGTGTTTGCTTGAAGAAAAATCGTGACTTGCGATCCGCAGACCCCAGCAATCCCTATGCCTCAGGATCCTCCATCGCGTGAAAGACACCCCTGCCACAAGCTTGATTCAATCGAGAGAACCTAGCACTAATCATGCATGTCTCGAGGTGTTCCTTACTTCTACTAGTATTACTATTGCAGCCTTGGGTTGGTTGCCCACCATTGAAATCCAATTGGCCCCATTCGGAACAAGCCACCGAAGCCGACCCACAACACTGACATGACTTGACCCACATCACCAACCAAAAAAAATAAAAAGCAAACAAGCACGTCCAAGCATTTCAAGAGAATCAAAAACTGACAAAAAAGAAATTTCTTTCCGGATCCAGGAATCGAACCAGGGGCTGCTGTGTGAGAGACAGCGATGTTAACCACTACACCAATCCGGATAATTGAGCGGAAATTTGAGCGGTTTGGAATACATACCCTGCATTTATGGACCCTGCTACAGTCTTCAGTCTCGTGCCTAATGTAAGGCAACCTGCACCATTTCCTCGCTACCACGGTGGCAGAATTGTCCATGCAACCACGAACCACCGACCTGTCCGCTGAACACATACCAGGTTGATGGCATTGGACAAACTTGAACTTCTACTGCTCAATTGTTTATTTCTAAACCTGCTGCCAGCCCACAACCCCTCAGTTTGCGCATGGCTGAACATAATTGCACATTAACCAGTACCTTACGTCCTGGCTGCTTCAGCTGATACAGCCTAGAAGAGACAAGACGGCCAGACGATCTGACGAAACTCTAGGTGGGCCCAGCTGATCGTGGAAAATGACAATGACATCGCAAAGTACTTCCAGCCCAAGTTCCCCGGACTAGATCCCCCAGAGACATCACCGGCGGGCGTTGACGAGGTGGTCTCACGACGACATGGAAAGAAGATGACATTGGTGTGCTATGCGAGCCAGGTCCACAGCCACGACATGCTTGCAGTAGGTGGGAAAGTTCACAATAGCCTGTTGAGGAAAGGTAAAAGGAATTTGTGCAAGACTTTGACATGGTCGGAAAACACTAGGGAGCAAGATCTTGGGCTATCGTCAAACACACTCTGTGGCAACAGACTCAAAATGGACAGCTCCTGTCATTCAGCAGGGCTGATGCAGTATGTCTCTGTTTGCACCATCGAGCGCAGCCGGGAGGACGGATTCTCCAGACCATGCTGCGTGGATATAGGTAATGCAGGTAAGAACTCTGTTCTTGTTTATTTGCCATGTCAATCCTAAGAGATGCCTGTACAATCATTATTTACCTATTGTTGAGTCAACTCGACCTTACTCCACCAAAACCGGCACTGCTCGACAGCCCAATCGTCATAGACACACTCAGCTGGCTTGCCAGTGTTTTGACCACCAACAAGCTCCTCAATCCCCTTGCCGAAGATCATGGTTTTGGGCTGATCGCCCGATTTATAAGGTTGCCATTGGGGCCTGTTAGCCCACCGGCCAGCGATGGCATTCGGATCACCCTTGTTGCAAATGAAACTGGTGACATAAGCGTGCAGCGTGCCCGAGATTTCTTTTTGCGTCTCAGACAACGACCGCACGGCCGGAGTAAACGTCTCATAGCGCATGTTGTCCGCGTGGGCAGCGCCGCCGATGACCGTGGTGGGCAAGGCCCAATGGTACAAGAAGACAGGAGCAGTCTGCGATGACGATGCAAACTCGCCCGTCTGCCGGACCGGGGCGACATAGGCGTACTGGCCATACGCGGCCTCGACACGCTTGTACTGCGGACCGATCTCGTCACTTTGTCTCGTCTCCTTGTAGGTAAGGTCTCCCGAAGTCTCTGGGTCAGGATACAGCTTGTTGGCGATGGTGGCGATATCATCGTCCGACAGTCTGGGAAGGAGTGTGCGGAAGAAATCGACGAATTGATCGTTGGTGGACATTTTCTTGTCCACATACAGTGACCCTTCGTTGCCGTTGAACCCTGTCATGATCGGGATCTTGTAGTAGTTCCCCGTCCGCCAGGTGTCGATCGGTCGCCGGAGGATCATCTCCCCGTCAATGACGGGCTGGAATGCCCACCGCAGTGACGGGTTGTACCTGTCGAACACGGTCTCTTGGGCCTTGGTAATGGCCGACAATGGCAGCGACCGCAAGAAAGGGAAGATCTGGTCCTGTGGCAGGTCGCTCGGCACGCCCGCTTCACTCAGAAACTCGCGGAATTGCTGCTCGTGCAGCTCCGAGTCATATGCTCGCACGGCTCTCGATGTCGGAGCCCCGGATTCAATGATGGCCCGGTGGAATGGACCGGGGTTCGAATTGTTGTGTCTCATCATATGGTGTCCTATCTGCATTGCGGACCGTCACCGAATTAGCAGTGCTTCCTTAGATACGACAGCAAAAATTGAAATACGAAACCAAGGATTTGTTCCAAAGCCTAAACTTTTCCAGAGTGATGTGAGAAATTTGTACAACTTGCAAACTTACCGAATGAGCCCCAGCAGAAAGCCCAATAAGCGTAACATTGTTCTTGTCCCCTCCAAACAGCTCAATATTCTCCTGCACCCATTCAAAGAGCAATTTCTGGTCCTTGAGACCAATATTGAGTGCCCCTTCCTTGGCACTCAGACTTGAGGGAAGAAATCCCAGCGCGCCCACGCGGTAATTGAACGAGACCGCCACAAAAGGCTGCTCCGACCACGAAACCATAGACGCCGTGTCGTGCATCGACGCTGTGCCTCGATTGAACGCTCCGCCATGCACGTAGATTGCCACCGGCAGAAGACCTTTTTGCTCTGTCTCTGCTTGTCGAAACACATTCACCGTCAGACAGTCCTCGCTGTACTGCAGGGGCGGCCCGCCTCGCAAAAGTGGCTTCCCCGGAGCAGCAGGTCCATAGCGAGATGCGTCGATGACAGTGTCTGGAGGAGAAGACGACGTGTCGATTTTCACAGGTGGTCTGAAGCGCCGGTCTCCCGTTGGCGGTAGGGCGTATGGGATCCCTAGAAATGCGTGGACCGGTTTATCGAGCCCCTCGCTCTTGGTCTTGGTCACGCCGACGACCGTCCCTTGGGGCAATTTGACCGTCGGTCGGGGACTGAGTGTTTCTGGAATTGATCCCATGGTAGCTGCAAGTATTCACGGACGTAAGAAAACAGGTTGTGAGGAAGCAGTGTTCAAGTCGAGTGGTCCAGTGTCCTCAACTTGATAGAATGAATCATTGGATGTAACAGCAAGTACTGTACTGTAGGATCTTGCTCTGTCCTGATTGACTCCCCCAGTGTCGGCAATAAATCTAAGCCGTTCACAGTATTGACATTGATTTGACAACGTGGAGTCACCCCCATGGTGGAAAGCACGTCTTCTTTTTGGGCTGTCTTCTAGCCGAATTGCCGAACCGATCTTATGGCGTAAACGCGGACGCCCGGGCGTACAGTAGGTATCGGGAAACCAAAGTTTGCCGACACTATTATGTGCAGTGGTACGCGGTGTTATCTGTTCGGAAAAGACATACTTTACTAGTTAGGTGGACGGTCCACCTACCTAGGTACCTTTGAAAGGGGTTCGGCAACTCAACAACCCGGAGGTGTTCCGCTTGCGACACGCGGCGGACCACCTGTACCACTCAGCTGTATACTCGTATACTAACTTGAACAAGCTACTGGTACTCCACATCCCGATTCCGTTGATTGTAATAGGTCGTGAGAGTGCATTATGATTTCCTGGGGCAACTTGAACTTGAAACAAGGTCCTTACTACATGTACAGTACTAGTACCTACCTTTTTACCCCAGAAGTTTCTGCGGAGTGCAGTACGACCGCAATGTGAGCCGACTTGGGCGGTCGAAGTACTAGTAGCGGCTGCTAGCTCTGCCCAGTAGTACCACGAGAAACCCCAAAAGGAAGATCGGGCGCCGCACCCAGTGCAAAGTCAGCCGAAACGAAATGGACGGACGAGATAGCTCCTGCTCTGGCTCGGCCCAGTACAGGTACCTAGCTGGATGTATACCTTAGCTGTATATCCCAAACGCCTCAAAAAGGGAGATTGTGTGCCCTTCATTTCTGGAAACTTGAAGGCGGATACTGCGCACAAGACTACTAACAAAAACACCATCCAAAAAGGGCGGCGAGAAAAAAAAAATTAAGTCGTATTTATAGGTATGAGGTCCCAATCGCTAGGACTGAAAGACCCGGCCCCTAAAGGAAACAAGTGAATCACTCAAGGCAGAAGATCGAAATCCTCTAATTAGTGGTTTTTAAGCATCCGAGAGCTTGTGTGTAGGACCGAAACCAAGGTCCTACCAACTAGACCACCGAACCTACCACGCTGGGCGACAGAATTTGGCAACTTCAAACTTATATGCCTTTATTTTTGATTCACAGGTCACATGTGAGTAGGTAGGTTGCAGGCGGCCGCCCGTGGCAGTAAGTATCAAAGAAGCCCGGGACTTTGGTGCCATGAGGAACAAAGACCCATGAAACACCACTGCAGTATTGGATAAATCACGGTACTATAGTCATTGATATCTACCTAACCTAGGTAGTATCTGATCGTTACGGGAGCCTAACACTTCTATTTCCTCGGACAAGAGTTCTGTCTACCGTTCCAGACGTTACTTCGTCCCAGTCCGCCCAGCAGAATCCCCGGGGCCAATGTGCTCGTGACAGGTCTCACGCAGCTTGCAGCCGTATCGAATGCTATCATCGACGCTCCAGAGGAATGCCACTCAAGCCATACTGCTCTTGCTCTTGCCTGGGAAATCATAACTACTTCTGAAACCGATGACATCCTCGATTGTCTCGTCCGTGAATTTGAGGTCTTCCTCAACTGGCACCGTGTCTTTGATCTTAAGAATCAAGACCGGGGGCGCAACAATCAGGCTGTCGCCAAGCAGGATCCAGAACGAAGCGAACTGGCTCACATACGTGGCATTCAACTCATCCCAGCGCCAGACGATGGCAGCACCTGCTGACTGAATACCCTTGTAGAAGCCTGCAAAGTGAGCGAGCTTGCGACTGTTGTTGCTGATGGCGCCCATAACTCTGTGCCAGTGTGGCTTCAGATTAGTTCAAGTCAAGTCGTGACCAGCACGCCCGGGCCAGGATCAAGGTGCTGGTGTTGCTCAACTCAAGAATACACGCAGGTCTGCCATGCTGCGTTATAGAAGCCGTGAAAAAAATGTACAAGAAAATGGGTCCCACATAGCCAGTAGTCCCCCAGTCGATGTCGTCGGATATCTGATCGGTCGTATCCTTGCGTCTGTAGCTTTTCTGGAAAACCATAGCCTCCGGCCCCAGATGGCGAAAGTGAGAACAAACATGACAACACAAGCAATCCTGGCTCTTGTGGCCGTCCTATGCCGGGGAAATCCAATACAACACCGAAGATGAGACGTCCGAGGCTGACAAAGATCATGCCCGAGACCACTTCATTGCCGTCTTGGACATCTTACTCAAGCACGGCGTGGCTGGGATCCGAATCTTCTGTTCCACACGACCACCGGCCGCAACCGTGCTTCACCACGCTGTCACTATACAGATGGGATCGCGATCTGCAACGCGCTACGGTGACTTCATTTCTGTGTCAACACGGTGCGGATCCTTTCCAACCAGATGCACCAAGGGAAATCGCCTTACGACATGGCTTTGGCTTCGGATCATCAAGACCTCCTGTTGGTCCTCGAGCGAGACTGGAGAAGACCAGAATTAGGAGGTGGGCTAGCGGAGCTTCTCTGCTTGAGGTTGGCGACCGATGCGCAGAGACACGGGGAATTTCAACGGATAAGGGATTGAACCAAAAGAGTGAAATCTGCACTTCTCACTCCAGTCATATCAAATCCAAACCCCGGTACATATTTCCTATCGTCACTAATCCTCCGGTCATACCGTACACATGCAAAGAGAGGTCCGCCATATCTAGGCAAAAGCATGAACTCGCTCGAGAGAAAAAGGAAAGAAGAAGAAGGTAACGCAACGCAACGCATTCAGAGCATGTATCTGAAGTGAGGATTCTAGAAGAACAACAAAGTCAGTACGACGGTCACACCGGATTGTGAAGAAACAACAACAAGGGGATCTATTGACGTACCTCGAAATCCGTTTGGTCGGCAGCAACTTCCTCAGTTGCATCAGCAGCCGCGCCAGGGTCGTTGGCTGCCGCCGCCGCGGCGTCGCGCTTTTTGTTTCTCCGGATCAAGAGCAGTCTCAGAGACATGGCGACGACGATCTGGGCGGCGGCACAGGATAGGATGGTCTTGCAGCCGGTCGGATAGGTGGGGGACTCCTTCGCCAAAAAGGCATGGGGACCGATGATGTTGCCGACGCAGTAGGCGGCGAAGACGATGGCGGTGCCGGTGGCACGTTTTGTGTAACCGCCGAGGTTGGCGCCGGGCATCTGCAAGGCGACGACCAGAGACGAAACGAACGAGGCGACCATGTAATAGCCGAACAGGACGCCGATCTTGTGGTGTTTGCGGTCGAGTTTCCAGATCAGAGCAATGCCCAGAATTGTGGGCAACATGTACAGGGCCATCGAGTACGTTCTGAAGTTGCGGATCTTGGATGCGAGATAAGTACCCGACAGGATCCAAAAGACCTGAAAGGCGCCCTGCGGAATGCCCAGCGCCGTGGTCAACAGCGGATCGGTGACCAAACCCTTGATGATGAGTTTGCCGAAGTTGGCGATGCCGCCGTTCATGGTCTCGTTGAGCAGCATGAACAGCGCCAGCAGCAGCACCTGCGGGTCGAGCAGCGCCTCCTTGATCTGGTACCATTTCACGTGATGGTTGATGATACCCGTCCGGCCTAGCTTGCCTCGGGCCACCAGCATCGCCTTGTCTTCCAGGCTGAACCGTTTCGCCGTCAGGATTGTGTCAGGCAGCAGCCAAAGCACCAGGAAACCCCAGATGACGGTGATACCGCCGCAGATCAGGAACACCGCCCGCCACACTGGGAACGTGTCGATCTGCCCGATCGCGTACGTGAAGATGCCTCCAAGCATGGATCCCACGCCGTTGCAGCAGTAGAATACCCCGGCACGGAACGGTTGTTCTTGTCGAGTGTACCTGTGGAAAACTACGTGAGCCAAAGGACAAGCCCGACAGAGAGGCAAAAAGGACCACGGCATTGAATGGATAGACCAGGAGAAAGGAGGAAGAGGGAAAAGGATTACTAGTACTTACCACATGCCAATGATCATCATGAAACAAGGGGTGATGGGAGCCTCGAAAACACCGAGCAGGAACCGGCACGTGGCCAGACCGGCAAAGTTGGAGCACGCCGCCGTGATCATCAGGATTGATCCCCACGAGATTATGCAGCCTGCCACCAGTTTGGCCATCCGAGTCTTTTGCGCAATGTATGTGAACGGGTACTCGGCTCCCAGGTAGGCAAAGTAGAAGATACTGGCCAGCCAGCTGTACTGGTCTTGGTTCGTCTTGGTGTCGGAGAACAGGTCAAACACCGCCGAGTAGGACAGAGCCTGCTTGTCAATGTACTGGAGCACATAAGTGCCGGCCAGCAACGGCAGGAGGATCAGGTCAATCCGCCGCACTAGCTTGCGGTTTCGCTGTTTGTCGGCCAGGAGTTCCTTGATGTAGCCTGGGCTGAAGTTGTTGTCGCGCAGGAAGATCTCGGCCTCGTCCAGGTCTGTGATGTCGCCGGTCCCAAAGTCCTCTTTAGCCGCATAGGTGACCGACATGGCCTCGGACTTTGCCTCAGCGAGGTCTTTGTTCATGTTGTTGCCGCTCTCAGTTGTTGCCATTCTCAAGTCTGGCTCTCTTGTTGCAAAATCAAGGAGAAAATAACTCAAGGGCTAGGAAAAGAGAAAGCGGCGGAGATAAATGGGCGCAATGAATGTACAGTTGCACTGCTTGTCTTTGTATGACCAGGTTCACCGAGAACCACTGCAAGTTCCGGGGAGGAGACGGTCATACAAAACTTACAACGGTCCTCACAAGGACTGCAAGAGGATGACAAGGAACATATACCCATGGAGCTCAGGGCCCGGGCGCGGCCCCAAACCCCTCTTCTGGCTGCCAATGCCAAGTCTCTACTCCAGATTGTTGACTGGCAGTGTCATGATAGCAAGATAAAAACCTGGGGCCGCTACCCGAGGATCCATTTGCCTTGATAGCCATATCAGTTTTGAGACGCCGTGGCGAGTTGGCAGTGGCGACGGTTCAAGATAGACCGGGGAATGGGGGCTGGGTTGAACAATCGGAAAAGCTGGATTGGCGGCGTGAGTGTTGGGGGGTGGAGAGACCAAGTTTCCCGACCGCTCAGACCCACTGCAATCACGGCCTCGACGCGGCGGTGAGGGCCGGGCTTATCACGCCCTATGGGGATACCTGTAATTCGCTACGGTAATGGAGAGAGAAGAGGTCGGGGAACAGCGTTTTTGTGTCTGGTAGTTGATAGTGACTGAAGCGAGGACAATTACTAGGATTGTGGGATTGTGGGGAATCTTTTCCTGAATAACTCTGGGCAATATATCACGCTGCTTTGCCAGCCTTGCTGCCCGCCAAACCAATGGATTTGCTGAGCGAGCCTCAGGCGACGCACAAGAGTTCAAGGTCACAATCTTTGTCACACACTCTATTATAAGCTGTTGAGTTTCTCACCTTCCATACATATCCGCCTGTTGGCAATCTGATGCTGCCATGTTTCGGTCAGCTTTTACTGGTAGGCCGCCTTTTTCCTGGTCGTTATTCCTCATTAGTAAAAAGCGAAGTACATACCCCAGAAGTTCTTCACGGGTCAGCACATGTGATAGAAGCTTCCAAAGAGGCGAGAAACGACCCAAGGCGAAAACATGCCGAAAGAAAACAGCGTAGGTCATACGACCTGTGAGGAACCAATGGGAAAGAGAATGAAGACTTGCGTACATCGATCCAGCTGATGTCTGATGGGGCACGGTTCAAGGCGGAGAAGTGGTATCTCTGAAAGATACCGAATTTGTTGATCGTTCCTTGAAACCAAGCGAGGAGACGTTCATTTTGTGGCGGTAATGGTTGCTGCTTGTTTGGGGTTCGGCATGTATGATCGAATCAATGTCGCTGAACTGGCGCGCGATCATCTGTCGATTCCGAGCTCCCTCATCAAGAAAGTCGCTCAAAGGAGTGGCCGAGACAATAGCTCCTTCTCATATCCAAATCCGTTCTCATGCTGTCTGCAAGAATGTCTGTTTGGTTGCATTGCTGCCCTTTGGTTTGGGCCTCTTCAAGGCTTGCAAATCTGACTCTTGTCCTTCCTTTCGATCTGCCTAGGAGCAATTATATATAGCTTTCACAAGAGATGCCCACAATGTACAGAGTGCACGCAAATTTTGCTCCGGGGGAAAGAGTTTTCCGCTGCTGGAGTCATCGTGGCTCCAGCCTGATCGCGGTGAAGTCGGTTGAAGACGGCATGATCAGGCTGAACACCCACTCTGACGACCCTCGGGGATAGAATAAGTGCCGACATAACATCTTGAAGTTGATCGCGAAGCAACGAGCCGTACAAATTCACGGAATGGATGTCATAAGCTCGACGCCGGTGGATAGATGGGTCGGAACTCGTCGGGAACGAGTCGTGGACGAAAGGGGTTGGCGTCGGAAAACCGCGATTAGTCAGACAAGTTTACCGACGCGTGTTTCCCGAAGACGGCACCGCCGACGGGATGGTGGACTCACTCACCTTGGTCCCCGGCAACGACAGACATATTGTCCCTGAGCAAGTATAAAGCCTCCACGCTGATTTTGAAACGCGAAGGCCTCTTCTGTTTAGACTGAAAAGCGACTGGTAGATATCGTCCAGCAGCAACAATGGCAGCAAGCACAGGAAACAAAAGCACTGAGGTGCAATTGCCAGAGCCGTTCGCCAGCATCCCCAGAGAACCGTTTCTGTTCGGCCCATCTCCGATCCAGGCGTTGCCTCGGATATCCAAAGCCCTAGGAGGAGAGGTGAACGTCTACGCGAAACGTGAGGACTGCAACTCTGGATTGGCATTTGGCGGCAATAAGACCCGCAAGCTTGAATACTTTGCGCCTGACGCTCTCGCGAAAGGTTGCGACACTCTTGCCAGCATTGGAGGTGTTCAGTCAAATCACACTCGCCAAGTCGCGGCTGTGGCTGCAAAACTAGGTCTTAAAGCTCACTTGGTGCAAGAGCACTGGGTGGACTGGAACGATCCCGTTTATGACAAAGTCGGCAACATTCAGCTCTCGCGCTTAATGGGAGCAAAGCCTCGGCTAGATCCATCGACATTTGGAATCGAGCACAAGAACTCACTGCAATCTCTGACGAAAGAAATCATCGACAACGGTGGCAAACCATATTATATTCCCGCAGGTGCCTCTGATCACCCGTTAGGAGGACTCGGTTTTGCTCGGTGGGCGTTCGAGGTGGAGCAGCAAGAGAAAGAACTCGGTATCTTCTTCGACACCATTATCGTCTGTGCGGTGACCGGTTCGACCATGGCTGGTATGGTTGCAGGATTCAAGCTGGCCCAGCAGAAGAATGGCTCGAAACCCCGCAAAGTCATCGGCATTGACGCCTCAGCAACGGTCCAGAAGACTTTTGACCAAATTCTCCGAATTGCCAAAGCGACTGGCGTCAAGATTGGCCTTGAGGAGGACGATATCACTGAAAAGGATATCATTCTTGATGACAGATACCATGCTGGTTGCTATGGTATTCCTGACAAGCAGACCATTGATGCTATGAAGTTTGGGGCATCGACTGAGGCATTCATCACCGATCCGGTCTATGAGGGAAAGAGCTTGGCTGGTATGATGGATTTGATCCGGAAGAAAGAGATTCCTGCCGGTAGCAACGTGTTATATGCTCACCTGGGCGGACAACTGGCGCTGAACGCATATTCGTCAATGGAAATTGAGTAATGCAGTTATATGACAACAGGCCGAGTGGGGTTTGGATATCGAGACACTGGCCATTTTGTGAAAACTGGTTAACGAGAATGTATGACCAAAGAAGTATATGAATCCCCCAAACTTGAAGCAGGTATGTTGCTTCGCAGAAGATGCAATGTGTGGACCCAGATCTATCTCTAGAGCCGTAGACTTGTATCAAAGTACCATGGCCAGTCTGAGTGGACACCGACACCGCCCGTTAATAGCCAGAGCCATCGCCATGAGAGCATCAAGTGTCTAGTGCTGAGCACCCATATTGTTTCGCCTTGCCAGTACCTCACACTGCAGTGGACGCAGCCTTATGCGGTAGAATCCGGATTAGCGGGCTTATCCGAACACTGCTGATATTGCGTTCCAATTGCCGAGGAGCGTTGGCAGCCCGCCAAAAACACCGGGAAACGTTTGGCCGGCCTCCTTCGATACGCCGCGACTTGCAGCAACCACACCTTTGCGTCGCGACGGTGAGTTGAGCTTCCCGCATCGGCTTTGGCGAGGAAAATACGTGGAGGGTAAGGTGCTTCTCGACCATGGGACCATGTCCGAAAGCCGAATGAGCTCGGAGGCTGCGGCAACACCTCACGGCTCACGACCATACCGCTCCCATCGATATCCAGCGTGCGACCTTTGCCGACGACGGAAAACGCGATGTATCAGGGACGTTGACGACCAGCCTTGTCAGTTCTGCAAACAACACAGCCTCGAGTGTACGAGGGGTCGTCGTTCTCAAGGGGCTAGAAATGTTGCCGACTCACCTCGCCGCCAGAGGTTGGCGCGGCCAGCTGGGCAGAGGTATAGTAGGTCATCACCAGCACCTCCCCAAAGAGTCAACCCAGAGCCGCCCGCTCTGGAAGACATCACAGTGCTCAATGGAACCCATACACACCAAGAGGAGACCATGAGCAGTAGTCCTGCACACGACGACCGGGCCTCGAGCGAGAACGAAGAAAGTACATATCAACGACCGGCTCAGACCCACTCGGGTCACATCATCGGTCCCGTCGCTGCTCGCGACGTCCAGGTATTGGAGCAGTACATGTCCCCGGCAGCGACTCTTCCTGTGTCTCATGCACGCCCAAACCCTTACAGTGTATACTCGAGTGATTCTCGGAATCCAATCGTCTATCTGAAAGTCGCCCGCCAGCGTGTCCGCGCCTCGCGTGGCAATGGATCGGCAGGCTTCAAACAATATGAGGCGATCGAAAAGGTGCTCGAACCTCTCGGCGGTGACATTGTCGAGCTGTGAGTATTGTTACAGTATTCTATTGCATGGTTCAACCTGCTGATCCATCATACCTGCCGATTGGCATGGCAGCTATTTCCAGGCGTTCCATCCTCCATTCCCCATTCTCGATGAGAAGACGGTTCTGGAATCCTACCGGAAGAAGGCTTTGCCGCATGTTTTGGTGTGCGAGATCTATGCGGTCTCGATGATATCATGGCAAGCCTCGCAAAGACTGGCAAAAGCACGTCCAGATCGGCCGGACGTGAGATACATCTGGAATCAAACCGTTGAAGCATTGAACGAGGAGTTTCTCGCACCGGGATTCTCGACAGTTTTGTCGTGCATTCTCGATCTTACAGGTCGGCCCACGACCTCGATGACATACAACGCCATCAACATCGGCCGGGCGGTGGCTTTGTCTCAGAGTTTAGGATTAAACCGAGACCCTCGTGGCTGGAGCCTGGACCAGCGGCAGAAGGCACTTCGAATCAGGACGTGGTGGGGAGTACTTATTCACGACTGGTGGTGCGTATGCGCGTATTCCTCTGCCTTGCCTTTTCGACAGTGCTTATAATCTTCGCCCGGATGCAGTGGCCTAACATGACATCTAGGGCGAGCCTTGCGCATGGAACTCCTCCACATATCCACTCGCAGCAATTCGATGTCGAGGTCCCCGACCTGAACTCTCTGCTGATAGGTAGTGCGATGACGGGCGATGATGCCGGTCGCACCTCCAGTCCACGCATAATGGGTGCTCAAAGCTTTCGGGCCTTGTGTCAGCTTACAGAAATCCTCGGGGACATATTGCCCCTAATCTACGACACCAGACGGGGCAAACCTGATGTGCAGCTCCGGTCGCTGAAGCGCATAGAAGCGGCATTGGATGATTGGGAAGAAAATCTGCCGCAATCGTTGAATCCGAGGGCGCCGGATTTTCAGAGAGACCAACCTGGCGCGTTGAGTCTTCAGCTGTCATTCCTGGCTGTGAAGTTGTGTATCTGTAGGGTCTCATTACTGGTACGCAATGGTGTCATATCCTAGCCATGCGCTATCCTCACTAATCATGCTGCCACAGGAATCTGTCAAGACCGATGATTATAATAACCCGGAAACATGGCAATATCTGCATCTGCAGTGCCGCAGGGCAGCGAAAGCCGTGATAGACTTCACTCTGTCCCTTCGGGGCCGCGACCTGCATGCATTCTGGATGCCGTGTAAGTGGAGTTCCCCGGCGTCTGTTCATTGAGAGTCATTACCTCGACGTTTTTGCCTTTCATTAACAGTCTGTGACAACAGATACTGCGTACCATTTTGCATCGGCAGCGATCCTCATCCTCCGGTGCGGACTGGAAGCCGCAAACGATGAGACGGCACGTGACTGCATCTCATCTGCGCGTGCCCTGGTCGAGCACCTCCGAAAGGCCAAGGACGAAGCAAAATGGGACTTGGCCGACATTTGTCTGTCCCAATGCGAACCAGTGGTCCACCAACTAAGTGACGACACCTACCTTCGAGAGCAGCGGAGGCGCAACCGTGGGAGCGGAGCCGCAATGCCCCGTCCGATCGCTGCACCTCCGGATAGAGCTGCATCTTATATGCATATGCATCAGATCGAGCGGCAGACGTCCGCTGACACAAGCAGTGCGGCGGCGGCGGCAGCAACACGGCCCTTGACGGACACTTCTATGCTCACCGCCGACACCACCTTGCATTTGGGGAATTCCAACGCTGCAGTTCAGGAAGCTGAGGCGGCCAGGACAGAGGGTCCCTGGGACCCCTTTGCTCATCTGAGTATCCCAGATCTCTGGGAAGCCTCTGGCCTGAATGACTATAGTGGATTAATGACATAAATTGTACATTTGAGGCGACGCAGCCTTGTGCAGCCTTACGGGCCGTATGTGGATCCCGCCTTATTAGAACAGCGTAATAATCATAATCAGCCATTAAGGCGGCACGATTGTTTTGTGAAAGCGGCATAGTAACATGCAACCATAATAAATCGCAGGCCAACTTGAACTTTTTTTGGTCCGAAGTCTGAGCGGGCAGAAACAGAGGCGGGCGGCCCTTACTTGCAGTGTATTTGCGGCGATTGCAACATGGCGCCGTCGCAACTGAAACAACTAAAGGCGTCGTTGCGTGAGCACGGTGTCTTGGGCCCTCAAAAGTCGAAAAAACAGAAAAAAGCAACTTCCAAAGATGCGCAGAAACGGCTTCAGCGGAATGCGGCCCTCGAGGGCATTCGAGAACGATTCAATCCCTTCGAAGTCAAGGCGCCCGCTAGGCGAGAAAAATTCGAAGTCGCCACCAATGCAAAGAACTCGAAGCCTGCGGTCGGCCGACCCGGTGTCACACGTGGCCTGGGCGAGGAGAGACGGCGAGAAACTCTACTCAAAGAGATTCAAAGTCGCAACAAAGTCGGAGGACTTCTCGACCGCCGGTTCGGTGAGAATGACCCGACCATGACGCCAGAAGAAAGGGCGGCCGAAAGATTTGCCAGGCAAAACGAGCGCAAGTTGAAGAAGACATCCATGTTCAACTTGGAAGACGACAGCGAGGGCGAGCTGGCTCTCACGCATGGCGGACGAACACTTTTTGATGTTGGAGACAGCAACGCAAAAGACGACTTTGAAGAAGACGATATTGCGGACGAAGACGAGGAAGATTTCGAGGCACATGATGACAGGCCTCGGAAAAGGCTGCGCATCGATGGTGAAGGCGAGGATGAGGAGGGCGATGAGATGATACCTCAGAGGAAGAAGACGAAAAACGAAGTAATGAAGGAGATCATTGCCAAGTCAAAGATGTACAAGGCCGAGCGGCAGGCGGCAAAAGCAGACGATGACGACCTGCGTCTCGAGCTGGATAAGGGCATGCATGAGTTCTACGAAGCAATGAAAGCCAGTAAACTCCCACCCCCAGCAGAGAAACAACCGCCGCCAACCACCGAGAAAAAGGACGACCCTCATATGGACCCAGCGCGAGCTGCAATGCTGGCGGGCAAAAGCAGAGAGGCGGCCGAGAAGGAATTCGAGGCCAATCTGAGACAATTGAGGTTAGAAGCGCGTTCGAAGCCCAGTGTACGCACGAAGACGGAAGAGGAGAAGGCTGCCGAAGAAGCCGCGCGCTTGGAGGAGCTAGAAAGGAAACGAATCCGTCGAATGAAGGGTGAGGTTGAAAGTTCGGAAGACGAGGCGGACGACGCCGAACCGGGCCCCGACGAGGACGTTGATGTGGAGCAGGAGGACGATGCAGAAGCCTTTGGCCTGTCTGCACCGGCTCCCCCTCCTCCACAGAAGAAGGAACTCGACGTGGAAGACGAAGATGAATTTCTGCTTGAGGATGATCTTATTGCTTCTGATTCAGAGGCTGACATGGCGAGTGAGGAAGGCTCTGAGGACTCTAGTGCCGATGAGGACGAATCCGAGGACGATGGCGACGATGATTTCATCAATGGCCTGGTCCTCCCGGAGGGGACTAAACCGACATCACAGTCAAAGACTACTTCGACAAAGACTGTGAACGGCGATAATCTTGCTTACACCTTTCCATGTCCTCAGACTCATGGTGAATTTCTAGAGGTGGTTAATGATACCAAGTTGACGGATTTGCCGACGGTAGTACAGAGGATTCGTGCTCTTTACCACAAAGGACTTGCTCAGGGGAACCAAGACAAGCTAGATGCTTTTGCCGCGGTTCTGGCACAGCATGTCGCGTATCTGGCAGACTCTGAAAGTGACGTCCCCTTCGCTGTCCTTGAGAGCCTTCTGCGCCATCTTCATTCAATGGCAAAGGCTTCGCCCGAGGTGGTCGGCACTGCTTTCAGGCAGCATTTGCAAGTCATTGCGGACGAGCGACCACTGGAATTGACTGCAGGCGACCTCATCATGCTGACCGGCGTTTCGACAATCTTTCCTACTTCGGATCATTTCCACACAGTCGTGACCCCGGCAATGCTGACTATCGGGCGCTATCTTGGACAGAGTTCGCCACAGTCGTTGCAAGACCTTGGAGTAGGAGCTTATTGCTCTTCTCTGGCGCTGCAATACCAACGAGTGGCTCAGAGATACGTCCCAGAAGTGTTTGTCTACATAACCAATGCACTGGCGATTCTTTCACCGGTTGCCCTCCCGGACAACGATCAGGATGGACATGGACAACCATGGAACTTCCCAATCAGGCTACCAGCGAAACCGCTTCGGATTCCACAGTCTTCTTCCGTAAAAGAGGTGCATGTGCCGGAAAAGCTGGCCTTCAGCGACCTCGTAATGGACAAGAACCCAGATCATACTGTTCATGCTCTTGTCCTTCTCAAAGGGTTCGTCCGACTTGCCGCACAGGCTTCACAGCTGTGGAAACAGAAGACAGCTTTTCCCGAGATGGTTGATCCGCTTCTTCGAGTTCTCAGGCATATTGCCGCCAACCAGTCGTCGGCCAAATTCTTACCAAAGTCCATTATCGCGTTTGTGTCTGATACAGTGCAGACTCTGGAAGGTCTGCAAAAGGCGTCTCTGGACGCGCGACGTCCATTGCTCCTACACAACCATCGGCCATTGGCGATCAAGACGTCCATTCCCGCCTTCATTGAGAACTACAATCCGGACCGCCACTACGATCCCGACCGACAACGGGCCGAGATCTCCAAACTCAAGGCCGAGTACAAGAAGGAACGCAAGGGCGCCATGCGCGAGCTGCGCAAGGATGCCAATTTCATGGCCAGGGAACAACTTCGCGAGAAAAAGGAGAAGGATGAGGCCTACGACAAGAAGTTTAAGAGATTGGTCGCCGAGATTCAGGGCGAAGAAGGTCGAGAGAAGAAGGAGTATGAGAAGGAGAAGAGGAAGAGAAAAGGCAGATTTTAGGTTCCCAGTGAGCAGCATATTGCTTGCAGCGGAGCTGCTGTATAGCGCTCAGCAACTAGTAAGGTCAGATCGAATCACGACATCCCATTCCAATACTATGATAGTACTGTACCTACTTCAAGAGACTGTCGGATAGCCAGGGGTGTCCTGCAAAATTATTATACTAAGTGGCATTATCCATAAACTTCTCATTTCAGTCATGTAGCGCCGAAACACAAACCCGCAGGGAGTAGTACCTAGGTAGATAGATACCTACATTCAGGTAGTAGTGGTGCATGGCATAGACTTCCAAAAAAGTCACTGACCTGCAGTGATATGACGCTGGCAGGGTTCAAGTTCAAATTTCTCGAGGTTCGAGTTGCGAACACCGTGACTGGCATGCCAGTGGCAATGGGCAGTCAGCCGGCAAAAATAGGCATCGGATGCAGTGAGCAAAGAAACAGCAACAAGAAAAAAATGAAAAAATGAAAAAATGAAATAGCCGTTTGATCCTGGCGAGATTTGAACTCGCGACTTTCGCATTGCTCGAAAGGAGTCATACCGCATGCTGTGGGCATACAATATAAGAACGACACGCTAACCGACTGCGTCACAGGATCTTGTTCCACGGCTAAAAACCAGCCATGAAAGTGAGTCAAGTTTCAGGACAGTTTCAAGACCATTTTTACGGGGTTTTTGCCTATGAGGAGTAATTATTTGGCACGTGACATTTCCTACAGATGCCTAGAATTTTGGGTGCCCTACCGCCAAGTGCCTACATCGCTATAACTGTAAAGGTGCTCCTCTGCTTAAATACAGGCACTGCAGTAATGGCATTGCACATATCTGTATGCAAGAATTGAGCTCATCAGATGGCCTGTAAATGAATGCAACTTGACCGGCCGGTAAGGTGATTACACAGACTGCATATCCTGACTTCCGAGTCTTTTTGGTTGTAGAATGAGCGCAACTCGAAGTGCAAAGACTTGACCTTGGGCAGCAGTGATCTTGTACCCGCTCGCAACGTTTTTGAACAACCAGACGAGAAATACTTCCCAAACAGGCAGGAGATTCGTCAATTTGAGCCCAAATTTCTCTCTGTGTCTGGGCATCTAGTCTACTACTACCTCCTAGGGATTTGCTCAGGCTACCCTTTTGACGAGTCGACCAGTCGACGATTCGCCGGGTACGAGCGCATGGCTCCCAAACCACCATCTACGGCCGGCGCTGGCGCTCCCGCCGCGGAAGAGGAGGAGGATGACTACATGAACATGACATTCGAGGAGCCCCAACCATCGTCGAAAAGGGAAACGCTCACACAGAAGAAAAAGCGACTGGCGCGCGAGGCCGAGATCAAAGGACGACCGAAGTCCAAGACAGAATTGGCCGAAGAGGAACGGAAAAAGAGAGAGGCGGCATTGAACTCGACGGCCATCGATACAAGCAACAAAGGGTTTAAAATGATGGCGGCGCTAGGGTACAAGCCCGGCAGCGCGCTTGGGGTATCACGAGATAACAACGACAATGACGACCGACTCCTCGAGCCCATCGGGTTGGAAATGAGGGAGACGCGCAGCGGGATAGGCGCCGATGCCGAGAAGAAGCGCAAGTTCCGTGAGGAGGTGGAAGCACAGCAGGAGGTTGATAAGAAGAGAAAAATCGAGGCTGGAGAGTTTCGCGAAAGGCAGCAGAAAGAACGCGAGGAGAAGAAAATGGAAGGCCAGGTTTGGGGGGCCATGAAAGTCTGTGAGAGGCTGGAAGAGGAGGAAGAGGCAGCTGCAGCCAGTTCGGAGGATTCAGCTGCTGATACAGATCTGAAGAAGAACAACAGCACGAGACCGTTGAAGAGTGTCAATGTGTTGTGGCGGGGGCTGGTCAAGCAGAGGGCAATTAATGAGCGCGACCGGCGTATGAGATACGATTTACATCAGTCGCTGTCGAGGCGTCCTGACTATGACGATCCAGATGAAGACAATGAGGACAAAATCGCCCTGGGGAGAAAAGCGCAAACTGAAGAGGTCGACCTGGACTTGGATGAGGATGATCCTGAGCTGGATGAGTTTGAAACACTCGAGGTCTCAGAGAAGTTGACTAGGTTGGTGGTTTATCTGAGAGAACGGTGGAATTACTGCTTCTGGTGCAAGTATAAGTATCCGGATAAAGAGATGGAAGGATGCCCAGGCTTGACGGAGGAAGATCACGACTGATTTTTTGTACGACATACTACGGTGACTTGTGTAAGACAAAAATAAAGGCCAACACGCCGCGGTATTTGCTTGTGTTACAGGTATAGAAAGTATTTTGATGATCGGACACGAACTGTGTCGGAGTATTCGGTACTACTAGGTACTGTAGCCTTGTCATGGCTGACAAGCCGTGTTGGTGTGGATAAGGCGGTCGCATTATAACAATATCTCAGCCTTGTGTTCCCCGCGCGCCACTTTATTTTTGATATACAATCTTGCCTGCTTTTAGTCAATCAGGTTGCACTTCAACTGAGCCATGCCGGCCCTTACCTCGAATCGCGCCTTGCTGGTCGTTCTCTTGGTAGGACTAGGCACGGCGATCTACACAATTCCCCGTCTTCTGCGTCGAGTGAAAGATGAAGCGAAAGCACCACAGCCGGAGCCTCCACCGGCGCCTAAACGGCTACAAAAGGACTCTGAGAATTCCCTCAAGATTGAAACGCTGCGCACTCTAGCCGACGGCTACAGCCATGAATTGCGGACGTCGGCGATCAAAATCGTCGCCAGCCGGACCGCCAGGTCGAGCACCAAGTCGCTACTCCTGCGCGATCTGGCCAGCAAAGACTACGGTCGGCGCGACAATGCCATCAATGGCTTATGGATGCTTCTTTACCACCCATCACTCAACGGAAACAACAACGGCGGTGGGAAAGTGATGACCGAATTCCACGATGCCGAAACCGCCACGGCTACGGTGCGTGCTTTGATTAATGTTTTACCTCTCCACAACATCAACGACCACCAACCTGAGGCAGAAGCAGAACCTTCTGCTGTTCCGAATCAGCGGAAGAAGCATCTAGTCGTACCTCCATCGCCGGTCCGTCCAGCACATCGGCCAGCACACGAAGTGTCGCTGCTCATCATTCTCAACAACATCTTGTCCTACTCGGCACGCCGAAGGGCACGGCCCATATCAGGCAACGAAGCCATGGAAGCCGCATTGGATGCCGGGCTGGTGACTCGGTGGTTGGCAAACTACCCTTTTCCATGTGCATTGGCCGAAAAGGAAAACTTGGGCTTCAATTTCAAAAAGTCCGATGTCGCTCGTCTATTTGACCGCATGGCCTGGTTGACCGACGACCTGCTGATGGCCGACATTGTTCTGGAGGTCATGCAGTGTCCGCGCGGCCGCAAGGAAATGCGCGCCGTCGGCCTGTCTACAAGCAGATATCGCGAGAATGATCTAGGTCGCCGCGGCGGTTCCTACCGTTCTGCTTCTAATTGGGATCTCCCGGGCTGGGTGACGGCCGCTCAGCAGGATGAAGAGCAGAATAACAGGACGGGTGATGATGATGTGCGCATGGTTGGTGGTGAGGATACCGCGGGCGTGATCGTAGAAGGTAATGAAGGTGGACCGCAATACGAGCCGATGTCACAAGAAGGAGACGGTGGCGGGGGCGGATTGCGACCTAGATCTATGGAACGCAGCCAGGAAGAAGAGCATCTACGACGTCGACATCGCGAAGCCATCGTCGTCGCGGACCCGGGCGCTCCTTTGCGCAGAGAAAACATCCTCCAGCGCGCAAACAGTCAGCAGATTCTCCAGCCTATGAACGGCACCAGTGAGGTCGAGGGTGTCTTGAATGGCCTCCTGGGGCTTTCGGGTGAGAGTGGTAATCATCATGTTCAGGAACATCAAGACCAGCATGCCTCGCATGTTTCCGGTGTGCCGGAGCGTCAAAGACAAGACGACAGCCGCAGCCGCGTTGCCTCCGAACTCGATCGGGTCTTGGATGTCCAGGATATCGAGCATATGCTCGACCAGTCGTTGAGCAGCGGCGGCCCCAGTGATAGTATGCGAGACGTTATCCACCTTCTGCAGTCGGATGAGCCCGTCATCCTCGTCCCTACGGCTTCTTCCCGAAGGCCCCATGGCGGTGCCAGTTCTGATTCAGACTCGGAAAACTCCTCGTGAATCATTTGGTCGATGTCTCTTGTGACTACTGTACCTAGGTATTGTAGGTATTCGATTGCGAGTGTGGGCTCTAAAAGGGAAGGACATCAAAGGCACATGGTAGGCGGGTGGAGTACTGTGGACATTATTACATAGCATGGCGTTCAGGTACCTACGGCGGTAGTTCAGGCAACATTATATAGCATGGCGTTCAGAATTTCAGATGCTGCTGGAGTCTCAGATGCAGGCGCTGCGCAGCATGGTCTGGCAAAAGGCCCTGGACGGAGTAGTATGATAGGACCAATTACTCATTTCTTCGCTTTTGAGAGACTTGTTTCTCTGAAGCTAATGGTTGCGGGTTCAGATTGCTTGACAAAACACGGCATTGAATTCAGTGCGGAAGCTGAATGTTCATTTCATGGCTTTTCAGCCATTCAAGTTCTAGTCATTTGGCAGGATACTAGAATCCATTTTTGGCACCATCACAACCATCACCGCGTACGCGGCGCCATTCTCGTCAGAGCCCAGCTTGCATGGCGTTTTTTTCTTCCCACAAGAGACATCCAGTCTGTGTCGACTGAGGGCAACTTGCAGCATGGTCTGCGAGAAGTGAATGCCCATCCATCCATTTCTCCTCCCGACGTCCAACACCACCCATTGCCTTCGTTTACTTCAACGGAATGAATCTGGAAGAGTGGGTGGCACCGATACCTGGTCTACCGTGCTTGACCGGCTTGTATGAGATGGAGAACTCGCCGAGGTAGTGGCCGACCATCTCGGGCTTGATTTCGACCTGGTTGAACTCCTTGCCGGAATAGATACCGATGACGCTGCCAATCATCTCGGGCACGATGATCATGTCTCGGAGATGCGTCTTGACCAGGTCTGGCTTCTCGTTGGGCTTGGCGTTCTGCTTGGCCTTTCGCAGTTTCTTGATCAGACCCATGGGACGGCGCTTGAGGCCTCGGTTGAACCGACGACGGGCACGAGCATGGAGGATGGTGAGAAGTTCGTTCGAGGGAATGTCCAGAAGTCTGTTTGTTTGCCAATAGGGTTAGAATTTCCCCTTTCCTGATGTCCAAGACCTAGAACGGCAATGTATATTGGACGACGTACTGGTCAAGGTCAATGCCTCTGTACGAAAACTTTCGGAAGGTTCTCTTCTTCTTGAGCTCTGCGGCCTCCTCGGGGTTCTGTATATTGATCCAAATCAGTCTCTTGCTCTCGCACGCGCGCACCATCCATTCGGGGTGTCAGGGAAAACGTACGTAGTCGACGTCAGCCATGATTGCGGTGGCACTGCGCGGTTCGCTTTTCGAGGTGAGCGTCGAAAAGCGAGATGGCGGATGGATGTTGCAGTTGACAGAACTGGTGCAAGTCGACGATTTACGGGTTTCTCGAGTTGCGTTCACACCTGAAGTTTCATGAGGGCTTGGCTTGGCTGCGGCGGCCCCAAAGATTAGGGCATGTGCGTCACGTGATATAAAATCTTGGCATTGATTGTCGACCGCTGCAGTGGCAGGCTCTCGACGCACTGGCATGCAATGGCAGCAACCAATGTTTAGAAGGTAAGTTTCATCTATCGTCTGTAATACGTCGTAGGGAGAATAATAGCATGAGCTTCATGGATTTCATTGTCTGGGATTTACAGAGATGCGCCAGGCCCCCACGATGCGAGCGACGGATACCGCTTGTGGGGATGGTATGCCCTGGTTCTCGGAGCTGACCTGTTATTGAGACCCGTATCTGCGGCTCAATCATGCGCATGTAGACACTTTGCAGAAAAGATCCCCTGGGGGATAGCTTTTGGGTAGTATTGCCTCGCCATGTCTTCTTATGATGCCCATTGCGTCCGAGTAGCAGAATCCATAGGGATCGAATGCTTTGTCTTCTCCACCACGTTCGCTTAGTCGAACAGACCGAAGCCCATGTCCTCGTCGGACTCTTCCTTCTCCTCCTCCTTGGCGGCCGGCTTCTCTTCCTCAGCGGCAGCGGCGCCACCAGCGGCAGCACCACCAGCAGCAGGAGCGGCGGCGGCACCGCCAGCACCACCAGTGGGAACAGATGCGAGTTTCTTCGAACCTTCAGCGATCAGCTGTAAAATGTGTTAGCATGCTTCCTGCTAAAGCTCGTTGCCGTATTCGTTCTCACCTCGGAGATATCCTTGCCCTTCAACTCGGAGAGCAGCTTGGACAGACGCTCCTCATCAGCGTCAATTCCAACGGAGGAAAGGACGTTCTTGATGTCGGAGTCCGATGGGTCGGTGTTGCCGGCAAGGCCGAGGAGGAGATAGGCCGCGAGGTGCTTCATCTTGAATTTGTTTTCTTCGCAACAGATTAGTTGAGCCGTCGGTGCACACTGAAGCGCCGGCCTACTTACTGTGATCTGAGACTTGCGAACAAGAGAGACAATCGATTTAACCGCAAGTTGGGCGGAGACTGGCACGTCAAGTTCTGAGGGTTGTTCGTGACTGAGAGACACTGGCCGAAGTTGCAGCGGACGAAGTTGTGCGCTTCGAAATTGAACTGAAAAAGTTCGAGGCAGGTAAGCCGAGAACAGACGCCGCGCCAAGCCATGAGTCGCCTACGGTAGACCGTCTGACAATAAAAGCAGGAGGGTCAAGAACTTCAATTGTGCCATCGATGCCCTCGTCAGACCTGCCTCATTTCTGCGCAGTATGACTCGCCCGCAGCCGCGCAGTTAAGAGCCAGCCGCGACGTCTGCGGGGGGTATTTTATCGTCCTTTGTTCTTCAACTCACTCGTCGTTCCTTTTTCTTTTGATTTCTCTCTCACAATCATGTTGTCCGCTTGCATTTTCAAGGTCATCTTGGAAACAGTGATCTAAAATTATGCTCGTTTTGGCTCTCGTATCTTCCGCTTGAGCAAACCGGCAAATATGAATGGCCACCTTATGACCGCTTATCTTACAACCTCTTGCTGATCCCTTCCTTACCTTTTTCTCTCTGCTTCGGCTATACAACCATGAGCTTCCTTGGGGATATCGTTAATTCCATTGGGACTGGCACTGCTCCGCCTCCCAAGCCGTTTACGCCGTCAGTCAAGGCACATTCGCAACCACATCCGGGGGAAGTCTCAAAGCTCGGTTCGAAGCCTGCTGCTCCTGCTGCTTCGCCACTCAACGGCACCAAACGCAAAGCCGAGGACGCGCCTACAGAGGGTCCAGCGAAGGTTGTCAGACCAAATCCATTGCCTGGATTGACGAGCAATGTTAGCAAGCGACCAGCAGCTCCTCCCCTGAACGCGCCCAAGCCGTCAAACGACAAAGTTGCTTCCTCGGCCAAGCCCAAGCAAGAGCCTGTTGTGAATGGCTCGAAGACTGGCTCAAAATCCCCAACCGCAACCCCAGCCGCGGCTTCAAAAGCTCCACCGAAAGGGTCCTATGCGGATATTATGGCCAGGGCGAAGCAGGCACAAGAAAAAGCACAAAACCAGGTTGGACTCATCAAGCATCAGCCGACAAATCGGGAGCGAGTGTCTAAACTTGCCGAGAGACGCCGCCTGGAGGAAGAAAAGGCCAAGGCTGCTAAGCAGAGATCTGGAGCAAACCAGACTCTCGGTAAGCAAACGCAATCCAGAAGCGTTAGTCCCGCCAAAAAGCATGACCAGCCACGGGTAATCAAAACTCCAAGGCCACCCTTGCATGCACCAGCATCCTACAAGGGTACTATGGGTACCTCGTCCGGCAGAGGCCAACAGCAAGACCGCCGCAGGCGCAAGCGGTACGACGAATATCTTGGCACGGATGAAGAAGATGTCTCTGAAGGTAGTTATGGACGGGACGAAGAAGACGACTACGAGTCCGATGCCTCTTCTGTCATGGAGGCCGGAGCATTTGATTTGGACGAAGAGGAGCAGAGGGCCCTCAGAGCTGCCAAGGAAGAAGATGCCAGGGAGCTCGCGCTTGAAGCCCAGCTGAAACGGGAGAAGGAAGAGCGGCGGCGCAAACTAATGGGCTTGGCTAACAAACGCAAGTGATTCAGCGGGTCGGTTATTGGGGCATTAGGATACTTTTCGGGCGACGGTTGGCTATGGGTGTGGGCGCGGTATTCGGTTGACGAGGCTAGCATCGGTGTTGGGGAAATGACATTACACTGCATAGCGTTGGCGAAGTGCATTGATATTCATCATTTACTAGCTTTCATGGTGACACGAGCGGAATATTTGATTCCATTGACGGACCTCTTTTTTCAGTGCTCGTTCCCGGGTCCTTATTGAGACCCGGTATTCCCTAAAATTCTTCTATTCGCTGACACTTTCACGCCAGGCAGTATAGGCAGATGCGACTACGTCTGGACCTTGGTACAGCCGATGACAGAGCACCTGCCCCATTGGCCTATATCAAAGGTTCAGGGTTGTAGGCCTCACTGACTGTGAATTACAGCAACGGTGCGGGTGAGCTTGGTGGGCGCTCCGGGATCATGATGGTGAAGATTCAGCATTATTGATTTCACTTTCTCTCAGCGGTGATTGATTGATACTGCAGGAAAGTATACCTAGGTACTATGGGAATTGCTTACATCGCCGCAGTGGGTAACAACGCTTTACCCCCATTGAAAACACAGGTTAAGACCAGCAGCTCCGAGTCATGCCTTTCAATCGGACACCAAGCTCTCGACATCACACCCTTCGACCCTATAGAAGCCCAGCGAGGTCAACATGGGCTTATCGTGGAATCTGTACAGATAGACGGTTTCGTCGCCCTCAGCAGTGTGTTGGTACTTGTTCCAAGCGGGGATACAGAAGGTATCGCCTTGTTTCCAATGGATGCGTTGACCATTGATGTCACTGTACCCTCTACCCTGGACGACATGGTAGACGGAGGAGGCGGTTTCGCGGACAGGGGGCGAAGAGCAGCCCGCATTGAGCCTTTCGGCAGAACCACCCAGGATGCGGGAGACTATTGGAAAGCAAGCAGGAGTTAGATTCAGGGATACTGTGGGCTTACTTTTGTTCCGAAGGGAAGGGGCTCAATCATACCAGGTCTCCCGTCCTTCTTCAAGTAATCCTCCTGAGCCCAGTCGCCGGGTTTCTGGTCGAGCTTCTCCTGCATTTTCTTCCAGGGGAAAACAATGGGGGAATCGTTCGAGTCGACATCTTCGGCAGGGTATCGCGGCTGTTGGTAGTGCTCGACAAAGTGGACGGGGAAGTGTCGAAAGTTGGGCAGATCCAAGCCGTCAAGCCAGATCATGGGGCCCGAGCCGTCTTTGCCGTGGTCGTGCCAGTTCCAGGTCGGCGTCAGGATCACATCGCCCCTTTGCATGGTGATGCGGCGGCCGTGCACGGCCGTAAAGCCGCCTTGCCCTTCGATGATGAAGCGCATGGCAAATGCCGTGTGTCGGTGCGCTCGCGCCGTCTCGTTGGGCATCACCAGTTGCAGGCCGGCGTACAATGTGTCGGTTGTGTAGGGAGCATCTGATCATGATGTTCTGGGTTAGACTTTGAGGTGTGGTTCAAGTTGCCCTCTTCTTCATTTTCCTCAAATGGCCACCAAAGCAAAATGATACAGTGTCACAACTCGAACATGGCATACCTCTGGCAGGATTCACTAGCATCAACACCCGTCTCTCGGCTTGTTGCTCACTGACCAGTTCTCCCGCCCGAAGGAGGCTAGGCCGCACTTCGTCGTATCGCCAGATGAATGGGATGCATGTTGGATTCGGCTCGGGTGGGTTCAGACGAGCCATCTGGGTCCATAGTGGCTTGGTGTGCACTTTGAGCGCGGACTCGACCAGTTCTTCGGCTGGGTCTTGCTCATTTGCTTTTGCTGGAGCTGGGACTGTATGTCCGACTCCGCCATTGACTTTGGTAATCGTCTCTGTTGTGGTTGACATGTCTTCGGTCTTGTTTCTTCTTGGGACGGTATGTGTCACTGAAGCCTGATTAGAGTTAATAGGATTTAGTTTGCCTCAAGCCGGGGTTGATATCTTTCGTCTGTTGATGCGCAGTGATTAGGTTCACTCGAAGACTGCTGCACTTGCTCTCAGTCGGCGAGCTGGGAGATTGTCTGAATATTAAATCTTCCAAAGCTCTTCAACCGCCGAGCCTCTCTTCTCGACTACATGTACACCAAGAGTCATCGGGACCAAAAGTCACCGTTTGTGTTGATGCCGGAGCCGGTTTCTTGTGGTCGTGTGAGATCGCGGTCGATCTGGTGGTGGTGGGGAGGAACCAGGGGGGTCTGGGGCGGTTCCCGATACACACCCGACGGCAGCCTTTCGCATGTGCTTGGTACCAACCATCAACACACGGCAAGCCTTCGGTTCCGGCGTGCACTCTGGAGTCTTGTCAAGCTGCTGACCACGATGGGTGTATTGCGGTCCAACTCAGAGTTCTGTCCGTCCAGCCATATGTCGACTGGTGACCGGCGATTGACTGGGTTGTCTTCAGACCTCATACAAAACCCACCAGAGAGATTGCTGACTGACTGACTAAAAGTCCCAGTCCAGTTTGTTTCAACTCTCGGAAAGTAAGAGAGGTACACTGCACAATCCTTCGAAAAGGGGCCTACTACGACTACTCGTTAGGAACAGGAAGGAGGCATAGACTGGGCATTCATACGGGACCGGCGAAAGAAAGGAGATGGCCAACAGCGGCGGGCCATCAATCAAGGGACCTTCACCAGTCACGGATGAATTTATTCCCATACCAGAGGTAAGTGCACTGACTATCTGATATCAGCTTGCCCACAGAAGATCGCCATTCGCTCTTGGAGTTCAAGTGGTTGTTTCTGTTTCCAATGCCTAAACTGACATGACACGATTGTTTGGAGGTGGCTTCATATCCGACGGGAAGTCTTGACTTCCTAGCCAAACTCAAAAAGCAGGAGCAGAAGCAGAAGCAAAGCGCTACCTCATCAACCGGAGAAAACGAGTGGTCAACCCTGAGGTTGAACATCATCATTGTCGGTGCAGGACTTGGTGGGCTCGCAGCGGCCATCAGCCTCGCTCGAAGGGGGCACAAGGTCATTGTGTTCGAGCAGGCTCCAGCACTAGGAGAGGTAAGTATGGGCAGCACCTCACCTCAGCCCGCTCACTCCGTTCTCCCCTCGTCCCTCTTTCTTCGGGGACCGTCTATGGAGGACATCGATTATGTTAGAGAGTCCTGTTTAGTAACACACCCCACCATAGGTCGGAGCGGGAATCCAGATCCCATCCAACTCGAGTAGGCTGCTCATCAAATGGGGATTGAGGCCGTTCCTGGAATCCAAAGTCGTGACGCCCGCCGACATTGCATTTCGGAGGTGGGAGAATGGCGCTGTCATCGGGCTGACCAGGCTGCTTCCGGAGTTTGAGGAGAACTTCGATGCTCCATATTGGGTCGTGCATCGGGCACATTTCCACGACGCAATGTATCGGCTGGCAGTCAAGTTGGGAGTCGATGTGGTTATTAATTCCAAAGTGGTGGACTATGACATTGAAAAGCCTTCGATTACCATCGAGAATGGCAAGACTTACACTGCAGATCTGGTGGTTTCATCCGATGGTAAGCCTGGTCTTGCGCTTGCATTGCCCTGCATTACTATGCCACTGTACTCCTTTTCCTATGCCTGAAAGTCATGCTCCCCCCTTTGAGAGTTCTGTCGCATTGCAACAGCTTACCGTTTCGGTGGATCCAATACAGGCCTCAAGTCTGTGGCCCGCAGTAAAGTATTAGATGGTAACGACCAAGCACCTCGAAGAACCGGGTTTGCAGCCTACCGCGCCACCGTCGACGTGGACAAAATGAAGGCACACGCCGACACGGCAGAAATCCTCGCCAAACCAGGGCTGAATCTTTGGTTCGTAGTGCAACCCTTTTCCCTTTTCCTTTCCCATTTTCTCTCCGCAATTTGACATTGACACAAAAACCCCATAGGATCGGAGACATGCGCCACGTCATGAGCTACACCATAGCCGGCGGCCGGTCGTTCAACATGGTCCTCTCACACCCTGACCGCAGCGACCCCGCGACATGGAACCAACAGAGTCCCTCGCAGATCCTGTCGGACATGCGAGCCCATTTTCGAGGCTGGGATCCGCGACTGACAAAGATCATCGACATGATCGACACCACGCTCAAGTGGCCGCTTCTCAGTGGTACTCCGCTGAAACGATGGGTGGCGCCGTCTAGTCGGTTCCTCATCATGGGCGACGCCGCACATGCCATGGTGCCATATATGTCGCAGGGGGCGGCTATGGCTGTCGAAGACGCCGCCGCGCTAGCCGAGGCCATTCATTTAGCCAAAAACCCTACTGACTTGCCTGAGGCCCTGAGGGTGTGGGAGGCCGTTCGCATCCAGCGGTCCGGCATGATGCAGGAGGCTAGCTTGGTCAATGGCAAGTTGTGGCATTTTGCGGATGGGCCGCTTCAAAAGGCCCGAGATGAGGCTATGAGGCCAGAAGTCGAGGGCAGGCAGTTCACGACGAGTCCGAACCAGTGGAGTGATCCTACTACTCAGCGTTGGTGTTATGGATATGATGCCGAAGCTGAGGTCAGGAAGGCTTGGGCTGCCAGGCGTGCCACTGCCACTGCCACTGCCTCGAAAGGTGTGCGCCAGAACGGACATTCGTGATCCCATGTCGCGGAGTAGGTACAGTGCGAGCGCACCTAAGCCAAAGTATGATAAGGCCGTCGCGTGGGATTATAATAATACTAGGACGAAAGCTTTTGAGATTTACAATTTGCCCTATGCTCTCCCTTCGGCGTCCGAGTCCCAACCGTCAGGAGAACTCAGCCTTGTGAGGCACTCACGTGACCTGGCTCTTTCCGACAACCCCCCTTGTGCCCCTTTTCCTCTTGTACAGTATTTGGACATCAGCCATTCTGCCTACCGTGATCAAAAGGGAGGCACCCAACGTCACGGAAAGGGCGGCATGTTGACAATAAATCAAGGGCTGGTCTTCTGATATATACGGCTCCCATGGTTGGTTGTCAGCTAGCCATATTTGCAAGGTTTGTAAAGGACTGGTATCAAGAGAGACATTTTGGTATTCCTTGTCTGTAATGCAATGCTTGAATTTTCTTGAACCAGGCAAACAAATTCCAGCCAGTCTCTATGGTTGCAGCAATGGCACCTCTCAAATGGCCAGCCACTTTCTCATGCGAACTCGACAGTGTTCCTCAGCGTGCCAATCTTGGATATCGACACCTCCATTTTCGTGCCTGGGACCAGATACTTTGGAGGATCCAAGCCCGATCCGACACCTAAGCACAGAGTACACTACGAGTTAGCACAGCCATATGATTCTGAGGAAATCGCCGACGAGCGGTTCGGCGTCTTTGGCGAACTCATAAGCATAGATGGGTTCTCGACCCTGGTACAATGGCTGCCATTCACCATTGAAATGGAACATTATGTCAAAGGGCTGGAACATTGTTTTCCCACTTACCACCAGGAGTTCCAGTCATGATCACACTCCCCTTCTGCAGTGTGGTCCCCTGACTCAGATAGGAGACGAGATACGCGCAGTCGAAGAGCAAATCGGAGACGCTCTCGTCCTGCCTGATTTCCCCATCGACGATAGTCTTGAGATGAAGCTGGGCAGGGTCACCGAGGAGCTCGGCGGCCACAAGGCACGGTCCCATGGGAGCGAATGCGTCGAAGCCCTTGGAGAATCCCCATTGCGGCACCCGACCCGCCAGGTTTGGGTCACGCTGCAGTTTCCGTGAGGAGATATCGTTGCCTGCTGTATACGCGGCGACGTAATCCAGAGCGTCCTCTCTAGACACATCTTTCGCATCGCGGCCTATGACCATGCACTAACCATCAAAGAGACAACGATCAGACGTTAGTCTGAGTCGATATAGTCAAGATGCCTTTTCAAATCCTGGGGTATGGGGACTCGCATCTGGCGGATGAGGTCGATGGCATTTCCATCAAAGCGAGACGAACTTACCAATTCACCCTCGTAGTCGGCTTGATCGTCCTGAGCGATCTTCGGTATGACTACCGGTGCATCGTGGTCCTGAACTGTGGTGCTGGGTTTGAAGAAAATGAAAGGGAAGGGCGGAGGTGTTCGCCCGGCTTCCTTGACTGTGAATCGATCAGCATCTTCATCTGCCCCTGGATCATCCTACCGCCGTGTCCGAAGTTCTGCTGTAGTCGTACAACAAAAGGGAAAGCCCAGCGTCGCAGGAAAGGAGGAACCATTCAGACATACTATGCTTTGCATAATTGAGCCCGACGCAACGCAAGATCGGTACATCCTCACGGGCCAATGGGCCTAGCAACTTCTTTACCGTTGCGACTTCGTCACTGACGACAGTTATACCCGTAGTGTCGAAGGGGTCATCGCCGACAATAACCTTGGCTTTCAACCCATCCGCTTCGGTGACCTTCCCAAGGTCGAAATCGGCACTAGGCAGGATGGGTTCACCACGGAGCACCCGGCCATCAGTGGCAACGAAACGAATCAGCCTAGTCCAGGGGAGCTTCATGGTCAACTATCGTCTCTCGCTGCTTTGAACGATACGGGCCAGCAACTTCTGTCTCCTTTTGGGGTTTTGGGCAACCTGATTGATACCACTCTCCTTTCTGGTACAATCGGGCCACATCCCATAATATCACATTGCTCGTATCCTTCTCAGAGGAGGGGCATATTCCGTGGTGGGGCATATGCGATGCAGCGATGTTGAGGACGTCGGGGAAAGACCGGGAAGGATGTTGAGCGAGCCCAAGCTCACCGCATCCATTATTAAGCCCCGGTGAGTGAACGGACATTGAGGAGGACATCTGCCAGTAGTCTAGTAGTCCAGGAGTCGTCCCTTCAGTTGTAAGAGCTGCCCCAAAGTGGAGTGCAGCCCCGTCCTGAGGCGATAAACCAGGTTGCTTGTAAATGTAAATAAAGAGCCTCGGTCTCTTATCTTCCGAGACAGCGGTTGCTAAATGGATATTCGGGTATGGATCTGACGTTGGTGGGAGCGGCCCCCTTACAGCTCTGAACTACAGGTAACCGGTAGTATATGCTCCGTCATGTAACCTCGATTTATCACCCGGCTAGCATATGTGTCAAGCCTGTATCGACCCCAACCAGATCCGTGAACAGATCTAGATTTGTGTCAGTCCAGTATTGATGCATACCTAGGTCGAACATGGTGAAGGGGTCCTCGGAATGGCTTGCGACGTGCGGCAAAGCGCCGTCAACAGGGACATTTGCTATCACAGGATTGTCATTGGCATCATGAACTGGGACATCTAGCCCGTTTTGAGAGTTCCGCATTGGAGCTCCCACCTCAGAGGTGTGTTGGTATTGATGATGTTGCCGCTGCTGAATTTGCTGCTGCTGCTGCTGCTGAAGGTGATGGCTGGCGGCCAGAGCGGCCAGGATAGAAGGACCGTGGTCAGCATGGCATTGTGCCAGCGTCACACAGATCTGTATGAGCTTCAGCACGGTCTTTCGGGTTCGCTTGGCAGACCGTGTGCCTTCACCGAATCTCTGCAGGGCCTCTGCAGCCTTGCACAACTTTGTGACCATTTCCACGATGTGATGAGTGTCGAGAGAGCCAGTCATCGTGATGGTTGGCCCGTTGTGACTCCACCCATTAGAAGTAGTGATTGCAAGTAAGATGCAACTGAAAATGACCAGGGCACTGTTGAATGCTGTTCGGGCTCACTGTCAGTAACCACATGTCAAAGCAGCGTTTGACGATGGAATTCAAAGGCTTACTGTAATATGCTGAGAACCACCAGGCTCCTAACAGGGCAGGCGGATTGCTTGTCTTGTGTACAATCTCGACCATCTCCATGGCCGATTGTTCGCAAATCTTGACGCTCCTCGCCGCGAGATCCTGAAAGAATGGGTCACCATCCTCGGTGACTTCGGCCGCAGCCCTGAAACGCGCCCTTTGCTGCAGAAAGGCGCTCAGGAGCGGTCTGTGCAGGAGAATTCGAGCATTGAGATACCTCAGTGTGATAATAACGCTGAGTCTATCGAATACCGGATCCCAGGCACTCATTGAGATGGTCTCCGGATCCAAGGTATCCCAGGGCCTCCGCTGTAGCTGAGGATACAAATTCCTTTTCCATGCCGCCAGCCTCTGCTCCAAGACCATTGTCCTTTCGAGCATGGTGGGAATGGTCAAATGTGGATCAATATCAACGTTTGACCCGTACAATTGAGTAAGAACGTCGCCGATAATGTAGTAGAGTTGTCTGCGGACGAATCAGAAGGCAGTCCAAGGCAGGTGGAGTGAGGTCAGAATTAGCATACATGGTAGCTATAAAGAAGCACACAGTGTCAGGGGGATCCAAAGTACCGACTGACGCAGCCGTGCTTCCCAGAACGGTCAGTTTGTCTAGGTTCTGGTTCAAAGGGAGATCCAATTTCATGTAATCATTCGGAATGGTCGGAGGTCGTCCAAAAGTCATGCTCAGGATCCTAGGGACAGTCAGCGAAACGGTGCCGAGCAGTCGTGTAACAGAGCCGTAGTCGTACCTGTCCATCATCATACAACCAAACCAGGTACGCTTACGTATTTCCGTCTCGATTGCGCTCAGTCCCACTGAGGCCGATGGGGAGTGCAGTCCCAGCTGGATTGCTGCACGAACCGCGAGGCCATGCAGGTTCCATGCTTGGTCAGCTCGCTGCGTACCTTGCCGGTACTGTGCCATCAAAAGCAGACATTGGACTTGCAAGTATCGATTAGCATCATGCCCGAAAACTCGAGTCTGGCGAAGCAGGGCAAAAATCATCCAGAGTCAACATAACTTACCCGTCTCGAGGTTAGCAGACTTCAACTCGATATCGGCCGACAAAGCTTGTGCGCGTTCCATAAATATCTCGGACTCGGCGGCATTCTTCCACACCGACTGATCAGGCCGGGCACTGATATAAGTCGCAAAGGCGAAGATGCCATTGAGTAGACAGAGCCAAGATCTGCTTACAGCTGCAAAACGATTTTTTCGGGCCGCAGAGTAGGTTCGAAGGATCTCTTGTTCATGGATATATGGGAATAACATGCCCGTGTCGGAGAAGAAGAGACGAATCAGATGAAGAGCTCTAGACTCGGAGGGCAGGGAACGAATATTGACGGCCTGACGAGTCATCGGCGGACTATCCGACAACGTTGTCACAGGAGAAACAGCCCTTGAGACAATTGGTTGATTGATCGCATTCCCCAAATGTCGAGACGGCCCAATAGCCTTCAAAGAGACCGATGTGGCGTCTGAAATGTGGCGGAGAAATGCTATGTTCGAGGATGGGCCGAAAAACCGGGACTCTGTCTCCTGCGGGTCTGTGATGGCGGCCATTCCGTCGACCGAGTCCTCGCCCCCGTTCTGCTGCAAAGGGTGGTCCTCATCCAAGATAGCAACTTCCTCATCGTCAGTCAGCGGCCGATCTATGGCTGCAGCCTGCGAATTCTTGCTCCATTCTCCATTCGGGGGCATTTTCAGGTCATGACTGGGACCTTCCTCTCTGCTTGAGGACTGGGGCTGGCTCCTTTGATGGACAAGGAGCTGTAACGTGTCCTCGATCGCACGCAGTCTCTCATCATAGCCGGACGGGCCTTGCGAGGCTCTTACATTGCCAGCTGTTGGCTGCTGATAGACGCACTCAAACCCTAACTCGACACAGAGGCTGCATGACGGTCTAGCTCCGTTGCAGCGAGACTTGCGGTTCCTGCAGGATGTACATGCCAATGCAATGCGTCTCCGTTTGTATGCTGGGGGCGGCGATGTCGGCTCCTGGTAATCGCTCTGAGATGGTCTGCGGGCTTGTTTCCCGGCCATACTGGTACTGGCCTGGGCAGCCTTGCTCAAATTGCAACGTAGTGGATAGCAGAGCCGTCACGTGTAACATGTGGTCCTAGAATGACATCCGGGGGTGGTCTGAGAGAGATCAAGCTGGATTGAGAGGGTATATCGGGGAACATGCCACACTCTTGTATGAGAGAGTTTTGTGGGGACCCCTCTTCAGCATCCCGCAGTAGGAAGATGCCCCGTTTAATCCATGACACGAAGCTACTGCATTCAAAGATGTGCACACTTTGCACGGCCTGGAGCTAGCCAACAACTTTTGCTGTGTAGGAGAGGAGAAGAAAAGCTCCGTGGCCAATGCGATCCATGTTGTCCATGTTGTCCGACGTCTCCCCGGAGGCTGAGGTGCCCGGTTCCGAGATTATGTCTGACAGAAGTATTGAGCGTTGTGACTGGATATGTTGCGCAGCAAGAGTTGTCAGACCGAGGCACTCGACATACGATACGGCCATACCTCGCGAATAATAGGACCAACAACCTGTTCAACTGGAACAAATGGCAAGAAGTACTATATGTCCTCTTCCACAGATGAATAGACATTTGATACCTAGGTAGTCATCATCAAGCGTTCAAGTTGCTGTGGAGGCCGATGAAGGACCAGGACCCGCGCGGCCGGCAGCCAGGAACGGTCGATCGTGGCAGGCCCTAGGCCGTCTACGGCTAATCTCTGCGCGCGAGATCTGGGACCCTGAATGTCGTCTTCTCAGACTTCCGGTCAAGGAGACGTCTGAAAACCCTGCCATCCAGAGACGAAAGGTGAAAAGCCTCATTATTAGGTGTGTTGGGTAACAGCAGAACAAAAGAATTGTCCTCCATCGTCGAGTCGTGGTTGACTCGCACCCTGTTTGGGAAAGAGGATGATGCTGCTCTAACCGCCCATTTGCTTACGTGAGCTGGGCATGACTAAGGTTCTGCTTCAGTTGCCAGCTGCAATCCCGATACAAGAACCTCACTTGAATAGAACCGCGTGTCTGGTGCTCAGATCCCTATGTTTTTTATTGCAAGAACTTTGTTATCAAGTAGCCCAGGGCTGTTCTGATGTTTTTCCTGGGGCTCATCTCGGGCAGTGTCAGAAGATCGCATCCACCACTCGACGGCCGAACCCTTTTTTCTTTCCCTCTTCTCTCTGACGGTAGGAGTCAACGTAGGCTCTTTTGCCGGTGTCCAGGTCCATGTCCTTGAGTTTGACGCCAAGCCTCCAATCTCGCTTCCACACTTTCCTCACCGTGAATATTGTCAACTATACAGGAGCTGAAAGATAATTTTGAAAGAAACGGATTGCGTTTGGCGTTCCTGCTCCGGCCGGGAAAAGGGCGACGTAGAAGGCTGCGATCAACACGATGACCGCCATGAACAGCGTCACATATGACCCATATGTTCCCAGCTGCGACTTGAAGGGGAGGTCATCGATAGATTTCCCCGCAGCTTTCCAGGCTTGTCGGAACCGTACCTAGGTATATGGCATAGACATATTGAGCCCCAGAGGAACAGCAAGCCCAATCCAGAGATCGAAAAGAGCCAGACGAATACTTGATCACCCGCAGCAGACAAGCTGATAAATGCCAACAGCCCCATCAACAGCAGCACTATCACAGGGCCTATTGGGCGACCTTTGCCATCGACATACGCCAGAAATCTGGGTGCCATGCGGTGCTGGGCAAGAGCCTGCAGTGTCCGAGTTGAGCCATAAGTGGCGCTGTTGGCCACAGAGAGGGTGGAGACTGTGATGGCGGCGTTGAATAGCGAATGCGGACCCCTGACTCCGGCATATTGGATCGCCAGGACAGATGGAGAAGCTTTCGTGTTCGCCCCAGTGGCATACAGCAGATCTGGGGAATTGTTTGGGACAATGATGCCAACAATCAGCGAAGACAAGACATAGACGCCCAAGATACTCCATAACACCTGCTTGGTGGCCTTGGGCAAAGATTTGCGAGGGTCTTTAGCCTCCGCCGCGGCGAGCCCGACCAATTCCGAGCCTTCATAGGCAAAGGCGGCGAGGACGAAAACTGAGCAGAAACCGGCAAAACCTGTTCAATGGTCAGTACCTTGCGGCCGTTCATGTGAAGGCGGTTGGCTCGTGCTTACCATTTCGGAAGGCATGATTTCCATCAGCACCATCCCAGTACCGGAAGCCAATATACCCACGGGTATCGGTAGGTACTCCTCCACAGCTTACAATGATACCACTGGACTCGTTAGATCAGGGGTTCGCCCACTTTGACAGGTAAGTGGCTTCCAAACAAAGACTTACAAGATTATGAACCCAGCCATGGCAACAAGCTTGATGACTCCAAGGACAAACTCAACTGTTTCTGTCTCAACATCGACAACAGCGATTTCCGGGGTATCTATACACACCTTCTCCATAACCTCGGACGCCGAAAAATTGCACAGCAGTGATGGAAGTCAGGAAGACCGCCACCCATATTCCAATATTATACTCACCAGTAATTGATGGTTAGGCCAACGGCGATTATTTCAAAAGGTAAGGTGAGAAGCCACCCGATCGCATCTGTTTGGTGTCAGCCTCGCTCGGCTGATTCAAAGGTAGGATGGCATACATAGCCAGCCTACGGTGAACCCCCTAAAAACATGAATGTCACCTGGGGACCACAAGAAGGCAAAATGGTCGCTTACGAGGCCGGATCGATAAAACGAACAGTATAGATATGAAAGGCACCGTTCGCAGGATACATGACTGTCAGCTCGCCCATGGCTTGAATTGTGCCGAGCACCATGAGGCCGGTGATACCGAACCCTAAAATGGGAGATGCAGGATCTCCAAGACTGAGAGCACCGCCAGAGCCTACAAAGAAGCCTGCTCCAATTGATCCCCCTTGAGGTCCGTCTTCATTAGCCGGTGCTTTTGCATGTGTATGAGAGAGAGCATACCAATGGCTAGCATCTGCATGTGACGGCCTTAAAGAGCACGCTTCAAGTCGTTCGACAGCATTGGCGGTGCGGCCTCAATATCGATATTGATCCATTCCCGGGTCACATTGTCGCTCCCGTGTTAGTTTCTCGCAGTCCCTCCATACCTGATTTATAACACGAAGTATGTCACGCCGGTTGGCAACACCAAGAGCTAGGGACATGTCGAGACAATGCCTGGCCAGAGCTTGAGCCTCTGGTGTATAAGCTTCTGCAGCTGCGACGAAGACTGGCCACACCGACACAGTGCCGTTGTGCATTTCACTGAAGGTCGTGGCGTCCTTAAGGACCTGGAGCACGTCTTGAGCCATCGACGAAGGCGGACATCGAAGCACGACGCAAAAGAGGTAGAGATGATTGCGGTATTGAACAGCCGCAGGTGGAGGAGAGTCAAATTCCGCATGGGAGGGAGGACAGTCACGCCGCTGTGCTCGCGGTGTTCCACATAAGAGTCCACTTTGTCCGCCAGCGGTAAATTGGATAGCTGGAGGATCTCGCCCACCCGACCAAACATGTCTGCGTCAAGGTCAGGCGGCCCGGCGGGGTTGGAGTCACCTTTTGCCTTGATACGTGCTTCAAGAAGTCGGGTTTGATACAGTGCTCTCAATATGTGAGGAGTACCGCCTATCGTATAGCCAAATACCGGTGTTGCCATTAGATCATGCAACAACCCATCGAGCTCGTTAACACCGTCAGCTCTTCTTGTAACGAGGAACTTGTCGTCGACAGTGCCAGAAATAAGCACAGAGAGCGCGAAATTCTGTGTGACGATGTATGCTTCTTGGGATTTTCCCCACGGCTTCTGATCCAGGTAATTACAGACAACCGCTCTGGCACCACGGATGTGACCTTGCCACCCCGAGGCCGTACCTTGAAAGACATGTTCAGCCAAGATGATGGTGTACAGAGCCGCCAGAACCGTGGTGTAGTCCTTTGATGGCTCGACCAGGCTCTGACGGAGCTGGTGCAGTGCGATTCCATAGTGGCGAATGGCACTAGCTCTCTCCTGAGCACCATGTTGCGCGCCTTTCAGGTTAGCCAGGTGGTATGCGGACTGGGCCAGAAGCGCATGGTATAAAGCTTGTGCGCCACTGGTTCGCGTGGTCTGCACTGCGAGCGACGGGTAGGTAGTTTTCCACGGATTCTCGTCGTCATCCACCGGTATCATGCCTGTTGCGAGGCAGGAAACAAAATGGTGGAACAGTTTTCCCTCACCGTAACCTGAGGCTTCGGAAGTCAGCAAGGCTCAAGTGAATGCCTCGCGACGTCAGAGGAATCTCCTCGTCCCTGTGCTCTTCAGAGATGTCTACAGGCTTGGCGTAGGGTTGACCTTGAGGGAAGGCCGTGAAAGGGTTTGGTCCCCTGTCCAACCTGCATCGACATTGCCTGTAACTTGCTGCATTCGCAGACGCGTATCAAGTGATCAACTTCGGCTGACGTCAAGGTTGGGGAGTTTCGCCAAGTGAGATTGCAGGGATAGGAACGTCGTTGCTGTGGAACATGGTTGCCTGTCACGGAATCGACCCAAACCAGGTTGGAGTGGTAGCCTTCACAGGCGATTCCCGAGCGCCTACATTGCGAGCAAGATGGATGGGCTGCATCACAACCAATGTTTCTCCGACGACATGTCCAGCAGGCTGTAAACGTCCTCGGGTTGCTCGCTCTGGTCATGCCAGCCCGGTTCTAGTAGAGTCGACCAGATGGGCAGACTAAGGGCTGTCAAGGAAGCATAGGACGCATCCTCCGACAGCTATTGTAAAGCCAAGGGGCACTGGTGCTGGCACTTTGTTTGCCGACCTGGGAGGAGGATCCTTGTATGTCCAGATACATCACAATGCACTGTACTTGTACGAATCGAGAAGACGACATGTACAAGTGCCAAGGGAGACGAGACGAAGTGGTTGTAGGTAACTAAAAGCGGCGGGCCTCAGTGCATTTCACAACTTAGTACTCCCTATTAGGCATTTTCTGCAACCCACAGTGTACCCTTTTTGCACTTTTAGCGCTTTCCAGCAGAACTTGCCTATTATTTTTGCTATACTGGGGTCGTACCCAAGCAAGTCTTTTCCTTTCATGCATCTTTCAGCCTTCTCGCCCCCCTTTCCTGCCTCTTCATCGTGTCGCGGCGTAAGTCGAGTGTTCTATGACCCACGAGACACATCAAAAAGAGCAGCCCCGCGGATTCCAGCCCTACGCAAGTCAGACATTGAAGTACCAAGACAGCAAAGTAGCAGACCATGTCATTCTCATTTGGCTTCAGCGGCGACGACATCGAGGATGACGGCGAAACAGAACCTCAGCACGATTGTGGTGGCGACGCCCATGCCCTCGTCAAGGACATGACCAAACATAGCATTTCCGACGCGGAGAATGAAGTACCACGACCAAAAACCATCGAACCCAAAAGACATTCTCTAGCGGAATTGGTAGGTTTGAGCCCACCCCTTTGACGCGCCGCTGGTCCGGAGTTTGTTTATTCAGCCTCGTTGTCTGTCGACTTTGTCATTGGTTGGACAAGACAAGGTTGAGATATCCTTCCTGAGTTGAACATCATTGGATTCTTTTCTTTTTCCGCTACCACAATCGGAGCAATCACTCTCTACTGAGTCCAAGACCTTGTCCCATCTTGACGATTATGATATGACAACGATCGTGCTGCTGTTTCATACCTCGTTTCTTTTGCTAGCGTACCGAAGCAGGAGCTCCATCCACTCCCTTCTCTTCGGGCAAAATATCTGACAAAAGCTCCCTTCTTCCAGCTCGAATCTCTGCCGTCTCAAATATCCTATAACCCCCTGACCATACCGAGGCTTACTGTACCTAATGCGGAGAACGGTAGCGGTGGCGTCCACGCCAATCACATAGCCAATCCGAAAGACAACGAGGACACCAAAGTCCAAGTCCTGCGACGGTCATTATTCGACATCCGAGCTCAACTCATGGCCGAAGCCGATCCCGAAACCCACGACGACGCAGCCGAGACGATGCTAGCCGGTCTCGAGAACGGAGACTTGACTTCTGGAATCTACGAGGGCGGCTTCAAGACCTGGGAATGTGCTCTTGACCTGGCCTCGCTTGTGACTCAATATCTGGAAACCAACAACCTCACCTCAGACCAAAACCAAACCCAGGACCAAAATCACGTTTCTCAGGACCTGGAAGTCATCGAGCTCGGTGCCGGCAGCGCCATCCCCAGCTTGGCCCTTTTACGAGTCTTCCTGAAGCAAAGTTCAACTTCCTCGTCCTCCTCCTCCTCCTCATCTTCTTCTCCAGAGGAACAGCGGTCAGCTCCTCAAAACACATTACTGCCAAGGCTAAAATTCACCTTGTGCGACTACAACGCCGAGGTGTTACGACTGTGTACCGCGCCCAACGTCTTCCTAAACTACTATCAGCATTACCAGCAGTACCGCCGCCATCAAACCGGTACCGGCCACGGCACCGGCGACCCAACCAGTGCAAGTGCAGGCGAGCCTACACCTTCGTCCTCTTCTACTTTGACACACCCACAGGAAGAAGAAGAAGAGAATCCCGAAGAAGGCGAGCTCGACATTGAAGAAGTAATGGGAGACGGGCACCTCCAAAACGTGGTCAAGGACATGGAGTTGCTAGATCACGTCTCTTTTGATTTTCTCTCTGGGGGCTGGGGAGAGTCCTTCCTCGATTTAATCGCGGACAAACAACCTCAACCACCTTCTTCTACTTCTACTTCGTCCTCCTTGGCAGCTGTTGAAGAGCAGTGGCAAAGTCCTGGGAATCTGCTCATCCTCGCCTCTGAAACTATCTACTCTCCCTCGTCGTCCAGGATCTTTGCGGACACATTGCTTGGTCTACTCCGATGCCACGGCCAGTCAAAAGGGACCGCAAGGGCATGGGTCGCCGCGAAGAAAGTGTATTTCGGAGTCGGCGGCGGTGTGGACGCGTTTGTTGCAGAGATTCAATCTCGCGGCGGGAGAAGCAGGATACTGCTAGAGACAAAGGACACCGGCGTAGGACGCGTTGTTCTCGAAATTACAGTATGATCAACCTGCTAGTGATTAAGGTAGAGAAAGAACAAATGAACGGACAAAGAGAGGCCATCGGCAAGACCATTCTTCTACTAACACTGATCAACGTGATGATGACAGAGTTGGTCGATATTCTGGAAACCGCATGCAATTCTGAGCCAGGACCCTCTTGTAAGAGTCCTATGCCATTGTCACCAGGTTATGGAAAATGGCGACCAATTCAATTCGCCACAAACTAGAATACACACATACATACCACTTTTAGGTCGGAAAAAGACAAGGGTGACCTGAGCTATCCACTGTCCAGCCTGCTAACGTGCATGGCTGTACTCAATATCCATGACCCACTATTACTGACGGTTCCGCATGCTAGGCGGAACGTAGCGTCCAGATCCTCCCGTGGCAGGCTTTCTTGGTGCTTCATCGCCGTTTCCTGCTGCCGGTGAGCCAGCACCTTCTCGGGACAGGCTGCGGCCAGAGTCCCTAAGGTGGGTGGGCACATATCGACCGCCACTGACACCATTGGCGGGAGAGGCTGACGAGTTGCGCACCGGAAGGTCGCGAGTTGGCAGATCGCGAGGAGGTGCCTCTGCACGAGGTGCAGCACCTTCACGCAGATGAGGAGGAACGTAGCCACCTGGACGGCGCGATGGAGCTTGAGCAGGCTCCTGAGCAGCAGGGGCAGCAGCAGGGACGGCAGCATGCGGCTCAGGTGATTTGTGGCCAGCACCTTCGCGCAGGGCAGGAGGGACATAGCCACCAGGACGACGAGGGGGTTGAAGGTTGAGACGAGGAGCGGTGCGGCCTTCGGAAGATTCGGTTCGAGAGTCCATGGGAACAGCCTCTCTCGGACGGGAGAAGGGCTGCGACTCCGCGGGCGCGGCTTTACGGGCCGCCCTTCGAGCGATCGCTTCTTCCTCGCGCTGCATTTGCTTGCGAGCAATTTCCTCACGCTCCAGACGGTCAGCCTCGGCCTTAGCTCTCCTCTCGGCGGCGATTCTCTTCTTCTCTTCTTCGGCTTTGGCTCGTTCCTCTTCTTCACGCTGTCTCCGCTCCTCTTCCTCACGCGCGCGGCGCTCTTCCTCTTCCTTCTCCTGTCGTTGTCTGATCAACTCCTCGTGGTAGGCCTTGATGCGTTTTCTCTTCTCCTCCTCAAACTCCCGCTCAGCTCTCTTGCGAAGCCTCTCAAACTCGGCAGCACGGCGTTCCGTAATTTGTCCCTTGAATGAGTCGTATGGCTTGACAAGTCGGCTGAGACGATGCTTCAGAGCGAGCCCTTCCTTGTGTTTCATTTCGGCCTCCTTCAGCTTGTCCTGCTTCATTTGTTCGTAGATCTTCAAATCCTCCTCGCGTTGTTTTGCATAATCGTCATCGCGGTACTTGAGTTCTTCGCGGCGGAAAGCACGTTCCAGATGGTCAATTCGCTTGGCGGTAATGCGAATGCGGTTGTCCTTCTCATGCTTGTCTTTCTCAAGTTGAGTCAACTTCAGCATTCGAATGGCGTTCGAATCGAGTTCGTCGACATTGATATCTTCGAGGTCGATCTTCATGCCACCCTTGAGCTCTTCCAACTGCTTCTCCACCTCCTGTCGTCGAATACGAGCCTGTTCATCCTTGACCCGCTTCAGTTCACGCGCACGGGTCTCTTCACGCAGGCGTGCAGACTCAGCCTCGGCCTGCTGCTGGGCGCGGATACGGCGACGTGTCTCCTCTTCTCTCTGCTTCTTGGAAAGAGCCTCGGAGAAGGCTTCCTTCTGCTTCTCGATGATGACTCTCCTCTCGAGGGTTTGTTCATGCTCTTGCTGTGCACCCGCCTGGGCTCGTGCGAGGGCAGATTCTCTAGCAGCAAGACGGGCCTGGTTGTAAGAAGGATCCACGTACATACAAGTGATGTGCAGAGTCTTGGCCAGGCGAGTGAGCTGTAGTCGAGCAATCTCAGCTGGGGTATTTTGCAGGCGTTGAACAGAGCCGGTCTCGCTCTCAGCAGATCCCGCTCCGCTGCCGGGATGAAGGGCTTTGGCAGAGGAGAAGACGTCCGAGTCAAATGAAAGAATGCCAGAGACATGGTCAAGCCTAATGGACAAGTCGCCCTTTTTGCAGCCATTCATGATGAATTTCTCAATCATGGCAGGAGTGACCTCGAAAGGCGCAGGGAACTGAGCAAGGCGGTTGACAAAGCTGAGCTCGACGGTTTCGTACACCTGAGAAAGTTGTTGGAAGAGACGAGTGAGGATGACTTGTTGGAGGGGAAGCACGTATTTTTCCATCTCAGGATCGGCGCCAATCTGGGCAAGGATCGGAGAAATCTTCTTGCAGATGGACAATGGATGGAAGTCGACTTCAAGGATGTTGTAGAGGTCTCGAATTTCCGGTCTTGCCCTCTTCAGCAGACCCTTGTTGAGAATGTCCTTGAATAGAGCAGCCCGTGTAGGAGCGGAAGGCATGCTGAGGAGGTTGGTCAGACGATTGTTCTTGTTCTTTCGGGCCTCATCAACATCGACAAGGACTCCGCGTGATCGGGATGTGCTGATGACCGGGATTGCCAGAGCAGAAAGCAGGACAAAGGAGGCAGCTTTGGTCAAGGCCTCCTCTGTGACCACGGGGTTATCACGTTTGGGTGTCTGCCCTGCGGCGACTGCACTCGCTGACTGACGAAGGAGGTTGTAGTATTTGTTGTATGCGGCAGCATGGAACAAGAAGTTGTCGCTGACCAGGAAGATCTTGGTCAATTTCTCATAGTAGTTGGCCATCATGACATTCTTTGCAGGCCGCTTTGAAAGTGTAAGTAACATGTGGATGTCCTCGACACTGCGGAAAGCCTCCTGCCATAGTTCGAGTTCGTCCGCCACATTCAATTGACGAAAGCGTGTCTCGAGATGGCGTTGCAAGGTATCAGGCTCACTGAGATTGATGGCATGCATCTGGGATGAGTACTTTGCCGCATTTTGAACGTGATTTCGCAGGAGTTCGCACAGACGACGGAATTCAGTCTTTCTCGTGTACTTCAGGCAGAAATCGAAGGCCTGATGAGCAGTACTTTGGTACATGACTTCGAGGCGAGCATTGTTCTTCAAGATCTCCAGTACGGTGCGGTAAGTTTCCCACAAAAACTTGAGCCATGGTGTGACGATCGCGCGATCGGTTCGGTCTTTGGATTGTTCGCCGGAAACCGTGGCCAGAAGAATGGTCTCAGGGGTCTCGGTAGCCTCCAAATCTTCAATGTTGAGGTTTGTAGAGGATGCGGCCGATTCGAGGGATGACTGAACCTGGTCGGCTTTGGCCTGGGCCTCTTGCACCTTTTGTTCGGCGAGTTCGATAAATCTTTTCAGAACCAACTGCAACCACATTAGCATCGCCCAATTTACGAATCCAGCCTCATCCAACTCACTTCAATCGTTCCCACGTTTGTGTTTTGGGCAATGTTTTTGTACTGATAGAGTCCATCCTTGGCAGCTTTGCCCTTCCGAAGGTCGACACATAGTTCGACGAAAAGGAGCATAACCGGCTCCAATGAGGAGATGGCGCTGTTCCTGGAGCGCTTCGAGGTGACATGTTCGTGAAGGACATTGAGAGCGGCTTGAGGTTGGTCGACAGCAATGAGTTCTTGTGCTCGCTGGAGGGTTTAAATTAGCCATCGGGCGCAAGCCAAAAGAATTGCAAAGGGGGAGCTGGTCGTCTTACTCTGAGCACGTTCTCAGGTCGAATATGCGGTGGTGGCGGCATCTCGACGGCTTTGTATTCGAGTCTAGAAACAAGATCAAGTCAATGATCCGTCGAGACTCAGGAACGAGATGTTCCAGATATGACCGAGTCGATTGCCGGCAGGGTGTTGTCCCGGTTCGGTCGCGGCTTGTCGTGGCCAGGTGCGAAGTTGGATATTTCACACACTGCAGTTGGTAGTGGATTTCGGGCTTGGCGGCAGTCATGCTGCCTGCGCTCGCCTGCGCCAGACTGCAGTGCACTGCAGTGGCATGGCATCGCCCAACAGGGAAAGGGGCCAACCATGACAAGCCGTAGTCCACGTGACTTGCATTCACCTCGCTTCACCTTCCTGTTCACATTTGTCCACGGCTTCACTTGAGTCTTAACACCGCCCTGCCTCCACTTCACGTGACCGTTACTGATTACGCTATCCAAAAGGCGTTAGCGTCTCCTGCTAGAGATTGGCACCATGGAAGAGCGTTCGTCCCCTGATTTCCCGGACCACAATTGACTTGTTCCCCTTGCTAACCCATCCATCCGTTGATTGACACAGACACCGCTGAACTCGTCCGTCTGGGACTTCATCCAGACCAGCTTGCCCTTCCCTTCATTTATCGGATCAAGTACTCGAAGACCCGGCAGTTTCGCAAGACCGCAAAAACGGAATTCCTGGGTTTCGTTCTGGAATACTCTCCCCGCCATTCTCTTCGCCGCGTCGGTCAACTGCCTCCTCAAGGCCGGGATCAGACATACCAGGAAATCCTTGACCTTTACAACCAACTTCGCCTCACCGCCTCCCTCGACTACCACTCTTTCCTCTACCAAGACAACGACGACTTTTTCCACTGCAATCATCCAACATGCCACCAGCATATGCGGTGCGGGATGGAGGTGACGCCAAGTCCAAGAAGCAAAGCATGGCAGATCTTAAACTTAGGAGGCTCCAAGAACTGAACATCCGGCTTAAGGAAGACTTGGAAAGACCTCGTGTGAAAGTGGGTGAGGCTGCACTGAGGTAAGGTGTCGCTCTTGCGCAATGGCTGGATTTATGCTAATGCCGAGGCACAGCCTGATCAATTACTGTAATTCCACACGAGACTACATGGTACCCTCTGTCTGGGGACAAGTCGACAGGAAAGAAGATCCCTACAACCCGCAAAGTGGAGGCAGCGATGGATGCTGCATAGTCATGTAATGGAAACAGGCGAAGGCAACCGAACCACATCACCATCACACATGAAGGCAGAGGAGGGCAAGGAGATTCGATTCGAGCAAAAGCATTCGGCGCAAATGGCGTTCTCAGTCCGTCAACGATTGCGACAGATTTTTATGTGAAGAAGGCCAGCAACAAGTGTTAATGTACGATATGCTGCGCTACGCTGTGCTTGTCACTGGGTTTTCGCTGGCTGGGTCTGGCAGGATTTCGTCTTCAATTTGTTCAGGAGTCGATGAAAGAGCCACAGCATTATGCTGGGTAGAATGAATCAGGATTGATGTTTTTCAAGCTTCACCATTTCTTCGCGCCCTGTCTGCGTATGTTCTCCTTGATAGTGGGAACATTTCCTGAACGATGAAGGGGACAAGACGGGGACGAGAAGCTCAAAATAACAGGCACAAACCGTGCGTGTAGCATGCTTAGTATCTACGAATCATTGTACATCGACTTGTACTACGCGGATGATGGCAGACACGCTTCCACACCGCGACTCACGAGAGCATTGGAAGTCTTTTGATTCGAGAACAAGACCTCGTTGCGCCCAACTATTGCTCATGTATCTTACCCTATCGTACCTGGTACTGTATGTGCCTCACCTGTCGACAAATACTATTACTAGGGACACTCTTGTCCTAAGCTTGGAGGCCGCCTTGGGGCACAGAGCAAAGGATACCGATACGGAATGCCCGAGGCCTCGGCCCCGTACGACGAAATTCAAGCCCAAGTCAAACACGACCACCTCTAGTATGCCTTGACACCTCTACCGCAAATATATCTTTCTATCACAGTATGTATGTCAATCCAGACCTGACATCTACGAAACAAGGAGCGACAATCATGTTTATGTTGATAAATGGTCATTCTGGGGACGAGAGCTGATCACTCGTGGGGTCTTGGGTCGTGCCCCGTCCATCACTTGCCCTGTCACCAGTGTCACGAAGCAACGGTCGCACCATCTGGGCTGTCAGTTTATCAAATTCCCCGAAAGGTGGCTGGAGGGCCAAAAGGAGACTCGAGTGGCATGGCCCGGGCGCCGCACCACACGCTGGGAGACTCGTCTCTCGGTCGGGCTATATCAAAGCAGCACCATGCTTCACACTCAAGGCAAGAGCTGCTTCGCCCGTGGTATCAATCGAACTGCCATTGTCTATCAATGATTGGTCAAGTAGGTCGCAACCAGGAGAGTCACAGCATCAAGGCTGAGAGGATCCAGCCTCATCCGCGGCTCCAGTCGTGCTCGGGCATCAGTCCGCCCAATAATGGGCTGGCTACTGCGGCTAGGGGCGTGGCAGTAAAGGGGCTAAGGGGCTTCAGGCGCCTATTTCGACCTCCCTTTAGGCGTCACACGCCCCAAAGCTGACCTAAAGTGCCCACAGTTATGTAAGTTACCAATAGACTGCCAGTGCCACTGTGCAGTGTGATGCCATCCGAACGTCCTCGACGACATCCTCCTATCTTCACGGCCACCTTTCGCCTCGTCTCCGGCGACCCTTCATATTAAATCTACGCATAAGACATTTGATATTACTTAAGAAGTGATAGCAACCAACAACCCCAGCTGAAACCATCATGACGACTCAAGCAAGTTCCACGGTCCAAGTGCCCCGTGTAGCAATTAAATTCTGCACCCAGTGTAAATGGAACCTACGTGCTGCTTATGTGAGTGTCAATCCCCTTGATGAGGACTATACCGTCTTTTGTCACGTTTTCCTCTCTGTGTCATCTAAGGGGTATGAGCCCTGCGAGACTGGTCTTCCCGCCATTTCTGATACGGTGGAAACACCAAGCTGAAGTCGACAATGATCGCCTGGAACCATTGTTGTATCTTATCTCTAGACAGCACGTCTGGTCAAGATACCTCTACCCAAAATAATTTGCAAAGACTCCAGCCTGTTTGGTTTCATCTAGTCCGATGCTCGAAAGACATATTCATACTATGTGGAAACCAGCATCTCCAAGTCAAACATCTAAGCTGACAAGAAATCGTCGTCCAGTACGCCCAGGAACTACTACAAACTTTCAGCACTAGTATCGGCGAGGTCGCCCTGATCCCAGTGACAGGGGGAATTTTCACCGTGACCATGACCCATGCTCTACCCCAGTCACAGACACAAGGACAGGTGACAGAAGGGAAAGCCAACTCAGTGGCGGATGGCAATGCAAATGCCACACCCGAAAAGGACTCTACCACAGTTACCATTACCGAGACGGTGCTATGGGACCGTAAAACGGACGGTGGCTTTCCCGAGACCAAGGAACTGAAGAACCGGGTCCGTAATATCATCGATCCGGACAGGGATCTCGGTCATATTGACCGGAGTCTAAAGAAGAAGAACGGCCAGGACCAGGAGCGAGACCAGGCATCACAGCAGGAGGAGGTCAAGGACAAGTCACAGCCGGAGACCGCCACTGTTCGTTCGTCCGTCGAGCAGCCTGGCAAAGAAGAAAACAAAACCGAGTGTGAGGATTGCAAGTGATGGACCGGCTGACGTAGCCTAGGCTATTGAGGTCAGTGCCAGCAAATTGCGCCCCAGGTCCGTTCCGTCGATCGTCGAATGGAAATATCCTCAACCCAAGGCCAACACCGCCTCCTGGCGCCCCTGTTGCAATGTCCGCTGAGACGAGCGAGGAGCCGATCCATCTGAGAGACCCGAGGTCGGTCGGGCTGAATCAAAGGATGCGAGGACAGCTGAACAGATTGGTTACTGGTATGCCGCTGGAGGTCAGCGTCACTTCAGCCTTCCGCGGACAGGCTCCGGCTGGACTGATGGCCCCAAACTGCCCTGCTAGAGGCCGGAGATTCGTCGCTTTCTCCCGCTCTACCTGCACTGAGTACGTCCTGAGCGGCGAGGTTTCAACAAGCCCTCATCATACTAGTACACCAGCCTACCACGTAATCACGTTCGAGGTAACCCAGAGACCACCACAGATGCCTTATTCGACTTCACTCCGCAAGATGTCTACGTCAATACATCCGGGAGAGCTCTCTTTCTCTCACGAATTCTGACCGCCAGCCACAAACTGGGCCGGCGGAGATATATCACAATCCTCCTGCTCCTTTGCTCAAAACATCCACCACAACCTCCTCTGGTATCGCACTGTACCAGGTCTTATAGATAAGACAATCCCGCTCAAGCAACGAGGCTTGTTGTCGCGTTTCCTGTGCTCATTTTTGCCGCTCGGATTGAACCATTGTCCAGATCAAGCCAGGATCGCGAGGGGTTGCGCGCCAGATTATGAAGGAAGAAATGCATCTCTTGACGCTTCAAGGACCTGGCAAGGGTCCCTTATTTTCCAAGAAGACATATGAGGGAAATCCCAAATGCAGTGGCATTGGATGTTGGTTGGGTCGGCGCCAGTGTCATAATCAGGGTTGCTGGATCAAATACGCTACGTACTTGTCCTTCCTGATACCTATCATAGATATCCGAGTAGGTACTGCCTTGGATAGCTGACCTCATCCGTCCATATGTGGCCATGTAGTGGTAGATAGATATCGTCGTGGGGCATGGAAACAAAACGACGCGCAATACCCACTGTCCCATCTCATCATGCAGTCCGTGCCACATAGATAGACCGGCATATGGATGCACGGCGTCAATGTCGACGCCGATGAGGCCTCGGGCGGGCATCTCGTTCACGTCCGCAGTGCCAGTGTACCTTAGGTCCACAAAGGCCAACAATTATCAACCATCGACGGCCACGGCAACGGCAACGCAGCCAGCCACAGCACCATACCGTATTCTTTGGCCGCATGGGCAATCAGTCTCCTCTTGGGGTGCCCTGTTGGCAACTCGAAGTAAAAGAACGTCTCCCAAATCCCGCGCTAGACGCCTCATGCAACGCGCCCATACTAGTAATACATCGAAGGCGCCACGGATTTGACAACGACCCATCCTATATCATTTCATATCATATCACATCATCTCATTCCATCCGGTCCAATTAGGTCAGTTCAGTGCTTGAACTGCTTCTCCATATATTTCCTTACTCGCTTATCACTCATCAAGAATCCCGTGACCGCGACGCCCAGAAACATTTGCGAGGCAGCGGCACTGCTGTCGCCGTCGCGCTGGCCCCTCGTAGTGGACCCCGTTATCTCCGTGGTAGTGGTCGGCGTCCTAGCTGATGCACTTCTAAATCCCAGTTCGGGGTATCTAGGTGCTGGTGGTGGTGCTCCTGAAGGATTAGACGGTTGTGGTAATGACTTTGACGAACTTGATGTCGCCGTCGGGTTGTCGTCATCATCAGCAGGGCGGCTGCTCTCCTCCTCCTCCTCCTCCTCCTCCTCCTCCTCCTCCTCCTCCTCCTCGTCCATCTTACTCCGCTGTTGCTCCTGCTGCTTCTTCACAACCCACTCCTCCAGAACCACGTCAAGTTGGTCTGGAAACATTCTCCTCCGAAACGCAATCCACAGGGGAACCAGCAGACGATGCAGCCGATCTTCCTCGCGGTCAGCAGCGGCCGCCGCCTCAGCAGCTTCAGCTTCGCGCGTCGCCGTGACTTTGCCTTTCTTGTTAGTTCGCCCGGTCCCGAGTCCTAGCCACTTCCGCCGCGCGACCGGCGCCGACGACGAGCATGCCTGGTCACTGACGCCAGCAGTAGTGTTGGTGGTTCGGCGGAGACCCCAGGGGTCAGCAAACTCGGAGGACAGAAATGACCGCGTGCATTCTCGATATGCGTCTTTATTGTCTTGGCCTGCTTGTTGCAGAAGAGCAATGATGGACGGTTGTTGGCGGAATAGTTGGAGGTCGTGCAAGAAGTCGCTGTGCGACGGTTTCGGGATCAGCAGCGCGTCGAAGAAGCGGGTGTAGCATGCTGCTGGTTCGTGGAGAGATTGGATATATTGCAAGTGGTCGGGAGTGATGTCCGGTTGTAGTTCTGTTTCTGTGTCCATTTTGGTTCTTGATCTTGATCTTCTTGCTCCTGGGACGGATATTCGCTCGTGGCGTTCAGGTTGCAGAGAGATTTTACAGTAGTATTAGTAGTGGTAGTACTGTTGCCTCGCCGACACCCCTAACGGAGTTCAGATATTGTCTCTTATTGTTGAAAGACCTTAATAGACTGGGTGAAGCTGTCTGGGAAGCTGGGCAGATGGTCCGTCAAGAAATCGCTTTTTTGGGATATTATTATAATAATAAGAATTCTTCAGCATGCAGTTCACCGGCACTGCAGGATTCAAATTCGAGGTGGATGAAAGAAATCATGTAAGCCAAGCTTGATGTCAATAACTACTGCTAGTAATACAATCTTAGAATGACTATCCACAATATATATGACAGCCTCACTTTGATCCGGTCGGACAGTATGATGATGTGTTTGTCCTGGGAGGCCAAGGTTACCAGCTTACAGACTCCCATCCGGCAGGCCAAGGCTTTGAGCCAGCCTTGTGACAGTCATGGCCCCGTTGTGTGTTCTGTGCAACCGGCTGAGATTCAGAACCACCAGCAGACCGGGCCACAGTCCGATCACGGATCTATTCGATCTTGATTCGGCCTACAACATAAAAGGGCGCCTATGTCGAGATGTTTCTCGCTCAAGCATAGTATCTTCTCCATCTTCGGGTGTTTTTGAGGGGTTACACAGCATTGAAGTCGCAGGGTCAATCAATTTATACGACTTGAACATTGGACCATCTACAGAAACCACTGGGTTCGTTGTTCTCCAAGAACGATCCGCCCCTTCCAAGGGCCCTCCAATGCTCTTGTACAACCAAGACTTTGTATCACGTAATCATCAGACTTGAAGACGTTACACATGAGATATAGCGACGCAAGCAAGCACATGAAGCAGACCTGAAGTAGGCCTCGCTTCGGCTCCATCAGCCGGAGATCTCGACTGTACTACCCAACTCCTGCAGTGTTTATGCATCCCAGGCCGCGACAGGTTCGTGCATACGAATATACTGGGCTATAAGGGTGAGGAGTAGTTGTTTACTCTAGACCCCCCAGGTCATGCGAACTGTCAACGTTAGGTCTGACAGCCAGGTTGGAAATGCGGTGAGGGCAAGAAACCATCATGTGAGAGCCTCGCATTGTGGATGAGATTGACGACGGCCATGAAGGAGAGCAGCAACACACCAACGCGGCTTGCTGCCGACGTGCAACGACAACTGGACACCATCTTCTCCGCATCCAACCCGCCTTTCTTGGGGTTGCGAGTGCGATCCATCCCGTAAGGGTTCGTAGCATACATGCATGCCACGGCTTGGGGTCGGGCATACGCGCCACCTTGGTGCAGCAGACCAACTAGCTTTCATTCCGCGCTCGGGTTGAAGGAAGAAAGGGCGGATTCGCCCGCAGCACCAGGGAAACTGCAGGTATAGGTAGTGTTCATATGAGACGTGGACGGCTTGGTGGTTCGATGGTTCTCTGCTTGGCTTTACCACCATGGTGGTCGATCAAATGCAATTCAAACGGCAGTCAAACTAAATCAACTACCAAAATGGTCGGAATCAATCATGGACAGATATGCGAACTGCCGAGTCTGTATTTGAGGTCTTTGTCGGGTAAGATCACGGCCACACAGCAGCAACACTTCCGGTAGAAGGCATTCCGATGTACAGCGTACACTTACTGTTCCTTCAGGACGACGACGACGACGACGACGACGAAAGGACTTATCCGACCACTTGGCTGCATACTCATCGTTCACTAATGTGGCCGTGATGGATAAATCGTACTGCAAACGATATCCAGAATCCTTTAGCTGTTCACCTCGGCTTGAGCAAAAGAAAGCTGCCAGTATCAAGTCATATCAAGTCAAGCGGCGTGGGGAGTCCTGCAAAGAAGCGGTGCTGCATTAGCTTTGCAACTCGGCCGCCGCCAGTCTGTGAGTGGTCCAACATTAGCTCCTGATAAATGCCTCATAGAAATGGCAAATCCGCTTCTTCTTCTTCTTGTGGGGCTCCATCTGCCCCTTCTCGTCGCTCTCAAAGTCGCATGGAGACGGCACTTCACTTCTCTGGTCTTGCAGGACCGAACGAATGGCAGAGTCGCCAATATTCACCGATTGTGTGGACGTCGGCAGGCTCCGCACCCCATTATTACGCTGCTGCATCCTTGCTGGTAAGAAGTACCCCTTGCTTTCAGACCTGGCCACCCGAACTCAGGGATTACCGTTGTCTGCCATAGTACTACCCCGGCTTGCGTGTGCTTCTCATCTGTCAAAAACGACCCTGAGTGTTTGACCAGAATATGTTCCGGAGGTGTCAGCTGCAACAATAATGATGACCTTCAAGTCCAACCATTTGGAAGGAAAACAGGTTGCATAGACCGCCACTTTATCTGACAGTCCCATAGTAGGTGACGCGAAACGCGGGCCGCGGTGGATTTGTGGATGTTCTTAAGCATCCTCTTATGGAGAGCTTCAACGCAGCTCTGTTCGCCCTCCTCTACACGTCTCGAGGTAGCGCTTCGCTTCGCTTGCTGTCCGTGGATGCAGAGACGCTTTAGACACCCATCGACAAGGAGGCAGTATCGTGGACAGAGTAAGGCGTGGTTGCGCCTAGGGCACGGCGTGGGATTCCTGCTGTCAGACTTTCGAGAAGCCACTATGAACATACGGCACTGTGCGGTCATGGCCGTTATTGATCATCAAAGTACAAGCGTTTGCCCCTCGCCGTGTTCGTAAGATCGAGAGTTTGGCGAGCCGTACGGCCCGACAAGAGGCACCAAAGTCTTGCCCCTGGTTAGGATGGGCGAGTGAAAGTGGCCGGCTACATGGCTGATTCCTTCTGCTGTAGGGATGATATCCTTCGGTGACACTGGTCGAGGCGATTCTAGCCAGCAAAGCATGTCAGCTGAGCGTGAGGTTTTGCTAACCTGAATGATATCGAACCTCTGGCACTTGAATGAACGCGGCCAGGCCAGAGCTAAGATGCCAGCAGTAGACTACAACTTGAGAGAAAGATGATCGTGCCGAGCAGCTTGTGTCTGTATCGAAACCTGCCTATGACAGTAATAAAGACAGGCGACTCTGGGCGGAAGCCGAAGGAGTTGTAGTTCTCGCACGGGGCGGAAAGGCACCTGTAGCTCGCTACAAACATATCAGGCTGCGCAGGTACTGCGTCATGTTGCGCGAACACCCTCCAAGTGCAAGCAGGGTCCTCGCCACCAGGTAGTAGTAAGTAGTAACCAGCATGCATTTCGATCGTCAAGGGAATTCTGCTGTATGTCCCCGGCCGCTCCCTTGGCTAAATGCCACATGCAGTGGTACAACTCGGCCTATACCGCAGTGATACTAGGTATGTGGTACGAATCGCCACTCTTTTCAATTGGTTATTGTTCCTGGCGTTGATGCTAGGCATACTGCAATCCAGCTGTTATGTGATGACGATCAGAAAGAACACTTTGTGCGACAAAACAAGTCGGGAAAACGTTGCCAGGTACCAGACGTAGGGCCAACCCACCAGTCAGCCTGGCCGTAGTAAATTGTGGCTATTGTTTGGTGAGATCAGCATGGCTTTGATCAAAGGAACAAATTTAGCATCTGGGTGTTGGACAACAATAATGTGGCTCGGGCTCATGCCTCTGTATGACGGAAGACCGGCGTAGCCCACAAATATTATTGTGGTTCCTTGCGCAAAGTCTTGTTTGATCTGTTTCGTTGCCAATCTCCAGTAGCAGTAGGTATCATCACTACTCCTTGTATCATTTCCTCCGATCGATTTCCGCGTCTGGTGGGTGCAATCTCGACTCCAGTGTCCAACTGGAAGTGCAGGAAATGCAAGGAGCAGTGCGGATTCAGCACGCGAGGAGCGCAGGGTCTTTCGGCTGGGTGGACGTAGATTTGCTAGCAACTGATGGTTTCATAACTGGCTGTCGGAGTAGTGGCCTTGGACAGGTCAAAATAGACACACCGTTGATCGCTCGGGCGGTGCAAGAATTGATCAACAAAGACCATATTAGCGAGGGCGCGAGTAGTGGATGAGCCCGCTGCTACTACAAGGAGGACTCGTTAGTAGGATGTCGGTAGGATTCAGATCGTTGAGAGTATCGGTGAGAGTGACCACTACTAGGTACTGATTCAGGCTCGGTCACGGTGTGCTGGGTCAGTGTGGGATGCAAATTATTCCAAGCCTCTGGCACTGCACAACAATGCAGGTAGCTTAACTCGATGTCCGGCTGACCAGAAGGAGGCGCTTGTCCGTCACCGCTAATAAAAACATGCAATCAATTCTGATGAAAGTTTACGGGGGTTGGTTCGCCCAGAAGCCCTCTAAAAGCCAGACCTTGTTTTGCGCCTGGAAACAGCACGTCTTGCCCCCAACCGAAGCCTAAAGGCCTGCCCACTAGCAGGTGTCCAGGTAGCGGTTCCCACCGGAACCTCCAAATCTTGGACTTTGAAGTTGCCCACTGTGCCCACCCATTCCGGATCCTGCACACCGCAGGAGAGTCCCCCCCAGGAGCTGGGTCAAGGGCACAAGCGCAGCACTAGCAGGAATTTTTTAGCAGCTGCGAGGGAGCCAGAAGAGGGTACTCTAGCCGGGCCTGGCAGCTTCTGTTTGCTTCAAACCTGGCACTGCACTGGACAGCACTGCGCACTACGGCAAGTTGCTCACAGTAGTCGTAGTACTGGCATCACTACTGGCATTTGGCGCATAATAAAAACAATCTCCAATCCAAGCCGTCACTTCTCGCCCCTTCCGCCCATCCATCCACACAGACACTGCATCATTCTCTGCTCACTCGCCTGCACGTAGTACTGCTACTGCGACCACACAGAGGCGCACACACACACAACACAATCTTCCCTCGCCGGCTGCCCGCATTTTCCCTCACCAACAACCCTAACTCTGCCTGACTAAACCAAAACTGCACTGCGCACCACACACCGTCTCTGCTATTACTAGTGCTGCTGCAACTGCCACTACGCACGATTGCCATCCCGCTTCCTCTTCTCTACACCTTTCCTACCTACCTACCTACTTCTCTTCCTCACTTCTTCCTTTTACACGGTTATATCCTCTCCACTCTTCGCCTTGCGCACCCAAGGTACTCGAGCCCTCCAGCTGCTGGTGTGGCTCACGTTTTCTCGCGTTGCTGCGTTTTCTGCTCTCAGCACCGCCGCTCGCAGGCCGCAGGTCACCAGTCTTACCGCAGAGCGCCACCACACGCGCCCCGAACGCTTCGGACATCCGTCTCTCGCTCGTGACAATTGTTGTCCTTTTACAATACATCCAGCACACTGGGCGGCCTGTTGGACTCATTACTAGAACATTATATCACAAACATGTCGAGATTAGCTTTATAACAACGGCGGTCCCTAGGGCCAAAACCAACCCTTCTTCACACCCAACACAGACCCGGCGTCTGTGTCATTTGCTCGCCATCGTTGACGGTCCATTGTCCAGGTCCCTGGCGACCTCCGGTTCACCTTCAAAAACACACTTGATATACTGCTGCGTTGAGCCACCCATTTCATATGTCTCATCACCAAAAGCACCGGAGAGACGATCACCGGACAAGTTCAGCCATGCAAAGCTTACTCAAGATGTTCAACTTGTCCAATGCTCCAACCGTCCCACTGGACGAGGAGGAACTGAGCGGGGAGGCTGATGAGCCGCCAGACGATCGGCTGTCCCCTCTCAACACGCAGTTCAGTCGAGATGCTCTTTACGGCAGATCTACCGCGCCTATAAACCCTCGGCGTGAGTCGTTACTGACTCGTGCCATCATGGCGGAATCGAAGCATGAAGAAACCTCGACTGTGTCAACAAGTGTCTCCCGTGGCCTATCAACGACTTCTTCGCACAGCACCGGCAGCATGGCTTCTACCGCAGAGCTGACCAGCGACGGCGATGTCACAAGCCCTTCACGATCGACCACCCCCAGCCCTCCTCCTCCACCCGGTCGGTTCTCTCAGCTCCTTGGACACAGGAAACAAGGACTACCGACCTCCAAAGTGGTGATTGCGCCTGTCACGAAGGATGACAAACCCGCCGTCGCTGATGTCGGCGAGGCTGCGGTAGAGAAGACGCTCGGACGGAAGCGTTGCATCATGTTTGCTTGCGCGGAGCCGGATTCGGAGAAGAGCAAAGACAATGTCTCGTCCACTAAAGAGGCTTCCGCCGAGCCAGAAGTCCCTAAGCGGAAGTGCATGCTCACCTTTGCCTGCCCCACTCGACCGAGCTCCGACGAGAAGACGCCCGCTTCTTCGAAACTTGGAGTCGAGCAGAAATCTTCGCGTCGTCCCTCTCCTGCACCGACTCCTGCGTCCACGCGCAGAGCAAACTCTGGATCTGCAGATCTTTCTGGACGATCAGTCGAAACTGCCAAGCCGTCATCCCCTGAGCGCCTTCGACCTAATCCTCCCCCACATCAGCCGTCCTTCCATGAATTTGGCAGTTCTCATGACGAGACTGATTCATGGGTTGACAGACCGACCACCCACAAAACTAAGCTTACGCTAGATGATTGCATGAAGAAGGAAATACGTATCCGGGACATCGGTCGGGAAGCCGAGGAGGAGGCTGAAGAAGAAGAACGTGAGCAAGAAGAACTCGAGGCGGAGCTTGACGACAATGACAATGAAGACGACTTTGCTCCCTCGGACGATGGCACCGCCTCTGATGGAGGTAACGAGTCCGATGACGAAGGCGGATTTGCTGACTCGGATGACGAGAGTGATGCCGGCTCTGACTATCAGTTCTGGGCGCCCTCTAACAACTTCGCTCGCGGCAGTATGGAGCATATGAACCTACGTCACTTCAGCTCCCGTCAGCATTCACCTGCAAGCTCGATCGAGTCGTCGACTCACTGGGGCAGTCCACATCTTCATTCCAGAAGAAGACAGATCCAGCGATGGCGGCAGCGCGCAGGCCAGGCTGTGCGGATGAGGCCTGGGACTCCAGAGTTGCCGGACAGCACTGATTTCGTCTGCGGGACCTTGGACGAAGATCGGCCACTGGAGGCAGCCTATATTTCCTGCCGTGAACAGAAGAAACGAGAAAAGCACATTCCAGTTCCGCAGGACATTGATCCGAGCTTTCCTACCACCGATCCGGACGAGGAGGAGGATGAGTGCGATGAAGAGGACGTTGATGAGTTGCACCACAGCTCCGATGGTGCTCGTTGGCTGCAAGGTCAATTCACCGGCTTCGAGAGTGATACGCGGGGACGTCGCAAATCGCCAGTCTTATCGCCTGGGCCCCACTCGCCAATGGGACAGGCTGCCCTCCATTCAAGGCCGGAGCACCGGCGTGGAACTCTTCGTTCACCACCTCCGCCGAAGCATGCCGTTGCACGGTCCCCACCGCCTGCACGCAAACTTTTCGGTCATTCTCCGACAAGACTCCGGTCGCCTCCTCCCGCACGGCTTCGATCGCCCCGTGGGTCTCCTACCTACGTAGGGTTCCCTGCAAGGATGGGCACCAGGGGTCTCGCTCAACGGCCCAACATGGAACGCACTGCATCACTTCCAGATACACCCAATCCATTTTTCAAGAACTTCAACATCGGCAGTCCTTCCATCTCTAATGTGGCTTCTGGAGCGGTTACACCGGTGCCTGAAGGAGTTCCTCGACTAGACATGCATGTCCGTGGACCGGTTGACATTGTCATGGGACTGGAGAAGAAACGCCAGAAACGGAAACAAAAATATCTGCGCCAGCATTGTCGCAAGATGAAAGAACAGGCGGAACGCAGGCCAGCTCCCGGCCGTGGTGCCGAAAGGATGAAGGAACTTGGTCTTGAGTGTGCTGAACGTATGAAGGGATACGGCGTCGGTCAACAAACGCAGTTGGTGCTTTCGCTCTAGTCGCCGCGCTTCACCCATCTTGGCTCATATGGGACCGATCATTTTGTGTAGGATTTCTTTGGCCAGGAACATTTCAGGGCCCCCTTTTTGCACATACTAGAGTGTGGCTTTTTGCATTCTTGATATGACGACTGTCATGAAGTCGGCGCAAGCGAAAGGGTCATTCGCTTTCTCCTAGCTCGGGGTTTGGGACTTTTGAGGTTTTTACGCATAGCAATGGCGCTTGCTAGGGAGCATTGACATTGTAAATACATGACCATCAAGCATGGTCCCAGATTACTGACTCCTGGGCGAGATGCTCGGTATGAGTCCAATATGAAGAATCAAAATCAGTGTCTTGTTCTCTACCCGGACCATTGTATCTTCAAGTAGACCTAGGTATGAAGGGGGCGGCAAAAAAGCGTATGGCCATTATTGCACGGGGTGCGGTGTGCTTTCTCTGCAATCAGCTGGGTGGTCAACGATCGTGGTTCAGATCACGTGATGGATATTACCACGTGATGTCACGCGACTTGGAGGACTTGGCACCGGCGACGTCGACGCTGGCAGATTGTCCAGGAATCTTGAACTCATCGCCAGTAGAACTGTAGCAAAGTGGCCCACCGCCTGCTCTACACTGCTCCTAACGTACAACTACAATTACGGATCTGACCGTTTGGGCGTCACTCGAACTTGTCACTACCGACTCTGTCATTGACAATCAAAAGCTTGATTATAGACTCACCCACCTCTTCTTTCCTCTACTGCTATCGTGTCCAAGCCAGATTGTTTGGGCCGCCCTTCCTGTTCCTGAACGACAAACCTCCAACCCGACTGCAACCATGTGGATTATCAACTGGTGTATGTGGAAGTGCCTTGTTTTGCGTTTGAATTGCTGTGTAGACTGACAATTGTTGTGCCTGCTGCAGTTTACGATATCCTCGCCTCGCTCGGGCTCCTCAACAAACATGCCAAGTTACTCTTCCTCGGGCTGGACAATGCGGGAAAGACGACGTTACTACACATGCTGAAGGTGGGTGGTTTCCTATACTCCTCGGTCCGGACGCTGCACACACATGGTCAGAGCGAGCGACCAGAATGATTTTAAGGCTGGTCTCACAAAGCATATATATCTATCCGTTGCGAAAAGCAAAGCCCGGCCAGTTGAACGTTATACATCTCCGGAATGTCAAGCTGACTGACAATTGCCATACAGAATGACCGAGTCGCAATCCTGCAACCCACGTTACATCCCAGTACGAGACCTTGCTCCTCCTCCATGTTGGCATGATAGAAGGGATCATTAACGCGCGCGTGTGCAGCTTCCGAGGAATTGGCCATTGGCAACAACAGATTCACAACCTTTGACCTGGGAGGCCATCAACAAGGTACGACAACCACAAACACATCCCTGCTTCACTTGGCCATTTCTTCATGAAGAGAAAGAGAACATCTAGCTAACCCATCACTTGTTCCCTGCCAGCCCGCCGTCTATGGCGCGACTACTTCCCCGAAGTGTCGGGAATTGTGTTTCTAGTCGATGCAAAGGACCACGAACGTCTCCCCGAAGCCAAAGCCGAACTCGACGCTCTTCTGGCCATGGAAGATCTCGCAAAGACCCCGTTTCTGATCCTCGGCAACAAAATCGACCATCCTGACGCCGTGTCCGAGGACGAATTGAGACATCAGCTCGGTCTGTACCAGACAACTGGCAAGGGAAAAGTACCGCTTGAAGGCATCCGGCCGATCGAGGTGTTTATGTGCAGTGTGGTCATGAGGCAAGGTGAGTGGTGTCTCTTCAGTCCCGGTCCGCAAGCAGTCCAAAGCACTCGGACCACCCACTGCTACTTCAAAGTCCTCGCCAAGTTGACTAACTGTTTTCTTAACAGGTTACGGCGAGGGTATCAGATGGTTGTCTCAATACGTGTAGACCGCCGCCTGGTACAAACACAGTGACGGCTCCTTTTTGACCCGCCTATTCTGTGTGGCATGCCTCAGGCGATTGCTGGATGTTCCACCCAGGCGGAAGATGAACCCTCGAAATTTAATGACAGCAAGCAATCAATGCCTGATCCGCTCGTCGTATTCGGCTTTTCTTATCTTGCCTTGGCTCCTTCATCTCAGTGTCATTTCATACATTGTCGATTGTGCCCTTGGAATGATACTCTGCGCTCTGTGTCTTTTGAGCAAGCCCAACGCTCTGTTTCTTATCGCCCCACGTAGATTGCTAGGGACTGTCTACGTTGGCCTTTCTTTCATCCGTCCCTGTTGTCTGAGCCAAACTACCGTAAACATGCAGAAAGACTGTATAAAATGAGAGCGCATGACTTTCGGGCCCCTTTGGCCGGTCACGGTCCGCTTGTTGATGATACGCGCAGCAACGAGAGAAGAGAGCAGAAGAAACGACCAGGAGGAAAAAAGGCAAAAGCAAAAATTCTACTATTGCTGACAATTCAAAACATACTCGTATCCCTTTCTTGCTCTGGATGTCTGTCTGTCTGTCTGGACTGCAAGGCAATGCGTGTTATAGACGCTATGCCGCGCAAGAATAAGGTTCATCTGCGCGTTTCGACCCATCAACCATCATAAACACCCATCTCATTGCATGTTACAGGAGAATAAAAATGCGCAAGGCGCCGGACCAGTCGCATCGCCCCCTTCTTCCCCCACGCAACTCTCAAACGGCAGCTGGAAAAATGAGATGCGTGCTAGAAATTTGGAGTGGACCAGTTCATCGCGATCGAAAAGGAAAGAGCTCTGTCACTCCCACAGTCCACAGGCATCCTACCAAAAACCTGCCGTCCGTAAGCCCTCGACCATAAGCAAGCCATACATAAAACATTCCAGGGGTTTTCTTGTTCGGACTCGACTTCGGCGAGGCTTCGAAACGGGGGTTCTGCTCCTGAGTTCGTCCATGATTATGTCGTGTTGATATTCGTTCATTCGAGTCAGGCCGTGTCGGTCATGTCCGAACAAGCTCGTAAACGTATGGATGATGGGCGTACAAATCTTTGAATCCTTTCAAGTTCCAAAAAAGGGGTGGCTGGCCGGAACAGTTGGGCTATTTGAGTAGAGGCGTATGGTCACTCGCTTCGGATCCGTGGGAAGGAGACATGGTTGTTCGACGACGAGACCGTTGCGACGGGGAAGCCAGAAGGTGACCCTATCTTCTTCCAAACCTGCTATCACAACATTCGAATCAGCCCGGGTCATGGACTAGGATTTGGATTTGCGTGGCGGAGTAGTAGTCCTGCCTGAGCCCTTTGACCCATAAACGTACTTTTGTTTCTTCTCAGCGGGCTTGAGTATCTGCGAGGGATCCGTTAGCTATAGGACAAACGCAGTAGGGGAGCACTCTGTACCTGGAAGGAGCAAAGCAGACTTTCGTCGACACTCATCATGGCTCCAGCGTTGTCGAACTCGCCGCAATAGTTGGGGGCGCTGAAGAGCGTCACCAACTGTCGTTTGGAAAAGAATTCGTAGCCATCTTCCACTACTTGATGCGCTCGGCAAATAAGGTCCATGTCGTGTTTTTGCAGGAATCTGGACACAACATCTGGTCCAAATGTGAAGGAAACACCGCGGTCGTTCTCGCTCCAGCCAGTGATGTCCTTGTCCGGGTCAGACCAAAGCAAATCGCAGAGCAATCCGCAGTCGGGGATCTAGCCAAGGTCAGTTTTCTGCTGGACAAACCAGCTAGGTAGGGGTAGAGCTTTAATGCTTACATCTGTCGGGCGCATGACACGACGGATCTGTTCCATGGAATTCAGGTCTGGACTCAAACCTCCATGCATGGTGAAGATCTTCTCGTCAATGATCGCAGCGATCGGCAAGCAGTTGAAGCAATCAGTGAAGGTCTTCCAGAGCTTGATGTTATAACGGCGCTTGCATTCGTCGTAGAAGCCGTAAATTCGGTTGATCGAGGCACATTCATGGTTGCCGCGCAGGACGAAGAAATTCTCCGGGTACTTGATCTTGTACGCCAGCAACAAGCAGATCGTCTCCAAGGACTGCTTGCCTCGGTCTACATAATCGCCAAGGAAGAGATAGTTGGCTTCTGGGGGAAACCCGCCGTACTCAAAGAGTCGGAGGAGATCGTAGTATTGACCATGGATATCGCCGCAGATCTGTCAAAGGAGCAAGTCAATCTAGTGTTCTTAACCTCAATCATTCTCGTCACGAGATTCGTACCTTGATTGGAGCTTCCAACTCCAGTAGTATGGGCTGCGAGATGAAGATTTCTCTCGCCTTTGTGCACAAGTAGCGGATCTCAGTTTCAAGCAGCTGCACTTGTTTGCCTGGCCTGCTGCCTCTTACTTCTAGAAGACGGTCGATGACAGAGTCTAAATCCACCTCATTCTGGTCGGCCATGGTGGGTTTGCCGCGGGCGGGGCAGGGGGAGGGAGAAGGGCACCGACCAGATCCGGTCGGGGAGGTCGAAAAACGAAAAAGCGATGTTCGTAAGGTACTGTAGGAACGCCACTACTCTGATGCAAGCCCAAAGGTGTGAGTTTGGGGATGGATATTTCTTCGACGGAAGGATAGGTGACGCAACACGAGTGCTCGGTAAGGGGAGGGCGTACCAGATCCGATGTTCGTCTTTTGAGGCAGCCAGAGAACGGCTCGACGAGGGTGTCCCGAGTAGACTTGTGTCCAGGCGATGAAGCTTGCGCGAGAGAACGCTTCGAGGCAGAATACGAGGACGTATTATCGCGCGCGGGTGTCTGTGGAACAGACTGGCTGCCGTGAGGGAAGTTCTTTTCCAGACGCAGGGCGTGACAGGTTCGGGTGGCTGGGATGACGGTTTTTCGCGGTGACTTGAATAAACAAACCGCGTCGGTGAAGAGCCGGGACAGACTGCCAGATGGCAAGAGATACAAAGAAGGCGGATATCGATCGCAGAGAGATCTCAAGACAGTTGAACTGCGGGATGAGATGGCGGATTTGCTATTTTCAATCCTGGCAGGCGGTGTTGGGCTTGGCACCGACTTGGGACAGAAAGAGGAGAGAAGGCGAGTCTGGAGTGGTAGACGTGGTAGGTACTAGCAAGTAGTCGGAGAGAGGGAGCGACAGGGCCTTACCACTAATAAGCCGCAGGCGGCATACCACTCGCTGGCACTACAAGCAGCCACTGCAGTGACAGGCTCGGTAGCAGAAAAGGGAGGTTTTGGGGGCGCCTCGGGCCACTAGAGGGGGCAAACTGCGCCCGCCAGCACTAGCACTCTACCGCCACACCCTACAACTTACGGGCTATCGCAGCCTAGGGAGCCCTGTTCTGGACCTTCGAGGGACCTGTGGTTTACCTTAAACGTTGGTATTGCTGTTGTCGTAGGTAGATTTATTATCCTTTATCATTTACTTCCGCCATGTCCCTGTCTGAATTCCACGTTGAGATGCATCCCGTCTCCTCTCCTCTCCTCGACGGCTTCGAAATCTGGTCAATTGCGCTAGGTAGATACCTAGGTACCTCCTGCTCATGCTGTTGTTGTGGCCGCCACAATCGCCCAGCAGCCACAGGAATGCAGGCTAAGCGTTCAACCACGCGCGACGGTTTCCGGCAAGCGCCCAATCGCCTCCATCCTCGTACGTTTTTCTCCCGTCGCTGCCAGGTAGACGAGTCGGAGTCTTTGTTTGAATCTCTGCATTTCCGGGGACGATGCAACAGGCTGACACTGGCGTGGTGCAGGAGGCGCCTCGGGCCAGCTCGTCCTTATAGGGCGCACCCGAAAATGTTTGGTTCTGTGTCATCAAATCGTCTTCCTTGCTTGCTTGCCCTTACAATCCTACACTAGGTACTTGAAGACGCCAGATCCAGTTCTTATCTTAAAACTTGTTTGATTGCTCGATAGTGCCGACGTGGACAGAGCGGGAGTACTCCATTGAATCCACGTCGAGGAGATCCACCTTATGTTGCCCGCCAAAAATATATATCATTCAAGTCGGAGTAGAATGGAGATCCATCCCAGACAGCAGTGTCTCTCAAAGTCATACATCATGCATCATCTCTCAAGAGATGCCAACAGATCCCTTCCACTGAAACACCATTGAAAGCACCGTCGCTATGCATTAAAGGTCTGCTCAAGACACCGCACCAACAGAGCATGTCACATTTCCCTCCATCTGATAGATTGCGCAACAAGGAATGGTCTTTCGTAACTCAAAACATAGGGTATAAAAACGCATGCTATCATCGAACGCGCCGCACCCAGGAAAAACAGCCGATGCGGTCTAATAATGTAACTTGCAACCCAAAACGTGAGAAAAAAGAACTATGCGCAGATCGGATCCCGAGATTCATCCCAGGGTTCTTCCGCCGCTGACCATGACTTGTTGGCCTGTTCGGTGTATAGCGGTATTTTCAAGGATTTTTCCCTGAGTCACTTCCAAGTGATGGTTATTGTGCCAGTTGTTCTGGCCTCCAAGAGCGCTGAGCCAGTTACTGCCGAACTCCTGTCGCAGCGCTTCAATCTTAGCCCGGTATTCATCCTGCTGGCTAAGCTCCTCGGCTGAGGGGTGGGCTGACGCCTCCGTTGAGCCATCATGCGGCTCATCTGCCAGAACTTCTTCTGCTGCTGCTGCTGCTGCCGCCGCCGGCGGGACCGGGGAATCGTCACTCTCCGGCAGAGGATGTGGGTGCGCACCAGAGGAATCTGCGGAGCTCTTGGCCACAAGATCTTCGCCAGGTATTGGGGCGAATGTTTCATCCTTGGCCAGATCCACGATTCGTCGACGAGGGGCCTTTTTCCGTCGAGTAGTGGTCACACCCGCCTCAGCGGGCGGGTTAGCGCCTGACTTTGCCTCTCCAGAATTTTGAACATTCACTGGCGTGTCAGCGATTCGTATCGACGGCTGAGAGATGTCCCTTTCAACCTCCGGCGCTCGCTCAACCAGCTGCTTACGCTCCGAATACCCGGGTCCGGAGTCGTCAATGACAATATCTTCCACATAACCGGGAGTCTTTCGAAACAAATTGAACGTCGTGATCCGGTAATCAGAGTGAGTTTTTGTGAATGGGTTACGCTTGACCCATATACGCTTCAGGTTAGGAATACACGTCAGTCTGGCCACTTCCATGTGGTCAGACAGCTGGTTGTCCTGTACATTCAACTGCTCCAAGGAAAGGAGCCGCTCGACCCCGGCCAATGATCGAAGCCGGTTCGCCTTCAAGTTGACAGTCAGGACGGCCGGTAAGGGCGATCTTGACAGAGACTGTAGAGAACCAATCATGCAGTTCGACAAGTCGAGAGACACCAATCGGGTCAGACAGGCTAGACTGTCAGGGATTTCGGTGAAGAGGTTCGAGGAGAGGTTAAGAGAACGCAGCGTTGTCGCGACTGGCGCCAGGCTTCTTGCCGAAATGGTAGTCAATGAATTATCGGCCAGCGACAGGTATTTCAGCCTCTGCCATTTCGAGGAAGGGAGGATGTTTAAGCTAAGAAGACTGGAAGTGCTGTCGCTACGATTCGGCTGGCCGGAATACTCGCTGGAATTCGAGCTCCCCGAACCGGACCTCTTCACCTTGGACGAATACGTACGGACGTGTCTGTACGAGCTGGTTGGTCGAGAAGGACTCGACCGCTTGGGGGAGACGCTCCCTGAGGGTTGTTTATCCTTTTGTGGTGACTCAATGTAGTCTTCATGTTCTAGGCTTCCCTCGGCAGGGGATCCCGGGTCAGAATTTGATCGTGCGTATTCTGCTCGTGGCGTCGATGGCACTGTCCATGACGCAGTTGGAGTAGGGGAGTTCCGGCCGCCTTTCGTTGATCGCCTGCGTCGCTTCTCGGCATCGTCCAGGACTATGTATGTAAGTAGTTCGATCGGATCGTCAACGTTGGCTCGTTTGAGAGTCAGCAGTGTCAACTGCTCCGCCAAGCGATCCCATCCATAGAATTGGCGGAAGTCAATATCCACTATGTCCAACTGTTGGATATTCTTAAAAGCGAATAACGGGACTGCAGTGTCGAATGGAAACTCCTCGTACCCTTTAATCAAGCGTGCTCGGTGATCGGTGGTGACTCGTAGCGAGGGGAGTTTCGTGAACGCAGAATACAGGTAGGTCAGATCCGCTTGTGTGACGGCTCTTGCCTTTTCGCTCTTCGATGTGTTTCCCCCCAGGCCGATAGATGACCAGAAAGTACTCATCCCCGACATGACACTGCGCATGCTAGAAACAGAATGTATGGAGTCCTTGTCACTGCGACCTTTGGACGGCTTATGGGACTGCAGGAAGGAGACGTAGTTGGAAGGGGAAGGATCACTGTTGAGGTTTTCGAAACGGATATTCATCGGTCCAACTGAGATGTCCAGCTCTTCCATCCTAGATAGCAAGTAAAACAAGTGATGGGGCGTGAGCGTCAGGAGGGCGGCTTTCGAGGCATGGGACCTAAAATTGAGCCCAGCAAAGGAGAAAGCGGCAAGCAGAGCACTGCTTGAACTGTTCGTGTTGCCCGCAGGAGTACCGTTGACGCTGGAGCTACTCGTCGACCCCGAGTTCAGCGAGGACTGCCGTCTGTGGACGGACATCTGCAGGCTGTTGGCAAGAGCCTTTTCATGTTGCCGAATATACTGGGCCAGGGACTGTAAGACAATATCTAGGTCAACCAGCATTCTGACTACGCAGGTTTGCTGCTAATCGCACACATCCGAAACACTTCCACATGACAGGAATTTCGCAAAGGCAGGGTACGATAATAACACTCACTCGAATAAAATCATGTCCATCCTCGGTTTGTAGGCGGTCCATCTCCGCGTCAGATCTTCCGGCAGTTTCAGTAAGTGCTCGCGGAGCCGCGAATGGAATTAGAGGCAGACTTCGAGGGACAGTCTAGGGCAAAGGAGTGATCGAGTTACGCAACCAAGGATCTATATCGAGGATTAGTCCATTTCAACACCGCTGGTGGTGGGTTGAAGCCTACCCTGACTGTGTATAGAACTCATTGTGGCATTCAGCGGGCTCAAAGCCTCCAGCGTGAGGCACGAAGTCGCAGTCTAAGGACTATTGCAAGCCGTGGGCACTATATTATGATGCTTCCAGAATGCCTGCGTCGTGACTGCGAGATCCACCTGTGAGACAACAACCCACCCGGGAAATTGAGGAAGACGCCGTGTACATAAAGGTCGAGGCTGGAAAGCTAACGGACGCCGTGGAAGCCCAGGCAGCTGCGACAAGCTGAGAGCCTAATAGTATGTTGAAACGGTGCGTGACCGTCAGCGACGAGGTGAGAAGGTGAGGCTGGGAGCAATGGTGGTGTGTGAGCAGGGACAAGGAGGATGGAGGGGCAGATGGGAGGAAAAGAGCAACAGCAACAGCAACACTGCAGTCGGATTCAAGTTGCAGTCAGCTGGAGGAGCAGCAGTAGCGGTCGCAGTAGTACTAGTAGTCGGTAATAGTAGTCGTGATAGTAGCGATAGTAATGTAATAATAGTACTCCATTTCTTGTAGTTGTCGAGCTGGCGCCGCCGAGATGGAGCGTGCAGAGATTTGCTATTAAGTTAGATTGGCAGATTGACTTCAGGCTCGTTGTTTAGCCTTTTTGCGGGCGGGATTGGCGCAGGCGGAGCGCAGGCGCAGGCATCTCGGGACCTTCAAGTCGAAGCATATCATTTTGACGATGCGCGCATGATAAACCATTAATCCACTGGAACTGCTGACTTCCGTGCTACGACGAATACAACTCGCTCTTCCGCACACCGTCCATCCATCCACATACTCCGCCGATCGACTTTCCTCGCACGCAGCGCCACTACGAGGACTGCTTAAGAGGGCAGACGCGGTCAGGACTCGGACCCTCTCTGCTCAGCGTCCTCGTATGGAACAGGGATCTACATTGGACACACAACACTGGGCTGACCCTGCTCGGGCGTCAGGGTACGCTCCACAGCGCGATGCGGGTGCCAGTGGGTTGCTAGTAGTAGTGGTGATTATCTGGATGTCGCCTCCTGCCCGCGACACGATCTGCGAAGTTCTAACCGTCTGCTGGTCGCGAAGGACGCGGCGGCTCTGCTGACCGTGATCAACCTGAAGGACAGAGCTAGCGTCGGCGCACCGAGACGACGCCAGACGAGCAACGACAACAACAACTCTCAACTCTGCTTGGTCCCATGCTATCCGCACCAATTCCGGAAGCTTCACACCCTCAACGAACGCGCCATGCACACATTCCTCTTCATTATTTCGTAAAAGCAGAAAATATTGCCACTACGGCCCCTGCCATCACGTCCTTGCTGCTCACCCTCAGGCTAACCACTGCAGTCGCTGGCCGCCGTCCGGCCAGGCCCGGATCTTACGGTGGTCAATCGCACAGCAGCGCTGCATAGCACAGAAGAGCACCCGCATTATGTATAGGTAACAACAGGACTAGTAGTAGATCAAATCTCGACTGCAGTGGTGGCCGGCCACGGCGTCATGCCCCTCGTGCCCCTCCATAAGCGAGCTGGAGCGGGCCTGTAGTCCATTAAAGTCGGTGCGTTTTTGAGGATCAGCTTTGTTGGACTCACAAGGCCAAATACCTCGCACATTTATTATCAGGCTCCGTTCCAGGTAAACAGCTACAGTAGTGCTGCGAAGGTTCCGAGCACCTCCATCTTCATCCGCAACTTGAACCTAAGACTGTCAGAATGTCAGAATGCAGAAACCCAATGACGGGGTCTCTTCCTTGGGTGTGGTCATCTCGCATAATAGTACAAGTAGTCGCTTGACGCACCTCGGTGTCCAATGCGCAGCGAGAAATCGCCCACAGCCGGCGTCTGCGCACTTACAGACTACTAGTACCTAGCCTATGAGGTTCTTGGGCATCACAGTATTCGAAGAACTGCAGTGGCAGAAACTCTCCCCGCCACCGGCCTGAGGCTGCAGACTCATGCACTTTCGATGCTCCCGAGCACGGCGGGCAGTATTGAACGACACCGCAGCAGACCAGAAATCGTCCCTCTGGAACGGACTAATTCACAGTCCTTCGCTGCAAACACCCACTGCATTGTTTATGCGACTTGTCATGCACGAAAGTGTCTGATGGCCTGCCAGTCACAGCGCCAGTTTGCAGGCATGACCTGTGTGTGTCCGTGCTTGGGGATTCGAGTGGCTAGATTCCTGGTCACCACTCGTATCTCCCCGTAATTGACGGCTGGTTGTGGGATGTCAGAGTCTCGACCAAATCCCACGCTAATGTTATGCGAGGAGATATGCGCCTATCACGCATTTAGCCAGACGAGCAAGTCTTTGTGCAGCCCATGCCACTACTGTGCAAAGAGTTCGCTGTCGTCGAATCAACGAAAGGGTGACGAGTGTGCCCACTGGAATGCTAGCACAGTAGGCGATGCTGAGTGCAGCACTTTGCGCGGCCTCCTGCTTCACCGGGGTGGCAAGCGGACTAATCAGCTGCATCTTCCCTCGAACGCATGACCGACTTCCCATGCACGACAACCAAAAGTCTGCTCGTCAAGCACCAGCTTGAGGTGATTCGTGCCACCGGCGATGGGAACGCCGTCCTCAGTTCTCATGACCCGGAGCGATGTTGAGCAATCAAATGCGCCTCCCACCGTTCTTCCTGCGTACTTCAAACAAGTCCGCGATACGCTTAAATTCCATGCAGGGCTGCATCTCGAGGTCTGGGGATACAATTAGGCTGACAATTTGTCTACCTAGGTAGGTGTGCTCGTCATCTATCCTGTTAAACTACGGGACGTCCCTTAACCCTGAGCACTGGCATGGGGTGATCTTCCCCAGCATGGGGGCCTTGGCGTCGTTCCGTGCTTAGACCGGAGACCGTCCCCGATTCGTTGGTGGTGTGAACACCACACGCTGGCCACTACATGCCAGTAAAGCATGACACGACTCGCGGAGCAAAGGTGCCTGTAGTAAGCCGAACGCCTGATTCTAGTGCTGTGTCACCAAATGTAGGCATGTCGAACAGATATTGCATGGCGAATCAGTGCCTTTCGTGAGTATCGGCACCATGTTTTCCATACGCCGCAGCAGAAAGGGGAAGACGCAACTGCATCTGCACTGTTCCCATACTATTGAAGCCTCGAACGGGCCAGCCACCAGCAGAAAATCCAGGCCTCATACCTAGGTAGTAAGCCTCTGTGTACACGCGACTTGAGTTATCACGCCAGTCTCCTGGCGAGCTAGCCTCGGTGTGCAGAGGAAAGCAATGGTCAGAAACTTGAAGCCAGAGAAATTTGCTGCGTCTACTTGTCTGGCTGCAGTACCTGCAATGTTAGCTGCACCGGCATGGCATTGCTGGTAGTGAGGTTACACGACCGGTGCGCTGCATGATTCTATATCCCCAAATGGTCTAAAGCAGAACTAACCCCCACAGATCGAGTTCTCTTCACTCATCTTGGTTCATCGGAGTGGTTCATTGATTGATCCATCTGTCTGCTTCGTTCTATGCTAGTCTATGATGAACTCATTAGCAATGCGCAGTGGACCGCAGCGAGAACAATGTTTGCTCACAACATGGAGGAAGATTTGCATGTGCTTCCTTTCGTGATCGATGCTTGAGGCGAGAGTGCGACTACCAAGGTTCGGCAGCTCTGACAAGGTCGCATGCCCTCTCACAGTCCGGGGCCGGCTTCCCAGCTAAGAGGAAATGACCGAGATCTAGTTTCGGCACAAGGTCGAAAGAGTGAGACCGATGCATCTGGAATGTATGCCTATGACGTTTGCCAATCTTCGCATCCTGGTCGCGATGCTTGAAGTCTCTTGTTCTGAAGAACTTTGTGCTCTTCATCGCTGTTTTAGAGAACATCGCATATCTCTCCGGAAGCAGCCGGAGAACCACAGGACAACCATTGCCCTGTAGTAGGCTGCGTCCACATCGCGATCTGGAGGTTAACAGATGATAGTATGCTACAACTATACCGCTAGCTATGAGCAGTTACCCTCCCTGGGAGTTGTACCAGCATTCAGGAGCGATGCTACAGTGTTTCTCTGACACTAACAACTTGAAGTGGCTTGGATAAAATCGTGGCTCAGCTCAGCCTTGAGCCTCGTGGCCACTGCATTGGTGGCGGACATCACGTGATCTCATGATATTGCCAAGTGCCCCAACCAACTTGAACTTGGATGGGCGTCGCGGAGGTCAAAGCACGGCAATGGCAGGCCCCAAACACGTCCACATGGCATGACGTCTTTCTACAACGGTTTCTCATTAAACTCCCTCACTACTGCATACTCCCTTGCAATCTCATCCTGGGCCAACGACTCTCCTAAGTACAGAATAATGCATCTATAACATCCGCCAAACCATGATCCCAAATGGCACTAGTCGCGAGCCATCTCCTGAGGTTGAGCTTCGGCCGTACGATCCATCCGCTCTGCCGGACTACGACACCGAGTTTATCACTCAAGAAGAGCTTGACAGCTTTGCACAGGCCTTAAGTGCGCCGACGACCGAATCCGTCACTGCTCTCAATGACTGGGGTCCGGTCCGTCAGAAGGTCAAGAAAAACCGGGCCCGACGTAGAACACCGAGACGGACCAAGGATGAAACAAGGGAAGGCTTTGTGTATACCCTTCTGTATTATCCACTCCTACTGTTTGTCTGCGGCTGGATCGTGGTGCTGTTCATCATTTATAACCTGACTCGCCTCTACATCTACGTCTACGAGCACCTCTTCTCATGGAGGGGCCGAAGGGAGACGCTCCGGCGACGGCTGCAGCACGCAAACACCTACAATGAATGGCAAGCTGCCGCCCACCAGCTCGACGTATATTTGGGGAACGAGGAGTGGAAGCGGTCAGATCCATATTCCTACTACAACCACCAGACCATCAGAAAGGTGACCTCTCAGCTACTCGAACTCGATACTAAGGTCCGGGCAGAGGAAATTGTGGGAGGGCCTGGCAAAGGTGGTTCTGCAGCTTTGGAAGAATTAAAGTCCCTGCTCGAAAGTTGCGTCAAGAGCAATTTCGTCGGCATTGAGAACCCGCGGCTATACAGCGAAAGCTACATTGGCACCAAGCACCTCATCCAGTCCTTTATCGACCAGGTCGAGAAGTCACTGAGGACCATTTTGAACAGCAAGCGCTTGAACGACAAAGACAAGGTGTCCTTCTTTCGCCATCTTGAGCTGAACTATGGGCGTACAGCCCTGTGTCTCTCCGGTGGAGCGACTTTCGCATATTATCATTTTGGAGTTGTGAAGGCACTGCTTGAAACAGGGCAACTACCCGAAATCATTACCGGAACCTCTGGAGGTGCATTAGTCGCCGCTCTGGTGGCGACGCGAACGGACGAAGAGCTGAAGCAGCTCCTGGTCCCGGCCTTGGCGTACCGTATCAGGGCATGCCACGAGAGCTTTCCTACCTGGGCTCGGCGCTGGTGGCGAACGGGTGCACGATTCGACTCCATTGACTGGGCTAGACAGTGTAGTTGGTTCTGTCGAGGATCCCTCACCTTCCGAGAGGCCTACCAGAGGACGGGTCGCATTCTGAATGTTACCTGCGTCCCGTCCGATCCTCATTCACCCACCATATTGAACAATCATATCACAAGTCCGGATTGTGTGATATGGTCTGCTGTCCTCGCTTCTGCCGCGGTTCCCGGAATCCTCAACCCGATTGTGCTGATGCGAAAGACTAAGACCGGCTCATTGGTCCCGTACTCGTTCGGCAACAAGTGGAAAGACGGTAGCCTGCGAACGGACATCCCGCTGAAAGCTCTCAATCTCCACTTCAACGTCAACTTCTCCATTGTCTCCCAAGTCAATCCGCACATCAACCTGTTCTTTTTCTCACCTAGAGGAGAGCCGGGTCGGCCAGTGACGCACCGCAAAGGCCGTGGTTGGCGAGGGGGTTTCCTCGGATCCACCATTGAGACTGCGGTCAAGTTGGATCTGCAAAAGTACTTGAAGATTCTCAGACACTTAGAGCTGTTGCCGAGACTGATGGGTCAGGATTGGAGCGAGATCTGGTTGCAAAGATTCTCCGGAACGGTCACCATCTGGCCAAAGACCGTCCTTAGCGACTTTTGGTATATTCTCAGCGACCCCACTCCGCAGCGTCTCGATCGTATGATCAGAGCTGGCGAACGCAGTTGTTGGCCCAAGATCAGATTCATCTCGAATCGCATGAAAGTGGAAAAAGTGATCCTGGAAGGGCTCAGGAAGGCGGGGCCAGTCGACGACGGCCACCGCTTTTTAAATCCGGTGCAGGAGCAGCAGGCACAGGAAGGGAATCTGCGTTCTAGACGCCGACCGAACGACAGCATCTCATCGACGGAAGACGGCCATTTCGAATTTCACGCCCCGATACCACGCAGACAAAGCAGCATGCTCCAGGAAATATCCCGTCAAGCCTCGGTGTTATGGCACGATGACGGCCCAACCGAAGGCGAGGAAGACGCTGTCAGCACTACAGAAGAGGACGAGTACGAGCACGAGCGGCCGCTGAGTAGCGACGGCTTCACTGCTGAATCATAAATAGAGTACTTTTAGAATAAGCAAGCACAGAATGCATTTTGGGTTCTTGTCGACCCCGTGGTAGACTGGCAACGTAGAAAGTCGTCGGGGTGGCGTCACGTGACACACAAAAGTACCTTGCGGAACATCCATCCTGGCGCCGACGATAAGGTTGTCCCGCAGACTCAACCGAGATCTGACGTCGATCTCGCGGCAAGGTTCCTGAAAGACTCGAAGGTCTCTACATTTCTTTAACAGAGGATTTCGGCTCTGTGCGGCCTTGGGGCGGCGGGAAAAGTCGACTGGCACGGTCGCATAGTGTTCCGGCACGACTTCCGCACAAATTGAGGCCTCAAACGTGCGATATGGTTGCTATCAAGAGAATTGGATAAACGTTGCTTCCAATGTGTTGCTTGTAATCAAATCTTCTGCCTGTCGCGATCGGTGCATGCGGTTGATTTGATTGGTGGGTGGCGGTGGTTGGTGGAGCAAGGTCGAGGCTTGGCGTTACAACTGCGCCCCGAACTTCAACATGAAGTGATTGACTCTGCGAACCGAATCACGCCCCCAACGACTGAAGCATTCATACTAGCATCCGGTGAAGCAGAGGACATCGATCCATCTGTCTCGTCATCTCATTCATTTCCATGCTTTAAACCGCCATTACATGGATTGACGACTCGGATTCTGGACATCCCTCGCGACGCGCAGCACTTCCACAGCTGTCCCATCCCCCATTCCGCGCCCATCGAATCGTCGTCCACCAAAACATCGCCTTTCATTCAATTGTCGAGCTTGTTGTTTGGCCAGTCGGTTTCATCGCAGTTGGAGATCGAGGCACATACAATACACTGCAATAGCCTTGCTCGCAATGTGGTCGTAGCCCGTGGTGGTACGAGCCAGATTCTCCATCAGCCGAGCCTTTGTTAGCCGCCCCGGTCCTTATCCAATCGACCCCATCGTCCGAGACTGCGTTAAGATGCCGTCCTACAACAAGCGCTCACTCGATATCGCGGACATTGTCAACCAAGAGGATTCGGCGGACGAAGATTACGATGACCGCGCCCCAGGGCCTTCCAAATCACGCTCTTCGCGATCCCGCAAGCAACGTGGAGCTCCTGCCCGCAAGAAGCGCCGGCGAGGTTACCGAGGCTCCGACATCGATAGTGAGGATGACGACATAGTCTCTGACGAAGAGGACTCATTTGATGATGCTGATGACCACGTCGAGACCAATGAAAGAGGAAGACCTGTTCGGCAGACGACTAAGAAGGCGGTCAAGTACGACGTAGACAGCGACGATGAGGACGATCTGTCCAAATCCTCGTCCGAGGAACCACAGACTCCTCCGCCCAGAAAGGGTAAAAAGCTCATCATCACTCTCAAGACGGGCAATACGCCTGCTAGGTCTACTCGCAATCTGAGAACTCGAAGCGGCAGTTATGTCGGCACCACCGCCAATTCCTCGGCGCCAGCGCCAGGATCGGGAGCCACACGGAGGAGCAGTCGTATTTCTCACAATGAAGACGAACCCGTGGTCGCACTGACGAATTCCGGCAATCACGTCGAGGTTATTCGAGCTGGGTCCCGAGACCCTGAGGCTATCCCTTCAAGAGCCATGACAGGTGGAAAAGGGCTCAAATATCCTTCGAAGAGTACCATCGATGAGGAGGCAGAGTCTGCTGCCAAAGAAGAGGAAGTCGAAGAAGAGCTTGAGATCAAAGCTTCGCAACATGAACTTTTGGAGAGCGATCCACAAAACCCTGCTGAGCTCGGTGGGGGAGGAGAAGCTCTGCCGAAGGTCGTCTCTGATGTTGTTGGTGCAGAAGCGGAAGCAGAAAGCGATGCCGATTTTGGTGCTAACCAAGCACCTGCGACCCAAGAAGATGCCGACATGGAAGCCGAAGAGCCAGACGACGATGAAGATGAAGATGTCGTCCCGCAACGCAGACGGTCAACGCGGGGAGCTTCAAAGAAGAAAGATGAATCACCGGAGTACGAACCCGAGGAGCCGGCGAAGCGTTCGCGTGGCCGCTCCTTGAGAAGTGGCGCAAAAGCCAAGGCGTCAAGGAGTCGGCGGCGAAAGCCACAAGACGAAAGCAGTGATTTTGATCCTGACCAAGAGCAAGACAACCAAGACGAGATGTCGGATTCGGAGGGATCCAACGCCTCGCCTCGCAAAGACGATTACGAGAGCAGCAACAACGGTCGAAGATCCACCCGTCTTCGTAGCAAAGCTGCGTCAAGGCAGAGGTCAGAGGCTAGCGATCAGCTGCATGAACTTGCCGAAGAGGTCGCAGACCTAAAGCGTGACGGAAGGAAACAGCGACAGCCTCGAGACGAAATCGTTTTCGAGCCTCGTCAACGACGCGGCGGGAAGAAACCAAACTACGATTTGCTTCGTAACCTTGCCCCTATCGAAGATGAGGAAGATGCTGCGCCGTCTCCTTCGCAACGCCCTCGGAAGCCTGGCGCTGGTAGCTGGCAGCGGAGCCTGTTCGACACCTATGGCCCCTTTGGAGGCGGCACAGGCCTGCCGCCGTTACTTGGTGGTGAAGCGCAAGGACCCCGGGCTCAGGGCGGCGTCGACTCAGACAGCAGCGACGACGAGGGCTTGAAACCAGCCAGGCCTGTTGGGGGAGCTGTTGGAATGACTCCCGCTGGTTCTGGGGCGTTCAACCTTTTCGCTCAAAATCTCAATAACGATGCCGCACAGGCTACCGCTGGAACTCCGGCCAACTTGGGCAAGATCAAGGACAAGCAAGCCCTCGCAGATGCCGATCCTCTCGGCGTGGATCAAAATGTCAATTTTGACAGCGTTGGTGGTCTACAAGGGCACATCGACCAATTGAAGGAAATGGTTGCATTGCCACTCTTGTATCCGGAGATCTTTATGCGCTTCAAGATCACCCCTCCTCGCGGTGTTTTGTTCCATGGGCCCCCGGGTACCGGTAAGACACTTTTGGCTAGAGCTCTAGCTACCAGCGTTAGCTCGCAAGGTCGAAAAGTCACCTTTTACATGCGCAAAGGCGCAGATGCTTTGAGCAAGTGGGTTGGCGAGGCTGAAAGACAGCTACGCCTGCTCTTCGAGGAAGCTCGCAAGACCCAACCTAGCATTATCTTCTTCGATGAAATTGATGGTCTCGCCCCTGTCCGGTCTAGTAAGCAGGAACAGATCCACGCCTCCATCGTGTCCACCTTACTGGCCTTGATGGATGGCATGGATGGGCGTGGCCAGGTGATTGTCATCGGCGCCACCAATCGGCCGGACTCTATTGATCCTGCTCTAAGAAGACCTGGTCGGTTTGATCGAGAGTTCTATTTCCCCCTTCCGGACACCCAGGCGCGACGAGCCATCATTGACATCCACACCAAGGGATGGGATCCCCCGCTACCTGCGCCCATCAAGGATGAGTTGGCCGAGTTGACAAAGGGGTATGGAGGAGCAGACTTGCGGGCCTTGTGTACTGAAGCGGCATTGAACGCGGTCCAGCGGCAATATCCTCAAATTTACAACTCGACTGAGAAGCTCCTGATTGATCCAAAGAAAATCCAAGTCACACCCAAGGACTTCATGATTTCCATCAAAAAGATGACGCCTTCATCAGAGCGATCCACCTCTTCAGGCGCAGCTCCTCTGCCTCCCAGCGTCGAGCCGTTACTGAGACCGCAGCTCGACCAAATAGAGCGAATAGTGGCCGAGGTTTTGCCACATAAAAAGAGACTCACCGCCTTGGAAGAGGCCCAGTATGAGGATGTTGCGGACGGTCAGAGCTTTGGTAGAGAACGAATGCATCAAGCGTTCGAGGCAGCCAGGGTCTTCCGCCCCCGCTTGCTGATACAAGGGAAAGTCGGCATGGGACAACAGTACATTGCCGCTGCCCTGCTGCACCACTTTGAAGGACTTCATGTGCAGGCATTTGATCTCCCCACGTTATTAAGCGATACCACGGCTTCGCCTGAATCGACTGTCATCAGGCTCTTTGCCGAAGTCAAGATGCACAAGCCAAGCGTCATCTACATTCCTAATGTACATGAGTGGTACAATACTGTGGGTCAAACCGTGATTTCGACTTTCCTCGGACTCCTAAGGTCCATCAAGCCTACCGACCCAGTACTGCTTTTGGGTTTCGTGGAAGGTGATCCAGAGGATGTCGAGGAAGACATGAAAAAAGAACTGTTTGGATATTCCAAGAAGAACCGGTTCCAATTGAGAGAACCTGGTCATGAAGAGCGGTTCGACTTCTTCCGCGCCCTGAGGGACTATATCAGAACGGCACCCGATGAGTTCCCCGACCCCGAGAAGCGGAAGAAGCGACAACTCGAACAGTTGCCGGTGGCTCCTCCAGAGCCCGAGAAGCCGCCGCCACCTCCATCCAAAGAAGAGCTCAAGGCACAGAAGAAGCGGGACCGCCAGACACTGAACATGCTCAAGATTCGGTTGCAACCCATCATGGATCAAATCCGGACCAAGCACAAGAAATTCCGCACTGGTGTTATTGACGAGAATCAAATCCGCTACCTCTATGATGAGGCCGATCCAGGCACCGTCACTTCAGATCTTCACACCGAGTTCCTGGCCACGGCGTCATTCAGGCCTTTTGAGATTGGCAAGGATGCCCACGGAGTTCCTGGTTTGGTTGACCAGGCCAACGGAAATTTCTATTACAATCTTGATTCGGTGACTATTGAGAAACGGCTCAGTAATGGGTATTACAAACGACCCAAGGATTTCCTGGCAGACATCAAGCGCTTGGCCAAAGACGCGAAGACAATCGGTGATGAGGATCGGTTGCTGAAGGCTAACGAACTTCTGGCAAATGTCGAGGTCGATATTGGAGCCATTGAACTCGCAGAGCCTGCTTTGGTAGCAGAGTGTGAGCGAGTGTATCAGCGCGAATTGGCCAGAGAAAGGGAAGTCTTGAAGAAAGCGCGGCAGACAAACCAACCGAGCAAAGACATGCCACCACCTCAGGTCGTGTCCAATGTCCCCCACGGAAACAGCTCCGGTCCTTCGACAACAGCCAACTCTACAGGGCCGATCCTCTTAGGTGAGCCCATGCCCCGGCAAAACGATATTGTGCAACGACTGGCCGCTGCTGAGGCAAGCCCATCCACATCGGTGCTTACGAACGGCGTCCATCCAACGACCGGCAACGATGAGGACCAGGGTAATGCTCGGCAGAGCGGATCTCAGCCGCATCATGATGCTGGCCATGAGGCAGACAACGAGGGTGATACACCAATGGGAGGTACAGAGTCACATCCCGGGACGTCGCATGAAAAGAGCAACGAGACACAAAAAACACAGACCTCGAGCTCTTTCGGCAACCGTGAGTCTGCACAGCCACGGCCGTTCCACTCTTACACTGCACCGTCCCAACAACTATTGAAAGAATCAGGCATGTCGGCACCTCGGTCTCAAACTGGGCCCTTTACGCCTATGCCTGCGGGCAGTCAACCGGGCGAGTTCCAGAACGACGCAAGCACGACGCAGTCGACAAGTCAGAAAAAGCCGTCGTCGTACGAGACGGATCATGGAGGACAAGGACAGCATCCCGAGTCAGGCCCTAATTTGTATTTGTACGATGAACGACGGTCTGCCGGAGGCAGTCAGATCCCATCCACCCAAGGTACGCGTGACCCTCACAATCGAGGTTTTGGTTTGCAGCCCCCATTTCCGCCCCAAATCCAGTTCAGACCTCCTCTATCTGTTGTTTTTCCGTCCAAAAGAAAAAGACCCGAGCTCTTACATTTGTCCTCGAATGCAGGTAATGTCGAATACTCTTCCCAAGAGACGGGTGGTGCGAGCTCCCAGCCGACTGGAACTGGAGCTGGTGCTGCCGGTCCAGCGGCGG